TGAGTCTTAAGGAGGGGGTAATGTTATGGTTTTATGCTGGCTTACTCTTTTTTGCTTATGCACACATGATGCCACACTTCCATTGTACGTTTTTTCCATGGTTCTTACTCACATAGTACTATTATTAGCATACCCAACATGTATTTAAGTAGAGTCTAAGCTGGTCTATACCCCAGCTTTGGCTAAGGTTTAATCTACCTAACCATACTCCTTGCTTTGCGACTACCTAAGTTCGCCCACTCACTCATCCCCACAAACTCAGACCTGCAAGTGTATTGGCCACCAAAGTGTGAGTGGTGATCCTTGTTTGATCTAGTTTGTAGAGTTAGTGGCTAACACACAGGAATGTAGTACAAACACCAAAAAAAGGACATGGCAGCTCGTGTCGAAAATATGTACCTATGTTATAGAGAGAAGGGAGCGCACCATTCCAACAGTCTCACTACTGCCAAACTGGATTTGTCCATGACTGGAATCTGCCATCCAACTTAAACTCTTTCAAAAAGGTCCAAAATTCCCTGCCTTGAGATCAACATCTGTCAGAGCACCATCTTGAGCGAACAGTGTTGCACTCATTGTCCATTGTGATGACTGCATAAGCAAAGAAAACCAGGTAAAAGTTGATATCCATTCCATGAAGATTATACATCAAAGTGATTTCATCTAGAGCCATGAATATGATCGGATTTGATGTGCACCGTTTCTTTTTCAACTCATTATGCAGACACCTAAATTTGAATTCATATGGATTCCCACAGAAATTTCTCTCAATATGAATGGAGAATTCTCAATTCGTGCAGGATGATCTGTCTGGATTTTATCTGCCAGGTTTTGAGGTAGCACCGATTTGCAAGGAGGCAGTGGCACTGTCAATACCAGTCTGTGAGGATTCTTGGAGTTATAATGCTATGGAGGAAGAAACCTGAAGCATATATATGCACCTTGGTCAGGTAAAGCAGCCCATAGGAGCCCATAGGGAAAGCGATGAGAGTGGCTAAACACAGACCAACAAAATGTGGGAATTGCCATCCACAAATAGAAAATTTCCCATGAGAGACTCACAGAGGAAGAAACATGGTGGGACGGCAAATGCCACAATCACTGATTCCACGAATAGAATTTCCCATGAGGTTTCACGACAGCATAATAACCGAGTATCCTATATTCATAGGATTTGGAACTCCCATAAATTCAGAACACTGAACACAAGCTAGCAGAAATGAAATGGCTAAAAAATTGAGTATCCAACTTCAATTCATGATGACCTCTGAGGGAATCAAACCCAGCGTGAGGCTCCATCGCACTAACAGGTGTCGGAGTCTTCAAAGATGGATATTTAACTTGACAGCATACCAAAAGTGATAGACACCCAAGCTTTTCTGCCATTGTCTCACTGGGAGTTGAACCCAGTGTATGGCTTGTTCCTGGTTAGTCCAAGCAAACATTGGAAGAGGAAGGTATGAATCTCATGTGATCGAATTTCTACTATGGAGGATAACTCTTACTCAAGTCACCTGCCAGTGGGTCTCCCAGGGGGATGTACCAAAAATAAAACCAAAAAACAACTCGTTATTATCCTTATTGTCTTGCTGAGAGTCGAACCCAGCAGAGGCTACTTTGCTTTATTTGCAGTTAGCCTAAGCAGACATTGGATAGAGATGTACACTAATCCTGAGATAGGGCTGTGCGTAGGCTGTGGCTGCCACTGTGAAAAGTGAATTGCTGGTGAGGAAAGAAGCTGTCACTGTGTTTTTTGAAAAAGGGACTCAGAAAAAGCAAGTATCAGCGACTTGTATTCTAGCCTTAGCCCTGTATGGAGCGATCGGCTTAGTCACCACTACTTTTGAACAACAGAAACTGGTCCGGCAATTTTTCTCAGAAAATTAATTGCTCTTGTAAAAGACATTGTTTTAGGTGTATCTACATCACCACAAGAGCGATTAACCATATGATGAAAATTAATAAAGTTGGTTTAGTTGAAATGGCCACACCTTCCTTAAAAGGAAATATAGGGTTAGGGTTTCAGCCACATGATGTATCCTTAGCTGACAAACCATCCCAGTACTAGGCTACTATCCATCTGTGTGTGCGGTATTCCCAACGGTGGAATGTCTTAACAGCACTTACGAGGTATGAAGGTGCAGTTTACAGTTGGTGCACACAAAATAAAGATGCAAAAAAAATTTTTCTGCCAACCCAAAATGGCCACTGTCCAAAAATAGCGGTGACCAAGCCGATCGCTCCATAGTAACTATAGGCAACACTGGTTAAGAAATCATGTGCTGACTCAGCACATTTCAGTCCTTTTGATGGCAAAACACTTTGTCTCAGCTTCAGCTCTCCTTAGCTTTGCTTTGTAGCCCTCACCACCAGTGGATGTAATTTATACCATCAAGATGTTCAACCTTGTGAAGTGCGCTATTATTTGGTGGAAAATGGCTTTGTAATAACCAAGAATTACTGCATCATCTTTATTTGGTCTTGTTAACTGGCCTTTTCCTGGCCCATTTCAATGCACCCATTTATGGCTTCCACATAGACAAATTATAGACAAAAAAGACATATTAGGCCATATCTGAATAAAATATATGTATTCTTTGTAAAATATGTGCAAAAAAGGAATTGTAAACACCAGATATATGAGCAGAATGGGGCATAACAGGCATTTATAAAAATTGCGCTTCAAAGAATACATGCAAAATTGTATGCTGATTAATTCTTCTCACTGAAAGTATGCACCAATGTCAATTGTTTGACCTACAGCAGATGCAGACAACTCGAGCTCATTTTTTGGCTGGAAATCCATATAGGGTAAGTCATGGTCAGAGTTTGAATTTGACTGAGGATTGCCCATAGTCACAGGCTGTAGCTGGGAGTTGGACCTAGCTGAGAAGCATGGATGTTAACCAGTATGCCATGAAAGGGATGAACATAATGGGTCGAATACTATTTATAAGGTATTGGTCCAGTGAGTAGAAGCATGAACCTTGAAGCAATGCATTTCAAATAACCTGTCCAAGTATCAAGTTCAAACTTGGCAAATGAGCCAGTCCCGCAAGGAGTCACCCATCTTAGCAAGAAATGATATTAGTACTTAACTCAAGAATCATGCACCAGAGGCATTCGGCTAGCTCCTCCTATGCAGGTTGTCATAAGGAACTGACAATTCCACTGGTCCAGTTCTTTACGGAGCCATGACAGCTTTGTTGGACCAGGGTGGATGCTAGGCCCATTTATACCCAAGGAGAATAAGGTGAGATTAATGCCATGTTATAGTGACAACCAATGGTGGAGATTATGATACTCGCAACTGGGGACATCATGTGTTGATTGATCAGCCCATTAATACACTGAGCAAGCAATGCTTGGATTGGCTAGGATTGGCTGTCATGAAGGAAAAACATGACGGGTCGAGGCCCAACAAGGTATATCAAAAAAGGAAACATTGTGACTGTGTGTGACTGGGCCTCAAGCGATTTTGCCAAGATTTTGCAGTTTCACCTTGGACAGGACTTTCATCAGCATCGCTTTCCCCATAAACTCGTGCTCATTTCACATGTGCATGAAGCTGACTCAATCTCACCCAAACCCGATGCTCTGTACTTCCTGCACCCCAGTTATGTTGGCCATTGAGTATGGAGTATAGTGCCTCTCAGTCATCCTCATCTGAGTTGGGGCCACAGCTCACCAATCCTGCAATGACATTCAGTGTATTGTTTGAGGATGTCGATGAGGGCATGTTTTGGCAGTATAAGATACGCATGCGGTGGTGGTAGACATCCAGAAAACCATGGAACAAGTAGCCCAAATCGAAGGGAGAGAAATAAACGATATCTTAGTGCTAAGTGCATTATTTCTTCTCCATTTTGCTATATCTAACCTCTTCCAACAGCACTGAACGTGTTAGTCCCCATCCTCAAATCCAAATGTGTGTCAATCGAACAGACAACACAAGAGACACACCAATACAGTCCAACCGACCGGCACATGCTCGACATGTACTACCCTCCCAATATGCGTCCCGACACCCCGATCCTTGTCTTCTCATACAGCAGTGGGTTCTACATGGCCGCACCCACACTTCCCACCCCTGCGTTCATCATCTACCACAACCTCGGCTCCTTCTTCACCTCCCATGGATTCATCACCATCATCCCCAACTACTGCCTTGTCGACTTGGGTGTGCAGTTCCCTGGTGCAGTGCAAGACATGCAGGATGCCATGCAGTGGGTCATGGATAACCTTCCCTCCCCTGATTCTGATATCTATGTCCTCGGCCACTCAGCAGGGGTGATGAACATGTTCATTATCCTCACTCTTCCGGAGCTGTACTCCCCCAGTTTGCAGCCACATATCAAAGGTGTGGTCTTCCTTTCTGGGCCATATACATTTGAGGATATGCCTGTGGATATGAAAGATTCCGTCAGGCTGTACTATGGTGAAGATGATGAGGCGAAACAGGGTGCCATTGGCATTGTTGGAATCAGCAAGTTCCATACCAACTCCAAGACTTTTGCTAGGTATTGGCAAGAGGGACATTCCCTGCCTGCACCCCGCTATGGAGAAATTCAGCGAGGCTTTGAGGGTATCATACGATGAGTTTGTCATGAAAGGGCATAATCATGTTAGCTTGGTGTTCACACTTGGGACTGGGCAGGGTGAGGAATGAGCAGAGGATGTGGTCAAGTGGATTCATGCATGCAGTGAGCCATAATAGCTATGTCATCCTTTTCTAATATGATGCACTTCATCATATCGCTATGCCAGCACTTGAAAAGGATTCAGTTAGGTTTGTCAGACAGGGAGGATAATCTAGCTACTAGCAATTAGGGACAATATCAAAAATTTAAGCCACATCTACCTAAAATAGCAATCATCCCAAAGTCACCGCTCCGGCTGGGAGTCGAACCCTGTCCTCTGGCCCTAACAAATACACTAGGAACACACTTCATTGCGACCAAATACTTTCCTCATTTCTTTGCACTCATTCTTGCAAGGAAGACCCTGAGTTGGGAGAACACGTATTCAAATCTTGAGCATATTGCAGTGGTGATCGGAAGTATGCATAAAAACAATCCGAAAAAACCAAACTATCATCTCTTGATGGGAGTCGAACCCAGTGCCAGTCAGGTAACCAGTATACCACAGGAGATGGCTTGATGTAATTTCAAACTGACGCATACATCTATGCCCTGAACCAAGAAAAGATGCTCTGGGAAGAATCTAACTGGGCAGGTGTATTGGCTGTGAGTTGATCCCCTTTCAATTTGCAAGTTGGAATACGGCAGCCCCAAGCAAAAACTTGGGCTATATCCCCACACTTTTATTGTTTCTTACCTGGGAGTCAAACCCAGCACATGCATGCGCGTAAACTGATACTCTACGGGGAACAAAGTAGACTCGAGGATTAGACGTCATCTCATGATGTTGGCAGAAACAATGATATCATCTCTTGATCTGGGAATCACTCACAACCAAGCTGAGATCATGCACCCCGACCCACTGTTCACAGTCAAGTAGCTTCTTCCTGGGTCGTAAACAGAGCATCTTTTTCTTGGTAGCCTGCACAGCGAGACAGGAATCCAATCTGGGTTTAGGTTCAGGGCTGGATGTATGCGCCAGTTGACTTGCCGCTTATTGGTTACCTGACTGGCACTGTGTTCCCCGAGCATGAATCAAGTTGGGAGTATGGGATCCTGAATAAAAATCTGACAACCGATACCTCCAAGTATGTCTCCTTGTCTGGGAGTCAAACCTGGTGTGCATGCGTAGACCGATAATCTACGGGGGACAAAGTAGGTTCAAGGATTAGCCATCATCACGAGTTCTGGAAATGACAGGGAGGTCAAGGGCAAAGTAAGTAGTCACCATCTGGAAATTGGATACATGACTTTGTATCGGGCACCTATCTTCTTGTGTAGCTACAATCCAAAAGAGGGAAGAATGGCAAAGCTTGAGTGGTACGAGGAAACAAAAGCATATGCACATTCCTGAATAGCACTGGCACAGAGCATGCCATCTAGGTTCAGCAGGCATGCAATCATCCAATTACTAGGAGTCGTCCTGTACTGAGAGGCCTGTGTGATTGTATCCCTGGGCCGAGGGAGGCAAACTGAGTTCGCAGCTAATTAAAATTCACTGCAGAAACAATAATAGAGCTGGCAACAACTGTGCGCTGCTGTTGCCAATTGCCAATTCTTACAAATGAAGGATAAGCTAGAGAATCAAAACAAAGAGGTCATCATGTACACAGTATAACACTCCATGGGAATCAAACCCTTGAACAGTAGCTGAAACCCGATGCACTACTGGAGTACAGTGGACATGGAAGAGGCACTAGCTCAGAAGTTACTGATAGTCCCCTCAGAGAAAAAGAGAAGTTTAGGGAGACAGTCTCATTGAACAGTTCAGTGCCAGTGAGAGACAGAGAGAAGAAAGGACTCTGAGTCTGAGCTGTGGACCTTGAGATTCTGCAGACAAAAGCCAATGGGTTAGATAAAGGTTGAAGACGGTCTGACTATCTGGTGGCATGTCATCAATGTTCATGTCAACCTTGAGCTTGAATCAGAATGCCAAACGGCACTGATCTGTCTCACAGACTGCAGGAATGGCAGCAGACAGTTCTGGGTACAGCTCTAGCTGAAAAATTCTATCTATCATGATTGGACACCCTCCTAGATGACGGGGGTTCTCAATGCATTCAAACTTCAATTTTGGCATGACATTTGTTGTTGTCTGCGACAAATGTTCATGCTTTATAAATCTTCTGGAGATATGGCTCATCTGTGTTTCCAGGAATACTGATAGCAGATTATATGACTTGTAGCTGTTCCTGCATCGATTTATCTGTGACTAAAGGAATGTATGGCCCCGGGCGCATATTTGGTCCACCAAATCATAGAGGAAGTCTCCGCTATTGTTTGTCTTCCAAATCCCAGTATCTGTTAACAATAATAATCGAGGGCATTGAATGAGGATGCATACGACAGGTGAAACAGATCTTCTGTCTCAATATAGTCCTAGGTGCTTGTTGGTCCTACTATATGCATAAATTCAAGGCATTGCAGGGGTGGAACGGCCTTCCACTCATGTCACAACACCTATCGGTATCTTACTTCTTCGTCTCTGTTCATTACAATTAAAGCAAAACTCCAGGATCTGATTTAGAAAGCCACAGGACGATAAATAGGTGCCAGAATGAACGAGCCTCTAGTTTAGGTCGAAGTAGACTCAAAACTGGGTGTACAGGCCGGCAAAGCACAGGCTGCAATGGAAGCAGTACTAGATGATGTCACCATGCCAAACTAGACACCATTGAGTTTCCTGCACTCGGACGAAAACACAGAACCCAGTAGGTTGGCATCAGTCCCGACATGACTCACTTAAAAAAAGTGATAACCTTGAGACACATTTGAAATTATGGATATTGGAAGGATATATGTGAGCAGAAGGAGATGAGTGGGTACATTGTTTCACCTTGCATCGATCGCCATTGGGATAATCGGTATTCTGAAAGAAGCTTCAAAGATTATCAAGCTGGTTCAGAGTGTACGATAAATCCATATGCTGGCGACGTGAATATGAATAAATTCAGACTGCTCAGAGTATGGCATCAGAATATGTTTGCATTGTGGCTATCCATGAAAGGCACATCATGACAACTCATTTGTGGTATATTTCAACCATTTTCGGACTCTGGGCATGAGCCACATGGAAGAAAGGGGCTTCAAACATAAAGACTAAGTTCCCAGGCCATAAGGATCAGAAAATGCAGGCAATGAGACCCGAGAATCTGTAGAGTGAGCCACAACGGAAACAGACACTTTGTGCCCTATATGGATGCATCAGATGGGACATGTGAAAATGAAGCTTTCCACGGTATTTCAACACATAAAGGTGCCAATTGGAATGAGAAACAAGAGTGAACGGCGAACATTGTGGCCAAAGGGAGCACAGGTGGATTCTGATTGAACCAGGGTGCATGTCCCATGAGTCAAGACGTGTCGAATTTAATCAAGCTTCAAACTCCCAGAAAAACAAATGAGAGGGCTCATCTTTAACATGGTAGCTTCTGTCTTGTACTGAAAGTAGTCTACATCATCCACCTGCTGAGAGGCTACTGGTGACTCACAGGTATGGCATTTCCAGCATGAAGAACTGCTGAGGATTTAGAGTCTTAAAGCCTGAATGGCACAGGGGGGGAGGGGGGTGTCACAGCATCGATAAAGACAAGATAGATAGATAGATAACCGGTTGAGCAGTTGAGGTCCCAAAAAGGAACGCCAGAGCTCTGTGCCAACACAGAACGTGTCACAGACCACACTCCCTCATGCCGCTGTGATATCCTCAGTTGCCAGCCAAGAACATCTCATGGAAAACTGGATTGATTGGCCACCTCTGCTGACAAAGAGCGACTCATTCCGGAATGATGCAGATCGAGAGGGTCCCTTCAGCAATGGATAAGGCCTGTTTGTTGAAAAAACACCTGTAATTACAGGCGACAGGTTTTTAATAAAAGCCTTTTCCCTTCCAGGTCCTACGAATGAAAATTTCTTCAGATGGTTGCATGACAGAAGCTCTCCCATGAGGATCTGGACCAAGTCTGGATTCTGAAATGATGTCGACCTCCTGACTCTTCTGCCTTACAGGCATCCTCAGAATTTTGTATTATTATTGAAGAAAATGAATATATTTAATAATGCGTACAAAATGCTAGTAAAATATGGTACAGGTGGGCATGGTGAGCTGTAGGCACTGATACTACCCATGAAGCTGCATGCAGAGAGCAACATTGGTGGCGATGGCATGGCGATCATTGCATTGCTGCAGGGGGTGGTGCGAGCGGGAGAAGGCAGGTGTCAGGATAGAGAGGGGGTATGTGATGACCATGGTGTCAAAGGGATAAATGGACCTCAAATTCATGGTACCCCATCTAAGAAATGGGGGATGCATGAGTTTGAGGTTGGTGAGTGAGCTGGGCAGCACACAGGAGCCCGACGTTTGATGGGATGCAGCAGGCAGTGGTGGGGCTATCTGTCATTGCATAGGCATGAATTTGAGTGCGTTCACAACACCTTTGATCCCTCATACAATGCCTCAAATGGCATGGGTGTCGTCCCTGTTGTTCACTGTCAGCAGCCCAACCTTGATCTCGCCCTCCTGCCCGTACCCTCCTGCCATCCTGCACCTCCCTAGCACACCCTGCTTCCACTTCATCCCTGGACTACTCGTTGGTATGACCATGCTTCATTATTGAAGCCTCTTCCCCCCTCACGCCATCGCCATTGTCATCCTGGTTATTGTCGTTGTCCTGGTGGTTGAATTTGCATCTATATGCCCTCCTAGTGGCAGATGGAGACGGATCCTGAGTTCTAGAGTGAATCTGGCATCATTAACATATTCGGTAGCTATGGTGAATGATGATTGGCCCCAATTTCGATGTGGGGGATGCTAGGTGGGTTGCGGCGGCGATGATAGGACTGGACATTATGGCTGTGGCAAGAACTGGCGAGTGTCATAGTCGAAGGGTGATAGTGGTTCAATTCCTCATCGTTTGGTGGGAGCAAATGATGCTGCCTTGTATAAGGGCTTACGTGCAGGTGAGTAGGGCTTGATACATGCTATCCAGGCAATCTGGGAGCCACCAGATAGACCAAAAGTATTTATAAAACCTATATTAGCATTGAAAGTAATGAAATATACCTTTATTACCTTTAAACGAGCATTGGGGGCAGACACGCAACTATGTGATGGACCAATGGTGACGGTCAGAACAAAGGTCAGAAGAAAAAAGAAGGGGTACAGCCACTCGATCACTGTCCAGTTTACCGGACTGGAGCGATCGAGCAAGCAGAATGGATGCTCAGGATGCATCCTCTGCTCGAATCCCTTGCTCTGAAGCCCCCAAAATTAATGGAATATACTATGATAATTCTCTAGTATACATTTGTGTACTTATTACTATATACAATCTATCCCAATTTTGTTTAATCTGTCTTTTATGGTGAATATCATGTATTTTAGGACATTTCAAGGATGCATCCTTGTATACAGGTATGTACAGCCTTTCCATGGGTAATATTGGTTGAACAAGTAATTTTATGTATTCTATTATCCAAAACAGGTGTCCGATCCATGGCGATCTGCCTGTATGCACCTTGTAATTTTTTTCTTATTGATGTGAATTCATGAAGAATAAGTACATGGACAATCTCATCTAGTGCAATTTGGTCTGATTGAGGTATATTTCCATCAGGGCAGGTAAACTCCTTGACACATAGCACTTTAAATAACTATATACTGTGCTTCTCTAGGTAATGTACTTAGATTCGAGCATGTACTGTGAGATATGCCTTTTACACATGCCTCTTGCATGCTTTTAAGATCATAATTCATGTCTACATTAGCATAGGATAGAAAATATGTGCAGAGAAGATGATTAGAGCATTACAGAAGCTAATAGACTCTATGAATTATATTTCCAATCACTGAAAGAGTTTCGGGACTGTACAATCTCGACCTATTTGCTTACTGTGGGCGAGTTAGGGGTGCTTCGGAAAACTCCGGAAAACGGAGATATTTCTTGTCCTTAGCTATCCATACATTGAGAGATATAAACAAGATAGAGCAATCATTCATTACTTCTATTATCATCTTATGTATTGAATAAGTGCAATGTATTGTCTGCTATCCCAGAAATTCTGCTATCCCGAATTCCAAACCGTATACCAAACTGGGAATAGTATATTCCCACGTGGTGTTGCCGATGACTCGGCTTAATGCCAAAGTCATTTTCAAGCCGTTTGTGCTGGGTGCATTGACATTAAAAAGGGAAATTGATTTGATGTCTGCATTTACTCACTGGGCATACTAGTAATATTAGCCATAGTGTAGTTGCTAGTCCTGTCCTTCCGTCATTGCCTACTTGAAATCAACTTTGGCGTTAAGCCGATTCGACTGCCGATTCATCAGCAATACTGTTCCCACGGTAAGTACCTGGCAAGCCATGCCGACGCGACACATTCAATCAAATATATGGTATGGGTAGGCATGTAGAAGCAGTACCAGTACATAAAATAATATTTTCTGAGCCCAATCTTTTTGGGGATGCCCCTGGCAATGAGCAGAAGGGCGGCATTTGTGGATAAGGCAGCGGCGGAAGGTGGGAACCAGCCCCCAACAAAACAGGACAGGGAAGAAATTTTTGTTCACTATAATTATAGCGTAATCCGCTTTTGGAAGCGGCCTGCACCGGCGCACCCATCTGTTCATTGAAATTTTCATCATTGAACGTGGGACTAAGAGGGTTTTATCAAAAAAGTTAACCCTCTCCCTCCCAGGGTTTTTTTAATAATTTCGGCCTTATGGTCTGCCTTCAGTGCCGGCTAAACCCTACCAATAGTATTCTACTTTCAAACTAAGTCTTTTCAAATGAACAAGGATGAAACCAATACTATAATTGACTACGTCCGAATGAGTTGGCGTCGTTCAGTGCAGGACTTTCCTGAATCCTTAGGGTCACTTTACCCTGCAAGCTCCGAGAAGAGTATATATCCATCCAGAATCATTGGTAACAGAGTTATCACACTTATCATTAGTTGCACACACAAGCGAGCAAGATTGTCTGGACTTTCGCTTGCAGTCAGCATCACAATGCCAAAACAGCGAACTTGCAACTGAGGGCATGCGTCAACACATGGCGCTGCTATCATCATTCGTCCTTCCATTCACATTGACCAAGACATCCCACCGTTACGGGTGGGGATTTTATCCCTAAGGCACCTCGAATCCTTTTGACAGCCACCGTAAGAATCTTGCCTTGACTTTCCTGCATGCTCACTGCACCAGGCCAACATTGTGTTGAACTTGCATCAAACAATGGATGTTCCCTCAATTTTGCGGGTTACATCACTAAGGAAGTTGATTGCATAAATAAAGTAGATTTAGCTACAATGGATCAATGAACAGACACTATGTTGCTGCTGCATGCTCAGTCTTCCTCTCTCATGACTAATCCATCACCGAGGCCTCCATCGATTTCCTCGTCATCAGTTTCCGCGGGAGGTATGGCATCACCGCCGTCGGCCACATTCACGATGAGAGCCTTCAACCGCGCCATGGTCTCTTCAACCTCTCCAGCAGCCTTACTCCTCACTTCCTCAACGTAATCATCCACACTGGCCTTTGGATCCCACGAAATCCGGTGTCCACGCCAGCCACCCCTGATATGGATGTAATTCATGAACGAGCGCCATAGAGGATCGAAGGCCAACACATCTGAGTTGCCAATGACGAGGAGAAGGGCTTGAGCACGAGTCACAGCGACTATGGCAAGGATGAGACGTTACTCGGATAGGTTGGATGGACAAGACATACCATTGAACCGATAGGGACTCGCAACAAAGCCGAGGGTCCGTCGAATGTCTGAAGTAATGAACTCTGCATTACTCCGAACGGTGGACATAATGATGATTCGGCGTTCCTATCGGTTGGCATAAGTACTTTCGTGAAAAGCAGATGAAATTTGGATTACCTGTCCTTGGAACTCTTCGGTACTTCCGACGCGAATATCTCTCAACTTTGGATCTCGATAGAATAGATCGAGGATCTTCATCCTTTGTGCATGGTATGGAGTAATGACACCAATATGCTCAGCACCTGTGATCATGTTATTGACATGATAATCACCTCAGGAAAGAGTACTTACGTGTTCCCTTCTTGGCCATTAGCGATGTGCAGTAGCTCTTCACGAGCGTTGCTTCGCTAATATTGAAGAACGACGGCGACGATTCCTCCCTCTGGTCACGTCCGACCACAGAATGAAAAACAATCGGGAACTTCTTCGTCGGGAGCACAACCGAATTTTCCAAGCTCTTTGTCAACAAAGGATCACCACAGGCTTGCAACAGGTTCCCGTAGAATTGTTCATTCGGGAACGCCAGAATATCTGGATGAGATCGGAAATTCTTGATGAGCTGCATGATACTAGACAAGACTGTGAGGAGGGTTTATGCAACGAAAAGGGAAGGAAGTACGCACACGACACCGAGTCCTCCACTGGCACCGCCATCCCACGGAGACAAACCATAACATGGCCTTTGCATCAACCGCGCCAAATAACTCTCCTTCAACCCCAGATCCCTCGCCAACCTCGAATGGACAATAGGGCCCAACTGCTTCAGGTCTCCCGCCAAAACTACGTTGGTATAATTATTCGCGAGACCCTTGATAGGTATCATGATCTCAGGTTCCTTCCCCTGACCTGCCTCGTCTATGAAGATGCACTCAAAATGACCGGGTTTCACGCCCAAGCTGCGCAGGGCGCCAGCGGAAACGCACGTCGAGACGACTACTCGGTAGTTGAGAACACCTTCTAGGGTCGGCATCGCAAATGCTTGGTTGTCGTTGATAAGGGAGAATTTGTGGAGCGTCTTGGGGAGGTCACCGAACTTTCGAGTCATTGAATTCATACGGAATACGTCTGTGGCACCGAGGTGCATCAGCTTCTGTGTGATGAGGTCGGCGGCGGAGTTATTCGGTGTGCATGCTAGGATTCGGGTATTGGGGTCACGTTTGAGGAGCTGCTCTATAGCTTCGACGATGGTCACCGTCTTTCCTGTTCCTGGACTGGAGATGTCAAGACGATTAGACTGTGTATGTAGCATACCACAGAAGGCACACTTACGGTCCGAAGACAATGAATGGCACACTCCCCTTTGGCTGATGTACAATAGCCGCCACCGTCTCTAACTGTTCCCTGTTCCTTCCGATGTCGCGGTTTAGAGGCACGAGCTCCTCCAACATAGCCGAAGTGACAGGACCCGCCGTCGTCAAGTGTTCAGGCCCGGGGAACAGGAATCGGGCTGGGTCGTTCTTGTTGTCCAAGGCATCGTGCATTCGACGGAAGGGGATACGGTTCAAGACAAATCGAACATCAAATTTGGTTCCGCGATACGTGTTGAATTCATCGCTAAAGCGGAGACTGACGTGCGACATGGTTACATTATGTACCCGCCCTTCAAACCAAGTTTTGTCTGGCTGACCAACGGGACGAACAAGGATGAAGTCTCCAACAAGAACAGAGGGCCGGCCTTCAGCTAGTCCATCTACTTGAAGTCTGGATGTGGTTAGCAGGAACAAAGAAAGGGGAAACAGAGATACTCACTCGTATCTGGGGTAGTTTGCTTTGATCTCCACACCTACCATCGAGTAGGCGTCCAGATCTTGCCTGTAAAACGATGAGAGTAGAAAATACAACGAATTGAAGTTCAGACATACCTCATCTGCTCCTCTTCTAAATAAATGAGTGTCTGAAAGTGCTGCGCATACGTAGCGGTAGTGAACGACGGAGGCATGAATCGCTTGACATCCTTTGAAGCGGTCCTCTTCAAGTATCCCTCCGGAGTGTACAATGTTTCGACGAGGTTCTTAGGAATGTTGTATTGGGGAAGCTTGAATACCCATTTCGTCGGGGTCCAAGTGGGCGGACGAAGGCTCCGTTTGATGGGACCGTCTAACGCGATGTTACGTCGCTTCCGCTGAGTATAGGGTGCTTTGGGCGCAAGCCGTTCGTAATCAGCAAGGTCACCGACGGTAGCACAGACCTTTCGCTGGATGACAAAATTGCGATGCTGGGAAATATCGAAGAATACCAGTTCTAGGGTATCTTCAAAATACCCGGCATAGGATGGATGAAAGGTTATGGAGACCACGTGAGGTCGGAACGAGCCGATGAATTTTGAAGTTGGGCTTACAGCGACAGAAAACCTGGCAAGAGCATATCGTAAGTTTCTGTTTTTCACAAAAATAAAAAACGGAACGAAAAACCGAAAAAAATTCTTTCGACGGAGGCGGCCCATCTCCTGATACGACATACCGAAAAAAACTTACTTTATGTCATGGTCGTCCTGCTTCTGAGCAGAGAGCATCCTGCACTTTTTCAAAGAAATTGGCTTGCTCACATCACCTTGATTCGTTCTTTGCACCAGTACGACGAACACCGCTGACTGTCGCCCAGCCTGATCGACGATTCCGAAATCGATACCTTCTAGGTTAGACACTATGATGCCATTCTTGTTCCTCTGAGCATCCTGCAACGCCGTCTCCAGTCGTTCCTGGACCGTATGCGTGGCAACATGAGCCTGGAGTTCATTCTCCCAAAATTCTCGAGTGGGACGACAATGAGGGCATGGTTGCTTTGGCCGACCACCCGTCCCCAGCTTCGATACAGGTGGTTGGATCCCCGCAAGGATTTGCTGATGGCGTCGGCCGCGTACGTGGCTTTGATAGTTGCAAGTGTCAAGGACCAGCCCGCAATTGCACTGGGTAATGTCATGGCGCAGCCTGCACATACCTAGTGGTTGTCTGCACCCACTAGGAGAGAGAGAATCGTAACATACAGCAGCCATGGTGGCTGCAGGAGCAGAGTTACAGATACCATGCTCTACCCTCGTGGGTGGAAAGACAATGACCACAGTATGCAAACAATGGCAAAGCAGCAACTTGTTGATGACTCAGCAGGCAGCGTTGCGCACTGCCTTGAGCCGAAATAGACACTGCCCCTCGGAAGAAAAGTTCGATTAGACTGAGATTGACGGGTTAGCCGCGACGCTGTGAAATCATCAGAAAGGCTAAAATCTCTGCAAGCCCTTGTGACTCGTCATTACAAGTTCTCGGGGTCGTTAATCATTGATCGTAGGCAATAAGGTTGCAGTTCCGAACACAAGTCTTCCATCGGCTTCAGTAAGGATACCGAGGTTTGGAGCATAAACTGCAAAAGAAAGTAGTCAGTCAGCGCTGTCCAAAATATAGCGCAAATAATGTACCGGAAGCCCCTCGGCCGAAGCATACATCGAATCGGTTACTTCTACAGGTTAAGACACCAGCACCAAGAAGACAAGGGACAGCAACCACTCGTAAAATCTCTCTCTCGTATAAAAATACATACAGTGTGTCATTAGGACTTCCGATTAAATGGGCGAACACTCCCGCTTCAACCAATCTAACGCTCGCTTGTCATGTTGCAACAACGGCGAAACCTTCTACCAGACTTCTTCATGACAGTCATTAAACCATTCCGTTTCTATAATGGATCAGTGCCTGGAAATCATATCGTAGCAAAAAGTTGCACCTTCTGCAGTCAGTAATACTTTATCCACCAGTTTCTTGTGAATTGGACACCTGCGTGGTAATTAGCAGACAGAAGACACAGGATGGGCAATCCGACTCACATCGTGACATGCTCAAAACCCAGGTATCCTTTATTACTAAAATTATTTGGCGTCTGAACTTCTTTGACTAATACGATATTCTCTATTCGAATGCCAAACTTCCCGTCGGCATAATAACCAGGTTCATTCGACACCGTCATGCCAGGCTTGAGTGCATTCGTGTTCAAACCTGGTCACGAACGCATCAATTTCAAATCCTAAACGCGGAAGATATGGAACTAACTGATGCGGGTGCCAATATCATGAGGTCCTTCATGGACGTTGAGGAAGTGGCCTACTCCATGGCCAGTACCGTGTCTGTAGTTGAGTCTGTCTTGCCATAGCGCTCGTCGTGCCCATGAATCACTAAAAGTAAATGAGCGTCTATCAAGGCGGAAAGCATTTGGCAGAGACATACATAATGTAGCCAGTCGTACCATTAGGGAATATAGCAGTATCAATCGCAATATGACCTTGGAGAACTCGAGTGTTTGCACGAATTTCCTCCGGCTTCGGCGTACCAAAGTGCTATGCATAAGACGTCAGTGATAGTTCGCACACTGGCACAAGATGAACAGCACGCACTCATGTTCGAGTCACGTCGGTCGTACCATCGAAAAATTGAGCTGCACGATGGATACAATGAGCAATGAGCCGGGATGAATATCTAGACAAACCTCCTGAATCGCACAAGTAGACCTCTTCCTTATCAATAATAGCAGATTCCTTCGAATCCGGTGAATAGTGTATGATCGCTGGTATAATCAATCATTCCGTTGCCCGCAAAGGTATGCATGACCCTCACCAGCATTGGCGCCGGTCGACGAGATCGTAGGAAAGCTCAGTCCCTTGAACAAACCTTGCTCATTGGCATCATCAGCCAACACCTTTACGCAACATAAAGACGACTCACGCTCGGTACTCTTCCAGCTTGCTGCAGCACCCCACTCCGACAACTTCTTCCCTTCGTTGAGCTGATCTTCGAGCCAAGAAAAGTATTTCACCAAAGCTGCGCCATCACGAATGTGACACTGCCTGAATCCCTCGAGTTCTGTCGCGTTTTTGATCGACTTCAATGAAGACACGGGAGATGGTAGAAGGGTGTAGTTGTCCTGAGGCAAAGTTAGCAGCGTGACCTAGACTAAAATGATGCTGCACCTTTCCAACAGCTTCGGCTACCGCCAAACTGGATTTGTCCGTGACTAGAACTTTGCCTTCCGACTTGAACTCTTTCAAGAAGGTCCAAAATTCCTCGTAAGACTTGACATTAACATCTGCCGGGGCACATCCTTGTACAAACAGCGTTGCGTTGCCCATCGTGACGACTGCATACGCAAAGAAAACCGGGTTAAAGTCGATGTCCGATCCGCGTAGGTTATACAGCCAAGCAATCTCGTCCAAAGCCGTAAGAATGATCGCCGCGCACTCTTTCTTTTTCAACTCGTCCCGCAGGCGCCCAAGTTTGGATTCGTGGGATTCGCCAGAGAATTTTTCCTCGAGATGAACAATCAAATTCTTGGTTCGTACAGGGCGATCTGTCCAGATTTGATCCACCAAATTTTGAGGTAGAGAGACGAGCGTCGATTTGCGAGGTGACAGATTCTTTGAGAGAGAAGAGGCATCTTCGGCGGTGATGAGGGTCGCGTCGATACCGATCCGTGAAGATTCTTCGAGATGCTGGAATGCTATCTTCAATCATATATCAAGTTCCAACTTGGGAAAATGAACTAGTCCCCCGAGGAGGTCACTTGTTTTGGCGAGAAAGGATATTAAATAACGAATTGCTTACCAGACACATTCGGCCCGTACACAGGCTTTCTGAGTTGTCATAAGAAACCGACAATTCCACTGGTCCAGCTCCTTACGGCGACCTGCAAGGTTTGTCATACCTGTTGGACCAGGGTGGGCGCTAGGCCCATTTATACGTAGTATAGTACACGCGAGAAGAATAAGCCAGGATGTGAACCAGGGGTGCCGGTGGGGATTATGATACTCGCAGCCTCGCACAGATGGAGTAGTCAAGACTCAGGCAGTGATTTGTCAGCGCATTGATAGACTAAGCATGGAATGGCTGCTGTTTGAGCCATTTACTGTCACTGGCACGAAGGAAAAACGGGACGAGAGGCGGATCAGGAAAGGAAACATTGTGACGGCGCGTGACTTGGCTTCAGTTTCGGTGCTCACCAGCACCTTGGACACGACCTTCATCGGCACCTTTTCCCCATAAGCTCGTGCTCGTTTTGCATACGCATGAAGCTGACTCAATCTTGCCTGAGCCCAACGCTCCGTGCTCCCCGTGCCCCAGTTATGTTGACCGTCGAGTACGGAGTATCTAGTCCCTCTCACTCATCCTCATCCGAGTCGGAGCCACAGCTTACCAATCCTGCCCTCATCGACATCCTCAAACGATAACATTGGATGTTGTTGCATGTTTGGGGCGGTATAAGATAGAAGGGCGGCGGCGGTAAAAATCCAGCAAACCATGGAACAAGTAGCCCAAATCGAAGGGAGAGAAATTAATGATATCCTGGTGCCGAGTGCGTCGTTTCTCCTGCCTTTTGCTACGCCTAACCTTATCCGACAGCACTAAACGTGTTCGTCCCCATCCTCGAATCCAAACGCGCGTCAATCGAACAGACAACGTGAGAGACCCACCAATACGGCTCAACCGACCGGCACATGCTCGGCGTGTACTACCCTCCCACTCCGCGTCCCGACACCCCAATCCTCGTCTTCTCATATGGCGGCGGGTTCTACATAGGTGCACGCATGCTCCCCGCTCCCGCCTCCATAATCTACCACAACCTCGGCTCCTTTTTCGCCACCCGCGGGTTCATCACCGTCATCCCCGACTACCGCCTCGTTGACTCTGGTGTCAAATTCCCTGGCGCAGCGTAGGATGTGCGAGATGCGATGCAGTGGGTCGTGGATAACCTCCCCTTCCCCGATTCTGATATCTACGTCCTCGGCCATTCGGCGGGGGCAATGAACATGTTCACCATCCTCGCTCTCCCGGAACTGTACTCCCCCACCTTGCAGCCTCGTATCAAAGGCGCTGTCCTACTCTCTGGACTGTACACGTTTGAGGACATGCCAGCGGATATGAAGGATTCCGTCAGGCTTTACTATGGCGAAGATGATGAGGCGAAACAGAGAGTGCCGTTGGCCTTGTTAAGTAGAACCAGCGGGTGTCATACTGGCTCCGAGATTCCTGATGGGTATTGGTGAAAGGGATATACCTTGCCTGTATCCCACTATGGAGAAATTATGCGCAGCTTTGAAGGCAGGGAACGTGTCGTACGACGAGTTTGTTGCGCGGGGGCATAATCACGTCAGCTTGGTGTTCGCGCTTGGGACTGGGCAGGGCGAGGAATGGGCGGAGGATGTGGTTAAGTGGGTTCACGCATGCAGCGACTCGGAGCCGTAATAGCGCACTGGCCATGTCATCCTTTTCTAATACGATGCACCTCATCATATCGCTACGCCAGCGCTTGAAAAGGATTCAGTTAGGTTTACCGGCCAAGCTAAGACTGCGTGTATACGTGGCTGGTATCAGCAATCGAAGATGAGTGAGAAGATCTGAGCGAAGACCAAGATACAAAGTATCTTGGGTGTTTGGGGGTGAGTGTCCCGCTTGTGAAGGAGACGACTTCTGAGAGAGAGGGAAGTCGGGAAGGGTGACAAAGTGTCACTGACTGAAGAAGCGGGAGACCCAGGTGTTCGGGAAGTTCTCGACTGGGCAACAGCGAGATGCGTGATGCGACAGACAAACGAACCCGAACAACTATCCAATATCAAGGGTGCAGGAGGGAGGGTCGCGAAATTACGAGGGCTGCAAGATGAGGATGAGGATGAGAATGGAGCGTATCTATTCAATGCCGCGAAGCACGGCGAGCGACGATGTACATCCAAACAGAGCGCGCCACTACACTCGGCTTATAGCTTGGCCCGGCACAAGCTCGAGCCGCTCGTTCCTCGCGTCGAGCTTGTGATCCAACAAGGAGAATGGACCGGCCAGCGATTAGGGCATTAAAAGTCAAACGTCATCCACCCAAAATAGCAATCATCCAAAGTTACCGCTTCGGCTGGGAGTCGAACCCCGCGCTGTGGCAACCAATGCACTGGGAACGCGCTTCGTTGCGGCTAATACCTCCCCCGTTTCTTTGCACCCAGTCTTGCAAGGCAGACCCTGGGGCCTGGGTTGGAAGAACGCGTATTCAAATCCCGAGCGGTATTGCACTGGTGATTGGAAGTATGCATAAAAACAATCCGAAAAAACCGAACTATCATCTCTTGATGGGAGTCGAACCCAGCGCCAGTGTCGGGTAACCAATATACCATAGGAGAATTTTAAACCGGACATACATCCAAGCCCCGAACCAAGAAAAGATGTTCCAGGAAGAATCTGACCGGGCGGGTGTACTGGCTGCAAGTCGATCTCCGAATACACCATTTTAATTTGCAAGTTGCGTCCCCTAGAAAAAACCGATGTGTCTACAGTACTATCGTTCCTTGCCTGGGAGTCGAACCCAGCGCGCGTAAACCGATACCGATACTCTACGGGGAACAAAGTAGACCCGAGGATTAGACATCATCCCGTGATGTCGACAGAAACAATCATATCATCTCTTGATCTGGGAGTCGAACACAGCGCCAGTCAGGTAACCAATAAGCGGCAAGTCAACTGGCGCATCCGAACCCGGATCGGATTCTTGTCTCGCTGCGCAGACTAGATGCTCTGCTTAAGACCCGAGGAAGAAGCTACTTGACTGAACAGCGGGTCGGGGTGCATGATCTCAGCTTGGTTGCGAGTCGATCCCCGAGCATGAATGAATCAAGTCGGGAGTACGGGATCCCGAATAAAAATCTGACAACCGATATCTCCGAGGATGTCTCCTCGCCTGGGAGTCGAACCTGGCGCGCGTGCGTTGACCGACAATCTACTACAGGGACAAGGTTAGACTCCAACGTCGTGAGGAAAGTATGGCCCTGCAAACCTAAATTCAGAAGATCGAGGAAGTGCACCAGGAAAACGGTAGAATCTGTTCCAGCTAGACTGCAAGCGCTTTTTATCTGTTGCCAGGATCGTCTGGCAAGAATGTATATGCATTACTTTTCTATTTGTGCCTTCGTATTCAAGCTTAGTTCTTCCCCCGCTTTCGCATCCGAAGCCTATCCTCCACAGAACAAGAATAGGTGAAAAAGTCGTTGAATGTAGGCTCCCGAGGGCCGAGTCTCGATTCTCACAAATGAAGGATAGGCTAGAGGATCAAAACAAAGGTGTCCTCACATACAAGTAACACTCCACATGGGAATCGAACCCTTGAACAGTAGCTGAACCCCGATGCACTATGGTGAGCGTGGAAGAAGTTCAAGAGAGACTGGAAAGAGAGGCACTTATCCCCCTCGCCCTCGGAAAGAAGAGAAATTTAGGGACTCGAAGTCCGAGATAAATTCATATTTACCGTTTCACCCTAAAATGCGTTGATGTGGACCTTGACATTCTGTAGAAAGGACTCGACTGCGGGTCAACAGCAGGTAGGTCTCGGGAGTCGGGCCGGGACGGAGTCAAAGTAAACAGGGCACAGCCACTTAGTACGACGGTAAAAGCGACTCTCACTGCCGGGCGCCCGCTAGCTACCCCGCTACTTCGAGTTCCCTAGCGACTTCTGAATCCGGCTGTTCCGAGCCCGACTTACCATGTGCATACTACTTTGACAAGGAAACTGGGACCATACAGTTTTCAGCCACACTGCTTCCTTGACTGCACAGTCTGCAGTGGCATTTGAAGTCTGGCACGCATCGTGGTCTACTAGCTGGCCGTCGCCGTTCATATCCTGTAGGCATTCAAAAATTCAATAAACATATATCGCATCATCGCAACCCTGAAAAGCCGACTCTCCACGATGATACTTCTCCCTCAAACCAGCAGGACTGATCATAGACTCGCAAGGCAGCTCTTCCATCCAGCCCGCCGTCGTACAGACCGAATCCAGTAAATCCCGAGATCAGCCGAAATGTACTTGTGCAACTTACTCGAGGGAAGATACCTGCAGGACTGCTTGATCGAGGCTGCTACGGAAGTGCTCGGGGTGATCATCCGATGATACTGCTGATAGACGAAGTCGGCCCAGTGGTTGGATGAGCGGGCCAGCGTAAGCCGCCTGAACTTTGTGGATATTTGATTCATCTGATCTATCGCTTCTGCCAGTAACACATGATAATGGTGACTATAAAGTATGTAATACGTCTACGCACGACACCAATTTTGAGAGACGAAGCACGTACCCAGCATGGCCACTGTTCAGTTCCAGTTCAGCTCGTTGCATTGCCTGTCGTTGAACCTGCAACTCTAAGACTTTCGGTAAGAAATTTGCATCCAAGTTGAAGGAGGGGGCTGGGCTAACCAGAGATATGGAAATGATAATAAAGACAAGAGTGCAGCGGCTCGCTAGTTGCAAGAATCGTCCCATGATGTGAGGTGAATGACTTGACTGGAATGAATTTCGGGATACTATGCAAAACTGGATACTTGACAGACAATAGAACACAAAATGTTGGATACAACATCTTCTGCCAGTGTATCATAAAAGAACACGTTCCTCGAGCAGTCCGCCCATTTCTAATTACAGAGCGTGTCAGTGATAGCAAGGACCACAGAACGAAGATTACCTTCGTCGACAATGACTGAGATATCCAATCCTTCAGCCTTACACAATTTCAGACGAGCAATATGCGACAAAGTACCGAGCTTTGCAGCACCTTTCGCCTCTACACGAGCAGGATTCCGGCACCTGATACGAACCTAAGACAACCGAGTAACCCGCGAATCTTCAGGAACGTTCCAACGCCTATCGATAATCCTGACCAGTAACTCATCCCGCCCATGCAGCCGAATGTCACCCATAAAAAGCCTGTTTGCGCTCAGCTCAAAAACAGACAAGTTAGGGAGCATCAGACCCCTGGCCATGTCGCCTGAATCGAGACACCTGAAAAACCTCGACGGATCACTGTCGTTTTCCGTATCTGCCATAGATAGAATTAATCTGCGAAGCTAGGGAACACATGAAAATAGTTGATCTAGGTTTAGAGCCTTTCGCGCTAGCCAGAGATCAAGGGCCTGCAGATGACTCCCAGAACAGGCGGAGAATTGAGAAATCGTTAGACTGGATGATGGATAGTCGATACATGGCATATCGAATGTTAGGTATTCCAATACCGGACAAGTGAGGTGACGCAGGAGCAAATGAGAAAATATGACGCTCAGCGAACGGAGTTTTTCGAGCGTCAGTGGAGCGATAATACTGGTGGCCGCCTCAGAGCGGAGCATGGTCCGATCCTTCAACTCTTCAAGATTCGGACAAAGACAGAGAAGCTTGACAATCTGCTCTATCCGATTAAACTTCGAGAAGGTCATATCCAAATGTGTGATACAGGACCATGGAAAGAGAATCGTACTCGGGTCCAAGTAGGGCACCCATACATCCAATTGGAGACATCTGAGGTTCGGCGCGTCTTTGATAACGCCCATGGTGGTAGCGATGTCATCGATAGAATGAGGGTAAGCCAAGGAAAGTGACCTCAACGAAGGGAAATGGATCGGATGGGAATTGAGTAGTGATTGAGTCCATTGACGAGAGGAAGGGCCTAAAAAGCAGACGTCTTCCCATTGCCGTGAATGCTGCAGTAATGTCTCAACGATGGCATCTGAAAAAATGTGACACGTCAATATCGTCATGGAGAGTTTACTCTGTCCGGTCCGCTGAAGGGCCTCCTGGACCATTCTTGCTCCGGTTTCTTCTTGTATTCGGTGCGGCGCTTTCCAATCTATTAGAACAAAAGACGACCATAGGGCAGGATATCCCCAGGTGATATCTCGCCACCAGCGACAGACTCGCCCCAATAGCCATGGACCCTCGCGTAAGGGCTCGAGAACGCTGTATGAGCTTGGGAGTGCGAGAAAAAATATCTTGGACAGAATTTCGGGAGGAAGGGAATGAATGAACGGATTTAGCTCGACTTTAGGCTCTATGATGGATACGACATCCGTATCTGTACCTAGATAACCATGATATTCATAAGCAGCGGAACAGATAAAGGGATAGTCACCGGTCCTATCTCCTATCGTGGCTGTTCTTTGCGTCTTCATCTGGGCAGGAATAGAATATACTTTGGTCTTCGCGTTTGAAAGTAAGAAACACTTGTAGTGGATGGTGCCTAGAGGAAAGGATTTGTCTGTTCAGTGAGAGTGGAAAGTGACGATAGGAGCGTAGGTTTCAGCGTGACCTTGGTTCCCCGATTCTTTCCGAGATAAGGAGGAAACGACAGAGGGCCCTACATAAATGGATAACGACCATCCTCCTGCCAACTCGTCAAATTAGGGGCTAAATCTGTCATAACTTTTACGCAAAATACGCGTCATAGGCGGGCTCGTGAACGAAAATACTCCACTGATAAGATATAATGTGGGGCTGTCTCACCAATTCTCTCACGGTGAGTCCGAGCCGCATACTTTCTGGGACTGATGTTGTCAGCACGCTCAGTTTCGGCTTTTCACTGTCGTCGGCGTCCGCTCTCGCTTGCATAACTGTAGTCTTTTGACTTCAGAAACACGTTTACTGCTAACATCGTTATATTATTGGAATCCGAAAGAATCGGGGACCTGGCGCTTGCGCCGCTACCTACATGCGGTATCTCGGACCGAGATGTCCTGCATTGTTACTCCCACACCACAGACGCGTCAGACGATGTCGCGCCATCGACGACAGACTTTCTCCAACGGTCGCGGCTCGTGTTCTTTGAAGGATGCCGAGAGAATGTTTGGAGTCCGAGGAGATAACTTAGAGAAGCATGAGTCAAAAGGCATTCTTTGATAATGGCGCAGGTAAGGCATAGACATCGCTCGCGGCTCACCGTTTTCGTACCGGCCACCTTTTTTTCTTGGTGACTGTTTTTTTGCGTTCTCAATGCGGTCGCGGCTTATGGAATTTGGAAAAATAATCGGTTGTTCAGCTCAAGAAATCATCGATAATGAGGGACTTTTGGTGTGGCATCAATTGGTTGGTCTGATGACACACCGGACCAAGGCTAACATGTATACCCAACGCGACGATAGTTTGAATCCTGCAGGTGGAGACAAGAATCACTAACTTAACTCCTTTGCAGTGTTAAAACGAAGTTGCGTCTAACGAATCCATAACTCTCACAGGGCGGGAGGCGAACCTGACACGCCAGCCTACAATACCAAATATTACAACCGTAGGACAGTATTGCTTCACATCCCAGCTCTGCCCTCTGTGTTCATCCTCAAAGTCACTACTCAAGCTTTCGATTATTGCTATGCAATGCCTGAGTCCCGAATATCGAAAGATTATGATTTTCGTCTCAGCGAAACCATGTGGCGCAAACACTTGTGAATTAGCAGATAACAGGCGGCCCAGGCGTGGCGCACTAACTACAAGCTTAGGACTTCGGTAACAAAGGAATACTAAATACTTATATAATAATCAACACACGCAGCTCTTTTCGTGAATACTAACCCGTCCTTATATGAAAAAACCAGGATAGCATACATTGACAGTGCGATTTGTCTATGCGGTACTTGCTTGAAAGACGGCTTGCACTGCGATGAGCGTTCCGCTAATGAACAGACCAGTAAAGACGGGAGAAAGCGAGGATACGCAAACTGGGTTGCCGCCTTTCTACGTCCGGCCGTAAGGTCATGCACCTGAGCCGGTATGTCATTGTAAGCAGTCGAGTAATCCCCAAAAAAATAAACCTACATATCCTGTCATGCACCTGGGCATGATTGTTCCAGAACCAAACACAACCAAGATACTGCATATTTGCCCAACTTCGCTCAACAACATGTCAACATGTCAAGCATCTGCAGTAGATTTATAATGCGGAAAAGCCATCAGGGTAAACGCACCGATAAGTATCAGCAATACCGATGCTCTATTGATTATTTGAGGGTAAGATCTGCCTGGATCATCAATAAATAAATGACAGAAACCCCCGACAGTACGGAGCACTTACAAGTAAAAGCAGTCAAGGAGGGGTTGTCCGCACGAAGCGGACGGAGGTCCCAAAAATTGAGGCTCAAGGCCTACCGTGGCAAAATGCCGAGCTCCCCTCAAACGAGGATGGAGACGAAAGTAACCGGGCATCACGGATTCACGTCGACAAGGATTCAGGCTAGAGACAAGCTCGACATCCAAGCAACATGAACACATGCCAGTCTCTGCCTCGAACAAGGACAGAGATGAAAAGATACATTGCGGCATCAACCTCCAATCAGAACACAGAAGTCGGGCCTTCGAACGACGGAAACCAGAGAGAACAAGCGGCAGCACAGGGAACAAATCGGATCAGAGTTCGGGTATCGACATCAGATCGTCGCCAAGATAACACCACAGAAAGATAATTCACTGTAGATAAAATGTTAGCATACGCTAAAGCAAGGAATGCAACGCCTACCTCCACCAGCGGCTCGTGTGCTGTACACATTGTCCGCAAGGCGGCACGGAGCATACATGGCGCAACAGGCTGCGCAAGGATATACATGAGACTACTTGGCAGGACAACCAAATGAGATGAACAGGATACAGGGCGCAACAGGCTGCGCAGGGATATACATGCAAGCATTTGGAGAGACAGCCAAATGGAAGATGAGAAAAATACAGGACGCAACAAGCTGCACGAGGATATACATGAAACGAGTTGGCAGCACAACCAACTATGAATTCAGCCTGATAAACGTCGACCATGAGTGATGGAGCAGAAGAGGAGAAAAGGAAGACTTACGCCAGCGGGCGGCCCGTGTGCTGTACTCTGTCCACAAGGCGGCACCAGACAATACATGAGGCAACAGGCTGCGCAGGGATATACATGAGACCATTTGGCAGAACAACCAAATGAAATGAGCGGATACAGGGCACAACAGGCTGCGCGGGGATATACAAGGTATTGTTGGGTGACAGTCCAACGGCAACAGAAAGGAAACAGAGTGGAAGCGAGGCGGTAAAACCCACACGGAGCAAATAGACACCGAACTGAAGCATTGGCTGCAGATACGCTATAGAGATGCCGCATGACGATACAGATCGACGAACGACACGCACTCCCGTCAGAACTTGGAAGGCAAAACAGAAGCGCATTTGCAACGGAAACCGCCATCGAGAATAGCTGCAGAATCGGCGTTGACAGATACTTAAACACTACACGCTCGATGCCCTAGTTGCAAATGAGCGAGGTGATCTTGCAGATGATAAAATCGAAGCCGTGTTTTCGACATCGATGCAGACGGCAAGGAACACAAGTCAACAAGGACTAGAACGGTTAAGAGATGAGTCAAACTTATAGAGGAGGTAGATGCTTCACATACCTCTGTTCAACATGACAAAACTGTGGCGCAGTTTATAAGTTAGCATAGAGCCATACCCATCGACAGCACGACTCCAGAAAAAAATGTGCAGTGATCAGAATATATCAACGATAGAACGTTCATTGCAAGTATCGCCTAGTCACAGAGGTCTGCATCGTCGATAGCGAATTAGGACGGCCCAAGTCAGGTGTTTAGAGTCAGATAAAGAAGGGCCACCATCTGCCAACGTCAAAAGGTATTTAAGAGAAGAGAAGGAAGCTTGACACTCACTTTCGTCCGTGTGGCGCAAGGGTAGAATAGAGTAGTAGACGTGGCTCTTGAGAGAAATCGTGCTTGACGACGTCGAGAGGCCAGCGACGACAGTATACACTCATTCTGAAGGGATGGCATTCGTCAGATAACCGCGACATAATATAAGCATCGATGCTGGAGGTGGTCCATCGAATGTGGCTGATCTGGGTGTCGCCCACATTCATAGAATCAACGCGAAAAGGGTGTCAGAAAGGTATTGATAGTCGGGTCCTGCGTTCCCCAGGTGCGAAGGTGGCACCGACGGTCCACATCGATGTTGTGCCACCATGTCCGAGCTGGAGGACAAGATGTTGCTCAACATGTCTTCGCCTTCGAGCAGCAGCAGCTGCAGATCGCCTCCGAAGGAAGAGCCACAAGAAGGTATCGGCGTCATGGTGGTGGTAGCAGAGAGAAAGGAATTCGAAAGTCAAAACCAAGAAGCCATGCGCCTTTTATAACTTCAGCGGTGTTTGTGCCACCCAAACAAATCCAGATCCAGATCTCTGCAGCCCGGAATCAATGATATCCGAGTCATCTACAAAGACAAGTGATAAGGCCACCGCATAAGGCCCAGGGTTGGTATCGCTTCCGGCGGTCTCTTGTGGCGCTATCGATGTTGGAACTCATTGGGATCCAACTCCGAGTCTGACAAACGTGCTGTCGACGTTTTGTTGATCGAGTAAAGAATTTTCAAGTCTTCAACAGAAGAGAATACACAGGAAGTCATAAACGCGAGAGTGAACATGAGCCGTCGTTCCAAATGAAGAAGGCCGCGCCAAGGACACGTTCCCCGTTTCGGATATCCGGCATCTTAAATCTGAACCGTTGAAGTGGGCTTCATGTTTACATAAACTGACTTGCTGTGTGCGCTTGAACCCGGAGCATTGGACATCTGTTTGACACCAAGAACTACTTACCTGAAGTCAACTAAAAAGTCAGAATTAATAATAAAAACTCAGGAATCGGAAATTGGTAGAATGCGGAAGGGGCTCAAAAATATCTCTATTCAAGAACGAACAGACTCTCTGACTGGGAGTCGAACCCAGCTTTCGCGCGTATTTTCAGCCAATGCAATGACAGGCGCGTGTACTAACCGATATACTATCAGAGACATTTATGCTACTATTAATAACCATTAAGTACATGGTTTAGCCTGCCCACCAGAATCGGCCATCAATTTCATCCATCCCTTCTTTCGTCAGCTTCCGTCACAAACCTGTCTAATTTACGTGAGTCAAAATCGTCGATTTCTTTGGACTAGAAGGCGCTATTGAAGAATACGGAGACAATGTATCAAGCACACGTAGACTGAGAGATGGCGCTATGGCATCCACACAATCGTTCCTCACACTTCATCTTTCATCGCTGGACTGGAATCTGGCTCAGGCTTAAAGGTCCTATTCATTCTTGTCCTCGTCCTAGACGTGAATCATACATACTACGTGGTCACCTCGTGGTTTGTTAAACTTAGCAGCAACGAGGGAATGGACACGGCAGGCACTACCACTTATCCTTGCGATATAGACACCGGGTGGTGAGAGACCATTATCTCATATTCCGCAGGTGTCGCTTCCTTCTCCGGCCTCAAGCATCGAACACATGGCGACCTGAAAAGTTGTTGCTTCATGATGCCACAAGGGCGGTGCATGGAATCATTGCCGGTCGATTCCATGGGTGTAGTCCGACTCTATAATCTAAGTGCGTCATCAAAGTTTACCTACCTGCCCCCAGCAGGCGCCAGGCACTTCGGCCAGCATTCGGACCCGGGAAAACTTTCCCTCAGCGCAATTAATGTGGCGTGGCACAAGTAACCTTACCGTACTCTCACTAAACCTTCTCTTCTTTCGATATTGATGGCGGATACAAGTAAAGTCAACTGCCCTTGTATGCGCAAAATACTTGGCCAGGACGTATCGAGATCCATTGTCGGGACTCGCCTCTGCCTGGTGTCCCAATCACATCGCATCCTTTTCACTCGGAGGTCCGAACTGAGCGTGTCGGCCGAAACCACCCTGACGGAACGGACGGTCCGACATGTTATCAATTTCAAATATTTTTGTTCAAAGATTTCCCGCAACCACCACTCATGTTAGAGCTCATGCCTGCAGTACAGCGTTTGTTTACTCCGTCCACGTAACTCATGATCTAGTTACGCTCTTTACCCCTTAACCGCCGATTTTTCGAGCCTATGTGTCGAGAAACCGAAGAGGACGCCAGCTTTTCTTTACGACAATTACTCTGACTCGGAAGATATTCGGAAATCGGAACTTAAAGCAGCAGAGGAGGGTATATCTGAACGGAACTCGATAAAGAACGACCACCCTTTGTTACCGTTGGTAGTAATGGGTTATTCTGCAGGTTTTCTCATCTATTCGGGCGTCATGCCCTTGCTGAAGATGTAAGGAGTCATTTTACTACACATGTTTCTGGCTGAGAAGTGTTAACCAGGTTCCTCACCATCTTCTTCGGGTTTTGGCTGACGAGAAAAGGTTTCTTCACGTCCGCTGCGTCTAGAGGAACCTCCCAGGTGCGACACTGTTATGTGTGTTCCCACTGCTTCGTCTCAATTTCAAGAACAGGTAACAATGAACGTCGCGCTGCCTGGCCTGCTCTTCTCGAATATCGTCCCTGCCTTCAACAAGCAAAACGTGTCGGCCATGGGTCCACTTTTCTTGGTCGCCTTTGTGAGTAGTCATTTGTAATTTCATTCGCTCGCTCTGAGTCGCATCTTCAGGTCTACATGGCCTTGGGACTCTTATTCGGCGCGTTCATCCGCGAGTTCTGTTATGTTCCGCGAAATTTTTGGGCTGGGATCTTGATGGCAACAGCTATGAGTAACTGGGGAAACTTGCGTACGTCCGTCGAGTATCTTTCTCTTGTCTTGCATTGAATCGAGGTCTTTCTAGCCACGGCTGTGGTTCTCACTGTCACAGAGCAAAAGCCTTTCGATCCTGATACAGACCCACAACGTATGGAATTTCCCATTTCCACTTGCGTAGGATCTGACCTTCTGTACCTAGTTGGCGTGTCGTACGTTTCAATCTTTATTCTTGCGTACAACATTATCATGTGGATTGGCGGCGCGGCGAACACGCTTGCCTGGGACTACGCTCCAGGTGTACCTCAAGGCGACGAAGCCAACGTTCATGTCAGCTGGCGCGAAAAGCCCATAGCTGCCTTCTTCCTGCGTTTACGGGAGGAAAAGCTCCTTGCCCAACCGAAGAATTCTGATTGTGAGAAGGCTGACGACGAGAAGGAAGCAGACTCGGGTAAGGAAAAGGTACTATCAGTCGCCATGGGAAAGCAACCTGAAAATGACCTCGGAGAGATGGAGACCGACCCTGAGATACAGCTTGCACGCAGGGCCTCGAGGTTATCCGCCAATTCTCCTCGACCGAGACGACCTTCTGCTGGTGTTAGTACTCGTCCGCGGGCAGGCTCATTACTTCCAGCGCCGAATGCGTCCCAGTCTTCCTTGAAAGAGCTTCCGGACACCGCTGTACAGAGTCTGAAGAGCTCATCAGTAACGGGCGCACAAGAACATGGGTTTGCAGAGGACGAGGAGGAAGAGAAACCTGGTCGTTTCACATCCCTCTTTCCTCCTTTCTTGCGAAGAACCTTCAAACCTTTGTCGAGTCTGTTCACACCCATCACGATGAGCATGTATATCGCCATTCCAGTCTCGCTCATCCCGCAACTCAAAGCGCTGTTCGTGGAAGTCGACGGCGGTCCTTACTATCACGGTCCGGATGGGAATCCACCATTGACGTTCATCATCAATACAGGCAAGCACCCCCTTTGTATCGCCGTCTTCTTCCTGCTCTAACAGCTACCTTCGTGTATAGCCGAGTTCGTCGGAAACATTACTGTTCCAATGGCTCTGATCTTATTGGGTGCTTCGTTTGCGCGCATGAAGATCCCGCGTCCATTCAGTAAAATGCCGTTACCTGCGATGTTTTGGGTGTCGTTCTGCAAACTGGCTTTGCTCCCGGTGATTGGTATACTTCTTACCCAGGTGCTAACACACCGTGGTGTCATACCCAAAGACGCGCTGGTCGAGGCAGGTGATGTTTTCTTTACATATGACCGTTACTAATACCATAATGCGCAGCGTTTTGTTGCTATGCTGTTGAGCGGAACACCGTCAGCTGTGAAGTAAGTATATTTTCTGAGGGGCTTTGAGAGACGATGCTGATCATCCTCCGTGATAGTCAACTGATTGTAACACAACTGTACGCGAAGGATCATGATCTAGACACACTATCAGTGAGCCTTCCCTTATTCTTTCGTCTCATTTGCTGAAATAGTTCATTTCAGGCTTTCCTATTGTTACAATGTGAGTTCCTTCCACTTTCGAGCCACCGTTGTCGTGCTAAAATGAGCGACCCATAGACATCTTCATGTTTATTTCAACTGCGTGAGTTGTGCTCCAAATTTCAACCGACTTGGTCTAATTTGATTACTGCTCATAGAACTATAACTGCAATAGCGCTTTCACTCCTATAGATTCTGGAACCGACCGGGCGTGTTTATTTAGGACCTACCCACTAGACATATAGACAAACTTCTACTTGTATACAGTCTCGTTAGCGTATACAGCATTTTTTCACGTTTAATAGATTACACAGGTGATGTCAAAAGACTGAGCATAAGACTCGGAGTCGCAGAGGAGAATCAACGGGACCAAGGTTTTTCAATTGGCGCTCCGTAAAGTTCTTCTGCTTCTGCCATCACTTCTTCATGTCCATCCAGAAAAGGCTTCTATAAAAAAATGAAGGAAACATCAGATACGGGAACGTACAATGTTCGAACCGGGTTGGTCCCTGCGAAATAGATTCTTAGTAACCAGTCGCTTGATGCGTAACAAGTGAAAACAAACCAGTTCTTCCAAGCGATATCCCTCCGACTTGAACGCCGGACCGGGATAGGTGTCTCCGCTTGTGAAGCCAAGAAACCAATCGCAGAAGAAGCGCCATCCCTTTGGGGCAGGATAATACCAAGGATGATGTCTCCGGCTGTTAAGACAGTTCACAAATATTCAAGTTGATAATAAAAAGATGAATTCTCACACAATTGTATGAAGACGTATGAGTCCATCTGATCCTGTACTATGTGGTGGATCCTTGATAACAATATACCCGTGAGGCTTGAATCGTGGAAGTTTGCAGTGCCTGGTGATGAAAGCCCTAAACCCAAAAATCATTCTAAGAAAAAGGTGTGCATATTTCGGCTGTGCCGGAAGCCTGGAACAACGCTCAGAGATACGAGGGACTAGCATTCTTCAAAGTCCTCACCCCACGGCCATTCGTAGTTGATCGTCCATCATGCATATGAATAGACTTCGCACCAAAGATCGCGCACCGGGTATATTCGGTACTCGTTTTCCGATGTAACCCAGTGCCATAATAGCTAGCCAATGACTGCTCTCGGATGGCACCATGTACGCAGTTTCATATTCCTACGATGACCATCTGAATCAGTGATTCTGATAGTGGAAATAGACCGACTTTACTCCATTCTTCCAGTTCCTTGAGGGTCTCTGGAATGTCTTTGATGCTCATTCGTCGGCCAATGTCCTTCCACATCAGAAAATTGCACTTCCGGCACACATATGAGAGTCATAAAGAGTAGACAAAAGACATCTTACCTCCGCCTCCTCGTCGCTGAAGGGGCGCCAGTCATAACGCGCCACCAGACGCTGAGAAAACCATGAGCCGCAAGCAACGGCACGAATTTGAGATCAAACCATGGGCTCCAAAACGAAAAGAGACAGGGTGTACAGTAAATCATCGTTTGACTGTAAAACTCGTCAAAGACTGAAATTAGACTTCTTGATAGGCAGCCACGCTCACGATCTTGTAACGTCGATGAAGCCAATTCATTCTGGCAAGTGCAATATTGCCTCTTGGGGCTAGACATGGTGTCGATTTTGCTGCCGTTGACGACCCTTCCAAGGGGCATGAAATGAAAGTCGAGATGAGAAGTGCCGTCTATGAAAAAATGGCTCGAAACTTCAGATATAAGAGCAACCAATGTCACTCACATCAGTTATCCTCTTTGTGAGCTTTTGTTCAGTAGAAAATTCTCCAGTGTGCAGGAGTAGTTCCGAGATGGATGGCTGTCGAAGTGAATACCAAGGGCACATACATCTGTGTAAGTATATAGCAGCTCACGATTCCGTATGTTTTGAGCAGGGCGACCTGAGCTCCGAGTCGTGTACAAAAAGGCATGTCGTATAGCAGCGTCTCTTGTAGAATAGACTGAGCTTCAGAAGGGCTGGGGGCCGTGGCGCAGGATCCGAATCGGACTTGCACCGCATGTAGGCGCTGATACCTGAGATAGCGAACAGTAGTAAGATATAACAACAGTAAGAGCACGACCAGCGGAATCATCATGGAGAGAGTAGTACGAAAACAGTTAGGCAGAGCGAACTATATCATATTTTTATACCGAGCGCCCCGAAATCAGCGGTGCAATTAGTGGTAAGCGGAACAATCATCGAATGCTGAGAATATCACGGAAATCAGTCACTGTGCAGTTAGAGGTGCCCTGTAGGTGCCAGGCCGTCGCGTATTGGTCTCATGCCAAAGCTCAGACGACTGGGAAATTTTCTTTAAAAACCGTTCCATGCTTCTAGCGCATTTCCAGCATGAAGAACTGCTGAGGGTTTAGGGCCTTGAAGCGTGGAGCGTGAATGGCACAGGGAGTGTTGCGGCATCGATAAAGACAAGAAAACTAGAAAACTGGATTGATTGGTCACCTTGACAAAGAACGAAAGCAGTTCGTTCCGGAACGATACGGACCGACAGGTTCCCTTCAGTGCCGGCTAAGCCCCCACCAATAGTATTCTACTTTCAAACCAAGTCTTTTTAAATGAACAAGGACGAAACCAATACCATAAATGACCACGTCCAAGTGGGTTGGCGGCGTTCAGTGCCGGACTTTCCTGAATCATTGGTAACAGAGTTGACACACATACCATCACACACAAGGTGCTTGAAGCGAGCGAGATTGTCTGAACTCTCGCTTGCGGTCAGCATCACAATGCCAAAACAGCGAACTTGCAACTGGGGGCACGCGTCTATACGTGGCACTGCTATCATCGTTCGTCCCTCCAGTCACATTTACCAAGACATCCCACAGTTAAGGGTGGGGATTTTATTCCTAAGGCACCTCGAATCCTTTTGACAGCCACTGTAAGAAATTTGCCTTAACTTCGTTGGCATGCTCAATGCACCAGGCCATCATCATGTTGCATCAAGCAATGGACGTTCTCTCAAATTTGCGGGTTACATCATTAGGGGGGTAAATTGCAGAAATAAAACGGATTCAGCTACAAGAGATCAATGCACGGACACCATGTGTTGCTGCTGCATGCTCAGTCTTCCTCTCTCAGGACTAATCCATCACCGAGGCCTCCATCGATTTCCTCATCATCAGTATCCGCGGGAGGAATGGCGTCACCGCCGTCACCCACACTTACGATGAGAGCCTTCAACCGCGCCATGGTCTCTTCGGCCTCCCCAGCAGCCTTACTCCTCACTCCCTCAACGTAATCATCCACACTAGCCTTTGGATCCCACGAAATCCGGTGTCCGCGCCAGCCGCCCTTGATATGGATGTAATTCATGAATGAGCGCCATATAGGATCGAGGGCCAACACATCTGAGTTGCCGATGACGACGAGAAGGGCTTGAGCACGAGTCACGGCGACTAAGGCCAGGATGAGATGCTACGAATAAATGCTAGATGGACGAGACATACCATTGAACCGATGGGGACTCGCAACAAAGCCGAGGGTCCGACGAATGTCTGAAGTAATGAACTCTGCATTACTCCGAACGGTAGACATAATGATGATTCGGCGTTCCTATCGGTTGGCATAAGTACTTTCGTGAAAAGCAGATGAAATTTGGATTACCTGTCCTTGGAACTCTTCGGTACTTCCGACTCGAATATCTCTCAACTTCGGATCTCGATAGAATAGATCGAGGATCTTCATCCTTTGTGCATGGTATGGGGTAATGACAGCAATATCCTCAGCACCTATGATCATGTTATTGACGCGATAATCACCTCAGGAAAAAGTACTTACGTATGCCCTTCTTGGCCATTAGCGATGAGCAGTATTTCTTCACGAGCGTCGCTTCACTAATATTGAAGAACGACGGCGACGATTCCTCCCTCTGGTCCCGTCCGACCACAGAATGGAAGACGATCGGGAACTTCTTCGTCGGGAGCTCATCCGAATTTTCCAGGCTCTTCGTCAGCAAAGGATCACCGCAAGCTTGAAGCTGGTTCCCGTAGAACTGTTCATTCGGGAATGCCAGAATATCAGGATGAGATCGGAAATTCTTGACGAGCTGATTGATACTAGACAAGACTATGAGGAGGGTTTATGCAACGAAAAGGCAAGGAAGCACGTACATGACACCAAGTCCTCCACTGATACCGCCATCCCACGGAGACAGACCATAACATGGTCTTTGCATCAGCCGCGCCAAATAACTCTCCTTCAACCCCAGATCCCTCGCCAACCTCGAATGGACAACAGGGCCCAACTGCTTCAGGTCTCCCGCCAAAACTACGTTGGTATGTTTATTCGCAAGGCTCTTGATGGGTATCATGATCTCGGGTTCCTTCCCCTGACCCGCCTCGTCTATGAAGATGCACGCAAAATGACCGGCTTTCACGCCCAAGCCGTGCAGGGCGCCAGCAGAGATGCACGTCGAGACGACTACTCGGTACTTGAGAACACCTTCTAGGGTCGGCATCGCAAATGCTTGGTTGTCGTTGATACGGGAGAATTTGTGAAGCGTCTTGGGGAGGTCACCGAACTTTCGAGTCATTGAATTCATACGGAATACGTCTGTGGCACCGAGGTGCATCAGCTTCTGCGTGATGAGGTCGGCGGCGGAGTTATTCGGTGTGCATGCCAGGATTCGGGTATTGGGATCTCGTCTGAGGAGCTGCTCTATAGCTTCGACGATGGTCACCGTCTTTCCTGTACCTGGACTGAACATGATATATCAATCACACTGTGTGGCATACCACAGAGTGTACTTACGGTCCGAACACGATGAATGGCACACTCCCCTTCGGTTGATGTACAATAGCCGTTACCGTCTCTAATTGTTCCCTATTCCTTCCAATGACGCGGTTTAGAGGCACGAGCTCCTCCAACATGGCCGAAGTGACCGGTCGCGCCGTCGTCAAATGTTCAGGTCCGGGGAACAGGAATCGAGCTGGGTCGTTCTTGTTGACCAAGGCATCGTGCATTCGACGGATGGGGAGACGGTTCAAGACGAATCGTACATCAAATTTGGTTCCGCGATACGTGTTGAATTCGTCACTGAAGCGGAGACTAACGTGCGACATGGACACATTATGCACCCGTCCTTCAAACCAGGCTTTGCCCGGCTGTCCAACGGGACGAACAAGAATGAAGTCTCCAACAAGAACAGAGGGCCGGCCTTCAGCTAGCCCTTCTACTTGAAGTCTGGACGTGGTTAGCAGGGACAAAGAAAGGGGAAACAGAGATACTCACTCGTATCTGGGGTAGTTTGCTTTGATCTCTACACCTTCCATCGAATAGGCGTCTAGATCTTGCCTGTAAAACGATGAGCGTAGAAAATACAGACAACTGAAGTCGAAGCATACCTCATCTGCTCCTCTTCTAAATAAACGAGTGTCTGAAAGTGCCGCGCATACGTAGCGGTAGTGAACGACGAAGGCATGAATCGCTTGAGATCCTGTGAAGCGGTCCTCTTCAAGTATCCCTCCGGAGTGTACAATGTTTCGACGAGGTTCTTAGGAACGTTGTATTGGGGAAGCTTGTATACCCATTTCGTCGGAGTCCAAGTGGGAGGACGAAGGCTCCGTTTGACGGGACCGTCTAACTCGATGTTACGTCGCTTCCGCTGGGTATAGGGAGCTTTGGGCGCAAGCCGTTCATGATCAGCAGGGTCACCGACGGTGGCACAGACCCTTCGCTGGATGACAAAACTGCGATGCTGGGAAACATCGAAGAATACCAGTTCTAGGGTATCTTCAAAACGCCCGGCATAGGATGGATGAAAGGTTATGGAGACCTCGTGAGGTCGGAACGAGCGAATGAATTTTGACGTTGGGCTCACAGCGACAGAAAACCTGGCAAGAGCATACCGTAAGTTCCCGTTTTTCACCAAAAAAAAAAAAACACCGAACGAAAAACCGAAAAAAAATCTTTCAAGTAAAGCGACCCATCCCCTGATATGACATAACCAAAAAAAACTTACTTTACGCCATGATCGTCCTGCTTCTGAGCAGAGAGTATCCTGCACTTTGTCATGGAAATTAGCACGCCCGTATCATCTTGATCCGTTCTTTGCACCAGTACAACGACCGTCGCTGGCTGCTGCTCAGCGTCATCGACAATTCCGAAATCGATACCTTCTAGGTTAGACACTGTGATGCCATTCTTGTTCCTCTGAGCATCCTCCAGCACCGTCTCCAGTCGTTCCTGGACCGTATGCGTAGCAACATGAGCCTGCAGTTCGTTCTCCCAAAATTCTCGAGTAGGACGACAATGAGGGCACGGTTGCTTCGCTCGACCGCCGCCCTTCCTCCGCCTAGCTACAGGCGGTTGGGTCCCCGCAAGGATCTTCTGATGGCGTTTGCCACGTATATGGCTTTCATAGGTGTACGTGTAAAGAATGAGCCCGCAACTGCACTTGGTAATGTCATGGCGCAGCCTGCACATCCCTGGTGGTTGTCTGCACCCGCTAGGAGAGAGGGAATCATAACACCATCCAGCAACCATGGTGATTGCAGGAGCAGAGTCACAGATACCACGCTCTACCCTCGTGGGTGAAAAAGACAATGGACGCAGTGTATGTAAACAATGGCAAAGCGTAGTAACAATGTTGATGACTCAGCAGCATCGAGCCGAAATAGACGTTGAACTTGCTCCTGGAAGTTGACTAGAAAAAAAAGTTCGATTAGATTGAGATTGGGGGTAGCCGCGACGCTGTGAAATTATTAGAAAGGCTAAAATCCCGGCAAGCCCTTGTGACTCTCGTCATTCTAAGTTCTCTGGGTCGTTAATCATTGATCGTAGGCAATAAGAAGGTTGCAGCTCCGGATAAGTCTTCGTCGGCTTCAGTAAGGATATCGAGGTTTGGAGCATCAACTGCAGAAGAAAGTAGTCGGTCAGCACTGTCCAAAATAGAGCGCAGATATTGCACCAGAAACACCTCGGCCGCAGCATGAATTGAATCTGATTACTCTCATCAAGAAACTCGTAAAGTTGTTCAACGGCACGTCCCACAGAGTAGAAGACCAGCACCAAGAAGTCAAGGAACAAAAACCACTCGTAGATTCCCGTGTAAAAATACATACATTCCGTTAACTTTCCGATCATATGGGCGAACACTCCCGCTTCAATCAATCTAAAGCTCGCTTGTCATCTTCCAACAATGGCGAAACCTTCTGCCACACTTCATGATAGTCATTAAGCCATTTCATTTCTATGACGAGTCAGCACCTGGAAATCATATCGTTGCAACAAGTCGCACCTTCTGCAGTCAGTAATGTTTTATCCACCAATTTCTTATGAATCGGACACCTACGGGGCAATTAGCAGACAGAAGACACAGAATGGCCAATCCAACTTACATCATGACATGCTCAAAACCCAGGTATCCTTTATTACCAAAATTATTTAGCGTCTGAACCTCCTTGACCAATACGATGTTCTCTATCCGAATGCCAAACTTCCCGTCGGCATAGTAACCAGGTTCATTCGACACCGTCATGCCAGGCTTGAGTGCATTCGCGTTTAAACCTGGTCACGAACGCATCAATTTCAAACCCTAAACGCAGAAGATATGGAACTAACTGATGCGGGTGCCAATACCATGAGGTCCTTCATGGACATTGAGGAAGTGGCCTACTCCATGACCGGTACCGTGTCTGTAATCGAGTCCGTCTTGCCACAGCGCTCGACGTGCCCATGAATCACTAAAAGTAAATGAGCATCTATCAAAGGCGGAAAGTATTCGGCAGGGACATACATAATGTAGCCAGTTGTGCCATTAGGGAATACAGCAGTATTGATCGCAATATGACCCTGGAGAACTCGAGTGCTTGCACGAATTTCCTCCGGCTTCGGTGTACCAAAGTGCTATGCGCAAGACGTCAGCAATAGTTCGCACGCTGGTACAAGACGAACAGCACGTACCCATGTTCGAGTCACGTCGGTCGTACCATTGAAGAATTGAGCTGCACGATGGATACAATGAACAATGAACCGGGATGAATATGTAGACATACCTCCTGAATCGCACAGGTAGACCTCTTCCTTATCAATAATGGCAGAATCCTTCGAATCCGGAGAATAGTGTATGATCGTTGGCATAATCAGTCACTCTCTGGCCCACAAAAGCATGCACGGCCCTCACCAGCATTGGCACCGGTCGACGAGATTGTAGGAAAGCTTAGACCCTTGAATAAACCTTGCTCACTGACATCATCAGCCAACACTTTTACACAACATAAAGACGACTCACGCTCGGTACTTTCCAGTTTGCCTGCAGCACCCCACTCCGACAGCTTCTTCCCTTGGTTAAGCTGATCTTCGAGCCAGGAGAAGTATTTCACCAAAGCTGCACCATCACGATGGTAGAAGGGCGTAGTTGTCCTGAGGCAAAGTTAACGATGGGACGTAGACCAAAACCATAGCGCACCTTTCCAACAGTCCCAGCTACTGCCAAACTCGATTCGCTGTACGATCCATGATGCATGGACCATATGCATAAACGTTGGGCCGTGGGCGCGAAGGACGTGAAAGTCTACACAGCTGGAGCCTCGGATAGACTGCGGGTAGCTCTGCCAATCGCAACCGGGGCTCCGACAAAAATCAAAACTAGTCTTGTTTTTTTTGGAATGCGGCCACATAGGAGTAGTTATACAGGGGTTGGTAGATAAGCATGTCCGCTGGTTAGACATCAAAAGTAGTAGTAGTAGTAGTCGTCGCACTGGCAAGCGGTCCCTAAAAAGGAAACAGCCAATGTTTTCTGCGCCGTTGCTACCAAGCCTTGTCAATGTACTAAATAGTATCATCACGTCAATGTACTTTATAGTAGCATCGCAGACCGCGTAGGACCCTGCCGCTGTGACTGACAACATAGTGCCGATAACTATGCAGCGTCTCACGGGATCGGATCCATACGAAGGGACTAGGGAGTGAACGAAGAGAAATAAGCATTAGGGCACAACCAGTCCTGGCTGAGGCACTACATAAATAGCCACAGCAGGATTAAATATCTCAATGACAGTCGTCATACAAGCGTCATAATGCTGACGAAACTGAAACTATATTGAGACAATGTGTCCTTGGTAATGGTTAGCAAAGGTACAGTACTTGTGTGCCAAGGATCAATGTCCCTCGAGGAAACGAGGAAATGCAACGTCCATCGAGACCTGAACATCGGAGACATCGATGACATATGTATCATCATAGTAAAATCAGACCAAAATTGAAGAGAGGACAGAATCACGGAGCAGTAAACGACCCTTTCAGTCACTTGGATAGTAGTGCGAAAGAAGTGACGGTCATAGTACGGTCATAATGACCTCCTGCAAATATGACACAAAGGCCAGGAACATTATACAGTGCTCATGAATGCAAAAAGTGAGGAAGCATGGCAGCGAAAGGTGATCCAGGTGCGGGATAGCGAACGAACATTCTGAGACAGCAAAAAGGGGTCCAAAACGTTGCGCCAGCCCATATACACCCTTCCAATGATCAACAAAAGGTGCTAGCCAAGCTTCATGTACATATTGCGAGCAAATGAGTAGGTGGAAGGCGAAAGAAAGAAAAACAGGAAATTAGTGGTGGTACCCACCGTCTAAGGGACAAACGGGACATCGGCCCGAGTCTTTTCCAAGCCCAGATTCAAACGGCGCGGACTTGTTGATTATACTTTTAGCATTGGCGAACTCAGGTAGGCTATACTTCCTAACTGTGAGGCGTCTCTGCTTTATTACTTATTCTCGTCATAATTTCGTAGGCAAATTGCCAGCCTTTTCATTGATACGTCGGTATGTCGTCTCTTTTGACCTCAAAATCTGTTTCTAATTAGTAGAATATTAAGACAACGGAACAATGAATCCGTCATACATCCCAACACGATTCACTAGCACCGTGATGCCCTCCTATACGGGTGCATCTGGCTTCACTTAGCCCCGCTAGCACGCTATTCGACCCCGTCGTCGAACGACTATGGCCACCGCGCCGTCGTCAAAAGGACTCGACAATTCCCGAGGAGACGTGTTGATCTCCGGTTGTTGTCGCTCGACCCCCCTTCCTGTATCAAGCGGGGAGACAATGGTACCAAGGCAATGCTCTAGCCACGCATGGAGTCTCGCCAGATTAACGACAACAGCGGATTCTTTTCCAACGTTTGACCGTTCGGTTGAGGCAGGATAGCTGATTAGTTTGGTTTTTGCTACGGTTATTATCTGTTACCAGGTACGTTAATATGTTTGTCGTTCCACAACTATTCCTCGACCTCCGGGAAGCCATATCGATGATTTGACCGCCTTTTTTCGCTAAGAATTGGAGGGGAATTCTCGGGTACACTGGCGGAATATGAGACAGCAGGTGCGTGTATATATGAACTTCTCAATCTCACATCTAACATCTCTTATAGAACCTTTGAACCTTTATTACGACAGTCGGTCGTTGGCTCATTCCCTGGCAGAATCATCGATTCCAACTCAGTGTTGAGGGGATGATAGCTGGGTTTGGGTCCTTCGCACGTCAAGGTGTCTTTGTTGGAACTGAAGTCCTCGTCCGCGAGTCTGGACAACACTGGTGTATGTTGGATACCCTACTTCTAGACCTGCGCTTACCTTTTCATCAGCCAAATGCTACTTTGCTTGACCTCAGCGCTGCTACACCTCGATATGTGACTCTTCGTGCCTCGAGATCTTTATCATCAAAACGGAGTGGCGTGCGTGTCGCAGTTTTCTCCTCGTCGGAAAAGTTCTCTTATCAACGCTACAGATCAATATTTACTCTGCTTTCCATGTCTTGTACTACTGTACACTGGTCTAACGAGGCCTAGGATTCTATTCAGCTTGATGATATATGTGTGGCATGAACAAATCAGTATAATCTCTCGCTACGTGCGACTAATCCCAAGTATTGGCTGCCTGTTTTATCCTTGACACCAGGTCCAGCGATGGGTTCGGACACGTACACGGAGAGTATATTCGACTTTGAGGAGCGTAATAACTAATAAAGCAGCACGGTACGTGGGTTTCGACGACTTCAGCAGATGCACAATTAACTTTTTTTGGTAGAGGTATAATTAACGGACGAGTGTGATCGCAACGTGCAGATCGATATGGCTGGTGTCTCCTAGATTGAAGCGAAGGATGCGATTGAGAAAACAGAACAAAGATTTGACGATTGAACCTATTCATGTACAACATGGGTGAGCTCTATTGGCCTTTCCACCTTTATCCAATCTTATCTTGTGCAGGATCTATGAGCTATATGAGCGAGCACTAAGGAACCTACACCATCTTTTTCATTATGCTTTGAATACCTTCGAGCCGAAAATTTCTGGGACTATCCAAATGACGCAGGCATTCGTCCTTCTCCTCCGAGCAATGCTAAAAAGGTAAACCTTCTTTCTAAGCGTCTTCGTGGCTTTTGTCTCGAGGGCGTGCAATACCAGAAAGCCGTAATGAAATCATATTTGGTTAGGTTGACAAAGGGATTGGATCAAGATCAATGCGGCCTGTTCAAGATTCAACGTGGTGGCAACTGAGATGAATGTAGACTACCAGGAGAGACGATACCAAGGGAGGCGTGTCACCCTACTCCTTGGTTGGTATCCAGTCCCGAGGATGCAGTGAGTTTGTCTCAGTGATATCAATCATTTCGTTCAATGACCAGATTTATTCAGGGGATAATGATCCATATTCCTTGTAAGTTTGTACTATATACTACATAGAGTCGGTAAAATCGCATATCATGCATTAGACTATCACCAAAGATATCAGAGAGCTTCAATGTGCCAGGTCCTGATGACCGAAGGATGTACCGTAATCAACGTTTTTCCATCCGGAGTGACCACGATGTCCCAAGGCCTTTCATCGTACGGGAAGGGATGGCGGAAAATATCTTTTTTATCTCGTATATCTCGAATGACCATATCGCTACTTGCGCCACCGTACGTCGCGTAGGCAATTCTTCTTTCGTCGGGTAAAAATACCACGCTAGCTCTATTAATTCCCTCGAGATATATCACATCGCGCCCAACACCGTTATCAGAACTTGAAGGAATAATATGGAGAAATTTGACATTACTGGAATGTTCATGAGTGATAAGCAAGCAGGTGGTGCCATTGGCCGATATTCTAAAAGACCTGAGCTGATGTTCACGGAACTCAAAGTTCACGGTGGTGGAAAGGACATCTCCTGTAGTCGTGCTCCAGAAGCGAAGGACGATGTCTGAATTTTGATGATCACCATCTGACTGAGAAAGATGTGCTAGTGTGGATCCGTCTTTCGAGACTACGAGCAATCGGCCCGGCACCGCGGATGGAGAGAAAGAATGTCCCGATGGATCCCCACCCGCCCGTGATGAAGAGTATCCCCGCTGCAATGCGTCCCCTTCAGCTACCCTGATCCAGGAATGCTGATCCGGGGTACTGTGAACATGTCGGTCGGTGGCATTCACATCAATCCTCACGAGGGCCATAGCTTGTATGTCAATGACGATAATGCCAGTTACATATAGAAGAACCTTGTAGGTTTTCAGGCCTTCGAAAATGTAGCGGTAGCAGCTTTGAGGTGTTCGAATGTCACAGATGGATATGAGAACAGATGCAGACTGGTCCACCTTTGTAGTGCCATCTGAGTATCTCGGGATGATGTCACAATGAGCCTGGGAGTGGGAGTATGGGTAGCGCATGACCACCGATCGTGTTACAACACAACCCAGAACATCATACTGAGGATCCTCTAGCGACTCCTCTGGATCGAAAAACGAAGATAACAATATCAGAGCTGGCTTTTTTCGGATACTGATATTCCAAAATACCAGAGAGGTATGGTCTTCAGTTGCAGTGACGAGCATTTGAGAATCTGCGGATGTGCTAAACGCAACGATATCAATAAACATCGCATCGGATGGATATTCGAGAATGTCATGCCAGTGGATCTGTGCCTCACAGGGTCCAATAGGCTCATCATCCCGTATCTTGGATATTAAGTCCTTCTCTCCACGTTGACATGCTCGATACATGAGCAGACGAAAGCTATTATCCACATCTTTTAACTTCACAATCATCAGAAACAGCTACTAAATGAAATTACACACAACCACTTACGCGATTGACCCACAGTGAAACTTTGGTTATCTCTCTGAGGAAATCCCAGTGTTTATCAGTCATGAATACCACTTGAAGCCATTTGGGCAACAGTTCTTCAAAAAGGGTGCAGATATCATTGATATCATCCTGGACACCGAAACAATTTATGTGCCACACTGGCCCAACCACGGCGTAATTCCCGATATAGGATGGGATCGGGGAATCGGGCACCCACGACGTGAGGAATTTAATCAGATGTGATAGACATTGCTTTGCAAGCTTCCTTTTGTGGGCCTCGATATCGATAAACCATCCGTCCTCACGAGGCAAAGAGCTTGTCAGGAAATCGTCGAATGACTTGTGAATGACCTTAATAAAGTTACCGTTCTTCGTGCTGGGGAGCCGTAAAACGCTGCCAAGTTTTTCCAGGATAACCTGTGCTGCAGTATCTTCATGAGGGGTAAGCATGATGTTATCGAGAAGGGCCGCCGTCATTCCTGGGGGTGTTTTTGCAACCAGGACTGTACCAAGGATGCGCAGTATATCCTTCTTGAGGTCCCCTCTGACGTACCCTACACCAGGCTTGATGTTCCCCACGTCATCCAGCTTCCATTCAAACACTATAGTATTCAGAGCAGTGCGATAAAGGATGTTCAAGGAGTCGATGGCATTTGCTGGGAGGTTACTCTCCAGAAACGCATTGAGCATTCTTCCATTGGGATTAGCAGATATAAAGTTGCAAGCTGCGGCGGCCCAGATGAAGAGCCCACTGGCCCGCTGTGCCAGCTTATCCACTGCGTAGCGCTCTTCACAGGTGTTTTTGAATGTACTACCTGGAGGCTCAGCCTTGTAAATTTCACCAAACTTGACATTAATGAAATACTTGATATCGCGTTGGACATGCTCCGATTGTTCCGAAGCGTCCAAAACGAAGTGGAATGCACCAGCGGCCGGATCCACGGAATGGAACGAGTGTTGTATCCTTTCAATGGGACGACTGAAGACAAGCAGTCGTATGAAGGGCAACTTTGAGCCAAATCCTCCAAATAAAACAGCGAGCATCTCCTTGGTTATGTCACTCTCATCCAAACCATCGATGATGATGACTATCGGTCCTTCCAGAGCTAAATCTGGCAGGCTCTCCAACGGGCGTCGGAGAAGCAAGTCGAATTGCTCTTTGGCCGAATCTGGTGACAGCCCCAAAACATTTCTGTTTGTTTGAAGGACTTTGGAGATGACGGTCCCAATACGTCGGTCAAACATCCCCAACGAGTATGCAATACTGGTGATCAGATGTGACGCGTCCGGGTATCTAATGCGATCATAACGAATGAAGGCGCCAAGACGGTTGCGTGCACTGGTGTGAACAACGAAATGTTCATGCAGCGTGCCCACAATCGAGCTCTTCCCTGTCCCGGCCAAGCCACTGCACCACAGCATACCTCCACGTAATTCTGTGATCCAGATCAAGAGATACTTGATGGTTTCGACACGTGTATTTTTCATGCACTTTGATTTGGTTTTGAGACTTGTCGGTGGCTGAAGTTCTCGGAGTGTTTGACACATTTCTAAACATATTGTTGAATTTAGGTGTTCATGCACACAATCAAAGACCTACTAATTTTCTTAGCGTCTTCTTGCGTGGAGAGTGTTACAGCGAGATCTTCTGCTACAATGTTTGACAGCAACTTGTCTCGTAGATCTTCGAAACCTTCACAAAACTCTTCAGCCTTGTCTGAAAGGAATGCACGGGTTATTCGCTCTAAGGGAAGCCTTTGAATATCTGTCAATAAAGTAATATGGAATACCGCACCTGCCAAACTTGTTTTATTTACATAGCCCCGTATGAACGTGGAGCATTCAATGGTGTGCTGGAATAGGGCATCATAAACGGTCTTCAGACTCTCTCGTTCCGATAAGACTTCTTGACTGATCAATTGCTCGTATGTCGATATCATGGTGACGTAGAGTTTCCTGACAATCTCATCACTTTCCATCAGCTTTCGTAGGGGCTATAAGCGATATGATAGCAGATGTGTCAGAAAAATAATCATACGGAACGCAGGAACCTACCTTCGCTCCGATTGACACTAGGCTCCAAGCGGTTTTTGCCGCAGGATGTAACTAATCCATCGTTAGCATCAAATTTATCGCACAGTATACAATAAATTTCAAAGCCCACATCTGCTATCGTATCAATGACAGCCCCAATGGGCTTCATAACATCGAGTACTTTTCCGATTCCATCCAGAGGGGTCTTGGGCATCGGGGTGTCTTGGACGAGATCTATCATGACCTGCCTCATATTGCCAGAGCAGAAGACGTTGAATGAGAATATTGGCCGTGGCTCAGGTTCGCTGTTTGGAACGGATATGATCATTTCTGAGGATATGCTCATCATCGGGTGACAGACATTGACAATATGAAGAACTTACCACCGCTATGAGGAAATAATGATATCCGCCTCTCTATGAACCCTAGGCTTATCTTTCGCATTAATGGCGTTTTCGCATTCTTGAAGAGCTCGAATTTCACATTCATTGAACGGTCGTGGGCACCTCTGTCATGGAAGGGTAAGTTGAGAGAATGCTCCCAAGATAATGGAACCCACAAATTGATGGGTTCCAACCAGTTCGGCAAAGATTGCGAAGGCATCTTATATGCACGCGTCTTGTACGAACTTTCCCCGATGGTTATCTCAAGGTATATTCGATACTTGGTGGATAGCGCCGGAAGACCATATACCTCTACCTCTGGGAGATGAGGTACATGAGATTCAGTTCTTTGATAGATACAAGATCACCACTAACTTTGAATGTAACTGGGCGAACATGTTTGTGAGTTGGGAGGATCGTCATAAAGATTGACAATGCATACTGACTGTATTCTGTCTGATGTCCTAGCGGCCACATCCGTGTCTTCCATCTTGATGGTAGTATCTGCGGCCACGATCTGAGCTGCCGGAGGTGCCTATACTCAGTTCGTGGTCATCGAGATTTACAGCTATTATTGTGTGAAAACGGACCTCCACGACGACATTGGACATCAGTCTTGCGCCTAGCCTAGCAGGTATCGACATTATGGGCTCCATCGCCTTGAATGCCTCCCCGATTGTGGGCGTGGGCCCGTTCGAATCGTCGGAACAGAATATTTTGAGTGAACATAGATTTGTTGAGTCTGATGCGCTGCCAAGGGTGAACGTGATACCTGGACACAATTTGAATAGGTTCAACTAATGCAAAAGATAACGATGACATACAGCTGCTGCCCACCACATAGGATATCGGTTTCTCTGTATGCCCCAGGAGTGTGCCTGGCATCACCGGCACTCGACTAGGCCTGTACAGTCTAAATTCAACAACCGTCGAAGCGCTAAGGTCAACCCTAGTCAAATGGATGCATAATCAGAAAGACAATCAATGGGACACGTAATCTGGAGCCCACCAGTCAGGACTCATAGGCCAGATGATTACCGATCGGGAATCCATTTCATAGGTGGGCGACTTGCGAACAGTACTTCCGGCGATAATCTCCATGTATATATGGGAATGATTTCTGGCCAACGCCTGGAAGCCATGAACTTCTACCTCTATGACGAGATATATGAAATCCAGCTCGATCGAATCAAATTTGGGACGAACTTTGCAAATAACGGATTTCTCTAGAACTACGCGTGAGGGAGGGTCTGGAAAAGTTGGGCTATGAATGCTCACTTTTCCTGGTCTGTCATCGCAGGACTGCTCATGGTGGTTGCTTAGAGTGCCTTGTTGATGTGACGTGTCCAGCTTGATGGCTTCCAAATGGACGGACCTAAGTGAAAGCTGATCCTTCGTCTGGCGCCGAACGGCGAATACTGTCGAGAACCATACCGCCTGTTATATCGGCGTTTTCCCCGGCTTGCACGCCCGGTAATACAGGAAATTCCCACCGTACAAGAGCACGCGGAATCAAACGTCAAATGCGTCCTTCGTACATCACAGCCTTGTTATAGCGTCTGAATCAATAGACCCTTTCGAAGGATGCTTCCTGTGAGGCGACCAGGTCTAAGCTAGGAAAGTTTGGTTAAGAATATGTACATATCTGAAGGATCTCATCCTTTTGCCGATCAAATGTAAGGGCTATCCGGTGCGATCGGAAGGGTAACGAGGGTATGTAGAACTGATCAGCGAGTACGGGGGAAGATTTCAAGAAAAGGTAGACAGAAGAGCTGGTTGTACGTTTCACTAATACTGTTAGTTCCTCTCGGTACCCCGGCGAACACTGATCTCGCCAACTTGTCGATACCTGAGATCGAGCTTTGGGTTATGTCGTAACATAGGTTTTAATCGCACGTCGGCTTGTCTATAATATACTTGAGAGTAAGCATAGGCAACATTTAACATCGATGGCGTTAACTCACAAGGCAAAGTTAGACATCTTTCCGCCTTCTCACGTTCTATACTAGAACATGCTCGAGGAGTGGCGGTTTATCAAGACACAAATGCCCTCTTCCATTGCGAAGAACATTGCATATTGACCGATAGAGTCTTGAAATTTCTCTACCAAAGTAACAGCTCATTCCTTTGCCCCACGCCGAATTCCGCGGTCGATTCATTTGGTCTCACGTCTCTTGACCCGCTTCGTATTCATTGGCTGTTGTAGGTTGGCAATATATATAATTTGGCATGGCATGAAGAAACGCGGAAGGGAGCGTAAAATGAGTTGTGTTCCTTCGCTTCGAAGACGCCTGAACCTTGTTAAGATACGTCCTGTTCATGGTCGAAAGAAATATGTCGACACTATTCAACCAATATAAGTGGAACTGCACACTAAACATGTAGTCCATCGCGAATCGTTGCTGAGATTGTAGGGTGCACATTAGGAGGACGGCGATTGGAGGATAACGGTGATGACGAGAAATGTATGGCACGATGGGAAGGATGGCACAAGACATCCAAATATCTTGATTTAACGCCGATGTAAGCCATCCAATGGAGAGCAGAAGGGGATGAGTGGTGCTTTAGTGTGAGCATCGTTTGATGGTAGGACGATATTTTGAGGTTTGACAGTCTCTATACGATGCAGTTCACACAATGAAACGTGTGACAAGCCTCTTGTAGAACATTAACAAGGTAGTTCGGCTGAAAAACTGGCATGTGACCGTGAATTGGGGAAGATTTTGAGGAACGTGTAGATCTGAAGTAGGACTCGCCAAGGACGGTAGTTGACTTTGGTCAGAATCGCGTCGATGGATCTTTGTGCAGGGCCAGAACGGGAATAACGCAATGATAAGTGTGAAATTAATGAAATGATACATAGCTGCGTGGTGGCCGACAAAGGTCGATAAGACTATTGCCTTTCTGGCACTACTTTCTCTCCTACTGCTAAGTATCGGGTCATCAAAATCTTGATCTCGATAAAAGGCAGGAAAGTGCACGAGATGGGGTCCTTTGAGGGTAGAAGCCGGTCGCGTTCTGGGCGAACGTGTGACCTTCGCAGCGCAAGATGAATGCATCGACCCTCCAGAAAGGGCCACCTGTTTTCCTTCAACCAAGAAAACTAGGAAGAAAATAAAGGGATCGTACCAAACCTCGTATGTACCCAGGATCGTACTTCGACGTTATCAGGGCACAGCTGATGTCAGGGACACATTTGACAATGCTTGGTGGGCCTATCCTCCGCCGGTACGAGCCATGGTTTCTCTTTGGCACCAACGACACAAAGACCGCGACTTTTTCCTCGTTATTGCTGCCCGCGATTCTCAAAGTCAGCAAGTACAAGATTAAGTAGCTCCTGAAAGACCCCTGCAAGAAAGATCAGAAAAAAAAGTGTTCCAAAGAAAAAAGACGCATCAGAATTCAAGTAAGCGCTATTGATATCGTTGCCCTCTCTGACCATTCTTCAGCTTCATCTTCCAGAGATTTTTCTCAAGCAATTCAATGCAACGTAATCGGAAGATTTTTCGTTGAAGGAGTACAGCCTTATGTATCTACGCGCAGTGACGCGGATAACGACCAAGGGGATACAAAAGGCTTAGGGGGACATGACGGTTCGGGAACAAGAATCGGCGGCGTCCCAAAATGGCAGTCCCTCTTTACCGCTACCCCCTCCGAGATATCTTTGCGCCAATGCACCCATGGCAAACGAACTAATGCAAATGTATCAGCGCCCTCTATCATGCGCGCTTTGACTTTGAATAGTACTTCTACTCTGTAATTTAACTCTGCCGCGTACACATGATTTTCGTCATTAAATGCTGTTCGTATCTTCTTGGGTGGAGGTAACAACGCTGCAGTTCAGAGCATTCCATGGGCTTCGGTAAACAAATCGAAGTTTCGAACCATCAATGCATCAAGTTTATAGATTAACTGCAAAAGAAAGAGTCGGTCAGCACTGTCCAGAATATAGCGCTGATGTTGTACCAGAAGCGCCGCAACCGAAGCATACATTGAATCGATTGCTTCCACAGGCTAAGAGACCAGCTCAAGAAGACAGAAAACAAAAATGACTCGTAGTTTCCCCTCCCGTGTAAAAATACATACAGTATTCCTTAAGACCTCCGATTAAATGGGCGAACATTCCCGCTTCAACCAATCTAAAGCTCGCTTGTCATCTTCCAACAACGGTGACACCTTCTGCCACACTTCTTCATGATAATCATTAAGCCATTTCGTTTCTATGATGGGTCAGCGCCTGGAAATCATATCGTTGCAAGGAGTCGCACCTTCTGCAGTCAGTAATGTTTTATCCACCAATTTCTTATGAATCGGACACCTACGGGGCAATTAGCAGACAGAAGACACAGAATGGCCAATCCGACTTACATCGTGACATGCTCAAAACCTAGGTACCCCTTATTCCCAAAATTATTTAGCGTCTGAACCTCCTTGACCAATACGATGTTCTCTATCCGAATGCCAAACTTCCCGTCGGCATAGTAACCAGGTTCATTCGACACCGTCATGCCAGGCTTAAGTGCATTCGCGTTCAAACCTGGTCACGAACGCGTCAATTTCAAATCCTAAATACAGAAGATATAGAACTGACCGATGCGGGTGCCAATTCCATGAGGTCCTTCATGGACGTTGAGGAAGTGGCCTACTCCATGGCCGGTACCATGTCTGTAGTCGAGTCCGTCTTGCCACAGCGCTCGTCTTGCCCATGAATCACTTAAAGGAAATGAGCATCTATCAAACTGGAAAGTATTTGGTAGAGACATACATAATGTAGCCAGTCGTACCATTAGGGAATACAGCAGTATCGATCGCGATATGACCCTGGAGAACTCGAGTGTTTGCACGAATTTCCTCCGGCTTCGGTGTACCAAAGTGCTATGCGTAAGACGTCAGCAATAGTTCGCACACTGGCACAAGATGAATAGCACGTACCCATGTTCGAGTCACGTCGGTCGTACCATCGAAGAATTGAGCTGCACGATGAATGCAATGAGCAATGAACCGGGATGAATATCTAGACATACCTCCTGAATCGCACAGGTAGACCTCTTCCTTATTAATAATGGCAGAATCCTTCGAATCCGGAGAATAGTGTATGATAGCTGGCACAGTCAGTCACTCTCTAGCCCACGAAAGCATGCATGACCCTCACCAGCATTGGCGCCGGTCGACGAGATGGTAGGAAAGCTTAGACCCTTAAACAGACCTTGCTCACTGACATCATCAGCCAGCACTTTTTTACACAACGCAAAGGCGACTCACGCTCGGTACTCTTCCAGCTTGCCTGCAGCACCCCACTCCGATAGCTTCTTCCCTTGATTGAGCTGATCTTCGAGCCAAGAGAAGTATTTCACCAAAGCTGCGCCATCACGAATGTGACTCTGCCTGAATCCCTCGAGTTCTGTTGCGTTTTTGATCGACTTCAATGAAGACACGGGAGATGGTAGAAGGGTGTAGTTGTCCTGAGGCAAAGTTAGCAATCTGACCTAGACTAGAATGATCCTGCACCTTTCCAACAGTCTCGGCTACCGCCAAACTGGATTTGTCCGTGACTAAAACTTTGCCTTCCGACTTGAACTCTTTCAAGAAGGTCCAGAATTCCTCGTAAGACTTGACATCAACATCTGCCGGTGCACCTCCTTGAACAAACAGTGTTGCGCTGTCCATCGTAACGACTGCATACGCAAAGAAAACTGGGTTAAAGTCGATATCCGATCCGCGCAGGTTATACAACCAAGCAATTTCGTCCAAAGCCGTAAGTATGATCGCCGCGCATTGTTTCTTTCTCAACTCGTCACGCAGACGCCCAAGTTTAGATTCGTGGGATTCGCCAGAGAATTTTTCCTCGAGATGAACAATCGGATTCTTGGTTCGTGCAGGGCGATCTGTCCAGATTTGATCCACCAAATTTTGAGGTAGAGAGACGAGCGTCGATTTGCGAGGTGACAGATTCTTTGAGAGAGAAGAGGCGTCTTCGGCGGTGATGAGGGTCGCGTCGATACCGATCCGTGAGGATTCTTCGAGATGCTGGAATGCTATCAAGGAATAGACCTAGCACAGAGCGCATATACGCACCTTGGTCAGGTAATCTTGCCAGGTCGGTACATCTGCACAACGTAAGTTCATATTTCTTTCCCAGGATAAGCACATGTACCAGGTAACCCCTGTTTCATCAGCTTCCAATTCCTGCAGAGCGTGTCACTGATTGACTAGAATCCACGAAAACATGCTATTCACTTGTCCAACTGGTTCTCCGCTTGCAAGAAGTATCTGCCGTCAGTAAATAACAAGGCATCCTTGGGCGTGATGATTGCGCATCCTGCATCGACATTCAGCGCCGAAGACAGGTATATCGAGGTGAGATATACCAGCAGATCCATTAAATCCAGATATAAATGCCCGCCGCTCATCACATTCCGCGATGTATTCACTGCCGTCTATGTATGGTCATCAGCATGCAGCCATGCAGGGATGGGCCACCACTTACGTTGGTCCTCACTTACGACAACGTACGCATTGATATCGTTCTCCTTCTTTCCCATGAGCTCTCTGAGCTTGGCTAGCCTCTCGGTCGTGTTCACAGTCGCACCCATGGCTGCTGCAGACGATGAAAAGCGAGGTCTTGGCGTCAGAAAACGGAATTTTCGACAACAACGAAGGAGCAACATGTACTTCAATGCGATATCCCTGGTCCGATAACGCGAGAATGTGCCACGAGGACGGCGATGACGATGATGGCAGACGGTGGTGGTGGTCCGGAACGAAGGGCCCGTGTGATCAAACTTGTTCGGTAACGGTGACGTCGACTGCCCCCCACCGTCAACCCTGACGACGATATCGATATCATTCCTGGTGTGCGCCGTGCTAGGCTTTCAAAACCGTCGACGTCGACCTCCGCGCCTTTCTGGCCTGCTATCGTGAATGATGCGTGCTGGATTCACTCTGACCACAGATTTTGGTCGTTCCTTAGGATATGCACTGCCAGCATATTAGCGATAGTAACGACGAGGTCTGCTTGCCAAAATGCCTGAAATATCGCTCTCTAAGCCAATGGCGGCATGGTACCAACTTGAAGCAGGATTTTCAGACTATCGCAGAAGTTCAATAAACTGGCCGAACTCTCTGTGCTGCCAAAACCGTTCTTTCGTTCTATAATCAACCATAATACACAAACGACAAACGAATGACTCTCGTATCTCTATCTTTCGACTCGGATACCCAAGTATTTTCGGGTATCAACGCAATGGACTCATCGGTAGGCGTCTTGCTGAGAATTCGCTGGTGAACATCGCGCTATATATTGTAATAAGTTGCGGCTTAAGACGGACTACTGACGCAGTGCAATGATTCAGCGTTGGTCTCCCTGCACCGGCTGGCTGTTGACCGACCGACTCCCTTGCGATTAGCGCAAGAATCTCCTCCACGTTGATCGCCTAGCTGGACTTGGCGAGGTTGAAGTTTACGTTGAAAACATTGATTATATACATACTACAATTGTTCACTAGACGAGGCTAGAAGTCAATATTTCGTTCTCCTTGTTTCTCACTGTTCTGAAATGTTACTAGATCCGTTCATTTTAATGGCATACTGGACGCTATCAGACAAATTATAATAATTGTTTTCGTCTCGTGCTCGTCTTATATATCACCAACACAGTAGGTCCGAGAGCGGCAGGAGCAACAGCGCTGCGTTGCGGCTGTTTTGCTCCGCGTGAGGTACTACTTTGTGTCTGTTTTAACAATGGCCGCACTGCTTGGGACCCTCAAAAGGTTCAACGCTGTCAGTGTCGGCATCCATCGAATGTGCTCATTCTATCACCATGTCTACAAATACGTGAGCATCGAATAAAGGACACCGAACGCCATTTCTAAACCCCTAAATTTACTAGCCTATCCGAACCGAGTCCGATCTGCAACCGGAGGTCGAACATGAGAATGAGAACATACACCGCCCTGACTACAGGTGACACTGGCTAATCATTACTCCCGGTTCCAGCTGACTGACTAAAAGTTTTCCTCTCTTTTTAGTCTGCTCGTCAGCTGCCCCTGCATGGATAACCATGGCTTCCCACCTCGATTTAGCGACGACACATTCGAATTACAACATTCCTGCCGAAGCCACGCTGGACCAGAACAAGCCTATGTTGGAGTTTCAAGTGTCGCGCATCACAGCGCAGTTGACGTCGGGATCATCGGCTGTCAGGGTTAGTCAGGCAAGAACTAGTTTATTACATCCTGTTGCTTCTATTAGTGTACACGGCGAGTAGATAAATAGGTAGTCGAACAAAGACAACCCTCGCCTGTTTGCGAGGGTTCCCTGCTATATCCGGGTGAGCGGCTGGAGAATTACCGCTTATCTCAACACAAACAGGCAGCATAACCCACAGTCCTTGTCGCTCTCGTTCTCTGTGCTGACTCTCGAGACTATCGCTACACCGCCACCCCGACACTGGTGTCGAGATCACCTTTGTCACTTGCTAGACCACGAGACGGTCTGGTCGTTCGCTTTGCTGGTCCACGAGACGGTCCGGCTGTTCGCTTTTCTGGTCCACGAGACGGTCCAGTTGTTCGTTTTTTGCTCTCCACATTCGTTGTTTGCCGCGTCGAGATCGCCTATAGAGCAAAATGTCGGACGAGTTGTTTGGTGCGCGTTTTCCCAAGTTATCGGTCGGAAACTTTGCGGAATGGCGAGTGATGATGGAGGCCGAGCTCACGCGTCGGAAGCTCTGGACCGACATTGTCGAGATTGAGGTTGATGGAGATGGGAAGTCGGAGTCAGAGATCTTGGTGGAGATCACGACGAAGTTGAAGGCACGGGATAAGCAGAAGATGGCGGAGGCTAGGGCCGAGATGATTTTGAGGGTGGATGTCAGGCAGCTGGCGCACATGGACTCGAAGGACCCACGGGAGATCTGGGGGAACTTGCAGACCGTGCATCGTGCACAGGGCTTTGCGACGAGCTTGTCCCTGCGAAGGAAGTTCTTGACTGCGAAGATGCTTGAGGGGCAGGGTATGGAGTCTTGGGTTGGGCAAATCAGGCGGATGGCGAAGGCGATGGAACTGGCCGGCATCGATGTTAGCGACCAGGATCTAATCCTTGCACTCACCATGGGACTTCCCCTTTCCTACGAGAACGTCATTATCAACTTTGACGCGACCCCGCCCGACCAGCTCACACTCTCAAATGTGATCGTTCGCTTGCTCAACGAGGAGACGCGCCAAGCATCGCTTGCCCCAGGACGCTCCGAGATGGACAAAGAGGATAGCGAGGACGTTGCAGCCGTCGCCTTTCGTAGCGGCAAGGCGAAGGGCAACAGTCGAGTTGACCTCATTTGCTTCTTCTGCGATAAGCCTGGGCACTTGAAGGCCGATTGCGAGGAGAGGGCAAAGTGGTGGAGGTCCAGAAAGAAAAAGACTGCGGCGGCGGACTTTGCCGGGTTGGCTATCGAGAGCGATTCTGATGTTGCTTTCTAGGCTATTCTTTCCCACCACGGTATTCACCTTCCGGGGGTGTATGTTTTTTCTTTTCTTTTCTTTCTGTTTTTGGTATTGATGCGCGAACTTGCGGGGGTGTGTTGGAGTTTCAAGTGTCGCGCATCACAGCGCAGTTGACGTCGGGATCATCGGCTGTCAGGGTTAGTCAGGCAAGAACTAGTTTATTACATCCTGTTGCTTCTATTAGTGTACACGGCGAGTAGATAAATAGGTAGTCGAACAAAGACAACCCTCGCCTGTTTGCGAGGGTTCCCTGCTATATCCGGGTGAGCGGCTGGAGAATTACCGCTTATCTCAACAGCCTACTCAGGAAATGAAAGAACAGCGCATTGATGCAGAGAAGCATGATTCCCTGGATTGGAGATACCCGGATGGTGGTCTTCGTGCATGGTTGGTTGTCCTGGGGTGTTTCATGTACGCGACTACAATCATGTGCGTCTCATGAAATCGCTCATCTCAACCTGATACTGACTCAGCCACCATTACTAGGGCGTACGGTCTTACATGGGGTGTTTTTCAAGATTATTACCACACAAACATGTTCCCTAATACTAGTCTGAGTATTCTCAGCTTGGCGGGTGGATTGCAAAATTTTGTGAGTGCACTTCTATATCTCGGTGACGCCCTCGAAATTTCACCTTGAGGTAGCTAATGAACTTTACGGCGTACCTGTCAGGCGGTCTAGGAGACCGATAGTATGTTCTTGCCGCATTCCTCCTAGTCTGGCTCTCACTCTTGCCTTATATAGTGGATACAAGGTTCGCTCGTCGAGATTTCACTCGCGGGCGGTAGATACTTATCGCTTTTTGCATAGAGATTGATTGCCCTAAGCAGCTTTCTCGCTTATCTCTGCCTCCTAGCTTCGGCATTTACGACAAAGCTCTTTCACGTCTTCTTATTTCAAGGCGTCTTCCTAGGAATATCCCATGGGTTATCTATGCCGCTTTATATGTCCCTGCCCTCGCAGTGGTTCCTCAAGAAGCGTGGTCTCGCCACGGGACTGGCAGTCAGCGGAGCAGGGATAGGTGGCGGAATACAGTCACTGGTCGTGCGAAAATTGTACGTCTTTCCGACTCCTTATCGGCGCAATGCTAATGTCTGTGTAGACTGGTGAAAGTGGGGTTTAGAAACACTTTGCTAATCTATAGCTCCATGCATGGTGTCGTGTGGATCGTGGCTTTGTGTCTCATCAAGGAACGCCGAAGCCCAGATCAAGTGCAACAAAAGAAGCGGTGGATACCTGAACGCGTAGACGGCCGACTTTATAGTGTGGCCACGAGTGTCTTTGTTGGTATCTTTGGCTTCTTGGTGCGTTTTATCTTATGCTTAGCGATCCATCTTCTGACGAGGTGGATGGTTTACTAGGCGCCTTTTTACTTCAGTACTACTTACACAAAACAATTCGTACCTTCTATCGCACATGACCCTCTCAAACCCGTGGTCCCTTTGGTGTTGATGAACTTCAGCGGTACGCTCCGTTTCGTATTCCTTATTTATGATGTTGCTTCATGTATCATAACTAACCTGATCCACTCCTATAGCTGGATTCGGTCGCGTAAGCTCACTGCAAGGGCTGACTTTTGATGAGCCGCGTCCGATTAACTGATAACTTATGCCTATACAGATCCTGGCGGGGAAACTGGCTGACTACTTGGGCCCTATGAACGTGTTCTTCTCGTCCTTTTTCTTTGGAGGGCTCTTTCAGATTTTAATATGGACTTTCGCCAAGACCTACGCTGCCATCATCGTATTTTCGATTCTTAGTGGATTGGTCGGATGCTGGTTCATCAGTCTTCTTCCTGTCGTGTGCGCTGAACTCTTTGGCGTCGAAGGTTTGTCGACTATCACAGGCTTGATGATATTGGCGAACTCTCCAGGTGAGCAGTTCTCAACTTCCGGGCCTTCTTGCTCGTTTCTCAACCTTTCCGCCTTTTAGGACAGTTGGCGGGCGCGCCCATAGCCGGTGCAATTTTCTCAGCATCAGGGGGGAGCTGGGTTGCAGTAACGATGTATTCTGGCGGCGCGATGGTGCTTGGATCGCTATGCATACTCTATGGTGAGCTTGTTCGTAGTTCTTCAATTCCAGATGTTTAACGTGCAATACGAAGCCCGATTTTCTTTTGAAAAGCGTATATGGGCTTTTGCCTGACTCATGTACCTACAGAGTCTGTACAAAAATATGCCCCATTCCTAATGAGTCGGGATACGATCAAGGAGTACATACCATTATGGAGGCAAAAGAAAACACCTTGAAGGTGGGCCTCCCTTGGACTGCGTCACGCTGTCACATTTTCGTCGTGAGCCACCTGCATATTCCTTCTCCACGCTTTGTTTCGGCGTATCTTTCCATCTCATTTCTCTGGCCAGCAGATACTTAATCCATTGGTGTCCCTGTTTGAACAGCTACCAGCGCCAGATCACGACGATCTTTGCGATCCCCGGTCCGACGCATCGTACCACTTAGCAATTGCGTAGGATTTCTAACCCAGAAAAGTGAATTGTCTGAATTTCATGTCCTTTCAACTGACTAAGGCTTCCTCATTCTAGTCATCTATTTCGCGTAGTCTCCGATACAAATGAGGCTCTTCTCACCTTGGCACGTCTATGATAACGTTCTTCCCCGCTTTTTTCGGTCTCTCTACTTGTATAGCTTCCTCTTCGCGTGCGTTCTCGTTTTTGCCGTTAAGTTTAGTGTACGGGTGAACTGGTCAGTTCTTCGATACATATTTTGACGCAGTTAATGGCGAAAGCGTAGGTCTCTGAGGCAACCACAAGTATACCAACAACAATGGTCCAAGCTCTGCAGTTCCTGACCATTCCTGCAAAAACGACATGTACAGCGACTGTGATTCTGATGCACGTGAGCTCACTTCTATCTTCCACTGAATAAAGCTTTATGTTTAATAACTATAGGGATTGGGCGACTCGGGAAATGGCATGATGCCTATAGCCCAATACGTCGGTTCCGACCCCGCATTAAGCCACGTTAAGTGGATTCTTCCTCATGCGTAAGTTCTGCCAATGTTTCCTGCTTTCTCGAAGCTGGAACTCAGGTCTAAAGCCCAACTCGTCCAGTTACAATCAGCGGCGGAAGAGCCGTACCTGCATGGTAATGTCATCTAATGTACGAGGGTTGGATATTCAAACGTTTTTATATAGGTACGACATCACTGCGTTCCAAGCCAATGCAGCGGAGGACGAGCCGGGGATAAAACAGTCCATCGAATACCTTTCTCAGCTGATGCAAACAGAAATGGACAGTGGCATCGACTCGACGAGCATCGTGTTCGGCGGACTGAGCCAAGGTGCCAGTCTGTCATTGTTCATGGGCTTGACGATCAAGGAGAAGCTCGGGGGTATCGTAATGCTAAGCGGAAGGATGCTCGTCGAAGAATCTTTGAAGAAGATGTTTTATCTTTATCCATTTTATTTTTGTTCAGACGCTGATCGTGAGCAGAACATAACTCCACACGCCACATCTATTCCTATTTTTATTGCTCACGGGTCGGAAGACCGCATCATAACGTTGGATCGCTCCCAATCGTCGGTTGCTGCTCTTAAGCAGTTGAGGTACACAGTGCACACGGAGACAAGCGAGAGCGATGGAATCACTCACAACATCTATCAGGGTCTCGGTCATTCGGTCGCGGATGCAAAAGTGCTTGATGATTTAAGTGATTGGCTGAAGAAAACGATCCCTGCAAATTAGCGGTGGCTAATTGGACGATGATTTAATTGTATATAGGTAAGAACGCCATTCGTTCATACAGATGCTATTCTTCAGTTCAAAAATGCTTGAAGTACAATCGGCCACTTGGGAGCAATGATAACATACGGAAGAATGTTGGTCCTTGAAAACGGACACAGTATTTACACACTTCTCACTCTCTGCAGCCGGTCCGACTCGAGAGCATTTGACAAAGCTGACATATTACCCATTTACCTTACACCATTCCTTCTAAATCTAGCCTCTATCTCTCTGCTACAGTGCACCGCACCGCCGACGCCGCACTAGGTCCGTGGAACGGCCTACAATGTCCTAGGGCGCCATATGGCTCTCAAGGCAAGCTGTACCTATCAGAACACCTATCGGTACCAAGTAAGAACGTGCACCGAGGGACTGCAAGCTGTTGAGAGATCAGAAGTTGGTACGAAATCCATGCTGTTCTTTCTATTGCACGTGTTTCATCGAAGCAGCATCCACCCTCATTTTGTTCACGTTCTTCGCTTAGCATCTGGACGCATCAAACACGTATAAAATGCATACCTCGAAGGGACAATTCTTGTCTGGGGCTGCTGTGTTTTCAGGATGCTCTCTCTCGCTGCTGTCCTACTTGTCGCTACCTCTTCTCTGGTATCTGCGCTGCGAATAGGCACCTGGAACTTGCGATACGATTCGCAGTCAAATGACATCACTGTCCAGGAATCCATAGATTCCCTCGCCGATCCTTTGCAGGCCTTTACCTACCTCGGTATATCGAATGGCGCCGAACAACCCTGGAGCACGCGTAGGATTCGCGTCGCGGAGCATGTGTTGAACGAGGGTGCCTCTATTCTTAGTTTGTGACTTTATTTTTGGATTTCGAAACACTCATATATGTCTGCACAGGTGTACAAGAGGCACTAGTCCGGCAGGTCAATGATCTCGTTGAGCTGCTTGGTGACGGGTGGTCCTACGTATGCTTTTTGTTACGTCAAGGTCCTTGTGTCTGATGTCGTAAACAGGTCGGTGTAGGACGTGATGACGGTGTCGCCGCCGGGGAATTCAGTGCTATTTTCTACAAGACGTGCGTCCTGGCATCTTGGTATTCATTTTTTCAATCTCATTCCTGTTAACAGGTCCGACGTCACATTGTCCTGGAACGACACGTTCTGGCTATCGTACGCTAGCTCCCTATGATTAGTATTCGATGGTAACGGTAACCGTTATACATAGGAATACACCTTTGGAGCCATCAAAGTACCCTGGTGCAGGGAGCTATCGTATCGCCAATGTTGCTCGATTCACTACCGGATCCGAGACCTTCACACTGATCAACACTCACCTCGATGATATATCTGATGATCAACGGCAATTAGGTGCCTCGATGGTCCTGACGCGCGCTAAATACGAAGCAGTCCAGTCCAATGGACCGGTATTTGTCACCGGCGATTTTAACAGGTATTCTGTCACTGACGTTCTAGTTCGTGTTGTTAATTGAACTGTTCATTCAGTCCTTCTACCGGAGATGACTCTGCAGCGTATGAAATCATCACAGGGTCGCACGACCTTTTCGCTATGAATGCAACTTGGGCGGCAAAGTACGGTGTTGGCGACGAGCTGGAGGACTTTGTGATGGAAGATCTCCGAGGTCGGGCTCCGCGACGAATGGTGTCGAAGAACTATGCGACGTATAGCGGATGGACGGGTCCAGCGGATACGAGCAAATGGACAAGGATTGATTTTGTCTTTGGGGGAAGTAATGGTGGATGGTGATGCCTTTTTTTCCCCTGTGCCGCAGAAGTTTACTCAATGGGTTGCAGGACCGCCAATTCATACAAAGTGGATTCTGCCTTGAACGATGATGGACTTCTCATGAGCGACCATCGACCTACTTTTGTTGACATTTCCTTCTAAATCATTATGTGCATCTAGCCTATGCACGGTCTCATCCGAATCTTAGCCAGAGGTCTGCCTTTGGTTCATTTTACCTTGACAGATGGAATGTGAAAATGACATGAACTTGCTATCAAAGAAGCATGGTAAGGGCGGTGTGCTCGACTTGCTGCCTTTTGCATAAAGATTGACAGTCGCAAGTGTTTTGTGACACGAAGCATCGGGATTCGTTATAAACCGAGGTTGTGAAACCTGCAAGGCATACTAAACGGCTCTCCGATATCCCCGAAATAACTTTTAAGCGCTATAAACTCCTCCGCAAGACTTGAAGTTCAGATCACTCACAAAAAGAAGTGCGTTACTGTGAAGCCGTAACTTTTCCGTGGTCCAGTTCACGAACTCTGCAAACCTGCATAGTTTTACACGGAACCCTTCAAGGGTAACTGAGCATATATTTCAGATTCAACATTTAACTCGTATTATCCGGATTCAGGTGTAGCTCACATTCAAAGAAGTGCATTTTCTTCCCAATGGGCTTACTTCTCTTATACAGCGCTCGAAGTAGACCGTAATAGAGTATTTTCTTGAATTTATATCTAGCATTCGAAACCGCAACTCCCGCAACTTGTAACCCGATTCACAAAGACATGGTGGCGCTTGCTCACGGCCATCCCCAGTAGGTATATGGAAGGATTTTCAGTGCTTTAACTCGGGTATACTGGTTTTCTCTATTTTCGTGTGGAGGGCTACCGTCACTTTTCAACCACCGAATCCTCCCCCCACTCCAGTTCATGTTCCCCCAGTCAATCTCCTCTGCAAAGGACTGTGAGAACATTAGCTCGTTAAGGGCCAGGTTCACTACCAAGTTGTACTGGTCCTTACAGTAAAAGATTGGTCAGTGTGCATAATAATTGCTAAATGTTGGATATAAGCTACATTGAACGTAATGAAGAAGGTATCGTATGCATTATCATTGTACACTATTGGGGGATATATGGGAGATGGTGAAAAAGAATAGATGTACAATGATGAGGGACTCATAACGGTACAAAACGTCCGTCACAAAATGTACAGCCCTGGAGAGTTTCTTGATCCGACTCTCAGGCTTGCTGACTTGCCTAGCCAGTTAATTATGGCTCAACAGCAAAGATCTCGTCACCCTCCGTTGTTGCAGGCAAACTATGACTGCCAGCCCTGCTCCGCGGAACAAGAGTTCCTGTCTCAGCAACTCTGGCTCCACGCTCCACGCTCGCTCGCCGGCTATGACTCTGGCTTCGGCTGGGTCCTGGTTGCCAATCGTAGCTCCCTCGTCGCGCGCTGGAGCTCCGCCGGCTGAGAGGTTCAACCGGTGAGAGCGAGTGATCCCGATGGTAAGTTACCACTGGAGACCCAAACGATGAAGACAACGAGGGCGGTGGAACAGAAGGATACGTGAGTCCCCTCGAAGGCGTAGCGAAGGTGACTGTGGGGTTCACCGAAAGCGACGTGGGCGGACTCGTCATGTTCGTGTTATTGCTCACGACGCTGGCGTTATTCGTCGACATCAACGGTGAAGGAGGGAACGGAGACTCTGGCGATTCCGGAGACTGGGTTTCAGACAGCTGTTCCGAAGAAGGATTCGTGTTGACTCGTCTAATAGACGATGGTCGGGCTATTGGAATCTGGGTCGATGAGCGGTGAGTGGGTATATGGAGGACAGAGTTGGACGGCGAAGCATTCGGGTACGACGGTTTGCGATGTAATGGCTGAGAGAAAGGATCTGCCGAGTGTAGTCCTACAAGGTTGTCGACCGGTACACCCAACTATACAGAGAGAGCAATTCAGAGATAAATTCAGCCGGTGAAAAAAAATCGGTCGCTCACGCGCATCCTATGCTCAATGAGCTCCTCCCGGTATATGTCGTTCAGCCTCGACACCCGAATAAAGTCTCGCTCCGTATCGACGAGGCGGTTCCTCAGTTGCTCGTTTTCACGGCGTAGCGACTCCAGCATCGTTTCCACGCTCGGATCACTCAGCGACCCCGCCCTTCCGGGAGTCGACGAGCTCCCGCCGTTCTCGTGTTGACCTAGCAGGGCGGTGAGCTGCCTCGACAGCCTGTTGACATGGGACTCAGATTCCGCCTCAAGGGTATTCTCGAGCTCAATCTTCTCCTCGCGTAACTACCGTCGAGTCCATCAGCCGCCCGTCACCATCGAGTCACTGAAGACGACGACACACCTTTTCCAGTTTCCTCGACAGCAGGTTAATGAGCCTTTCTTCTTCAGCTTCGTACGCATTGATGAGGTCCTGCTGCTCCTTGGAGCTCGACGACGAAAGACGATGCATCGACGGAGAACGGGACATGGTAGTAAGAAATCAAGCCAAGGGTCGCTGGGCAATTATGAGATTTTGTACTGGAAATTGTTTACGTCGACTAATCGCCCCTTTTGGGATGACATTCGGGCCGAATTAGCCGCTGCCATCTTCTTAAACACTCACATTGAATGTCATTTCGCTTCCTCCTCAATCACAGGAAGATGGCAACCAGGGGTGTCAAGCGCAGCGGATTATCCTTCTGGACTCTGCCTCCAGCGTCGACCAATCGAGAGAAATATATATCCATGAGGCTCAAAAAGCAAAGATTACATGTGAGAATAAAGACAAGTAAAGGGGATATAAAAAAAGAATCAGAAATCATACCCTTCTACTTTGAAGGTTTTACCATATTGGAGATAATTGTCCATAATTTTGTAAATAGAATCAGGCAACCCCATGCTTATAAGCGTGTTGGAGATCTTGGCGTGGCCATGAATTTCGCCGAGCTTGAAGAAGCTTCGGGCGATCTGCGTGGGGTACTGGGAAGACGAACATCAATACCCCTTGATCTAACCAATACATTAAGAAAACGTTACTCACTGTCATCTCCGTATAATCAGCATACTGGTATGCAGCCACACGAATAGCCGTCTGTATTGACCGCTGAATATCCCCCTCCTCCGCATACATCTCCATCAATTTTGCCCACGGCTTCTGCGAATACCGTGGTGCATCCAAACACCGCTGATACGCCTCCTTCGCCTCCTCCTTGTGGTGTAGTCGCATCCCAAGATCGCCTAGGATTTCCCACTCAAGCCCTGTCTTCCGATAGGCAACGTGCTGCGTCTTGAAATGAGCAACTTCGGCCCTGAATATTGTCCAAACGCGTAGATCCTACATCCGGTCATGAGGGTACATCGGTAAACTGAGTACCGCCACAGACTCACCTCGTACAGCACCATGAATAGATTATCCAACCACCGTTCACATAGCCGCTTGTTGCTGAAAGAGAACGGCTCTGAAGGTAAGCCGGGAGACGATGCATCCTCGTCCTTCTTGTCACCTTCACCTGCGGCCGCTTGGACAGGCCTTTCCAGATCGTTCGCTTGCTTCAGCACATGATGCGGGCCCCCATTCCCGTTAACAGCTATTGGCGAATTCACTTTGGCCTCATCCTCGGCCTCTTTCTTCTCCGCTTCTCTCAAATCCCGATCGGACTCTGTTGAAATCCGGATCGTCGGAATGGTTGCTTCCAAAGATCCATTCTTCTTCATAGAGTCCTGACTGGGGCCATGGGGCGATACCATCCCACGAGTTGATGCGTTGTCAAGTGTTTCCGACGGCTGAACGCTACCATCTTCGTGGATTGCTGTACTTGAGCCGCCGTTTGTAGAATGGGAGATGTCCCCTTGGGCCTTCTGCATCCGATATTCCTCTTCCATCACGAACACACTGCTCCTCGTTTTGAGTAGTTCGTCCCAACCAATCTGCGAAACTAGTCGTGTGAGGAGCGTGTATGCCCGAGCCCAGGTCCCACGGAGTCCAGGAGCTGGTAGGCGTTGTAGGGCAGGATCAGCTTCATCGTCATCAGTTTTGGCTCGTTCCGGGAGGATTTCACCGATTTGTCGCTGGAAGGGAAGGTGTATACGAGCTGGTGTCAGATTCCGGTGGGCATCCCGTCCATTAAACGTGAACATTGGACAAGAATTGAGGGTCAGAAGGGCAGATTCGAATTGGCCAAGGTCGAGGTAGAGCTCCGTCAGCTTTTCCCACGTTACGAACTCGCTTGGAGCACAATTAACGGCTTGACGAGCAAGCTTCAACGCCCACTCGAACTTGCCTTTCGAGCGCAGGAAATCGCACTGAACATGCAGGAGCGTGTAAGACTGGGGAGTTTCCTTCATTGCTGCCGCAATAATTTGGACCGCCTTGATTTCTTCGTCTGCAACAGTCACATTATTTTGGCAACTATTGACATTCAAAAGGACACGCACTCATGCCAATATAACTCCGTGCCAGCAGGGATGCAATTTCAGGTTCCCTTGCAGAGATCTTCTCGAACAGATTAGCGGCTTGCTGAAAGCGTCCACTGTCTCCAAAGTACTTCATGATCCCAGCCGTCAAATGGTTCGAAACGACAGTCGCCACCTGTATTTCGGGATCGGATCCAACCTGCCAACCTGGCTGACCATCAATGACGAGTACAGGGACAAGTCGAAGCACACGAACCTTTCATGAAGAGACTTTCGGCCGCCTGAAGGAACCTGATCTCGGCTTCCAGTGAAGTTATCGGGTCGAGCTTGCGGTAGGCGTCTAACCAGTACGTGGGATCATCCGAATACAATATGGACCGTAGCAGCGCCGACACATAAGTTTCCTGCCAGATTTCCGGTGTCGCTTCATGTCTGATGCCCATTATTAGCGCCTTTAGAAAAAGCGGAAACTGCAAATTCGACGAACCGCTCCCCTCTCAGGTCAATCACATACGCGTTTACGCCACCCGGAATCTTGACATCGACACGAATATCCACGCGGGAGAAGGCATTGAAACAGCTAGAAAGGACGCGCGCCATGAGCTGTGCCCGCAGCCGTAGAGAGTCGTCACTCACCAATAACATCCATTTCTAACCTTCCAAGCAGCAGTTTTTGCGAACCAGGCAGAGGTATCTTCAATCGCATATGTTAATGAGTTGATATATGCTGCGAGCGATGCAGATGACGAGGCATCGACGCCGGAAATATAGTGATACGACCCTAGCTGTAGGGAAATGAGACACGTTCACTGCACAAACTCTTGACACGTACGTCTCGATGGGCGCTCTTTCCGTTGCTCTTGACGACATGGCACAAATCTGGAGGACCTAGTTCACGGAACGTGGCTGTCACCGTCGTCAGCAATGTTCGTCTCGTCCCAGGATTTGCTCACAGAGGCTCTCTGTTCTTGCTGTCAGCGATTCTCCTAATTCGACCTGGGAGCTTAGTTCAGATACACTCCGAGTATCCAAAAAGTACGGCAAACCTCAAATAATTCAGGTATGTCCTTGAATGTCGCCTCCGCCATGGAGGAATAGGAAAAGGTGTGAATGTGGCGTTATTTGGCAACAGTCCCAACGTGACCGTGCAGCCAAACACTGGCACTTCTGTTTCCTTAATGGGGCTTTCCGGTCATCTACTTCCTCAACCAAGTACCAACCATCTGAGACGCCGTCGTGATTTGTGCACCTTCACGACAGTCTATATTGCTTACTGCAGCAAATGGACGTCTGAATATTGGCGTCGTCAAGCGAACATAATATTATTCCTGAGACTCATATGGTGAGCCCGGGATACCATCTATGGATGAACAGTACTGATCCAAGCAATAGTTACTTCTTCGTTTCCCACACAACGCACGAATGTCGGTCTCGGTACCTTGATTGTCATACTTGTGACACCACCTACACCACGAGACACGAGATCTGTCGTGATCCATTCAACAATGAATCTTTGGAGGTTCCTTTTGTTCTCCTAGTTGGAGACGAACACCAAGTTGGCCCTTGTTCGCTGGTCATCACAACCATCGATGAGTGGATGCAGACACTGCCAACGTTCCATTGTTGTTTGTTTCCTGAAAGGAAGTTGGTGATAGCTGTTTTCAGTTGTGGATGGATTGTCGCATTGTGCACAATGCAGTGTTTCATACGTTACCGATTTCTTCCTCCATCCGGCATACTCTATAGTGCACATTCTCAGCCACTGTTTGCAAGCGATTGAGGCGAAACACCATCTTGTATCCATCGGTCTCCCCTACAACTCCGGCAACTGGGACCTTCGCCGTATCACCCGCTTCTTCAAGGATGTTCTGTCCTATGATCATCTATGGACATTCGGTCAATACACACCAAGCAGTTCCTGTCAATGTTCGCACTTGTAACCTCCCAACCATCCGTCATTCCAATGAGCCTTACGTTGATGGTGATTCCGAGCTTACGATCATGTGGCACTCATTCTCCGACTTAGGTCACCACCCCTTTCCGGACCATTGTGTATCCAGATTTAGACTTTACTCCCGTCCGCCTATATAAACCCCTCTTGTGTTTTTCTTTCAAGCACAACAGGTTCCTCTCCCTCCATCCCTACCCTTCTACACCTTCTTTGAGCCCGGAGCTCTATACTTTCCTTCAAACGTTCAATCTCTTCCGAATTCTTCTTTCAACTTTCACCATGCTTCACTTCAACTCCCTCCTGGTTCTTTCTGCATCGATCGCACTCTCTTCGGCACTTCCTCTGCAGAAGCGTATCGCTCAGACCATCGCCGATTCCACACATGACTGGGAACAAGCATGCGTGAGTTCTCTCTTTCCCGCGTTGTCACCTCATCTCAGTCTTTCTTTCTTTCAGCTCGCCGCGGGTGGCGCGGGTCAATGCAACCCCCTGTCCCAGACCGCTTTTACCAGTCTCTTGGCTGCCGGGGGAAACTGCGACCAACAAAACGCGGCCGACCAGATGATCGACCTTGCCAAACAGCTCGGCAATGACGCAGAGATGATCAGGTTGACCCAGCTGTTCGTTCAGCAGCCCCGCAATGCTGTGAGCTCCATCCTTATCTTCTTTCACCCTCATCTAACATGCCATTCAGCCCGACAGCTTGCAAGTTCCCTACTGCCAAACTGCACCAAAAAACGCCGAACTCAACGGGCTGTTCCACTGCGAGTTCGCAGGGTCCGACTTTACCAAGTTCAGCGGTGACCAGACCGGCAATGTTCCTCTCGGATTGACTGCCGTCAATCCCCCGGGTTCGTGTCCCGCCAAACCCGACGGTCCGGTTCCCGACGGCGTCCAGCTGAACACTCTCGTTACAAACCCTATTGCCGGGTGCGTTAATCATCCACCACTATTAGTAATCTAGCTAACCGGAAATGCAGATCCACCAGTTCAAACTCTTCGTCCTCTACCAGCTCCACCTCTGTCGCCAGCTCCGGGTCCACTACCGCCTCCGCTGCCAACAACGGCGGAGCCGGCGTCGCAGCGGGCAGTTCGTCTACAGCCTCAGCGCCAGCGGTCGCCACAGCCTCAACCAGCTCCGCGGCCGACACCACCGGTTTCCAAAAACAAAACGGTGAAGACGCCAAGACTCTCAATGCGCAGTTCGCCAGTCTGACCGCATCGTCCCCTTGTACCGACGGGGACCAGGCCTGCGTCAACGGTGGGTTCGCACAGTGTGTTGGGGGTCAGTTCACCATCACCCAGTGCGCTGGGGGCACTCAGTGCTTTGCCCTCCCGCTCGTGAACAAGGCTGGAACGGTGCGTCTCCGTTTTCGTTTCCATTGTCCTCGTCTTAACATCAATTTCAGTCCATCGCGTGTACTACCCAGGCTGATGCCGATTCGCGCATTGCTGCCACCGGGGCTTGAGGGAGATGATTTTTATCTTTGAACATTGTTTATACAGCTGTGTATGTTATGGGTATCAATGGAGGTAGAACCTTGTTATATAACGTCCAAGTTCCCGAGATATAAGATGCCTTTTTTTGGCAAGGTGAGGTGCCAGGGTTGTTTATTCACAGAAAAAGCACGGTGGCATGCCCTCGTCTAAAGTTGTGTCAGTTCCTTTTGCGATGCCGAGCGCTGGGATTCATAAATACAGTCTTATAAACTAGAAATCCCCGAGGTAATATGTAAGTAAATCCATCCGAGAACCCAAACGGTGACTGACTGTCAATGCCATAAGCTCGAAATCTCGCAGATCCATGGGGGACGCCGATAGATACTCTATGATTAGTAGTACATCAATCGTATGAATAACCTGCTTATACCTCCAATCAAGCCATAGGCCGAGCTCACCGCCAACATTATGATGTAGTTAGAACCTAGCATGGTAGAAAGAAAGACTTAGTCCAGCAGCGATTGTAAGAAGAGAATTCCATGATTTCCTCCTACCGTATACGTCTAGTAGGTACCGACAAAGTAACCTGGTATCGATCTCTAATGATATCATCTTTGTGTTTCTAACGGTAACCCTTCATCTACCCCTGGCACCTTCCTTCACCCAAATGCTAACACTCCGAGCGGAACACTTGAACTCCGCCCAACCATCATCTCCAATAACAACATCACCCTGATACCACCCCAATAGATCATTCCACTTTTCACCAGCGTGTTCCTGCCAATCATCATTAACGACCGGAACAACTGAAATGATGCAACTCACCTTGCCCACTTCCATACGCTTTGATCTGGCAATCAATCAGCTACATTGAATATCATGTTCGCGAAAGAATCACGGACCCTTCACCGGACCCATTGCACAAAACAACGACACATCCATCCATTCCTTTTGCCTTTTCACCCATCCTTACCCATCCCACACAATTCATATGGTCCCAATAATCCCTCAGCTCACCATACGCGTACAACTTACGCGCGCGGATCATAACATCAAGCTGAGATACCGGTTGCTGGAGATTATCTCCTTTCGTGCCGTACAAGTCACCCCAAAATACACATCTACATCAGGTCAGAATTAGAAATCATTCCAGGACATGGAACTTACGGGTATCCGGATGGTCGCAGCAAGATCAGAGCATATGCTAGGGGCTTGAATGCCGGGGATACCCAGCTCTCTAATGCTTGGCCAACTTGCTATAGGACATGGTTCAGAAAAGCAACAAACAAGTGAGTGGTAGAGCGCTCACAGTACTAGAAAGCGATCAGTACATAAAACATATGAAGATGACGCAACGTACTCATGGTTATCAACGAGCGTCACTGCATCAATGGGCCTCTTCTGGACAATCGTGGAGTCCCAAATTGCTCGCATATCATACTCTTCTGCTCTATCTCCAGCTTCTTTGAAGTTGTAGTGTAAAGGCGTGTCGAATACGCTATACTATAATGTTATATGAGTTATATAAGGTCTGCGAAGACACGTTTAACGAACCTGCGTCTCGAGGGAGCCCAGATACTCCTCCAAGTCGCTCAAATCATCCTTCCAATATTCGCCAACGGCAAACAGATGAGGATCATTCGCGTCCGCGCGCACAGCCTTAACGAAATCAGCGATGAAATGACTGTCGATATGCTACAATCATACTGAGTTTCACCGGTCATGAAGTGGAAACCGAGAAGAAACTACTACCTTTACGGCGTCGAATCTAAATCCGGTCGCGCCGGTCTCCTTGATAACCCACTTCCCCCAATTGATAACGTCCTTCCGTGCGTCTGGATGGCTATGGTCGACGTCCGCACCCACTACATGATCATGAGATCGATATTATCAAAACGATGATATGAACTCACTCAGGTAGTCATAGTTGCTGTTCTCGTCATCGACGCCTTGTGCCCAGTCCTTACCGTCGCCGTGAATACGAAAGATGGCTGATTTGCTGTTATTATCGTCATAATCCACGCCCGTAAAGTGGTTGAAATTCCACTTGAACTTGCTGTACTGAGAAAACGTGTTAATGCGGGTATTGACGATGAGAAGGGCCATACCTTGCCACCTCTTCCAGGAAAATCGAAGCCTGTCCAACCCTACGAACCGTGGTCAGAAAAAGTAGCCAATCCGTGAAGCTAGCATGCTCGCACCTTGATATCATAAAGATCAGAAACCTCTTTGTTCCTGTCATCTGGATCGACCTCAGTAGCGGCAAATTGCTCAGTTCTCTCTGCGCCAAATCTGCGCAATGATCAGTCGAGAGAAGTAGAACAGATAGAGCGTGCACGTACTTGTGATTCAACACCGCGTCGATGTATGTAACGATCCCATGCTCCTTGGCCTTCTTGATAGCGCGCAATAATTCCTCCTTCGTGCCATACTTGGTCCTTACCCCGCCTTTCTGATCAAACTCTCCAAGGTCGTACAAGTCGTAAATGTCGTAGCCAACTGACTCTTGGCCGGCCGCCTTTGTAGGAGCTGACGGGAGTGTTAGCATGAGATAATAAAGGCGTCTTCGACGACATACGAGGTAACCACATGGCAGTAATCCCCATCTCAGCCAGCTCGGGTGATACGTCCGCGATTTTCTTCCAGTGGACGCCATTTCCTTCAGAGTACCACTCGAAGGCCTGTATCTGTGAAAAATGGATTGTTCAACGGCGTTGCTCGCCGCAGAAGAGAGAGATGAACTCGCCATGGTATGGTTCTGTTCGTCGTCGTTGGCCATGGTAGTAGGAAGTGGGGGGAAAAGAGCCAAGGCCAGATATCTTGGACTCCATTATATACCGAAAGCCTTGACAGGAAATGACGCGGTGACGTCGTTGTGAAAAAATCTATTTTGGTGTGCGCCTACGTTGTCCAATTGTGGCAATGACGTAGACCTAGATAAGTGTATGCTCTCCGAACGAATAATGAGGCATTCTTGGAGGATATCCGTAGAAATTGAATGACGCTCTGGCGTGACAAACATGAAGGCGCGACAGGCGCGAGGTTCAGTCATCGGAGATTCCGGCCCGAAAAAAGTCACATGCTTCCAAAGCCGCCACTGACTTGCTTCTGTAAGTTACACAGTGTAAGTTCTGTTCTCGTTCTTCGCTGACTTGAATCAAACAGCCTGATGTCGAATATCATACGAAACCACACTAGCACCAAGCCGAAACGCGCGCTCCGACAACGTCCCCCCATCGGCCCAGAAACAGCTGTCGAATAGGCCACGGCCCACTGCGGATCCAAAATTTGCCATTGACGAAACAGAAAATAACTCTGGTATAGCAAATCATCGGAAAATAGGTCCAAGCCTCTGAGATTCTCAACGGTAGGGGAGGTATCATACGAGCAATTTATGGTCGTTACACAACAGAGGGCATTTCGTGGCTATTTAGGTATGAATCCGTTAAGAAACCCTTAGTTCGAGGAAGGAATGCAGGAAGCTACGATGCGACAGCTGTTGTAAGATGACGGTACGTCTATTCGAATATGAGTATTGGTGTACAAAGCTTAAGGCATCCATGATTATTTGCGACCTTCTTGGACTGATAACTCTGTTACCAGTTATTCTGAATGCATATTCTTCTCGAAATCGATGTCAAGTGATCGTTAAGGAAAGTCTGTAACTGACATCAACGCCAGTAACCAATTAATAAAATGACAGTCAATTTGTGGACTAGGCTTCATTCTCGTCACTCTTTCGACAAAGTGTAGTTTGAAAACGACTTCATATGGAGTACAACTTCCACACGTATTACGGGCCTTAAATTGAGGTACAATCTGTCTTGTGTTTGTTCCGTTGAATGCATCATGCTTTGGTTGAGAATGATCCCGCTCGATTGCAGTTCCTCACCAGTTCTCTGGACCTAACGCTTTCCTGGCTTAATAGGCTAAAGGATGAAAGTCCTCGATTAATTCTACTGAAATCTACAGCCAAAAAATATCCATGTCGGGGGCGTCGATCCATATCACCCCTGCCTTCCTACAACAAGGGACACATTTCCGACCGATACATAGGAACGCTCAATGATTAATATGTCTACCGCCTTTCGTAATAATGCATTCGATGGACCCCCGGCTTTGTTGCGAGTCCACATCGTTTCCGGTACTACGTTTCTCCCCTCTGATCCATTTTCATAACATTTCATTCTTGCCGCTCAAGCTCTTCTCGACATCGTCAGTAACTTGTTGGTAGCTGAGATGTGCTGAACCTTTTATGGGTGAGTATTTTTGGCTTCGGCTCGCCTTCCGTCTCTCACACGGAACATCCATCCAGCGCTAAAGCCATCTTCTTCGATGCACTCTGCCACAATTCATGCCGACTTAATACTGGCGTGTCAAGTACTTTGACTTTGGCTTGTCTTCTGTCACTTGCGCCGGCGGCCATACACTACTATCAAACTAAAACCACCCTTTGCACTCGTGGTGCGCTGATTCAACTACTATTATTGGAAGGGTACAATTCCCATGACAGAACTATAAATAGAGCAGCGGCGAATGATTGTGGTCTAGGTACGAATACAGCTCTATTCAATGATTGAATGCCACGCTAAAGGTCTTTCCGCCTAGATAGCGGTCCATCATCGCCACTTACTTCTTGTCAGAGAATCCTGTTATCGTGACTCACATTGCGTCAACAGCACCATGACATCCACAGAGGAGAAAATAATTGTCGTGTCCTGGGCCGGCGACGACGATCCAGAAAATCCCAAAAAGTGAGCTCTGCTACCTCCAATCCTGACATCGTCCCATTTCCGAGCGTTTCCATTCTCATTTCATTTATGCAGTTGGACTAATACTCAGAAATGGATCGTGACCGGTCTTATATCCACAAGTGTGATGCTGTCGCACATGTCGTCGTCGATGATAGCTCCAGCTGCTAGGGATGTGGCGAAAGATCTTGGATCCACCAGCCCCATTTTTGAACCTTTACTAACTTCGGTATTCATCTTGGCATACGGTAAGGCCGAACCTACTACTTGGAATTCGTTGATAACGCTCCTTCCAGCTTTCGGCTTTCTGTATTTTGTTTCGATCGCTCACGTCTTGGGCCGTTCCAGAGTGGTGCAACTAGCCAATGTATTTTACATCGGTACTCTTGGTTTCCTCAAGCAGATCTAAGCAGACACTAACGGGATTTTAGTCTTCAATCTTCTCTGCGCTTTTGCGAAAAGATCCTAATACGATGTGGTTGTGTCGTTTCTTTGCTGGTATTAGTGCAAGTGCGCCACTGGCAGTGCGTGAAACAAGCTACTATAGCCGAGTTGTATCTGATCTATGTCCATTAATAGCTCCGTGGGGTGATTATTAGCGATTGTTGGAGCGCCCAAGAGGCCTAGTCGCGGGGTAGCTCTGCTTGCCATACCGTCTCTCTTGGGTCCAGTCATTGGACCTATTGTTGGTGCATGGCTCGTCATGAATACGACATGGAAATGGATCGTGAGCATCATCCTTATTTCTATAATTTCTTCTAGTCGTAACATTGTTTCAGTTCTGGTCGACTTCTATTGCTGCCGTCTTTGTCCAAGTCGGCTCCTTCTTTTGGCTCAAAGAGAGTAAGGCGATGTCTAAAGAGCCAATTGTCGCTTAATTTTTTTGCTGATAGCCTTGCGCACCTCTTATCCTGGCCCGAAAAGCAAAGTGACTGCAAAATGCCAGCAGTGGGGAAGAGAGAGTCAGATACGTCACGAGTCACCAGCAGAATCTACCTAAGTATACGATTGCTAGCACTCGAGATTATCTCTGATCTCTGCCCTACTAGTCCTTCCCTCACGCACATGATTCTACTGCTCCATCCCGTCTTTTTGCTTTTGACCGAACCTATGATCCAGCTACTAGGAATATATATGGCGTACATATAAGACTTACCGCTTCGTCTCTACTATTATGTGCTAATCATGTTCACTGATTATCTTCAGATACGGTAGGATACCACGGGAGGATGTCGCGTTCAATTGCTTTATCGACTCATCTTAATGTTCTAGGGCTAATATATTGTACGTTCTACAATCTTGTCCTTTCCTAAGCGTCTCTCTGACATTCTCACAGTGATACTAACGTCAATTCCAGACATCTTCGTTGTTGTATATCACGAGAGCCTCGGAATTGCAGGATTACATTACATCGCATTTGGGATTGGCCTTTATGGAGGAGCACAAATCGCCGATGCAACCCAGAACGAGTTATATCGCTGCCTCAGTGCCTCGCTACGGGACAAACTGGTCGTCCCTGAGTATCGAATCCGTGAGTGTCCTCTATTACTACATCATCGGTGATTTACTAACTTTTGTGAAGTCATTATACTACCCTGCTGCCCTGCTTGTGACTATCGGACTGCTCATAACAGGTACGTCACAATCATAAGCTCAATCTGGGAGATATTACTTAGATACATCATATTTTCAGGGTGGAGTGTTACAAGCGTTGTACACTGGGTCGTTCCGGATATTGTGAGCGTCTTCGCACGTAAGACTCTACCAAAGCTTACAGTGTCGTCGTACAGGGACTTGTCATCACGGGTGAAGACCTTTATTGTACTACAGGAGGCGACAACTTGATTCTTGTTTCCAAGTAGAGTAGGAATTACGGTAAACTGGAAAGCGATACAAGGGTACCTCATTGACACCTATACCGTTCGCGCTACGCCAGGTAAGTAAATGGCGTGTAGAGGTGCCGATGTCGACCTGACTTATTCCGCAGCTCACAGAGGGCTCTCTCTGCTTCGTTCACTGGGCGGTTTCGCTTTGCCGTTATGCTCTTCCAGCTTGTCAGCGATCATGATCTTCTATAATTCTTTCAATGACTGAGCTCCGAGCCTAGGTACGAGAATCTGGGATATGGGAAAGGAAACACTATACTGGCTGACTGGGCTCTGGGCATAGGAATCCTGCTGTAAGTCCGCTTCGCTCCAGTCAGGTCCTTGGATGCATAACACAAGCTAGGGTTTTGATCCTGTGGTTTTCGGGGACAATTCTACGCCGCAAAAGTGCAATGGTTATCCACGAGTAAGTATCGATAGAATATTACGATAATTTTACATTTGTATAATAAAATCGAAGAGGACGACGAAGAGTGTAGGCTGCAGGATAGGTACCTAGACTTTTGAAATGGCACTGTTCAATTTCAACTGGCTGTTTTACTCCTACTGGCCCAAGAATATTTCCAGAGTCGAACCCATGTGTTGACATTCGGTGCCATAGGAAGAACGAAATATAAAGATATCGAGCGCCATAGCTCTTATATCAATCATATCATCTGAGTCGGGGGGCAATCGGATTCCTTCTTCTGGCGTGCGCCTACAAGGGTCAAGGAGAAGCGCGAAGGATGCTGTACATACGCAACTGAAATAACAGTTTCCTGTGAATGATACAGATAGAAGCTTTCTGTCTATGTGTCTAGTTGTCTAAGGTTTTGAAAAGTGGACCAATAAACCCGCATGGTCTCCCCCAGAATCTATAGGAGTGAAAGTGTTACTGCAGTTATAGTTCTACAGACATCATCAAATCAGAACAATTCAGTTAAAATTTCCGAATACAACTCACGCAGTTGAAACGAACATGAAGATATCTACGGTTTGAACATTTCAGCATGACAATTGTGGCTCGGAGAATGAAAGAAACTAACATTGAAACAACAGGAAAACCTGAAATTAACCATTTCAGCGTAAGGGAGAAGAAAGAAAATGTGAAGGCCTACAGATAGTGTGTCTAGGTCATGATCCTTCGCATATAGTTGTGTCACGATCAGCTGACTATCATTGCCAGATTGAGTATCGCCTCTCAAAGCTAAAAATATGCTTACTTCACGGATGATGGTGTTCCACTCAGAAGCATAGCAACAAATCTCTGTCCAGTAGAAGCATCAACAATGGAAGCAGCAAAAGAAGATACTGCCCACCTCAACAAGAGCGTCCTTGAATATAACACCACGGTGAGTTAGCCCTTGTGTAAGAAGTATACCGATGACTGGAAGCAAGGCCAGCTTGCAAAACGCCACCCAGAACATTGCAGGCAACGGTATCTTATTAAACTGGACGCGGGATTTTCATGCAAGCGAACGAAGCACCCAATAGAATCAAAGACATTGGAACAGTCATGTTTCCGACGAATTCAGCTGCAAATAAAAGTGGCCTTTAGATCAGGAAGAGGTCGGCGATACACAAGGGGTGCTTGCCTGTATTGATGATGAACGTCAACGGCGGATTACCATCTGGACCGTGATAGTATGGACCACCGTCGACTTCTACGAACAGTGCTTTGAGTTGTGGAATGAGCGAGACTGGAATGGCGATATACATGCTCATCGTGATGGGCGTGAACAGACTCGACAGGGATTTGAAGGTTCTTCGCAAGAAAGGCGGAAGAGGGATGCGAAACGACCAAGCTTCTCCTCCTCCGCAGTCGGCTCAAGTTCCTGTTCGTCTGTGATGAACGGTCTCTGCACGGTGACGTTCAAAAGCTCTTTCAAGGAAGGCTGCGACGCGTTCGATGCTCGACGTGATGAACTAGCACGTGACCGAGTACCAAGATCAACAGACCGTCTCGGCTGAAAAGAATTGGCTGATAACCTCGAAGCCCTGCATGGAAGTTGTATCTCAGGGTCTATCTCCATCTCTCCGAGTTGCTTTCCCAAGACGACCGACAATCCCTTGTCCCTTGCCAAGTCGGCCCCTTCCTCGTCATTACCAACCTTCTCACAATGAGAGTCGTTCGGTCGGGAGAGGAATTTTGCCTGCACACGCAGGAAGAAAGCTGCTATGGGCTTTTCGCGCCAGCTAGCACGGACGTTTGCAGCGTCACCTTGAGGTACATCTGGAGCATAGTCCCACGCGAGTGTGTTCGCGGCGCCGCAAATCCACATAACGATGTTGTACGCGAGAATGAAAATTCGAAACATATGATACTCCGACTAGATATAGAAGGTCAAATACTATGTCAAATGAAATAGAAAAGCCCTTACGCTGCGGGTCTGTATCAGGATTGAATGGTTTCTGCTTCGCGACAGTAAGAACCACGGCTGTGGCTACACGAAGCCAAAATCACTACAAGACAAGAGAATATATCGGGTGTACGTACGCAAGCTGGTCCAGCTACTCATAGCCGTTGCTATCAGGATCCCAGCCCAGAAGTTCCGCGGGACATAGCAGAATTCGCGGATGAACACGCCGAATAAGAGTCCACAAGCCATGTAGACCTGGTGACGTGACTCAAAGTTAGAAACAGAAACCGTACATAGCTCGACTCACGAAGGCGACCAAGAAAAGCGGACCCATGGCCGAGATATTTTGCATGTTGAAGGCTGGAATGATATTCGAGAACAAGTAGGCCGGGTAGCGCGACGTTCATTGTCACCTGTTCCTCGAATTTCAGATACGACAGCGATAACACGTATAACCATATCATACCTGGGACATCCCCCTAGAAGCAGCAGGTGTGAAAAAACCCCTTCGCGTTAGCCAAAACCCGAAGAAGATAGCAAGGGACCTGTGTCTCAATCGTCAGTCGCAGGCGCGCGCAACAAAGCAAAGGTTCCTCACATCTTCAGCAAAGGCACAACCCCAGAATAAACAAGGAAGCCCACAGAATAACCCATTCTGCAGCAGAAAAAAAAGGTTGGGTAGTTTGTTTTCTAGTTCCATCGAGATATACTCTGCTGCTTTAAATTTAAATTTCTCGATACCTTCCGAGCGAGATATTACGCCAGGCTCGACAGCGAACTGTTTCCGTTGAAAGAGTACCTACCATCGTTACTAGAAGAAGAAAGGGTCCAAGAAGAGCTTAAGGTTAAGAAGCGCCCAGATTACATTAGTTGCGAGAAGTCGAGGTATTCCTCGGTTCGAATGTTAGTTGAGAACATTGGGGTGCTTACCACCTGGCGAGGGTGCAAAGATAGTGATAATCTATGACAAACTCAAAGTCGCAATCATGTGTCTATGAACTTGATACGTACCATGATGCCAACACGACGCTCTTCAAACTTGTCAATTGGTTCATCACCCAAGCAACAAATTTCCGTGGTCACGTTGTGTTCCCCATATTGCAATGAATTCTACGAAATTTGATGAACTCGGGTTCATCATCCACGAAACATCGATAATGACATGCTTGAAAATTGTACGCGAGTCACTGAGTGTAGGGAAGAAAACGTAACACGTAACGCTGGGCCCGCGGTTTCATTTAGTCATATGTAACACATAACGACTGCTTGGCTTCCGATAAAAAAAAGTTTTTTTTTCATTACTGCTCGCAGACAGTCCATGACTGTAGAGGAAAGAAACACCAAAGTGGGCACTGGCATTATGGCCAATAAGGAAAGAAATTTGGAAATAGACCTGGAATTACGCGTTACGTTTTCTGATTTCAGCAACAATAGACGGCATTAGAAGTACCATGGTAAACTTATGGACTTGTTCAAGCGATGATGGAAAGCACTTGGGAACAAATGCTTTACCGTGCCGCATGCCAACCAAATAAGCAACGAAACGGGTCCAAAATTATACGTTGCGGTTTCTTCCCTTCACTCACGTACAGTATAGTACGTAAGGCAGAGGCCCGAAGTCCTGGAGAAGAAATGACCCGTCTGAATGGTTTACTACTGCCCAGTATCTTATCGCGGGCAGACGGATCGTAACACCGTTAATTTGGCGAAAGGTGGGTAAGCGAGTTGGATAAAGCTGCGTTCATTACCACGTTGTTGTCAAGTCCGACAAACTAAGAGGCGACATCAACCATCGAGCTATATGTGAAGGAGTTGATTAGCCCAAACCTTGTGCGTGGTTTGCATGTAACTGGTGAAACGACGTCAAATCTTGATCGCCTGGTATGATTCATATTTAGAACTCGGACGAACAGATGATGATCCCGGCTTTTAAATTTATAAAACTTATGAATCCTCGCCTAATAGTCCGAATCCAGTAGGAGCTAAGAAAAAGGTGAATTGTGAAACCTGGACGTGAAGAGAAGACCGCCGAGAATTATCACAACCTACGGAATCGTGAGCGATGGATACAGTACTTCTATTCACACTGACAAGCAATTCCCCATCATAGAATTCAGCATATCGCAATGACAGATACATATTACTCAGTCTACCTCTTGTATGACCAACCCGTCACCCAATCCTCCGTCAATCTCGTCATCATCGCTATCGAAGGGAGAAATGAAACCTCCCCCTTCGCTCACGCCGACTACGAGTGACTTCAGCCTCGTTATAGTCTCCTCAGCCTCACCAGCAGCCCGGCTCTTTACACTCTCTACATAATCATCGACGTTGGCCATGGGATCCCATGAGATTCGGTTTCCACGCCAGCCGCCCATGTTGTGGACGTAGTTCATGAATGTTCGCCATATAGGATCCAGTGCCAGAACATCAGCGTTGCCGACAATGATGAGAAGGGCTTGAGCACGGGTCACAGCGACTACGGACAGTGTAAATCGTAATGGCCAGAAATAACTAAGGGTCAGGAACGCGAGACGCACCGTTGAACCGATGTGGACTTGCAACAAAGCCGAGAGAACGTCGAATATCTGAAGCAATGAACTCCGAGTTACTTCGCACAGTGGATATGATGACTATCCGGCGTTCCTATACAGGCAAAGGACGTGAGTACCTACAAAAGAAGTAAACGTGATTTAAAATACTTGTCCCTGAAACTCTTCAACGCTCCCAACGCTAATCTCCTCTAACTCTGGATCCTGGTAGAAGAGGTATAGAATTTTCATTCTCTGCGCATGATATGGCGTAATAACGGCGATATGGTCAGCGCCTCGGACCTTCTATCAGCACAATGACTGAAGTATCATTAGGAGAGATGCCTTACGTATACCTTTCTCTGCAACAAGCCGTGAACAATAGTTCTTTACGATTGTCGCTTCAATAATGTTGAAGTACGACGGCGACTCCTCCTCCCTTCGATCTTGACCGACCACAGCATGGAATATGATTGGGAACTTCTTCGTCGGAAGGTCGTCCCAATTTTCCATGCTCCTCGTCAACGTAGGGTCGCCAGCATGCCTGTAGTCGGTTTTCCGTAGAAGCGTGCATTCACGAAGGCCAAAATGTCTGGATGAGATCGGAAATTCTTGAGGAGTTCCATGATCCTGAAGCGCAGCAAACCATGAGAAAAACACGTCAAGTAAGAAAGAAAGTCGATACGTAACACCCCTGTCCACCACCACTTCCATTGCTATTCCAGGGCAACTAATTTATAACACGGTCTTTCCATCAACCTAACCAAATAGCTCTGCGAAAACCCTAGATCCTTTGCTAGGCCTGAATACACAGTCGGACCTAGCTGCTCCGGATCACCCGCTAGAATCACGTTCGTATAATCATCTGCCAGTTCCTTGATAGGGATCATAGTATCAGGGTTCTGTCGCCTGGCCAGCCTCATCGATAAAGATCCACCCAAAATGACCAGGCTTGACACCCAAGCTTGCAAGGGCACCAGCGGAAACACATGTGCAGACCACGACACGATATTTGAGGACATCTTCGAGAACCGGCATAGCAAAATATAAGTTTCCGTTAACGAGAGCGTGTTTGCGGAAGACTCGTGGGAAGGTCGTCGTACTTGCGGGACATAGGCATTCAGGCGGAAGACGTCCATGGGACCGAGGTGCATCAGTCCCTTGCACAATGAGGTCGGCAGACTTGTTGCTGGGTGTACACGCCAGGATGCGGGCCTCAGGATGACGGTGGAGGAGCTGTTGCATAGCTTCTACGATGGTCACCGTCTTTCCTGTTCCTGGACTGCGCAAATAACTTAGGTCAACTACTATAAACGCCAATGAAGGTAATTGCTTACGGTCCAAACACGATGAACGGCACGCTTCCCCTTGGTTGATGTACGATAGCGGCTACTGTCTCTAGCTGTTCAGGATTATCTCCCAGATTTTGATTGAAAGGGAATCAGATCCTCCAACGTGGCTGGAGAGATCGGTCCGCGCCTGCTGTCAGGTGCTCAGGACCTGGAAACAATAATCGAGCAGGGTCATTCTTGTTGACCAGAGCCTTGATGCGCTCGGCGGTGGGGTAGACGATTCAGAACGAAACGTATGTCAAACTTGGTTCCGCGGTACGTATTGAAAGTGTCGCTGAAACCAAGGGTGACGTGCGACTTGACAACCTTGTGAACGCGTCCTTCGAACCAAGTCTTTGTGGATTGATTGACAGGACGAGCGAGAATAAAATCTCCGACCAGGACAGAGGGGCGGCCTTTAGAAAGGCCTTTGACTTGGAGTCTAAACAAATTGATTGACGCTGACGTTCACAGAATACCAGAGAGGCTTACACGTAATTTGGGTGGGCCGACTTGATGTCAACATCATGCATAGAGTGGGCCATTAGGCCATACCTGTATGATGAAATGAGCACAGCGTCAGCACAGCCGAAAGCCAAAACAAACTTTTTCTGTTCTTCCTCTAAGTAAAGCATGGTCTGGAAGTACTGCGCGTACGTTGTAACGTTAAGCGACGAAGGCATGAATCGTTTGATAGCTTGTCTCGCAGATCTCTTGAAAGACCCAGTTTTCATTATATACTGCCTGAATCAGATTCTGAGGGACAGTCGAACGAGGGAAGCTTGGAGATCCACTTCGTCGGGGTCCAAGTAGGAGGACGAAGGCTACGTTTGATGGGACCATCTAACTTGATGTTGCGTCGCTTCCGTGGAGTGTAAGGAGCCTTGGGAGCGAGATGTTCGTGATCAGCAAGGCTACCGACAATAGCACAGATCCGTCTCTGGATAACAAACCGGCGACGCCTGACGATATTAGTGAATACAAGCTCCAGGGTGTCCTCAAAGCACCCGGCATAGGATGGATGGAACGTGATAAGGATCTTGTGAAGCCGAGAAGAGCGTATGAATTTCGAAGTTGGTGTTATAGCTACAGGAGAATCTAGTAAATGGTCAGTCTCTGTTTCCAATAGAATAAACAAAAAAGTGAAGCTTTCCCCTAGAAAGCAAATAGCCAGTATGAAAAGAAGGTGGCAGACAAAAAAGAGAAAGCTCCCGTAGAAATGTGGAGACGACTCACTTCACACCGTGCTCATCCTGCCTCCCCGAAGACAACATCCTGAACTTGGTCAACGAGATGGGCATGCTGGAGTCATCACCGCTAGTCCTCTTCACCAGCATTTCGGCTACCACGGGCTGTTGCTCGTCTTCATCGATGATTCCAAAATCAAGACCTGCCAGGTCAGACACTTCAATCCCGTTCTTATTTCTCTGAGCTTCCTCCAACACCGTCGCCAGCCGCTCTTGCGCTGTATGAGTCGTGACATGAGCCTCAAGCTCATTCTCCGGGAACTCTCTACTCGGACGGCAATGAGGGGACTGTTTCAGCGTCGGACTAGCCTTTTCCCGCTTCGATACGGGGCGCTGCGTGCCCGCAAGGATTTTCCGATGCCTTCGGCCGTGTACGTGGGCTTCAAAGTTGCAACTGTCAAGGACAAGTCCACAACTGCATTTTGTTATGTCGTGGCGTAGTTTGCATATCCCTGGAGGATGCCTGCAACCGCTGGGCGAGACAGAATCGTAGCACCACCCGACAGGCATCGTAGTGGTATGAGAAGAGACGCCGGTGTTGCCTTCTTCCCAGGCCCTCTAGTGGGATAAGGTAAAGCGTGACTGATGCCACAATACATGCATCAACGTAAAAAGTCACCTGGCGTTCCGGAAATCAGCGGGCGATAGCGACTAGACCTAATAGAAGTGGATGTTCAGGTCAACGATGACAACCCAGAAAAAGGATGGACATTGAAGCAAATTTACTTACGAGTACGTCGTCTAATAAAATCGAAATTGATGCCAGGACTTGGATTGGTAGAACCCGAAACGATTCTATATCCACTGATGGTAGCCATCTGCGTTGCATGCGGGACCAGAGCAGAGTTGATATCAGGGTGCTCAAGGACTATTGGTCTAGCCGGAATTCAACTGTCAGGTTTTGTGCACGTTTGTAATCTCGAGCTCGCACGGTACGCCGATCCTGCCATTCGCTAAGTCAAGTCACCCTTATCGTTCTTGTTTGAATTGAATTACGTGTCCGTTTAATTTCTGGGATATTCGTAGCGTAACAGCCTGTAGAGTTTATTAGCGGTTCCCACTGGCGTTGCCAACAAGTATAGCTCACCCGTTTTATGGATCAGTTGGTCGCTCTTCCGATTTTTCGGAGTTTTGTGATTCTAACATCCTGAGTCTCCCGATCCAGGAGTGCTTACGAACGAAATTCGGGCATCCTGGTCAACGAGGGAAAGACTATCGGATACAGATTCGGTGATAACGACTGATGGTCTTCGCTTGATTAATGTAACCAGCATCGACAAAACGAGGAGACCCCGCATTTTTCAATACGGAATATTACGCTAGTCAAGATAGAATTTCCAGTCTAAGCTTATTGAGTACACAGATACCTTTGAGAAGAAAAGGAGTTAATCGGTATAACATTTAACGCACGATGAGCAGACGCACCATATATTTCAATCTTCCGTGCAATAGTCTCTCACTCCCCTCCCCCCCTTCAAAGGGGGTATGAGACAGCGGTACCCTTGTATCCGCTGAACTGCCCTCTTTGCGTGGCAGCCATACATATCCCATCCGGAATTGAACCCACAGGTCCCCAGCCCTGACCCGCTTAAGGGTAGTCCTTGCACAAGGGAACGCTCCGTAGCCTTGAGGGACTTGAATGAAGTTCACTGCGATCCTGTTCTGTGGCTAGTGCTCATTGTTCGACGCGTCGACGACGACGATGGTCAATTGGTAAGTCAGAAGGTGAAAAAAGTTCAAACGCGGAAGTTGCCACGCGACCACCTGACGAAAAGTACGGTCCCTCCGGCCCGTGATAGGGAAGGTTACCGACGAACTTGAAACCTCAAAGATCCAAGCTCTTAGCTGTACATATGGGTAAAAATTCAAAGTCCATCGCGAATCAATACTACAAGGCGACTACAAGAAAAATCCATCAAGAAGTGACATTGAGGCCTGCATAGACTCCACCCTGTACCAATATCTCACTGCCGTCTGTCCCATTGATAGGGTAAGTCGTGTGGAGGGCGAGCGCATATGCAGCACCCTCAAACAAACCCGGGTAGTATGGGAACTAGGCGGTAAAGACGCATGAACAGGCTAACCCAATATTTGAACTAATTTCACGTACCTGCGCTGTGAAGGTAAGAGCCGGAGACAGAGGCGGTGCAGGCAAACTGAACTCCCGACGGTCAACCAGGATCGGAGGCTCATGACCATTGTTGCCCGAGGGAACCTCGATGTAAAAGTCGGTGTATCGCGGAACGATGCCAAAATAATTCACGGCGCATGAGAAATCGGCATGGATTGTGAACCACTGAGCATAGGAAAATTTGAATAAGCTGGCGCGTCGTATATCAAATGAATTCACTCACGGTGCCAGGTTGCAAATCGGAAGGAACTACTTGGAGGTTTCCAAACCGAGAAGCCTCCGGGCAAAACTGACGCTGGCCGATAGCTGAGGCGCTTGTTCCTACTGCAGCAAGGGCAAAGGCGAGAACAGAGGTAAGCTTCATGATGGGAAGGTATGAGCTTGAAAAACAACGAACACAATCCACGAGCTTTTATAACTTGGAGGGTGCAGGGACGAAGGCCTTGCCAGGCCGCGAAGGGAATTCTATGGAGCGTCGTTGTGCCTTTGGCCCAAATATGTGAAACGCAGAGCACATGAAACGTTTCCGAAATACATGCTTGGCTGCCGCATTATGGAGAGCCTACGTCCTCCCGCTGCATCCTCCCGCTACAGGTACGAGCAACGACTCGACTCGGATCTTAACCGATGGTCATTGGGGCCCGGAATCGAGAGTGGACAAGTGAAATGAACGTCAATGCTAGTCACACGTATGTTTACAAGGAGATCGCGCGGGGAATTATCGCCACTTTCAACTGCATAGTATTTCACCTGCCTAGAATGTTCTTAACCTTCAATGCTAGATCCGCGTGAAGACAATCACGCACACATGATTGAAACCTACCTCTGCCTTGACGATCAAACGTACACAGGTTATACTAGCACAGGAATCTAAGAGTCGACATCCAGTCAGATTTTAATTTTTTTGTGCAAGAGACCTGGGACAAGAGCGAGGTTTTATCGTAAGGCCTGGCGTCAAATGGAAACAGGATCATGAAACGAAACCGCGGCAGACAAGGGTGTCGATGTGATTGGAAGGCGTCTCCACCGTACGCTGCATTGCCAGGTTAGGTAAATATCCCGCCGTCCCGGATGGACATGAGGCCTCCGCGTCCCAGTCTTTGTTTGTTGATATAAGGGCAATGCTGCAGAATTAAAGGAGTTTTGAACGTGCATAAAAACAACAGTGAGGTGCGTGAGCGAGTAGGCTCGGTACCAACCTATCTGTCACTTTAATCTGGTCATTATTCCGTCCCTCATCCCCTCAATATGAACTACACGACCTCGTCAGACTGGTTCGAGTCTAGTGAGCGATGTATATCACCCGGAATATGATCATGGTGAGGATCGAATGAGGATCGGGCTCCGGCGTTCTACCGGTAACCAAAGTCCAGACACAACCACGTGCCCTATTATTTCCGGAAGCGGCTTACAATGACTCTAATTGATCCCGCGGGTATAAAAGGCCGCGTGGCACCAAAATTTTCTTGTCCGTAGCACTCATGGCGTATCCTTACCCTGGCCAATATTCAGAACAGTATTCGACCCCCTCAACACCGCGTGAAGCCTTCCCTTCCTGGGAAGCCATTGAACATCAACCTCAAGCCCAACAACAATCTGAGCCGATTTTTACAGGTCAGCTATCGCCGTTAACCCCAACGCTGATGCCAATATACACGCAAGCGGTGCAACCAGAGCATCTCACTGGTGCTGACCAGAGTTCGCCCGTCGATAATAATACTATTCGACTTCTTCCCGCGCCGCAGCCAAGGTCAGCTTTTGGTGACGTGGTAAATCTCAGATGAGTCTTATGCCCTTGTAGCACGTCGGAGCCGTCAACAAGAGGACGCCAACATCTCCGTAGAACTCCCCCTCGATCTCGGGAGCACAGGGTTCATCCTTATACCCGACCGGGCAGCGCGGCTGGTCCTAGTCAAAGCCAGGATCCTATCATTAGATTTGTCCCACCGATACTAGCCCCAGCCAGGGCACCTACCGCACCGCCTACCCCTCAACGTCTCCGCTCGTGGGCCGATTATTATTTCATCCGTTTAATCGTGACTCACGCAGTGACAGCTCCCCCGCTTCGGTCGGCAGCCGTGAACACACCTCTCTCTTGCTTTCACCAGCATCACGAACCCTCGTCATCCGATACGACTGGCGTTACGACCCAGAAACAACATCAATTACCGCCTACTTTGAGCTTCCCGGCGTTAAGCGCGAAGATATTTCAATCCGTCTCTGGACGTGTTTTTATAACCACTCCAGGCAGGTAACAGTGTACGCTACCAGGCATGCTCCCTTCCCAGGAGCAGCGACTTCACGTGATCCTGAACCAGGGAATGAAATATTTTGGATTGAGGGCAAGTACGGTCAATGCAAGAGGTCCATTGTCGTTCCTCCAGACTGCAAAGTACGCCCTCACCCTTCCTTCTCCCTCCTCATCTGCGCTCCGGTTCCTTTCTGTAAGACACCTGTGACTTACGATGTCCTAGCCTGAAGATATCGATGCAAGATATGAAGATGGGATTCTCGTTCTGAAGATCCAATGCGGTCCGCCTGATGACAAGAATGAAGTACAAATAGTACCTCTTCGATGAGAGTGTTGATCTGTTGTTGAGTCTTTGGTTCAAGAGCCTGTGTGTGATTCCGCCCACCCAACTCAAGATTTCAAAAATATCCTCTTTTGGCCCGGGAAAGGTTTTATTTGCGTTTTTCAACGTCCGCTCCGTCGTCTTGAATCTTTCTTGTAATTTTCATGAATTTTCCAAGTAACCTCGAAGAGTCGAGGGCTTGATTCATCATACCCTTTCATTATCGTTAGCATATCACTTTGCATTGTCGTATTTACTGTATCTAGTAGTATTTCATCACTTTTGCTCTTCTTGCGCTGGAAAGATCTGAGAAAACGGAGCCAGAGTTCTTCTCGTTTTTTACCCTCTAATCAAGGCGTCGCCTGAATTGAGGTCCACCTGTAAGTTACGCGTTTTACATACTGTTTATTGATATCCGTGTCATCAATGTTTTTGATGCCTCCGGTAGCACCAAGAGCACCAGATGGTATCCATGTTGCCAGCACTTCCCGCCATCCCTATATAACCTGAGTGCCTCACCGTTTACCGGCTCCGCCCACCCGGGTTGCCAGCGCCTCTATCACACTTTCTATCCGGGCGACGGCAGCACTTGCCCTCCTCCACCGTTGCCGCTGCATCCTACAACAAGACCACATAGATCCGCGCTAATCACGGTCACCATTGCGCACGCCATTTCTGATGCATGCCGAGCGTCGATTGCTATTATACTATCGACTGCCATCTGCAGCTACGTAGCTGGGCAGATAAAAACAGCAGCATTCAAGTCGATGAGAGCGACGAGGCTTTCAACACGACGTAGATTTGAGGGAGGGAGGGAGACAGCCTCGCAACGAATACTGGACTATGCAACCTGATGTTCGCGGTTTTGCTTTTGCTCCACTGGCTGGTAGCGGGTCGGAAGTTCGTACCATACGCCATCGACGCTCAAAGTCTGAGCGTAATGGAAGTTCTTTGGGCACTTTTTGGTAGTATTCATCAAGACGCTGAAGTGCAAGTATCCCTAGTGAATAACTGTCAGCTGAGGGAGACCGAAGAATGTTAGTGGCCTCGGCTAACCCGTGAAAGATGCCGCTCATGCATGGAATCGAGACTCTGTAGACGACGCATTAGCGTCAGCGGATTGAAATTCAATTAAATTGTAATAAAAGTACTAGTCCTTAGCCCAGGAATTTGACGAATCGCCTGTGATAATGGAAATGGGACCCGGGCAATGTAAATGCGAAGTTTGGGCATCGCCACCAACACCTTGTTCCTCGCTGAAACGTCGAGAACATCAAGAATAGGTACAGGGTAATTTCTCAGATCCTTCAAGAGTTCAGACGAAGGGAAAAGCATCACCATTGCGAGCTCTGGTGAGTGTGCATAAGCCAGCTTCAGGAACAGCGTGAATTCTGTCAGATAATCCTGTGGCGTCCATTAGCGGCGAAGCTTTCTACCAAGTGCAGCATCAGAATAAAGGTTTACTATAACACAGAACACAAACGAAGGGGACTTGCTGCTCAAATATGCTATAAAGACTCCATCGCTTCGGGCCGTCCGGGTTCAGCCTCGAAGGCATCCAATCCAGGTGGTATCTCAGTCATAATCGATACCCCTTTTCAGAGAGAAAATTATAGTGTTGGATCCAGAACTGTTCGCTGCTTGTGTGGACATGTAGCTGCCAGCCTACTCAAAACTGAAAGAGGTTGGAAAGAAACTTAGGTGGACCGGACCTTCGGACCGACATCCGAACGCTCCCAAATCGCCGGACTCCAGAGCCTGGACATCAGATAGCTATGCCTGCTATATACGACAAATCTACTAGTGCTATACCATAGCTAAACGATAATCGTCCAAAATATACGCAATGAGGAGGGTATCACCAGAGGTGGACTACCATTATACATAAATTTTACACCTCCCTAGGAGAGGTAGCCCTACTATTATGGTTACTCTGACTGCGCAGTCGTGTCCGTTCATCAATCGCTCCGTCGTCTTCATCGCCGTCCGTCTCGTCTTCCTCCCTCAGCTGCTGGAGACCGACATGCTCAACATGCCCATTAGGATGCCCTTCATCAAACGCATCGAACAAGGTCGTCGTTTGATTTCGGTAGGTCGAACTCCGCTGTCCTTGGCCTCCTGGTCGCGAAATCCCGTCTGGTCCAGTAACAATCCCGTGCCATCCGTCTATGGATAGTCTTCCATTATAGCTCAGATGGCCGGGGGCGTCCTCAGGAGCATTGTAGCCGGAGAGCTCAACAGACGGGCCCTGGTTTCGTGAGAGGTTGAGGAGGTGAACACCGAGGAAGATGACGATGAAGCCTGATATTAGGGAGATGGTATTTGTTGCATCGGTGGTATTGAAACCTTGGAAGAGAATGAGGGAGGCAACGATGGTTGAAGAGGAGAACCCGACGTAATACATAGGGTTTACTCTATAACGTGGATCAGCGGCGATGGAGAAAGATGTCTATGTGTGACGTACATATTCACGGAGAACGTGTCCAGAGATTTGTTCAAATAGTTCATCTGCACCATAATGCAGAACGCTGACACCAGTCCAAACGCATACGTGCTTGGTCGTAGGAACTGGTTGTTTCCTCCAAAAGTTAGCTTGACGGCGACACCGAAGCCTTTGATGGACATGACAGACACTGAGCCGACCACAGAACATATAGATATGTAGACAAGGGGATTTGTCCGGCCATAGCGGGGTACGGCATAGTAAATCATGATCAAGGTGAAGACAACGACGGTGAAAACGTACAACAGGAAACCTAGAACCAGTTTTAGGTCTCCGAAGAAGCAGAAGAAGAGAAGAGCGCACCTGGTTGTACCGCATATCCCAATATTTCATCAACAGTCTCAACAGCTTTGTCTTCCGGGGCGTGCAGAACAATGATCAGTGATCCAATTAGCGACAGCGTGCAACCGAGTCGTCCTAGATGACCTAGCCGCTCGCCGAGTAGGAAGGATGCGAGAACAGCGCTATTTGAGGTCAGCACATGTAGGCCAAGCTATACATAGAAATGCACGCACCCAATTAGAACGCTCAGTGCGCCTAGCGGTGTGACCAATATTGGAGGGGCGAAAGTATATGCAGCAAAATTTGCAGCTGCTGCGGGATAAGCAAATATCATTGATCAGAACGGAGAAATGAACCTTCTCCTAATACAACTGCACAAAAGTCAGTTTTTACAGCAAATAACCAAAACCTTGCACTACGCACGAGTCGACATCCCTGCCCACCATATTGGATTCTTCAGATATGTCATGTTATCCGATGCAGAGGCACCATAAGTAGTATCCGCCGAAGCATTGAGGCCCTGTGGTCGCCTTTCCAGTCAGTGACCCTTCCGGGACGAGGGGTGCATGGCTACGGACCTTTTTGGTTATTATGGAGCTGACACCGATTGCCGCTGAGCTGGACACCGCCAGCGCCAAACCTATCCATTTATCGTCCACCATGATCGTCTACAGCGAGCGACAAGGGCCCCAGGCCGTGGAAATATGAAACAAGCGTGAAGGTGGTGGTCGTAAATGAAGGGAAGAAATGAGTAGCCGGAACGGTCGTGGCAATGATCACGTGAGGATCATCGCCTTTATCTGCGAGGATTTTCAAGTTGGACCTTTCCTTTTTTTTGTTGTTCCCCGTCATCACTGGCAAAACTGAGTCGGTATTCTGAGGGCTGCTGTAATGAGAGCTCAGACATTACTGCCGGCATGATATCTTGGCTTCGGAAAAATACCTCCTAGGAGAAAAAGGCCCTCGGGCCGAGCCCTAACGACGAGTGCTTGACTGCCGAGTCTGTAGCCCTGCTTGCACCTGTACCTGTTCCAACGCTTATCGAGAGAAATCTGTTGGACCCTCATATTAGTACTCTGTAAACTTCCTAAAAGTTCCCCTTCAGGAAAGGACCTTGAACCCACACTTCGTGCCTTATCGTGCGGCTTCTTCCAAAGCATGTTTCTCTCAGCTCCAGTTCTTTCGTGGTCAGGGCCTCTCTTCTTCATGAGTCTGAGTATTTTTAAAGCCTTGTAATGGGCTACTGCACGGTGGCAATCAAACTTCTTCACCTGCTTATTGGGCGACGGTCAGTACCCCAGCAAACCCGAGGCCATTGTATTGGGAGAATCAGAAGTTAGCGTTCTAATTAACTTCTGATTCTCCCGCGTCCAGCCCAAACTCCCAGGTTAAACTTTTGATGCGTTCCTGATGACCTGATGATTTTCAACCTCGCCCTGCGCGAGTCTTTCCCCTCTGTCCCATACTGAAGTCTGCTTCTGCTTGAACAGCGATGGCCTTCTCCTCGTCCTGCTTCCAAGTAGATCAAGTTCCTCTATCGCCAAATCTTCGACCTGGCGAATCTTATTCACGGATGAATCAATAATCCCCAAAGCTTAACGCCACATACGCTGCCGGTGAGTCATCCCAGCTTTCCCATCTCGGTATGGCAACGATAATACCTCCCAAACATCTACAGGCATCAATTGGGGTCGAAGAATACATTTAAAAGCGCAGAGATAGCACTCCAGTGACAGTGCCCCATGGCGCGCAATCGCAATACTACCCAAGCCACCTGTGGCGCCCTCACCCACCTCCAAGAAAAATGCCTCTCGCTCGAAATCGAAATCAGCAGTCTGCGTAATGAGATCCACGCCCTGCGTAATGGCGCGATGGCGTTGTTGATGGAGAACGTAGACTTGAGGCGTGATGTGCAGGTACTCCGTGCGGAGTTACCAACGCCACAGACGGTTTGTGTCGACATCTTTCATCTTGCTCGGCGTCTGATAATTCCCCGGGTCTTGCAGGTACAAGAGGCGAATAATTTAATACAAGGCCTGTTGTTTATGTGTGAACGACTGGAGACGGAGAAACGTGGCAGAGATTCTTCTCTGGAGACCGTTTCAGTCTCGCCCGCCTCTTCCAGTACCTCTGACCAGGAGAGAATAATGGATTGCCTTGCATACCTCAGAGATGAACCGGTGCGTACTCCTTCTAATGATTCTCAGTTAATCTTGACTCCATCGCTTACTAGGAATGATGCAAATCAGACTGATTTGTTGAATTATCCCCCATCATTGACGTGTCGACTCGTCGTTTCTACTATTCCCACCCATCGTTCGATATACTTTAAATATTCTGTCAGCTTTTTCTTGATGCTTTAAGGAGGAGGAACTGAAGGTGTAAGATGTCCCAGTGGAGGAACAAAAACAAAAGTTCTCGGCCCGTCCTGTATTTATAGCAACTCAAAAGTATATCTGCATTCCCCCATGTTGGTGATTTTCGCAATAAGCCACACAGCTTGATTCAATATTGCTTAGTCACCTTACCAGCACGTCGACGATCATGCGTCATACGTTGCTTCACGCGTCATAGCCCCTATATAAACGCGTCGAACCCCTGACGCTTCCGTTTCGCATCTTCCCTCGCTCCCGCCACCATGACCATACTCGAGGGTGAAAATTATCTTCCGCAATTTCTGCGCCGACATCACCGTCTATATCAAGATCAGTCACGCTACCAAGAACGACCACAGGCGCGCCCTGTGCATATGGACGCCTGATACGGTGAGGTCATGCAGCAGGCAATCTGCAGAACTTGGCCAAAGACCATCATGAGATTGAACGCAGCAAACTCTTCCCCGACACAGGTCCGTCGTTTAGCCGCATCATTCCAGTGCATATACTCACCTTTTTCTAGCTGCTCGGATCACCCGGACGAAACGGATGGTTATATCCTTCCAAGGATGCATCGGCGATGATTGCAAAAAGAGCACTACGTACGGCGTCAAACTCGAGGTCCGTTTCTCTCAGGGGTGAACAGCTCGAAGGCATCACCATTCTCACCGCCACCTGTCAGGAGTAGTATGTCTCCCATGTTACGGCGAACCTAGTTCTAAATCTTCGAAAAATATAGCCGGGAAGATGCGCCATCATAGCAAGTCTTTCTCCGTCATCAAAGTCCAATCAGATTCATGGTATAGTTTGTCACATTGTCCATCGCATCATAACAGGGTCTGTTCAGATGGCTACGTCTACGAACACAGGGCGATGATCGCTCGCCAGAGTTCCATCATCCGATAGCGAACTTCCAACCTTATACGCCTCCGATGTCCTGCGAGGAAACATAAATCAAGGAAATGGATCAAGAAATGAAAACTACATACCACCCAAGATTACTTCCTCCAAAGATGAAGTCAATTCTCTGCCAAACTGAAGTGTCAGCTGGTCCATTAAACCCAGTATAAGTGGCAAAATTGTTAGAGACGCTCTGTCTCGGCGCCTGACCTCGAAGGTCAAGCATCTTGAAATCTGGAAGCTGATTCCCGACATTGTACTTAGCCGCGAATGTCGCGTTTATGGCCACTGGTGGGATTGCGCCAGTGATGATATTGTAAGCGCCAGAACTATTACCAGTTGAGGGACTATATTGAACGTCACTAAACGCGCTCTAGTGCCTCGACATATCCCACTCACCTGTTGAAGTCGCCTGTTACAAATACTGGGCCACGCGACCGTACAGCTTCATACCGTGCTCTCGTCAAAATCAATGACGCCCCAACTTGCCGCTGCATATCCGACTGATCATCCAGATGGGTGTTCAATACCGTGAACTTTGTTTTGGCGCCCGTTGTCAAGCTAAAGTTTGCCACAGTACACAGCCGGAAAGAGCCTGCTCCAGGGTATTTGGACGGCTCGAAAGGAGTGAGTCTATCAAACATGAACAAAGGTTCGCGAACGGAAGAGGATGAACGCACGAGAGCCAAAAGGTATCATTCGAAAGCAGCTTGACAGCAGATCTTTGTATCCCAGTGAACACAGATCATCTCTTTTACCTTGCCCAGACTCACTTCTTGTAGAACAACGGACTAAATTCCCCTGCTTCTACCCCATCGTCACGTCCAACACCAATCTACCAGTCCGTCAGCTAAAAACAGCCACCAGCATGAAGTAGCACTCACCCAACCCCAGTCATCCCCAAAGAGCTCCGCCAGATCGGTTACCTGCCTCACTAGTGCTTCCTGGAATCCAGAGATGATAGTTCCCTCACTCAGCAAATGTTCTGAAACGCGTAGCCTCCTCGTACTCCATGGCTGTTCCCCAGACAACCCCAAAAACGTCTCTTGCACAAGAGGATTACCCAAAGCAGAAATTGACTGCGATACAGTGATATTGTCGGGCATCGAGTCATATCTGAGGTTGTACGTAGAAATTCGAAAGTTGGTTGGATCAAGGCTGTCGATATGCATGTCTTGTGAGAGTGAGACGAGAGTGAAGTGAAGGAGGAGAATGACGTTCAGTGCCAAGGAGCGGAACCGTCGGGCCGATGCCATATCGCACGTGGACATGATGCCGATTTTCCCCATCACGACGTGCAAGAGAGACTCGGTCTGCTTTATATGTCTGCCAGGATATCTTCTTTTAGCCTTCTCTGATGGTTTCTGTCGACCAGTCATGTCGCGGCGTTAGCGCATGTGTGTTTCTACTGATTTATTTCTCACAGAAAGAATAGCGAAGCTAGGAAGTCTGAAGGTACGTCTGATCATGAATACTCAAGCACGTTGACTGCGTAGGCACAATCTATCCTGTGATTCAAGCCCATGCTTCCTCTCTCTATTTTTGAACAATGAAGCAGGTCTCCGTCCATCTCTCAACCGTTGGTTCTATCTATGGATTCAAATGACGCCATAGGGAACGAAAAAGACGAATACGTTCCAGGATGTTGGCTGAAGCAGGACACCTGCCATTGCATAAAGATAGACAACTCAAGCGCATGTTCTAGGTGAGTGCTCTTACAGAAAGCCAAACTAATTATAGGCTCCTAATTTCGACACGGAATCCTTCCTGTCAAGAAGAAAGACTGCCAGTAATATGCTTTTGCTGCTGTATAACGATTACGCCTAAGGAGATTACCTTTCAGTTCTACCACTTCAAATCTTGCCAGGAAACGCTTTACCTAGTGAGGTGGACAAGACCATGTAGACGCGAATTTGTTCCGCGCGGATATATACGTGCTTCTTCCATTTTTAGCTCATGATGGTGGTCCCGCCGATATGAGGAAGGTAATGCGCTTTTAACTTCATGATGGGCGTTATCAAATCCAACCCGTTGCCACTGCCGTGTGGAACGAGTGGGCCTTATTGCATTATCGGCTTTGAAAGCTCGAAGGAGATGGACGAGGGTACATGCAACGCAGTAATCCTTGGAGCGTTACCAGATTAAAATGGCACCTGAGATTCTGGTGTCCATCCTTCACAATCTATTCAGACCGGATGTATACAATATTGGTACGCCGTACGCTCATGCTTTACGATTTCCTGAGGATATGGATTAGTGTTGCCGCGGCTCAGCTTATCTCGGCTTAACACCGAAGTCGGTTTTGAGCCGCCGAGGATAGAAGGGTAGGGGGAACAAGAACACAGTTTCTGATAATACCAATAAGTCTCCTGAGTGAATGAAAACATCAAAACACCTGTCATTTTGCACGTTGGTGCAGTCAGAGCAAACGGCTCAAAACCGACTTCGGCGTTAAGCTGAGATAAGCTGAGCCGCGGCAACACTAATATGGATGCGTCTAATCTGTGTTCCAGAAATACAACGGACCGGACGACTTGAGGCCATTCTTTTTTCAGTTGATCTGAGCGAATCTGCCTTGATAAGCCAAATTCCACATCAAGTCTCACACTGCTTGCCTCGAAGAGGAAGATGTGGCTCAAAGGCATGTCTGGCCAACCAAACCATGGAGGAAGCTTCCGCCTTCCGTTTTCTGGAACGTGCGACAGAAACTCCTTTGCCTCCTTGAACTCCCGTTCTACTAGACAAATTTCGAGTTGGCTCAGGATCCTCTAGTTTCTCCTCATTCCCAGTCATCTGTTATCTCATTGTTGTTCTCGTTGCTCTCTCTTGCTCGACGATCATTTTGGTTTCGTACCCCGCTGTCCCCACATCCTCTGGCCGGTTTTTGGTGTCGTTATCGCGCTCCATACCCTGCCATTATTACTGATTTGGTCAGAATATGTCTTTATGTCAACGCTATGTTATTTTATCCCCCAAGGTGTATGCCATACCAACTGAATCTCAGGAACTGGGACTACCTTACATGAATCATTATTCTTGGGGTGCCATAGTCACCGTATCGGCACACTTTAGTGGGTAATGTGTCAAACATTGAAGAAACTTGATTTCTCCGCAGTGGCCTGGAACGCCATGACAGTACCCGTGTGGACCCCGTGTTTGTCATCCGAGAAGGTGTTCGGACGCATCCTTACTAGTTACCTGCGGACTCGGACTCGGACTCGGCTCTGATATCAGTCGCTTCGAGATTTATTAACAATATGGCCCAAGATCGTGCGTGACCCAACTACAGCAAGGACGACAGCTTTAAACTCCGGTGAAACGGAGTCATTAGGTCTTAAAATAGTCCCGGGCCATTGGTGTGAGATTAATTAAGTGGTAGGATAGGATTAAGTGAAATTGACTACTACAAAGTTGGCTCGTATTTATACCTAACTATGAAGAATGTTCTAGTAAAAACTACGGGTGTAGGATGCGCTGTCTGAGTAAGAAAGAAAGTGCTCGAAGTGTCGAGCAATGCAGGCTGATTAAGACTGAATCCGGATCTTGCGTTGGGATGATCTAATTATCCAACAATTGGTTCAGGACGACCGTCGGTAGACTTCCCAGGTTCGTCACATAAACTATTTCTAGGACATAGCCCGAGTTTTTTTTTTTTGCCTCAATGGATGAGCTCTATTATGACATTTACATCATTTTACAAGTCATGAACTTGCTCTCGATAGCCATGGGGACGATAGCTCTGATGACAACTGGAATGAATAAGATAACGGAGTTTCGAGCGATTGATCTGATTTGAGGCCAGGATGTATATTCAAGGCGGAGCTTCGGAGTGACTGAGGCAGCAATAGGCGCGCTATGATGCCAACAGAGACAACGAGGAGGATGTCATCGTGGTATCATTGATTTTCCTTGGAGGAAAGCCACGATCTGATTCGAACTCTGTAGTATGTGTATTGGTTCCAGACATGACTAACTAAAAAAGGATACCGCGAACCTCTAGCAGGCCTTGAGCTATTTTTGAACTTATGACGGATATTGGGAGGATGTCCGTGAACAGAAGGGGATGGGTGAATACCCTGTTTGGCCTCACGTAAGTGGATGTATTGAAATCAGTGGTCTCCCGAAGTAATACTACAGTCCTTCCCGTGTGCTGATTTATCTGCAGGGTAACTCACCATGCTGGATATGTCGCCTTGCACACTTGACGCCTTTTTCAATTTCAATTTCCGAAGCCGCCGCTGTAACCCATAAGTAAACGCGTACTTTTACCTCACTTCAACATTCTTGAGAGTAGCCATCAAGAGGGATGCCGGAAACTATTGAACTTCAATAGTATATGTGTCGTTGCGTTGAACGCAAGGGCACGTATACTAGTGTTTACGCCTGGGCCCGGAAGTTCAGGTCGCTATCTGAAGGCATCCGTCTCTTGTGCGAGTAGAGAGTGTGTTCTGAATGTCGTTATAGACAACTTGGTTTTTCAAGGCTTGTGACGGGACTTTATGGCGGGTTAAAGCTATTTAGTGAATCTTAGAGTGCCTTCTTGGCTTCTTTCTTATTCACAAAACCAGCATAGGCCGTCAACCTGTATGGAAACAGCTGTAAAAATTGCGGTAAATTGGGGACCCCGTCTCTAAATCCTAAGGCCTGGCTTTGGAGCCCTAGTAGTTCAACTTAGGCAATGTAAAACCGTGAGTTCAAGTTCTGATGTGCTGTCGAGACTGATGATACGTTCAGATCCAGGAGTGGCATCCATTGGCGACTCATAGATCGAGCTCAGTGATGGAGTCCGAAAGGAATAGGCCATTATGACTTCACATATAGCGTACGCTCCCGTATAAGTCTCTATAGCAGTAGTACCGACAGCAGGGTTTAGATCGAGAAGGCGACTGTTGGGCACAGGATCACGGTACCTAATAGGCCGGTCATTCCTGAACCACGGTTACAAAGCGATCTCGATGTGAAAGACAAAACCAGAGGTAGATTTGCTAGTACGGATTGAGGGTAGGCCCTTCTACAGATGAGGACTACAAGATGACCAGATAATTTCTTTGCCTGAGCCTTGTCAGAGGGTGAAAAGATGTCTGTCATCTTCAAATAATTTAGCTGCTTCCATCTTAGACAGTGGCTCAAGCGGATGTCCCCTTTAAAATCGTCATAATCATGAAAAGATACAGAGACATCATTCCGCAGCTAAGTCCAGAATTAATATGAGAATATTACCCGACTAAAAACCTTGCACAAATCGTATCAATCTCAGGGTTCCGAAAGAACACGCCAGGGACTAGTACTTGTACATGCCAACCTGTGACAAGAGTTACTCCGGGGAAAAGATAGCAGCGAAGATGCCTACAAGAACCATTGCCTCTTTTTCAACACAACGAGGGCATATCGAACTGATTCAGTAGGTAGCCCTACCAGCTCGGATATCCGTCGAAGAAGCCACAGCATTGAGGGATCGGGATGGCGGATTCCTGACAGACCAATTCCATTGTTCGGTATTCTTGGACTGGTGCGTAAATTTTGACAACAGTCGAGGCCGATGGAGCCAATTCTCCCTGTGTTTGTGTTTGTGCGGCCGGTAGGAGTCATGAAGGTGTTAGCATCGATTGTAATGGAATCATACAAAGGTTTAATTATGTCCTGATAGCTCAGACGGTTTACAGGGTTTTTCGAACTCTAAGGTGAGAATAAGGCCTGTGAGCGACCAACTGAATACAGACTCAGACTGGGGACGTACTACTAGGGAAGCCTTGTGATCACGCGTTCGACGAGAAAGAACGAACGGCTGGAGAATAAAAGCAAAAATGCACTCCGGTAGCAACCTGTTCATATAACACTTCAGCACGACTGTACAAATGATCACCTGAAATTCACAAACATCTTTGAAGTGGTACGCTTGGCTGTGACCGGTCTGACGTACAGATAATATCTTGGCAGATACCGTGTCTTGGTTTCCGGCGCTAACCGGCGGAGTTCGAATTCCACAATTCCAACCAGTAACTGCCGGTACTCAAAACTGGCAACTACGCTCTCACGAAAGTTGCTATTTTACCCCTCCAGCTTCGGTGTCGTATGCTATTCTCCAAGGTTCTGAATTAACTCCACAGCCTAGTTTGCTAATCCATACCCGTCTCTTCTGGCGAAGTCTTGTAATACTAAAATTTGCCATACAGTCTATCTTCAGCCCTTGCGTTTCGAGATAAATCTGGCTAAGGAACGATCCCAAGTTTACATATTGGCATTCAAATGCATCTGAGGATTTCCTTGAGTCAAGAGGCGGAGCATTCCGGAACAAACGACTCTGCAATTTCTTGCTAACCTCTTCAAGGCTTCTCTATATGTGACTGCCGACATATCCATCGTCCCTAGTTCAATGGCACCTTCATCTGAAGTAGATGTCTTCTCAACGCTCCAGTGTGGCTCTTAATCTCTCAGATATCGCGCAGTGCCTAGTGGTCAACAACAGTTCACTATTCTTATCTATGTTCCTCCGGCGTGACCTCTACGGCCCATCGAAGCCTAGTGCCCGTACCCGACACAACTGGGAGAGCGTGAAGGACAAGCATGGCGACGAATGTGGTTACTTCAGGTTTCCCTCTGATACGCGACGTCAACGATTTCTGTTCTTCTCACCATCCACGTCTGATTTCTTTCACTGATATTCCAGAACAGGATATGCTCCGCTTGTATGTGGGAAGGCTCATTAAATGCGGGATTTACGCTCTGTAAACCGGCGCAGCAGCTATTCTAACGGTACGTGAATACCTTTGAAGTCTCCACATTTGGTATCCTATTTGAACCAATTGGCATGTCACCATTCCTCATCATACGAGGTCAGGGCGTGAGATGATGTTGAAAATTCGAACACAAGCTAGAACATATTCTAGCCGTCATAATGTCAGTCCCTGCACCTAGTACCATGACTCACCACTTTGAATCATCAAGCGGGGACGTAAACCCCGGTTTAGATTTTCAAATAAAGATCTTGATGCCATGTAAGAAGGTGAGTGAGTAGTTCTTTTGTGCTGGCATCAGTAACAGTTTCACGAATTTTCCTGTACTTGATTTTCATTTTGGTAGGTCACATTTCTGAAGAAGCGGCGCGGCGCGGCGCGTATCAATTTACACCTTTCCGTGTTCGGACTTCGGGAGGTGCTGTCAAGAAAACATATTATACATGTCTGAGCTCAATATCGATCAGTCCGGCTTTACGAGCATCGCCCTCCTGACCCTGGACCTTATGTACGTTTTAGATCTAATCCGTGGGCTAAACTTGTCTGTTTTCCTCCGGCACTGTAATGGGTACTACTACATAAGCTCCCCCTCCTCCTCCTTCTTCCTTCCTTCCTCATCATTGACTTGAACCTCCAACAGGTTAGCTACTTGTTCTACATTCTTTTCTCCTGCTGAATAATTTTCAGCGAGCCAGAATGTCGTATAGCCTCCCAAACCGTGCATCAATCCAACCTACTTCCAGCCTTCAAGCTCACTTGGCTACTCTCGAAGTCGATGGCATAGCCATCGTCGGGACCAGCAATGGGCACATATATCATTTCCGAGTTTTCATTTACAACGGCGCGCAAGGCTGCAGTGTCAGCTTCGATTGTAATCCTACGTATGAGGCCAATGATCCGGATAAAGCTCGCGTTACCATCGACTTCAAGACTTACGCCTGGACCAAATCCCAAAATGCCCCTCCTAGTCAAATTCCCCCGTCCACTGGCGCCTTCGACGTCAAATTCAAGGCCGCAACGAAGGTGTCGAATATCTGCAACGTCGTATTCAACACTCTCAAGAGAGACCAATACCGGTGCGCTGTTTGTATGTTATTCGGTTTCATTATTCATCGCAATGCAGATTCAATGGCGGTATGGGATGCAGGCACTGGTGTGCTATCATCCTCAGCGATCTGGAGGTGTATGGCTATGTTGCGTACGGTACCACCTTGCAGTTCGAGACATGGGAACAAGCCAAGTGCAGAGAACTTGGCGCAGCCGCTTTCGTCCACCCTCGCGTTCCAGGGAATTTCTATAACTGATTCTGCTCTTCACCAAAAGTCGAATTTGTAAACCAAATGATATTCGAGAAGGGACTATGATTATGAGTAAACTACAAATACATTTCTTCCTTATCGTGTCACTGTTGAAATCATATACAGTCTGGAATCGGTGTTCCTTACATAGAGACGCTATTGTTGGTCCCGCGACACCAGTACAAGGCAATACGCTCTATGAGTAAATTTAAAAGCATGCAACGCCATCCAGGACCGGCAAAGAACACAGTCATGTCGCCTGTACTATCAAATTCAATTATATACACGGGCGGTATGGTCGCTTTCATAAGTCTTCCATACCAATCTGCGAAGTAATTCACTAGGAGATATGACGGAAAAGAATACGACATACCAAGTCTGGGATATCAGCGCTCATTGATACGAGGGAAAATCGGATCGCATCGACGTAAGGCCACTGGCCTCGGGAATTGGATTTCCCAAATATCCACGAGTTCAGTTTATTCCACGACCCGCTATCCCCATGCAAACGGTAGACTTCCCTCATATTCGCACCCTCAAACCATTCAGGGTAAAACCCAGCATTATCCCAGTCTATCACCCAAAGCTGCCCGTCCTTTCCGAGTATCAGATTTCGCATATGCAAGTCCTGGTGAGTAAATACCAAGGGTTTGGTATCGTCAAAAAATGGATCTATTGTCTTGAATGCTTCGAAGTTGGGATGAAATCTCTGCATAACAAGAAGTCTGTTGCGATACCATGCCGCCATGTGGGCATACGATCGGAATGGCCCTGCACCGGAATCGTTGAAGAGACTACCTGTACACCTTTCTGGACCGGCTCCTCCAAAGGGACCGGGAAGTTGGCACAGGTGAGGATTTCGACGAGAAATACTGCGGAGCTGATACACATAATGCCATAGTGATACGACAACGCGAAAGCGCATCCAGAGCCCGAGGTTGTCCCAAACAGATGCCAGGGTCTGACCCTCGATAAGGGACATAGCCAGGTAGCGGGGGAAAACTGAGTCGATGGAACGATAGCATAATGGGACGGGAATAGTTGTTTCTTTCCGGACGAGCACCATAGCCTGTGACTCTTGAGCACCTGGAAAACGTTTGACAACGGTGCCAAATCCAATGGAGCCGACATTTCCTGGGTTCGGGAAATCTAAGAACGTCTGAAAAGTACCCGCGTCAATTTTAGAAGATTCTTTCCATAGCTTGATTATGTCGGAATCGGTGAGATGTTTGATAGGGTCATGCTGCTGATCGAAAATAAACACGAAACTGTAAGCAAAGCTAAAAAGCAGAAACGGGAGACATACTTCCGACGCGGCATCTGAGTCTCCAAGCGTCCGATGTGAAAGAACGAAAGGCTGAAGGATGAACGCCAAAAATCGCTCTACTAAGGACCTGCTCGAAAGAATATGACAGCATTTAGCTTGTAGCTCAAATTCTAAGTGAATAACATACATTCGCGGAACTCGTTGAGGATATCGCAAAGCGCTCGAGGTAAAAATATTGGCGGGATTAGCCGACGGAGCATACGAAAGGCTGTACCGCGGCCCTACTTATGTGCCGTCCTATAATTGCCATCCGGATCTTTACAAGCTGACTCATGCCCGTATTTAAATGACAAGATATTTTTCAAACTTCAAGTTAACATAGTACGGGATCAAATTCCCCCACCGTCAACTCATCAAGACATGGCTTCTTCGCCGTCTTTTTGTCGCATATTACCTGGTGCAATTCGGGCGGTTCGCTGCATTGTGTCATCGTTACTCCTTTGTACTACCGATTCCACTCTATATCCTCTCCTCCGTTGGTACCCCACACGCCCCCACACTGAACGATCAATGCTATTGATGTCACATCTAGTTGTAATTAACCGACGTCGCCTTGACGTATTCATCCATTATGATTCAATATGTATGGCATTGGTGGTTATTTTATTGAAGACGATCTTGCCGCAGTAGAAACCTGCTATACCGTGAAACCTAAGTCTGAACAGGGTCATCAAACAAGGGGATGTTCTGTCTCAATATTTAATAAGGACTTACATGTAATAATAAATGAACTGGCAATACTTGACCCGCGGAAGACGGAGCTTCATACTATGTAAATAGTCTTGTTCTGATGCTTGTCTTTCACGTACTCGTCAGTAGCATGTCATGCCGTCCATTCCACGATGGAGGATGTGAAATTCCCCCCGACAAGAGGCATCAAGGATGATGGTATTATAGAAACAAACATGCAGATCAGACGTCATCCTTTAGATGTTGCCCAGATGCTAAGAACCAGATGTAGGGTGGTGAGAGCCAAGCGAATACAAAGGGACAGATTGCGAAGTAATAAAATCAGCAAGCGCCTAGACAACCAGAAAAAGGCTGTGGAGAAAACTAGATGGTTTTCTGGGACTTTGTTAGTACGTAGACGGGAACAGATCAGAGATCAGAAATCTTTACTCGATATTTCCAATTCGGTGCGAGACACCTATCGGAAGCAGAAGCCAGAGAGACCACTGCCGAGGGATGAATCGGGAGATCCCCGTTAAATCAAGATCCGGAGCGCACGGAACAAGACGAGTCGAACAACGAAGATGAATGAAACAATGCAGCTGAGTATTGGTGAATGGACGTAGCCTTACCTGCATCTACATCAACCGTTTTCTGAGAACATAGCCGGCTACTGGTGAAAATGGCATGACATGACATGTGCCTTCAACGCCAGTAAGGCGCGAAGTGTCGGGGAAAAAACGCCGGTCTTTATGCAAATTTCTGAAGCCTGGGCACTGGACCGTTAATACAATAGAGAGAAGCGTATAGTATGAATGATAGTGAGGAAATTAATTTTTTTTTTAAAATCTGTGCCTGGAAGTGAAGGAAAATGAATTCAATTAACGTATATGGGAAAGACTGTTACCATAACATCCCGCGGAAGATGGGCAGATATTATAATTTTCCTGAGAACCTCAAAGTTACCAGTCGCGTATGTTGGTAGATAGAGATTCCAACTAGATCTGAGGGCCACGATCACCGCGCGGGCCCAGTACAGAGACCACAAGCGCCGTGATTAATGAAATAGGGCTGAGACGCCACTCCAGATAATGACAAAAGAGGTTAGAGAGAGGTGCGCGTACGGGTTTAGGCACTTGGAAGATGGTCAGAGATGTCACAGGTCTTTCGTCATGGAAAAAACGCACATCCAGCTATCCCAAGGAAATAGATCTCAAACCCAGAAACACGTAAAACCAGGCATGGTCATGAATGTTAGGATGAAAAACCAAGGAGAATGGGAACACTGCAATCATTTGCGAGTAAACAGACCATCCATGCAACTAGGATGCCACTACTAAATTATATAGCGTCTAGATGGCATTTGAGGTTGAGTTCCAGGATGGACATCAGAGACGCAGTGGGTGGCAAAATCAGCTCCGACTCGGAATCGGAGCCATCAAGGAATCCTTGTAACTACGACAATAAGCCGAAGAGTGAACCCGAAGGATCACCCCTTGCCTCATTCCGAGTACATGCTTCCAGACATCACCCTGAATGAACACCGTCTTAGCCGGTTGAAGGACGGCAATCAATGACGGTATGTAGCCGAGGGTGCTGAGAGCAAGCCTGCCACGGTTCAACTTTAACGACTGGTATACGCCAAGTGTACGTTAATTAAAATGTATTACATGAATATGACCGGAAACGCACCAAACCAAGGGAAAGAAAAAGCAGGCAGGATATATTCTGGACGCGTGACGGAGTCGACTCCAGTCCTTGGAAGAAAAAGACCGTAATTGAATGCCCGGCTTTGTCCGAGGCACTTCGGTCCGGACTTCCTGCTTCTTTTTAAGTTCAGACCGCCTTCTCAGCTTTCATGAAAAGATTCAAAAATTCGAAGAAACATCGAGCATGCCTTCCGATCTGTATAGGACTAGTAGCATCTCTCCTTCACAAAGATATAGGTACGAAATATAAAACATTCCATGCAGGTAGAGCATCATGATGCCGTAGCTCGCCACCGTGACAGGCAAGGTTGTAGTCGCGGACTTTCCGAGGACATAGATTTTGGAAGGAATAGCGCAGATGGCAAGGTGAGTACCCCTTCTCTATATCATTTTGATAACAGAGACGAGGCTTCTCTTCGCTTGTTGATATCCATTAAACTTTCACCGTCTCAAATACAAGTCACCGTCGCTCATCGGCATGCATAGCAATCGGTACAGATCCACGCACCCTTCGTTTTCAGGGATAAAAAATTTCAACAACCAAGCAAAGTCCCAGTCTACAACCCGATAATTTCCGACATTAAGCTAGCCCGGAGTTACTAGCGCCATGATGTAGGAACCGCAGCGGCGTCCTCCTGACCTTCTCTTACTCAAGATCCCTTTTGTTCTCTCGGGACGTCCGGATATTCGTCTGAGTGAAATCTATTTCTTCTTTCCTTCTCTCTGTCTGTCAGGATCTATTGCGGATAGGTTAGCCTCTCACTGTCTTCCTTTCCTTCACGGGCTGAAAATGCAGTTCAGAATGTCATACGCGCTCCCAAATCGTGCATCTATCTCCTCCACAAGCGAGCTTCGGCTTCAGCTGAATACCTTCGAAGTTGATGGAGTCGCCCTCGTCGGTATCAGTAATGGACATACATATCATTTCCAGGTTTTCATCTACAATCGCGCTCTTGACTGCAGCGTGAGCCTCAACTGTAATCCTTCGTACGACTTTCGTGATCCGGATCAGGCGCGTGTCGACATTGACTTCAAGACGAGTGCCTATACCCAGTTCGAAGACATTACACCCGGTCGGATTCCTCCGTCCACTGGGCTTTTCGATGTCAGTTTGAAGGCCTCCACGCAGGTATGGAAGATCTTCAACGTACTGTTCGACACTCTTAAGAGAGACCAATACCGGTGCGTCGATATCACATCGATTGACTTTATCATTAATCAGAGAGCAGATTTAATAGTGGTTTAGGGTGTAGGCACTGGTGTGCTACTATCCTTAGCGATCTGGAGACGCATGGCTATGTTTCGCCTGGTGATACCATGAAGTTTGAGATTTGGGAGGGAGCCAAGCACGCGGAATTTGGTGCTGCAGTTTTCTTCCTGCCTCGCATCCAGGGAGATTTTTTTGATCGAGCGCTGCCTATCGACTTGAATCTACATCCTACGTGACTTGCTGTTCGACAGCACTCAGCGTTGAAGCTGGATGTCTTACTACGTATCTACGAGACATTCACTTTATACACGCTGCTATGCCCCTAGTAGATTGGCTTTCGTCAGCCGTAAACACGGTAGGAGGATACACTACGGGTAGCAGCTTAAGCAAACTTTGAATAAAAGCAGGAGCTTGTTCGTGCCAATTTGGTCTAACGGCAAGCAAAATATGTTAGAATACAAGAGTGCGGTTGTAGTTATCTATAATAAGATATAACTCAGACTGGCACTCGTAATGCGAGAGAACACGTCTATTCACCTATAATAAGATATAACTACGGTGAATGTAAGTAAAGGTAAAGATAACAAGTAAGTAAGGATATGATCTCACCTCAGACTGGCACTCGTAATGCGAGAGAACACGTCTGAGGTGCACGAGTAAATCTACGAGGTATATATACTATTCAGTGACAGTATGAATGTAAGTAGACAGAAGGAATAAAAGAATGAAAATAACACGACGTGTAAATACTACTAAGTCCGTGGGTATAAACGGGTCCGACTATGGGCGTACTTGTATCTCCAACAAAATAATATACTTTTCTGGGCTGCCCCATTGTTAGACGGGACCAGGAGATTGACATACCTCATCACCCCAGAGAGAATACTACTACAATGACTGAGACATATAACCAATGATGAGGAGGTGCACCTAATCGTGATCAGGCTCTCAGAGACGCAGCTATCTCTTCTCAGGTAGCGAGAGGACTCATGGACAAAGAGGGAGAGTAATTTCCTAAGTTGTACATTCTCCTTGGATGGAATATATATTCGCCTACGATAGTATCAGTTTGATATACTTGTTTTCAATCTTGGTTTTTTGGAGATCAAATCCAAATAATCTTGCCTAATGGTCGTAGCCATGGCGATCTGTGAGCGAGCAGGCAGGTGTTCCCTTACCAATTAGTGAGCTTCACGACTCCAGACAATCACCTAACGAACTAGTCTAATGTCGCATACCAACTTTATCAATTTAAGAGAAGTGCCGAATTAATGAAATCCTCGTGGGACATTACATTAATTGTGGACACAAAATTGCAAACAGAAAGAAGATACACAAGAGCGACGATACGATGTTCAGTTAGAGGACTCAAGAGGTCAAGATGTCGCAGTAGTGCCCAACCACATCTGTGGTATTCCTACATTTATTAGTCATCCTGCCTATGCCATGGTTCATCCTGAACACCAGGTAGTGTCATAGTCTCCATCTGCCGCGTAAACTCATCCATTTCTCTTGAGCTGCCTCACGGATGGCACGATCATATCCACCTGTCTCGTCAACAGCTGCGTCCGCATCCCAAGATATCGGGAGACCTCTCCAACCCCCCCGCTTGTAGATATAGTTCAAGAATGAACGCCAGAGCGGGTCAAGAGAGAGCACAGTAGGGTCTCCGATTATAACAAGCAATGCTTTCGCCCGTGTTACCGCAACTGGGAAAAAGGAAAATATCATGAGCTGGCAGTGGAAAAAAAAATGAGCAAATGGACATGGACGGACCATTGAACCGACGGGGGTTTGCAACGAATCCTGAGTGTGGCGGAGGTCGAACTCGATGAACTCCGTGCTGCTTCTGACGGTTGATATGATAATCACTTTGCGCTCCTGATTAACAAGCATCAGTGTTTCCGTATACTAGCATGGGAGCAAGTGGTTATCATTACCTGCCCTTGGAATTCCTCAACGCTTCCGGCCTGAATTCCTGCAGCGATCTTTCCCAGCGCCTTCCGTATTCGGCGGACTTGCGCATGGTAAGGTGCAATAACATCGATATCGTCGACAGCTAAACGATCCATTAGGCATCACTCAATATAAAGTAAGGACGACTGACTGAGCTTCAACCTCTTATCACCTAGGAGTTCCTCGACCTTGGTCTTCACCTCTGACACTTCGTCGATGTTAAAGAATGACGGTGAAGATGCCTCGCGATCATCTTGGCCGGCCATAGCATGGAAGACGATAGGGAAGTCCTTAGCCTCAAGGTGGTCTGATCCAATGAACACACCGACGCTTTTAGGATCAGCACATGGTTGGAGATCACCCTTGTAGAAGCGCTCGTTAGGAAATTTGAGGATCGCAGAGTGCGAACGGAAGTTTTGGGTAAGTTTGACAACCCTACAAAGAAACACTAGAATGAGTGCGACCTCAAAAGAATAGAGAAGACTCACGATTTACCATGTCCCCCGACCTCATCGTAGATGTCTCTCTGCATCAGATGTTCGATATAGCTGGTGTCCAGTCCGAAGTTCCTAGCGATAGCCGACCGGATGACGGGTCCGAGCTGTTTAGGATCGCCCGACAACACAACAGTGGTCTTATTGTCCGCCATTGTCTTTACAGAAATCATCGCCTCAGGTTCTGTTGCCCGGCCAGCTTCATCGATGAAAATATGTGTAAAGTGTCCCCGCTGTACCCCAGTATTGAAGAACACCGCGGCAGACACACACGTTGCCACTATCACTTTGAATTGCGTGACCCTCTGGCAGTCTGGAAGAGCATAATGCTCAGACTTCATGAATGTGTATGGCTGGAGATCCGCGGGAACAGCGATTTTGGGTCGGGACGGGGCGTAAAACCGGAAGAGCTTGTCATTGCTTAATGCCTTTAGCCGTTGGGCGATGAGATCGCCAGCAGAGTTGCTTGGCGCGCAGGCGAGGACTCGGGCATTAGGATTAGTTCGCAAGATTTGTAAGATGGCTTCTACAACTGTCACAGTTTTTCCGGTGCCAGGACTAGATCACAAACAGGAATTGTAAGCTCTTCACTTTCAAACTGTTACAAGACACAACACTCACGGGCCAAAGATCACAAACGGAACGGTCCCAGGTCGTCGACGAATGATACAGTCAACAGCCTGGCGCTGTCTTGCATTTGTGTCGATTAATGGGTTGATGGCGGTCCATGGGACGGCGGGAGATGGCTGCAAGATGTGTGCTGCCACTGGGAGAAGCAGACGCCCTGGCGCGAAGGCCGTCTCTAGCGCTTGGTGCTGACGCCGAAGAGGAATCCGGTTCAACTTGAATCTGACGTGTAAACGATCGGACGGAGACACTTGGAATTTGGGACTGAAGCGTAAGCCAACGGTTTCTAGCATGACACCGTGAACCCCGCCAGAGAACCAATGACCCTCTGGAGCGTCCTTCTTCCGTACCAGAATGTTATCGCCTAGGAATTGTCAGCACCACGTTAAGACCGTTGAGGTGAATTCGCACCAATTAACACGCTTGGACGCTTCTCAGCTAACCCTGGCACGGAAAGACTAAGATAACACAAGTAAGTGTGTATATGCAAAGGAACACAGTGAACACGAACTCATAGTATTGGTTACGACGAGTAACTGTAGCGTTCTTGATATCATAACCATGGAGGTCGTAGCTTGAGCGACTACTTCAGCCTTCAGCCAGCGGTAACAGAAGGAGAAAACATACGATTGCTTGTGTTCCTCAACCCATAACAAGACCTGATAGAACCGCCCGTATGAGCTTGTGTCAATGCTCGGCGGTAAGAACAGGTCCTTGAGCTTCTTCGTGATTTCAGAGACGGTCCCCGAAGAAATAGTGTCCAAGAGAGGTTTAGGAATATCGGCGAAAGGCAAAGTAATAGAATAAGGAATGACTGTTAACGCAGGTGGCCGTACGCCTTCAACGATATTTAGCTCAGGATGGCGGGTGGTCCGCTCTCTAGAGACATAAGCGGATTTAGGCTTGAGAGCTTTGTAGTCGGCCTTGCTGCCGACGATCAAATGAATGGGGCGAGCTATAAGGAACTGGGTGTGAAGATTGAGGTCCTCGAAGACCAAATCCAAACGGTCGTCTGCCCTGCCAGCCTGAGTTTGTTTAGCAGTGACGGTAAGACTAATTGGGCTTCCTGCTTTCAACACTACCCGATTAACTGTGACGGAAAATCTAATTGGCGTCAATGGTGTCACAACAGGTTCAGAACAACGACGCACGGAGTAGGCCTCATTTTTCCCTTCATTCCCTTCAAAGACGCGAGCTGCGTCTTGACGAGCTTGATATTTGCGCTTGGGACCGCAGTCTCGATGAGGGTGGAAATCTTGACACCTTGGCTAGCAGATGCTTTTTTGACAACCTTGAAGTCGAGCTCCCCTTTCACCGTGACTCCATGCTTGTCTCTCTCCGCCTGCTCCAGGACGACGGAAAACACGGCAAACTGCTCTTTACTCTTGTGTTTGTCAGTCGCGACATGTCGAGGCCACGTCTGCTCGGGGATTTGTTGGTTACAAAACGTGCACAGCCTGTGCCCCGGGATAACCTCCGACTGCTGTGCCGAAATATTTGGGCTGACGCCTGCCTCCTTCGCTCGACGAATGTGGAGTAAAGATTTGATATGAAGGTCAAAAGCAACGCGACCGGAATAGTGTAAATCGCACAGATAACAGAAAAACCAATTTGAGCCTTGCTCTTGGAGGGCGTCCTTGTGTTCTTTCTGCGACAAATGACTGGTGTAGGCATCGGTAGAAGGAAATACTAGTCGACACAAATCACATGTGGATACGTTATGATTCGCGTGACAAGCAGGATCTCTACACGATCCTGCAGAGAGTAGTCTGTCGCAGATAGGCAAAACCATGGTGGGGGAGAAACGCGAAACGAAGGATTCTTACCTTACCCTCTTTAAGAATCCTCTCTATAAGCGCCGTGTGGGAATGATAAGGACCCTTTCGTACCATATTCATCCGTTCCTCCGGCCTCGAGGACTACACGCTTTGACGTAAGTTCCCAGATCCTCGTTCAGGTTCATCCCCTGAAAGCAAAGACCTTTTCGCTTCATGACATGCCAAACGGAATGCACGGAGGATTCATCTACCTGCAAGGACACTGTATGATTCAAGCAAGTCAGCAGAGTCGATAAATGGCGTGCCACAGAGGGCTGTGAAGATAACGACGACGCGACTACTCCCACCCAAAACCCGGTGACGTGAATTTTGACAGGAGTCGTGAAGAGGTGAAGATGTTGAGGAAAGTCAAAGCACGTGGTAGTCGCGCCGGAGTAACCGTATTCAGCCTTCTCAGTCGCTGAGGTCGAAGCCCCATCACTTGCTTCAGTCAATGCTAACATGGAGGCCCTTACGGTGTCGAAAGCAATCATATAAATTATTACCGCAAAGTCTACGAGAACAGCTTGCTGACGGATGTGTTTCCTTCTTGGTTCTTCTTCAAAACCTGTTGTACAAGCATGATTTAGCAACGCAGGTGACTGGAACGCTTTCACAAACCTTAGCAACAGCAAATTCAAAGTCCTCCTGTGTAACATGCTGCCGTCGTTCCCGGAGAGCGTACATACCTACGGAGCGCTAGTGTGAACGAGCGCGAAGGGAGAATGAAAAACCTACCAGCTTCCGTGCATATACCGCGCACCTCTGCACCTGAACACTGCCCCATTTTCTCTGCCAGCGCACGTAAATTTATACCACGTTGTAAGGACATCTACTTCAGGGTAAGGAAAACGCCGTGACGGAGGTGGGTCCGCCTTCTCACCTTACGGGAATGAATACGAAGAATAGCGACACGCGCTTCAGGGCCGGGAGGAGGGAATTCGATCTTCCGATCTATTCGACCTGGCCGGAGCAACGCAGAGTCCAAGATGTCTGAAGATCCAGGTCAGTACATGGCCATGTCAATGGTGCGCACTACACACCTATCCGGTTAGTAGCCATGATGACCTTAATGTTCTTGGTCGACTCGAAACCGTCCAGCTGGTTTAACAACTCCAACATCGTTCTCTGGACCTCCGAGTCTCCGCCACCACTACCGCTGTCTCCTCTGGAACTACCGATGGAGTCGATCTCGTCCATGAAGATGATACTTGGCGCATGCTCTCGAGCCATGACGAATAGCTCTCGCACCATCCGACTACCCTCACCAATGTACTTCTGCACCAGTTCGCTACCACTGACCCTGATGAACTTGCAGTCCGTATGGTGCGCTACTGCTCGAGCCAAGAGGGTCTTGCCTGTTCCTGGAGGACCGTACAAGAGGACACCCTTCGGCTGAGCGATACCCAACGACTCGAACAGTTCTGGATGCTTCACCGGGAGTTCGATAACTTCCTTGATCTCTTTAATCTGTTTGTCGAGACCTCCGACCATCTCGTATGTGCTATCTGGGACTTTCTCGACCATCATGAGCGAAACTAGCGGGTCGACTTTGTTAGGGAGAATTTTGTGGATGGTGTACGAGTCGGAGCGGAGAGCGATACGGAGAGAAGCTTTGAGCTGGTTGACGTCGATTTCCGAGTCGAGGTCGACAACTGGATGCTTAATGAGAGAAATAAAAGGTAATAGTGAAGCATTGGCGTACTGTATTTGCCTTCCGGCTGCACTTTCACAAGGACCTTATTCTTGCCCATCACTTTCACCACCTCGCCCACGTAGCTACCTGGCTCATGCAGTAGCTGCAGCTCTTCACGCAGCAGTCGCACTACCAAAGAAAATGTGCATTAGCCTCTCGTAACCACAGACAGCGGTATTCCTTACCTCGAGCATTGAGAGCATTTCGTTGTGCCTCTAACCGTCGCAAATTCTGGGTTTTCTGACTTATCGTCAGCTCTGCGGTCTCGATTTTGGCTTGGTAATAGGGCTTGACCCCCCCAGGGATCACTGTCGTCTTGGTGGTCACGGGCATTGTCGTCGGAACAGGAAAAGGAAAAGCTAGCGTGGACTTACGCGTCCCGTCACGCTACTGTCACCTTTGGTCATGATGTGACACGGTAATCCGGCCCGAAAGCAGACTTTCTTTTATTCTTATTGCTTTGTAGACGGTACATATACGTCGCAGCATGAAGCTAAATCTCAGAATTTCAACAGTACGTGTAATTTATCCTGTGCAGATATTTTCTATCGTTTTAGCAGTACTGGTACAAGGTACAAGCTGACCATGTTTGCGGTGGAATCCGACGATCTGGGCTTGTGGTAGAACAAACAGCCTGCGAATGGTAACCTTGAGTACAGTCTTGAGAACCCATTTGAGAAATTACACGTAATGTGACTACCTCGCATTGGATTTTATGTCTGCTGGAACTCCTTGCACCAAGCTACGAACTCAGAACGAGGATAAATTGAATGAGTTTTTATCAATGAAGGTGCCCCAGTCGTAATAAGCCTATCATTCGCGTAGACGCCAACTATACGGAAGTCTGGATACCAGGAATTTCTTGCATACTTCCGGGGAAACTCAAACTTCACAAGAGCGAGGACTGCAGGATGTGAGACAGAATCCCCTTTGAAACAATCCGATGCATACCTTGCTTTCCAGGCTCTACTAATTTTGATATTTCTTCGTTCTGTTTAAGTCTAAAAAGCAACCTTTGGGCTCGTTTCACCTTCCCAGCAGCAAGATATATTACGGGAGTGACCTGCGGGAGGCACAAGGGAAATATCTCGTCCGGCGACGTGAGAAGAGTTGCCTGTCGCGGCATGTGTCCCACGGTCTCCGAAAACGGGCGTAGCTGTTCAATCGTGTCGCGCACGACGAGCCCATCTCGCACTAGGATATCGCAAACGCCTTGGAAGCTCTTCTTTCCGGAGAGGTATGCCAGGGATATGTACCATGGAGTCCCCGAGGGGAGACAGAAATCTCTTCCGCTATTGAAGCTTTGCGGATCGCTGGTGTTCATTATACGAAACCGAATCTGCCCCGAGGTAGGTGGTAGGTTGGGATGTGTCCAGTAATACAAATAACCTGCGGTTTTTTCTGGGAAAGGAATGTAGAAGCTCTTCCCTGATCTTCGTTTACGTTCATAGTGAATAAATGTTCTTTTGACGCCAGGAAAAAGGAAGACTTGTTGGTTGGATACGTCGCGGAAGTCGTGAGGTGAGAGAGATCGAGGGTCAAGGGTCGTGAGTGGGGGATGTTTCACTTTCACCGGTTTACTACTTCCTGGTTCGTTGGAAAGGAATACCGATATGTATCGGCGATGCGGGCAGGATAGGTTATGTCGTACGCAGCTCGAACTTTGTAGCAACTGCCGCAATGGCTGAGCCAATTTGAAGCTGTACATTCCCTACTGGTAATAAAATTAAAAGGAAACCACAAATTATTGAATTTACGATATGATACCTCGAGGCCTCGCGCTTTTCCGTCTTCGTGTCTAACCGTGTTGGGAGTCACTGGTCAAGTTCGATCTGTGGCAGTGTCCCTGCTTGCCGTTGCTTGCCAACAACCTCCGCCAAAAAAATTTAATTGAAATTATTGATTCACAGCTCTCATACCTTTTCCTTCCTCCCCATCTTCCCGACAGCGTGGACCTCAATATCTAGTATGAAGTACATCGTCGTCTCGGGAGGTGTGATCAGTGGAATCGGGAAGGGCGTTATCGGTACCACGATCCTCATCGGCTGCTTCGTTCTGCACTGAATATGCTCTCTCTCGGACAGCGTCGTCGACGGGCCTCCTCCTCAAGACTCTTGGGCTCAAGGTGACAGCCATCAAGATAGATCCTTACATGAACATCGATGCTGGCACCATGCGACCGACAGAACACGGTGAGCCAGGGTCGCGGTTGCCATATCATGTACTGATATCCTTCTCAGGCGAGGTGTACGTTTTGAATGACGGCGGCGAGGTCGATCTAGATTTAGGAAATTACGAACGATATCTTGATGTCACCCTTTCACGCGACAACAACATAACGACCGGCAAGATTTATAGAGAAGTCATAGAAAAAGAGGTAGGCGCGTCGATATGTCTTACCTGTGCATTTTCTGACGAAACACGTTGCAGAGAAAAGGAGAGTACCTCGGCAAGACCGTACAGATTGTACCCCACGTAACGAACGCGATTCAAGACTGGATTGAACGGGTATCCAAGATACCAGTCGATGACTCCGGAGAGGAGCCGGACGTCTGCATTGTCGAAGTACGCGTCCTCTCTCGCAGACTGCCTTTTTCTTATCAATACATAGCTCGGAGGTACTGTTGGAGATATCGAGTCGGCTCCCTTTGTCGAAGCCATGCGACAATTCCAATTCCGAGTTGGACACAAAAACTTCGCCCTCATTCATGTTTCGCTCGTGCCCGACATGCATGGTGAACAGAAAACAAAACCTACCCAGACAACGATTCATTCGCTACGTGGTCTGGGTCTCCTTGCCGACCTCATCGCGTGCCGGCTGCTTGCTTCGGATCCGCTTCTTCCCGCGACGAAGGAGAAGATATCTATGTTCTGTCATGTGGCTGCCGAACAAGTCTTCGGTGTACATAATGTTTCTTCAGTTTATCACGTCCCGCTTCTATTGCAATCGCAAGGTATCCTAGACTACCTTCGAAAGCGGCTAGATCTGGATAGTATCAACATCACTCCGAACATGTTACAACATGGCGTGTCCTTGGAAAAGCGGTGGAGAGACCTGACTACCGGGCAAGAGCGACTATTCGATTCTGTGCAGATTGTCCTCGTGGGCAAGTATACCGACCTCAAAGACTCCTACATGTCTGTTATCAAGGCTTTGGAACATTCGGCATTCCGAGTCCACCGAAAGCTTAATCTCACGGTGCGTTTATCTTTCTAAAAGTAGGACAAACGTGCTTCTTATACTCATTATTTAGTGGGTCGAATCCTCGGATCTTGAGCCTGAGACGCAGGATTCGAATCCGGCGAAATATCATGATGCGTGGCGCGCGGTTGTCGGTGCAGGGTATGATATTATCTCTTCTGTGTTGGTCACTGACTGACCTCTATGCAGAGGTATCCTTGTCCCTGGTGGTTTTGGCGAGCGTGGAACGGAAGGCATGATGATGGCTATCAAGTATGCTCGGGAGCAACACATTCCCTTCCTCGGAATCTGTCTTGGTTTCCAACTAGCCGTCATTGAATGGTCCCGTAACGTTTTGAACATTCCCGGTAAGTAGCGTACAATGGCTGCGTCTTACTTCTCCTAATATATCCCAACAGAGGCTACCTCGGCTGAATTCAACAAGGAAACTAAGTTCCCTGCTATTATCTTCATGCCGGAGATTTCGACGACACATATGGGTGGAACAATGCGACTAGGACTGCGGCCGACTGTATTCGAACCTGGTACCGAAACCTGGTCCAAGGTTCGGAAGCTCTACGGCGGCTCGGGAAAAATCTGGGAACGACACAGGCACAGATATGAAGTAAACCCAGAATGGGTCGACAAACTCGCGTCCAGTGGTCTGGTTTTCAGCGGTAAAGATGAGAAGGCAGAACGAATGCAGATTTGCGAGCTTCCTGGTATGTCTCCATGTTTCGGCTTTCGTTGCTAGTTCTGAGGCTTGCGTAGATCATCCATATTTCGTTGGACTCCAAGCGCATCCGGAATTCTGTTCACGACCACTTAACCCGTCGCCTCCGTTCCTCGGTTTTGTGGCGGCGTCGTCTGGTCGTCATGTGCTGGTGGAGCAGTTGGCGTTCCAGCAAGCGAACTTTAAGCCTCCTCATCCCGAGGAGTCGATGGTAGCTGAGGCTGCGCTCCGTCATGGGGCCCCGGCTGTCAATGGTGCGAACGGTGTTGCATAGACGAGATTCGGAAAGAATTTTTTTTTGCTACTTACACATCTACGCATGTCTGCTATACATTTAAGTGCACGCTATCCATGTATCCTTAGTAACGTCTGCTCTAACTCATTGTCCAGCCTGTATCATCCGCACCACCCATGTTTTCTGTAGCTTTATTATGTAATAGTGTATCATTATTTTCTATGAAATAATTAAATAATGACAGAGAAATACCATTTCTGACTTCTGAAGGATGAAAATCAACAAATTAACTACTTGTTGTGCCACGGCACGTGCCAAATTTCGCGTCGAGGTTGCTTAACCTTCTTTCCTGCGACCACCACCAGTGGCTTCATCGTTGATATCCCGACACCATGATACAGACAGGACTGATTCAAAGTGCCCATGCCGACCTCGTCACTGATGCTACATACGACTTTTATGGCCTCCGCCTAGCTACTTGTAGTTTGGACCAAAGGTCGGCTGAACCGCGTCCTACCATCTTCTCTTCTTATCCCTTACTTGCAGAATCAAAATATGGCAGCTCGATGAGCAGAACGGGACATGGTCCGTCGAGGATGACTGGAAGGTGCGTTCTTCCTAACCAGCTGTACCCAAAATTTACGCGTTTAGGCGCATGATGCCGCGGTATCCAAAGTCAGCTGGGCACATCCCGAATTCGGATCCATAATTGCATCTTCCTCGTTTGATCGTACCGTCAAAGTATGGGAACAGGTCCTCGTCAGCGAGCTGAACGGCGCAGCTGCTTCCCAAGCAGGACCGTCCTCGTCTCGATGGGTGGAAAAGGGGATCCTTCATGAAGCTCGAGGGACCGTGCGGGCCGTGGAATTTGCACCTCATCATTTTGGGCTGAAATTGGTGAGTCTTGCTATTGGTATTCTCCTCGCTTAAGAAACTCACAAACAACGTGCTTCAGGCAACGATAGCGTCCGATAATTTTCTGAGAATTTACGAATACTACGAATCTCCTTCTGGGTCTCCCTGGCAGCTGGCAGAAGAAATCGATGTGAACACTGTGCCGACGTCGTCCTCTCCTTCTTTCCTTTCCCGAGCGCATACAGCTGCTGTCGCGACGCCAACACAAACAAGTTCTAGTGCAGAAGGAGCTCCGGCACCTCTCGTCGCTCAAGCCCTTCTTCAACAGCAATCTACAAGCCAAACTAGGCCTGGGGGAGGCAACAGAGAGGCAGACGGTGGTTGGTGTGTCTCTTGGTGTAAAGACAGGTATTGGGGAGAGGTCCTGGCGACCAGCTGTGGCGTCAGCGGAGTGGTCAAGGTGCGGCCTCATTCTCTTTCTACTCCAATTTAAGTTGACACATTGTAGATCATTCAACTCTCACCTTCCCGAAGACCAGCAACTATCCTTGTACTGGATCCCTCGCCTGCTGCCCAGAACGGCACACCATCCGCTGAGCCTTCTGCGACACCCGGCCAGACAGAAGCAGAACATCCGACTCCGTTTGCTATCACCTCGGTCGCGTGGGCTCCTTCATGCGGTAGATCGTACCATCTCATCGCGACCGGAGGACGCGATGGGCGTGTGAGAATCTGGAAAGTGAAACCCTCTATCGAAGAACCCGAAACCGGCGACGAGGATGCCGTGGACTCCGATGAAGGAAATCGGTGGTCCGCCACGATCGTGGCTGATTTTGATCAGCACAAGTTAGCCGGCGGTCATCATCTCCTTGTTCTTCTCTTGCTGACATATTTCCAGGTCTTCCGTGGGTCGTGTGGAATGGAATGTAACGGGGTGAGATCTATTCCATGTGGTTTCGAATCAATCATTAATACGTTTCTTTCCGTAGGACTGTTCTCTCATCGGCTGGTAATGATGGACGCATACGATTGTGGAAGGCTACCTCAGGAGGCAGCATATGGCGACCCGCGGGGAGCATCGGAGTTGAACAGGCGGAGGCGGAGGACAAAACTCAGGGCGAGGACAAGGATGTGGAGATGCATTCATGATAATAGAGTCGAGATCATTTTAGCTCTCATCTTTTTGATTCCGCTAAATGCTCAATTGCCTACAGTTATGATCCGTTCCTAATCTTTGACAATAATATCAATACTGAAAGTCAGTCGTCAAGGAGAATTGTACCCGAGAGAAGAATGGTTGCAAAAGATTGTGAATACTGATGTTGATTTCTCATATCACTGGTCGAATCTGAGGAAAATACGACCCGTATGTTTGCAAGCCACGGAGAGAACATCTCGGTGACTCGGGGGACGGGATGGTCTCCACAGCTTATCGGAAGGGACACTTCTCCCGTCATCAAGCCACAGATTAATCTCGAGCGCGGGGAGTTCCACAGTCAAAATTCGGTCCGTTCTGCATGTTCCATGGGTAAGCGTATCTCAACTGATGTTTCCGACAGCTGGCAGACGATAACGTGGATATTCAGAATATTCAGTGGGAGAGTAAACGGTGCGATTGTCGGCTGACCGCTAATGATAGGGCCTGTAAAACGTATGTGGATTCTTTTCAAGACCTTATTGGAAAATTGAGATGCTGAATTATCGTTGTCGGACTCCTACCTCTGGTTGCGTTTCCAAGCACACGTATCGAGTTTCCTTCTCTTTTGGTCAGCAAGAGTCAGTTCCTGAACACCGGCGACGTCAGACTAAATTCAGACGGCGGATGCACCTTTATCCACAAGCACCGCGGAATTGTGAAGCATTAACATACTTGCCGCCCTTAGCTCTCCACAAGAACTTGAATAACGGCGCTTAACATTTGTTCATTGTCCCGACTCCCGAGGAGCTTCACGGGAATCAACTAGGGTCAGTCTCGAGATTCCAAGGATGGGTAGATATCTTGGTAGTGCTCTGTATAGCATTTGGCAGGGATATCAAGTGCACCCGCTCCCTGGTCCGGCGTTCCGACGACGCCCTTCCTCGATACGATACTTGAAAGAGCCAAGAGTTGAATTCCAATATTGAATGGAACAGCTCGTCGCATTCAAATATCAAAACCCGGTTCTCGGTATCTTTCTCTGGTTTTTAAGGACCTAAGAGTTATTCTTTTCTTACAGGCAGGAAATATATGTAGCTCAATTGCGGAGCATTCAAGTATCAAAATCTGGGAAAGAAAGAAGACTCTCGTTGGTGCAGGAGGGACCTGGTCAAATTCAGAACAACCGAATACCAAAATGTGCGTGGTATATCGGTAATGTAGTATGTTGCCGGAAATGCTTAACAGGCACGGTGATCAACCCTTGAAGTTGCCCTGGAAAAATATATACTTATGATGCAGACACTGCTCGGTCGTCCAAGGGTGTTCCGATGGTGTCTTAACCTGATATCTCGGCGGTGATAACGTGGAGGACCGAGAAAAGAAGCTTTATGTATATCCTTTTCTGGAAGATCTGCAGACGAGTCTCTTTTGCGAAAGGGAATAAGTACGCTATACAGCAGTCAGAATGCCTGGCGTTGGAAATGTGTATAGATATCGAAACGTTGATCGTCTTCGATGATTTTGTAGAAGGATCAGATCGGACTTTGCCATAAAACAGATGAACCAGGCATAAATGCATAACTTGTAAACCGATCGATCGTCTTGAAGTTCGTACGGACGATCGGTTAAACGAGTGACGATTCTATAAACTCATCTAAAAGCCTGGTGTATGACGGAGTCAATATTATACAAACTGCGTGATGAATTCAATCACAGCTGTTTGCATACAGGTTAACAGTCTATGGTACTTTTGATATAAGAACAGAAACATCAGACTTTGTCATAAACCCAGGTTTTGAGACATTCAAGGCATGAAAAGCAGTCAGAGATCACCGAAAGAGCCTTAAACCGCTTAAATCTTTGTCGCAAGTTGAAGGTTATGACGAAGTTCAGATTGCTCGCTCCGCTCGTAAAAGAAGCGCGTTACTGTCGATATTTATTTATGTAAATAGCTGTAGAACATGTAAGATTTCCAGTCCCCCGTTGAGAATGTCATAACCCAATGACCAAGAACCAATCCCATTAAATATTTCATGCCTACTAATTACTATATACAAGACAAATCAGGTAGGCTTTCGCGCGTTAAATAACTTTTATGTACAAGGTATCCTCTCAGATCCTTACCACCACTCTCCTTGCTCCTTCATCGCGTTAGCGACCTTGATGAACCCGGCGACGTTCGCTCCGTAGAGCAGACTGGGGAGTACACCCTCCGTCAGTTCTTCGCCACTCCACTTGGTTCCAGCGCTCAAGCAAGTCTAAATGCTCATCAATTAAACGAAAAAAAAGAAGAGGAACAAAAACCGCACCTCAAAGCAGCTTCCCATAATTCCCTTCAACTTCTCATCAACCTCAGCAGGTGACCAAGTCAATCTCTGGCTGTTCTGTGCCATTTCAAGACCAGAGACAGCCACACCACCGCAGTTCGAGGCCTTCCCGGGTGCGTACCAGACTCCGCCAGCGCCCTGTCTGCGAGAGGTTTCGAAGACCTCGATGGCTTCGGCCGTGCAGCCCATGTTAGATCCCTCGGCGACGACCCGAACACCTGCCTTGACGAGTGCCTCGGCCTCTTCGCGCGATACTTCGTTCTGGGTTGCGCCTGGGAGTGCGATGTGTACTTTGGGGAGTAGTGTCCATGGACGTTGACCTGTTTCACACCCCGTTAGTTTGAGGTGTAAGAAGGACACTAGTAAGACAACGCACCGGGGTAGTACTTGTACTTCTCTTCACTCGCGAATTCGGCGTACGACTCCAAATAGCCTCCCTTGAGCTTGAGAGAGCCGATCTTCTCAATGACCTCCTTTGAGAATCCTTCTTCAGCGATGAGTGCACCCCTCGAGTCGGAGAGGGAAACGACGGTCGCGCCAAGTTCGATGACCTTGAGGGCGGTGAACTGGGCGACGTTGCCTGCACCGGAGATGGCAACAAGAGTGGTGGGTGACGTGAGGGGGTATTCTGGGCATGCCAGGGGGATCATCTGTGGGGCATCAGGAGGAGATAGGGTCGGTTAGGTGAGAAGTTACATACATGCTCGACGTAGTAGATAAGACCGTAACCGGTAGCTTCGGGCCGGATGAAGGACCCGCCCCAGTGTGCGCCCTTTCCAGTGAGGACACCGACGAATTCGTTGCGTAGTCTCTTGTACGCACCGAAGAGGAATCCAATTTCGCGTGCACCGGTACCGATATCGCCAGCTAAAGGGGTACCGGTAAAGTAGGGGAAGATAAGGAATAAGTGAGTCACTGTATTCAATAGGTTAGACTTGACAGTTGGTGCTTACCAGGAACATCCGTATCCTGCCCGATATGCCTAAATAGCTCGGACATGAAGGCCACGCAGAATCGTCTTATCTCTGCGTCGCTCTTTCCTTTAGGATCGAAATCGGAGCCCCCCTTGCCTCCTCCCATGCTAAGCCCTGTGAGAGCGTTCTTGAATGTCTGCTCGAACCCAAGGAACTTGAGGATGGAGAGATTGACAGAGGGGTGAAGGCGCAGGCCGCCCTTGTAGGGACCCAGAGCAGAGTTGTACTGGGAGGGGGAAGGGGGAAATATGTGAGTTGAGGTAGCGATATGTAAAGTAATTTGGTAGTACCTGAACACGGAATCCACGGTTCACTTGTGCTTGTCCCTGGTCATCTTCCCATACAACACGGAATTGAAGTACTCGTTCGGGGATTTGGATGATATCAAAGGCCTTTTGGTAGGATGGGTTGGCTGCGAGGAAGGGGCCAATACTGAGCGTGAGCTCTCCGAGAGCCTGTATCCGCAATTAATTAACGCTCAAAGAAAAGAAAAGAAAAAAGAGGACCTGTTCGAATTCGGGTTCAGAAGGCATGTTGGATGGGTAGTGAGGAGCTCCATTCCTGATGTTGACTGGAATATATAGACCTGTCAAGCGGATTTATCGACCGAGATCGTTTGCCAGGGCGTTCCGCATGCCGACGCGACAGCATGGTGCGGAAGAAAAAATAGACGCGCGCGGTGAAGATAAGATGAACATCACGTGGTGGGATCTTATCGCGCTTCTTTTTAAAGGACTTTTGTGCCTCTTTTTCCAGTCCAGTCAGCTCGAGATGCATTTGGAATTTATTGACGCTTTGGCCACGGCTCGTGGGTTCAGCATGTCGCTCTGTCTCGCCTGCTTTCCGTGAATTCTCGCCTACTGCTCGTCCTTGCCTAGTTCATAATTGGCATCGGGACTGATGCGGCCTACAGGTACCCTTTGGTCTTGCATGTGGATCCTGATGGCCACGGCTTTTGAATGTTCGTAATGCCCACGACTAGGTTTAGCTCCTCCATTTTCTCATCCCGACTTTCGGCGACAGTAGGTCTACTGCTGATTGAATGTAACTAGCCGCTGCGTACATATCGATATAAGACATCCGCCCATTCTTCTGCGCTTGCCGTCGATCGACGGGAAGCGGGATAAAAGGGTAACTTTGGACATGGACCCCTTTGGAGTTACTTTATTCTATACGCATGTTACATGTCGGAGTTGGAGTCGTTGTAAATAAACAGAAGGAATGAAGGAAGTTCTATTACATGACGAATATGTGATGTAAAAGTTCGAGGAAAATGGAAACACAGGCCGCTCCATATGTTCAGTCCGGATCCAACTACAGTGATCGATCGTAAACGATCAAGGCTGTTTGGGGATGGATAGTAGATATGTACATAATGCATAATGAGTCATCTGGGTTTGTTGGAAAGTCAGATGCTGATGATATCGAGAGCGTTGTTCGATGACATCATGACGGCGCTGATCTCACGTGTACGGGCCACTCGCGACGTGCTTAAATAGCGCGCGCGTCCAACTGGCGTCCCCAAACCTTCCTCTCTTCCCTTCGCCATTGTGTCTCTCGTCTTCGTTGTCCCGTTCTCGCTCTACAACTCCTGGAGCTCAAGGTGCTGTATGGTATTGAACGAAAACACTTTTATTCCGCCTATTCAGGATTCTCAGAGCATCCGCGTCATTCTTAGCAGTGAATGCCGCGTTCAGTTCACCCAGCACACGTGGTACTTGAGCCTTGCGAGCGCGTTCTGGATAACGTATGTGAAGACACGACGCGCTATTCTAAGTCTCGTGATGCCTCATCCGATGTTCGGCGGAAATAGGATGAAATGCACCCACGCGATCCTGCCGGCGTTCTGAATTGAATCCGAAGGTTCCCTTCTGCTTCCTTCTTTCACAACCCCCCCGAGGATAGCGGGTTAACGTATTACTGGCAGGATTCTCCTTCCCCGCTGTATGCATGATCTACTTTCATTGACTAGCTCGAGCTCCAGACTCATTGGTAGCGTCCGCTGCCGGCGTGGGCGCTCTCATGGTCGACGGCGCTCTGTTTGATTGGCGAAACTTTCGAACCCTTATACCCTCGGAAGGCGCATAACGTCCTAGATTCAATCGTAGCTTCGGATCGTAATCTGTTCTTCCTCACATGTTCACATCTTCATGGGATGGGCACTGTGGGAGAACCACCGTGGGCTTGGCGAGGATACGTCTCCTCCGAGGGAAAGGGTAAGTAAATCTGATCTGATCTTGTTTCTCTTCATCCCTTAGACCCGTCAATAATTAGCTCCGTGGCTAGCTCCAATGAACGCAAAACGTCATATCATCGGCGACCTCAGTTTGATGGCCCTTTCTTCCTTCACCTTCGCCCGATGGATCTTCTCTCTGACCTTCATAAATACCGTGTCTCAGCCTGCCTAACTCTCCCACAACCATGATGCCTTCGACATCTGCCTTCGCTTTCCCTCCAGAAATCATCGACATGATTACTGACCATCTACACGCATCCACACGTACGCTGCTCTCTCTCAGCTTACACCCTTCCTTCCTCCCTTCAGCACGGTACCACCTTTTCTCCTCCCTCTCGATACCCCTTCACACACGTGGGCTCTTCGGTCTTCTTTCCCTCCTTGATTCGCCCCACTGCACCATAAAACCATATATACAACGCCTCCTCTTCACCAACCTCACGAAGGTCGTCGCGACACATGGTTTGGCGGACGTCGTCCGTGCGATTCGTCATTTACCCAGACTGCCGAGGGTAAGCGCGGCGAAGTTCGCCAACACGGATTTCGAGAAAGTCCCTGGAGAGGTGTTAGGTCTGCTCATGTACCACCTTCGGCACTTTAGTCTGTCCTCCCTGGTCCTCGAGGGGTTACATTTTTCGCGCTTTAGTGAGGTGGTTGGGTTTTTGGGTGCCTTTAGTGGCTGGGCAAGCGTAGAGGTCAAGCGGGTGAGCTGGACTTATGGCGCTGGCGGGTATGTGCCGACGCCACTGTCAAATATGGAGTGGGAAATCGCCGATGTTGCCGGTGATATGCTGCAGTGGCTCGCAGGTGCAGGCGCTACGGTGCACAGTCTGGAGGGGGAGGCTGAAGCAATACAGGATCTGATGAGAAGTGCAGGGCCTTCCATTAGGCAGCTGAAAGTCAAACTTTCAGAGGGTGAGCGCTTGTCTGTTGTTTGTTGTGACCATCTTCTCACATCGTGGTAGATTCACTCATCGACGTCTCTCCGTGTACATCGCTTCGCTCGCTTCATCTCTATTTCCCACCTATGCCATCAAATGATCGTTGTATCATGGACATACTCTCCAAGATCCAGTCCAGAGATTTGCAAGAGCTACATATTGGGGTCTCCCTTCCCATTGCTGTGGACTGGGATGAGCTCGACAAAATACTCGCATTGCATCGATCTTTACGGAGGATATACCTTTTCGTCTCACGAGGCACGACACAGTTCGACATGGGGAAGTATTTCGCAGAGGTTCTTCCGAGAAGTCGAGATATTCTCCAAGTGGTCCCAAGTAAGGACAGGTGTGTATTGCATCCTTACTCGGAAACCTGAGCCGAACTCATCGATCATGAGCAGTGTGTAGTAGGCTGAATTGTCCACATGAATTGAGGGACATCGTGTACATTAGCGAGTTGGAAATCGCCGCTGTTATATTCGCGTTACGTGCTGAAGGGCTTCGCTGTCCCGAACAATGCGGTACTATATATCGTCTCGGACTCGGTGCAGTTGCGGTGCTCCACTATACTCTGGCCTACAGTTCAGAGGCGCATGTATGATGGATGGAATGAATACCTTGAGATCACGTCGCAGGAACTGAATACATACACCGGCAAATTCGAGACGATGCCGGTAAAGATTTCAATCGCCTTTAAGGTTTTAGACGACGTCGGACCGGTTTGGTCGGTGTGTAGGAGGCTCCTATGAGTTAGTCTCTGGGGTTTGATACCCTGTTGGTGCTTTCTTACCATTTGGGTTGCAGTCGGTGCCGCAGATGTATGCGGTCCCTGATCGCCCTCGCAACCCTTTTATATGCGCATGCGACCCCCAATCCAGAATCTGGTATTCGGAATTGATGAAGCTCCGAAGAAAACCGATGGGATGTAGACCGCGGCAGCTTGTTGAGTTGGTTGACCATGTGTTTGTCGATGGCGCAATTCACGGGATTGAAGAATCTAGGGCTTAGGGTTCAGCTGTTCTTATATCTCGACCGAGGTTGTAGGGAATCGTGTGTTTGCTCAAATTGTGGCGGATGCAGTAGAGATCCTTGAAGTGACCGCGGGAAAGCCTTCTTAAGAACATTTTTGAAGGAGCTTTCTTTGACAGGGAACGTAACGTCAAGGAAGAGCTTATTAACTTTCCGATGGCTTGGAACCTAGCCATTAGGGAGACACTGATCTCCATTATAGTTTGCCCAGATAGTACACAATTCACTTTATCCACTAATAACCCATTCTTTCTTCGTTGTCTAAACCTTCAGCTGTGCAGGCATCTCTTCCCCAAAGACACCAGCCAAGAGGTTGTTCACGGCGAGTGTAGCCATGTCGATTCTAGTCTCTATGCTCGCACTCCCGATGTGAGGCAAAATGACGCAACTAAAGGAATATTAACTACGCTTTCCACGACTGGGATTGCGACCTACCGAGGTTCCTTGACAAGGGGGTGATCAAGCGTGATATTTGGTTCGCCCTCTACTACGTCTAGCCCCGCGCCCCAAATCCAGCCCTCTTTCAGTGCCTTGGCCAATGCGTCCGAATCTACCAGCGTCCCTCTACTAGCATTGACAAGGACGCTGTGTTTCTTCATCTTGCGGAGGAATTCTTCATTGATGAGGTGCCTAGTACTCTCTCCACCTGGGGCTAAGACAAACACAACGTCGCTCGATCGCGCGAGCTCATCGGAATCGACGCGTCGGAGGGTTTTGAGGGTAGGGTACTGGGAGAGGATAGCAGTGTCCCGGTCGAGGGCTGATGGTGAGTCAGGTTTGGCGGTATAGATGCAGGAGGTGATCCCAAAGGGGATAAGGCGCTTGAGGGTTGCTTGGGCGATGCGGCCAAAGCCAACGAAACCGACAGTGCGTTCTGGGGAGGAGGGCAGGGTGCTGATTTGGGGACCGCAGAATGCGAATGGGGCCCAGAGGAATTTTGGCCACTATGGTTGGGGTTTTGGTGTATGTGGTGTAAAGTAAAGTTGTGAAGGCTTACCTGTCCGGATTGAACTAGTTCTATAGTCGATCCAGCGTTTCTGCCGGCCATGAGGGCGAGCATTACAGTTACGTCGGCGACTGGGAAGGATGAGTATATTTCCGGGGTTGTTAGGAAGGAACGGACCGGCATCGGTTAGTACGTCCGGTGTATAACCTAATTTAACGCCTCGATTCGTGAGCTCGGTGAGATCGATGTGCTCTGCAGGCGATTGTTGGATTGTGTATCTTGAAGGAGGTATAAATAACGCACCGTAGCCGACAGACATAGTGGATACGACGCGAAGACTTGTGCCAGCTGCGAATGCAAGTATGAAGCCTGAGGTCATTACCCATTGTGTCTGTTTAGCTCACCAGCTTCGAACAGAGCTTTATCTGCCTGTGCCAAAAATTAGTCAAGGGCGGGCAAATCAGAGGAGCACAACAATGCCTACCTTCTCCGGGAACATCAACAGAACACCCGCCGCACCCTTGACCTGTTCTAGCAACCAGTTCCTATCGCAAGACGAGTCTTCTGGCCACACAACGACCTGGGAGGCATCTCAATTATGATCAGATAAACATAGAAATCAAGGAAACTCGCCTCGACATCGCTCCTCTTTTCCAGCAAGGGCATAACATCCGGCCCAAGATTCCTGCAGATCACAACGCGCGGTTTGGTGGTGCTAAGGTGGGTCATTACGCTAGTTAGTCTATCTTTCACGGACGCAATAGAGTCAATCGGCGACCTTGACTGCATTAAGTTTGGGTCGTGATCGACAAGAAGGAAAGAGATTTCTTGACAAATTGATCCTAGTGGACATATAAAGGAATCTGGAATAACCGGACCGACTGGAATTGGGCGGGCCGATCACGTGCGATAGAATGCCGGACCGGCAGGGACCGACTCATCGTTAGTCAGTGACGTCGTCGGTGTTTTACCGATTAACTTTTTCTTTTGCAACGGCCACCATCTCCACGCGTCCCTACCTTATTCTCTTCTAATCTCGCTTCTTCTTAATGGCCAAAGGCAGCGGCAAATCCTCAGCCACGTCTGGCACGCGAAAGAAACATGCGAAGAAGGCTGCAGGAAATGTCGAGCCTGAAGCTGGTCCGATGAAGGAAAAACGGGCGAAGAACAAGGAGAAGGGCAAAGGAAAGAAGGAGCCGAGGCAGAAAGTGTATATTCCTCCTGTGAAGCCTGCTCCGGTACAGCCAGATCCTTTGGAGACAACGGGAATAGCGCATCAACTGCCGCCGGAACTATTGGTCGTTCTACGAAGTCTAGGGAAGAAGGCTGTGGTGACGAAGGGCCGGGCGCTGGAGGACCTCCAGTCAGGATGGATAGAGAGGGCACTGGCAGGCGATGAGGACCTGATACCGACACTGCATATCATGTTTCCAGTTTGGGTGCGTCCTATTTCTTCTTCGCGGCGATTCTCTGTTCTGATGAGACAGATATGAAGATGCACCATGTATCAGCGCTGTTTCTCCATCCTTCACGACGGATCCGACAATTGACGGCAGATCTACACAAATCATTTGTTATGCTGATGAAAGAAGCTATCCTTGCCCATTTTGACGCCTGTTCGACTCGCGAGGCGGAGTGGATCCTGGGAAGTTGGTGTATGGCAGCACACGATGTCGACCGTGGTGTGGCAGCATCGGCAGTGTCGTCGTGGCGAAGTTTTAATGATGCTTCAGGCAAGCTGTTATTGAACGACAAGGAGAACGGATTGTTTTCGTGTCTTGGGGCATTCGTGTATCGAACAGCGATGGATCCGCTTGCTATCTATCTGGACTTGAATCCTCTGCCACCCGCTCCACCGCCACCCACTAAAGGCGCGTCAAGGAAGGTAGAGCCAGAACCAACGCCAAGATTAAAGTCCGAGGATTTAGAAGAAGATGAGCAGGATAGGAAAGCTCGGATACGAGTTGGCGCGTATGGAGCAATCCGGTGGATAACTGGTAATCTGCCAAATACTTTTTCTTTTAGCTCCATTCAAACAAGTTTGATGCAGATAATGTCGAAACGGAGATTCACGAACAGCTTTCAAATCCTGTCTTTTGGTCGGCATTGCACTATAAAGAGTCGGCTTCGTACGTCTCGGCGAACGAAGAATGTTTCGGGTACGGCCAACCTGCCGTTCGGAAAGCAGCCTGGGCACTTGTTCAAGCTCTTTTGCGACGTTCGTGATCTTCTACTATACATGATCCATCGCGCTAACCTTCAAGCTAGATCCAATCGAAGCACAGCTATCCACGTTAAGCGCGGCTATTCTCCACTCTGCTTGGGTCGAGCCGGATACAACTGTTCATGCTATCATGTGGCAGCCCCTACTTCGCTTCCTGAAAGGTGAGCATCTCATTCATTTGCAGAATAAATAAATAATATCATTACCAGATCATTCCAACGCGTGGGAATTGGCCGACAGGATTAACCTCGAAGAGGACGGTTCGAGTGACGAAGAAGACGAGGAGCAACATTCTCCTGTGAAAGCTCGCCCCGCATACGACGAGTTTTTGCAGTTTCTCCAACTTGGGTGCTCAGGGTCCCCAATACAGGGCTACCCAACGGTGGTTATCATCATATCGACGATACCTTCTTCGGTAGGTCTCGCTTCTGCAGGGCTCGCGCCTGATTTGACTCTTCGTTAGACATTCGCTTCGACGTCATCTGTATCACCCTTGACAGATTTTTTCATGTCATTTTGGGCTGCCATTGATGGTCGCGCGCTTAGTGGCTTGAATCGGGCCAAGGCAAGCGGAGCGTTTTTGGAGTCACTTTATGAGTGTATGGTGTTCCTGCTGAGAAGGGTTCATCGCGATGCAGGACACGCTTCGTTGTTGTTGGGTGCTGAGGCGAAGATGGAGGAACTGGTGGAGGACCAGCTCGTGAGGACGTTCAAGGCACTGGAAGACCGGACGTTGAAAGTAGAGGAGAAGAACTTGTGTGGTACGGTGGCGAAGACTCTGGTTTCGTTGGAGGCTATCAATCATGGTTCGTGGTTCGAATTGGGACGTTGAACGGCACTGATGTTTCTTATGAACAGACTTGTACCAGTCTGCTTGGAGGGTGTTGAGCCAGATCATCAAGGATTCAGGGTCATCGATCGCACCCTGCCTCCTTAGGACGCTCCTTGATCGATTCCCAGATGACTCAGAGCTATATGCAGCGTCGCGTGCATTGTTGCGTGAGGTACTTCGGTCAGCAACCGACGACTGGGAGCGCAGCCTCAATCAAACATCAGAGGATTATCGACCCGGAAATGGCATACAAACACTTGTTGGCATGCTCAACGTCTTTGGACCGCACCTGTTTAGTAACAATCCGGAATTCGCATCGGTAAGGATTTGAGCTGTCTTTCAACAATTCATGGCCTGACGAGCGACGATGATACAGAAACTCGATGCTCTCGCCAGCCAACACGCATACCTTACCCTGACCCGTTCCGAGCCTTTCTTCTTCGCTTATCTTTCTCATAGAAACGATGATACCGTACGCAAAGTTGTCTGGAATAGCACCTTGGACGGCATTGGACAGCATGCGAATACTCTCTCGTCATCAATAAAGCGGCTGCTGGATGCTAGGGTGAATATCAATACGTTGGGAACGCAGCTTGATGCCCCGATCCACCAGTTATTTGTAGAGTCGTTACACAAACCCTCAAATTCGTCAGAGGTTTCCCTCATGCAGCAAGTACTACAAAAGCCAGGTCAGTGTTTCCCTCTCGTTCGCACGAATGTATTGCTTATGCCACATGTTAGGTCTCGTCCTGTCGAAGAATGGGTTAGACTCTCTGATACAAACCCTAGGGTCCGTCTTTACAGCCGACATCAATGTAGCGCTTCGTTCTGGGAGTGAATGCCGCAGTATATTTGATACGTTGCTGGTGTTGTTATCGACGGCACTATTCTCTCCACCTCGATTCACCAGTTCGCCGACTTTGCTCGCTGTCGAGGTTCTACCATACGTCTTCCTTCTCGGATACGTCCTTCCCAAATCCATCTCGTCTCTCGACGGCAGTGCTGCGCAAGCACTGTGGGCCCGTTTCATAGAAGATCAGGGATCAAATCACTTTGACCAGACTGCCGTTTTCTCTGGAATACGGGACCTGCTGAAGACGATCGTGGTCGATACGCGAATGCGGCCAAGGTAAGAGCCTTTTTAATCCGAATTTCTCCATCATCCTAACAATCATCTAGTCCTGAGCATGTTTTGCACGCACTATCGGAAGCGGCGCTGAAAGAAGTGATAGCTCCTTTGTCATTTCTTCCATCAGTACCTGAACTCGATAGGATGCTAGATGATCTATCATCAGATCCTATACACCCTGCTCTCGCCGTTCTCGACCCTTTAATTCCCCCAGGGGAGTACACAGAGATCGACTCACCAGCATGCGATTCTCATGGATTCTCGTCCTATGCCCGGCTTGTCAGCTTGCTTCTGTTCGCATTCATGGAGGACCGACAGGGCGCTAGACGGAATACATGGGCGCTTCGGCATCTGTTAGCGCTTTCGTTATATGCGGAAGACTATAATGCCTACCCCATAGGGTCGAGTCCGGTGTTTCGGAAAGCTTTGATTGACTTGGAAGGGCTGATCCTCAAATTGCAGCAGATCTGCACGTATCTGTTGACTTCTGCGTCGGATGACGGGTGGAGGCTGAAGGTTTTGGATGCCGTGACAAACGTACGACCACTTGATGAGGTGGATCCACCTTTGGCTCTGTTTTTGAGGGATCAGATCGTAAAGGCACGGAAAAGCGATGAGACGAGGGAAGCTCGTATCCTTGGTCGTGTGCTGCTGCACGTTCTGCACGACGCTGATAAGGCGGAAGCAGATCGATGGATCGTTTTTGCTAGGAGTATCGAGCGAATAGGTGGGTTTTCCCTGACTATTGTCTTTGTCTTAAGTAACATTTGCCCTTTGGTTAAGCACCGGAAACATCTATGGCTATTGTCCATGCTGTGACTGAAGTAGCACCGGAGCCCCCACGTCTTGACAGGTACCGGAACGAGCTTGCGGCATCCTTGTTGGGTGTCCCGCCAGCGAAGGCGAACACTGAAGGCCTGATTACGCTGCGCAAGTTGGCAGCTAGCGCACCTCCCGTGGACTCAGACGTTGTATATCTCCCCCAGCAACGGGCACTGAATGTGGTCAAGACGTGTGAGAAGTGGATTGCGTCGGACGAGGATCTAGATGAGGAGGTCGAGAGTGCGATGACGTGGACGTTCTTCCATCTCGCCCCAATTCTTCAGAACCTCGAAGGATCACACTGGGAGTTCATGTTCGATGTGGTGGAGAACAATCTCGAGGTCTGTTGCGCTTTCCTGCTTTTAAGCTCTCGCTTACTAAGACGTCCATGTAGAACTCTGCTTTTGATGACGATGCCACTTTTGTTTCATTAGCACATACATTGAAGCTGATTCTTGTGATCAAGGATCTCACGTCGACGAATAAAGTCCTTCGCGAAGATTGGCAGACACGGCGACTACCCATTCTCAAATTGGTTCGAGATTTGGCATCATCACGATTGGGTATGCGATCTAAAAGCTTCAGTCAAGTCGTATCTCATTGATATGGTCATTTTTAGACGAACATGCTTCTGCACCCAGGTCTCGATGTTTAGAGCTTGTTCTTGCTGTGGTACAAGATTTGCCCGCGGATCTGATAGATCATGATACCCTGCCCAAGGTCATCTTCATTCTATGTCCGAGGATTTCTGTTCGATGCTGATGGTTAACGTAGATGTGCCACCTTGTCATGGATACTGGGACTGAGGTGCAAAAGAAGGCATACATGCTTCTACAGCAGGCGGCCTACAAGCGCACGCAACACATGGTGGTCGAAGCCGCAGTCGATACTGAGAATACCTTCAAGGCCGAGCTGCCGCCTGAATTGCTCATTATCCTCCAGCAGGCCATTAACTTTGACGATGCAGACTCATTCGAGCACCTAAACGTACGATTTAATCATATGATTATGGCATCAATTAATGACAATCCCAGAACAAATTTGGTTACTTGCTGGGCTGGATGGTCGTCTTTGATCTGTTCTTTGGATCGGTATGTTTAAACTTATCTTCCTTTTATATTTTTTAACCATGGCGCACCAGTCCTTAAAAGTTAAAGCAAGCTATATCGATCAGTTGCGAAGTTTGGACATCATCGCCACGTCATTCATGCCTATGGTGTTGGGCACTCTTAACCTGGATCAAGGCGCCAACAAGGTGTACAAGCTAGATCTGTGGGCTGTGGACGAGTACCACGTCGAACGTACGCTTCTTATCAATGGTCCACATTGCTTTCGTTGACAGAGATTATTAGTCTACGAACCCGACGAAGCTTTTACCTTACAGGTTCTCGCTGCATACCTGTTTTATCGAGCTCTATTGGATATTCCCTCGCTGATACACAGCTGGATACTCGACTGCAAGGACCGCGAGCTTTCCTCGACCATCGTCTCTTACACATCGACACATTTCTCTCCTGTCATCATTCGCACGGAGTTGGTGCATGTCAAGAGCTCCGAGGCTGCGACGGAACTGGAGGACGATACGTTCAAGATCAAGGTGGCGCCTAATATAAACGAGGTCGTTGCATCATACCTCGTAGACGAGCACCAGCTTGAGATGAAGTTGAAGATTCCAACAGATTGGCCTCTACATAAAATCGAGGTCAAGGACATCAAGCGGATAGGCGTTGACGAGCAGCATTGGAGGGCTTGGATGCTCGGTGTTCAGCAGACGATCTGGGCAAGTGAACTGGCTGTTCATTCTCTCATTCCGTTGAGCTAATGCGCATCTATAGAATGGGCGGATTGTCGATGGTTTAGGCTTGTTCAAGAAGAATGTTACATTGCACTTCGAAGGACAAGTGGAGTGTGCCATCTGCTACTCGTAGGTCGTCTGCTTGCCTTCTTTCGTTTGCTATGCTTACATTCCGATCCTTGACAGTATAATAAGCGTCATGGATGGCACCCTCCCCCAGAGACCCTGTAAAACGTGTAAAAACCGCTTCCATGGGGGATGCCTATATAAGGTTCGTCTATCGTCGTCGTGACCGGCTTGATATTAATTTTTTTCCCTAGTGGTTCAATACGAGCCATTCGTCAAGCTGTCCTTTATGCCGATCAGATATGTTTTAGTTAGAAGCTTCCTAGTTTCTCCTACTGCCAATCTGTCTCCTGCGTTTCATGCCGATGCTTATTCTATCTTTCAGGAAATTTAATGCCTTAGGCGATTTTTGGCGCCTTGTTCGCGAAAGTGAAATGATGTCTGACAATGCGTTCAGAATTTAAACGTTTGGTGATCTCTTTTGGAGCAAGAGGCGTGTTCCTGTCCGAAACCGGGTCCGCCTTGGCAATGTGTTTCGTAGATACCCTCTACCTTAAAATCCCTATTTACTCTTCAGACATTGTCAAGGCTATCCTGGTTGAGCACAGGATAATGACGTTCATGATCGACTTCGAGGTGGACTGGTGCATGGTCCCGGAAATTCTGCCTGACACATTCATTGGAAAGTAGAACCCTTTGGGGCTTGGACAGAGATCTGTGTCGTCCTTGCGCGCGCTTCGAAGAGCTTAGCATAAAATTCTACATACATGACCCGCGACACACGAATTCTTATGACTTGCGGCCTATCGTGAGTTTGGTATACGTGCATTGTCTTTCTAGAAGTAGAGCCCTCCACGGTCCTGTATGGAAACTTTTCGGTATCGTGGAGACGTAATCAGGTAAGAAATCCCAGCCTTCACTGGTGCACTTCGACTAACCACGCGTCTCAGCTATCTGGGACCATAGACAATGGCTAGTCCTTCTTCTATGTGAATGACGAAGTACATTCCCATCGAGGTAATCTTCATTTTATGGAAGGAAATCCTACGTTACAAATGGCACGATGACGATGTCATGATTGCACAGGGAAACTGATACAGATAACAAATGGTCTTGGTGTGGCTCTTCGACGAGCAAATTTTTGGATAGACGTTTACGCGACCACAGCAGGCCTTAAATGGGCGTCAGTGAAATAGAAACCCAAAAAGTGGCGAAGGACTCACTGATTCTCATTTCGCGGACCGCTGTCGCTTGCGAGAACGCGTGTCATTGGACACCTGATCAAAATAATGTTAACCAAGTACACAACATTTACAAAGGTAGGTGGACATCGATACGGGTACTAGCCTGTGCTGCAGAGATTGATGCTGGTATCTTGGGAGGGTTACTCGACTCGTCGACACCGGCGGCATCAACGGGAGGATCAGAACGAGACCCTGAAGCACTTGTTGATGAAGTAGAAGCGGGGGACGGAGCCCCAGTCAGAGGTTCGGAGAGATGAAGACGAAGAAGGAGGCTTGAGAGCATCTGTGGGGATAGATGCTACTGTCAACACATACAAGCGGTTCCAAGGAAACTTTCATACAGTCAAAACATTCCTCATGAACCATTCGCCCTCTCTGCGTGTACCCAGCTTGGCGCACAGTGTGTGCTGAAATTGATTTACATAAGCGACGTAAAGACCATGAAGAAACGAGTTTGTAGTAAGTGGTTACAGTCGACTCCCTTATAACCCATAGCGTTCGGTGGAACCCCCGAGCTATAGGTTATGCGAGAGTATGGGTTGCGAAGGAGATCACGTGTAAGAGTGAATTTTTTTTACTAAAAATTTCTTCAAATCTTCCCCCGATATTCTACTGTATTAGGCTGATATTAGGCTTTATATTTCTTGAAAACGGTTAAATGTGCAAATGATCACTATTTTCAATAAATTTGTCAGGTCACGTAACATTTTCCGACGACGGCAATCTTCGGCAACCTCCCATAGATGCATTTACCCTAGTTTTCAACCGGGCATAAGGTACACCTATATCGGTACAGTCATATTTTGGGCCTTCCGATGTCACGGCTTCTGAAAATCAATAGAATTTGGTGGAAATTTAACCTCGGACCGGGAAATATATGGGGTACCAGAGAGGAGATTCTGGCAAAAAGCTATGGGTTATGGGGTATGGGCGAGGTATGGGTTATGGTACCCATTTCCCTGCGAATGAGGTCGGTGGAACCAAAAATCTATGGGGTATGCGAGAGTATGGGTTAAGAGGGGTATGGGTTATAAGGGAGTCGACTGTATATCTCGATCCCCCGCTTCGGTATCATCCGCTTCCTGAGCAACTATTCGGCACCTTGCTATTTATCTGCCGGATTGCCCCGGGGCCAGTGTTGAGTCGATCGTTCAATGTCGAACTTAGACGTAAGAGGAGAAAAAGGCACAAAATCCGAACTGATATAGTATCTAGAAAATAATAAATGTACATGAAGAAATGAAAATAGATGCTTTCGAGACTCCGACACTCGAGAGAGTCTATGCATTGTCGACTCTCCAGGTATCGTGATTTTTCAGTGGTACTATGGTACTATGGTATTTTCTTGACTATCGTGGAAGTTACTGCCGCAATGCCATTGTCAATTCCTCAGTTTATCATTACATCACTGGCTTTCTCAAGACTCAAGTCCGCTTTTTAGCGTTAAATGTTAAACACTCTATATCGACAAATTACAACCTCGTTTTTAAAAATGTTACAACTGAACAACATTGTATAATCAGCAATGCACAATAATTTTATTTGTGGGTCTAGAGAAAGCCGTGCTGTGTCGAAATTTGCACGTCGCTATCCGTTTGCACATGCCGACCACCCGCAATAAGCCGAACACTTGCCACGAAGGTGCCGGATACCCAGAGGTTCAACGGCTCCCGCAATTGGCTCCATAGGTCCTACGACCGGACCATAACCCTGTTATGGTGACGAGGGCTGAGTCAGTGTTGATGTTTTACCCCAATGAACCTTATCAAGCGTTTCTGAGCCAGTAGCAGTGTAGAAATGTCTTTTAATTCTGCTATAATCTAAAGAATACCACAACTCAGCGTACATTGCTGCAAGCCGACCGTGTCCGCGGAAGTCCGAGTAAGTCAGGCCTGATCATCCGAGTTTCTCCGTTGTACTTCGCTTCATCTGGGGCTTCTTCGTTTCAACATCCTCAGGTACCCGGGATCGAGATATAACCACTCACTCGAGACTGAAGAAACCCGTCAAGGTGTGCGTGACCCTGTTGTCGCATCCTTCGGTACAAAGGAAGAATGCCCTTGCCCCAATTTTCCTGAGCTCGGTCGTCGTCAGCGGTGGACATTGTGAAGGGAGAAAAAGTGCTGGCAAGGAAATTTTTTGAATCAGTGGTTCATATATGCTGACATTGTTGGGATCGTCTCTGGGGATGTATTTTTTATTCCCTGCTACGCAGCGTGATGTAAAACCATTGAAAAACGGCCCGAGTTGAGCCCGAGAAATGTAGGCTACGATGGCAGGTCTTCCCACGTCACGGTGAAACTGTAGTACATAATCAAGAAAAGTGCTGATCGAGATCCTTCGCGTGAACGATGAAAACTCCAAGTGATCATTGAAGCGACAGTGGGAGGAAATAAATTGCATGTCAGAAAACGAACTTAGAATTTGGAGTAAAGCAGCGCCAGGAACGATTCAGAAATAGGGACGTAGAACGGGAATTTTGCGCCACAGTACTGAACAAACGCCGAGGGGTTTCGACCACTCCGGCATCCAGATTCTGCCACGAATCCACACTCTGTCCTTTGAAGCCACAAGCTCATCCAGTTCCTGGATCGCCTCGGCCACATCTGGCCTCGCGGATGGGACGTGCGACATCATTTCAAGAACGAGTGGCTTGAAATTATCCGATCTATGGTATTTCTGAATCCATGAGTAGCGCAAGAACTTAGGTAGACTTCTACAACTACGTACCTCACAGAATTCAAGGAATGTCGCATCCGACTCGCACCTATGTTGTAGATGTCGAGCTTGAATGAGTTACAGGAGAGAACTCTGGGGCTATTTGTATGCCGCGTTGCAGTGTCTTTGCCATTTGGATATTTCTGAGAAGTTTCAAAGCCGATGATAGAATATCGAACCGAACTGACGCGGCACCGGCAAGGACGTTGGGGGATGCTTCGGTGAACACCATCGTAACTGTCGTTACAGACGAAATGAAATCCCTTTGGACAGACTTCGGATGCATCCATCAGGAAGTTAAGAGCACATGGCCCGCGTCGCTATAAAGAGCTGTCAGTACAAGATGGCAAGGAGTCTCTAGACATAACCCGTGTGATATGTTGAGACTGCATAAAATTGAGCCCTTGCAAGGAGTTAAGGGCGAATTAGCATTATATCAATGGAGGGACACGTACTTCTAGTAATTGACGGAATGTACCTATGAATTCTAACTTGCAACGATACTCGGAATACCCGAAATCTGGAAGCAAGCAAATGCATGACCATAAACACACTGTGCTCATCGTCTGAATAGGCACAGTACCAAGGATAGGAGCAGCGTGAGAGCGCAAAGATAGCTTGCCATGGAGAGGTCGTCGGTCACATCTGTTCGCGTTACTCGGAGGGCAGCTCTGAACCGTCTTTCCGTATAGCGTACATCACATTTATTTCTAAAGAAAACAAATGTCGTTGACATAAATCAAATAAGAGGAATTTTGACCGTACAACAAATGGGACATGCTTATCCTCCGCCCACCAGTCAAAGCTCAGCCGTCTGATACCGTCCTTCTTCAGCCATGATGGAGTCCAGTCAAGATGATATTTAGGGCGAAGCATATAGCCAGAACGAGCCAAGAAAGGCTGACACTTGACCCAAAACATCATTTTCAGTTCATCTCTATCGACTAAGTAGCTCGGAGTCAGAACTCATGATATGCGAGTAGCAGTCCAGATTTCCAGTTATCAGGAGTGCGAGAATAATTTAATGCCGGTGTCAAGCGATGTTGATGAGCGCGTGAACCCAACGTGAACCTAGTGAGATACCGTGAGGTCAAATTCGAAGCCGGGCGGCCCGGAAGAGTAACGGAAATACCATATCGGGAACGCCACAGATTTTTCACTTGAAAACTGTTTTTCTGTCGCGAAGGCTTCAATCTCAAGCTGGAGCGCCTGCTCGAGGACAAGAATACTGCTTTCTCGTATGAAGTGAAGGCCCTTTGTCAGCGTAGCTTCGTTCAGGGCATGCCCACTCAGTGTTGACAGTAAGTCTGCATCCGTCTCCGAGTCAAAGCGCAGATCGTCACCTCAAAGCATCTTAGTAGTGAGTGTACTTATGGTGGTTAATAAAATGCAGAATGATGATGATAAGGAAGCTGTCCCTGTCACTCGTGGCATGGTCAATCAACTCTCTCCGTTCAGCTTTTTCAGGGCCTAGTAAACTTATTTTCTTTTTTAGAATGTTCACGTCTGCAAGAAAACCGCACCGATTCAAGACATTCCTTGTCAGAGAAAGAATCCAGTTTTGAAGCCGGAGGAAATATAGGTTCGGAAATTTGTGGCGTGACAACCTCGAGGCCGGAGAGAAGCACAGAAGTGCAGAATTACCAAATTAGTGCCCGGCGCTTGTTGCCAAGTTCTAGTTGATCGATTGTGACATTTAAAGTTCATTGAAAGGCAGGCTTTGATGTGCCTCGAGTCTCTTTATCGCTTCCTTTATCTCTACCACCATGGTCGCCGTTTGTCCCAAAATTCTTTCAGCTGGCCACTGTGATGATGATTCCTGTCGCCTTCGACATGATGTACTACTTGTATGCAATCCATGTCGGAAAACTTTCCTCACTCAACAAAATCTCGATGCACATTTGATCTCGAAAAGGCATCTGGCGGTTGCATCTCGAGCGCCGGGGATGTCCTACTGTAGGGCTTGTGACAGAACTATGGCCGGATCTGGTTGGGATTCACACGTTCGTGGTTCGCGTCACCTCAGAGCGGCCGAGCGACGAGGGGTATCTCCCGATGTTCAACCAGAACTGCCTGAGGAGGTTGAAGGTTATACTTTTTGTCCATCTTGTAACATGCACATTCCCAACGATGTCTGGAATATCCACATCAACGGCAGAAGACACAAAGCATGGACACGGTATACCAAGTTCACTTCTGTTCTAGAAGAAGCCGAGGAAAACAAACACGGCGTTATCGTGGAAGGGAACCTCGATTTTGATATCGTCAATCCTAGCGTCGCGGGTTCAGGTATATCCGCACATCTGACTATCAGTACCACAGTTCCCCACGCGCGTCTTTCTGTGGCCGTTCGTTTGGCATCTTCGAAACATCGCTCAGCGTTCTCTCCGTGCGTCCTTCGTGAAGATGTTCGAATTATAATCTGAATGAAGTTTCTGTCAACAGGTTCACCATCACGCCTCTTGGGACACTGCAACTAAAGTACCGTCAACCACTGGAACTGACCGTTGCGGGGTGTCAAAATTTCCCGGGACGTGCAGACGACAGGGTAGAGCTTGCTTTCGAGGATCAGCAGCTGAACACACAATTCATTATCTGTCGACCCATCCATATTATCGTCGGTGACCCAGAGGCTCACAGGGCACTGCAGCCGAAAACGCCATACGTCGCCCGAAAAAGAACGGCCCGACATCCGGAGACGAAAATCGTTGAAGGAGAGACCGCCAGCTCTTGGCGCCGTTGCCTATATTGTCAAGCTTCCAAAGTATGATATCCCCAAGAACTTGCATGCCACCCTGGCGACCGGCTCCGTCCCAGAGGTCGTCAGGCGGCTTCGGGAGATGTTCCTCCCTCCTACGATCGAGGGTGCTTCCTATGGGAGGCATTTCCGACATTTGATCTGGGCCGAAGAGTTCAAATCGAGGTCAGTACCCATTTCATTTTTTGTGGTTATCTTCCCACTAATGCCACGAGTTCTGTAGCCAAGATTTGGAGTACTATGATATTCCTAATTCTAAACTTACAGGAAACGGAAGATACTATCAGTACGTGTCAGCGATTATCAATGCCTTTTTATCTCACATGTGTTGCAATAGCCTTGAAGTCCCCGGTTTGGCTGAAAAAAGGCCTAGTGTCCTCGTTGGTTCGTATCCCAGCCTTTTATGCTTAGTGTCGCTAAAGGGGATTAGGGGACAACATCCTCGTTCGAAGGAGTGATGCACCCGAAGGTCACTGGTATTCGGGCTGTGTTCATTTCGTTCATAAGGCAGAAGTCGGGCTATGTTTCTACTATTCGTTCAAAGCGACTAGCACGGATAGATTCCTTGTCCGCTTCAAACTAAACCGATACCCACTTCGACGACAGCATCAAGCCTTGGAAACAGCTTTTGCTCCTGCGCGTTTACTCCTGCCCACCGAACAGCACGTCCTGGCGCCATCGGGAGCATCCCCGTGGAGGCCTTTCAACAAGTTGATCGATACCAATCCGCAGCAAAGACAGGCGGTCGACTGCATCCTTCGTCAACCTGGGGGATCAGTGCCCTTCATCATCTTTGGGCCGTAAGTCGCTTATATCTATGACGAATGGAATGACAATTGACGCTGTTCCTATGTAGGCCCGGGACGGGTAAAACTGTCACCATGGTAGAGGCAATTCGGCAGATCCATGCCTCCAATCCCAAAGCTCGTATCCTCGCGTGTGCTCCGAGTAATTCGGCAGCAGATCTTATCACGTCCCGCCTTATGATGCTGGGAGAAGACGCGCTCTTCCGATTCTACGCCCCATCCAGACCGAAACAAGCTGTACCTCTCGAGCTTAAGCCTTTCACCTACGTCAATGATGAGGGTAACTTCTCCGTTCCCATCTTAGCTCGCGTCCGCCAATTCAGGGTCATCGTCTCGACCTGTGTCTCTGCGTCGGTGTTCTTTGGTATTGGTATTCCACGAGGACACTTCACGCATATTTTCATCGACGAAGCTGGCCAGGCTACAGAACCGGAGGCGATGATTGCGATAAAGACCATGGCTGACAATACGACTAATGTCATCCTGTCGGGTGATCCTAAGCAGCTTGGGCCTATCATCAGGTCACCAGTGGCGAGGGATTTAGGCCTGGAGATCAGTTACATCGAGCGGCTGATGCAGAGGGACATGTATGACGAGGAGGATCAGGACGACAGCCACCCGTTAGTCGTCTTCCTTTTACTCATGCCCATGAGTCTAATTACTAACCTTTCTTCATCTCTGTAGGGTGGTGAAACTGATACAGAACTTCCGCTCTCATCCTGCAATCCTCAAATTCCCGGACGAGCGGTTCTATAAAGGAGAGCTTCAGCCTTGCGCGGACCCCAAGGTCATCACTTCTTTCATTGGGTCGAAACACCTCGAAGCAAAGAAATTTCCTATTGTCTTCTATGCAATGGCAGGCAAGGATGCTCGCGAGGCTTCGTCTCCATCATTCTTCAATATCGACGAGGTTCTGGATGTCAAGAAAACAGTTGAGGAGTTACGCTCTGATAAAAAATTGTACATCAGTATGTGACCGCGACATATCATTACAACGTTCCATATTAACAGGCTGTTTCTTTAGCCGACGATGATATCGGTGTGATCGCGCCATATCATGCTCAAGTTCTCAAGATCAGGAATACACTGAGGGGACGATACGATGGCATCAAAGTTGGTAGTGTCGAGGAGTTCCAGGGCCAGGTAAGAGGAATGGTGTCTTGTCATTATTTTGCGCTAATGACAGGTTCTCACTTAGGAACGCAAGGTGATTATCATATCGACAGTCAGAAGTAGCAGAGAATCTGTAGAATTTGATCTGCGGCACACTCTTGGATTCGTTGCCAGTCCTCGTCGCTTCAATGGTAAATTGCACTGATCATCCCCTCTCTTACCTTGTATCTCATCTTGTCATTTCAGTGGCCATAACTCGAGCAAAGGCACTCGTCGTCGTCATCGGAGATCCGACCGTCCTTTCTCTCGATCCCCTATGGCGGTCGTTCCTCAACTACATCTACAAAAACGGTGGATGGAGAGGGTTACCGATTTCTTGGGATCCCGATGCTGATGTGGACGAATCCGGGGGTTATGACCGCGCCATCCGGGAAGCCGCTGAAGAGGATATGAATGACTTTGGTAGACAATTGGAGGCGATGACGCTGGCTGCTGTTGGAGAGGATGAAGATGTCGTGGATCGTCCTTGGACACGACATGATGGGTAAATTGCGGTAACTTTTGCGGGGATAATTTCTACCGTAGAGGCACTCGAGGGACCACGATGCGAATACGGGGTTGACGTAGTACATGAGCGGTGGAGTACGTAGTCAATCAAGTAAAGACAGGAAAAGTGTAGTAGCACGTACACGTGACCGATGACCAATCAAAACGCGCGCTTACGACTCGAAATTCAATGTTTCTCTTCAATGTTCATGACGTGCATAATTTGGCACCTGTAATTTTGCTTTGCTCGTCTGTGTGGATGTTAATCCGATTCGATAGTTTACTTTACACGATGCTAATGTGATCCGTACAAAATGGGAATGTATGGAATGGGGTCCAATGTGAAGAGAAAAAAGGAGGGGAGGCACCTAATCCTCGAGGCCAGTGGAAGCAAGGTAAGGAACGAAATACCTGTTTTGTCACTTGGTGCTTATTTACATCGTGTTTTTAGGGTACTTGAAGGGCTTCCTCGCCTTCCCTTCCCTTCCCCCACCATGACTACCATCTGTCCACACGAACTTGCCACTGGCCACTGCGACGATGCAAATTGTCCTTTTCGATACGAATCCAATACATTCTCATGCGACGCCTGCCGCAATATTTATCCTGATCGAGCTTCCTACGACGTGCACCTCAGCACAAAGATTCACCAGAATGCTGTATCAGGTTCAGCGCTGTATGCCTGCCGTATTTGCAATGTGAACGTTCCTGGCATGAAATGTTGGGCGCAGCATGTCACCGGAGGACGCCATCATCTTACAGCTCAGCAGCAAGGCGTATCCTCCGATGTGCAACCGGAAGAGCCTGACGTCGTTCCAGGCCACACGCTCTGTGCCATCTGCAATCGACAGATATTCAATCCTCATTGGAAGGGCCACCTCTCGAATCAGAAACACAAAGACAGAGAACAGTTTGCCAAGTATTCTTCCGCTCTCGAGGAAGCCGCGCAAGATAAACACGATGTCACCGTCACCGGCGATCTCGACTTCGGCATTGTTGAACTCGATGCTGTTCGTGCTGGGGTGTCGGTTCCAGTGACTATCAGCACGACAGTTCCCCACGCTCGTCTGGCTGTGTCGGTGCAATTGGCGTCGTCGAAACGTCGATCCGTGTTTTCTCCGTAAGTTTCTCTATCTAGATGTCTTGCCTTACCAATTTTTTGTCAAGATTTACCGTCCACCCTGCGGGCCGATATCAACTCAAGTATCGACAGCCTGTCAAGCTGATTGTCACTGCGCTACAGACGTTTCCCGGACGTGGAGACGACCGGCTAGAGCTGGTGTTCGAAGACTTACATCTCCATACGCAGTTCATCATATGCCGACCTCTTCACATCATCGTCGGCAACGCAGCTGCACACAAAGCTCTGCAACCGAAGGCACCTTACATCCCTCGTAAGCCGACGACGCGCCACCCAGAGACGGCTGTGGTAAAAGGCGTAAAGCCTCCAGCTCTCAGCGTCATTCCGTACATCGTTGAACTTCCCAAGGCCGACATTCCGAAAAGTCTCCTGGCAACGCTGTCTACAGGTTCCGTTGCTGAGATCACGCAGCGCCTCCTTGGTGTTTTCTTACCGTCCACTATTGAAGGCGCCGCATACGGGAAGTATTACAAGCACTTGATTTGGGCTGAAGAGTTCAAAATGAGGTAAGCGCTTTTTCGTCGCTGGTCTTGCACGTTCTTACATGACCTACTCTTCAGTCAAGATCTGGAATATTATGACATCCCTGACGCCCAGCTCACGCAGCATAACCAATACTACTAGTACGAGTTTAATCGCCTCTGTTGAAAAAGACGTTTTGACATTATCCTATAGTCTCAATGTTCCCGGCTTAGCTGAGAAGAGACCGAGTGTACTCGTCGGTAGGTCTTTCCTCTCCAATGTTAGTCTTAGCTTACACTTCTGCTAGGCGACGTCATCCTCGCCCGACGGAGCGATGCCCCCGAAGGTCATTGGTATTCCGGCGGTGTCCATGTCGTCAGGAAAGAAGAAGTAGGATTGTGTTTCCATCGCTCTTTCAGAGCCTCTCCCACGGACAGATTCCTTGTTCGGTTCAAATTGAATAGATACCCCCTTCGCCGTCAGCACCAAGCGCTCGATACAGCATTCGCGCCGGCGCGGTTACTCTTACCCACAAAGCAGCATGTTCTTACGTTTTTAAGAGCTACACCGTGGAAGCCTTTCAACACGCTAATCAGTACAAATGCCCGTCAGAGACTGGCGGTGGATTGCATACTCCGCCAGCGTCCTGGGACGGTACCTTTTGTTATATTTGGCCCGTAAGTTTGAAGCCCGCGCAATAATCGCTACTTTGTCTAACTGAAATGGTGATATAGGCCTGGAACAGGAAAAACCGTTACTATGATAGAAGCGATCCGGCAAATCCTTGCAGCCAATCCCAAAGCCAGAATATTGGCTTGCGCGCCAAGCAACTCAGCCGCAGACCTGCTCGCTTCTCGTCTGATAATGTTGGGCATGGATAGCCTATTCCGCTTCTACGCTCCGTCGAGACCAAAGACCACCGTTTCGCACGAGCTCGAACCCTTCACGTTCGTTAAGAACGGAAATTTCTCCGTCCCCATTCTTTCCCGTGTGCGACAATTCAAGGTTATCGTCACGACCTGTGTTTCTGCCTCGGTGTTCTTTGGAATTGGGATCCCGAGAGGGCATTTCACGCATATCTTCATTGACGAGGCGGGTCAGGCGACGGAACCGGAAGCGATGATTGCGGTGAAGACTATGGCTGATAACATGACAAATGTTATTCTGTCTGGTGACCCTAAACAGCTTGGACCTATCATTAGGTCGGCCGTGGCCAGGGACTTGGGTCTGGAGATGAGCTATATTGAGCGACTGATGCAGAGAGACATGTATGATGAGAAGGCAGGGCATGGGAGTTCGTCAGTCGTTTTTTATTACTTCCTTCGCCGCCTTGGGGCTGATGTCTTGCTCTCTTTACAGGGTAGTCAAGTTAACCCAAAACTTCCGTTCCCATCCGGCGATTCTCAAATTCCCGAACAAGAGGTTCTACAAGGGAGAGCTCCAACCCTGTGCAGATCCTAGGAGTATCACTGCTTTTATTGGATCTAAGCATCTCGAGGCGAAGAAATTCCCCATTGTGTTTCATTCCATGGCGGGCAAGGACGACCGGGAGGCCTCGTCTCCATCCTTCTTCAACATTGACGAGGTTCTCGATGTCATGAGGACGATCGAAGACTTACGGTCAGATAAGAAACTGCGCATCAGTACGTACATAAGCAAGCGGCCCTTATTCTGACGCTGACGGAACGCGCGTCTAGCTGACAATGATATCGGCGTGATCGCCCCATATCATGCACAGGTTCTTAAAATTAGAAATATATTGAGGAGAGGGTATGAGGGTATCAAGGTCGGCAGTGTAGAGGAGTTCCAAGGCCAGGTAAGAGAAACGATGCGTCGGGTCTGCTGTGAAAAACATACCGATTATTCATTTTAGGAACGTAAGGTCATCATTATATCGACAGTCAGGAGTAGTAAAGAATTCATTGAGTATGATCTCCGGCATACCCTTGGGTTCGTCGCAAGCCCCCGTCGTTTCAATGGTGGGTTCTTTCACGCGGTTCTAACATTCTGTATCTCACGCCTTCTTTCAGTCGCCGTGACTCGAGCACAAGCACTGCTTGTCGTTGTTGGAGACCCGAATGTTCTGTCTCTTGATCCGTTGTGGAGATCATTCCTCAATTATATCTACAAATATGGTGGATGGAAAGGGCTACCGATTTCTTGGGATCCCGATGCTGCTGTGGATGAAGCAGGGGGGTATGACCGTGCTTTCCGGGAGGCTGCGCAAGAGGACATGAATGACTTTACTAGGAAGTTGGAGGCGATGACCCTAGCGGGTGTTGCGGAGGATGAGGATGTCGTAGATCGCCCTTGGATGCGGCATGATGGATAAACCGCAGCTGTGGTTCCCTTCATAATGTGTATACTTGGTGTCTCTTGTTTCTTTACGCGATGCCAATACTTTTGTTCCTGCTATCCTTCAAAGAATAAGGCCTCTGGGACTCTACAGACATTTTTGGGTTGTGCGGACAGCGTATTTACTATTCGGGCACTTTCCGTAAGTCAACATAACTGTTCCATTGCGATCTTCTTCTCTAGATGCTGATGTTCTTCCTATATAATACACTTTACCTCGCGTTGTCCAGCTTTAATCAGTGCACTGATGTGGCTGATGCGAAGAGGTGATCTTTTCTCACCCTCGTGAGCATATCTAACCACACCGTGATGCTGTGAATCATCTATCAAAAGCTGATTCGGAGAAACGTTTGGCTGCTGTGTAGAGTCCGGGCTCTTTCAGTTCACTAAATTAAGCATGGTCTTCGAAGAGCTGCATATACTACACAGGTCTCCCAGGCGATCTCGGACTTATTTCTGTGCATTCCTTCAGCTTGGGGGTTGAAATGCCCGCCGACAACATAGATTCCACAACTATACTAGGCGATAACGAGAACACTCGCCCTCGGTTAACCCGGAAGGCTCCGTAGGGAGATGTTTCATGGCCGAATCCAGACTTGAAAATTATGAAGCAGCTTGACGAAGACCATAGATTTTTTTTTTAGCTCCTTCGATCCTTGGCCTCTGTCTATGGATAGCACCATTGTGTACAGAAATCGTTGAACGAATCATTGGATAATCCACTCAATGCACGTGTCGTCCTTCAGGCACTTCATTTGCCGAATACCCCAGGTCTGTTCTTCTAAGATCCGAATGACGTTCTTTATACTTACCGCGATAGAAGATCCAAAGCCTTTGTTGCTATCTAGGTGATGTAAGGGATATCTGATCCGGTCAGGAGGTGCAAGCTGATCGTTTAGACGCCCAAACATCTGTTCCCTGAACTTCAAGTCGCTTCCGGAGCTGTCTTTGCTGGTCAGATGACCTTTCTGGTCAGTCAGCTGATGCGATCCTTCGAACGTCGAGGTTACCTTGGTCTGTAAGCCAGAGTCTAGTGATGCCTTGCCCTACTGGAGATAGCTTATTCGGAAGTTTAAGTTAGTCTGTTGATCGTCTACTTTCATTGATGATCTCCTCCTAGTCCGGTGTTCAACAACACTGATATTGTTTCATCGATGCACTGGTACTAAGCAGTCTTCTATCTCAGTGGATCCGATCACTTATCAGGGAAAGTGTACTCTGCTGGTGAGAATCTGCTTTTCTGGTTCGCTACGTACCTACTCGGGGCCAGATACTGAGCCGTTATCTGTGGCGTGTTCTCTTCAATCATCAGAATCTGGGCTCTTAATTGAACGACGGCCCGTCTTCGCACAGCAGCAACCAAGGAATCAATCTTTAACACAGCACCGTCCCCTGTGGAGCATCCCAGCGACATACATATAACCTGCACGTATTCATGGGATTTGACCCAGAATATTCACGCTATGAACTCTCAGCAGCAACCCCAAATCCAAGCCCAGCCAAAGGCTCCTGCTAATCAGATCAATTCTCCGCTCCTCGCGACGCTGAGACAGTTCCCTATGCCTCCACCGTTCACCAGTCCAGATGGGAGACCGCGCGCTCCTGTTAATGGAGATGACAAGAAGCACAGGAAGAGCCAAAGCTCTCCCTGAACTTGAGGCGGTGAGTAAACCTTCCTGTCTAATTAGAAGAGTCCCTCATCGAGGTTTGCTCAGCTTGTGAGAAGGATGGTAGCGGAATTGGGGAAGACTCAAGCTTGGTTGTTCCAGTGATATCGAACTTCTCAATTAGAGGACCGATGGATTGGCGTGTGGTGACTGATTAAATAAACGGACCATGAAGTTGACATCGATTGTAATTGATTTCCCGAATGCGACCAAAATCTTTGTCGTACTTGTTACGAGTGTTATCAGACACACTTCTATTTGAGATCGGTAGAAAGTCTTGACCAGTTCGTCAACACACTGGCCTAATGAGTTCGAAACACGCGAACCAACGGTGGATGGTATGTTACGCGACTTACTAGTGAAAAAATGTGTTTCCTTCGATGCGAAGAACGTCGCGACGCTTGTGACATCCTTGGGCTATCCTATTCCGTGTCTTCAACTTCTGGTGCGCTAAAGTGAAGTAAATCGAAGAATTTTTAGGAAAACAACGTCTGAGTCTGACCGAAAACTGTGTCGTTATTCAAAATTTCGTTAGATGCACACGAATTCGTCTGAATCAGTGTCACGAGACAAGCTGTTAACAAAGATAAGCGTGAAGGAGCACGGACCCAGAAGATAAGCATCCTTCAGGTCTAGAAATGCAGCGCTCACTTCGGTAAAAACTCTAATTATCGGTGCGCATTATCAAGCTATACATGCAAAGATTTTGGTAAGAGGATCTGCTACGATGTCGCGTGCCGCTAGAGAGTGATCGAGCCCGTCGAGAAACCGATGGCAGAGGCAGTTCATAAATCAGACCTTTCAGAGGTAACCTAATCGATGTAGGATAATACGACAAAGGAAGGGTCGTGGTCCGAGGTTGAGGGTTGTTGAAAAAGTTACTAGTTAGGGGCTTCAGTCGGGCCGGCACGGTCTCTGCCGGTGCGGCGCAATTTTGCAGCTGCCTGAAGACTGAGGACCGAGATGCCGGATCATCGGTTAGCTCGGCAGCCCGGCATAAATTTGCCTCGCCATCCTTTTGTACATACAGAAAGAGCGATTCTATATAGTACCAAAATTTTAAACAGCATAAATAGTGGATCTAATCATAATTGTGCTATAGAGCCAATACTTGGGTTCAGACATGGACAGGCCACCGAAAAAGCCAACGCGGCAATGGGGACTTCCTGAGCTGCCGGTGGCTGTGCATGCGCAAGTAGAAGATGATCGAGTCAACCTCTATTTACAGTATGCTATCTCCACGCCAATCGGGTACCAGACGTACTTCCGTTTGAGATCGATGGAAAGCCGGAGTGGTTCGAAGTTGGGCGGGCTTCTCATATGTGTTCGCAATCACCTATCGTTTTAAAGGAAAACCAATCTTTTAAAAAGTTACAATTGACAGCTACTAGTACATTTTCTTCAAACAGAAACGACCTCATCGAATCAAATCATGGCAAGTCATTCATTAATGGATAACTATATGCCGAATTGGAGAGTTCGCATCTTACTGTAAATAAAGTATCACTCACGCATTGGCCTAAGGAACTCGAATTAAGCAAGGTAACGGTAGTATGTACGCGCGCTTCTTTCGATGCCAAGAATGCTACAACGCTGGCAACGTCTTCAGGTTGTCCTATTCCCTGGGGAAGGGGGCTACGCGCGATCTCACAGAAATTTCATAATAGTTACCAAGAAAAGTATAGATAAACAACTCACTATTTCATCAGTTTTAGATTGCCCCGGCGAGAGACCTAAAGCTTTGTCTGAATTCCTCACCTTCTGGCGAGCTGATGTGTATTTAGTCGAAAAATGTCAGGAAAAATAACACATGAAGCCTACTGATGGGCGTGTCAATGTAAGCTAATATATAGGAGTTAATAGACCGCAACAATATGCCACCGAAATGAATGCTTTACATGGAGCATAAGCGTTCACAGTTATATTATGTGTTCCGAGTTCTAATGCTATGATAAGACAATCAGTTAATTGATAAGAGAACATAAATGTAAGTAATACCTGCGCTTTGAGTCAGCCCACGCACGGCAGCAGCACTGGCTCCATACGCAGCACCAGTGGGCCATAGAGCTATGATGGTAATGTCAGTGAAGACTGGAAGCATTACAAACCAATCGTCACTGACCTTGGATTCCTTAAATGGAAGACGCCCCAATGATCCTACCTCCATGACCTTGAGCAATCATCTGAATTGCAGCATGTTTGTAGCATAGGAAAGCTCCACGAGAATTGACAGCGAATGTGTGATCCCAAGTCTCGACGGGCACTAGATAAAGAATTTAGTAGACCAGCGTTTACTCCTAGTTGCGAAAACGACGGACTGTCGACCAGCAGGTGGGGATGTCCAACACCGGCGTTGGCGACCATCTACGATCACGCTTGATATTGTTGCCATTCAAGAAGAAGATGACGCACCACATCGATCCCACCAAAGTCTGACACGACTGCTAGAATCATTGTTTTCACTTCTTGCTCATTCGAAACATCGGCCATATACATCCGGCATTGAACGCCAGTAGCAACGATCTCCTTGAGGGCCTCTTCGAGCTTCGCCTTCTCCGAGGGAAGATCGTTGAGAGCAATATTGAAGCCATTCCTAGCAAGCTTGAGGGCGATAGCTTTCCCGATTCCCTGGGCAGAACCAGTAATGATAGCAGTTCCCAGAGACATGGAGGATTGAAGAGGGACATTACGGCGGACCACAGCATCTAAACTACGAGGGTCGGTGGTTATCAGCGCAGTGACGGACGTTTTTTCGCACATGAAGGTCATGAGATATAGCTTTTTTTCAATGTCTTCTGTCAGGTGGGATGTAGTCGCGCGAGAGTTAGAAACAAGGCTACCGAAAAAAATAGACGTGGCAGCGAACAGAGCCCAGATCATAAGCAGCCTGCAAGCCAACAGGAGATGATTTAGAGCCAATGGAATGGCCAGTTTCTAAGAAATCATAGCCATCAGTGACATTTTACCTTGTACGCGCCGGGCAACTAGTGTTGTCGTTCTCAAGGTAGTACCAAGACAGCACATCCAGAAGGTTAGGTTCGAGAGCCCGAGTGTTTTCCGAGAAACCAGAGTGTTCCCAGCTTATCGGAGATAGTAAAATTAGTGGCGCGGGTAATGCGAGAGTCGAAGCTATTGGAAGTCGTGGTCGTGGCTTACGAGGAAAGGTTATTGGAAAAGTGGAACACTAATTCGGTACCATCGGACCGGTACGGCATCTGCCGAAACGGTGATTAACTTTAGATTAACTGCTTCCGTGTACCAACCATTTACTCAACCATCGTCTGACAGTCTGAAGGGTTCGCAAGTGTTTGTTTCATGGCAGAGGCGAACAGGATCAGTTAACCTTCACAGACATCTATAGGCCAACGTTCGTCCATAGTCTAAGCCGTTATACAGTAAGTATCTTGTCCTTTCCTCATTTTTCAGCGAATGGCTATGGATAGGTCTATAAGATCTGCGGATTTTATGTTCAACGTATATATGAGGATATAGTGGAGCCGCGATTATTCTCGGCGATGAACCACGGTTAGCGCGGATTCGAGTTTAACGAGTTGAGAGAGTTGAACGAGCTGAGTAAATCAGCTACTGAAAAACCATCTAAGTTCTCTGTCGAACCAAGCATTTGAACCTTTCTTGTATGTGTCCCGTCGGTAGTTCAGTCTATCTCTCCTAGGGGAATTGTACATGATGCGTTCCTTTCCAAGAGCTGACATTGTGAGAAAGTTACGACAGTAGGCCTTCACTTCCATCGTACCAATTTCATTATTTCTAATCATTCAGCTGTCCAGAAGGCGGAAATAGTAGTACGCGTCAAAAGATACCGTGTAATGAATAACAGAATGACTCACGTCACTTTCACTAGATCATACGGTGAAGCCTGGTTTGGCATTCGGGTCACTTTCTCTTCCGCCTCGTTCTGATGAAAAAATATCGCCATTTTGCTTTCTCTCAACAGATGGTGGTATTCGGACCTGACTATTGAAGCCGCTCTAGTGTGGTAAATCCTCGCGGTGCTGTATGCATTCTCACGTCGGGACTTGAAGGTCTGCGTGCCTAGCCAACTTGAGAAGCGCCCTAATTGATAGGTATGTAGTGGTCCTTCCATAGAACCGAACCTTCATTAACATATCCTGCCAGCTCTAGGTTGGTGTCCATCTGGAACTCGTACAATTCATGATGCCTGCCTATATTCTCGTCAACGGGAGCATTTCACTTGCGTTGTTATCTTGGACTTGGAAGCATCTTATGCGGAAGTGGCCAAGTATTGCGCCCACTCCAAGACCGATGAAATGTCCACCAGGTGCCAGAGCTAGCGAGGTCCCCGATGCCCGAGAAACCGTTCACGAATTATCAGAGCCTTGGCCAAGTTTTGTTACAGCAAACTCGGAGGCTTTAAAAAACCAATCGGCGCTGGAACGGGTTTCATACAATCCAAATCCAATATCAGTCCACCTATCCCCAAGTCGGAAGGCTGAACGCGTACGGTTTCCCCCGCTTCAGATGGAATTTGGATTGCCGTGCGGTGCGGGGTGGCGATTTATCGCCCAACAGATGGGTACGGTGATACACTGCGTTAAGACCGTGTATCTGATTCAGGAATGTGATATTGGGCTGCGGGATCCTATGGGGTATGGCGCTAATGACTCGATTGTATATACGTCTTTCTGGGCAAGGAGCTTCCCTGGTGCGTCGCTTTCCTTCCAGTCATTTTCTTTATTGAGTTGATCAAATTGGTATTACAGCCGTGTTAGGGGTGAAGAGAGCGGTATCAGCATTGTATTGGTATACCTACTTTGACGTGAGTGTACAAAGGTTAAAGGCTATTTCGGTGATCTCGGGGTGTCTCGGATTGCGACGAAGCCCGATTATTCTCTCACACAAACCTACATAGGCTATTAGCACTACTAATCCTGGGTTTTCTATTGCTCCACATCTCTACCAAGCGCTTCGATTTTGACTGGAAGTTAAGCTTACTTGAAGGTTGAATTGCTATTGAATCTTAGGTATTTCCCCGATTCCCATACCTGTTCCACATGGTAAATTCTGGAATGATATGACCTTTCGCGAATTCTGAATCAGAACAAGCTCATGTGCTGGGAGCTATCGACTATAGAACGGTTGGGGTCTGATTTCTAGGAGCAGCTATTGGATCTACAAATTCGTTCTGTTCTGGAGTGCTGTGAGAGCGCAGTCGTTTCATTATTAAGGTCCGAGGTACTAGCGCACATGCAAAGTTTCTCATCGTAAGCCGTTCCTGGTGGATGTTGTATTGGGCTGTGAATTGTCGGTTTAATAGTAAGTCATAAGATGGGCGGTATGGTAGCTGTAGGGTGCATGCCTCGACATGAGGCTGACTTGTCTCTTCTAGGCTTGTGAAGTCTACAATATCCATATGATTTCCATCGATTTTACCATGTTATCACCGACGGGAATGAAAACTAGTGGCACTCGGGGGGATTTCATCTTATGTATGTATGTCCACTAGTTCAAATTCAGCTATGCGATGCGTCATCGTCTGTTGTACCTCTAACACATATTCGTCTTCCAGAAGTTTGAGCTTCTTTAATTGTCCGGAGAAAGAAAGGTTATCTGATAATGTTTTCTCAGCCCTTAATTTCGCTCATTGCTAGGTCCCTGAGATAAATATATTGTACGGATGTTCTTCCATAGTATTAAAGTTAGTAATCAGAGCGTCCAGTTCCCTGGGCGGTGGTTGATTGAATGGGGAGGGTGGGTAACGGGTGAAGTGTCCCTGACCTGACAAGACGGAGAACGAGCCGGTACAGGAGGAGGAGAAGAAAAGGGAATTGGTGATCGCTTTCGGGAGAAGAGTACCACATACACCTATATATAGCGGGGGAAGTGGTGTGCGATTAGCCATCGCATCGCTGTTGTCGGTGCGGTAACGTTAGCTGTATGGTCCAGAGTAAAGTGAGCGACGTATATGGGGCAGGTCGAATGGGAGATGAAAATCTAGCCTCTGAGTCTAGGGATGCTGCACGTGGCGCTCCGTGGATCCAGGATTGGCACGGCTGGTCAACCGACCGCTATGGGAGGGCGCCCACCGGAGACGTTGTATGCTTGCTTTGAAGATGTAGGTCTCAGGGCACGAATACTGAACTAGAACGATGATGGGACCTTGTAAATCAGATCGATCACTGCACGAGTGCCATCGGTTGTTACTACGCGCCTTGGATTGAGTTTGGCGGGATCACGATAGAGTGAGTGTGAATTACGGTAAGGCGGATGAGAGGGAATGTGGCGGGGACCTTGGACGTGGTATACCGCGGGATTCTGTTGCCGACAAAGGGGGTGTAATAGAGTATTTAGAGGGAGCGTGTGAATGGAATGAACGGTGGTAATATCAATGCCGGCAGTGATGTATGTCTAGGGTGGGAGTATTTCAGGTGCATGGATACCTGAGCTGTGCTCTTCGATGGTGCCGGACCTGGTTCCTGACTTTCGCGTTCGTCATAGAGTTATGTACTTGCACAGTCCCACTATTCATTAGGCTTGTGATCCGGTGAATGTGGAGAGAAGGCCTGATAATGGGCAGGGATTGAATGGGGAATTCGAACGGGGGATGTGGGAGATATTCGGATCGGTAGTATTGGGATAGTGTATGTGGTAAATGGTGTGTGTGGCTGTAAAAGGGTGTCCGGAGCGGTAGCAGTTGCACCGACCCGACACCGAGCTCTTATCAGATGGCTTGTGATTTACAGGGACCGTTGGAGGGAAAGCTGCGGTGTGATACTACCCTTGAAAGTGGAGCTTAACTGCGTCATATGATGAATATTACTCCGTCTTGTCGGAATACAGTTTTCCAAGCAAATTTATTAGGACTCTTGGGGACCTTCGGGGCGCTTAATAGAAGATATTAGCGTAAAGACCGACCCAGACGCCGACGGAAGAGGAGAGTAGGCAAACGCTGGGATTTAAATGTGTAAGAAGTGATCGTTCCTCGGTGCCTGGCCGGTGCCTCAGGAACGCGGGACCTCGAGGTGCAAGACAAACATATGATAGGGCTGCTGCAGATGTGTGTCAGTCACGGCCCCTGGATCCTAGCGAACAGAAGGCAGGGGCAGCCAAGGGAGGATATGATGCCTGGCTGCCAGGCCCAAAGCGCAAGATGGAAGCAAAAGCCGAAAATCAAATTGTCGGTATGTGCCGCGTGGTCATCGTAGACGGGGCACGTGACGCCATGCGAGCCAATATTCAAATTGTGCCTGGGGCCTTGGACCCAACCCTTGGATCCCTCCTAATCTCCGTTCACACAGCTTGCTCTCTTACTTCTTGACCACCACCAGCGATGCCAGTCGCTGCAATCCACAACATGAAGCCCACTGACGACCCATTCGACGAGGCACTCAAGCCACCTATTGATGAATCGCCAGAGGACCGCGAGCTACGTATCGCCCGGGAGGATGAGGCCCGGAGGGTCAGTCTTGCCATCGACGCCAGCATCAAGGCAGAACGTCAGGCGCGGCGGAAGAAACGGATTGTGAGGCTGCTGTTACTCGGTCAGAGTGAATCTGGTGAGTGCTGCGCAATCCCAGCGACTATCGGCCTGTTCATTCGATTTATTTCGGCTAGGCAAATCTACCACCCTTCGACGTGTGTTTCTCGACTTTCTCTTTCTCTTTTTCTTTCTCACTTTTCTCTGCAGAGTTCCAACGGCTGTACACTCCTACTGCCTTCCGTGAAGAACGAATCCTTTGGCGGGCTGTTATTCAGCTTAATATCGTCCGCTCAATACGAACTATTCTCGATGCTGTTGCTCGTCCAGCTTCTCCATCAACTTCACCTACTCGCGGGCACCGCAGGAGCCCCTCCAACAAGCGTAAGGCTTCCCATTCCAAAGGAGGTTCCAACGATTTCGTGGCCTTTAGCCAAGACAGCTCTATCGACGCTCGCCTCGATTCGGGCAACGAGTCAGAACCGGACTCAGACCCTGACAACCATTTCTATCGTTCACAACCTGCTCTACCGCCGCCTTCTTCGAGTTTTGACGACCTACGAATGCGTCTCCTACCCTTGAAACATATCGAACAGCTTCTGATAGCGAAGCTCGTCCCGCCTGACGAGGACGAGGCTACACATCTTGCTGGTCCCTCCCATTCTTCGTCAGTACGTACTTCGGAGATATTCGTCCGTCCAGGGCCCGCGTGGAAGGGCGGACTCGCGCGTGCTAGAGTTCACTACCCTAGTTCTACAAGTATCGATACGTCGTCCTCTTCTGGCGGTAGTCGACCCGTCAGTGCGGGTGATATTGGCTTAGAGAGTCCTGATGAGCCTCAGGAAGTCCTTCATTCATGTCGGAGAGACATGATTCAACTCTGGTCAGATAAGGGCGTTCGTCGGATTCTCAAGAAGAAGAGGATACGCTTGGAGGAGTTTCCAGGATTGTGAGCACCCTTACGACATAACATTTTCTAGACGCTAATGACTCTTACAGCTTCCTGAATGACCTGGAGAGAATCACATCCCTAAAATATATGCCCACTGATGGTATCCGCGATTTCCATCAAAGGCACAACTTGACGCTTATATCTCTTCAATAGATGACGTTCTCAAAGCTCGCCTGAAAACGGTGGGCGTGTCGGAGTACAGATTCGAAATGGAGGTTTCCGCTGGGAGGGATTCAGGGACCGAGTGGCGAATAGTCGACGTCGGTGGAAGTAGAAGTCAGGTGAAGCTTATCCCCAAGCGTATTTTTGACCTTGCTTCTGACTTCCCACCCCTCTATAGCGTCGTAAGTCTCTAAATCAGTCCTCTCAGACGGATGTCCACTCATCAGCATCATTCTCAAGAAACCTGGGTACCGTTTTTTGATGATGGCAAGTATTCAGTTTTAGCGCTGGTTGCGTCCATCGGCTCATTCAACCTTTCAAACAGTCGACGCAATCATTTTCCTTGCGCCAATATCAGGCTTCGATCAAGTCCTGTCAGAAGATAGAACTGTGAACCGTTTGGTACGGGGTCCCGAATTATCTCCTTCATACCCCTCACCTGATTGCCGGCTTCAGGAGGACTCTGTGCTCCTTTGGAAGGCAGTTTGCCAGAATAAGCTACTTGCGAACGTCGACCTCGTGCTCTTCCTTAATAAATGTGATATCCTCGAGTCGAAGCTGAAGTCGGGTATCAGGTACGTTATTACCTATGACGCGTTTCAGGTCCCACGTCTGATTAATCCTGTCTAGACTGTCAAAATATGTAAGGAGCTACGGCGATAGGGAGAACGACTTGGATACGGTTAGCAAATGTGAGCGTGTGCTCTGTTGATGGGTGGGTTCCGCTGACGTCTTACTTCCTTCTCTAGACCTCAGGAGTAAATTCAACGCCATACATCGGGAGTATTCGCCTAATCCGCGCAAGTTTTATGCATTTTGTACGTCTGTTACGGTTAGTCCTTTTCTTTTTGTTTAGCGTAGAAGGGGGGAGCTAACGAGGCGCGATGGTAGGACACTGCGACTACCGCAGGGATCATAGCAAGTGGTATGTCATATGCCATCAACCAGCATGTGGTACGATACTGATTGTACATTATAGTCCGAGACATGGTCATTCGACAGCACCTCAAGCAATCAAAACTGCTATGATGGCCGCTTTCGTCCATCTCTCTCTGTCTGCCGAGTGTCCGTTTGTTATCTATCCTACATCTTTCTGGCATATACCGTTCATCTACCCACGCCCCATTACGATCTTTGTTTTTTCTTCCACTTTCCACTTTGTGTTCTTTACCCACGCGACGACCACCCTGCTTTGAGAAACGAAAACCCGAAAAGATTCTAACCGACCTCGACTCGGCTGTGTGCGGATCATGTCATCCCCGCTCTTCCGTCCCCCCCTCTTTTCTTGCTGCCGTTAATAGATCTTTTATGCTCTCTTCCCACAGACACCCACGCATGTAATATAACTGTATAACACACACACTCTTTCCCTTTGTATGACACAATTTTAGTATTGTACTCTTTATCAATTTTTTGGGTCTTGGTTAGGCACACCACGTATGTATATATGTAGTAGAGAAATCTGATATGTATTTTCTGATCGAATAAGGATTGGCGGTGTGCCAGGTGTTGGCTAGGAAACCGGGCCCCGATAGAGTCATACAAGGTAGAGAGGCTCTTCGGACGCAGAGCTTTGTTTTTGGGAGGAGGGACGATGGACGTATCGCGGGAGAACTTGAGAGATGGTGCGGTTGCGAATATAGATATCGATGTTGGGCGGTATGGTATATGTCTTTTTTGCGGTGGGGAAAGGAACATCTCTACTTGTAGGTTCCTAGCATTAATTAGCGTCCGTCAGTACGCGCGGGTATTACTCAATCATGTAGCTGGGGCAGGCGCCGGCTTGGGTGTTCTCCGAGTCCACCGAAACTCGTCGTCTATTAGGGTTCTGGATCGTGGTCAATGTATTGGATGCGAGGGCTGCGGTTAACGATCCGCATCATAACTCGAGGAACACGAAGAATGTTTTTTTTTTTTTTCGTACCAGGGTGGACTGCGCTCTCCGCTTTCCAGATTAAATGCCGAAGTGCTCGAGTAAGGTACGTAGGGTAAAATTAATCAATTTGGGAGGTTGCTTTCCGCGTGTCTCCTGTAGACAGAAACTTATTGATGGGGGGGAGGAACACTACGGTCTGTCAGACTTGCTACTTCCGGGTGGCTTGGGGAAACTGCTTCGTTTAAACGTATAGGGTTCGTAGGACTATGCCTATTGCCGGGCCGCCTGCATGAATTCCGCTGCCCGTCGAAAGAGAGGAGAACCGCTATAGACTCAGTATGACGTTAAGCCATGAAGACAAACTTTCTCACCAAGGTCAACAAGTCCTTGTTTTGACTCGCTTGCGTCTCTCGAACAAAGAGGCTTGGGATAGCATCCGATAAATGGACCGGGGTTTGCTAAGAATAGGGCTAGAGCACCACGAAAGAAGACTTTGAGACTAGCGGAGCGCCTCATATAAGGGAGAATCCCAGCAGCTTTTCGGACCCACAGTTCCAGCTTCCAAGTGGCGGCGACGTCGAATGGCATTGGGAGCCGCTGCAATTAATCATCAAAATGAAAATCGCCCAAAAAAAGCGCCTTCTTGGATAGACTTGGTCAATTAACTAAATGTAGAACCGCAAGGCACAGTACTTCTGACTCTCGGGGATCTCGTACCCGACTGCGAAGAGCAGAGGAAGGGAACGACGGACCGACTCTCCTATTACGCTGTGTTCATTCCCCCGGGAGAGGGGGAAGTTTACCAAATTCGAGACATCGAAGAACTCTGGAATGTTTGGTGACAGCGGCGAAGAAGATGGGAGAACCCGATTGTAATAGGCGTGCGAGGAGGTGAGAGATAAGGCGACCGTTGCACAGAGTCATGTTAACGTTGCTGTTGTTGACAACGACGTGAATTGTACGAAAGGCCAAGTAAAACTGCCACACGGAAGGAAATGACCGCGATATCCACGCAACGATAGAAGGTAGCGGACGAAATAGAGAGTGACGAGAGCTGCATAAATCGGACCATAGTTGGGTATTGTTTCTGTGGAGCTCATTGGATGAGGCGTAAGGGAAGAGCGTCCGTGAACAGGAGCGCCACAGAGGAAAACGTTAGTTCTACCCCATTACCGAGCCTTTGAATGAATTTTAGAAAGGTTTCGAATCTCATGGCAGATTGATCAACACAGAGAACGAGTACGATATCCCCGACGCACGCACCTCCTCGACATGCCCGGCGACTGTCACATTGTATCAAAGCTACAATCTATTATAGGAATATCTCATCAGCGTCCGCAATCTGCTCTCATAAGGACGGATATCGAATGCCTGTTTCCGTATCCGTTTCGTACCAGGGGAACGGTGTCCCTCTTGGGCTGCTTGATAGCTTCCTGATACTTGCTAACTTTAGCACACCGAAAAGGATGACGCAGACGCCCACGTGCACAGACTCACGCGTGAACGTGATTACTTGACGCGTTTATCATGACGCGTTGTCGTCATCATGCGCGGATCTCCCGCCCCAATGAGTATAAAAGAGCGGGTTCTTTATTTAGCCTCCTCATTCCTCCTTTCCTTCTTTCACCCACCATATTCCCGGCGTGGCGGCGACCCGACGTAGAGGAAAACAACGCACGGTGAGCACGGCTATTGATACCATGAAAAGAGTGTCTGTCAAATCTAGAGCCGTTCCTTTCTTCATGATAGAAGATACTCGACAAGCGGAATATAATTGTCGAAATGCCCAGTCCCAGCGCGTTTTATTCAAGAAAAGGTCCAGGTCCCGGTTGTTATGGATCTGCCGAAATCCGGAGATGCGAGCACGAGGCGAGGAGTAGTGATCGAAGTGAGGTAAGAGTAATTAGGAATGATGTACGTCGTTAGGGAATATAATGGATTCCGGCGAGGGTTCGTGAGGAGACCTGGGTGGTCCGGTTTGCGAAATAAAGGAAATCAGTAAGCGCGAAGCAATTACTGAGGGAAGTGGCCGGTAAGCGCGGAGCAATTACCAATATAGAAAGCCTGTAAGCGCGAAGCTATTACGGGCCGAGGGTGAAGGCAAGCGCTAAGCGTAACCTTCGGGTTGGTGTCAGAAAGCGCTAGGCGTATCCAACGAGTTGTTCAGCAAGCGCTAGGCGTAACTGAGGGTTCACGCAGTGAAGGTGTCCTTAAAGTAGTAGATTGGTAAAAGCTTTTTTAATACAATGTTATCTACAAGTATATATACTAAGGAAAGGTTCGAGTCATTGTTATTCTATAATGTTCTATAATATTCTAGTATCAGTACGAAGAATAGAGAAAGTAATAGAAAGTACGAGCGAGTCAGTATTAAGACCGAGAAGGCCGAGTATGGGCATATGTTGACTCATGCACCGAATCAACGGATACCCAATATCCATAACACCGGTTAAAGAAACGTACTAGTATGAATGAATGTATGTATCTTGTTTAAAGTACCTGGGGCCCATCAAGGCCCATGTGTACAATCTGTGACTACGTGGCATGATTGGGTACGGTGTCTAGGTGAGTGTTTGTCTTTCTTGCAACGCTTGTATGGGTATCTACAGTACTAGTAGACTGCGTCATCTCTTTTCGGCTTTAGGCGGCATCGGGTAATATCGGTCCGAATATTCTCACGCACAGCAATCAAAGTCACCTGCTTCCCTAGGCCAGAAAAAGGTTTCACCGTCCCGCTTTCGAACACTCTGGATCGGTTTAGTGTGCATCGGATCCAACGTGCGCAGGGTGGCGGCTTATGAAGATGAGACCGATATCATTAGCAGAGCTGCTATAAAGAGCCAGCAATTTTGAGCATCATAAACTGCTCATATGATTCGCGTTCATGTCACCCCCATCATTTTTGACCCCTTCCGGTCAACATTCACCGTTAGCGGAAGAGCTTTTACCACAGTGTCTCATGACGGAACGTTCCGACGGCTCAGATATACACCAACAGCTCCACAAGCTAGGAGACACCTATCTACAACCAGGACCACAATGTAAGACAGATTAACTTTCTCCTGCTCAGAATGTGTTTCTCACTCTTTGCACAGGTCGAATACAATGAAAGCACTCGTGTTTTCTGGCAAAGGCCAGCCTACTCTACAGGACCGTCCGCAGCCAACGATTCTCAAGTCCTCTGATGCTGTCGTGAAGATGGTCAAAACGACGATTTGCGGTCAGTCTTCGTATCTTCCTTTGACAGAAAACCTCTGATAGACTTCTAGGCACGGACTTGCACATTCTGAAAGGCGACGTTGCCACATGCGAAACTGGACGGATCTTGGGCCACGAAGGTATCGCCGTTGTACAATCCGTCGGTGATGGTGTTACGAGATTCAAGCCCGGCGACAATGTCATCGTTTCCTGCATTACGTCTTGCTCGAGCTGCGAATACTGCCGCAAGGGCATGCCTTCGCACTGTGTTGAAGGTGGATGGATTCTGGGGAATACTATCGATGGCACTCAAGCCGAGTATGTCCGTATCCCCTATGCTGATGGCAGCTTGCATCCCATGGTCAAAGGTGCCACTGCGGATGAGCAGGTGATGGTCAGTGATGTGTTGCCGACGGGCTTTGAATGTGGTGTTCTCAACGGAAGGGTATGACATTTCAATTCTGATATCACCTTCTCAAAATACGCGACTCAGGTGTCCCCGGGAAAATCCGTCGCCATCGTTGGTGGTGGTCCCGTTGGTCTTGGCGCGATGCTCACTGCGCAACTATACTCTCCCTCGCATATCATCATGATTGACCTTGATGCCAATCGTCTCGAGATGGCCAAGACTTTGGGTGCGACTCACGGTGTTGTTTCCGGCAAGGGCACGGATGTTGTTGGAGCCGTCAAGGCTCTCACAGACGGAAAGGGTGTCGACACGGTCATTGAAGCTGTTGGCGTTCCCGCGACATTTGAGCTCTGCCAGGAGATTGTCGCTCCAGGGGGAACCATCGCAAACCTCGGCGTTCACGGGTGCAAGGTCGATTTGCACCTCGAGGACTTGTGGCACAAAAACATCAGTCAGTCGTCATCTGACCGTGCCAAGAATCGTGAGATCTGATGGTTTTCTAAATTAGCTATCACTACACGTCTCGTGGATGCTTCGACTTCGCCTATGCTTATCAAGCTTGTCGACTCGGGAAAGCTCAAGACTACTGGATTGGTGACGCACACGTACAAGTTCTCAGAGATGACTGAAGCCTATAATACTTTCGGGGCCGCAGCGAAGAATAATGCGCTAAAGGTCATCATCAACTTTTAGCCTGTCGGTATGTCTCGATAAGGCCCGATAACACGAAGACAGCAAAATCTGTCCTGTACTTATAGTCAATGTCAGCCTGCTATTTCTCTTTGCGTGCCTGTGAATCTCTACGGTTCGAACCCTCTGCTTCCGAGCCTTCTTATGTGGGTGTACATGTTTGGTTCGTGGGTGTTCAGTTTCTCGCGAGGGAGAATGGCTATGGACTTGACTAAGATCATGGGTCATGTTTGTGGGTCACTTTCACATTGCGGTATATTTCGATGAACTCAAAGCTATCCCCGCGGATATGTCAGAATACAGGAAGCATGGACCCGGCCGTTCCTGATTGGGACCTTGTGCCGGTACCAACACCAGCACCAGCACCGTATGCAATAAGTGTTCAATTGCGATATCGTCGGGTCTGCATTCATTTTACTTGTCACCTTCAACACTAGCAGAGGCACCATCAACTGGAAGACTGTAACTCGTTAGTAGCTGATTCTCTGTTGACCACCGACTAATCAACAAATTAACGAGATCAGTACGGAGTTTTCGATCTACTCCGCCAGGTCCCCGTGCCGTATATCCACATAGGCAGACATCTGGCTCGCACGTTGGGCTGAACACCAGGTACGGTAGATCTGCCTAAACACGCATTGTCAACTCTAAAAAGCCCGATAAAGAAAAGAAAATTAAACGTGTGAGGTTAAAAGCTAATTAACAACTCTTCAGGTTCTACCACTCTCGTCGACGGTAACCGTACAAATGTGAGTCTATGCCTGTATTCGCCCAGTAATAGGTCTTCATTCGTTTCACAGGTCAGATATAATGATGAAAGCACTTGTATTCGTCGGCAAAGGGCAACCTATGCTACAAGTTCGTCCGAGACCAACAATCCTCAAGTCAACCGACGCTATCGTCAGAATGGTCAAGACTACGATTTGTGGTGATTCTTACTTTCCTCTTTCTTTTACGGATCTCTAATGAGCCCATAGGTACGGACTTGCACATTCTCAAAGGCGACGTCGCTACGTGCGACATTGGACGTATCTTAGGCCACGAAGGAGTCGCTGTTGTAGAATCTGTCGGTGACGGTGTTACGAGATTCAAGCCCGGCGACAACGTTATCGTTTCCTGTATTACTTCCTGCTCTAGCTGCGAATACTGCCGTAAGGGCATGCCCTCTCATTGCGCTGATGGTGGATGGATTCTGGGGAATACTATCGATGGCACTCAAGCCGAGTATGTCCGTATCCCTCATGCAGATGGCAGCTTGCATCTCATGGTGGAAGGCGCGACTGCAGAGGAGCAAATCATGATAAGTGACGCGTTGCCGACAGGTTTTGAGTGCGGCGTTCTCAGCGGAAAGGTACGCTTCTCGTTTATTAATTCACTGGACGCCTCCTAACAACGTGTAAATTGGCAGGTGTCTCCAGGGTGCTCCGTCGCTATTGTTGGCTGCGGGCCTGTCGGCATCAGCGCAATGGTCACGTCGCAGCTCTATTCCCCTTCTCAGGTCATCATGATTGGTCGCAACGCTAATCGAGTTGCACTGGCGAAGACTATGGGAGCGACGCATGGTATTGTTTCGGGCGAGGGCGTAGATGTTGTTGCGGCCGTGGGGGAACTCACTAACGGCCAAGGCGTTGATACAGTGATTGAAGCCGTCGGTGTTCCCGAAACTTTTGAGCTCTGCCAGGAACTCATAGCTTCAGGCGGAACCATAGCGAACATGGGTGTACACGGTTGTAAGGTAAATTTACATCTGCAAAAACTGTGGGACAAGAATATCAGTGAGTTCATATCATCTAGAAGTATGGTCATTTTTAACGGGTGCGTATAGCCATTACCACTCGTCTAGTGGATACTACTACCACGCCTATGCTGATCAAACTCCTCGGATCGGGAAAGATCAAGGTTGCAGGATTAGTAACGCACAGGTACACTTTCGCAGAGGTTGAAGAGGCTTATGGTACGTTCGGGGCGGCTGCAAAGCACAAAGCCGTGAAGGTTGTCCTGAATTTCTTGTTGAAATAATCCTAGCGGGTATGGAAGCACACGAGGGATCAAGGCACGAATACGGGATTGACGCAGTACATGAGCAGTGAGTACGTAGTCAATCGAGTAAAGAAGAGGAAAGCGTAGCTACGAAAATTTACCGGCACGTACACGTGACTGATTACCAATAAACACGCGAGCCACGAGCTCGATATCCAACATTTCTAACTTGTCGCGATGTTTCTAATTACACGATACCAAGAAGACAGGCTGCAGTTGCGTTTTTTTCCCGGAGGCCAAAAAGCACTTGCTTACTGGAAGATGAGCTGATCTGAGCGGCCTCAAGATGAGCTTCTCATACGGCATGGGAACTGTAGACTGCGTTCATCGTGTCGACCTTGATACCATCTATGACCCGGAAAGTAGACGTTGGCTTAACTTGGCACCAACCTCGAAGTTGGATCACTTAGCCTTTCGAGATGGATATCGATTATTATCTCGAACATCCTGAGAGCCTTCGGACTATCCTTTCAGCGTGGTTGGCTATATGATGCCTTCTCCAGATTCCTCGTTGCCCCCAACATCCAGCAACATTCTCGTTGCCTGAAATCGGCGGCGCGGGACGGAACAATCATGGCTGCATGATTGTAGTCGGAGCTTGTAACGTAACAACATCCGTGGGTGAGTTCGTAGTTATCTTGGAAAGCGTCAAATTCGACGATGTTTCAAATAGGCATTGGTACTACTATCCACTCGATGAACGCAATCTCTTAAGTTGAGGCTTATAAAAACTCGTTTCATCTGCATAGAACCATTCTTTCCTCAGTATCTCTCCCGATGAGCTTATCTCCCATGTCGACAATCCTTGGGGCTTGCTTGGAGCCCCCCAGTACCAAAGACCTGGGCTCCTTGACTCTCGGACACGATCAAAATTTCAACGGGTTCCAACTTCCCATCCTCTTCGACAGCTGCAACTGGTACAAATCACAAATCGTCCGGTATTTGCTTCGGCTCCTCTTGCTCGCCATCGGTAACTTCAAAGTAGGTAAGCCCGGGTGTTGGGTCGTCTTCTGCATTATATTTACCTTGTTTTATCCTCAACGCAGCAGCAGCTAGATATTAACAACGCGGAATGTCTGGATTTAATTATTTATATAGGCGGTACGTAGTAGTAGAAACAATTAAAGACATACAGGATGAAAATTCAATGGGTTTGGTCATACTACAAGTCGAGGTGGACTTGTCGGATGAGTTTCCTCACATTCGATCCTCATCTGGGCTGCCTTGTACCGTCCCCAGATATATCTGCATCACCTGGCCGTCAAACAGTTCATATTGACAGGTGAAGACAGCTACGGTCCCTTGTCAATCGTGCATCGGATGTGTGCGTACTAATGTCTTCAGAGGTATCAGTCCCGGTCCTACTCTGACTTCGAGCTCTCGAGAACCTCTGGAAAAAAGAGTTATCCTCGTAGCTTTTGTTTTATAATAATACATTGCTGTGTTTTAATGGGATTAACGAACTTGAAGTAGCACGGTTCATTGCTACAAGCAGCATACGAACTTCGAAGAAAACTGTCGATGCGATCAGAACCGGGTCACCTAGACTCTCAGGCTACCAAAACTAACCTGCCTTAGGAATTATAGCATAGATCAAATCACTGAATCAGTGATAAACAATGCAATTTATGTGCAGTCCCTGGGAAAAAATGTGGTTCAACCCAGGATCGAACTGGGGACCTTGTGTGTGTGAGACACAAATCATAACCACTAGACCATTGAACCCTACAATGTAGTGGCACATAAATTAATATATTACCTACCTGATCACAACAAAAAGGAGAAAGAGTTCCTCCTTTTCGTTTCCCACCAGTTCATGTTCGATTCTGCGGCAAACATAAACGGCGGACACATTTCAGGGATAGGAAGGAAAACCGTGTCCACCAACCCGTAGGTGCACTGTTCTATTTTCCTCCCTGCCCGACGTGTCACCGTGTGAAGTAGGCCTGGACTTAACTAGGGTCTTCCTTTCTTTGTCGATAGTATCTCCCGTATGTTTCTTATTTCCGATACACATTGCGCTGTGAGCTGTAATTATCGAGTAAATTTTCTGATTTGCGCTCGCTTACATCCTTACAGGGTTGCGACGGTTCCTATCTCTTTGGCGCTCACTCTACAATGGCTCTCTTGAAACTTCAACTTTCCAGCCCTTACCACTGCGCGAGTAATTGTTTTGCACTCTATTTGTTCCTCTCGTATATCTGAACATGAGCTTAGGAACACATTTCATTTCATTTTAGGACAAGCAGACGGAGTTTCTGTGACGGATCTGACGTGTACGTCAAATCCCACAATATTGGTACCTCTAGCTAGCGGGGAACATTATGTTCTTGGGCACGGAATATATTCTATTACACGATACAGATGGTTACCTGAAGCATGAGCAGGTTCTTCCCGTCTGATATTCAGTTCCATCCTTAGCCGGTTGATATAGCTCCTGCGAGCCCGTTTACATGTAAGTCTTAATTAAAGATTGGAATGGAGCATAGCCTTGTTTGATGAGCCTGTTTGAGTCTAGTATCCTGATATCCTGCGCATAATCTCAGGTCTGTACTGCGGTGGGATTGTTCTTTCAGCAGCCCAGTCATCGATGCAACGTAGGTCGGGCCGGTATAGCCTTTCGGACGTACTTCAGTCGGCTATGGCCGCCCATACCTAGACCTCGAACGCGTATCATTGGCGTGTCGTGGCAGCACCAGCAACGTTTCTTTGCGGTAAATCTCCCTTAATTCACTAAAAATTTCTACGGTAAGTACAAACGCTGTCATATTTTCTGAAACAGATCCTTGAGCGCTTCTCGTTTTCATCCCGTGCCCTTTCGTTCTTTTATATCGAAAGCTTGGCGACCACATCGTGTCTAAAGTAGTACGTCTCGACTGTGTTCCACATTATTTGCTTACAAACATTGACGTTCTTATAGCAGCCTAAGCCTATCAGGTATCTTGCCGACTTAGATATAATCAAGTTATGCCAGAAGGGCAGCCATATGATAGATGCTGATATTTCCCAGAGTTCTCAACTGGTTTCACGAGCCCAGGACATATCTCGTTCATTGGTGACACCGTTGTCAAACGTGTTCTATGTTCTCAAGAGTCACACGCTACGAGGCTTTTCGGGAAAGAAACGACTATTCCCGTCCCACTATGCGATCGTTCTCTCGACTTACTTTTCCCCCGCTACCTAGGGTCAGCCTGTCGCATGGGTGTGCGTCAAACTTGGGCTCTGGATGTACTTCCGCATCGCTGTATTGCTATGGCATTATGTGTTTCAGCTCAGTTGAATCTCATGCCAAAATCCTCACTTGTACCGTTTTGCCGGTCCGCTTGTCGAGCCTGGAAAGGTGTATGGCCCGGGGTCGTCTCTTCAACGATTCTGATGCGGGGTCGTTGAGATCGTATGCTCACATGGCGGTATGGTATAGCTTCAAATGGTTCAACATAATAGGACCGTTTGTTTTAATGGTGCCTTTGGTATTTACACACCAAGACATGCAATATGCGAAGTCTGATGCTCGGTAAAGACGGGGAAGCTTCGTGATGGACTGGAATGATGCTGGGTTTCATCCCGAATGGTTTGAGGGTGCGAATGTGAGGGAAATCCCTCCTTTGCACGGGGATAGCGGTTGTGGAATTTCGTGAATATTTAGGAATTTCATTTCGGAGGCTAATGGCCTTACGTCGACACGATACTATTGTCTTTTGCGTTAATCAGCACTGGTTTACCTGACTTTGTATGTCGTGCTGTGTTCTGTCGCTATTCCCAGTGAATTACTTCACAGATTGACGTGGACAATCTATGAGAATAAGCATACCATTCGGGTGTTTTAATGAAAGAATACATGGTACAAGTAGTCGATGCTCGTATTATTTGTAGGCTCCCAGATCATATACCCAGCCAATTGTGAGAAACGATGATTTCAGCAGTGGCACGGTGTCTAACTTGGAGACAAAGCGATAATAATTTACACTCATAGTAGAGTTCATCTCGAATATCAGTGATTACGATGTATACATTCTGTAAGATACCGAGACTTGACAAGATTTAGTAGGTAGAAAGTCAATTATAGAAAACTCCTTGAACGCGAGGCAGGATGAAAGCAGCAATACCAAGTTCTCTGCACTTAGCTCGCTCCCATGTCTCAAATTGCGCGGTGGTACCAGACGAAAAATGTCCATAAGCCTCCAGATCGCCTAGGAGGGTAGCACACCAGTGCCTGCATCCCATTCCGCCATTGAATCTGCACTTCGATAAATAATGAAACCAAAAAACATACAAACGGCGCACCGGTATTGGTCTCTCTTGAGAGAGTTGAATAAGACGTTACAGATATTCGACACCTTCGTTGGGACCTTAAATTTGACGTCGAAGGCGCCGGTGGATGGAGGAATGTGACCAGGAGGGGCATTTTGGGATTTGGTCCAGGCGTAAGTCTTGAAGTCGATGGTAACGCGAGCTTTATCCAGATCATTGGGCTCATAGGTAGGATTACAGTCGAAGCTGACACTGCAACCCAGCGCGCTATTGTAAATGAAAGCCCGGAAATGATATATGTGCCCATTGCTGGTACCGACGATGGCCATGCCATCAACTTCGAGAGTAGCCAACTGAGCTTGAAGGCGGGAAGTCGGTTGGATTGATGCACGGTTTGGGAGGCTATACGACATTCTAGCTCGAAAATGTGCAGTCAGCCGGAAAAAAATGATGAGAACAAGCGGCTAACCTGTCGGCGGTAGGACCTAACAGATGGTGAGGAATGAAGTAGGACTTTTTGTCATGTTATATACAGAAGCACATTCAGGCAAGAGAGAAATAGGCCAGTTTGACCTGCGGTTTAGGTCCAGGGCGCACGTAACGACCAGGGTCGGGAGCTTGTAATTGATGTATAACTACATCGTGATCCCCGTAGGGCCGGGCTGATCGATATTTCGCAGGTGAATTGGGAATTTGCTTGCTTGACAGTACCTCCCGAAGTCCGGGAATGATCAGTACGTGAGTCAATATACGCATATCGAGGATTGCCACTTAGGAAAGTGAGGATCAGATCAGCGAGCGTGGAAGAAAATCATTTGTCTGTTATTGATGCTAGCCCAAATGAAGGACTTCCTCACCTCCCTTTTTGCATCAAGATCTGCATCTGAAAATCTGCCTCGAGGTTTACGTCCTTGATTCGTGAGTCATTGCACTAGGTGTAGGCGCCGACATGATGATGATTAGGAAAACTTCCTGGTTTATATTCAACTTTTTAATACCATCTCAGGGCGTACATCACCCTGAGTTCGGATACTATGAAAAGTTAATAGGTCAATTGTTTCAAATGAGATACTAAGTGTGAGCCTCGCAATTTATCCACATACAGTCGGAGGAGTGGCTGCACCGGTTTCTAGAGCGTCAATTCCGCGATCCATGAGTTATCCCACGCATATCTCGCTCCGGAATACCAACGGAGTACATGAGATATGAAGGGCTAGAGAAAATCATTGACGTCATGCATCAGAGAAGATTAGCCACGTTCGTCACTACGGTGTCACCCGCCGGCCGTTCTTTAGTTGTGTCTGGTACAAAGCTTGTCTTCGGTCGAGCACAAAGACCCGCACTAGACGGACCAGAACAAGGATAGGCACCTGTATTGACCACCAGACACTGCGCGATTGACGGTGAGGGAGCAGAGCCAGAACTCCGGGTGTCGATGAGATACCAGTTTCAGGAGGAATACATCGTTGACCGGTGTTATTTACATGGAGGAGCCTTGATAAGGTCGGAGAGAAGAAAACCTTTGACGTCGTCCGCAGTTTGAATTGTGTTCAAAATGAGAGCAATGCACTATAATGAATATAATTATTTAGAATGCATGAGTATAGCTAGAGCTTTACCTAAACGAGGGGCTTACTGCGCTTGTTCTCAAATTTCGCGTAATCTTCAGGTAATTTTGTCAACATCCTCCAACAGGTGCAAGGATGACAGAGAAGATTCTGGTAACAAATATTCTCCAAAATTTCCATTTTTCACGCAGAAGATGTCTTCGAAGAGAAGAGCGCGAGGGCAAAAAAAACCGTGTGTGCGAATTTAAGTCGTCATTTGGTCGTTGAGTCAAGATTCCAAGATCATAATTGATCCGCTATCGGCATATCGGGACGAGTTGCCGGCGGCTGAAGCCACGAGTTCCGGGACTCGGACTTCTGAACTGTTGTTGAAACACAACTGTCATTGCTGTCTTCGAGTGAATGTTCCAAAATCACGGGCACTAGCTCAATTACATACGCGCCCACCGTCTGTTGGGTTTCACTCTTTCCCTTCTCCTTCCGTGTCTCCCGATGCCGGTCAAAAGGTCGGAAGTTGAAGAAGTGAACGACCAAATTCGAGATCTGATCAAAACTGTCGAAGAAGACGACACGTTGGGAAACGAGAAGCAGTCGATTCTAGATGATCTCGATGAGTACGGAGTTTTTTTGGCCGATGACGCTTGCTAATCCTCGTACTATAGAGTCCTTCGTGATTTGGATAATCATACTTTTGTCGGAAGTATAAGGGTCTTCTTTTATGCTTGTATTCGTAGGGCAATGGCAAAGGTTCCCGACGCGGTGCCCTCTATTGCCGAAATTCGAGATATTGTTGATGCCATCGAAACGGCTTACAGAGTACTCACCCCCGTTCATTTCCTGCTTCAAACCGTCGTTTGACGATTCCTGATAGATAAAATCTCAGCTCGTCCCACCTGCTGAAGGAACGCCACGGCATCACAAATTCCGGTTGCCCAACCGCAGTCATCGGAAGTCTACTATGTCGGTGTCTTCACTTCAAACAGATCCTTTGAAGCAATACGAGCTCCCATCTAGCGAATTGGAACAAAGCGACCTGGCTAGACCTTCTTCGGACTCTTCTATTGTGTTCAGACGCGCTGAGAGCATGACACCGACGAATATGTATATAAGCTACTGGCCACATGGAGTAAGGAATCTTTGTGCTACACGGAATCTCGCTTATAACCTTCCTTAGCGGTAAATCTGACACAATGCCAAGGTCCTCACATCCCCTATCGACAATTCCTCCAAATATCTCCTATTCAACTTCGCCCTGACCGGCCCCTCCTGTGGGCGCAGTACTACGAAATCCCTATCCACGAAAAACCACGTTTCTTGTTATAATGTTTGCCACGCTCTGAATGCTCTTGCCATGATACATACCGTTTCCTTTCACCCACCCCATTCCCTACTATTATTATCATTCCGCTCAATCCGCACGGGCTACGATACATGCTCTCGTCCGATATTTACGAATATGTGACGCATTCTACTCGCTAAATATTTCCTTCCATTGGCACGACGCAAGAAGGACAGCTGATCCGCTTCAAACGCGCAAGTACCATCTCGGGCGAAGCGGCTAGCGCGCCAAGTCGACTGTACTGCGCCGCTGTATCTGCGCCTTTCTCAAAATAAGCTTTCTTTGAGATCTTTCATTTTTTTACAATATGTTTCGCTACAGAAGTTTGCATACTTCGCCCGAAACATCATCATCCTGATTGGACTCCCTCATCGAAGAAAACTGTTGCTATTCTATGAGGACCAGCGTGTAATTCACCACGGCCGGGTAAGTTCTGCACTTCTAATTCTGATATCTCATTGAAAGACAGGCGTGGAGAATAATAGACGTCTACTCGACTCTCTGATGGATGTAAAGTCATCCTTAAAGTGATATCAGTTTTCGCCGATGAGCACGAGCTAGGAATATCATATTTTTGTCCTCCGTAATCTCATCTCGTGGAGTGGCTCCACGACCTTTGCCCAATTAACCTACGCTGTAGGAGGCCTCCTGAGCTTGAGAAGAACGTTTTTGCGTGACCCGTTGACAGAGTCCTTTCCATACTGTACCGTATGTATTCATGACACAACGACGACTTATAATCTTCTGCTGCTCGGCCCGTAAGAAGTATGCAATTTCCTTCGTTCGATAGCAACACAACGGTAACATGGAAAGCACATTAACACAAAGTATACGAAACAGCTTATCCGTTGCTAGACATTCCGTCAATCCCTCATTCAAGCCTGTCAGTAGTAACCGGTTTCATCAATTATAGTAGCGCGAGAGAGGGATAAATTGCATACCGCGCTTCTGGGGAGAAATCGATATTGCGGGGGCCACCACGAGACGATTCTCGGGGATGAAATCGCACGAATGTACAGCTGGCTGTAGCTGCCGCTTTGTCAGATTGCGATCGTCTTCTCTGTACGGTAAATGAACCACTCACTGCATCCATGATTGATATACGCTGTTTACGCTCCTGTCTGAGCCAGCCAAGGACGAGGACGACCCGCTTGTGGCGTCGGTGGGGAAACACTGATGGGTAAATTAGAAAATATTACATTAAGAGTCACGCTAGAACTGTACGTACCTTCCTCTGGTGCTGTTAGTATCCATATAAGGTGCGTAGACAAAGAATGGTTCCGATTGGGGGTTAGTACCGGAGTTTTCCAGATTGTTATTATTCATAAGCTTTCTTATCTGCGATTCTTGCTGGAAATACAACATTGTGACGACAATTCGAAGAGAACTTAAAATGAAATGTACCGTCGCGTGGATGTGTATCTTCTTCAGCTCTGTGAAGATAGCAGATAACTCACCACGTAGTGGTGTTTGCGAAGTCGGAAGGACAGCTATAAAGCGATGGTAGACAGCCGTGTACCAGCCGTCCATGGTGGCTATTTCTGCTGCAGTCCGAGTCTCAAGGTCCGGATGACATTCCGTCGCATTTCCGTCGCGCCAAGACAGTGCTGAGATATGCAAAATTAAGTTTGACTGACATTTTAAAGATGGGATATCTTCACACATATGATAGCAATACAATTACGATATGCCTGAAAGAAACACATGGAATAAGGTCAGAAACGAGGAATTTTTTGTGTCATGAGGGCCTATCGAGGAACACCGATCAGAGTCAAAGATTGAGCAGAGCAGGAACACTGGCCGTGTACGAAGTCCATAGTCAAAACCATTGATAGTACCGCCTTCCAGCTGGGGATATGAAAACCTGGCTATCCGAATAGTGCTATGCGATACAAAAAAACGGATTTAGCCTGATGATGATTCGATTTTCTATACATAAAAATTCGCACCGATGTAAGTGGTGCCGTAACGCGACGCATGATTGCAGATTTTTTGAACTGAGGACTGTTAAATGAAAAGCAGGAAGACAAGACTACCATCCAGGAAGGTTAGTACAATTTACTCACCAAGCGTATAACGATAGGCAAAGGTAGCTAGGTTCGACCCATTGCCGAGGTGGAAAAAAGGAATGCAGCGGAAGTTGCCGAATACTCTAATTCTCATCTGTGTCATCCGAGTGTCATCGGCTCGGAGCTAGTAAGCGAACAACAATTATTTCTAGTCGACAAAAATGTTACTATAAGATTAAGCACTGCTCTTATGATCGTTGAGCGCCTTTCTTCCTTGTTCTGTGCTGTCAGAAACGTCCAGCGATCTCAAGTAGCTGCTATAGTCCGAGTCGACGTGCCTTTGAACCACAGCAGGCAACTTCAAGTTCTGCACCGTAAGTGTCTGCTATTCTTTTAAGTGTTTCTTCCTTGATGTCGATATTTTCTGTATTAGATGAGTGTCGCTCAGACAGACACTACAGCAGTTGCTCCCACGGAAATTCTCTCTAGGATCTTCTCCCTCTCCCCTTGACACTGACACCCCTCCCGAGTCCCTTGACGTAAGGAAAGGCGCATGGCCATACGGAAGAGTCTGTCGTCGATGGAGGAGCTTGGTCCTATCTAATCCATTCCTTTGGGACCACTTCGCAGCGCAAATTGCTCAACCTATTCCGGAATGGCCCTTCCCTAACATCCCCGAAACCATAAGATACGGACCTAGCAATATTGACATCGTAAAGGAGGTTCAGATCCAGTATAAACAACATCACAACAATTTCTTCAAGGATAGAACAACTCTGTCTTCCTCGTCTGTACCCATCCTGACGGAGTATCTCAAGCGTTCGGGAGGGGTACCCCTGCACATCTCCCTTATGGCCGCGGAGAGTGTTGGACTCGCTGATCCTGATGTCAAGGATGCATTCTTCACACTTTTCCTAACACATGACCCACGCTGGAAGACGTTGCAATACACTCTTCTCACTGAACCTGTTCGTGCTCTTATAGGCGAAACTCTCATCCGAGAAGCTCCCAGACTCATTCACTTCCAAGGAATCCCACCGTGTAGTTCTTCAGGAACGCGTTTCTGTTATTGCCCATTCTTCCGGCACTTCGCGGATACACTCGTATCGCTAGATGTCACTCTCATGAGATTTTCGTCTCCCGACTCAAACCATAGTGTCACCACTATGTCTCATCTTCGCACCCTGAAGGTATTCTCGACCGATGCCCTGGATCAGCTCGTAGCTCCAGTGTTGGACGAGTTGGCCATCTCGTGTACCCATCACTCAGCAGCATCGTTACCGTCTTTCATAGAAAGATCGCAAATCTTCCATCGTTTGCAATCTCTCTCTCTACTGCAAGCCACGACGCCCGCTTGTGTCGACGTCATCAAAAGCCTCACCGTTCTATCTGATCTCATCATAGAAGACATTACTGTTGACTTGCCATTCCTCCGAGGGCTCTCCGTTGCCTGCCCAAAGCTGAAGACGTTGAAGATTTTGGAGTCCAAACGAAGGCAAGGACCACACGTCCACGTCAGCAAGGACTGCTTAGTCTTTCTTATCCAGTTCCTCAATGACCAGTTGGAAAACGGGACGCTGGAGAGCGTCTCAATCCAGCTGGGCGAGCCGTTATTTTTGGAGACGGATGAAGCTTTGAAGGGACAGGTCGAGGCGTTAATTGCCAAGGGTGTCCAAATGACTTTTAGAGGGTTCTCAGTTTGGGCCGAGTTTGAGTGGTGGTGAGCTGATCTACGTTGAATATATGAATTAAGAGCTGACACAGAAAATGCGTCAGATGTATATATTTGGTTCCTACGCAAAACAGCGGTATGGTTAACCAGTTTCGAAGCATGAGTTGGTTCCTTCACAAATCGCAATGCACATAATGCGGATGAGTTAAAGCAATTGACAGAGATTTCTAATTAATCCAACGAGTAAAGTAGGACTGTCGCGTACACATTCCGTGATCAACATCACCGAAGGTGTTGTCTGCCAGTTAGTAATAAAAAATCTGGGCCATCCAAATACAGTCGTGTCGTTAAAAAGAAAAGAAAAGCGGCGTCGTGACGCGACACACTGTTGAAAACTTCTTGAACTGAGGAAGCCAACCCAAGAGGTGTCAGGTGTGCTAAGCAGGAGGACCAGAGTACTATCCAGAAATGCTGGCAGTTGCTCATTAAGTAAGCATGCGGCGATATCCAAGTGAAGGTGAGAGTAGCTGGGTTCGTCGTTCGAACCATTTGTCCGTGTGAAAAGGCATGCAACGGAAAATGCCGAACTGCTTTCGGCTATCTGAACAACACTCATCGGACGAAGATTCTACTAAGATCTTTTGAGCACCTTTCTTTCTCGTTCTGTGCGCTCAGCAACACTCAGCAATCGCAAGTAGCTGCTGTAGTCGATGTGTCTTTGAACAAGAGCAAGCCAGCTCTGCAATGTGGGTGATTGTTTTTCTTTCAGGTGTGTCTTGCTTTGACATCAGGTCCAATCTATATTAAATGAGTGTCGCTCAGACAGATGTACTCGATCCAAAAACAAGTCACCGACCATTGGAAAATGTACGCTGGTTTCCGTATCGCAGACCGTGGTACCTTGTGAGTCATCGGCGATGGCGGAACCGACACCATTCTCATGGAGATTTAAGTTTTTGACTCACGACAGCGTTACTCAGGGTTCACTCTGAGATATATCCCCCACGACGCCTTGGAATACATAATGATTTTTGTCATGCCTGACCGATTACGATCTCATTGTTCTCCGCTTCCGCCATCTACTGTGGCTCTCAGACCAATTTGACTGATCTCGGCGCATGTCTGATATATCCCGTAACACGCGATATTATATTCTGGCCCTTGAAAGTTCTTCTATTCGCTGATGCTGGGCCTCATGTCCTTGTTCGATCTTCACAGCATCAGACCTGTGAGACGATGGAGCGGCATTCTTCTGGGCGATTTGATTGCTGTGACCGTCAAACACTTGAAATAACTACATACACACGTAAATCCCCTAAAGGAGTATTCATGGAGCCAGACTCTTCGGGATACAGAGCGTGGGTGTCATGCTATTGTCATGGTCCATCGCGTGCTTACGCATCTGGGCACCCATGCTTCTGATTTTACTGTAAGCATCCATGCTGCCGTTCTATGGGAGTCACACTATGAGGCTTAGCAACCACAGGATAATTGGAAAGGACACGGAAATCACCATGCCGAGTCAGCATTGTTCATGGCAAGACTCGACACAGAATGCACCGTTCCTACCAGTTCCTACCTTGACTCGTGGCCCTCACAGCAATTTGATTGGTTTCAATGCTTCTCCAATATCCTCAGTAAGCATGCGAGTCCCAAGGATAGCTATTGACCTTGATGTCGTGTATGATGCCTTGTGTCTCCGAGATCTTAAGGAGTAGATTAGAGTCGGAGTCCTGGTATCGATGTTGGCCGCGTTATCTCTTCATCTATAGTCCCAACTCTGTCCCCGGGATCGGTAATCCTGGATTGGATGTCGATTAACGAGTCACCGTCAACATGATCTTCTGTCAGTTTAGGTTGAAACTCATACTTCGGCGCCAGTCCGAGCCTGACTCCAAGTCAGCTCTATACACGCCGAGTCCTGATATTCACCAGACCAATAGAATAACTGAATCTGTACTGGCATACGGAAAAGATATCTTTTCGTAAAATTCTTCAGTCCAATTTCGTACATTTGATAGCGAGTGGTATATGGAAAGCACGGCGAAGGAAGACAGGAAACAGCGACTCAGAAGCAATCAATGCAGAATTATATTGGGCGTTTAGTGGCTGGTATTTAACTCAATCAGTTTCATCGCAGTAGGAAATGATGCCACAACGTACCCATGAGAATGCGAGCTACTATGGTTGGAGGAACCTGCTCCGCTTTGGCCCCCATGGGGTGCCTGACCGAAGGGATTGGCTGAAGTGCCTGCCTGGCCACTCGGCTGCAAGTAGCCACTTTGTCTAACCCGATAAAGTCAATCACATTCCCAATTATGTTTGTCAAAGCGTCACTTACTGAAGGTACGCTTGATACTGGCTCTCAGAACTCCAGTATGAACCGGAGGAGCCTAAGGAAGACGAAGAAGCGTTATCATGCATCGAAGTTCGTCGAGGGATCCTGAAACCACACTGTGAGCCAAGGGACGTGGGATGTAGATTCCGCAGGCGCATACCTGACTCCAAACGTATTGGTTGTGTGGGTCGTATTTACCGACGAGGTGGTGAGCATGACCAGGGACGAAGTCAGAAGTATTATTGCTCCCGGTGTTGATGACGTTGTTCGGTCTGGTGGTCTCACTGGAATTTCTGACAGGAGGTCCCAGGATCGAGCTCACAGGTCCCTGTCCCACGCTCCTAGAAGGCTATCAGATCTGTGGGTGGCTGCAGTGCAATCAAGCTCACGACGATGAGTGGTTGCTATGAGACGCGGGAGCCAAGCGGAAACCTTGTGGAATCTGCTCGGGAGTGAGTTGAATATGTTTACCGGAGAGATAGTGAAGAAACTAATCAGCACGGAAGATTAAACAAGGAGAGAATAAAAATGTACTTTTCTAACCTCTTAACTAAGCTGAACAAAAGAGCAAACCATCATTGAGTCTGCGACAGGTGAAAGAATGGGATACAAACCGGTTGTGCTCATCCCATGGCATGATTGGCTGGGGGACGTAAGGCTTGGTGTTTTCTTGAGGATTAGCGTTATATCCTAGTGAAGAGAACTAAGACAAATGATCGAAAGATGCCTGGTATAACACCCGCAACGCACCAGCTGTACCCACATTCTGTACTGGCAAAGGTGGCACGGAATGTTGACCTTGCCTGATATTGGGCTGGGGGACGGAAACAGTTAAATCGTTTTGTGAATCTGAGGGATTTGAGAACCAAGAGACAGATATGAACCCATTTATTTCAGATACTTACGTATAGGAAGTCCACGACTGGTAGATCTATTGCTGGTTCTTGGAAACGATAACATTGATCTGCTTTTGCTGGACAGGTTAGTGAGAAACTTGCTACCAGAGTTCCCGGTACCAGGAAGCTCAGTCAACGAAGAAAAAACTGGAGCAGGGGAGGCATTTGCATTGGCGAGCGCCTGTGACTGTGCGTTCCGGGCTCTTCTGCTATCAGATTCTCTCTATAGCAAATGAAAACGATGTTACCAAGAAGCTGAGGTAGAAAAACGTACCTTTGCGTTCTGCTGTATGGCCATCAAGTCTGTATAAATCTTTCCAAGGTTCCCTTTGAGAGGAGTGGAAATCAGCAGGCCTCGGAAGCGATTTTTCACTGTCGTGTACCATTCCTCACGGGTGGCGGGGGCTCGGCTCTCGTCCTCTAGATGGGTTATCTCTTTCAAAGCCCTAATGAGATGCTTTCAACATCATAAAGACATGAAAATTAAGACAAACAAACTTTTTTACGTCCTGTAACCAATCTTCTGCTACGTTTTTTCCAGTATTTCCCTCTGGAACAGGAGCCATGCTCTCGAGCTCCAACTCAACGGTCTTTGCGATGGCCTTGACATAGTCTATTTCCTTTCCACGGATAATAGCAAGTCGCAGCTTCACATCTTGGGTGGCAGAGTGGCTAGCCATGACTCGGAGACTGAAAGCTATCAAGGGAAGAAGCGAGGGTACAGAAAGCCCACCGGATGAGGCGCCTTTTATCACATTTTCGGAGATTTCCATTCAAGTTGACAGATCAGGGTAGACCACAACTTGAAGAGGAATTGCTCGAGAGCGTATTTCAAGTTCAAATCCAGAAACAAGTCGAGCCGGCTGGCATGGCGGAAGCTGCTAAAATAGGAATCCAAGCCGAACCAAAGATGATGATGTAATACGCACACCTTCCCTTAAACCATCACACGCCAGAAATGGATTCCAAACTACCTCCGACAAAAAAGTTTTACATACCACCGAATTCCGAGCGCAAGGAATGTGAAATGTTCTGGGTTAATAATCAGCCTTTCCTTGCCTCCCAAGGATATATGCTCCGGCCACGATATCACCCGGGTTGGATTCCTTCCTGGAAGTCCGATCCTAAACCGATGGCGCCAATCAGATCTTACGAGGATGAACATGTTATACACGGCCATCGTGTAAGTCCGAATGGTGATTACACCTGGTTGAAATGCTCATCAACATCCAGAGGTGGCGAATAATAGATGCCGTGCATATTCCAGACGGTTCCAAAGTTATCCTCAAAGCTGTATCATTGCTCCCGGACGAGTTTGAACTGGGGATTACGCATTTTCTATCAACGGAAGAAATGAGGAAAGATCCTCGTAATAATGCCATACCTGTCCTGGACGCATTCCCGATTCCCTGTGTGGAGGATTGGGCTATAATAGTCATGCCCATGTTTCGCGGCTTTGCATCCCCTCCTTTTCATTGCCGGTCGGAATTTATCGAGTTGTTTCAACAGCTGCTCGCCGTTGAGTGTTGTTTTCCAAGAATGATCTAGCTTGACTCATCTAGATTATAGGGTTTAGAATTTCTGCACAGTGAAAACATTGCGCATAGGTGCCGTCCAATCTCTGCGATGTCTTTACTTCTCTAATATTGACCCATGTGCAGAGACATCAGTGTAAACAATATTGTCATGGACCATCAGCGTGTCTTGCCTAAGGGTTACCATTTCGGCTTGAAACGTAGCCACGATGGCATCGAATGGGAGTTACCGACCGAACTTCGTTGTCGTGCTGGTCCGGTAGACTACTGTTACATCGATTTCGAGTTTTCAGAATGCTTCCCCGAGGGAAGGGAGAAAACCCTCATTTCTGGAATAGCGGGCCAGCGGGTTCCTGAGGTGCAAGATTCAGATACGCTCTACAATCCATTCAAGGCAGATGTTTATCAGCTCGGTGTTGCCATGCTCGATATATTTGAGGTGATGCCTATCTTTATCCTCTGGCTTGTGTTTTCTCATTGCAGCGATAGCGTTATACTGGACTTGATGACTTCAAACCTTTGCTACGGCAGATGGCCTCGATTGATCCTGATAAGAGACCAACAGCGTCAGAAGCGCTGGTCCAATTCGAGGCTGTAGTCTCACGGTCGAGTCAAGCCTCCTTGTCATGGAGGATATGGTCGAACCAGCTGTGTGACTCGTTGGTTCCATGGTTTTGGGCCCGGTTTCTCTATCGTATCTTTCCCCCCTGCCGCTCGTCCGTTTAGATGTTGTTCACTATTTATTAGGTTATTATCATTATTCAGCCGTTCTGTAATTTAGCTCTGTATCACACTTTTAGAGAAGGGCCCTGCTTTCGGCGCAAGATGTCGTGGACTGACTCGCAAGCAATACGCGTAGCTCCGCATTGCACCGCGACCTTTTCGTTAACGAGTGAGTACGGTACTGAGTGACTCTCACGGTCTTCCTAAGTCATGACGCTAGCTTATCTTTCAGCCGCACCACTTTCTCTTTCCTCTGAGACAGATTTCCTTATGCTCGCTATACCCGCTCTCTGCCAGCGGGACACTGGATGCTATAGATCCTAAAGTTTGCATTATTCCTTTGGCGTCTGTCATCCGTTCCAAACCATGTGGCTACCTTGCCTCGTGGCTCTCCCAAGCTCTCACAGCACTTTGATTGTTTTCGACGCTTCCCTGATATCATACCATGCGATGGGGGTATTCTGGGTCCAAAGCTGGCTATGATGTTCCTTATCTCTCATGTCTGACATTCTCGAGACAGATTACGGTTGAGTCCATCCACCGAGTGTTCTCTTCACCGTTCGCTTCAAACCTGTCCTTAGGATCGATAATTCTAAGTTGTATGTCGATTAAACATCCGCTGTTCACGCCACTTCCTCTGTCAATTGATGGTCGAGTTTTCAAAATTTGCTGCCAGTCGGAATGTGGCTTCAAGTGAGTTCTATGAGTGCGGGACAGGTTCTTGTTAGAATACCTGTATAGTCTGTATACTCGAGTAGAATAATATTTTTGCATTGCCTGATGTTGGAAAACGGGGTATCGGTTCGTTCCCAGTGTCACATGCGCGGTAGCAAGCCAATAGTATTGCGCTTGGCTGAGCTCTGCAAACGCATGAGGATCTACCCTAAAGTACCTACTTTTATACTAAATGTACTTTTACTAGAACTGTTCCACGCTTTTCCCTACGACTTCTACCTTAAGTAAGCAACTTCGGCATGATGCCGGATTGCCAAATCCCAACACCTGACGTGCAAAGGGAACGGTAAGGTCAAAACCAAAACGCAAACAGTTTTTCGACCCGGTTCTCCGGTCCGGACAGCAGTATTACTAAAACAGGGACCCAAATCATGACATAATTCTTCGATATCACTCAACCATCACTTGTCGCTCAGGCATGGATCCGCCAGAGCCACCTGAGGGTGTCGAATTTTATATTCCTTCTGACTGAGAGCGCAAGGAAACTGAACTGTTCCGGGTTAATCTCCAACCCTTCCTTGCTTCTCGCGGATACATGCTCTGGCCCTGATATCACCCGGACTGGATTCCTTCTTGGGAGTCGAAACCTCAACCAAGGACGCTCAGGTGCTAGAAAGATCAACATATCATAGACAAATTTTTCAGCTTTCAAAGTCTGCTACTTTCTCATCAACAAACAGGGCTGGCGAATTATCGACGCCACGCGTCTCCCTGATGGTTCAAAAGTCATCCTGAAGGTCGTATCATTGCAGAAAGGGGAGTACGAACTGTCAATCTCGCAGTTTATCTCGACAGAACTAATGAGAAAGGATCCTCGTAATAATGCTATACCTATCCTCAACGCATTCCGGATTCCAAGGTTACAAGATTGGGCTCTAATAGTCATGTCCATTTTCATTACTTTGCAAATCCCGATTTCCATTGTCGTTTGGAGTTCATAGAGCTGTTTAGACAACTACTTGCTGTGAGTATTGCACTATTAACACGATCTTCTTTACTCACTACATTAATCAAGGCTTGGAATTCATGCATAGCACAAGCATCGCGCATAGGTACTGTTAACACTTCCTGGTGTTTCCCATTTCATGTATTTTGTCCGACATATAGGGATATCAGCGTCAGGAACATTGTAATGGACCACAGGCGCGTTATGCCTAAAGGCTACCATTTCGCTTTCAACATTAGCCATGACGACATAGAATGGGATCGACTTACTGAAATTCGTTGTCGTGCCGGGCCAGTCGACTACTACTATATCGATTTCGAATTTGCGGAATTCTTCCCTGATGGGATTCATAATGCCCTTGTCTCGGGAATCGTGGGTCAGCGCGTACCCGAGATGAAGGATTCGGATGACGTGCTCTATAACCCGTTCAAGGCAGATGTTTATCAGCTTGGGGTCGCCATGCTCGATATATTCGAAGTACGTTCCGTTATCTTCATCATGACACATGTTTTTGTGATACTGACAGCTAATATTAGGTGTATACTGGTTTAAACGACTTCAAGCCCCTACTACGGAAGATGGTTTCTGTCGATCCCGATAAGAGACCGACAGCGTCCGAGGCGCTTCGTGAATTTGAACATATAGTCTCATGAGCAGGCAAATCGTCTCTGACATGGAGGATATGGTCGAATGAAGTTTTCGCCCCACATGTCCCCTGGTTTTGGTTCCGTTTTCTATATTATGTATTTCCTCCTTGCCGATCCTATGTCTAGAGGCTATTTACTGTTTTTTTTTTTGGGTGGAGGTGAATATCCTTATTCTGTTATCTTGTAATTTATCTCTGAATTTTTTTGTCTTCTATGTCATACAATCTATTGTACGAGGAGTCTTATTTGGGAAATGACCAAAGTTGCCCTAGTTGATCAAAAGTGTACGCACAGTTGTTCGACACCCGGGATCAAGTACCCTAACATTTGTGCAAGGAACGCCGATATCCGTATTGAAACACGGCTTTTTCGTTAACGAGTCAGTACGGTACCGAGCCACTCTCACGCTCTTTCTGACTTATGACGGCTCCGCCTTCCTTCTTCTTTCCTTTGAGCTTTTGTGCTCTACACTCGCTCGCTGAAACATTTTGGGTCATGTTTTCCGTGTACTCCGAAGTTTGCGCTGTTCTCAGCGGGCCCTTTGTCCATTCAAAATCGTGTGGCTACCTCGGCTCATGGCTCTTACACCAATTTGATTGATTTCGATGCTTCTACGATATCTCCACTAAACATGCGATGAATCTCCGCTGGCTTTGATGTTATGTATGACGCTTCAGGTCTCTGGAAGAAGACTAGACTTGGAACCCCCATCCGTGGCTTTAGGCGTCACCCGCGCGGTCTTATTACTGGCCGTTTCAACTCCTGTCCCGAAGACTCGGTAGTGATTTACTGCATGTCGACTAATGACTTCTCCCCATGCGCTCCTGTTTCGCTGATGATCTAGGTTCCAAACCCTCACCCTGCCGCCAAGAAAAATGTTGCACATAACTCGGCCCAAGACCACTTTTGATACGCTTCTCTTGAGAAGAAAATCAATCCTTACATTAACTCCTCAACTGGAATATCGTACCGTGGAGTTCCACATTTGGTTAACTGGATGAAATACCGCGTCCTTGTTCTTGAACTTCTGCTTTATTCTTGCACAACGATCCAAATGCGCTCCTCGATAGACGCATGCGTTGAATCTAGAAGTTCGCAAGTGACAGATTATTTCACCACCCGCAGTATTCATCAAGTACGTCAGGAAGAAACAGCTTGTTACCGTTTGGCTGAAGAATGGAGATCCATATTGCAAAAGCAGCCACCTTCTCTGAGTCACTGCGGCACCGGAGTTGTTCACACGGTTCTTTGACTCGACACTGTGGCTTTACATCTGCCGCGCAACGCGTTTTTCCACAAAGATTCGTATTCTCCAATCTTCTGTGGGATTTGATTCGCGATGTCAATACTCTCAAGCTTGCTGTCGTCCATATTCTTTCCAAGACCTGCTTCAATCCTGATCTTGATCAGTGCTGTTATCTACATGGCTCGAATCGCTATTTCAACTGATGTTAGCGCTTCCCTGACATTGCCACTAGACACGAGGAGAATCCGGACATCAGGAGTGTCTATTCTCCGCCCGATTCTTTGATGTTTCACAAGAGAACCTCGATACGGTATAGCGATAGCATGCCCGCATGTTTTACTCAGGAGTTTGTAGTGCTTCCCTTCCCAGATCTCGATGTACTGCGCCGCTTGTTATCTTTGAGTTTGGCGTGTCTGATCCCACTGACATAAGGTCGGGAATTCTGTTCCCTAATCTATATGTACCGACGCGCGTTTGGGGTTTAACATTCTGTGACGCGTCGCGACGCGTGTCGTAATTTACTGTCGCCAAGATCGCCTGTGAGACCGAAGGGTCAGATTCGTATCACACTGTCAGAATAACAAGCGCCCATGTTACATACATGGAACAAGGGAAAATATCCCCTGTAAGGGTCGAGCCACGGGTAAGAATAGTATCATTCATGTCGCGGAGTTGTACTAGCGATTTAGACTAGAATAATATTTCCCATTGTTTGATAAATTTGTTTAGACCGTTCATGCTGTCATGAACTGACATACGGTGAGGAATCACTATTGCTGTGAGAACTTGACAAGTCATACTTCTACTAACAGGCAGGCGACCCTCGTTGGTACTCGCTAACATTTCCGTCGCGTCAAGATAGTGCGGAGATACGCAAAATTAGGTTTGATTGACAATCGAAAGATGGGATAGTTCCACACATATGATAGTAAGAAAATTACGATAGGCCCGAAAGAAACGCCTCCAGTAAGGTGGGGTACGAAGGACGTTTTAGTTTCATGAGGACCACTGGAAAAGACACCAATATTTGACCAGAAATTAATCAGGGGCTATCCCTGGATGTACAGAGCAAAAACGTCGCGCAAGAAGAACAATTATTGATACTACCTCTTTCCAGATGGTGGTATAAAGAACAGGCAACCATAATGGTGTTCCACGGAAAAACAAAGATTTAGCCTCGATTTTCCATGCATAAAACCTGGTCCCGATGTGCTAAATTGTGCCATAACGCGACGCATTAAGCATTGCAGATGCTGGAGGATGGTAAATGGAAAGCGAGAGAGCAAGACCACTGTCTAGGAAGGCTAGTGGTCGCTCACCAAACGTATAATGTTAGGCAAAGGTAGCGGGGTTCGAACCGTTGCGAGTGTGGAAAGAAGGAATGTAGCGGAGGTTGCGAGTACATCAATTCTGCGTCATCCAGGTGTCACCGGCTCCGAGACACCGCTGGTAAGCGAACAACGATCATTCTTGAGTCAACAAAAATTCTTCTATAAGATCAAGCGCCGCTCTTCTGATCATCGACCGTTTTTCTTCTTCGTTCTGTGCTGTCAGAAACGTCAGGTAGCCGCTATAGTCCGAGTCGACGCGTCTTTTGAACCACAGCAGACAACTTCAAGTTCTGCACTGTAAGTGTGTGCTTTTCTTTCAGGTGTTTCTTCCTTTGACGTCGATATTTTCTGTATTAGATGAGTGTCGCTCAGACAGACACTACAGCAGTTGCTCCCACGGAAATTCTCTCTAGGATCTTCTCCCTCTCCCTTGACACCGACGCCCCTGCCGAATCCCTTGACGTTAGGAAAGGCGCATGGTCATACGGAAGAGTCTGTCGTCGATGGAGGAGCTTGGTCCTATCTAATCCATTCCTTTGGGACCACTTCGCAGCGCAAATAGCTCAACCTATTACAGAATGGCCCCTCTCTAACGTCCCCAAAACCATAAGATACGGACCAAGTAGCATTGACATCGTAAAGGAGGATCGGATCCAGTATAAACGACAGTACAAAAAGTTTCTCAAGGATAGAACTACTCTGTCGTCCTCATCTGTACCCATCCTAACGGAGTATCTCAAACGTTCGGGAGGGGTACCCCTACACATCTCCCTTACAGTTGCGGAGAGTGTTGAACGCGCCGATCCGGATATCAAGGATGCATTCTTCGCACTCCTCCTATCACATGTCCCACGCTGGAAGACATTGCAGTATACTCTTCTCACTGAACCTGTTCGTGCTCTTATAAGCGAGGCTCTCATCCGAGAAACTCCCAGACTCATTCACTTCCAAGGAATCCCACCGTGTAGTTCTTCAGAAATACGTTTCTGCTATTACCCATTCTTCCGGCACTTCGCAGATACACTTGTATCGTTCGATATCACTCCAATGAGATTCTCTTCTCCCGACTCAAACCGTACTGTCACCACTATGTCTCGTCTTCGCACCCTGAAGGTTTTTTCAACCGATGCCCTGGATCAGCTCTTAGCTCCAGTGTTGGACGAGCTGGCCATCTCGTGTACCCATCACTCAGCAGCATGGTTAACGTCTTTCATAGAAAGATTGCAAATCTTCCACCGTTTGCAATCTCTCTCTCTACTGCTAGCCACCACGCCCGCTTGTGTCGACGTCATCAACAGCCTCACCGACCTATCTTCTCTCATCATAGAAGACATTACCGTTGGCTTGCCATTCCTTCGAGAGCTCTCCGTTGCCTGCCCAAAGCTGAAGACGTTGAAGATTTCGGAAGCGAAGGGAAGGCAAGGACCGCACGTCCATGTCAGCAAGGACTGCCTAGTCTTTCTTATTCAGCTCCTCGATGACCGGTTGGAAAACAGGACGCTGGAGAGCGTCTCAATTCAGCTGGGTAAGCCGTTATTCTTGGATAGGGATGAAGCTTCGAGGGGGCAAGTCGAGGCGTTGATTGCGAAAGAGGGTGTCGAAATGACTTTTAGAGAGTATTCAGTTTTGTCTAAGTTTGGATTGTAGTACGCTGATCTACGTTGTGTATATGAATGAATCAAGAGCTGGTACAGAATACGCGTCAGATGTATCTATTTGACTACTATGAGGAACCGAGGTATGACTCTTTACCAGCTTCAAAGCATGACTTTATTCCTCCAAGAATCGCAATGCGCATGATGCAGATGAGTCAAAGCAATTGATGAAAATTTCTAAATAATCCAATGAGTAAAATTTGAGTGTCGCGTATGGGCTCTGTGGTCAACGTTATTGATAGTGTCGTCTTCCAGCTGGCGATTAGAAAATCTGGCCCTATAAATACTGCCTTGCGAAAAAGCAAAACTGCAGATTTGTCTGGGCATGATCTGACCGCGGTATATAGAAATTAATAAAAGCCTGGTCCTTTCACAATTCGTCGCGAAGAAACACAGCCACCTCGATCATGATCGGCACCAAAGCGACGGTACGAACCAGTTCGTTTTCGAGGATTCCTACCATATCTGGGATGATATGCCGGCGGCGCTTTAAATTTAAAAATCGAATTGCCTACCCTATTAGTTCACTAACCATGTGATTTCTGAAACAGGGACTTGATTCGAGAGCCCCCAGTCCCCGTTGCCAGGCTAGTTATTACCAAAGCGCAACCCTCCCTCTCCTTCACCATGAAAGGGACATTTCATTGTTTCATTTTACGCTATTATAACCATTTTTTTGAGTGAAGACAGTTCTAGGTAAGTAGGTAGATACGGAAAACTCCAGAAAAAAAACGATGCTATGCTATGTTGAGATGGGGTTATTTATATGACTAATGGGACGAATTAGAAAGCTCCAAGAAAAACGAGTGTGAGTATACCAACCAGAATAGAGGACACCGGATTATTTACTTTACTTCTTCCCCAACGTCAGACTCCTCATACTCTCCTCCAGAATCGCCGTGACCGAGCACGCGTCCTTACGATTCTCCGACACCGACACCGGCGCTTTACTGCGCCCCACTTCTTTCCGAGGCTCGACGTCCACGTCCACGATCTTCACCACCGCCTTGCCTTCCAAGACCTTCCTCACCTTGTCCGCGTCAATCTTCCTAGAAGACGAGGTCTCGGACCCAGAGAAGGCATCCCAGAACGCCCCACCTAGACGCTTGAACAGCGTCTGTCCAGCGAGAGCAGCGACGAACGCCTGCTCCTGCTCCTTCATCGGCGGAGCAGGCGTAGGACTCCGCCCACCCTGGGACGAGGTCGAGTGCTTCCCTGACAACATCGTGCTTAGTGTCTTGCTCATCATCGGCGGAGACGAAGGCGGCGAGGGGAGGTTCGCCTTGTGCAATGTCTGGAAGTATTTGGGACCCATGAACGACGCGAGGCCATGGAGCGGGGTGGAATAGAGCGGTAACGAGGGGTTGGTGAACGGAGACGGCGAAAACAGTGGATTGTTCGGGGTCGGAGGCGAAGAAGGTGCCGATGATGGCGGCGACGGCGGGTACTGGGGTAGTTGTTGGGTCATTTGTTGTGAGGCCATCTTTGACCACAAGTGCATGCGGTACCTGTGTGAAAACGTACGTAAATAACTTGCAAGAAAAGTCGTGGAAAAATAATTACGCACATGTCGATATTCTTCATTGTGAAGAGGTTGTTGTCCGTGAATCCATCGAACCCGGGAGTGAGAGGCGTCTTGACGCGTTTCTCTGCGTTAAGCGCCGGATTGATGTTCTCAGATTTGCCCCATGCCGTCTCTGGAATGAGTACCGTGTGCACGGGCGTGATGCCGCCACCCATCCTCGATGCGCCACCCCAGAAGCTCCCAGAGCGAGGCGATGCAACATCTTTCTGCGTATTGGCAGTGATGAGGGACGGTGATGGCGATTGAGCATGGGAGACAGTCGCTGCAGGAGCAGGAGTTGGTATAGGACCAGGAGGTGGGAGGTTGAGCACAGGGATATCCTCCGTCGTCAGCTCCGTATTTGATCGTCCTTCTAGCAGAGCCTTCTTCAGAGCCGCAATCTCCTGGCGCAGCGCCACGTTTTCCGATTGAGTAGAGCCCAGCTCGTCCCTAATAGATTGTAACAGACGGTCCCGCTCCGCGATATCGAGCTCAAGGGTCGATATGTACTCTGCGCCATGTCAGTGGCGCCAACGACGAGTAAGAAAAGACGGCGTACCTTTCCTCCGAACACGGAAGTTTCGTGCACTGATCTTATTCCGGAGCTGGCGTTTTTCCTTGCTCGACATCTTGGCGAAGACCTCCGGGGGCGGGCGCCAGTCAGCAGGGAGGTCGTCATCATCGTCGATGTTTTCCTTCTCCTTGTGCACGACAACGGGAGCTGCAGCCGGTGTCGGTGCAGTTACGGACCTTTTGGAAACACCACCGTTGACTACAGTTCCTTTTCGCGACTTCCCGTGACCACCAGCCTTAAAGGGCGTAATAGTCAACGTGAGCTTCTCCTGCTTTGGCTCGGGCTGCGGTTCAGGCTGTACAGGCTTCTTCTCTTCCTTGAACATCTCTACTGGTTCCTCCGCAGACGTTGCCATCAGCTGTGGGTCGATGCCCATTGGTTCCGGCTGTTCCTCATACCTCGAGAGGAAATGGAACGGCGACGTCGACGACTGCCCATCAAGCTTCAGTTCGTCCTCGAGAAGGTTAAAAAGAGTGCTGCTCGTCGACGATGAGTCATACACGTCGGTAAATGACGGTGACGGCGGTGCCTGTGGCGGCGTCAACAGCGATGCTGACTGAGGTGATGAGGCGCTCGACGAGGACGACGGCGATTCACCCTCGATGCTGGGCCCGAAAAGATCTGTGTTGAGGTATTCCGAGAGGTCGGTTGTATTGTACTCGGCAAGTGAGAGGGATGGCGATAATGGAGCGTCGACGAGCATGGTGGAGGCGTGAAAGAAAGAAATGAAAACGCACCTGTTTGGGGGTGGCTGAGGCCCGGTGATGCCCAAAACGAGGTTCCAGCACCGCTGCCGTGTGCCGCGGCTTTTCCTCCGGCATCCCGGCTTCTACCTCGTTCTCTCAGTTTCTACCCCTCCCCCCTTTCGGCATCTCCTTTATTGTTTTCTTCCCTCCGTATTTTATTCTTTTCTCCAGCACTATCGTAGCATCATATGGGTTTCGAGAAATACCTCCTCTGCAACATCTCGACGGCCACATGGGCGATGAAATAGAAATTAATATTCGAATATGTATTTCGACTTGGCAGATGTCCGGTGGAGAAATAACTCCGTGGGGCATTTTATGATTGTTGGTGGTGTAGCACCGGATTCGACGTGGCACACTCTGAGTAAATCACAGCCGCTCTATCCCTTTGTAGGGTGAAATTCAGAACTGCCGCTGTACCTCAGGCAAGCCTGACGCTGGTAAAGTGAGTCTACTGTGGAAATAGAAGGATTTCTGAAAACTCTCGTCATTCATATTGACAAGCGGGGCCCGAATGAATCCTAGAAGGGCGAGAAATATTCTTTGGAGAGGTACCAATTCAATCTCCTCAATTGAGGCACCATCAGCAAAAATGCAAAGCGATTACAAATACATGCGAGAGGCTTGTAATCGCAATAATTACTTATAACATGTGTAATCGGTTATAATTGATTATCGTCGACGCGTACATTTTATAACCGTGTTGTACCCATATTATAAGCGGAATATAATCTCTACAAGAATGGTAGTTCTCGTATGACCTGATAGAATTATTATGATTGTATGTGAATACAACCTTCATATCAGGCCTCTGTAAGAGCCAATTAAGTGAATGATATGACTGTTACTCAAGCAATTAAATGGATCATATCATTCATTCAGCTAGTAAAGCATACAATGCAAAGCACGAAAGGATAAATTTATTGCAGCATAAGGTACACAAAATGACATCTAGTATGTATTAATCTCCCCGAAAGGTGCACAAACGAGCCATACGATCCTCCAGTCCTTCATGGCGCACCATTCCTTTGATAGAAAGCCCGCCTATCAAGCACCCAGTCAGTATGAGCATACTCAGATATAAATGTACGTACTCATTACACTCCCTCAGCAGGTTCTTGCGAGCATCAGCGGCTATAGATTTATCAATGCACTTGATAATGGTATCGTCACGGCAGAGGTATTAATGAGCGAGTGGCTACGGCGTCAAAATAAATCATTGCATCAAAAGTAGCCGGCAGTCTTGACTCACCCTGACTGCGGGAATGTCCTCCATCCCTAAACAGATATCGCAAGGGCACCAAAGAGTCCTAGATCATATAAATAATCTTGAAGCGCCAAGTCTGCAAGGAACTCACACGGGATTGTCGCACAACTTCCATAGCTGGGGGTAGAGAGGATGTCAGTGTGGTCGAGTTCTGAGGCAAATAGAGAAGAGTAGTCAGTGACAATAGAAGAGATAAATCTATGGTCCACATACTCGAAGAAATATTCAACCGCAACACCGTTCTCCCTGGCCATGAGCTAGAAGTGGATGAATAGAGGCACCTAGGACAGAAAGAACACCATCAGAAGGACTCGGATTGATTGGATAATTATCAAAGACTTTTTCGTGGAGTATCGATGCCTGAAGAACTGAGGAAGAACGATGGTAGTGGAAAGAACGAGAGAAAGGGAGTCGGAATTTGCATCAACAAAAGGTCAACATCACGTGCAATGACGCGATCCGGGAGCGCGGAACCTGAAACGGCGGAGTTTGAAAGGACTTGCGATTATTTCATGGCCCAGTCCGCGCTTTCCTGCCGCCATTCGATGATACCATGCCGTAGTTGCTTTCTGTCTGCTTGTACTAGCGATTCACTCATTGTAATTCTGGCCAAGACCTATGTACTAGTAAAACATCATTCACATTAACGTAATTCTTGCAACACTATCAAACCAATTTGGTCCCTACTAATGAATGCGGCACAAGGAAGGATGAACTTGAAGTATTACTGGAAATAAGCTGATGCACATTTACAATACCATGGTAAGAGTGTTGCAATTTGGTTGCAATCGAGCTGTATGCAGTTGTAAGATCCACAAGCGTTGCAGCGGATTATAATGCAATTACAAATTGATACGATTATGATATTGATTGTCAGCCGAATATCGGCACTGATAAGATATTCCAAGAATAGTAATGATTGCAATTGTTGGGGGATTTTGCTGATGACCGGGCCATTGACGACAGATATCTACAGGGTTACTAGTTAGATACCAATAAGAGTGTTCATCCATAGAAAGATAACGGCGATGATGATGGAAGAGAAGAAGCAAGTCAAACGCCTCCGAAAGTAACACCTACAAACCATCCTCTTTCGAGCAACCGGCCCGGTGCCTGCCAAATCCTAGCGAGAACCCCACTAAGCGCTCTCCCCGCACTGCGCGTACTTATTTTAAAGCCTTCGCTGGCATGTTCAATGCTCCTTTGGTTTTTTTTTCCCTGCTGGATTGCCCAATCAGCATCCGTTATTTCGAGACGCTAAAGATCTTGTTGTGGTTCTCCAACACTGGCTCTTCGTGCACTACTGATGGCTCCAGGGGACTCGACGTTCCACCGATACGAAGCTTACGGTATTACTTGCACAATACTGTACAAACAACCTCCATTTACTTGCTGCCCACTACTACGTTTGCTGATCCCTCGCACTGGTTATCTGTTTCAAGTACCTGGTCTATTATCTCTCTATCGTTTGACAAGCAATACAACAGAATAGCCGACTCGCAGAAATTTACAGAGTTGAAATACGATGTCCTCTACCACTACCGGTGGCGCAAAATTCAAGTTCACCGGAAACGTGCACTCGGCAGCCTCCGCCTCGTCCCTTCAACTTCAGCTATCATCAGCATACCTGCCCTCGCTCCCTTTGAAGATCCCCGCTCGCCTCCTGAACTCTTCTGGGTCAAGCACCAGCCGTACTTGCAAAACATAGGCTACATGCTGCTCCCTCGGTACCATTCAGACCGGCGCCCTTCATGGATAAAGAAAGACGGTACAAACTTGAAAGAAAAATACTCTTGGGCGAGTTTTGAGGACCAGCATTGTTCAGTGGTGAGATTTATATTACTTTCCGAAGAGACATGCTCTTATTTCTAGAATACATCAGTCATTTAGATGTAATTCGTATGGAGGACGGCGTCAAGGTTGCTCTCCGAAGCTCACAAGAGCTAGCCATGACAATGCACCTCTCCTTGCCCAAACTACGCTCTGATCCACGCAATCACACTGTTCCGGTTCTAGGAACGATACCGATACCTGGCGAGGAAACGGAACGAGTGTTCGTCGTCTTGCCTGTGCTTCGCTGGTTTCACACTCCTTACTTCCACTGTCGACGGGAGTTTGCTGATGCATTTAGAAAAATCTTAGAGGTAGGTTGCTATGTACCCTCATATTCGGGATGGATTATCTATGACTCAAAACAGGGTGTAGATTCACGCATGAACATAATGATCTCTCACGGATAAGTCGACTGGCGCTCTATAAGTAAAACAACGGTATTGAGTTCCCATTCTAGAGATGCGTGTACGCTGAACTTCCTTATGGATGCCACCAACCTTTACCCTAAAGGCTTTCACATGGCCTACCAGACCAGCATTGACGGAGTTCGACACACACTCCATGCACGACCACGTTGCCTTGTGGCTCCCGTCAAATACTATATCATCGATTTCGAAACTACGAGGCACTTTCCCGAGGGCAAAGATTCTGCACGGGCTATCAAGCTAAAGTGTCAGATCAAAACTTTGCCGGAATTTCTCGGCGCTCCTGCACCGTACAATCCCTTTCGCCTGGATGTCTATAACGTTAGCGCTACGTTTCTCGAGTTTTGTGAGGTAATTTAATGCTAAGTCTTCCTTCCTAAAATAACGTTTTTGTAAAGCAGTATGCTGGTCTGGACGAATTCAAGCCTCTCTGTCTTCAGATGATGGCCAAAGATCCTACCAAGCCACCGACCACGCCAGAGATGCTTGTGAAATTTGATGCATTCATTGGGTTGAATTATGAGATATGGATGCGTAGTCACATTTGGCTGGATTACTCCTGGCATAAGCCACCATCTCGATTCATTCAGTTTCTTTGGCCGAAATTTCCTTCTCTTTTACCGTACTTCTGATTCTGGGAGGATTTCTACATGCTATCCCATACACTTGCATGCATACGTCCTAGTTTTTATATAGCCTCAGCGCTGTATTCTTAGGTCGGAGTTCCCGCATTTTTTGGTACCCATTCAATCCGGCAAGTATTTTCAAGAGGAATCGGCACCAGAGGGATGGTTCTACAACAGGAGAGGACGCTAGCATGTCGAGTCCATTTTTCCGAAAGACCTGGAAAGAACTTGAAAGATGAAATAAGGCAAAAAGGCAAGCAGGAAGTAGTGTCCTCAGTGTGTCCTTGTTTCGCAGATGTTTGTGATTCTTGAGATCGGATGATTATGCATTCATGAACAGTTCATGAACCGTAATGTGTGGCAGGTCAAAGCTAAGTGCTAAGTACTTAGGCAACTTGGGCCAAAGCCAAGTTTGAAGTCAAGATTCGCCACGACAAGACAAGAAAAGTGCTTTGACTTTGGTGCCGACTCTGCCGACTCGGGGAATCACGTGGTCCTTGGCGGGTCATGGTTTCAATTTGAATTTCCGAGGCGAAAAAACTTCGGGATCAAACAACAATGGCGAGTCTGAAAATGACAATTACAAAACACTTGCAAAAGACAAGTACATCTTCCGTCCCATCCTTAAATATTTCGGATCTTCTGAATAACATAATTCTCGTAACGCAGAATGAGACACCTAGAATTCGCTTGGTGTAATTCGGGGCCCCGTGTGTTGTTCAGGAGGAAGCCAAGTAGAGACTGACCAGCAGTTAGGTCGTCTGGCAGCAAGATCCTTGTCTCTACTACAGAGTTTCCTTGCAACCTCGAACTCACACTTCTGCGTATATAGGATGATACTCCGGGACTTCGAGAGCCAGTTCGTCATTGAGATGCTATTAATGAACTGAGTTGTGTAGGCTTCTATAGCGGCACCCCTACCTTGACCACTAGCCTCTGAGCTATTCGAACGACAAATAACAGGCGTTGCTATAGCCAGTTTTTCCCAAGCGGTTATTTTCGACATTGGTACGAGCACCCTTCTCCTTATATGTCAGTGTTTTGCGCCGCCCTGCAAATTAGTATGTTGACTTTGTTCATTCAAAGAACTGTCTTCGCCCGCCACGCTTTTTGCCCTTTATATGGAAAAACACCAGCAACCAATTCATCCATAGTCCGAATCGTATAAAAGGCGAGGTAGAAGAATAATGCTATCCCAACCCTCTCGCATCTCTTTTCCCTCTCCAGCAAAGGCAGCATCGCCCCTCTCTCCCTCTATCAACTTTGAGTGAAATGCCTGCCGTGAGACAAAAGGTGCGTCTCTCGGTCCCCGTTATTGTCCCGTCGTTGATGTCAACTCGGATCTCGTCAGACAACTGGTGGCAAAGTGTAAGATATCCGCTCATTGATGTTCTGAGGATTATTCTAATACCGTTCTGTAGTTTTTACTGCCCCATTCACAAATGCAAATTTTCAGCGAAATCATCGTCGAACTTGAAGATTCACCTGAATCGACAGTACGTCTCTTCACATTTACATGTCTCCCACCTCCGACCTGACTGGGGCTTATAGCTATAATCTGAAACCCTACGTCTGTAAAGATAGACATGATTGTGGTTTTGCCAGTGCCGACCCAGCCGCCCTCCTTAAGCATCGCGTGGCGTTTCACCAATATGTTACGAAGTCTTGGCCAACAAACCAGAAGGCACAGAAAAGACCCGCTCCCTATTCCAAGCTTTCGTCGAGAGCCCGAGTCAAAATTGTGAAGCCACAAACCAAGAACGACATCGAATCTGTTTCGCAGGTGTTTCTCACTGCTACACCTCCTTCCACTGCCACCGTCGATCTCCAAGGATGTGGCGTTGTCGACGTCGATGCCTGTAGTAAAACCTTTGCCCATGCGTACAACCTCCGAAGCAACCCACACCCATACGCAAAGGAACTCCTACCGGCCCTTCGTTCTTGCCATCCACTCGAAGACCACACGACATCGCCAGTAGCTATGCCTTCCAACGCCCAGCCTTCGATTCCGACATTTCCTCCCGTCAACTTTCCTCAAGAAAATGTGCCACCTGCAGAACTATCCTCGCCGGAACCCAGTCCAATGCTTGAGCTGCTTCTGCGAACGATCGATTCTGTGGAATTCGACAACAGCATGACCGCGAATTTCGCTACGGATGGGGGAATATCCCCTGCAAGCCTGCCGCCCATCCATGTAGCCCCTCTGACTACGCAGTGGCGCGGAAATGCTAGCGCTTATGCTGAGAACGTCGTTTCATTTTCGCCTCAGCCCAAGACACGATTGACAGACTTCTCTACCTGCCAAAATGTCAGCGCACCCTCCGTCGACCTGGATGCAGCCCTCTCCACGTTCCTTGATTCGCTGGAGTTGGAGTCCGAATCCCCAGCATCGTACCAAGTCCCTTCCCCGAGCGTTCTCTCAGACTACTTCAACTCAGCATCGTACCAGTCCTCCGACTTTGGGGTATCAACCTTCGAATTTGAAGCCTAGTTTACAGGAACATTGGGTGTCTATTCCCTTCAGCGCTACGTTTCTCATCATTCTTTATCTTGCATTTTATCTATTGTTTCTCAGACTTGCATCATCACTGTAGCATTTTCAACCATCATCGTCAGGGGGTTACCTCTTGTTTTTATCCCTTCATTATTGTTAGACCGTTATGGGACTTTGTTTATCGTCCTTTTCAGCACCCTCGTTTACTTAGAATCTCTCCACCCACTATACACGCATTATTAAACATATCTGGACTCATTATAAACTAGTACATATTTACTTCCTTCAAATCCAATCTGTTTCGACGTTAATGATTTCGAATACTCTGAACTAGTAATGTGTATGGAATCTCGTAAAAAGAGCCAACATCCTGGGGTAACCGATCCACAACATCCTTCCAATCTCGCAGTGCATTTCGACCCTCGAAGCTGCATGCATCATAGTCGTTCTCAAGGAATTGTGTCATTAACGTCATGAGCTCCTTCATGTCATCAAATACTTCAGCAATGGGATTATAGCAGCCCAATTCTAACGCAACTGCAGAAGAGGATACGAACCCCTTCGTCATATTCCCATCAGAACTATAGTTCCATTTTGCGTAGCGTATCAAATTAGGAAGAACTCTGGGCACTGAACGTTAACCCTACAGTCAGTAGCCGTAAAATAATTCTGAGGAAGGCTGAACGCACCCAATGCCAACCGCAAATCGGCTGCCGCAGGATTCGACAAAATCTGAATCAAGGATTGTGACCAGGAGTAGATATCCTTATGAATAGCATCTCTGTTGCTAAGAAACGTGCTTGAGGAAAGGCATTCATTAACCCGATTTTGCAAGAGAAGTTCAACTTGGTCGAGAGTCTTCTCATCTGTCGTATGTACTGAAAGAAGCGCACATAGAATGTCGAAGTAGTTTCCGCCGGATGATGACCATGCCGTTGGAGCGAGCAGGGTGTCGACCAAGGCGTGTATGACAGCACTGATTTCCGAACATGTTAACCTCTCCTTCCACCACTGAGCACCCCCCGGAGTATATAAGTTATCGATGGGAATACCGAGCTGAGCCGCGTGCTTATAAACCAAACATCGTTTCTGCGAATATTGTGAGCCTCGTAATCGGACACTTGGGGAAGGAACACACGTCTGAGCTGCCGTACAGCATATACAGCATGAGGATATCGGAATGATCGTCAGAATCATAAGTATTCAGTGGAACGTCGTCAAATGCAGCTATAAGCGCCCTCATAGACGAGTGCATCTGCTGACGATTGTTCCAAATCTCCCAATTGGACTTGCCGCAGTATCGAAGTAGAGTGGGAGCCCAGAACTCCAGGATATTCCGGCTTTCAGAGGGCGGAAGGTCTGAAGACACTATGAATGCTTCCATCGCATCAAATAGTCTAAGCAATTGCTTATCGCTCATCAGGTCAGGCTCTTTGAGCTGAACCGCTATGAAGTGAGCAGTATTTATCGCTGCTGCAGCCAGCGAACGAAATGAAGCCCTTTCATCGGTAGTGGTTCTTCGCAACGTTTGACATGCTGCTTCGACTAATGAGGTCAGAAATTGGGATACTTCAAGTAAGATGACTGATTAGCTTGACCGGTGTCGTATATGTATAACCGCTTACCTTGAGTGGTCGTACTTTCATCAATGACAGGTGTTCCGGACCAAGGCAAGGTCATGGCGAAATCGATAGTATAAACGATACCTTCAGCAACGGACGTCGGGAAGCTCCCTTCATCTCTAGGTAGGCTGAATAGCCTGGTATCTGTTGACGATAGTAAATCGGCAAGCTTGGTCAGGCCGTTTAAGATTTCGTGCACATCGCTGAACTGGTACACGATTCCGAAATGCAAGGAGCAGAATGCGTCGACATGATTGGCATTATTTTTTGCGCTCCTGGTCGCCCAAGAATCGTCGGGAAAGGTCCATAGCAATAGTCTGTATGTTTCCTCGATCTCTCCGTCACCTATCCAAGTCCTCCAGACATCCGTATAAGTCTTCGATAGAATGGGCTCCCCCGATTCGGAAGGATCATCCAGGTAGATATCGCATAGCACCTCTGGTGCGGTTACGTCGCCGAGGGTTTTAGCGCATTTCCATACTGACTGTATGCTAGAAAAGTCCCAAGCGACGGCATGGTTGTGCACCCATAAAAGCGCGCGCGCGAGGTGCTCGGTTTTTCCTTCCAGATACTCTAGGGATATGTCTATCCATGTATATAGAAAGCGAGCCTTTCCTCGTGTAACGATGAAGCGGAAAATGGATACAATCCGATAGAAGCTCCAGGCTTGTATAGAACGGCACATAGAACTGGGGTCAAAGGAGGGCGCGATAGTGGTGGTGAGGAAGTAAATGGTCGTAAAACCTATCAGAGTGGTGATTATGCCGGCGATAATGGAATTGAGGGTCCAGAGAAGGATAAGGAGCCCGGCAAAAAACAGGAACAGTGCTATGATGAGAAGAAGGGGAGCATATGACATGCTATTTTCGATAAGTGGACTATTAAGGCTGTTGAAATGCAGCTGCCGCAGACCTACAGCCAAGCGAGGAGGAGGCACAAATCTCCCGTTCGTCCAAGAGTATTGGACGAGCCACTGCTTGACGAGTATGGCCATGAGAACCGCTGTCAATGCTAGAATCAGGCTGGAGAACCAAGCGAGATTGATGATGACGTTAGACCTCGAGGGGGTAAATGGAGTGTTCACGGAAGAAGAGTTCGATGGGTCCAATTGAGAGGATATTCGAGTTAAAAGAGCTTCGACAGGATCTTCACTAAGCCATTGGTATGATTCAATGAGAAAAGCGGTGACGACAGCAGAATAAAGACCAGCCTGTGATTCAAATATTGGCAACAAACATTGATATGGAGCAGTCAAATAACTCACGAAAATTAGAATGGTATTCATTTCTTCCGTCCACGTGGAGACGATCTTGGAATCGAATTCTGATATAGCGTTGTAGCACTTCTTCCAATGAGCGGACAAGTCCTCCTGCGTTGAAGGCAGTGTCTCCCTTTCCTGAGAAGAACAACTGGAGGTTCTTGTTTCCGATCCATTTGCGGAGGTGCGTGTAGCGACTTTGGGATCTTCAAATGCCGAGTCTAACTCGGACGAAGCCACAGAACCTGTCCTTTGCGAGCATTTCTCATTGGCACTGGACCGCGACGGCGAACATCCGGCACTGTTACTATGTTCGGATGCTGTGTCCATACCAACGAAAGTCACTTCTACGAAAGAGGGTGCGAGTTATCGTGACCAATCAAGCTCCAGTCATCCTCTTCGTCCTAGAAAGAAAATCAGTGGCGGTAAGGATAGATTAAACCCTAGAAACTAACCTACAGATGACTGTTGGAAGCGAAAACATGCCGTCATACAGACATTGCAATAAGGGACATGCCGACCCGGCCAAGACTCGGCAACACTTTTTACCCTGTAAGCTGTGAAGCGTGTGGTGATGGGAATAGCCTCCACGACCATACTTAACCGGCGTGCTGGCCAGTCCTTTTGATCAAAACGCTGCAACATGGGTCGTCCTGCTATGCCCTCTGCTGAAGATGGCTATCGCAGAAGAAAACCTCGCGTACGCATGCCGCCCAAGTCTTCGCCACCGTCCCGCCCATTACGAGGAGGTAATACTCCTGTTGATGTTGACAGGAAGAGCAGTAGTAGTGAAGGCAGGAAGAAAACCAAATCACGGAAGAATTAATGGAGCATGGTCAGCCTATCCATAGACTAAGCAATTTGTGTTTGGGGTAAAGCGGTGAGTCCTTACTTCACGGAGCAGCTCAACATTTTGATACTGAAGCTAAGAATAGCCTCTCAAATGCCTCTGGAAACGAGATCCCTCATCGCATCACCTCAGTTAGGGCTAGCCGCTGTTTACTCAGGTTAGAACATGCTATCCCCATGACAGATCAGAGGGAGAATCTGTGATCGGACACGGCAGCGCGGCCAGGGGTGTCTGTAATGAGTGATGTTGAAATAGACAGAAGAGGAATATTTTACATACTTAGAGTACCTTGTGTAAAACGCGCCTTACTGAGAAAGAAACTTTGCGCAACCGAAGACTGCTTTCACGAGGATACGGCGATGGTTTGAGCACGGGAGGTCAGCCGGGGTGGGCATATAGTACCATGCAAGACCCATACGGGAAGCTGCGAGTCGACTGGTCTTCGAAGGGGCCAGCTTTCCCATTCCTTGATATGTAGAGTTCAGGCATACCGCTTTTTCTGTTGTACTACTAAGTAGAAGAGGAGGCTATACCGTCCATATTATGCAGAGTTTCCTGTAACTACAGGCGAATGGAGTATGCAGAGTCGGAAGAGCTGCGCACAACGCTCTGCATACTCAGGGTCCTGTAATTTTCCCACGTCCTTATTACGCCACAATACCCTCCCCAACCCTCCGCCCCTCCGCCCACAGCCCCAAAAACACTGGGAATAATCGCCAACGATTAATTATTGACATTTTTTTGGCGCTCACATGATATTTAATTGATACTGGCTGATACTGGGTGGCAACCGGGGTGTTGAATTTTCCACCCTTCTACTCATTGCCAGGGGGCCACAAAAGAGCGGGCTCAGAAAATATTATTTGATATACTTACTAGTACTGTTTCCAAACTGCTTCTACACCTACCCTTACCATATATTTGACTGAATGCGCATTGACATGGCTTGGATGCACAGACCGTGGGAGTATACCATTCCCGATTTGGTATACAGTTTGGAAATTGCGAAAGCGGGCGAATTTTGGGATAGTAGACAGTATATTACACTTATTCAATTAAAATATGACAAAAGAAGCAGTATATGATTGCTCTATCTTGTTTATATCATATAATGTATGGATACTAAGGACAAGAAGTATCCCGACGTTTTCCGGAGTTTTCCGAAACACCCTAACCCGCTCACAGTAAGCAAATAGGTCGAGATTGTACAGTCCCAAAATTCTCTCAGTGCTTGGAAATATACTTCAAAATGTCTATTAGCTTCTTTAATGTTCTATGCATCTTCTCTTTGCATGTTTTCCGTCCTGTGCCAATGGTGTGCTAATGTAGACATGAATTATGATCTCAGAAGTATGCCAGAGACATGTGTAAAAGGCATACCTCACAGTACATGCTTAAGTTGAAGTATATTACCCAGAGATGCATGGTCTGTACTTATTTGGAGTGATATGTGTCACAGTGCATATCTGCCCTGGCAGAAATATACCTCGGTCAGACGAAATTGCACCAGGTGAGATTGTGCATGTAATGTTCTTTTATGAGTTCACTTCAATGAGAAATGCAATTACAACACACATAAAGGCAGATCGCCATGAATCGGACACTTGCTTTGGATAATGTAATACATAAAATTTTATTTTCAATCATTCTTACCCTTGGAACGGTTGCACATACCTGTGTACAAATGATGCATCCTTGAAATGTCCTAAAATGCATGATATTCACCATAAATAGCAGATAAATCAAGGTTGGGATAGATTATATACTATAAAAAGTACACAAATGTATACTAAAGCATTTATATAGTATATTCTGTCAGATTTCTGGGCTTCGGAGTAAAGGATTCGAGCAGAGGATGCATCCCGAGCATCCATTCCGCTCGTTCAATCGCTCCGGTCCGGTAAACCGGATACTGATCGAGTGGCTGTACGCCTTCTTTTTTCGTCTCACCTTTTCATGGCGTAGTCGCCTGCCTGCCCCCCACTGCTCATTTGAATGGAAATAAAGGTATATTTCATTACTTTTAATGCTAATATAGGTTTTATAGGTACTTTTGATCCATCTGGTGGCCCCTGGATGGCCTGGATATCGTGCATCAAGTCCCACTCGCCTGCGTGTAAGCCCTCCTGCAAGGCAGCATAATTTGCCCCTTCCAAATGATGGAGAATTGCACTACCGCCATCGCCCTTTTACTACAGCGCACGCCAATTCTTGCCGCCGCCATTAAGTCCTGTCCTGTTGTCGTTGCAACCCACCTAGCATCCCCCACATCGAAATCGGGGCCAATCGCCATTCACCACGGCTTCCAGATGCATTAATGATGCCTCAATCACTCGATAACTCAAGATCCGCCTCCATCTGCCACCAGGAAGGCATATGGATGCAAAGCTAACCATCACGACGACCAGGACGACGACGACGACAGTGAGGTGTGAGGGGTAGGGAGGACTCGAGTATAGGGTATGACCATGCCAATAGCAGGCTAGGGATGGAGTGGAAGCAGGGGTGTGCTAGGGATGGGAGAGAAAGTGAGAGGGTACAGGCAGGAGGGCGAGAGCAGGGTCGGGATGCTGACGGTGAATGACGCCGACGACGACCGTGTTATTTGAGGCATTATGTAAATGAGGGCTCAAAGGCGTTGTGAACGAACCCACATTCATGGCTACGCGATCACGGATACCCCCGCCGCCGCCTGCTGCATCCCGTCCAACATTGGCCTCCCGTATGCCGCCCAGCTCACCCACCCACCTCAAACTCATGCATCCCTCATTATTTCGACCGGGTAACATGCATCATAGCTCTGTTTACCCCCTCAATGCCATGGTCGTCGTCTACCGGCTCCCTCGACACCCGCCTTTTCCCGCTCACATCACCCCCATAATAACGCAACGATCACTGCGCCATCAATATCATTGCTTCCCTCTACATGAGGCTTCATGGATGCTATCGACGCTTACGTCCCGCCACGCCCGCCTGTACCGCATTTTATCTACATTTTGTATGCTGTACTATATTTCAATTATATTCATTTTATTTGATAATAATACGGGACAATCCCTTTTAGGCAGGCATCGGGAGGACGACGAGAGGACGTCTCCTCATCGTTTGCGACGATGACGGCAAGGTGAAAGGACATGAGGGCAATATACGAATACGTAATTTTTTTCTAGGAGTATGCAGAGTATGTGTCTTGGGTATGCAGAGTGGTATGCAGAGCGCATCTCTCCAGCGCCACCGTCCTGTAGTTACAGGAGACTCTGCATACCGGCTTGCACTGTAACTACAGGAGATTCTGCATACTGTGGACAATAAAGGTTGAGAAGAGCCCGAAATCACTATGACTGAGGAATGCACCTATAAGGTAGGTTAGAATAAACTTGTTTAGCAGGAAATAATCACGCACGATAATCCGGACATCCACTGCTCGTCGCAAAGTCTTACTATGTTGACCTTCCATCCTGCGGTAGCAGATGCGACAAGAGAAAAGCACCACACGGCTCTGTGCTTCTGTGCTTCGGTGGAGGAAAACAGGGGCCAGTTATTACGAGAAGTAACATTGAATGGAGGCGCATATATCCTGCTCGGCAGGCAGACAACGACAATACAGATGAACAACAACGACGAAGCTCAAGGGAACGGCCGGATATGGCGGTCCGGATATAGGAATTGGTGACTCCCAAATTGGCACGTCTCTCCCTCTTACTACCACCTGCCCGTAACTCTACGCGTTGCTCGCGTCTATTTGCCCTATCCAAGGCTCCACTGGCTTGCTACATGTATCGGTAATCTTTTACAAACGACGTTCTCGACTGTCGTTCGCAGCGGTTTGGCGTGAAGACAAGTCATGTTCGAGTCCAAATTCTCGAAGGTACGGTTGTATGCTGTCTTCTCGGACAGACTGAGATTGATTTGTATGCTTGATGGCGGATGCTGGTGCGATATACTCTCCATTTGGTTAGTTATTGACCAAATCATTCTGCTTCTTTTCTTAGAAATGCCGTCAGAGGTCGAGTCTGGCAAGCAGTTTTTATGCGTGACTGTTGGCTGTATGCTTGAATGGTACGTCTATAGTCAGCCTATGTCTTCTAAGCGAGGCTGAAAAGATGTGACTGTGGTTTCCAAGGTCGTGTGGACGCATATATAGAGAACCCTCAGCATAGCCAAGCTCGTGCAAGGACAACGCACACGAAGACAGTGGATAAACGAGAGCTCAGGGTCTGCTATACCAATCCATTCAACCGTTCTTCGCAGGACGACGAGTTTAGTCTAGCTAAGTATGCTCGAGATTGAACTGCACTATCCCACTGAGTCCTTTGGGTGAGGTTTGGCTGTCTGTGCGCTATGATCGTAGTCATATTGTTGATTTATATTGACCATTTATTCAAGGGTGCCATGTACTTGTGTGCCGCTCACGGTATTGGTGTTAACCATTCATATTCATCCCATCATCTCGGATGCAGGGCGCCGTCTGCCAAATTCAACCTGTGTCAAGTGGATCAATTTCCAGCAAAGAATGTCTCGCTGCCGATGATGCATGATATACATGAAGTTTTGCTGATCACGGTAGCTTGTGAAAGCTTAAGAAGGAATCTCTTCGCAGGCAGGCTTACGTGTGCAGTGCTTCGCTTTGACCGCGTGTTGCCGACCGTGCTCTCCAATATCGGACAATCAGGTCGCCATGGTGGAAGGTATATCGTGAGTTCATTCGTCAACGTACTTGCATCGATTCTTACTCCCAACATAGGATTGAACCGCGGGTCATAAAGCTTGAAGGGTCAGTCCTCCCCCCAAAAATTTCGGCAATCGTGGTTTCTCAAGCTTCCACAGATGTGGAAGCACAAGGCTTTAAACGTTCGACAAAGATATTTGGGCCATCCCTGAAAATCGATGCCGGAAGCATTGTCCGTATGTATCCCGCGATCAGCCTTACTGATGCTGTCGCGAGATCCGGTCAATCTTGAATTGTAAGTTGGTACATCGATATGGGTGCGACTAGTCTCTTAACCCTACACTAGAGACCTTCTGGACGAATCGACAAAAATTAAGCTGATAATTCGTAGGCTCTTTCGCGTCTTAGGGCGTGCAGAGACGACAATTCCAGACTTATTTGAAGGAGAACACAAAGATGAGGCCATCTTCGATACTAAGAGGTCCCAACTAAGTCTCCGAATCCTCAGACAAAGTGATTCCACTTTTTGCTGCCTTCTCATCATCAGTCGTAGGGTCACTCAGGATATCTTATTCTACAGACACCTACGTAGTGTTGGTTAAAAACATGATCAAACCGCTTGCAGAGGTATGTGTCGCGAATAGCGAGTGATTCTCGTTCCACTGAGAACAGGCAAAAACTAGGTTGATCATGCTGCAGACATTGCCTGGAGTTTCTTGTCAAAAGGAATCAGCGTAAGCCAAGCTGGCAAGGTTCTTTGACCATATTTAGCGACATGTCGTCATTTTCCAGTATCATAGGCGTAGTCGAAATACGAGCTAAATATGACTGTCACGAAGAAGGAATCAGAAGCTAAGATCATTGCTGGTGGCAACGTGGCATGAACGGTCTTGAACACTGTACATGCTCATCGGCGAGACTTGGCAACAAATCCTCGGATGGGTTGTTGGATGATGACGTCCCTGGAAAATATTGTTCCGCTCTCGATGGGAACAGGGATCAATGGTACTAGTCCGGATACCAGAATGAGCCAAGAGAGAAGAGCGAAGCCGACAGAGAGATTGTCACCAATCCACTGGCAGGGACAAACCGGGAGTAGAAATGCAGAAGTTTCACAAACTTGCATTGAGATTAAGCTCCGACTAGCACGTTCGTTCCGACGGAGTCGGCACACCTTCCTGGTTGCCAACAGCGCCGAAAAAAGGCTGGCCCTGGAAATGGAAGAGGAATAAGATAGGAAAGAGACGGGCGGGAGGAAGAAGACGACTCAGAAGACTGGCACGGATGGTCGCCGCACACCCACCGCACCACGAGAGCATACCTAACACGACTCACATGCACGACATGCTCGAAAACATCATACGTCCTTGTCCAAACGTAGAGCCAGCTCAATTAGCCCATCACAGGGCGTAAAAATGCAGTAAAAGTCCGTGACTCTACTCCATATCAGGCGACAAATCACTAGGGGAAATCAGATGAACGAGAGGCGGGACTGAAACAAGAGGGACGGGAGAGTGCCTGAAGACCTGTACCTCTGCCGCGTCTTTGTGGTTAGTGTACTTGTAGCGTTAAAATGAAATGAAGACCCCCCAAAAAACGGCGCCGAAAACAAACACACCCTGCACGAATTCAATCTTGTCGGCGCGAAAGCTATACGCTCCTGCCGCCGGCAGCTATGGTGTATGTCCCCATTCTGCCAATGACAATTGTTTCATGCTGTTGTTTGGTTAGGCAGCTAGGCTGGCTGAAATGAAATTCTTACCCATTTTCCGAGTCGATTATCGAAGTGCTTGATTGCTGAGGTGGATACCAAATTCATGTTATGGCATTAAATCATTTTATTTATCGGGGCTAATATACGAGTTGATAACCACCCAAGTCAAACCCGAGTCGCAAGTAGGATGTCCGAAAATCAATTTCCAACCACCAAGAGGGATGATCTCAGGGATCCGAAGTTTCGAGCGGGTGCTAACGAGCGCGTCAGCAAGCGCTAGTTAGTAGTAGGTGACACTAGGTGTAACTGACAGGGCTTCCGACAAGCCCTAGGCGTAGTCGGGAAATTATTAATTGGCAAGCGCTGGGTGTAACCGATCAGGGATGCTTAGTTCACACAATTAAGTGGATGTTCGAAGAGGGGTAAAATTAGCGTAAGATTCTACTACAATAACTGGTAAATATCTATATACCACTGTTAGGGACTCGAGTCAGCATTATTCTACAAGGTTCTGTAGGATTCTAAAATCAGCAAGAAGAATAGAGAAAGTAAGAGAAAGTACCAGTAAACCGAGGTCAAGACCGAGAAGGCCGAGGCATGTGTTGACTCGTTTACAGACCGGAAAAGACCTGATATCCATAACGAACCTGACTTGAAAGGCCGATGCTTGAGTATGGATGACCCAGCGACATCGTGTAACATGTATCAGCTTTGTACTACCCTATCGCAGCGGCTAGTTATGCAACTCTATTTCTAACATCGGTTCCTTCTTCCATATGGTTAGGTATACCATTGGTAAAATGGAGAATTCAACCGCTCTTGAGTTATAAGGCATAAAGGCAACGTCTAAGGCATACAACCTCCAGGATCTAACCATGCTGAAATCCCTTGCCTTCCCGTCGTCCTTTGTATTGCCAAATATTTGCAATATCACTGGGACTGCCTTCGAGCTTAAGGAGAACCAGAACAGGGAATCCGCAAACAGGTCCGCTCTCGCCTGGTTTGAGAAGTACGAATTCCTTTTGTCGAAGTTCGGGTTACTTACATGTTGCCTGACATCCTTTAGGTACAATATTTATGACAGAGAACAGGCCGAAACATTTCTCAATTCTGGTCGATTTGATGTCTTCGCAGCTCTGAGCTTCCCTGAGGCGGATCTGTTGCATTTAGAAACCTGCTTGTGCTTCTTCCTTTGGGCCTTCTCCGTTTGTCTCCTACGTGTCACCACTCAAACTACGTTAACGAAACCTATAGAATGACGATCTGTCAGACGAAGGAGACTTCCAGAGAAGCCCTGAGGATATCCAGAATGGTCACAACGTGTCTATGAAGATCCTGTACGATGCCGATGCGGAGCAGCCCACCTATCCTTACGCTGCTATGCTTTGGGAGTATGATAATTCTGTTCTGCTCTCATATCGTTTTACTGATTGAGTTTATCAGCTTGCTCAAAAGAATCCGGAACACAGGGAGAATGGGAACATACCACAGGTTCGTCAGTCCTTGACTTCTGAAGATGCTTGTTAAGATCAATTACAATAATAAGATTCGCACAAGCTTTCATCGACTTCAGTAGCTCTCAAGTCAAACAGTCTCGCAACCGGAACATCGACTATATCCCACCTATTCAGGAGTTCATCTTGATGCGACGTTGTACCATCGGTGCTGCCCTCGTACAAGGTACCGTGTCTATTTGTGAAGGTAGGCTTGAAATACTAGATGAATTAAATCACAGCTATGGTCGAATACTCATTGGATCTCAATATTCCTGACTATGTCTTTGATGATCCGATCGTCATCGCCATGTCGGAAGCCATAACTGACATTTTGACCTGGCCTAACGTGAGTAACTGGGTCATCCGACTCCGAATATATCGAACTAACCTAGTTCTCGTCAGGACTTATGCTCGTTCAATGTCAATATCCTTTATTTTCGAGGTTTAATGATCATGCTAACTTGGTAGTAGAAAGAGCAAGCCGACGGAGATTATCAGAACTTGGTTTGCGTGTTGCAGTGCGCAAATGCTATAGGCCTCCAAGATGCGATTAATATGCTCACAAACATGATTGCTGATCGCCTCAAAGAATACTTGACTTTGAAGAAACAGCTTCCCTCCTTCGGGCCCGACATCGATGCCGTACTAGCGCGGTATCATACTGCCATGGAGAACTTCACTCAAGGGTGCATTGTATGGTATTATTCTAGTCCTAGTTCGTCCACATGGCTTCCATTTTGGACAAATCTGACGTCTTCTTGTTCTCTAGGATATTTTAGGGGTATTAACCCCCTTGGAAAGGAATCCGTCGTAATTCAACTATTCGAGAGTTCCGCTTGATTTGTGCACTATGCTGATTTTTATATTACCTGAGTGATTGTACTATAAACCGATCTTTGAAATATACGGTTCCAGAAGCTTATGAACTTGTTTTGCATGTACAAATGTGGAACTAAGGCACGGCCAGATATGTTGTCTACCGGACGCAGGTCTAACAGTATAACAAAATCATCTACGTACATTTACGCGCTTCAGGTGGACTGGTCTTTAGTCGCACCTTCACTCATTTTCACTTTAGCACTCTAAATTTGCTCTCTTTTCTACACACACTGTACTCTACGTTCTACGGTCATGGAAAAATACGATAAAGTAGACATTCGACGCTTCTAGACCTCGTTCTGTTAACACGAGATTTCAGCGCATCAGGTCATCTGAATTTAGGTTTCTCTCACAGCATTGAGTCGAGAGGCAGTATGTCAGTTTTAGAGTTTCTCATGGCACTGACAGTCAGTCGCCGTTAGAGTTCTCGTATGGATTTGCCTATGTGTCCACGCGTTTCCGAGGAGTTTTCGTAGTATAAAAATTTTACCTTGTAATTAGTCGCCATGCCGCGTTTGCCACAGAAGTAACCTGCCTTTGCTACTCATGTGTCCAGGCCCTCGATTCTGACTAAGATGATGAACTTAGTATTCGAGGGTGAGGTCCTCCTCGTCAAAACGAGACGGCATTCGAAGGTCGACATAGGCGAGCGACCAGGCTTGGGAACTCTCAGGCAAGATAAGAATGTAATATGATATTTCAGGAGCAGAATACAGCTCACAGAATCCGCATCAAGGTTCCTGCGGTTGCGTCTTGTCGACGGGATTGTATCCACCACCAACTTATCTTCCTGATTCCCAGTTCTCTGAAGATTCATGGGGATCCAGGAGTAGGATACTATGCGCGCGCGTTTCAGTGTTCACGCAGGAGCCCCCAAGGGCAGTTGCAGTTGCTCTTCCCCAAAGTCGCATTTTCTCATCTGAAGGATTTTGTGGATCGAAGCGCCGGCATCCTCCACAACCTCGCATACAGCTGAACGTCAAGATTGTGAGAATCCTGAAAATCAGATAAAAGCGACGCATTGCGCTCAGCTTCAGGATGTACATCGTTGAGGGGGATGTTCATGAGGTTTGACATTGTCTGGACAGCATCACATAATGAGAAGTGACGAGGCTTATGGCTGTATTGACGCTTGCAGAACAAGGTAATTCCATTGAGAACCAGACTGTATGCGACAAGATTCTGGAGAGTGTAGATCCAAGGTAGCCCTCGCCAAGAATAGCATCTGCCTTTGGTACGAAGGGAGTAGATAGAGCATCAATGAAAGAATGCATCGCAGTGAGCTGGCAGGATTTGCGCGACGAAATGCTCTCCCACCACCGCCTTTTCTCTCGTGTATTGTCAAACACTAGGAAATCAGAATCTCGAACTCGAAACATAACAGGACGATGCACAAGATAGAGCTATTCGAGAAGATAATGTAACAACCCGCCCTCTTCTGAGTGAATTTCCGCAAGCCAGATGGATACATTATCGGTCCCCCCAGAAATTAGTCTTGTCCTCCGCAGGTCAGTAAGACGGAAGACCGGCTATCTGTTCTCGTTCAAGCAAGGGAATTGTAAAAGCAAGAAAGGGAACGTACTAGGCGTCGCTACGCGTACACTCAGGATGCCATTTTGAAGCACTGGTGACTCCATATCCCCCTGTAACTAACACCGTTTCGACGGTTAGCGATGTCTCGAAGAATGTACTGGTTTCATCGTCATTGGTGCTACGCGATCCTTAAGTTAAAAAGTGATAATAGAATAGCTAAGAGTTTCAGCTTCAATTGTCATGTCTGCGCAAATGGTTGCTTGTAAGGAATCAGACACTCTGAGTCATGAAAAAGGACACACGAGAACCCGAAAATCCGCTATTCACTACCATGGCTGCTACGTCTATGCTCCATGTGACAAATAGGTCCTCAGGGCCGGCTCCGAAGAGAAAAAAGCGACAGACATGGCCGTGTGCTTCGATGCTGGGTTGAGGAAAACCGGGACTAGTTGTGACTAGAGAGAACATTGATTAGAGACACATATATCCTGCTTGGCAGGCAGGCAGACGACTACAATAACGTTGAAGGAAAATAACGATAATACTCAGGGGAACGGCTGGACGTGGTGGTTCGGAAACAAGAATTGATCGGATCCCAATTTGGCATGGTTCTCCTTCTTACCATCACCTCCCCATACCTCGACGCGCTGCTCCCGCCTATTTGCCCTGTACAAAGTATAGCAGGCATCCCACGCGTTTCAGCAATCTTGTAAGAGTGACTGGATCAATCGTCGCTGTAGCATAGACGGTGAATTGGCGCGACGACAAATCCGTGTTCGCTCGTGGGTATGCTGTCTTCTTGGACAGCTCTGGGGTGATACCACCTGCCCACACATTTACGCCTATCGCGCCATCCGACTACGACAGGTGTCATACACGTATCATGAATCTCTTAGGACGACCGGCTTGACCGCCATCGCGACACAGATTGCGAATTGGCAGAATGACGGATTTATGTCTTTGCCTAGATTTTCCTGGATACGGGCCTCCGCTCTTTTATGGATAAACGAAGCTGATTTCCGTGCTTTCCGAATGTTGCATATATGTGAGTGCGAGATACTTGCCGTTTTGGTGGATGTTGACTGACCCTTTCCGTAGAAATGTCGTCTGGCGAGCATATTTTAGGTTACGGGGTGGAACATGTGGAAAGACAGACTATTCATGACCGGAAGGGAAGTCGCAGGTAGGTCTACGACCTCCGGTCGTGTTTGTCAAAAACGGTGAAAAGTGGTGTTTTCACCCTGAAAGTTGTATGTCTGTTGTCTCGGCACGTATCTCCACTGCTTACATTCTCTCTCACCAGTCCGACGTGTGGACCAGTACAGTCTTTCGGTATGAACACCTTCCGAACCCCGATTCAATCCACGACTTCCCGGGCTATCGTCAGTCTGATGACGCCTGCGTGACCAGGAGCACCACGTACGCTTTGAGCCGTACTTTTCGCGGAGCTGCCCTTCTGCTGTTGGCTGAATCTTAATGCTGTTCACCTTAAGAAATGCCGTCCAGAGGCCTAGACTGGTGAGCAATTTTTATGCGACACAGGCGTCGTGTTCCTTTTATGGTACGTTCACAATGATCTTGATTACTTCTTATTCTAAATGAAGCTGAATAGTTTCGCACTGGCATTATGACACCGTTGATATTGTTATCATTTCCGAAGTTACGCCTTGTGTGCCACAGATGGAACCAAAAGTTTAAGAAGATAAAGCGGGTCGCAGGGGGCTCTGATGTTCTGGCAGCGGTCATCGAAGTGGCGTCGTCGCGAATGTTGCGAGCTTGTTGTCTTAACACGTATTCCGTAGCTTATATATCTTACAGTCTATCGTGGCTCATCAGTTCGAACCCACCTCGATGCTTGTGCACAGTGCCTCTTCGAAATTTCGCATATATCCATCATTTCCCAGCCACGTCAGGCAAACGTCAGGATCACTGTGTAGGCCTTGCTCCTTACTTTCCGCGGAATTAACTGAAACTGACGTTTTTCTTATAGGTTGCATTTCTGCGGAACTCGGATGTGTAGACCTTTTCATAGAAGCGTGCCTGTAGGCTGTAACCAGCTGCTCAGTTTTCGACGGCAAAACGTAGTCATTGGGAACGGGTACCTATATCGTGGCAGTTATCGTCTCTCCAAGTCCTATTCGCATATGAAACCATCTTGCGCACAAGGTGGGGTATTTTGATGCTAGTTTTCCGGCGTCTGGCTGTATGTGCTTTGTCCAGATCACAAGTCGTCCGATGCAGCCCTTTTTCGACTACTTTCGACTACGCTACACTGAGTGCTTAGCAACAGGCTTCCGGTTAGAGGCGCGCTTTCCATTGGACAGATTTTGGCATTCATCGTTGCAGAAGGCAGAACTAACAATACTGTCCTTGAAATAGACTGGCGCGTGGTTTCAAGTTTCAACGCGTTGTCTGTGCTTACACGGGGTATTGCATCTTGTTGTTGAGCTTTGAGAACTCCGTCGTCCTTTCATCTCCGATTTTGAAAGCGAACCAATCGCGTTCTTTCTCTCTGGGACTGGGACTTGGCGCGCATATTTCCAATGTTCTGGTACACTGTCTGTGTTTTATGGGGCGAGCCGATTGTGTATGGTGCAATTCCATCCGTTCAGCTTCCTAGTCCACCCTAGACTGCGCCGCATACGAGACAAAGAGATGATAAACTCTCATTAGGGTAGTGTTGACCTTGGTCCTCGGGAATGAGATTGACGCCCGTGGGGGGGCTTTCGCCGTGCACTAATGATTGGTTCAAGATACGGTCGTTTTCCCATATGAAACCAGAGAAGGTTGAGGAAATTAGTAGTAATAGTTGTGGCGTCCTTCCATTTGTTTGGCAGAGATGAATCCAATTCAGTTTTTCCTGGTACGGTGTACTCACAGCCAAATGACACTGCCCATTGTTTTATGAATGGTTTGATAAACGGTGGCGACCGCTTTTCTGCTACGTTCATGGTAATTATCTGTTATAGACTCCTTGTTTCTTTACTTGATGTGTCGAAACCTCACTCGTAGTATCTTTGTCGGTTATTTCACGAATTTGCATACATACTAGCATCTACTACTTAGGGTGTTCTCGAGCTCTATTTAGCGCAATTTATCAGTGGAATTGGAAGTCTGTACGCCACCGTTGTTTAATTGCTTCTTGCCGTATCAGCGTGGCTATCTTCTGATCAAATGATGCGGTCTGCTGTTTTTCTAGGTATATTTTAGACCTGTGCTGTATTGCTGTCGTCCTGGTACCGTATTGATGCTTTGATACCAACTTGGGGGCATGAGAATGAGTAGTGGATTTAAAAGACACGGCCTGCTGGGTTGGAGACTCCACTATCCTTTTTTTTTTTTTTTTTTTTTTAAAATCCTAAGTATATTGGTTACGCATGCGTATGGTCCAATTTAGCTACTTGTGTTACTGTGTGTATGATGTCATCGATTAAGTCAGCTTAACAAGCTGTGCACTTATGTTATGGCACGAAATTATTAGGGATGTGCACCGTATCCGTAGTACGGTGGTTACGTACGGTGTATACGGATACGGGTCCGTACCGTGGACGACTTTAACGACCCAAAATATGGCCGTATTCATACGGTTTGAATACGGTCATTGAGGGAGGGACAGAGAACTATCTTATTCCATAAAGGTCAGTACCTATGACCTAAAAGAAGCATATAGTACTCACACTTTGGCACCAGATATCCATCGTCGTCGTCAAAGTGTCCGTATACGGACAACGGTACGGACACGGTACGGATATGACATCAACCGTACCATACCGTGGCCAATAATTTTTATACGGTCTACGGTCGTATTGCTACGGTCGTATCCGTAACGGTACGGTGCACATCCCTAGAAATTATCCCTCGCCCTCGATAACTTGGTGCGACTCGGGCACTGCCACCTTTTCCCACTTTGGGAAATCCTGACCTCTGCCGAGAAATGGCCGCAATCTATCCGTCACCGTCGTTTCTTCACCAGACCCTTCTCATGGCCTAGTCCTACTTCCCACCAAACTCCATCAATCCCAGTCCTTCTCCGGTCTCTCTTTCCCAGACCTGCCTTACTCGGCCAAGATCACCAACACAGTGTGATCAATTGATGCGGGGGCGATGTGCCGGGCCGGGGTGTGCTTGGATCACCACTCTATTTTGTTACACCTGGGTCCCAACCAGGTGGCAGCCTTGCGGCATGCGACTCCGTTTCCCTGTCTTATTCGAAAGATCACTGGAAGGGCCTCGAACCGATGCCCAGAATGGCAAGGAGAGATAAGATTTGTCGTGTGATTTTAGAGGGGGTAATGTGTGTGACTTGATCATGTTTAGAAAGGGAGGCTGCGTTTCACGTGATTCGGATATCGGAAGTGGTAGAATCCGGAAAGTGTCTAGAGTGTTACTTTCTGGGGGGTGGGGGGCTCGAACTCGCGAGTGCAAAAATAAATATTTTCTGTGTGGAACAAAGTACAATCAAGCAAGCAGAGGTAACCACTACACCATCTGCCCCCTACTCCACTATCCTATCAAGAGCATGGCAGGGTAAGTACCTCAGTTAAGTTCTTATATTGAAGAACGGAATCCAATGTCTGATTATAGTTATTATTATAGTCAATACGGTGGCCACAACCCTCTTGGAGCTGACAAGCCCCCATCGGTACCTGTTCCAAAGGGGCCTCCCATTAAATCAGCCCCTCCTCCGGCCCCTACTCCATCCCCTAACCCACCTCCCTCTAAATCTTCCGATAATCCGCCGCAAAAAGGCCCAAATAGCGATCAATCTTAATGCAGTAGGGGTACGAGATAAGTTTAGGACCGTATGGCTCTATTGTTGTCATCCTAGTAGATGATCATGATATGACAACTCCCCGACACTAAAATTTGTCGACTTCAAGAGTCAGGGTGAATTACTACATGACAGAAGGGTACATGTTCCGCTTGCTAGAAAATTCTTGTCCTACACAGCTCGATCCTCAAGTCTTCTAACGTACGCCATCTCTTCTCGCTAAATCAAAGGAACAGGAGAGAAGGCAGAGGAACAATCCTACTCAAATCCTACTTCAATGTCGTCAGGACACACCTCACTTTGATTTATTTCCTTCCTTATATTTCCCATGACATGTCTCTACTCCGCACGATGCACTCAACAGTGTGATCACTTGAACGGTATGAGCCTTCGTGGCCACAGCGCATGGCTTGCCATGTTTGGGCTGTGGACCCGACCGTTTCTTATTGGGACCTCGCCCCGGCACCTGAGAACTGTTGGTGACACCTATCCCCCACCGGTAAGACCATCACAAGTTACGACAACTGCAAAATTATGCTATTTTCCTCGTTACAAACGCGGGAGAACCTCAAAGTCAGAAAATAATGGAACAAATGTTGTATTTGCAGTATAAATGGTCGCCTGACAAAGTCTCTATCGAAGAAAAATGGCACGCAAGATTCAGATATGTGCCTTTTAGTGCTAGGCCCTACTCACTATATCTTCCATCTTAAACAGCGGTCCTCAATACTGGCTGTGCAGTGCCCAACCGAATGAGTAACTACAAAGACTCGCTGTGACGAGAGAGGACGATGCATCAAGGGGTCTCGAAATTCTTAATTAAGTACATCGCGTCTATTTATTTTTTAAGCCCTCGACCAGCCGACCGACCGACTGGCGTGGGAACAACATACCCAGTAAGGCGAAACAAACGAGCTTGGTAATCACACAGCCACCCGGTAACTTCACATACAGTTATTTACCGGTCATTGCAACACCATGGTTCAATGAAACATTTAGCCTCTTGCTCTCCCTCTGTTCATCCTTCATCGTCAACTTGTATTACATTGCTGATGTGTATTGTATCTTCATGTTCTGCAGTGATTCTTTATATGTGATGCGAATAATATTCCGAGAAATTGAGGCTTCTGTTCTAAAAATATCTATTTTCTCATGAACTCAAAATCTGTCCCAGCAACGTGTGTCCTCCATCTCATTGTAATCACCCACAAAGGCCTCAACAATGTTGATGACCTTCTGAAGAACCTGTATGACAAGTTTGAGACCAGACAGCCATTATCTGAGGTCTAGGGCATAAATAAAAGTGCAGTTCTGTCAAGCCATTGCCTTTGATGGACAGTCTGACAGTCCAATGTGCCTATTATTTCCCCGTTGCCTCCGAATTTTATTTTTCCTCTTGCTCAATTTTTTACTATGCCTGGACGTGCTAAATCAAACTCAAAAAAGTGCCAGATTGCTCGCAAATGCCATGACCAGCTAATGGAAAAGGCAGTTATTGCTTACAAGAACGAGCTTGCCAAATTACCCGGTGCTCCTCGGAAAGGTGCAAGAAAAATCTGCAAAGATTTCGAGGCTGTATATCAGAGGGAGACTGGAAAGGAGATCTCACTTTCTTATAGCACTCTTATCCGCCTAGCCAATGGTGGCAAAACGAAGGCACAATCAAACGCAATGAAGAGCCATCTTTTCCCTGCCGAGGCCGACAATATTGTTGATTTTGTTCTGGCTGTAGCCTCCGAAGGCTTCCCTCTCAGCCACCGACGTCTAAAGGAACACATCGATGAAGTATTACAAGCACGACTTGGTCCTGAATTTCCCGGTGTTGGAAAACAGTTCACACAACGCTTTGTTGAGAAGCATTCCGACCGCTTGAAGACGGCATGGTCAATGCCACTCGAAAATAAATGGGGCCGTGCCGTGAACCATACAAACAATGATGCATGGTTTGAATTGCTGGGAGAGGAGTTGAAAGGTGTTGACGAGGACTGCATATATGCAGTTGACGAGATTGGCATTCAGCCATCAGGCGGACAGAGAGAGAGGGTGATTGGTGGACAGAAAGGCAGACGTCAATATCAGCAGCGTGATGGTAGTCGCGAGAACACCACCGTTCTCGTAACTATTTGTGCTGATGGCACTTCGACCGCACCGGCTGTAATCTTCAAGGGACAGGCATACCAAGTCAAATGGCAGCAGGACAATCCCGCCAATGCATCATGAGTACAAATGAATACATGTTCCTCCTACATATATTAATAGCATTGATAGTCTGGGCTACTCTAAAAAAGGCTGGACCGACGGAGAAATTGGCATCGAATGGATCAAGGATTTTGATCGCCAAACGTCGAGGAAAGCAAATGGCCGTCGCCGCCTCTTACTAGTTGATGGACACAATAGTCATTACACCAGGGGGTTTCTGCAATATGCACGCACTCACAATATCCGTGTCCTTTGCTACCCATCTCACACGACGCACGTATACCAAGGGCTCGATGTGGTCATATTCAGTCCACTGAAGCTATACTGGAGTGACGAAAGGGATACCTGGGAAAGGGAGAGAGGGGAGAAGGTTGATAAGAGGAACTTTCTGACAGTTTACGGAAAAGCTCACCTCCGTGCTCTCACACCCGTGAATATCAAGGCGGCATTCAGAAAGACAGGCGTATGTCCATTCAACCCGAACATTCTTCCTGAAGAGTCCTTTGCTCCGAGCCGAACCACGTCTTGCGAAAGTCACCTCCCAGTTCCACCTGCCACACCGGTACGCACTGTTGCGAAGCTGCTGTAAAAATTAAGCATCAAGGAAAGCGTTGAAGAGGCTGAAGAACCCACTGGTGCCATCGATCATGATACAACTCAAGAATCTCTGCCGGCTTCCTTCGATGAGACATTGAAAGAGCTAAACGAAACGTCACTTGCGTACCTCATCTCCAATGACATTCCACCCCCAAACTCGCCACTCGATCTCCGAGCTCGTTCTCTTATCGCAACGTCACACTGTCTTGATGGTGTTCATCCACAAACCGTGACAGAGCTAGAGCTCCTGGCTTCACTACGAGAGGTCCAGGCTGAAGCAGAGGCATTGCGACAGTGTCTGGTGTCCATGCAGGCAGCTAACGTGCTAAATGAGATGTACTGCAAAGTGCTGAGGACCCATCTGGCAAATTACGATAAGAAGAAGCAACAGGCAAAGAAATCTGGAATGCTAGTGGGGGATGGACTGCCACGGTTGTTGTCAAGTGACGTGTTCTATGAGCTTGTTTGCGACCATGAAGAGAGGCAGAGGGTGGCGGAGCAAGAGAAGCGAGCTCGTAAAGCTGCTAGGGAAGCTATATCTGAAGCTCTAGAGGTCTGGAAAAAGCAGGATGAAAAGAGAAAGCAAGCAAACAAGACGAAAACAGCACTTTACCAGACAGCATTGAAGAGATGGCAGGAGCAGAAGGCAGAGGCAAGGTCCAGGGGGGAAAAGTTCACATTAAAGAGACCTGTGAGGGGCCCACTAGCTGGTCCTATACCCAAGCCAGCAGCTACGGCAGTGGAGGATGACAACGACGACGGAGAAGGGGGATCTGATAGCGATCAGAGCGACTCCGAGTAGCTGACCAATGATGCCTGGGTACGCGGGCCGGACCGTTTCAATGACTCAAAATGGTCCAGAATACCCACGCCACAATAATGCTGCGAAAACGGACTTGTACCTGCACCTTCGAGCATCCTTTCTTTACTGTATCTTGTTGTTGCATAGCATTACATATTTCTACATTCAAATATAGCCATAATTCCAAACCAATTGGAACTTACAGCGAATATTCAATTTTGCTGTTTCATTGACCGGTAAATAACTGTACCCGCACATTACCGGATCTGGCCGGCTAGCTGTCATTTCCGAGCTGCCTCTGCACCCCTCCTACATGCTGACCAGGCTATTGTCTTGCAGAAAATTATCATTTGGATGGTATATCGCTATTTTAATGTATTTTTACCTCCAAGTAGCCTAGAAAGTCCTCCCGAGACAGGTATCAAAAAGATTTTTAAGGCGCCCCTAGCCCGACCGACCGACCAACCCGATGTAACGGAACAGCGGTCCGGAACCCCCTTGCGATGAATAGAGGTGCATGTATCCTACTTAGTGTTGCCGCGGCTCAGCTTATCTCAGCTTAACGCCGAAGTCGGTTTTGAGCCGTTTGCTCTGACTGCACCAACGTGCAAAATGACAGGTGTTTTGATGTTTTCATTCACTCAGGAGACTTATTGGTATTGTCAGAAACTGTGTTCTTGTTCCCCCTACCCTTCTATCCTCGGCGGCTCAAAACCGACTTCGGTGTTAAGCCGAGATAAGCTGAGCCGCGGCAACACTAATCCTACTAGGAAGATAGAAAAATCCGATAAAGTAAATCATCGACGCCTGCTCATGCGTTCATGTCTAACGATAATGGGGGAAATACCAAACGGGTTACGGCCGGACATGGCGGATCGGAATCTCGGAATCAGAAATTGGCGCTCCTAATTTGAAATTAGCAGGGCTCCCTCTTACCACCATCACCTGTCCACACCATATCTTTACTTACTATTAATAGACGTAGCACATCCGAAAACACCGTTATGTGAAAAGAAAGAGAGTTTACGGTGGGACAGGAAGTCGCAGGAAGCTATAGGACTCTGGTCGTGTTCGTCAAAAATGGTGAAAGTGGTGTCTTCGTCCCGAAAGTTGTATGTTTGCTGTCTGGACACGTGTCTCCACTGCTCATATTCTCTCTCCCCAGTCCGACGTACACACGACTACGATTTTTTTGGTATGAACACCTTCAGAACCCCGATCCTACCCACGACTTCCTGAGCTGTCGCCATTCTATGACACCTGCATGACCAGGAAGCACGACGTAGGCTTTGGACCGTTCTTTTCGCGGGATTTCGCCGACACTTTCCTCACAGGTTTGAGAGATCTCATACTAGAGTGCGATTTAAACGGTTTGATGTCCAGGATACTCGTATCCCAGTGCTTGTTGACCTGGTCCTGCAGATGGGAGGCGGGCAGATAAACGCATTGAGAGCAGATAGGGTTAGGGTTGGAAAGGCGCCGGCAGGTGCGTAGGTCTTGTTTTCCATCTGTCAAGTCGCTAATCAATCGCCTATAGACACCACAAATCGGTCTGTTTTAGCCTCGGCCACTAGGGTCTTGTAAAACAACTAGACCTCGTTCTGTTCGTATGCGATTGAATTGATGTAGTCAGCGATCACCCTAGCAATAGCGCCCATGATCACGCCCAGGGTTCACCATCCCTTGACTTGTCACACATGCGAATGCCACTACGCCTCGTCATAGGATCAGTGAGTACAACTATTGGCCTCCAAGCCGACATCCTTGTTGATCTCCCTTCCTCTTATCATTCTAGGCGAAAGTTCAAAAGGAGCTGCCTCATTGGTTTAGCCTTCGCGATGGAATTTCAAAGTCAGACCAGACAAAGATAGTGAGTTGGAACAAATCATGCAAAAGAACGCGACAATAACAGCATTACAGGCAGAAGATACGTATCGTCGATATCAGAGTCTCCCCAAGGTCAGCATTTTGGCCATCGACGAGGTTGGCTCGCCGGAGTCACCCATCCAAGTACCAGGACAGCGCGTCTACACTGGTAGAAAGCCGGTTATTTCATCTTCCCTCGCAGACACTCCCTGTGCCAGCCTTGGGGTTGATGGTCTCTTAGAGAAACTCAATATCACTCTCGGCACTTTGTATACCCTGGACTCTCCATCTCTTCCCTCCCGCCTCTCGCAAAAGCTCTACTCCGCCCTTCGAATACCTCACACTTCATCCCTGTCCCTGATCCTGAGATCCTGCATTTCTAGTAACTATGACTTCGGCACCGCGTACGCCCGTCTTCGATCTAGGTGGTATGACGACCTGTCACACATCGAAGATACTTTGCGTGCCCATGAAGCGCGCGACACTGAGATACGAAGAGTGATTCAGGTCAACAAACGCATCACTAGCTCATCTGTACCTCCCCTACGCCTCTGGGACCTGTACAGCAATCGGGTCGTACCTTGGTGGGTAGCGTACGAATGGCATTAGGCCGTATCGCATGCCTGGATGGACGAGAAAGATCGCGTCAGCATATGGTCGTCCGTCAATGGACTGGCATGGCCCGTGCCTCTGCCGAAAGACGTCGATTTGCGCCTCCTCCGCATCGAGTTGCTTAACCTTGGGGCAGAGTATGTGTGGTTGGACGTGCTCTGCTTGAGACAGGCGGACGGGCCAAATGAGGATCTGCGTGCGAAAGAGTGGGAGCTAGACGTTCCTGCCATTGGGAATGTGTAAAAGATGTCCAGACAGGTGGTATGCTACTTTAGCGGGCTGGGTCGTCCCCTGGGCTCCAACGTCGACTTACAAGGAGATCGGAGCTGGTTTAGATGCGCATGGACGCTGCAGGAGATGAAGGAGGAATATATCATTGGTGGGAAGATAGGCGATGAGAGAAACGAAGAAGAGTATAGGCAGATAATGCTCCAACGCTGTTGGTGCTCAAGACCGTAACTGGCACAGGCAACAAAAGCGTGCTGGATGTTCTGTCGCATATGCAGAAACGGGTCTCGACCAATCCCGTGGATAGGATCGCAGGGATGGCGTACCTTGTCTCTACGAATCAGATACTTGCGTACTACGAGCAACGGACCGAAGAAGACGCATAGACGGCGCTGGTGGACGAACTGCATGCGCAGCTCCGGGCGGAGATGTTCTTCCTCTGTCCTAAGCCTGGGGACGGAAACGCCAAGTGGAGGCCGTCTTGGAGGAACGCTATGGACGAGGCGCTCCCGTCGATGGATCAAAACGAGGATCAGCTTCGCGAATGGGCTCCGTGGGATAATACGTACACGGGCCACCGCATTGAGAAGGGCGAGGTACGAGGACTGGCTGTGGAAGGACGGAAGCTTCGCGAAGGAGAGCTAGTCGTCGAAGGGGTTTCCAGGCCGTTCAAGATTGTTGCTAACCACCAGTATCCGATACCTGAAGGATCATATACGTTGATGGGGAGTGAAGATCCCAATATGGTGTTTTGGGTGGTGGGGCGGCGATGGGAGGGAAAGTTTGAGAAGGTTTCGGTATTTCAGATACCTGATGCTGAGGAGAGAGATGCCCTGGAGAGGTCGGGGGTCGTGAAGGAGAAGGTTGAAGTGGATCTGTTGTGAAAAAGGACGCGGTATCGAGGGTAACTTTGTGCTGCCATGTCAATTTCTTGATAAATGGATTCAGAGAGCAGTGAAGCTCTTGCGTACGTTGGCGAACAAGATTTTGCCATCGTCAACGATGGGGTCTGTGTTGAAGCTTGAAGTTGAGATGATACCTCAGCGCCCTTGACCTCGTTCTCTATGCAATGGCGACGCGATCCAGGGGTGGAAGAAGCTCAGTCTCGATTCGTGGTGGGCGCTGATTATATGATCGTCGTAAGAATGAAGCAGTATGTTTGTTCCTTGTTCCTCTTCAAATGCTATCTCATGTATCAACGGCTAGTGATGTATGATTGCCAAAGCAGGATCACAACAACAGTCATCAAAAAATTTGACAGAAATATGATCGTCGCTTGTAGATTCGCCGGTGCAACTTAGTAGTCTCGTACTGGTTTCCGTCAGCTCTAAGCTACCACAAACGCATAAATACCGACTTGATGGTCCTCCTTTCACCATAATTCACTACCACCCGCTAGTCTCTGGGCCTCGGTACTCTCACTCTCCTTTGCAAAGATATGGGTTCATCGTCGAGCAGACCAGTATACTCTAACGCCGGACCGACCATGGCTCCCGGTGCCGATCCTAATCAGCGGAGAGACCTAAACGTTGCACGTCCTTGCGTCGCGTCTCGTATGGACCAAACTCTTCAGTATGTGACTGTAGAGCTTCATTGTCTCTTCCTTGGCATTGACTTATCGTTACAGGGCAATAATGCCGAACGGCTTGCAGACGTATTACTCTCAGCAACCTGGGGTTGTCATTGGAGGGACTGTATTCGTCGCTGTCCTACTACTCGTGGTTATGGTTATGATATCCATGCGCATGAAGAAACGAAAGGTGTGGCTGTATATTTGCGATTAAAGACAAATGTATCTGAATTATGTCGCAGGCGACACGGGGAGATTATACGCGTATTGTAATGTCCGAGAAAGAGGATGAAGAGGATGGGAGATACTACGACGAGGTTATCTCGTCCTCGCATGTGTGAGAGTTTGCGTTCGGGATCGGCAGCCTAACTGTACATATTCTTTCGTTTTCATGGACGCTTTAAATAATCACTAGACTTGCTAATACTACTGCTTGAACTGGCTCAGATCATATGGATCCCTATTTCAACGATATGGAATAGATCTGAAGCAGTGCCCCATTATCACAGCCGTAATTGAGTATCACTGATAGATAGGGTATCGTCGGGTTGTCGGCAGATTGTTCATATTGAATTCAAAATGATAGCTATTCAATTTTTGAGGGTGGTAATGTTTGCATTGTACCGGAAGACCCCTCTCACCAAATCGTTCCACCAATCGTCTGGGGATTCCTTCCTCCGCCGCAGTATTGATTACAAACATCCTTCCAGTTGCGGGCCATGACTCTGACGGAAACATATAGTGCAAGCCTCGTATTCCAGGAGGCTTGTTAATTATTAATTAGTATTATTACGGGCGCTTAATCTACAGCTTGTAGAGAATTACGTTTGTATGCTGTTGAATCATGGCACATCTCTGTGGAGGCATTTCGAAAGTCCGGATGCTGAGCCTCGATGTCGTCGTTATCCGTGTCTGCAATTACACGCGATCTGATCTCTGTATCTGCGGCGGTTTCATCAGTGGTAGTGTGTTGCCATGCAAGGCCAGCGGTCCTTGTTCCGATGGTATATCCATGAGATTGTCCTTCACTGACACGAATGATGATCATGGAGAACTAGGGAATGGAATCAACTTTATGACGCGGAGAAGCGGTCAAAGACACGTACGACGATGCCAATGATGGGAGACTGGATGTCAAAGAGCACAAACGAAATGCGGCTCTCGCGACCCAGTGTAATTATTTGGGCTATAAGGACGACAGTGTAAACAGCGGCTAGGGTGAGGTTTATTGAGCCTCAAAGACGCGATATTCACACATGGAAGCTAACCAGATTCCACGATGAGCACTATGACACCGTTCAAAGGGTCGAGGCCTTGAGTCGTCTCCGTTATATTGCGGCGCACCATCCAGATGCGAAAGGAAATAAGAGCTACCCGATGGAAAGACGTGAGAAGGACAGTAATATAACAATTAGTAATGCCTACCGGTACAAACGATATTAGCGGAGAGTGTCACAGCGGCGAAGGCAGTTGTTAAATGAGTTAGCCCTTGGAAACTCGTATTGGAATTCGTCATGCCGATCAAAAAGTAGATTCCCATTGCTGCATAAAGTGAAAGATCAGACAGGTGCGTAAGAAAGAATCAACACTGTTTCTCACCAATGTCCGCTACGAAGAGCAACAGAGGGATAAATATTATGAGGTATATATGCATCCAGACGATGTATGTGCGATAAACCTATTCCGGTGAGAATTAGCCCGTTGCAGGAGAGAACGACGTGCCGGGATCCTACGAGGAAAGCATCGGCGACGATTGTAGTCATAACCCATGGTGTATTTTCAACGAGGCTCCAGGCGGACCAAGGCGGTTGTAATTCGATAATACCATCAGGAGCTATGTGGATTACACCGTTCAGAGTGTGGGCCATGGTCGCTATACAGTGCTGAAAAGGTCTCAACAACTCGTAAGAAAGGCGAGACGAGGAACAAACCCAAGTTATAAGAAGAAATAAGGCAATATGGGTGCCCAGAAGGTACATATGCAGCCGCTTTGTTCTGTAGCGACGATGCAAGACAACGCTACAATGGTAGGCGATCACAACATACGCGCCTGGCGAATATATTCAATCTAGATCATTGAGATCAAGGACGGGGAAGCGTACCATATAGAAATGTCGAAAGGTATGCAGCAACGTAGGCGCAATCTATACCAATATTACCCATCGTTTATTGCTGAGAGCTGGAAAGAGCTGTAATCAGTGGTGCTGTATATCGACCATGTCTCAGTATCGGGCACAGAGTATAGTCATGTGCTATTACTTATGATCTTCGATCGACTTTTAACTTACATGAAACGGCCATACCGTCAAAGTCCGGCGCAGTGCATACCTCCTTTGAGAACCGACGGCTGCGCAATCTTGGTATGTTCTCTTCGAAAGATAGGAATGCGCTAATTCAGCACAGGTGTCAGAAATATCAACAGAGTGTGTTCCACGAGCATTAGAGTGTTTGGGGAAAATCCAATACTCCTGAAAAGCGGATGAAACGAGGATCGAGGATCTTCAACAATGGGATCGTTCCAACGTCAACGTTGGACGCGGTCCGGCAGGGTCCGGTCCCTCCGCAATCACGTGTAAAGTTTAGGGCAGGTTTCATTTTTGCCCCATATTTTTACCTCGGATCAAGCGAGACGGCCCGAACAGATATTTTCAAGGGGGTCGCAAAAACCGAAAAAGTCATATCGGGTCGAAAAAATTTTTAAGGCCTCGATGGACCGACCGACCGACCTCCGTGGGAAAAACATACCCACAAAGGAAACATCATGTAATCACTCCGTGTCGGAGTCATCCGCCAGTGCGAGCTTTCCGCCTACTTAGTCCTCTCATCCTCGATCTAAATGCTGATAGTATACGATTTTTGTCTGCTAGCGACAACGCTGTCCTACTGTACATGACAGACACCTCCAATTTTGGATCCGTCGAACTCGACCAAATATTTTTACAGCCGGTAACTCAATTCTCACTAATCCTGCCGATATCTGGCAGCATGCCATTGGCGTTTTGAGCCTTTGACATCGTTTTGACTGCTTTTCCGGTGCTCTTTGGGCCATGTTAAGTCATGAATATCATATATCAGCTGAAATAAACACCTCCAGCAGCGTCTAGGGTCTCTGGATGCTATTTTACAAGAGGGGGGCAAAAAATTTTTAAGGACCTTTTGGACCGACCGACCGACCAACCCGATGTGCCGGCTTGCCGGGCCGCAACCCCCTTGGATATTTTGAAGAGGGCGCATTCCAAAAAAATTCTCTTCAAGGGTCCTTATCTGCAAATTTTTCCTGACGATTTATTGGTAGGTATGCTATATGTTACTTACTGGATGAGTCGGACCAGGGCGACAACATTTGGCAATCAAGACTCTTCTATCATACACTGAAATTAGGGCTCAGCACCCAAATTCTCATTCTCTCGGAGTTGCGAAGCGATCTAGGAACGGAAGCACTGAGCTCGGTTGCCAGCCTTAGCGGAAGACTACAGAAATGTTTGTTCCTTGTTCCTCTCTTCTTATAGTGATCTCACGTACCAATGACTAGTTGCATAATTAACAGCAAGGCAACGTCGATATCAGAGATCTGGGCAGGAATATGATGGTCTCTTACGTCGCCGGCACGACCTGATAGCCCTGAACTTGATTTCGGCAATCTGTTTTTTCATAAATATAGACACAACATTCCTCCGTTTTCCGTGATTTCACTAGCTTGTCTTAGTCTCTCATTCACACTCTCCTTTATCAAGGTATGGGCTCAACGTCCAGCGTACCAACGTTCTCAGACGTCGGGGGGGGGGGGGGGGGGAAGGGGTCCGCGGCTGATGGATGAGATCCCAATCAGCGGAGAGGCCTACATACCTTACGTCCTTGCGCCGTGTTCTTAGTGGCAATGTTCCCAACGCTGCCAAGGATACTCTTCAGTACATAGCTGCAGAGTTTTTATTTCGCTATTGTTAAATTGAATATTGATTTATATTCCCAGTATGCTCAGACCGAATACTCATATCAACTGGTTACAAACCTATTATACTCAGCAACCCAAAATTGTAGTCCGATGTACCATTGCTATCGCTGTTCCGATGATCATGGTCATAGTAATGATATTTGTACGCGAAAAGAAGCGAAAGGTGCGGCTACATCCTCCCTATTGAAGAATGTTACTAAAATGTATAGCAGATAGCATTAGGTGTGCTCTCGCAACCTGAAAGATGCCACAACGAAGTTATCTCGGTCCCGAATGTATAGTTTCCTTCGATGTCGGCAGCTTACTTGTACTCGTAAATTCCTTCTATCCCATGGTGCTTCTATTGTGATTCTTATTAATACTTCTGGTTGAAATGACTCAGCCGAAGCATCGTTTGTAGAATTCAAATGCTTCCTGATGACAGTTTTTGAGAGTGAATACGTTATAGAGAAGGGCTCCCCTCTCGCGGAAGGAACTGTTCCCATCAACTTCCCAATCCGCTGTACGACCCGATCGCCTGAGATTTTTTTATCCCCATCTCCGCAGCATTGATTTCAAGCTTTCTTCTAATTGCCGGGCATGGCTCGAGAAGAAATGTTTAGTACTACATTCTACAGGAGCGTGTAAATTAAGAATTAGTATTATTATCAATACCTAGAATAGTTATTGAGTAATTAAATCTAAGAAGAGTCACGCCTTGCATGCCGGTGACTCGGGATTCGTCTCAGTGGAGGCTTTGGATTCCCCGTGCTGAGCTTCGACATCATGGCTGTGCGTGCTAGTCGTTGTCTGTAGCCTTATCTCCACGTTTGAGGCGGTGTTTTCGGTGGTGGATCGGTGCCATGCAATATCATCGGTGATTTCGTTGGTATCTCCGTATGCTTCTCCTCGACTAACGCGAATAATGATCATGGAAAACTAATGGATGGAATCAACATCGGAGTGCGAAGAAAAGAGCCGAAGATACACACGACAATGCCAATGACGGGTGCCTGTATATCAAAGAATGCGTAGTAAATAGGGATTCGTATAATCAGAGTGACTATTTGGGGTATAAGGACAACGGTGTAAATAGCAGCTAAAGGAGTATTGGATGAGCATCATAGACTGAAGACGGATATTTACACATGGAAGCTAACCAGATTCCACGATAAGCGCTACGATACCACTCAAAGGGTCGCTACCTTGTCTGGTTCCGGCTAGGTTGCGTTGTACCGTCCAGATGCGAAAGGAAATGAGAGCTGTTCAAAAAAAACATGAGAAGATCATTAACGTAAATATTAGCGAGCAGTGGCGCTGGTCACTTACCGGTGCAAACAATGTTAGCAGACAGAGTCACAGCAGCAAAGACAGTCGCTACATTGTTTGACTGTGCAACAGTCGTATTAGAATTCGCCAGCAGGACGAAGACGTAAATCATCGCGCCTGGACAAAGCCAAAGATCAGATGCTGTGTATCGATATCAACGATGCTTCCTCACCAACATCTGCCGCATAGAGTATTAGAGGGATAATTATTACGAGGTATCTCTGTGACCAGACGATGTATGTGCGATAAACCTATTCCAGCCAGAATTAGCCCCTCGCAGGAGAGAACGATGAGCTGGTAAATCTTACGAGGAACGCATCGGCGACGATTGTGGTCAGGGCCCATGGCACATTTTCAACGAGGCTCCAGGTAGACCATTTCGGGTGTAAGTCGATAGTTCCACTAGGAGCTAGGTGGATTACACCGTTCAGAGTGCGGGCCATAGTTGTTATAGAGCGCTGAAAGAACTTCAGCGTTTCGTGGACGAGATGAGACATTGAACTAACCCAGGTTATAAGGATGAACAGAGTGATGTGGACTCCCAGGAGGTACATGTGCAACCGCCTTGCTTTGTAGCGGTGATACATAACAGCACTGCAATGATATGCGACCGCAATATACGCCCCTGGAGGATAGATTCAATGCGGATCACTTAAGCCAAGGAATGGAGAAGCGTACCATATAGAAACGCACAGAGATAGGCGCCAATGTAGGCTGAGGTGAGGCCAGTAGACATCGCTCATGGGGAGATGTGGAGAAAGGTGTAGGTGACCGTGCACTTGGGCCCTGTCTCAGTAACCTGAAAAGTCATGTGATATGATCTTCGATCGACTGCATACGGGGATCAACTAGTCCTTTACGTAGGGGAACATACATAAGAGAATAAAGATCCATAGAATTGAATCCTTGGCGCCAGTCCAATCTGCCTCTATAACACGGAGTTCGGAGACCGAACAAACACAGCATTACTCACTGCAGGTCCGAGTTACAGCTAGTTGCAGTCTACAGGTGTTGCGGAGAAGGCAGGAGATCCTAGACCCGTGAACCCGTTCAAACCGCAGATTCGAAGATTGGCGGAAATAGCAAGAACCCCTTCGAAAAGTCCACAGAGATATTCCGGAAATTGACTTCGTTGCCAGGAAAAGAGGGATTGCAGTCAATAGAAAAAGAAAGGGAAGGGAGAAACCCGAAAATTACACCCGGATCGATCGTCAAGTAGGTCCAAGTTTGGTCCTGTGCAGCTTCTAGATGTGCCTTATCTACCCCTTTCTCAATTCAATTCCACCGGGCCCGAACGGACCGCCGGAAATAACCCTTCTTCGCTTTGTCTTGCCGTAGAGAATTATCGCACTCTTGTGAGGCTCACTACGGTCATCGAAATACATATTAACGTCTGAATCCAAAGTACATAGTGCACGTTAAGCGCGTCGTTTTACTCCATATTAACGTGAAATCACCCTCTGGAATGTGAACATCGATGATGAAGGGTACGTGTTTCATTTGACTGGGATGTTTGATATACAGTCCTTATTCTATTCAGATTTCCCATCCCCTCCTCTGTCGAACGTCCGCGCTATCTGTCCCCCTCTTGTTGGCCTCCTACCCTTCACCATCCGCTATCCCCTGCGTTGTACCCCATAGCTCTGTGCCAGCTGCGATGTCTGATAAGGCTCCATTTTGCGCTGCTGCAACATATCGACTTCCGGCGAGCGAGGTGGGTGAGGAATCCAGGAGGATGCGTGCAGGAATGAGGATCGAGGCATAGACACCATGCACGCAAAATCAAAGTGCATACGGCTCGGTACGTGTTATTGTCCGTTCCTTGAAACCGAGCTCATTGCAGTTTAACATTTAGCAGGGAGGCCCTCGCATTTCGTGTAGATGATTTGGTATATCATTGCTGGATGTAAATTTGTAATTACGCGCTGAATATTAATATCAGTGATCACCTGATGTGATGAAACTACGACTACCAGATTCCAATGTTCATTGAACTTGAGCAAACTCATACATCGTTTGCTTTTGACTGTTAACTTCTCTGTGGTTGATCTTCCCCGAGTCCTTAATTTCGGACTCGTATCTGCCGTGCTCGCACCGGCTCACTTGGCTAAGTGGGAGAGGGGGTAAGATTCCAAGATAATACTGAGAGATATGTCGAGGCCAATGAGTGCCGTCTGTAAATACTCTGCGTACAAGATGTAGCAGGGGTACGCAGATAGATAAGGGTACATCCGCATTGTGAAGTATTTGGGCGGTATGGGCGTGTACGGCTTTAGCTGCTTCGTCGCGAAGATGATCAGTGGATGATGGTCAGACGACGAAGGTGTAATGAACCGTTTCCAGTTCATTGCACCCGGCGAGGCACAGTGGGGACATACTATTGATGATTTAATCGGACTTGGACGTGTGAGGGGTAACTGTTGTTCTAAGTACAGATGATCTTGTTCTACAGGTGGTTGATATGGGTAATTAGGGTGCAGGGGCAGGGGAGAATTGGTCGTGGCTGTGGATGACCAGCTTGGGCTCGGGGTGCAGGGGGGGTGGGAACACGCGGTTTTGAGGGTGGGGGGAGTGGGGGGACGCAGATGCCCGTTCGGACTTTGTGGAAGCTACATATTTATAGTAATAAATGACTTGTTACTAGTTTGGTATAATGAGGATCATTTGGCTACTTTCCTCGTAGTGGAAGTGGAAGGAACGTCGGTTCCTCCTCCTCACATGCCCAAGAGAGCCACATAGTTTCTGCCAGGGATCGTGCATCTTGAGCTACCTTCTACGGGGGAGGTTGGTCTCCATGAGATTTGAAATATTCGGGAAGGCGCCTCGTGGAGTCGATGAAGTTGATAGTCGCGTGGATATTTTTGGACTTGGCGCTGATTAGGTGGCGTAGTTGTAGGTTTGCTATCTTTGTGCGGTGTCGTAGGGCTTAACGCTCAGTTGTGTAGCGGAGGCAGGATAGGAGGAAACCGGAGACGGATCCAGGAACATTGCAATCCATATCGAAGGAATCTTGTCAATGTATATGCGCAGCATCAGGATCATGGTCGCGTGTGACCCGGATAAGTATTGGTCCGGATGCTGACTTTGTCACCATCAACCAGAATCACTTACCTGCTGAACGCTGTATTTTACGTCTACTGTTCTGTCTCAGCCTATCCCATCCGTGTTGCTTCTAGGATTTAATTGTTCTCCAAGCAACATCACAGCAAAATTTGACTTTTTGCCGTCCACAGTAAGTTGAACATCGAAGCTGTAGCTCTTTCTTTGATCTGAAATCTGATTGGAGACGAAAAGGTGCTTCTTAGATGCACCACGTATCTTACGATACCAGCAAATAACGTTGTCGTTGTACAGTACCAGTACTTAGGCAACGAGGGTTGCTTTGCCGTCGCCCTTTTGCAGCGGCTGCTTGAGAGATTCAACTTCCCCTTTAGCAAAGGGGCAGTAACACTCTAACTTTACGACATAGAATCAGAAGGCTGAGTCAACACAAAAACTCTTTGTGGTGATACTCTGAAGTACTTCGCAAGCATAGACATTAGATGTCTCTCGGTACGTCTGTCATCCGGTGCAGCGCTGGGCATTTTACGGCTATCTTCTGATTTCCTTTGAAGCTAATAAACGATGATTCGGGATCATATATTCATAGGACTCGGAACCGAGAAATTGCAGAATTACTACACGTCATCCCGAGTTTGAATTGTAATTTGCTTTCAGCGAATTCTGCTTCTGGGGTGCCAGGGGACACCTTACGGCGTGAGAGTAGACGAAGACGAAGACAAGCTAACTTCCGTACTCAGTACTCATAACTACACTTTATGCCCTTTTGCTATCGAAGCACGATGAGTAAGAGAGCAGCGGGTGAGTCATCTTAAAGCGTCTAGGTTCCTATCTAAATATATCTTATAGAGTCTAAATATATCTCAAACAGTCTAAATATATCTTCTTTCTTTGTGGAACGTTTGGTATGGCGTCGTACACCCCGCGGGGCCTCCCAACCAGCAGGTTGGAACGCCAAGGACGTTGTACTCGGACCGTTAATGGATAGCTTCGCAGGGGTGAAGGGAGATCATAGGCATACGGCATAGGGTAGGCTTCCCTTCCTTCGAAGGCATTGTGTATTAACTGACCACACAAGGTAAATGCGTTTACGCACTGACTTCTATATTGTTGAGCAAGTCCTGTGTGGGGCTCAGTCAAGTAAACTCCGGCTGATACCTCTAAATATATCTTATAGAGACACCACTCACATCACTCTTTCAGCAAGCCAGGGTTACTCACCCGTGCCGTAGAAACATATCAGCGCAGCTGCGCATCATTCATTCGTCAAGATACCATAACATTGGTGTATTGGAACCGTTTGGCTGACAGCAGTATATAAGAACGCGTTTATCTTGAAGATACCCCAGAATCTCCCTTATAGTTATCATGGCGACACCTTCCAACGACCAGTTCAAGCGCGTTATCCTTGTAACCGGGTCCAACGACGGAATCGGCTACGAGCTCGTCAAGCTCCTAGCTGAGAAAGGCCACACCGTTTATCTCGCTTCAAGGAAGGAAGCATCTGGAAAAGCTGCACAGTAAGCAGGTTCCTATGGCTTTGACAGTTCCGCAATTAACTTTCTTCGGTAGGGCGAAATTGAAAGACGAATGCAACGTCGATGTCAAATTGGTCCAGCTCGATGTAACAGATGCTGCCTCGATCCAAGCAGCGAAGGATACCATCGAGAAAGCAGAAGGAAGATTAGATATACTCGTAAACAATGCGGGTATGCTATGTTCCTCTTTCACCCCTATCTATGTTCATCGATCCCGGACAGGTATGAGCTATATGACAGAACCCCAAGGATCCCTCACTGTCTCACTCGACACGCTTCGGAAGACTTTCGAGCCCAACTTTTTCGGGCTCGTTCAGACTACTCAAGCATTCATCCCTCTCCTTCGGGCAGCGCCAAAGGGGTACGCTTGTATTCTGAACGTCTCGATGTTCCTGGCGTCGAACACGCTTCAATCTGGTCCAGGACCACAGCTGCACTTTGCTGCTTATAACTCAAGCAAGGCGGCGATGAATGCGTACTCGATTATATTGGCGAGGGATCTGGAAGTGGAGGACATTAAGGTTAACATGGTATGTCCAGGGTTTGTGACGACCAAGTTGAATGGATATAAGCCTGGAGGGAAGACGCCTGAGGACGGAGCGAAGTCGCTTGTGCCGTGGGCGCTGTTGGGTCCTGAGGATGCGGGTAAGACTTGTAAGTGTCTCTCAGTAATAAGTCTAGATATGTCGCTTAATTCGTTGAATGAACAGGTTTGTTTCAGGATGAGAACGGACTCCCGCTTCCTTGGTAGCTTGTATGTAAGGGATACGGATTCCGTATGGACCGGGTTAGCTACATCATTTCTTTCTTTCTATTTACCTATGCCTTCTCCTACCACCACCACCATCTTCGTCATCGGTTCACTGCTCGTTGACTGATTGTATTTAGCTACGTCATTTCTTTCTTTCTATTTACCTATGCCTTTAGACTGCTACGTATGCGCCGTTCTCATCTTTTTTGCTTCTTAACCTTTGATTTTACCTCTATGTCGTGTCTTTGACTCTACGTACTCTGGCCAATATACGCCGATCGTGTTCTATTCTCGGGTTGAAGACCCTCCCTAAGGTAGGATCCTTTACACCATACGTCAATGCTTCTTCATATAATCCCCCTTAATCAAATCCGCAGCTCTCTCAGCAAAGGCATACACCGCAGCCTGCGTGTTAGCTGCAGGCACGTAAGGCTAAAAATAAAGTAACCCCAATTAGCGTCTTACTCCCCATCAAAAAAGAGAGAACTCATACGAAAACAGACGCGTCAACAATTCTCACACCCTTCACGCTTTTCATCTTCAGATCAGGGTCGACGACACCCCAGCCCGCGTTACGAGGAGACATGCTTGCTGTACCAACAGGGTGCCAGAGCGTGTCGGCTCCTTCGCGAATAGCGGCTTCGGTAGTGTTCGACGCGAACTCGAGAATGTATCCATCCCATGCGGGGGCAGTAACGAATCTCTCAGATGCGTTTATAGCGGCTTGCATTATAGTCAAGTCTTGGGGGTGACCGAGGAGGTTGGGGTTGATGAGCGGGGCATCGAGAGGGTTCGTACTGTTAATGGTGATATCACCGCCTGGAATATTCCTGATGAGATGAGAAGAAAAGAGGTTGAGGTTGAGACATACGCGCTAGAGGGCAGACTACTATCGCTAGTATCGTGAAGTAGTTACCAGTAGGTGGTATCGGCTCTTGAGGGATACCATTCTATACTCGCCTTTAGTAACGGTATGCAATGAAAGTCGAGGGAATAGTTGCTCACTGTGAAAACCAGCTCAAAGTGGGCCGTCTCGTCGCCTGAACACGGTTCATCGTCCAGCAGACCTTCAGGTACCCTCAAGAAACCTAACTGATTTCCCGAAGTGCTCGCGATATATCCGGTACGGTTTGCCTCCCATTCGGCGAGTGCCTCCTCCTGGAACGTCTCGTTTCGCAAGTAAACGTTCTCGATAGTGTCCGTGCTATTGACGGTCCAAGCTAAAGCGTACCTCGGGTGATCAGTGAGGTTCTTCCCGACATCAGGGAGATGTACAGTCGGAGTGATGCCAACGGAACTGAGCTCATCGGCGTCGCCGATACCTGAGTGGAGAAGGATATGCGGGGTCCCGATAGATCCAGCGGAGAGAAGGATTTCTTTGGCAGGCGAAAGGGTATATATCGTTTCTTGTGACAGATGTCAGATTTCAGCTAGAATAGTATAGAGAGTCGTTGCTTACCTCCAGCATCTTGGGTAAATTCCACGGTATCGAAGGTCTTCACACCTTTAGTAGTGCAGTTGGATTCGAGGATTCGGGTCACGTAGCTGTGGATGAGGACGTGCAAGTTCGGCCTACTCAGGTATTTCGGACCAAGAAACGCGGTTTCTGAGCTGCTTCGAGTGCCATTGTGAACTGTCGATTGTTCCCAACCTGTAGTGCACGTAAAATCAAACTATGGCGCGTTCTAGGAAGAATCAACACCCACCAATACCCAAGTAGTAGCCAGAGTTATAATCTTCGTTGAAGGGGAATTCATCCGGAAGATCAGCTGTAGCCTGGATCATACGCGAGTCTGTAGCCCGAGGGTATCCTGGAAGCGTAACAGAGAGAAGCCCGTCGAAACCATGATCCTCTGGGATAAACTCCCCGGTGATATTATGGTGGTCGATCGGAGTAGTAAATTGTTCCGACTACGCACATGACGAAATTAATTATGAACCGACTACGCATAAAACTGGACTGACCTTGAGAATATATCGTTCCAGCGCGTTCCAGCTCCATCCATCATCTCCCGTAACCCGTGCAAATCGGTCGTAATCTTGGTAAGAACCACGCGTGTATAACATATAGTCTTGACAGGCAAGTTAGTGGGGCGTTGATAAATTAATTTCAAACCGAACATACTGATGGCACTACTACCTCCCAACCCGAAGCCTCTTGCATATGCAATGGAGCGTCCGTTTAGTCCAGACTGTGCGGTTGTGGTGAAGTTCCAGTCTATTGAGGTGTTCCCTGCCGAGGCTAATGGGCTGTAGAAGGGGACTTGAGAGATGAGAACGTCGGCCGTGCTTCACACAACATGAGCTTTATTTCAGGACAAAACGAAATACCACCTACGATGCACCTGCTTCGAGAACCAATACAGAAAAATGCGGATTCTCGGTCAGACGATTAGCGAGGACGTTCCCCGCTGTCCCTCCTGCGCGCCAGGGTCAGAAGTTGTAGGATATACGCGTACGGCCGAAACACATACCTCCGATGATGATGAAGTCAAAATCCAGCGTCGGGAGATCATCAAATTTCTCGTAGAGCGCACCTAGAGCGGTCGTGCATCCTGCGAGGAGGAGGAGGACGGGGGAACGCATCGTGAGGATCGCTGGAGGCCCAGCCCGATGCTATGGTCGTTTAAATAACGGCCAGTATCGAAATCAATCCCAGTTACCGGATAACGGCTGCGATGGAAATATTCAAATACGTCATGCCCGAGCGTTCCTGGTTCCTCGGACGAAGTTTCGACGATGAGGTCAAGGCCGGTTAAGTTGTACGTGACCACGGTTGCGATCAAGCCGCCTGACCAGAAGAGTAGGAAGCAAAGAGAAAGAAGGAAGCAAAATTTCTGACAGAAGTTGCCGCCATTGAGTGAACAGATAAAATATAGTTATCGATTGCCTTGGGCAGTTAGGAGAAGGAACGGAAAGTGAAGTGATCAGAAAAATAGGGACCTTGATGTTGCGATGCCACGGTATCTAACCATTAGCCATGAATAAGGGGTAGGAATGTGCTTTGTCGCACGTTAGCATGGTCGAGTCTCTCGCACAAATAACATGGCCAGTGATGATAGCAAATAGCAGTGATGAGAGCCAGGAAGCTAGGTTCGGTTAGAATAACGTTCATATGGTCAAGGCTGAGCAGCATCAAGATCATGATGAACCTGATGTAAGCTTCGGACCGAATAGCCGTCCGCCGCGTGCTACCGACCTACATCGGTCCGTCTGCCGACTTGAATAATTTTCAACCATCAACCATCAGAATCACCGACCTGCTGAACGCTGCATTTTACGCCTACCGTTCTCTCTCAACATTTTCCATGCGCGATACTTCAAGGATTTAGTTCTTCAACAAGCAGCATCACAGTAAAATATGACCTTTTTCCTTCCATGGTACGTTGGGCATTGAAATATTAACTCTTTGATCTGAAGTCTGATTGGAGACGTAAAATCACTTCTTGAATGCGCCACGTGTCTTCCGAAAGCAGCGAAATAACGTTGTCGTTGTCCTAGTACTTAGGCAACGAGGGCTACTTTATCATCACCTTCATGCAGCGGCAGCTTGAGAGATTCAAATCACACGCCCGACTTCCCCTTACTAGAGAAGTGCAGTAACACTCTCCATCTGTACGACATGAAATTCGGAAGGCTGAGACAACACGGGAACTTGTTGTTATGTTACTCTGAAGTATTTCGCAAACATAGACATCAGATGTCGTCTTTCGGTACGTTTGTCTTCCGGTGCAACACTGCGCATTGTTCGTTTATCTTCTGATATCCTCTGAAGCTAATAAACAATGATGCGCGGCCGAGGAATTGCAGGAAAGACTGTGAGCACATAGTTGGAAGCAGTGGGTGAATCATCTTAAGAGCATCCAGGTTCCTATCTAAGTATATCTTATAGAGACACCGCTCTTTCAGGATGCCAGGATTACTCACCCATGTCGTAGCAATAGCAACACGTCAGCGCGCCATTCATTTGTCAAGGTATCATAGTCAATGATCGTCCAAACGCCCTAAGATTCCTTTTTCGTCACCAGTATTTCATCAGTACAAATCCCAGGACAGAGACAGCATTACGCATCCTTGGTCATCCAGTTCGCTGTTCAGAGGCTACGACTCATCTAACCAGAATAAAATAACCGATTTCTCCGGCCGCTCGGCACAGTAAACGTCACGCGGCTGACAGCAGTATATGAGAACGCGATTATCAAGATCTTTCTCATCATGGCGACTTCCAACGACCAATACAAGCGCGTTATCCTTGTAACCGGGTCCAACGACGGGATCGGCTACGAGCTCGTCAGGCTCCTAGCTGAGAAAGGCCACACCGTTTATCTCGCTTCAAGGAAGGAAGCATCTGGAAAAGCTGCACAGTAAGCAGGTTCTTATGGGCTTTGACAATTCCGCAATTAACTTTATTCGGTAGAGCCAAATTGAAAGACCAAGACGGCGTCAATGTCAAATTGGTCCAGCTCGATGTTACGGATGCTGTCTCGATCCAAGCAGCGAAGGATACCATCGAGAAAGCAGAAGGAAGATTAGATACGCTCGTAAACAACGCGGGTATGCCTTGTTCCTCTTTCACCCCTATCTATGTTCATCGATCCCGGACAGGTATGAGCTATATGACAGAACCCCAAGGATCCCTCACTGTCTCACTCGACACGCTTCGGAAGACCTTCGAGCCCAACTTTTTTGGGCTAGTCCAGACTACTCAGGCATTCGTCCCTCTCCTTCGGGCAGCGCCAAAGGGGTACGCTTGTATTCTGAACGTCTCCATGGCGCTGGCGTCGAACACGCGTCAATCTGGTCCAGGACAAACATTGCACTTTGCTGCTTATAACTCAAGCAAGGCGGCGATGAATTCGTACTCAATTGTATTGGCGAAGGATCTAGAGGCGGAGGGCATCAAGGTTAACATGGTGTGTCCAGGGTTTGTGACGACCAAGTTGAACGGATATCGGCCTGGAGGGAAGACTCCCCAGGACGGAGCGAAGTCGCTTGTGCCGTGGGCGCTGTTGGGTCCTGAGGATGCGGGTAAGACTTGTAAGTGTCTCTCAGTAATAAGTCTGTATGTGTCGCTTAATTCATTGAATGAACAGGTTTGTTTCAGAATGAGGACGGACCGCTTCCTTGGTAGTTTGTACCTAACGTATATCTGTCAGGTATACATATGGCTTGGATATCAGGAGCCCTCAATATTCCGTTCCACATGAGTGCACGACTGCAGTGCACCATATTTGCTTTCAAAACGTTCCCCGACTAATTCTGCAAGGATGCCAGCACCTGCTTAGGGAGAGATCATGTCGAATTGCTTGCTGACGTTTTCTGATAGTAATGTACCGCTAGCCCTAGACCCAATGCGTTAGTATTCGGACTTTTATGCCCACTTTGTCGAAAATCTCCATGGAAGTAAAGTTGGAGACACTGAGGGACCCCAGGACCAAGATCAAGTCACCCTTGCAGCGTATCGTCAAAGGCTCCAGGTCACGATTCGAGCCGGTTCACTCCTTTGTTCCACTTTTCATCAAAGCTCGTGTCATCGTCGGCGTGTTATCAAATTATCTACCGAGAAGCCCACTGATAAATCAGATCTCGAAGAGTTCTCGCTTCGTCTTGCGCTGATTCTTAACTTCTCATCTGTCATCATCAGTATCACGCCTCTGCAAACGTGTCCCATGTTATACACACCGCATAGCAGTAGTGAACCTTTGATGGCAAGGACTACTTCTACTACGAATACGGGGTCCTGCCGGAAATGAACTTTTCCATGATACGTATCACGACTGGGAAAGCAAGTAACGTAACGAATGCTAACGACCCACGAGCAAAATAAGAAAATCATAGAATAATTCGCTCAGGTAAAACACAACTCACAGAATAAACGATTCCCATGCGGGAACCATGCTGACAGGTCTTAAACGCTACGCTTCGAACCAATCTATGTTGGCTCTTTCACAACACTTGAACATGCTCCGCTAGAGATGATCCGCGCTATTAGGAGCACCCTCATAATACTGTATGCAGAACCGCCTCCTGTAAGTCATATCCAGGCTCCTTCCATCTGAAGATGTCAGTAAATCGAATGGCACAACGCATGCAACCACGAGGTCCTCCAAGATCTCGCGTACAGCAGACTGCCAAGATCGCGAGTATTGCGTAGTGCTTCAGGGTGCACGCTAAAGTATGCAGGGTTTGACGGTGCTTAGACGGTGCAATTCGCATAATGAGACGTGTGACGAGCATCACTAATATATTTCAGGCAGAAAGACGACGGATAGTGATGAACAGAGACTGTGAATTAGGGAGACCAGAACAATGCCGCAAGGACTGGGTAGATCTGCAGGTACTGACAGGCATGCGACATATCAGACTGTGGTGCAAATGGGGCGGATTGATATCGGTGTGGGGCCAGACCGAGTATACTAGCGATAGAACAATACGTCGCTGAGAACCGGTAGGATCTGAGTGACGGGATGTCCGACAAAAATGAAGATAACTGTAAGCGAAATGGCTCTCTCTCGAGCACAGCTAAACGCTGGAAAGTCAGAACCATGAACTCAACGTGACAGTAGAAACACACCAGATGGATGGGAATGTAATCTAGAACCTAGGAGCCTTTTAGGTGAACTTCCGCTTACTAGTGCGTGTTTCGCTCGCTAAGAAAACGAGTGGTCCTACTTAGCTCAATCCTCAGTTTAGGGCGTAAGGCTTCCTGAGGTGGGCTATCTGTTCTCATTCAATCAAAAGAAACGGAGAAGCCAACGAGAGGAACGCACCAGAATTTAATGTATCCCTACAAATACTACATGCTAGACCTCAGAAGCAACTTTGACAAAGCTTGGTACGGCCACCACGGTTTCTCTTCCTCACTGATGAATCAGAAATACAGCCACAGCTGCCTTTTCATCGCTGTTGGGCGCACGCGGTCCCAAAAGTCAGGTAGTCTGAAGTTCAGGTCTAAAATTAGAGAGCCAAGGGAAAACGGACGCACAAATATTCAAATATCCGCGATTCAGGCGCCATGTCGTTGTCTCCACTAGGGCCCTACTTTTTCTCCATCTTCTTCTCAGTACCAAGAATCGGTGGTGGCAATGCTAGCAGGAGAAGTTTGCCGTGCACGTATATGTTGTCTCGACCTCCAAAAGTAATAAAGGCGAGGCAAGAGCCTTTAGAGGGACATCGGAGTCCGGAAGCAAAAATTATTGTCGGCATCCCGAAATGGCAGTCGTGATTTTCCCTCTTCACCGCCACCTGCATTCGTCGCCTATTCCTGTCTACGTGCTATGTTCACGCGTTCGGCTGCGCCTGCAGACAGGATGTTTTATGCGCACGTGTAATACCTAGACCGCGTGTCGTGGAAGCGGCGGCGGGGAATGACTCCGACGAACTCATGCAAAGGTTCTGAGAGCTGTACTATGACTATCGTCTACGGCAGGTTCAGGTGATTACATAGTGACCCTGCTTGTTTTATTTGATCTCAACTAATGTATTTCCTGCTAGGATCCTGAACGCGGACTTTGAGCAACGAATTCGCCTGTCGTGACTCGTCGTGGGGAGAGTGTCAATGAATTCAATAGCTCCAAGCGTTCGTACTACGATGCTGGTACTGTCTTCTAGGCAGGCTGAAGGTGATGCTGTAAAAAAGGTAGGCACGTTTCGTGACCATTGTTGATGTTGACTGACCCATTTCCTGTTAGGCATTCATTGGATGTCATTCTGGCCAGTCCACAAGGACACAGAGCGCCTCATAGGTATCAACGATCCCATTATGCATCCTTGTGGAGAGTCGCCTTATGCCGGCAGTCCCGATGTGCTCTAAAAGTGGGACGTCCGCACCTTCGAGGCAAATTTATGCGACAGAGACCACAGTCCTGGGTGCTTGAGCTCTTGATTACCGTTATAGCTATGCATTTGCTGAAGAGAAATGCTGCTGGGCCAACGATCATGTGTACGTTGCTCTCTCACTGGCGCGCATTCTTGGCTCTGACGACAATTTTTCCTTGGTAGCCCCGTATCTTTAGAGATGGCGTCATCAACCAGACCGTCAGTGGTACTACGGCATATTGGCGAGCTCAGCAATAAGTGCCAAGGTGAAACGAACGCACAGACATTCAATGCACTATTTGGTCCGTGAAATGGCCGTCTTGAGCCATGTATCGTGGATGGATGCGCTTCGTTCTGTTCCCATCATCAGTCACTGATGTTCGTTCTTCTGATATTTTCTGTTCACGACACTCTGCTTGGTTGGAAACTGATGACTGCGCATCTTGTGTATCTCATTCGTTCGTCAGGTACTGAGTCAGTCGGGAGACCAAAGGCAGTGATTGGTTCTTGAAAATGCCCTCATGCATGCGGTGTTCATAGCGGCGCGGCTAAAATACTCTAACAATAGTCTTAGACCCTCGCCTCACAGTCATTGCATCACGAAATTGTGCATAACTTTAAAATGATACGAGGCTGCTCTGACCTTCGCATCAGACGAACGCAAGTATTCCCGAGAGCTTTCGTCCTAAGGCGTATGCACTTCTTGTCCGTCGTACTGCGCATACAACGATGACCTGGACGTTTTTCAATGTTCTTGGACCTTTGGTGGCAAGGCATCGTCACAGGGAAATCCCTACGATGTCTACACTCTAGCTGAGTTTGAATGTGAGCTGATATCTTGATTGATTATGCGACCAACTGTTCATTATATGCCTACACCAGAGGGTCATCCCACACCTGGAAAGAGGGAAGGCGGAATAGGCCGGTTTGTCGAAAGTATAAGGCATCTCCATGATAATAATAACTTCCTCGCCGGTCTTCTTCAACAATCGCCACTTATCCTCCCCTATTAGCCCCCCGTAAGTCGATATATCCCTCCTCAGCATCTTCACGTCACGGCCAGGCCCACAGTAGCTCATGACAATGGATGTAGCAACAGGCTCAGAAGTTCGGGCTTGCTCGCTGAGGTTCTGTGCTCTCAAAGCACGAATAAGATTCATATGGATCTGAATGTCGGTTTTGCACCTCTCAAAACAGAATTCAAAGTCGATACAAGATATTCCGTACGGCCGTCCACCTGTGACAGCTCATAAAACTGATTTGAATACGAGGCACGACGGAAGTTACCTTTCCGTTTCGATTGATTCTCCAAACATGACGAGCGATGACCTGGAATCGCTTTCCAGTCGATCTTTTGGCACTCTGGGGAGCAGTACATCACGTTCAAACATCCCTCACAGCGTCGGGAAGATGTTCGAGGCGTGATCTCCTTGTTGGGGCACTATATCAGACGTGAGAAGAGGGAGAAAAGCGATTATAAAGGGATAGTAGCAGACTTGCTGATTCTCGCATATAAAACGACCCTTGTTTTCTTCCATGTCATATCGATGCATCCCTTCTTCGCGTTCAAGAGCAAGAGTCTTCAAACTATACCACCCTTCAGTCGTACGTCCTTCTCCTAGCGTAGACTCAAACTTATCGGCATGCCTCACAAAGCGAAGGATCCGGCGCAGGACAGATCGATATACTGTAAAAGTCTCCGCGAGCTCTAAGACTCCGGCCAAAATCTCATAGAACTTTGGCTGGAAAATGTCCGGTGTTATGAACTCCCTATTCAAGGAGATAAGGTGTTTAACCATCAACACTGACTCAAGGAAGCGGAAGTCCAAGGCCTCGGCAAGGTTGTACACATATGTTCGACAGGCTTCATACACATATGCAAAGAAATATTGCAGTGCCGCCGCTCGTGCTCCCATCTCTGGACGTGAATATCTTCTGGGTTTAGACAGAGCATGCAAATCGCACGACAGCACCACATAATCGACCTCCTTGCAACCAGACAGTCGCAGAGATGGTCCGACGTTCCTCCGAAGAGTGTTAAGAGGGTTGCACCTCTGATATAATCAGTGTATCTCGGAGGCTGACGAGACTGGTCCTCGATGATATCTCGAATTATCACAGTGGCCACGTTCTCCATTTCAAGACGTGATAAGGCCTCTTCCATCGTGGGCATTGTGTCTTCCCAAACAGAAAGGGCTGCCATTAGTGCCCGGAACTCGTATGCTGACTGGTATCCGTGAAGGCTGAGGGCCAGCCAAAAATGAACGGATTTTGCAATCAAATGGGGCTCGGAGGATAAGGAGAGCCGGAACCGTTTGCTTTCAACCATAGACGAGAGGAGGTATGCGATCGAAGACAAATTACCGTCCTCGAGAGCTGGATTGTCTTCGAGGCTGATGGACATATCGAAAGATCGGAAGAGGTAGCGGGTCCACGAAAGAATAGTATCTGTCATTCTGAGTATATCCTCCCACAGCGCCTCAGTTTCAGGTACTTCGTGTAAAGCAGATACCCCTTTTCCGAATGCAAAGAAGCAGGCGCGGATTAGGGAAAGGTCGGTATTGTTGGCGTCATTAGGTGGAATATTGGTAGTAGATAGATGATGACGAAACGCTTCAAGATAGGGAGGCAGAATACTGGATTCCGATGGTACGGTATCGCCCCAGACATAGGCGATTTCATATATTTTCGAGATCATTTCCGGGCTATTGAAGTCCTGTTAAAGAATTGATTATCACTCGCGAGTGACAATGACAATGACATACCCTAGTCAGAATGTGGCGCCGAGTTCTATCACGACCTGCCATGCTTGATGGAGGAAGGTATAGCGAGATCGCGGCAGAGTTTGATATTCCTATTGCCGACCCTCCGACGCCATCCGAAAGGGGTCGATAAATCATGTGATGGACTCCGAGTCCTTGCCAGGTTCTCTCGCGTCCTGACTCCTTCATCGACCCAACACACATCATATAGCCTCCTGTCTCAGAGGCCTCAGAGGAACATGTTGCCCCTAGTTGCCAAAGAAGGAGAGTCGAGAATCGACTGACGTTCGTCGGCGTGCTATTCATTTCACACCGGCATGCCAATGTAGGATGGGTCGCCCATGTTGTCATTACTAGCAGGAAAACATGACACAGTACGGTGCCCAGAGGGCATGCATACAAGGACGTATTGGCGAATATGCATAGGAGAGGAAATAAAGATATAGCAATTAAGAGCCAAGGTTCACCGATGTATAATTCCGCACATTTCATCACATAATAATAGCCACTCATTGATTTTTGACTTCTGCACGTTCTCTACAAAGAATAGTTGCTTGTTGCCCCTCCGCAGCTGGCTTGCAAAGCATCAATGTCAACAATTCGTCTGGAAGATTCGATCAATGAAAACACTCACGCCTGTGTGTCCCAATCATGCCCACGGAACAAGCACCGAAACACCCTCTACCATCATCTTCATTCGCCGGAGAGCGATCGAGTAAGAGTTCATCGCGACCTTGTTGTTGTTGTATGCAACAATGTGCATACTGGAACTTAGGGGCCTTCTGTCTGGCATAGAAGCCATGAGAGTCGACACATTCAGTATGCATGCGTGGCCATTTGGCAAAGCTCAAAGTAGAAGAAGGAAAGTCTGCGCCATTTGGATGAGCTCATAAAAGTCGGGCTCGAAAGTTTTTTTTTTTGATAGCGTCAAGCGAGACGGTACTAGCTCCCTGTAGTTTGGACCTGTAGCTCATTCCTCAAACCGTTGTCAACACAAAATGGAAATAATGGGACAGACCTGCATTATTCACAAGATTATCCAGCCAGCCTTCGGCTTGAGTCTGAATGGCTTCCTGGGCCGCTTGGATTAAATCGATACTGGCGATGTTGAATTGAATGTAACGTTGACATCAAGACCATAATACTCCTTGAGTTTAGCTTTGATAGCGTAGTGAGCATAAGGCCTCTGCTTGAAGGAACTACTCACTGAGCCTTTATTGAATCTTTCCGGCTGTTTCATTCCTTGATGACGGTAGACTACTTATACGACCCTTCTCCGCCAGAAACCTAACAAGATTGTCTCTAATACCAGCATTCGAACCTGTGACGAAGATGTGATGCTTGTATTGGTCGTCAGAAGTAGCCATGATGATGGACCTGGGCATGATACCGATCTAATTGCGTCGCTCACTTAGGACTCCGATATTAGCCAAAAGCAGCCCCAAAAAGTGCGTCCAAAGTTCTGTAGTAGATAGGAAAGTGTCCGAATATGAAAGGTCCAATGAACAGTGGGAAGGGAGGGAGGGTAACCGGTGCTGATCATGCCGATTCTGCCTTAGTCTTGTCGGTGTTGTATCGGTGAGACATTTCTTCATTTACATATGCCCTCCTGACATGGTTTCTTTGTCGCCCGCCACAATCCGATTTTAAGAAACGGAAGAAACAATACTGGAACTTCGTGTTGGAGGTTCTTCAGATAGAGCAGACGTGAAAGTCAGTGCCTCGGAATCAGTAGCCTCCATAACATTCTGTACGAGCTATTCCTTGAATGAAGCCATCAAGCCGATGAAATTGACGGCCACAAAAATATTTCAATCGAGACTGGAGATACTGCAGTGATTCCTCTGCAGCATCAGCTCTCATGTGTGAGCGCCGTGTAAACATTTAGTCATTTAGTCTCTTGGCCTTCTAAATAGGTCCTGGTTGCATTCAACGCTTTCACTGTATTGTTTAACACGAAAAGAGTTATGCTTATACATCGAGAACCATCATCAGGAGGCATGAACATGTGTAATCCCATAACGCGATGGCAAACTTTCAACGACAATGTCTTCATACCATTCGGAGTTACATCCCGTTGTTCGTCTCCTATGGGTTGAAGATCACCGTGAACCGAATCCTCAGCTTTAGTATCTCACGTTGTAAGGAAGGAAGGCACTGGTCAATCCAAACAATATCCCATGAATCACAGAACTTTAGCCAATACCATTCCGTGCCTGGACAAGAATGACACTCCAAAACCTGTGGCTAAATTAACGTCCTCCGCAGAATAACAAACATATCCCAGATAGAAAATACTCAACGAGTAAGTTCAGGAAGAGGTGGTCTTGCCGACTCGGACAGACAGTCTTGTGTAGCATACCATGGACTGCCAATTCATAAAAGAGGGAGTTGAATGAAGATTTGTTCGGAAAAGCATGGAGTCCGGAAGGCGAAAACGCCTGTACATCGGGCGAAGGCTTTATAATTTGGGTGGTACCGATCCTAGCTATAAATAAGGCTATACAGAAACGTGCAAGAACAAACACATGCACCACCGCCATGCGCAGCATTCAGCAGGGCTCCAAGCCAATTCTAAACCAGGCAACCATCGAATGAACTTCCCGCAGTTTTGACCAAAGTCCGGAACTAACCCTCATCTCGTACAAACCCCGAGATACACCAGCAAGGTAGTAGAAACATTCGACATCATTTTTGAAGGAGATGGGAGCTGAAAGAGCTCCGTTGAGTATATATGTACTTGGTAAGACGGCGAGCAAAAATCAGGCAGGAGGACAAAGGAATGAAAACAAGCCAGTGAGACAAGAGAACTACACCGCAAAATTTAGTATCATTAGCGTTTTGCAGAGAGTCGAGACCCACTACCAAGGTAGCAGGAAAGGTAACCGAGGAGGGAATCCAATGAAGCATGCATGTACTTGGTAGCGTCGCGAGCGAAATGCTGGTAGGCGGTCGATGGACAAATAGTGAGACCTGAGAGCGACAAACAATATGACTAACGGTCAACGTGACAAAGCCAACGCTCCACCTTGGACAAAGAAACGACATTCAGCATAGCGTATAAAGAGAGAGCAGGACTTACTCGAAGACGCCTACGAATATATAGGTCTGCACCGAAAGATCGACACGTACCGCTTGTATTGTTAACTACGACATGTCCAAGGTCCGAACATCAGCAGATCGGGAAAAAAATTGCCGGGGGTTACGGCGACCACGGTCCGGCGTAATTCTTATCCGCCTTGTCAAGGCCTTATGGGTCCATATAACCAAGGCACGATGTTGCGACCTTTTCATACGCCATTAGAAACCTACATAATAATAACTTGTCCTTCAAGATTGCATAATATTATTTCCGACTCATGTATTGCTACCATAAGCTCAATAAAATGCGGTCTGGGTTGCACAGATTGATTGTAAAATGGCAGTAGCGATTGTATTTGTCTCTTAGGCGTGACATATAAATATAATACATATCAGAAGACCCCCATATGTTTGACATCGCGGTAGCTTGACTCCACAGATCCACCAGAATTGGTGCATTCTTCGCACCTTTCATCCCTACTGTCTCCAGAGCTCTGATCCTTGCCATCATTTTCCTATGTGTGTATGTCCGTGACAGCTCCATAATCTAGTGTCTATCTGTCCCCATTTTGTGTGTGGAGACTTGTCCAGCTTTACCTGAGCCCGCTAGTTGAATACTGACTTCGCAGCGATTCTTGCGAAGTGAGGGTCCTTCGGGTGTACTGATTTTTCGGCCACACTCCACTTCTGTAGGAACACAGAAGAAAGGGGAAACTCACATGATAAAAAGTGACATGGTGCATTTTATGAAAAACTGAGCATGCAACTACTTAGTGGTGCAAGTTGATTCCGAGTCGGAGGATAGCAGCTCGCGTCGCGCGATCACCAGATCGACGCGTCATGGTGGCTGTGATGCACCACGTGATAGCTCGCGGTGCGTTTCAACTAAGTTTCCTCGTCGTGGAGGCCTCTGGCCCATTGGGCCAGACACAGACTCACATGGTCTTCCTTCCTCTAGACCCGTTCTTCTCCGATGCGGACTTCTTCTTCCGAGCCCGGAGCTAGAATAGTCATTCTTTCAACATAAATACAGTCACAAGTCAAGGCCCAACGCTAGCATCTCAAGCAACATGCCACCATCTCTCGAAGAATCGCAAACTCCCAACCTACCAAGATCCTCTCAGCCATCAATGTATCAAGTTCAAACGTTGATCTTCTGAAGCGACGTATTGTAGAGTTGGAGGAAGAAGTGGTCGTGTTGAGGGGCACCTGAGCCAAGCATCGGTGAGTTTAAAATGGCTCTCCTCGGGATCGGCTCCGTATATCATTTTAGGGTGTTCAAACAGATGGGGCATGCACTTTCCCATGTGACGTTGCCCTTTAATAGTGTCCGAGGTATCGTGGATGAGAAGGTCCAACAAAGTGAGGTGATTCTCTCATATGTTGTGGGGTTGCACTGACATTCTTTTTCCTAGTAGTATTTTCAAGATTGGAAAGACTCGAATTTCCAGTTCCTTCCCAACGACAGCTCTGGAAAGCAATTGGCAGTGAAGAAGGGGGAGTGGGGGAGAACATGCAGTATAAATTCGAGCCCATCTATATAAACAGGCACAGCATTAAACGTATATACGCACCTGTATTCTCTTTATGGTAGTAATAAATATGCTATAAATTTCAAGTCTCTAAGAGTGAAAATATGCGTAGTATATACAGCAGGCCGCCCGAAAATTATTAGGTGTTATGAACTCGCTGTAAGATGTTGCTCACATCATACTTTCATATGACATCAAGTAATTGTGCTGGTACCTTGCGAAGCTTGACATGCATTACTGACATTGGAAACACTCATAACCATACTTGGAGGATTATCAATTCTTCACGCTTCATATGGGCATATAAGGCTCGCGCAATTATTTCGGACGTTGCCATGCATTTTGACCCTTGCCACGGGCTTATACGGGCATATATATTTTTGTCCAATTCGCTGATGAACCGGAACTACGACCGCCTGTTTCGACTCAACCTTATCAGAAAAAACAAACTCCTGGAAACACTCCAAACAGCCCACCGGTATGTTAGCGATAGAATGAGATAGCCAGCCAGCGCAACCGCCACCAGAAACGTGGTCGCTAAGGGTATCCCTCAGATCATCAAGCGTCAAATGGGCACTACGTGCTAAGAGACCATGCGCATCCACCATTCTAAGAAGATCCTTCCTAGGCAACGTCTCAAAGTGACTATCAAAAACGGCCGCCATGTAGGTGACTAGCCCCTTGTACGAAAGGTACCGAACAAGCGTCAACCGCTCTGCCAAACCATCGATTGCGCGTTCCCGTTTGTTCTCGGGCGTGGACGGTGCCAAGAAGCGCCAAAAATATGATAGCGCGGATGAAGGCAATACGGTTAACAGGTGGGTGTACTGCAAGACAGACAGAAAGAATGCAGGCGCCCGAACACGGCCAGTATGACATGCCTGAACGTACAACCGACATGAAGGTCCATTGAGCGACGAACACATGCCGGACAGAAAATGCTCAACAAGCAAGTTCAGGTAAAGGTGGTCTTGTCCACATGAAGTCTTGTGTAGTATGCCATGGGCTGCCAGTTCGTACAAGAGGGAGTCGAACACTGAAAGTCGGGTGAAAAACATGGAGATTCCGGAAGGCAAAAAAGCCTATACGCTGAACGAAGGCTTTCTAACTGGAAAGGTGTCTAGATGGCGTTACGCAGAAGCTTGGAAAGACAAACACTCTCACCATCAGAATCACCCTTCAGTAATGCTATAAACCAATCCAAACCCAAACAGACGTCGGATGGACCGTCTGCAGTTTTGACAAAACTAACCCTCGCCTCGTAAGAACCCAGAGACGGCACCAGCGAAATAGTGGAAACACCCATCGTCGTTTTGGAAGTACAGCGAGCATGTTCGAGGGAAATGGTAACAGAGGAGGGAATCCCATTGAGCGTGCATGTACTCGGTAGCATCACGAGCGAATTCCTGGTAAAGATTCCCGCTATTAGAACAGCGAGACATGTGAGTAAGAAACAAGACGACGAACGGTGAACGTGACAATGGCAACGCTCCACCTTTGGATCAGCTAATATAGGAGGCAGGTGAATCAATTAGATCTTACGAATCTACCGCAAAATTTGGTGTATTTAGCGTTTTCCAGAGACCCACTACCAAGGTAGCGGGAATTTCAGACAAAACACCAAAATTGGTACTGAAGAAATCACGTGTAGCTCTGATAGAGTCGGCAGCAAACGACCCGACTCCCGAGGCTTGCCACTCACCGCCACGTATTCTATTTGATACGCGCAACAGCGCCTTTTTTGATTATCCCTCTGCTCCCCTGCAGGAAAATACCGAGGATTGATTGCGGATGTTCTGCTCCAAACAAGTGCATAATCTGATAACCGGATGAAGAATGACTGAACCTTACCAGTTAACCCCGATGTTGATTTTCAACAAATCCACCTCAAGATGTCGGCTTCCAGGCGACTATTCTCTGGTGAGGTTCAGTTCTTGTTGTCCGATCATCTGCGGATATAGTCTCTCTAAAATCTACTATGCGGTTTAGCCAGGCTGAGAGAATGTGAGCAAGCCAAGTGGACATGTGACAATCACCGAGCCGTAGCCTAAGCAATGCGTCAGTATGATTCAGTAAGGATTAATGTATCACGTTTCCCTAAAAGGTTCTTCATCTCGCTTTCTTCGTACAAGCGTGCTTCTTGGTTTATTGATGTCTTATCGTGTCAGCAGACTGCCGCCAATACAATACCAGGGAAAAAGTGCTATTAGATATTCAGTACACCGTTTCCCGATGCCGTTTACGAGACCAGAACAAAGTGACAGCGGAATTCATCCGACTGTCTAAATGTCATGCGGCTGATAGTGGTGCATGAGAACGCGACTACCAACGATCAGTGGATGCCAAGACGGATGCCAGGCTGCATACAACACTATCAAGGAGGCAATAAACTCGTATTTGATCATATTAACGAAGGGTCTGGGGGCAGAGAGCGTCACGTTGAATGGGTATTGACCTGAAAGACTCGCAGGGGTAGGGAGCTAAATTGTTTTCTTCAGCTTTCTTGGGCCCTGAAGACGCCGGTATGACTTGTAAGATTATGTCAATGATAGGCCCGGGCGTCTCACTGATTTCCTGTGACACCAGGCTTGTTTAGAAGGGACGACAGACAACTCCCACCAATAGCTTTATAAGGGCGATATTAATTCATTGAATATCAACGAATCGTAATACCTCATATCCCGATGTATCTGTCATAAATGATGATAAATCTCCTTGGCTGGCATTTAAACAGAGAGGAACTTTACGCCGTCGTGCTCGAAAATTAACTTTTCATCGTGAACACTTAAATGACCATTGCGTTTAGGGACGAAAACATGCCGAGTCGAACCTGCTTCAGGTTTCATGATGCGTCCTGTCGTGTGCAGCAAGGGCAAGACGATGATTAATTTTTGACTGTGTTTGCAAGGATCTGATGGAGGAAGAGAAGGCTAGCAGGGTGTGTGAGGAAATTCGAATGTATAGAGTGAATTCTGCCTTGGGAAATGTTGGGTTTCGAAGACAAGGACTGATAGTACTGGCTCGGTAGGGCAATATATAGGCTCTGTCGGCACATATTGACAAATGGTCGCAAATCAATTTCAAAAGAAGGGGGCCACATAATGGTAGTACAAAGTGAACCTGTTTCGATTTTTGTGTTAAGGTAACCACAGCCCTATATCACAACAAACAGCTCGCTAAAATGGACGGCACTGTACTCTCTCACAAAGGAAGCATTGTGTAGGACTGGTGCTCTGCGTCGTGTCTTGCTGGTGTTGTGTTTCTAAGGTGAACAAGGGCATTTACTGTGAAGGAACTTGTTTACACGCCGACATTAGAATTCATCCAGATCTAGCTCACCAAAGGTAGGCCAAGTCAAATTTTCACGAGATTCCTTCGCAGGATCTGTGAAAATATAGATTCCGATCATTGTAACAGCCTAGAAGGTTACACGTCATTGACACGAGTAGTTCAGACGATGGCGACTTACGCAAATAGATAGAAGGACCAGGCATGGCAGCACGCCTACAAAGTCTGACACCTCGAGTTATTTTTTAAACCATACATTACATTAGGCTAGACATACCCAAGATGTCACCTGGACTATGTTAGGATCGAGAATTGAGTGAACTAGAAATAACATACCAAATCCGTCTGGGGCTCCTGGCATAGTTGAACGCAACTGAGTAAAGGCAAACACGGTCCCAACAGGAATGACGACGATCTCGTTCCTCTGCTGGAAGCCAAACCCTACAGTCATAATCATAACAAGACATATCGTGAGGGTGATAATCCCTGTTTTGGAGAGGAATCTATTAGGTTTTTTCGTAGACACAGGGAAATCACACTGACAGAATATGATGGTGATGGCAATGCAATACCATATTATCAAAGTTCCTCTTTGAACAGTAATTAAGACGTCGATAAGTTCTGGAATACCCTCCCGGGCCAAACTAGAGGTGTCGAAAACATGCCCTGAGATTTTAAGGCCTCTTGAATCCGTTTAATTATTCGATCACGGTCCAGTTAAAGTACTTACACAGCGAGTCCGGAGGTAGATTCGAGAAATAATTGCACGGTGTCATTGGTTCTTGCATCAATGGCGAAGGCAAACGCTTCAGCAAGGTAGCTGTAGTGATATGAGTGATAATTTCATCGCAGAGACGGGGACGCTATCACCGATCGAAGGGATAATACAGACTGGCCGCACGTGTATGCATGACTGAATGGTTAGTATAATCAAAAGGTGCATACACGGCAAGTTTTGTCTGGAATCTCGGTGTATTGGAAAGAACAGGATCAAAGACCGCTGCAGTGACATTCCAGATGAATATAGGATCCGTCGGTCTACCGTTGTCAGACGCCTTGCTACTGTTCGTATCAGATTGTTGAAGAAGATTTCTGTAAGAAAATAATTCGGTATGACCGAAGGTGTACAAAGAACAACACTCACGCATCAAAATAAATATTGACATTTGCGCACTCCATAACTCTAGGATCACAGGTATCATCCCAAAAGCTCCAGTCGAGGACTATCACCCCTTGGTCCAGATTTGCTGAAACCAAATCTGCATGAAGAGAAATCTTTTGTTGTGAGTAAGACAGAAAGTCAGGACAAGAAAACTCACTTTTCGGATAGAGCCATTGGAAGTGTTATCACTGGCATTGTACTGAAATTCTGTGGGATGTAAAGTCACTCCGAAGACGAGGCAGGTTATGGGAATAACAATAATAAAAGTGAGAGAAAAGAAGAAGCAACGCCGAATTCTCTTGGTGGCGGGAGGGGAGGTAGGCATATTTGACTCTCTGTGCAGGAAACAAAGTCGTTCGATGTGACGAGGAGCTGGCAAGGCTTATATAGAACCTTGCGAAGGATATGGACTAGCTGCTCTCTAGGAGGATGCTTACCATAATTAGTAAGAATGCTGCGCCAACATCGAGCGCTTATCCCAGTCTCGATATCCACATTCAAGGTCCACTGCGACACTAAACAGTGCAGTAAGTATTTCTTCAAAAATAACTGAGGAGCCAGATGCTTCGGGATGGCTGCATTAGGCTTGGTAGCTTCGTCCTGAGGTTACATTGTGGCAAATCAGGTGTAACGTTTCGTTATGATACCTATACAATGACTGTCACCACTAGACCAAATTCATAGTAGGGCGCCTGCACTTCCCGTCCAACTGCCTCGAGGGCACATCCTCTCTCCAATTTTTAGCTGGATCCACGGCGTGAATGGCTTAGGAAAAATGGCTCCCGTCCGACAATTGATTCGTGATGGCGCCAAGTTACTAGAAATAAACCATGTCTTATACGTTATTGACCGAAGCGGTGACTCCGAACCCACTGTTGATGCATGTCCTCTTCACGTTCAAAGGCAAGAGTCTTCAAACGATACCAACTAGCCATATGTCCTAGAAGTTGGAGAGCCTCACTGGCGCTGGTGGTTCCAAGGTGATCGCTGCCAGTGGTTCGGCGCTTAGAGTTTAGAGTGTGGAAGGCGTGGATCAACATTGATTAAACACGTTATGTACCCATTCTCCATTGGTGCACAAGATTACCCGGCCCGCTTGATTGCAGCCTTTCCGGCCGCTCTTTCGTAATATGTACGCACACGCCGATAATCCTACCGCAGTTGCTTATTATATTGTAAGACTGTCAGAGTGCAATACCGCGCTCGGAAAGCGGGAAGGCATGATACAATGGCTGGCCCCTAACGTGAGGGATCTCCATGATAATGATAACGTCCTCGTCAGCCTTCTTCACCGATTGCCATTTGTCTTCCCCCACTAGTTCCGCGCAAGTCGAAATATCCCTCCTCAACATCCTCACACCCTTTCCAGGCCCACGGTAGCTCATCACGATGGTCGTAGCAACAGGATCAGTATTCCCAGCCTGCTCGTTGAGATCCTGTGTTCTCAAAGCACGGATAAGATTCAAGTGCGCTCGAATATCATCTCTGCACTTTGCAAAGCAGAATTCGAGGTCAATGCAGGATATTCCGTACGGCTTTCCACCTGTGATGGCTCATAAAACTGATTTGAATACGAAGCACGATGGAAGTTACCTTTCCGTTTTGACTGATTCTCCAAACATGACAAGCGATGTCCTGGAATCGCTTTCCAGTCGATCTTTTGGCACTCTGGAGAGCAGTACATCACGTTCAAACATCCCCCGCAGCGTCGGGAAGATGTTCGAAGCGTTGTCTCCTTGTTGGGGCACTATATCAGACGTGATAAGAGGGAGAAAAGCGATTCTAAAGGGATAGCAACAGACCTGCTGATTCTCGCATATAAAACGACCTTTGTTTTCTTCCATGTCATATCGACGCATGTCCCTTTCACGCTCAAGAGCAAGAGCCTTCAGACGATACCAACTTTGGGCTACACGCCCTTGTCCTAGCGTGGACTCAAACTTGTTGGCATGCTTCACGATCCGAAGGATGCGGCGCAGGACAGATCGATATACTATGAAAGTCGCAGCGAGCTCCAATACTCCGACCAAAAAGTCATAGGTCATCGGCAGGGTCATTTCAGTTCCCAGGGAGCTCTCGTTCAAGGAGATAAAGTGGTTTACCATCAATACCGACTCGAGGAGATGGAAGTCCAATGCCTCTGTGAGATTGTACACGTAGTGTTGGCAGGGTGAAAAGACGTATCCAAGCAGGTGCTGGAGGGCCATGGCTCGTTTTCTTGCCTCTGAAGGGACGTGTGTCTTGGGTTTAGACAAGAGTGTGCGAATCGCACGACAGCACCACATGATTGATTTTCGGGCGACTAAACAGTCGTAGAGATGGTCCGAAATCCCTGCGCCGAATGTTAAGAGTTTCCCACTTCTGATGTAATCACTATACTGCTGCGGCTGACGAGACTGGTCCTCGATGAGACCCCGCATTATCGCAGTGGCTACGTCCTCCATTTCGTACCGTGATCGTAACAATTCGGATATTTCTGGTATCTTTTCATCAAACGCAGTAAGGCCAGCCATCAGCGCCCGTATTTCATATGCTGATTGGTATCCGTGAAGGGTGAGGTATAGCCACAACCGAGTGACGTTCTGGATAAAATCGGGCTCGGAGTATAGGGCAAAGGGGAATTGCCTGTTTTCTGTCAGAGACGAGAGGAAGCGCGCGATGCAAGATAGATTCTTGTCTGGGAAACCACCGATATCAGGACCGTCCCCGAGGCTGATGGACATGTCAAAGGATCGGAAGAAGTAGCGGGTCCATAAAAGAATGGTCTCTGTCATGGAGAGTATGTCTTCCCACAGCGTCTCAGTACCTGGTTCGTCGTACAAAGCGGATACTCCTTTTCCGAATGCGATAAAGCAGGCGCGGATTAAGGGAAGATCGGCATTATAATCATTATCAGATGGAATATTGGCAGGGGATAAATGATGGCAGAATGCTTCAAAAAAGGGAGGTAGAATGCTGAATGTGAAGGGTACGCTGTCTCCCCAGTCATACGCGATCTCGTTTATTATCGAGATCGTGTGTGGACTATCGTAGTCCTGTTATTTAAACATTGATTGATTAGTATTCCTGAGTGGCAACGAGAGATAACATACTTTAAAAGTCGGGATATGACGTCGAGGCATATGAAAACCGGCCATGAGCACTTTTAGCTCGTTTATGATGGCGCGCTATAGGCTGCAAGATGGGTGCACGCTGCGTAGTAAGGACCCGCGTCAGGTATCGGATCAGTCCTGTGTATCGCCAGTAGTATGACCTTTCCTTGCTCACAAACGAAAAATAACAGAAGATAAGTCGTGATGGCAGATAGCCTACTGATGGTCCAGGGATTCAGAAGATACACGGTTCTTGATCTCGAGCTGGTGTTTGATAGAGATGCAAGTGGCGTCTTCATCGCGTATGTCAGCTCGATGGTGATTGTGTGGCCCGAGCAAGATCGGCAGAGATCGATTGAAATTCCCGACGCGGCGACGCGATCCAAAAAGGGTTGATGAATCACGTGATGTTCGGATAAGCTTCGGCGGCCTGTGGTCTGGACGCATCTAGAACCTCTTTCACTCTGACGATTCTCAGATTCTCAACACAAATCATCGCGTCCTTCATCGTCTCCCCATACATCATATAGTCTTCTGTCTGAGCGCTCTTTTGCAGACACCCCCGTTGACAGGTTTTTCTAAACCCTAAACGAAGCATTCCGCGGTCGCGGAGGTATGTGCTACTACTACTCGTTGTCAAGGAAGGATATTCGACTGACGACCGACGGTTGTTAGTGCCTTATGGCAGAACTTCACCCAATTCTCGCTGCCCAAGAAGATGGGGCACCTCTGGAACCACCACCAACTGAAGATCCCCCAGAGCCATTACCTATTACCGAGCAAGAAGTTGGAGAGTACAGGGAACAGGATCGGTTCCTACCTGTACGTGTCATATCGCCCCCTTCGCGATGTCTTGATATCCTATGTTCCATACAGATAGCAAATGTGTCCCGAATTATGAAGTCTTCCGTCCCACCAACTGCAAAAATAGCCAAGGACGCGAAAGAATGCGTCCAAGAATGCGTCTCAGAGTTTATTTCCTTCATCACGTCCGAGGCAGCGGAGAAATGTCAAATGGAGAAGAGGAAGACAATTGGAGGGGAGGATATCCTGTACGCGATGTCGACGCTGGGGTTCGATAACTATGCCGAGACGTTGAAGATCCATTTGGCGAAGTTGCGGCAAGTATGTCGATTTTTTTGGTTGTTGAATGGTTGCTAACGGCTTGGTGTAATAGCATCAGAGTGGGACTAGCGGAAAGGACAATCACCTCGAGTCCAGGATAGACGAAGAATGAGGTTTAGGCGGGATCCGAAGTACGTTCCTGACTACGATACCCCTGGTGATCTGCCGCTGATGGATGTTTTTGAAGGTAGAAATATATACTATTGTATCAGTACACCGATTTTTATCTACGTGCGTTGACTTCATTTTTGTCATCTCTCGTACTAACTGAATGCGAGCAGGCTATTATATGATTGTGCGCTATGTAACTATACAACGAGTTCTGGAAAAGAAGGCTGTGGTCCATGTGGTCCATTGTACCCGTTCGAGTGCTCGAAGATCCTTTTGAACACTCCTGTACAGCGAAGGAAATCGAAATTTCGTTCTATCGCAAAACGAGTCAGCTGTGCCGGTCACTCAAAATAATTCATAGCTGGCCAATGGGTCGCTCATTCGAGTTTTCTCCGTATGAGGATGCGAACCGTTCTCAAATATCACAGGCTCAAATCAAAAGAAGCGTATGATTACGTCAGTGCAAGTCACGCGCCGCCCTTTCTTATTCCCTTCACGCTGCACGCTAATGCTCAGGACGGGTAGTCTATACTTCAGCGACAGTATAAGAACCCGGCGCTGCAAGCCAGGAGGGAACATATATGTTGCGAAGGACGTTCGCTAGGGGTGATTGGCACACCTGTTGGCATGTAGGCGGGACGCGAGAGGAAGAAGACTCAGCTACAAGGCACAGTCATCGTCTTTGACGACATCATGACGGCGCATATATCAGGCGCACGGACCATCCGACAGATACAAAAGGAGCGCACCTCGAAACAACACCCCGAGCCTTTCTTTCTTCCCTTCCTCCACCACGACGGCATTCGTCCGCCCCGACATCGCCGTTGTTGCCCGGCCTGCGACCCGGCTTGCCCATATTGTGGATGCCACGGCATTATCCGTCCATTATCAAACATCGCCGCCGAAAGTTCGTTGTACCTCTAGATAACACCTCCAAGGCCTTGGACTGCTTCATTCGACCGGCGAAAAGGCACCCTCGGCAGCCTGCATCAATCACCACTTGGTAGCCATCTGTGTGCCCTTTGTCCGCCTTGGACATCGAAACGAACGCAACTCTCGACGTACATTCTCCTTCCACGCGAACATGGATGCCGTTACACGCCGGACAATGTGTCTTCCGTCATCTATTATCATCATCCGGCGGGAGCTACATCAGTCGAGCGGCAATCATACCGCCGTGAGTTCTTTTTACTTAAATCCTATGTGTCGCCTGATCCTGAAACCCTATCAGTGACATGGTGTCGCCCTCTAGTCAATCAGCCAACATGGCCAGAGACGCCGAAAGACATTTTCTACGCCTATCCCGCGCAGGGAAGGCTACTCACCAGACGTTCGCGCCAGTTCTAGCCATTGACGCTACGCGTACACCTAGCATTGGCTAACATTCATGGATGTCTTCCATGATCTATCTGGCGGGAGCCAAAGCAATCGAGAGGCAATCATACCGCAGTGAGTTCTTTTTACTCGAATGCCATGTTTCGCGCTGATCTTGAAATTCTATCAGTGGCATGCTATCGTCCTCTGGTCAGTCAGATAACCAACAGGCATTTCAACGTCTATTCCGCTCGTTAGTGGTCGCTGGCAAGACTGCTCATCAGACGTTCGTGTCGGTTCTAACAACTGACACCACGCATACACCTATGCCAATGCCCTCTCGTTGATTGGCGTTCTTGATGGTGATGGTTTTTGACAAGAATGCTCGCTTGTACAGCCTCGATTCCCATTCATCTCTATGGTGATTACGAATGCGGGCACCCTGACAAGCGTTTTACGTTCCCATTTAGCACAGCCTTGGCGACTTCGACCTTGCTCGTTCATTATGCGGTGGACCCTTCTATTCAATTCGGCTTACAGCATGGCTAAACACCCTGAAGCTACGAAAGCTCTGCCAACAACTAGTTTCCCACACCGTCAGCCAAGCCACCGCCTTTTCCGTTTCCTGTATTGGATTCTTGAGAACCCTCGGTACCGCCAATGAGAAGATACACCGTTTTCATGCCGCCAAGGGCACGGATGCTGCTGCCCTGGTCAACGTCCTCGGATGTCCTTCAGATCCATCACGTACGTCCTTCACACTCAAAAGTATGCATTGCGCTGACTCTGAAATCTTTCAGTGTTATGCTATGATTTTTCAGTCAATCCCCACCATCATGCCGAAATAGGCGGATCTGGTGCCGTTTTATGCGTACTCAAGCGGATCCATTCACTGCGCGTTCACACCAGTCCTAAGACGATCCTCAAGCCCTGTGAGTAGCATGCTGTCATGCTCTGGGCGATCAGATGCCCGGCATGACGAAAAACGTTGAAGGAGACGCTTTCTACGTCTATCTCGATCATTGGAAGACGCAGGAAAGACTACTCAGGAGGCTTTCTAGCCATTGACGCTACGCATACAAATATGCCAATGCTCTCTCGTCTGCTGCCATTATCATGTCCCTTAACAAGAATGCTCGTTTCGCTTGTGCGAGCTTTGTATCTCGGGCCCGTTGCTCACTGTCAGCTGGTTTCATTCCCCTCAGCCAAACAATTACTCCCTCTGTTTCATGCACCAGCTTCGTCCGAATCTTCCGTATAACTCCTTTCCGAGCCGCTGAGGTGCGGATGATGCTGCACTGAGTGAAGTGTATTGGCCATCGAAGCGGCGGCCATGCTGTTTGGAAGTGCGTCTTTCACAGTCGAAACATGGGCTGCGTTGATTCTGAACCGTATCAGCGTCATATCTCCATCCTTCAGTCAGTTGGATTCCCAACATCATGCCGAAATAGGTGTTTCTACAGCTATCCCGTGGTGCTGTGCTTTGCGTACGCAAGGAAGACCATCCACCGCGCGTTCACATTAACTCTTGTTGCTATTAACGCCATGCATACAGCTATTCCAAATCCGTCTCATTGGTTGGCTTCGAGCTGACTTCTGAGATGTATGCTCGGTTGCATGCAGCCATGGTGATTATGGATGCTGACACCCTGGACAAGCGCTTACGGTCCCATTTATCACCACCCTGCTTTGATCGAGTATTATGCGGTGGATGTATTCAGTTTATTCGACTTACAGCATGCTTCTACAGGGTGTCTTCACATTGTTGCCCGTCGTAATTTACCCCAGAGGCCGCTTGTCTTCATTCATTTCGGCGATAGTCGTGTTTACTGCGTACAGGCACGTGTATCCCAGAGACGGCGCCCATCTCCTCACAGCATAATCTGGCGGTTAGCTTCATCAGTAGTGCGTTGATTCTGGATCTATGTCTGTCTGTTCCATACCCAACTGAGGAGTAGTCCCCTACCCCGAGATTCGCAGTTGGATACATCTTGAACTTCCATCAGGTCGGTTAATTGCTTGTGAATACTTATACCCACCTTACTTCCGCTATTAGATCCGAAAACTGTGCACCTGAGGGCGTAGATCCATCACCCAGAATCTTGGCTTGCGCTCGAAGGCACCCTTGTTGCTGGGGACGTTTGCCAGCAGTTCTCAGACGTAGGTGAATATCCTTTCCAAATAAATTCTTCGATTTATTTGTAGTCCAGGTATGGCAAAGGGCGATGGTACCGCTGCGTTGGACCCTCTTCCACGAACCTTCACTTTTAATTGGAAGAATATTGTCCCCTGCATGTGGGGCATCAGTCATGCTCCTCCTTGAAACCACCCGGGTTAGAGGGTTGGAGCCCAGTGAAAATTCCGTCGAGCCGGTTTGAGCCAAATCAAGCTGCAGAAATTACCATATAGCGTAGTCGAGCCGGATCAAGCGGCGTCATACAAGAAGGCTTTGAACTCCAAACCTTCGCCTCTTCCATTCGCACATCCAAGAATTATCAGAGTAGAATCTCTCTGAATCCGATGATTGACTGAAACGCGCCGAATATCGTGAGCCAAAATTGGCAACTTAAACTTAAACTTAAAGTCAACGGTTCCGTCCACGTGCATGTTATCCAGTGACGTGATTAACGCCTCTCTCTTTTCTACCACCACCATACCCATCGTGTTCGAGCTTGTTCGCCGTCCTCGTTGTCGCTCTACACCCAGATCCTGTATTATCTTGGGATGTGGCTTCGTACTTGCTTTCGTAGCCTCTTACTGTTGGTCTCTCACTGGGCAGCACATGCGAAGACCTGCAGATACGATGCTACAGACTGAAACTGCCGCGCAAGGTGGATATATGCGCCTTGTTTGGACACCCGCATTAGCAATACGTCCTCAGAAGACTGGTTTGAGCTGCAGGATATCTGGATATCTTTGAGGTACGTCTCATTGCGCTCTTGTATGTTTTCTTTTTTCATGTTTAGCATGTGTACAGTCGCTCCATAAGCCGTCTAGGCATCGCTATGGGTGTAGCCATGGTATGTTCTATTCCATATATGCGTGTATTTCTGAGCTCGCTAAGCCAAATCTTATACAGGTCTCGCTTGCCACCATTCCAGCTGGCTTCGACTTCGTGAGTAGCCCTTGAATCATCTTTTCCGTCATTGTAGACTGATTTAACATTTTCTAGTGCAGTCTATTTCGATACTTTTATCTTCACGTTGCGAAATGCGGTTGGGGTATCCGAGCAGGGCAGGGCTAGCCGTGGGCAGAACGGAAAGGGTTATGCTACTCAGCGTATGTAGTAGCGATGTGGTTCTATACATATTAATAGCAAAGAAATCGAGCCCTACGAAGCCTAACGGAACCCTATGGTAACGACATACCGAGCTCGAAACAGCTCGATTTGAGCTGGTAAACGGTTCACATTTCGAAGCCATGGCGAGCGGAATAGAGCCCCAGCGATCATTCCCCTGGGCTTGATTTGGCTCAGTGTGGCTCGACCGACTTTTCACTGGGGTTGGAGTTCGGGTCGACCACATCTTCGCGATCCTCACATCGAGGCCGCTCTCTAGTGAGAGGACCATGCGAGATCTCAAGTCTCGAACTCGCTGTCCAAGATGAAACACCTCCTATCGCGTGCGCCACACGGACCCACAAAATCAAATGCCCCGCCTCTCTCCTTCCCCAGATCAGCTGCCAAACCCCAGATCATAAGTTAATCGATACCCCAGATCACAAGGACCACAAATTTCGAACGCGTCTTTCGTAGTATGTAACTGAGACAAAAATACTCGGGTTTTTATTGCTAGACGCTCGTATCTTTACATAATTGCATTCCTATCAGGTCGTTACGACTACGTACAATGAGACTTTTTTTCACTATAAAAATGAGGGGCAAAAAGAGGAAATAAAAGTACACTGGTAAATGGATTGTTACAAGAGTGGATGAAGCAATCAAGAGAGAAACGTGGTCAGTAGGTACAATATGGTATTACACACCATCGACATCCATTCCTTCGCCAACGCCCTGCCTGACACGCCTGCGTCCACGTTCAGTTTCCTCCTCCTTTTTCACGACCGGATCTTCTTCATGCTCCTCTTCCTCATCCACGTCACCCAATGGGCTGCCGTTCGTCGGGAAGGTATAGGCAGGGGCAGGGGGCTCTCCCCTCAGCCCACGCAGCTCATTCTCGAGTTCTCGATTCCTGGCGCCTTGGGTCGTCACCAGCTGCTGTAGGAATCTAGAGTGGGATTAGATGTGATAACTATCGAGGGAGATGGCATGTACGAACCGAATATACTCTACACTCTTGCTGAGAATCATACCCTTGTTCGCTTTGATAACGGCTCCATTCCCGGAGGCTCCGTTGGCAACGACATCGGCTACGCCAACCGGGGGTGGACTCTCGTCCTCCTTGAGCAAGCTGCCCCACAAATCATCCGGCGCAGGCGGACTCGCAGCACTGGTGCCGTTCCCGTTCGTACCGGCGCCTTCGAGCAGGCACTCCGGAATGAGAGTCGCGAGCTCCGTGATCTTCTCGTTGATGTTGTCTCGCCTCCTTCTCTCCACTGCGTTATGGCTTTCCCGCCGCCGGCGCCTCTTTTCGTTGGCAAGCAGCGCTTGTTTATCCTGCGTCGTGGCGTTGGACGAGGGCGGAGGAGTGAAAGCTGATGCAGGAGGGAAGTTGGGAAAGCTCGCAGAGACCATGCCCTGGTGCTGCTGCTGATGTTCGTCATAATGGGGATAAGGGAGCGAGTGAGGGTTGCCAAGTGAGTCTGGGGTCGGGGGGATGTACCAGCCCGTTGAAAGTGCTGAAGAAGGAGAAGGAGATGGGCCAGGTCGTGTAGGGATAATAATGTGCGAAGGATTGGGCCGGGATTGAGGCGGCGGTGAGGTGCTCGAGATGGAGTTGGTGCGGCGGCCGCGGGTTGTGGCTGAGCGGGTTGGGCCTACACTTGGAGGACGACTGCGAGAACGAGATCGTGAATCCGTATGTTCATTCCCGTACTGAGTACCGAGTGGGGGGATAGTAGAATTAAAGTGCGGTGAAAAATGGTATGGCGGTGCGGTGTAGGGGGGAGCGCTGATGTCGAAGATGTTGTGAGTACGGGACGAATTTGTGTGGGCGTGTTTGTCATTTGTTGAGCGTTCGTTTGATACGAGACCAACGAGGTCGTCGTCGGCAAAGTCCATCTGTGCGACGTTGTACGACGGGAAGAAGGAAGACATGGCGGTGGGTAAGTAGGAGAGACGGACCCTGCATACCCACCCCTTCTTACATTCTAAACTCCGACGATCGATCTTGCTGACTTAATACATCAAACCCCAAATAACCCCCAACTGTCCCCGCGGTCCCGTTTGCCTTTTTCCCCACATGCGGGACTCGCCAAGCTTTGCGGGGTTTGGCAATTTCCCATGTGTCACATCACTATACCCGACCAAGGGGGCAATCCGCAGTTCCTTGTTAGACTCCTGCTTTTAGATCTGTCCACGTCGAATGGCGAAATCCACGCAATTACTCAGCTGGCGAAGTTGAGCCGTATGAACAAGAGATACTGGTGAAACGCCACACCTCTGCCCGGCTCCTATACGTGCCGGCCACGCGGAAGTTGCACCTGGATCCATTCATTCATCAGAATATTTTCCCGGGGTCAGGGCCGCCAGGAGTAGAGGAAATTACCTCCGGGACCTGCAATAGAGAGTCGGCCGATAAACTATATATATATCGACCGACGGTCAACGAACGGCCAATGAATAGAAAGCGATGACATACCTAGACTGTCTACAAGGAAAGGGCTTCTGATATCAATGATACCCTCCCGAACCAATCATATTGATGGAGCCGGATGCAGTGAGCCGATGTGAACGAGGAGAGCAAGTCGGGCAACTGGAGGCAATGATGGGGTAGCAGAGTAACATCAGGCCTTATATACATAAGCACCTCCAAGCGCCTCCACGATCAAGGTCATCGGAGCAGTCATGGGAGCACAGACTAGATCAACGATCATGGTTGCGCGTCGTGAACGCGTACTAGTAGGATCCAGACACGGGGCCCGCCCTAAATTCTAAGGTCAAAACGAAGAGAACACCATTCAAGGGAAAGAAGACCCACGCCATCATTTTAGAAGAACATTCAGGTGTCATGAAGAGAAGCGTTAGATCTATCGAAGGTCAGCTTGCTGGTGTGGAGAAGGATAGGGGGACCAGGATGGTTGTTAATAGACGGACGCAGTGGGAGGTACTTGCAGGGCTGCAGATATGAAGTGGGTGATCTCAGTTTATATGCTCAGATTAATAACCGACGTACGTTGATTACGGCCTCCGGATGGGAAAATCTTGAGAAAGACTGGGACTGTGGTAAGCGCACTAGCCAAAACAGGTAAGCGTCGGGAAGACTGCGCACCACCATGGGGGTAAGACGAGGCATTGTAGGTCGACTCTATATGCAAGCTCCTCCGATGACCCCGTTCTTCCATTCTTGCTATCAACGATTTCCATTCCAGACGCCCGAAGCAGCGATTATCTTTCAAGATCAAAGCGTCCTAAACGCCTCGTCAAGACAAAATCTCCGGGACTAAATGTTTCATTACGCACCTATAGTGGTGAGAGCCATCTCCTCTGCAGCCCTTATAATAATATACGGCACGGTCATCTGCCGGTGTACGTGGTCGGTTCCATGTCTCGGGAGACTATAGCCAGAGCGCGATTAATTGAGAGATAACGGCATAGGTCATCGGGCCCGTCATACCGTCAGTCATTCACAAGGCACCAATATCATGAGATCCTGTCGCCTTTCCACAGTCTTTGTAAACCAGTCAATTGTGCATGGAAACGCCGCCGCCTGAGATAGAACTGACCTGCAGACATATAGATGCACATCGAGTTGAGACCCTCCTGTTGTCCTTGCTCATGATGATCAAAGCCACGGTTACGGCTTGACGATTCAATTGCTGCCACTGTCAATAGATCAATTAAATCGAGGATCGTAAAGCGCCACATACTTTGCGGTATCAACAAGAGATCTTCCTCGCCTGAGGGAGAGACAGAGAGATAAATACTGAGGAAGAGAGTGAACATCTCATTCATCGATATGAAGGGAAAGGAGAACCCACCATGACTGCACAATCGTGTTCTTATACTCTAAAGGTCATCGGGTCGCGGTCACGCTGAACACAGTGGGACCAGAGTGATATCGCCAAGTAAACTAAACCGGAAAGAGATGTACTTCTGTCCAGCACGGTGGGAGAACACGATAGCGAGATCGCCGAATGTGGAATAGTCGGATAGACAGGCAAGCCTGAGCGCCACGCACATGTTCAATGGATGCTGTGTATCGATATGCTAGCGAATGTTAGGAAAATGGTGAGTGTGAGACAAAGTTGGGAAGAAAGGACAGATGTTGGGCACGCGTCGACTTTTTATATGCAACTAGTCGTCACGGAGGGAGATCACGAGTTGGGTCTTGGGTAACTATCGTTATATACTCGCCCGCTCCTCGATCCAGATCGTCAGGTCATCGGGTCTGCGGAAGTTCAAATGCAAGTGGTTATCGATGATGGAAGGAAACCAGCCGTCACTGCGAGGTGGTAATCGAAGGTGCGAAGAGTAGGAGTATTTCAACAATGGAGAGCGAACAAAGGAAGGCGATGACCGTCGACGGCATGTACATCAAAGATTAAGCGATCAAGGTCATCAGGTCGGTCATGCGAGGCGGAAGTGGTCACTGGTAATCGCACCATGGGCGCGCTAAGAGATAACATGAACAGCCAGGTGCTTAATCAGATAAGGTGAGGCCGCAGAACTCGACCCTTTTTATATAGCCGTGGAAGGAAGGGTCATAGGATCGTGTCTTCGGAATAATACAATCCAGCAGATACCGCTGTGACGATTTCGTCCTCGCGACATTTGGACAAGGTCACAGGATGTACGCTTGTGGGGCCATGGTGGTTCATCGGAGGGCCGTTTGAGATTTGAAATTTCAGTATCCGCGTCGAGTCAGAGAAGCTTGAAAGTTATCCGCGGTTAGCGCTGGTTTTGAATAGAGAACACATGCTGATACGTTACGAGAGGCTTTCCTTTCATAGAAATATATTCACCTGTAGCTTATCTATATACTCCAGCGCCAATTGACATTGGGGGTTATTCAGCATCGACGATAATTAAAGGGACCGGGATTTGTCAAGGACGAACAGTGAACGCAACGTATTCTCAGAATATGTGCCGAAAGGAGGAAATATACGACGATATGGTGACAAGCGTCGCACAACTATTCGGAATTTGTTAGAACATTCAAGATGATAGAGGATGAATAGCCTTCTAACCGAGGATAATGTAAGAAGAACAGAAAGACATCTCTTCCGTGCATAAATTAGGATGTGAATTAGAATGCACCGACGTAGACCCGACCAGAATTTGTCTGCGCCAAAAAATTCCAATACAGAGCGTGGAACCAGCGCATGGAACGAAAAGACGTGCAAAGAGCAATCACATACTGGTTACGAGTGATTGTCTGGTGAACGCTTCATCGGACCAGAGTCTCTTACGTCGAAGGTATAGACGAGGAAAGTCTCTGGGGGGTGTTAATTCTACGCGGAGGCCCAAGGCACCGACGGAGCGTCATCAACTACAACCAGCATCGAGTACAGAGCTACGTGGGTCGAAGGGCAGATAACACCATCATATAGGCGCCATCTGTACGTGTGACAACTCCGATGACGTGACGGGGAAGCATTGTACAGGATGATGGATAGAGAGCAGAATGACAGGGGAAGGAAGCAGACACGTCTCAGAAATAAGATTTCGTGAGGCTGAAAGGTCGACTAGGGAAAGAGGATTGGTACATGTCGAGCAACATTGGCGCGAAGGAGGTCGTTACAGGATGTGCAGAGTCGGTAGGGCCGGTAGTCGAGGCAATGGCGCATACGGAGCACAGCGGATGGCGACAGACGGCTATGATGGTGGAGGGGAAGAAAGAAACGTTTTGAACGCCGTTGAGAAGCGCGAGCCTCTTATACCCGTCGGTTGGTTCATGCGCGTGATAACAACACTGTCATGATGTCGTCATAGTTGGCGGGCACATCGTCCGCCTCGTAGATCGTCGCTTTCGGCTTCCTCGGACTCGCCAATGCCCTTTCCTTTGCTCCTAGCCTAGAGTACAGTGGTTCGAGCTGGTGCGCATAGTTATAGCACCAGATTTTTCAAGTATTAAATGCTTTCCTATGGGAGAGCAATAGAATAACCAAAGAAAGACGCCGGGCACGCGCCATAGAATGCGCGGTGTGGGAGAGCCTCGGGAGTCGGCCGGTTCGCCACCGGGTTCTTCTCGAACTGCACGTGACATTTTCTGGTTTTTTTTTCTTTTCTTTTCAAATGCCTGGCATGAATCCTACCGCCAGCTAGTTCGCTGCAGCCAACAGGCTATTCTGCAAGTGTGATTTGTGGTCATCCTTGAATTATTACCGGTTTTATCCTCCTTCTCGTGTAGGGCATAGCACGGCACATCATGCGATACCTTGTTCTATAAGAAACAGATGCCAGGATCAAGATCGTATCGGTATCGTGTTCACCATCATGGCTACTTCTGACGACCAATACAAGCGTGTCATCCTCGTCACAGGCTCGAATTCTGGCATTGGATACGATCTGGTTAGGCTTCTGGCGGAGAAGGGCCACACGGTTTACTTGTCATCAAGGAACGAAGCTGCTGGGCAGAAAGCTCAGTGAGCGGCTTCTTGTTTTTGAGTGGTGATCTTGTACTGACTACACCTTTAGGACTAAACTCAAGGAAGAACATGGTCTCGATGCCAAATACGTTCAGCTGGACATCACCGATATCTTTTCAGTTCGCGCGGCGAAGGAAACTATTGAGAAAGCCGAAGGCAGGCTTGATACTCTCGTGAATAATGCAGGTCTGTCCCATTGTGTGGTATACGTTTCATTTAGGGCTCATGATTCTCTAAGGAATGAGTTACATGTCGGAACCACAGCAAGCCAGTACCGTCTCCCTCGACGTCATACGAAAAGCCTTCGAGCCCAACTTCTACGGGCTCATCCAAACGACACAAGCCTTCCTTCCCCTACTCCGTGCTTCACCCAAAGGCCATGCATGCATCCTGAACGTGTCAACACTCATGGCTTCGAACGCTACCCAGGCGGCCCCAGGTTCTGGTATGCACGTCGTCGCGTACAATACCAGCAAAGCCGCGATGAACTCTTACTCGATCGCGTTGGCGAAGGAGCTCGAGGGTGAGGGCATCAAGGTCAACATGATCAGCCCCGGGTTCATATCGACCAAGCTGAACGGATATGCGCCTGGTGGGAAGACGACGGCAGAGGGCGCTTCGGTGCTTCTTCCATGGGCGTTGTTGGGACCAGAGGATGATGGAAAGACGTGTAAGTGTTTTCACTGATCGGGTTTTCCAGATGGTTCACTGATGTTGATATTTTACAGGCCAGTTTTGGCGAGGCGACGAACAGCTCCCTTGGTAGAAAGTTGTACAGATGGCACGAATCAATGAAATGATTATCATAATGTGATGACTCGTGCGCAAGTGAACCTATGGTTGGGTTTCCTCCTCACGCGGAGCCTGACTGAGCAGTAGCATGCGTTAGGGTACGGTTTTTATCTCATTGTTACCAGCTGAAGCTCGGTGTCGTTCGTCCTCCGAGAGAACCATATGGCAAGTTCTTACACATTACAACCGATTTCATATGTTAACGCATTATACACGGTAGATGTGACACATTTTGTTGTGCTCTATGTTGCTGAAGCGACCTCGATCTATTCTAGCATCGTCCCCACGATTCGGAACAATCGCTTTACTGGGAATGGCGCGTACCTTTAATTCCGTCGAACAGCCTTAGTCGGTGACGGTGAACCGAGTAAGGTTTCGATGGACGCTGTACGATTGATAGGCGCCTAGAGAACAGCACCGCGTCAAGAAACATGCTGTAGACGCGAAGAACTTTTAAAACAACCACCATGTGAAGCGCTTACAGCGTCAGGCAGAAAACGGTTAAATTGTCTTTTTGAAAATGGATATTGGCTCATTGTTTCGTAGCATCAGATCATAGAATTCGACTGTTGATTCTTGAACTGACGGTCTCTACCTCCAGGGAGTAAAGCTCCGTGACTTCAGCCGCGGCTCCCCGATGGCTTCGGATACACATGAGAATTATCGCTTAAAAGAAACCTCACAATACACTCATGTTCGAGACGCCACAAACACGCAACCTGGATTAATACCGAACTGAGTTGTCTGTCTTGCTTAGAGTCTATACATGACAAAAGACAATCTTGAAACGTCAGTCATGTTTAAGTTCGAGCTGTATCAGTGCAACAAAACACATCGTGCTGATGTCCAACAAACCGCTTACTTAGGTCACACATAGAAAGGCGGGTATCAATTCTGCTTTACAGCAAAGGTACGTCGCATAGTTTCGATCATACCGCTCATGTGTTCTCTGGTCTTGGGATCTCCGTTACGGAACTATCACTTTGACCATTTCTTGCAGATCATGATGGATCGTGCAAAGATGGACAAACTCATTGCGGATATATACTGTCGACAATCGAGCAAACCAACTGTTATAAAGTATTGTAGCAGCGACACGATCCACAGTATGGACTGAAATCTCTGGTTTCACCAAAGATTGGGTCAAGAAACGTTGGGATGCAGGCAGAACGTATTCATACTGCGATCTGATGATGATAGTTGTAATCGACACAGCGTGCTTTATTATTGAGCACGACCGCAGGAGGCGTTCTTTTTACCCTGGATGCAGGCTTCATCTTTCAAGGGACCATCGGTCATCTCGGTCCTCGTGCAGCACTGGTCATAACATAAGATCTCTTGAAAGTAGTATTTTTCGTACGGCGATGTTCTTTGAATAAGGAAAACTCCCCCACGCGACGAGTAATAAGATAATCCATTCGAATTATTTATAAAAGTTAAAAAAATATCTTTAATGAATGCCCTACAAATATCTTGTTGATTACGCTACATTATCGGTCATCAAGACGCGACATAGTAACTCTGTATGATACGTATAATAGTAGTCCAATATATGAATTGCACAGTAAATGCAGGTTACTAGGAAAAACTGACCGCTATCACCCCACAACCAGCAGGCTTGTTCATCGCGGTGCCAATCCCTAGACACTGAACTCCCCAAATGTCCTTCCTATTGAATGGTGACCCGTATTTAATCCGAGTGTCAAACCCCACAACTGCACTGTTCCGATACACCCGGACGAAATGCACGGCGGAGGTGACCGGAAATAAATAGATTAACGTGGCAAGGGCGATATCGACGGCGCCAGCACTAATCTGATAAGTGCTTCTTAATACTCAGGCAACGCAATGACTGCATTCGCCTTTCTGGCACCGTCTCTGGGAGCGATATTGCATCGGAACGGTTTAATTCGGCTACCAAAAAATGAGCCCCGGAAATAAACAAAAAGACCGAATAATTAAGCATACCTGACAGGTCCAGGAATGGCCTCGAAGGTCGGCAGGATTGGCTTACCGCCCTCAGTTACGGGAGTAATGTTGAACAGGGACAATACCGTTGCTATTGTGATGAAGAGCGAGGCGTCGGCTAGCCGGAGACCTGTCAAAGTGGTTGCTTTTAGATACCGCTAAAGAGAAATAAGCGAGAGCTCGTACCAGGACAAATTCTGTGAGATTCATGAACAAAATGTCAATTGAATAGAAAACAGACGCACATACCGTCTCCCAAATCCAAATATGACGTCACCAGGATTCCTCTCTGGTTTCGGTCCCAAAAACCGGGAAGGATTGAACTCATGCGGACGCTGGTGTGTCTTAGGATCGTGGGTTATGTTCCTAGAAGACACGTCATTGTACGATCGTGCCAGCTGATGTGACGGAAAAGGACCAACCATATGTTGACGATAATCATAGCACGCTCCGGAATATAGTAGCCATCTTGAACATCGGCTTGCATAGTGCAGTGGGGGAGACCTTATGAACAACGTAATGTAAATGGATAGACACACTAAGATAACCCTGTGGAACTTACTCTGGGGAACGGGAGGGTGTGTCCGAAGGATCTCTTTGCGTATGGCATCAATGTAAGGGAGCTGCGCTCTGTCCTCGAAAGATGGCAACCGGTCGCGTCCGATGACGCTGTCCAATTCAGCCTGTGCTTGTTTCTGAATATCGGGATGTAACGACATCATTAAGAAGAAGACGTGTAACGCTATGCTGGTCTAACGAGATGATCAGCAACGCCTAGGATGGATAATGGAATAGAGATTTACAGTCTCTCCTCCGGCTATCACGAACGATTGAAGTTAGCGCAAGGTTCGAGCAAAAAAACGCAGAAGTTATGCGCACCTCCGATCATTGCACCTGACGCGTGTTTCAAGTAATCTTCCTCCTCGAGTGAGATTCCCTTTTGTAGCCATTTGGATACAAACGACTCCCCGCACCTGCCTGCAGCCTAGCAACAATTAACAACGTTGAAAGAGGGGGGATGATTAGAATAGCTACCATCTGCTGCTTGACAAGGTTGAAGGGCGCGTCAACCATGACGTTGTAATGTTTCTTCCACTCGGCCGCCAGTTTCTTGAAACCGGCTCCTGGGAACCATGACGGCACGTACGAGACTGAGGTCTTTAAATCAGCGATGTGGAAGAGAAGGGCGTTACGAGAAACGTACGCATTGGAATCGCATTAACCAAAAACTCCGAGGGTTCGCATCCTTTGCCCATCTCTTCCATGGAACGAGTAGCGTTCTGGATGAAGTCGTCATTGAAAGAAACAGCTTCATGACCATATGCAATCTTAAGAATAATGGCGTCTGCGTGGCTATCGAAGAAAACGCAGATGTTGTTAGACCACGTCAAGAACAACAGTGTCACGGAGCTTACAGCGTGATATGTTCGCTGAAGTGGGTAGGCGCTTCCAGAAGGCGTCTCGCGAAGCGCCGCGCATCCTTTCTTCGTGGGGGAAGAAGGCCCTTATGGCATGATTGCTTCCCAGCTCCTGATAGACCATCTTCCTTGAACTTCGAAGCCTTCGCCCGTAAGGCATTATTCCCATCGAGAGCTTGCAGCCCATCAATTCTCCAGCCATGGGAATACGCGGTCGGTCAGAGTAGATGCTCCCCTTCTTGTCGAGCATTTCTACCGCTTTCTCGTACGTGTTTATTATGATGATGGTCATTCCGAAAACTGTTGCAGATACGATGTCGCTGCCTATCATGATGGAAATTAAAACATGGTCCGCAAGGATATAATATTGAACTCACCGTAGACCTCCCCCCACTTTGCATAAATTTCCCCCGCGTCAGTTTCAGACGGCATGTCTGAGAGAAAGGTCAGCGAGTATCTCTCGAAAGAATCGGCGGCATACCAAGCATATTTCCGATGAGGAAATGCCCTTTAGGTCCTGGAGGTAAAGCTAAACGCGGACGCCTGCGTGCAAAAAGAATTATTGAAAAAGAAAGAGCGGCAGCAAGTAGAGCATAGTCCAGCGATGTCCCCGACCACATGGTGTTACTTGCAAGAAAACAGACTCAGAAACACGCAGAGGGTACGATTAAGTAGTCGGGGGTGTATGCGGAAGAACTGCGAATTTGTGCCGACGACTTTCATATCTTGAATCCCGGGATCAGAACAACATGTGAAGGTTTCGGAAGCAGATGACAAACTTTAATAAGGCCGATTGCCTGACAATGACAGACAGCAACACATATTCAGAACGAGGAAAAGACTGCGATGAACAACTAATCGCAACCATGGATCTGTACCCATTTGTGAGCTTGGATCTGTGAACACTGACCCATTCAACGTGCGGTGTCTTTGCCCGCGGAGGTTGAGTGGCGTATTGACAGGTCAGGGAAGGATTCTGGAGGAAAAAAGTCGTTCAGTATCCCACGAATACCTCAAGCAAGCGAAACATCGGTACCAATAGACAAGGATTTCAGCTGCTTGGGTGGAAGAAACAACAATGGGCCGATGTGCGGCGTCGTCAGACGTCTTTACACGTTTGGGACCCGGCATGTGCCATTTCGACCGTGGGTCGCTATGGTTCTCCAGCGCGGTGTGGTAGATTTGGACTACCTAGATTCACTGCCAGGAAGTCTATTTCAAGACTTTCCCCCGTTGACTGAGCTTGTCCTTCCGCCTGGTTGAAGCTTCTCCAAACGTGACCGGTATACAGAATGGGCTGCACGCACAAAGTGCTCAATAAATGCGTTCAATGATCAATCAAACAAGTAATTGAAGCACTTCCTGGAAAAGAATTAGGGCGCCATTGGCAAATGAGAAAACGGTTTACTACCAAACGTGAATGGGATCCACACTCTCCCGAGTCCGGTTCGACATCCTCGTTACCGTCACCATCCTCGCCTGGAGATAATTAAATTCTAGACCTCAGATCATCCACCTACGCCGATCACTGTTGACTTAAGTGTCCGCATAGACCGGCAATGATGCGGATCCATGCTGTGCCATTATGCTCCCCGACATGAGGAGTGGCCAAACGTCGACACAACAATCAGCTTAAAAACTGTAGCTACCCGTCGGCACCTATTGGACGCAAAATGACTGCATTGTGACGTCGTAAAGCTATCTCGGATGGGTTGTCGAACGCCAAACTGTAGCCGGAATTGATCGTTTACTTCCTAAACAAGGACATCTGAGGACGCGACAAGAACAGATGATAAATAGTAAATAGATAGACTGACATCGAAGGTTGCTGCTGCGCTTTATCGTTGTTTGCCGATGACTGTGCACATTTGCATTCTGCCAGTAGATTTTGGGGCGGGGAGATCAATGCATATGGCTCAATTCCGTAAATGCACTATAAATCATCCGAAGGTCGTTAGTCTGGCGCTTGACAACGTCCTTCCCGTCGCACAGGTAACGTCGGCATCGGGCCCACCAACTTGGCGGGAAAATAATACCAATAAACAACACCTAACCTACTGTGGAGTTTGGATGTGACTCTTCTTCGAACAAAGTAGACTGACTCACTGCGACAGAACAGACACAGATGCCAACCTACCGATTGCTGACTAACCCTAGATATGTTTAACCTTTGTGACTGTGCTGGGACGTCCATGTCGTGATATCAACGTTGAGACCTCGCCAAAGAAACAGGTGTCGTGTGAGATTGCATCGTAGGGGCGGCCAAAACTGTCAGCGTAGGATTCACGTGGAGATGCATAACAAACCCTCAATAAGGTTTAAAAGCTTGTGGCGAGACACCTCCAGAATCCGGGAATAAGGAAAGACATTTCCCTCTTTCGAGGAAAGGAAAAGAAGAGTATTATTTCTCAATTCTTCGGGGTGAAAATTTTCTGACATAAAGTTGATTAGCTGGAAGGAAGCGCCTCGAACGATAGGGTTCCGTTTCCTTGAACTTAAAGGGCGAGGTGAGATAAGAAGGATGTCATCAAAGACTAACGTGAGTGCGCACCGAAGGCTGGGCCGCTTCTACGGCATGCGTTGTGCGGTGAAGAAAAGGTAATCATTGGCATGTAGAACCTACATGGAAATAAGTGAGAATTGGTCGACTATGCATCATAGAAGAGCGAAGCTTACTCATTTGGGTCTCTTCCTTGAATCTCTACTCTTTTGGTATACCATATCAAACAAACTAGCTAATTTGAGATTGACTGAGAACAAGAGCATTTCAGTTTAAGCCTAAGGAAAGAGCCAGTGAGTAGCGGAGATATAAGAATAGATGTAGATGTCGCACCTTGTTCATCAATCAAGCGCAGGTGGTGGTAGTATACCAACAGAGGTTCTATCTGTAACTCCCGCGATTCCTTAGAAGCAGTAACGGGGTAAAAAAACGCCTCGACTAGGACAAAAAAGGCGCACACATGGGAACTGGGCGCGTATAAAGTGATTCTATGCGTGTACAACCTAGTCTGGAGCCCTCGAATAGGTCGGACTGGAGCATTGTGTTGCATCTTTGAGGTAGAAAGCGGGTTGAAATGTCGTCCGGGGCAACGACTGCTTCCGAAGATCCTCGGAACAGGCACCATCTGTGCGTCGATGAGAGAAACTAGTAAGAGATCGGAATACGGCGCTTACCGGAAATGCAGCTTTCTCCAAGGCTTCACGTATTTCAACATTTTCCGAATCAAAAGCAAACCTCTGAGTGGCGAGGTAGAAACAAAGGGATTGCAAGAAAGCAAACGGAAATTCGGTGCTCGCTGAGGGTGCATATATACTCGATGCTGAACGGTATGTGAAGGTTGTCATACGATCAAAGGCATTGGATGATATCTGTCGCATGCATTGCCGAAGTTTTTGGCAGCGCCTTGACATTGAATTTTTGAGGTTTTATTACAACAATGACCACCTTTCCAAGGAACCGTATCTGGATCTGCCTTCCATAACGTCCATGATCTTTTGACAACTTTCATGCGGTCCATTTTGTAGTAAATATCTGGGCAATGCATTTCGTATAAGTCTTAAAGGTGAGCTGAGAATCGAATTGCAATGCACCCTTTTTCATGATACCCAGACGTCCTTCATCTTTCTCTTGAGTCCTCCTCGCTGTCAGCCCACTGCGGGTACTGGTTGGCTTAAGAGTCGAAGGTACCTCATCACCGTTATATGAAACACTCAGATTTTTACAGTGAAGGAGCTATCGAACAGGCATACGCAATAGAGACGCGTAGCTTCTCGTCGTGGACGTCGATGGACAAGAGGCAAATAAGCCACGTGATAGGGCGAGGATGATGTAATCCCTCAATTCCTAACCCTATTCTCGGGTTTCCGCGAACCGTCAATCTTGACTGCCTCCACTGCCGTAAGCCTATGAATTGTCTTCATAGATGGGATTTATCGTGACTCTCGGGTAAGGGCTCTGATAAATTAATTTCTGGCGCTATGTGTGTTATAAGAGAGCCTGCTAGCTACTGAGCCAGAACAGCAGTAACCTTGTCGTCATTCTCTGCCAATTATCTGCAGTCCTCCTAAAAGCCGCTTTAGTTAGGAGAATTCTTCATCCCTGTTTTTATTTGCATCGGCGTTCTATCTATCGATTCAATCACGGCGCTAGCCCCCAAGGGACCTCAAGGCCTCATGTCTAGGCCGAATCGGCACTGAGCGTGCTTGAGCTAAAACTTCGAGCGACTTATATAAGGTCGTGTATCCACGTTCCCACCTCACAAACGCTTGTCAAGTCACTCCCAACACAGATGTCAGATTCAACGCTCAGTCTGTTGAAAATCAAAGTGAGTCGTCACTCTGAGTAATCGAAGGGTCTGAGTCTAACCTGATGTTATAAAGGCCACGGAGGCATTCAAACAAGGCGACTTTGCCGTCGCACGATTGCTTTACTCGCATGCAATCGATATCAATCCCAAGGATGATGTTCACCCGTTGAATCGCTCCTTGATGAATCTGCGACTCACAAGGTACGGTTCTATTCTGTACAGACGAGGATATACTCTAACAGATCTTTATCAGATGGCAAGAAGCCGAAAAGGACGCAACAAGTGCTCTGGCGCTCTGCGAATGTAAGAAGAACGACCACAGACAAAAAGCTTACTATCGGAGGTGTCAGGCAAGGCGAGAGATGGCTGATAAGGCCGGTGCCGAAGATGGTGCGTATTTTGTCAGAGACGCCCCCCGCTCCTTCCTGATTATCAATAGATCTCCAAGCATTTGCGTCTATGTGAGGCGCCAAAGATCTCATACATACCGAGCGACAAAAGATCAATAGCGCTGTCACCACCCCAAAGCTGACCCTCGAACCTGAGTCTCTTTCACCTGAATGCCAGACTGCGCCGTCCGAACGGATGTATTTCGTCAAGGACGCCAGCAGCAGAGGTCTTGGGGCGTTCGCTGCCAGAGACATTCAGCGAGGAGACCTTATTCTAAGTGAAAAACCGCTCCTCCCCTTTCCTCACGGCGCGCCTTCCCCGGCAGAACTCCGACTAGCCGCGGAGAAACTCTCACCGAAGGAACTCTTGGTCTTTTTGTCTTTGAAAAACTCGCAATCCCACCGCGAAGACACCATCTACGGCATATACAACACCAACGCTTTCGCTGACGGTGGGATCGTCGTTGAAGCGTCACGATTCAACCATTCTTGTCGGCCAAACGCACGTTACTCATACCACGAGGCGACAAACCGCCAACGTATTTTCGCCCTCACCGAAATCCCAAAAGGGGAAGAAATATTTGTGACCTATCTCGGCGGCCGGAATGCGTACGGCGCTACGCGTAATCAGCGACAGATGAGGCTACGAGCGAAGTATAACTTTAGTTGCTCGTGTGCAGCATGCAGTCTCGACCGCCAGGAAACTTTGGAGAGTGACAGGCGCAGGTTGGAGATCGCATCCATCTGGGATCGAATGCCGATGTTTGATCCCTTTGCCTCTGGTCCCGCATATCTTCGAGCCGTTATCAGGGCAATCAATCTGATGAAGGAAGAGGGGGTACTGGGCGGATGTGGATGATTTTGCGCAGGAGGCAGCTGCATTTTGCTCATTGCACTCCGATTGGGAGTCAGCGAAGTATTGGCATGGTATCGTTTATGATGCTAGAGTGGCAGAGTTTGGAAAAGATAGCAAGCACGCGATAAAAGCTCGCAAGTACCTCGAGAATCCTCGTTCCATCGATCATGCGCAGGCGGGAATGTGCCGCGGACAATCGTTCGCTGACATTCGTTTGTAAAAATGATGTAATCTTTCGCTAGTCGCAGTATCAGTTGGATCTTCCTTTGTATAATCGTTTAGACCAATTGGGTCAAATCTTTTCACGGGCTAGCCCGTCCAGAAATAAAATAGATCAATAAGGTTCTGTCATTAGGGATGGGAAAGAAAGTCCGAAGTCGATAAAAGGTCTAATCAATTCATAACTGGAAAGAATTCGCGGCTGCGCTTTGAGATCATGTTATTGAGGTACATTATATGCTCTAAGGCTTGAATAAGACGCGTCTTAAAACTTGACGCGACTTCGACGCGCAATCGACGCGAGACGGTCACTGATCACGTGACAGTCGCGACTTTGGATCCATTGAAACCTTCCAGCTACATCTAGCAACCACAGGTCTCTCCAAGTCCATTGATACAACAGCAGCCTTTCATCCCAAAACTTCCGTTAAAAAGTGGATTCTCCATACTACAACATGCGAGGAAGACTGCTGGGCAAGAACGCGCTTCAGACACGCCACGGGGGATGTTCGAAATTAGAATGCGAGCCCTATACCATGAATAATATAGAACATGTAGTGGCACAAACAACTTTTATTTCGCCTCTTTTCCGCTGAAGATGCGGATGTTCCTTCTCATTAACCGACTTCTTGGCGTGGTAAACGCCGGTTGTGATTTTACCGCCACTCGTTTCAAAGACTCCATTGGCTACGGTTTAACGTTCAGCATCCTGCAAGTTCCAAGGGAGGGTTAGATCATGCAGCTTGGGCAAAGATTGAACAAGTACAAGGCATTACCTTCTGGCTCAGACAGTAAATAATACCGCTTTCACCGTAGTGATGATATTCAAGGATATACGAGGTGAAATCCTTTATTACCGCTTTTTGCAAGAGCTCTTAGAAGTAATGCTATAGTGGATAGATCCTCGGATTCAAGGTGGTTGTCGAAAGAGGGGTTGAACGTTGGCATAGTCATAGTGGGTGCCACTTTCAGCTACGGGAGGAATAGGTAGATATATGGAAGAATAAAACATGTGGGGACCGACATGATGGGTTCGACAATTAAGCTTGGGCATTTCGTGTGATATTCAGGAAGGTGTATGTCTCATTGAAAGCTCACCGTTCAAGTGCTTGTCCCAACTACAAGCGCTGGCCGCTATGATGATTCTGTCTGCACCGAACGAGACAATTTCCAGCACATACCCTTCTCGTAGGAATACAGTTATGCTTAAATGCTCAAACAGATGCAGTTTCTCTTCTTGTTCCCTCGCCTGACCATCCAAGCACAATGCTTCTCGATGCTTATACATTCGCGCCTTTGATCTAATTGCGGCCGGCGCTTGGCCCATATGGTCTCTGGGATTCTTTTTCAAACTATCATCTTTGTCGATTCGATGCAGTGTGGAAAACAAAAATACTGTACAACTTACAATGTAACAAGTCAACTTTTCGCTTTCCATCGTTAAGTAAGCGTCTGCCATTCTGTTCACGTTTGATTCCTGTCACAGTGAGACTTGATGCTCTAGAAGGATCACAATCAACCATATTCTAACGCGTCGTCAGTACTCCCGAACGAATCCTGGTAATCGCTCTTCCCCTTTCTGATCACAGTCTCACACCGTCGTCGAGCATTAGAGTGAAGACAAAGATGGATTATCACAATAAAATGCTTAATGAAAGAAAAATCACAACGCGGAGGAAGCTTACGAAGCAGTGGGTTGGCACTAGCCACCCATTTAGTCCAACTGATGGAACAAGCGAAAACAATTATCTCGGCAGGCAGACTCCGCCAATATCATCTCATGACTGCACACGCAACCCTCGTTCTAGCATGGCTGGCTAACTCTTAAATCGTTCTCCGGCCCGAATATCCAAGACTCTCATTCCCTTGGCAAGGTGACAAGTACAAGTTCACAAGAAACATCGATTTCCGAATAGAAGAAAATACAGCTTAGCATACCATGGAAAGTATCCGATGTGAAATCCTTACTTAGGTGCACGCCAAGTAGCGAGGCGTTTGTTGTACAGGGCCAATACATGATCCTAGACCCATCAATCAGGAAAGAAGGCGAAGCGAAAAGCAATATGACCAACCGCATAGAAAGTGTCTTTCACACTCTTCCTCTCCTTCAGCTTGGCCCAATAGCTCCTCAAGGGGGCGTACTTCTCATCCGTCTGAAGCGTCTCCCACACCTTCTTTCCTTCTCCGACTGCAAATCCCCCTAAATCATTCGAGAACGCCAGCTCGAGTCTCGCAAGGAAAGGTGCAACGGCAACATCCGCAATACTAAACTCATCCCCTACGGCCCACTTTCCTTCACCAGCAAGTTGTCCCTGCAGGGCCTCGATAGCCTTGTACAGAGCCTCGGGCGACTCTCCGCGGAATTGAAACCCGGCATAGGCGGGGGAGAATTTGTTGGAGAAGCTATCGATGAAGAAACGGGCTTTGGCCCGCGTAACGGGGTCCGAAGGGAGGAGGTGCGATGACGGGAAAAGATCCGCAATGAACTCGACGAGAATAAGAGATTCTGCGAGTTTCGTGGATTCAGGCGATGGTGTGTCAGCTGGGACTTTAGGGCCACCGTACGCGATGGCAGGAACCTGAGAATGGCATTAGGAATAGTAGAGATGAGATATGGAGACGTACCTTGCTCGCAGGATTCACTCGGGGTGCGTACCATTCAGGCTTGTTCTGGAGGTCGATTTCGTAGCGGGTATATGGAGTTTGCGCTTCAGCGAGGGCGATCTCGGTCTGTACGAGCTATGAGAAATTGACACAAACTGCGAATATTCACCGAAGCGTACCCTTTGTGCATACGGGCACACCTAGTTTCTCATGAGCCGTCATTAGATGTTGTTTCAACTCGAGTAGCTCACCTTTGCCGTGTAGAGGGTCAGTGGTTCAGCGGTAGTCATTGTGGTAGAATAGATAGCGAGAGAGAATTGTAAGCCAGGATTTATAAGAGGATGAGCGCGCCATCATGATGCAATTTCGCATTTGTCAGAAGAGATTTGTAAGGCTTGTTCCTATCTTTAGCGTTCAATGAAGGGAATATAACCTCGTGGGACTTACAAAGACGTATTCAGGCCGAAAAAAAGGGATGAACGGAGGGAACAGAGTTACCTTGCGACTAGCTGCATGGCTGCGGTTCACCCTAGTTCTCTTCTCTTGCGGCCGTAAGGTATGCGTCATCGTCTACAGTGCTTCCTTTGTTTCGTCATTATGACGCCTTGACCAACCTTTGATGGTGCGGATGGTTTGTGTTCGATGGTACAAGTGCGTCCTGTCCTTCTTTTAAGCGTTGAAGGGAACAAGGCAACACAACGGGTGGCGGTCTCATTGTAACCACTCGGGATGAGCAGAGCAAGACGAAATGCAATTCAGAATACGTAATGATAGCACCGATAGGGAAAACTTCCTACGAGTCAATTATTAGACGGCCAAATACTCGACAAAAAAGCTTGGTCGTACATTGATCCAAAAGCCAACCCAGACCAGATTCCTTCATGCTATCTGCCCAAGTCTCTGCTTCCAGCTTCGTAAACACTCTCGAATCTCTGATAGTCCCCTCCCCTAACCTGGCGCCATCCCAAGTAGCTTTCTCCTTCCCGTACAGATGGACACACCCCGGGAGATTCTCTGCCCACAGAAAGTATCCTCCCTCTTTCCTAACCACTTCAGTATCCAGCTGCAGCAGCCACACTTTGTGGTACTCCGAAAAAAACAGGTCAGCTGTTTTTGGAACCTGGCTGGCGTCGGAAAGATGGATAAACCCGTCCTTGGCATCGAGAGCACTCAGTGGGAGTGAATGCGGTAAGGGTGAAGGTGGAGCATCGGGAATAATCTTGTACACAAGACGAGGGATAGGGATATCAGTCATTTTGGAAACAGAATTTATCGACGTCAAAGTAGGAGAGAAGACGGGTCGGGCCGTAAATACGGCACGTGACGCGCTGTCGTTGCGGTCACGCCAGTGAGTGCTCTTGGCCATCACCTACCCCGATGTCGACGGTCTCTCCGTACCAAAATCTTGTTATACGATTATAATCGTCCAATTTTCGAGAAACCTGTATGTTCTACTCGGGTGCCTAGGATATTCCTCCCCAATTTGTTCTCAATAGCGCTCTGACGACCCAGGGAAGCCGGAAAAAGGCATCGCATTCGACCATTTATATTGTAAACCTGCCGCAGATGTTCGGCCGAAAGAATAGGTATATTTTGACACGTAGTGGTGCCACTTTCAAATTTCCAGCTGAATTCTCCGTCGTATAGATGATCTGTCAAGAAATGCTGTGCGCGCTTGGTATCTGATAAGATAGAATCGAATTTCTCGTATCAGATAACGCTATCTTTTCTTTACGATAATGACCGTTATCGTTCTTGGTGCCGCACATGGTGGTGAGTGATCTTCATTTCTTTCTGTGATCTTCGAAGCTCTGATACAATCCTATCTTAATAGGATCAAGGGCTGCTCAGATATTGGCTGCCGGGATGCCAAAGGGCTGTAGGATTCAACTAATTGATAGAAACAGGTTCGTCTTTCTCCTCATTAAATCATCCTGGTGGCTCATCTATGATGCATTTAGACATGCCAACCGTCCGATTTTCTCTTGACAGCATTCCCGTTGCACTGACACGCGTAATAGATATTTACGTCCTCCCCTTTGTTGGCATTGACTAATTTAGACCAGAGTTCGCGACAGACATTGCTGCGGTATATCCGAAGAAGAATATCACTCTGCTTCATTCGAGGAACAGGCTGCTTCCTCGGTTTGATGAGGGGACGCATCTTGAGAATACGTCACATTAATCACTGATGACCATTTCCAAGTTCGACTCACCGGGCCATAGTTCTCCAGTCCACGGAATCTCTGGGTATTGAGGTAATCCTCGGCGTGCGTCTAGACATGCCCTTCGCCGATAAATGCAACGAGCGAGAGCAGCGCATGGTGAAGACCCTGTCGGGGAGAGAAATTGTCGCCGATCTAATAGTAATTCTCCGCCTAGATCTTCAATATATTTCTCACTCCTTTACAGTTACTTTGCACTGGCCAAAAGCCGAATACCGTCTTGCTCAAAGACATGAACCCTCACACTATCGACGTCAAAACAGGATTGGCGCAGGTTTTGAGGACACTCCAGCTCTCTGGCTTGAATTCTGGAATAGCGACATTGCCGGCAGCCATTGAATAGATCTCGCTAGACGGAAGGTCCGACCCCGGACAAGACCAAGGGCAGGAGACTACTCAATATCCGCACATATTTGTTATAGGATATGCTACAGACGCTTTCGGTGCCATCAAACCTGGACATAACGCCTATTTCCAGGCTTGTCTATACCTCATCCCGCCATTACGTTGATGTGACTGATGTATTTCTAGGGCGAGGTAGCAGCGCGGAATGTTCTTAGACTTATCAATGGCAGCGAGAAGCCGCTAGAGCTATATACGCTTGGTTCGCCGACTATCAAAGTCTCGTTGGGAGTTGTAAGTCAATCGGAAAGCTTCATGTGAGTTTTGGTCTTGACGTTTCTCTAGACCAAGGGTGTGTACCAGATAGACGGTATCATTGGTGTGAATAATGATGGCGTTGAGGACTTGCAGGCTTCTGCTGTATGGGCGTATTATGGTATTCGAGTGGAAGACGAGAAGGAGATGTATGATTAGGGGTGTCTACTATTTCATATCTTGCCTATGCCACCTTGCAGTATTTTTACACCGTTCATTCGCTAATATCTATGTACTAGTCAAAATCCCTACGTCTACCACCGGCTCTCTTGATTTCTAAAGCTGGCCTTGAATTTACCAACACCATGATTGAACACGTGATGAGGACGTTCCTCTTCAACCGACAACGACGTGCTAGCCGCCGGCGCCGCCAAAGGTCCAGGGTCCTCCCGCTTAGCGTTCACAGGAATTTTGCGAGCGTAACCGTTTGCAGTTTAAGGCAGTGAATGACTTTGTCTCCATTTCTTTTCGTTCTTCTGATTACACTTATCATCCACAGGTTTTTCCGATCAGAGGGTCACCAAAAGCAAAAGAGCCCCAGATTTACCGTGTCACTCAGACAATTTGTGTCTATTATTGTGGATATTATCTTGGTGAGACTCAGCCTAGTTCGTGTCAATTGCTTTAGGTATAATTCACGCCATCTTCGTAATTACGCGTTTATCTACTGCAAGCGAGCTCTATCAAGAACTAAAGAGACTCTATCATTTAAGTCCTTCACGTTCTCTCCTATAACGGAATATGAAATCCCTAAACCTGACAAGACCCGCTCGAAAATGCCAAAGCATTCTTTACCGTTATCTAAATGCCTCGTACCATCATCCACCAACCACTCTTCCACCGGAGCTAGGAGAAAAAAGATGGAGGACAATTTCATATATTCTGCGAGGGTCTCTTGGAAGTTATCCTTCTTCGACAGGCTCTCCGATCGCTCCTTCCCATCAAGGTCTGACGCTCCAGTCAACACGGCGTAGACAATCGGATCCACCGCCGACCGATCAAATACCTGCACAGGATAAGATCCTCGAGTCTCTCTCTCGCGATCTATCTGCGCGTCCATGATGGCCTCTTGCATCTCTAGCAGACCTATGTGCGCCTTCGTGAACCCTCGTTCCTTGATGACAGTGCGTGCCACCTCCGTGATGTATGCGGGGCCGTGCAGATCTAACTTCTTTGCAAGGGCGGTGCACAATGTCGACTTTCCTGTCGACTGATACCGAACTCCCGGATCAGTACATGTCAATTTGTTCAGTAGACATCAAGAGGCACTGACCGATGGACCAACAGCGTAAATGCGAGTGCAGCTATCCTGATTGAAGTCTTTCGTTGTCATGGCTGATCGACGTCTGGGAATGGAAGGGAATACCTGGTTCCGACAATCGACCCGAACTCTTCTTCTTCCTACGGTCACGATACCAAAGGTCTGTTAAGCGCCCGTTCCTATCAGATCATCTACCATCACCTATATGCCATGCCTCACGTCCTTCGTGCTAATTGTACGAAAGATGACGACTCATGGTCATTTCAAGTTCCGCCAGCTCTCCTTATGTCTCGCCAGAGACAAGGTCGGATCATCGGGAAATTTGTTAGATTTAACGGCGCAGAAATGCTACTTGAGACGGCCGAATTCTCCAGCAATCGCATTCTCCAATCTGATGTCCCCTCAAAGTTTATCCTTGTTGCGTTTGGTGCTTTGAGACTTCCTGATACCAGGCTCAGAGAGTCGGGAGACTTCATTGCGCGATTTTTGAAGGAAGGGCTGTTCTTGAATGGGGTTCAATATCGATTTTATCACCACAGCAATAGCCAGTTGGTACGTTTCTCTTACTTTAAGCTGTTATATACAACTCAGGGTTCATTTAGAGAGGCCGCAGTTGTTTCCTCCGTGAAGCGAAGACTGACAAAGAGCTTGACGATCGCATTTACGAGCTGGGAAGCTTTGGCAAAATTATGAATGTTGCAAAACGTAAGCTCTTGATTCTTCTTTGTTTGATCAACGATGCCCACTGGTTGATAGGCGCAAAGTGAATTGGCTTATTGTACTCAGAGTCACAGCTCGACTTCCAGCTTAACCCGAATCTTATTGCAGATATTCCCGATATCGTGTCTGGGGGTGTCGAATTCTCAGATGGATGCGGCCTTATGTCTCAACGACTAGCAGTTCAAGTCAGTAAAAGTAAGAAAATTATCTTTCGTGGAGTAAGGTATACGCCGTGCGTATTTCAGATAAGGTATTTCTATCACTAACGTACGTCAGCGCCTATACTGATAGTATTTATTCATCTCAAGGTACTTGGGATATAAAGGTGTTTTGACGCTTCACCCCAAGCTGGATGCAGACTTGCGGAGGGAGAAGAAGCAGTTCGATGAGGAGGAAAAGCAACGTGCTGATAAGTGTAAGAAAGAGGGGACTGAGTAGGTATTCACAGTTCATCAGCGTAACTCTGCACTAACTTAAAGTTAGATTTGTACCGCGACACTTTGCGGATATTGCTATCAAACATCCTCTCGCTCAGTTCCGCAAGAGCATGAAAAAGTTCACCACGACCGAAAACCCCACATTCTCCGTTGTCGGGTATTCTAAACCCTACACCTTCGGACGCCTGAATAACGAGATCATCGTGCTTCTTTCTAGTCTTGGCATTCCAAACGAGAACTTTCTGAAGAAGCAAGACGAGTACTTTGATTGGCTCCGTCGTGCATCTTATGACCCTATGGCAGCGGTCGATTTTCTTTCTGTTGTTAAGGATTTCGAAGCTGCCGAAAGGGTCCTTCTCGACGGTTTAGACGATCCTAGAGTTTCTGCGGAAATCCGCCGTTTTCAGCAGAAAGAAATCGCAGATTTCCGAAAAGATGGGAAGAAAGAGCGATCACGGATGATCATCAAGAAATCGCGGAAAATATATGGTGTTTGCGATCCATTCCAGGTACTCAAGGAAGGACAAGTTCATATACGAATCACGACTGGAAGAGGTGGTCCTTCTACACCCATCCACGGAGACGTTTTAGTTGTGCGGAACCCATGTTTACATGCAGGTTTGTCCCAGAATAATCACAGCCACCCTAGTATAGCTCATTTATTTCTAGGTGACTGCCTCAAATTAAGAGCAGCGCACCATGAAAAGCTGTCGCACCTGGTAGATTGCATTGTTTTTGCATCGGTAGCTCGGCGTGGACACCAGTCTGCACCATCCATGAGCAGTGGTGGCGATCTCGATGGTTAGGCCCCCTTTGTTACATCTACTACATGGTTCTCACTCCGTCCTTTCGCATATAGGTGACGAATATTTTGTCTGTTGGGATCCTGATTTAGTTCCTGTGTATAACGTTTGAGTAGCCGTACGATTATCCTCCAAATAAGGAACGAGTCAACAAGACTGTCACGCGCGAAGATTTGGCAAGGCATTTCGCACAGTATAACAAGTGCGTGTGATTTTCTTCATGAGTCGATAGTTTCTAACATTATCATATCGTTATACTTAATAGTGCTGGACTGGCACGGGTAGCCGCCCTACACTCAAAGTGGGCGAAGAGCAGCCCCAAGGGTGCACTATGCTCCGAGTGTCAAGAATTGAACGCACTGCACTCGCAATCAGTAGACGGTGCCTCTATCAAAATACCTGACAGATTGACATCGCCTCCCGAACCTCCTGAAGGTTCGGAGTTTATCATCAAAGCTCTCGCCGATGCTGCTTCCGAGTTTGCTGCCTCGTTCACGGCTGAAATGGCAACCGTCGGCGACTTGACATCCACTGTCGACACGGAGGATGCAGAAGAGCTTATCATACAGCTTCTGCGAAGCAAGCAATCAGCTCTTTCTGAGTACGAACTATATAGCCTCGCCTACCGCTTAGCACTCAGGCATTCCCTCGATCACCGCGTATTTCTCAGCTACATCGATTGCGGCGCTTTAACGACTGATCAAAAATACTCACTTAGTTTTGCCCTGAATCTTTCCCGCGAGGAACACGCGAGTCTTTGGAATTCTTTGCTTCGTTCCGATTTACTGGGACCGACGGAAATGTATCAAAGAAACCTGGCACAGCCATTTTCATTGCAGCGTCTATATTCATCCAAGGTTCAAGGACACGCGACATTTTTTACGTATCTACAAATGGCCCTCCAGGACTTCACTAGAAAAGTGTTACTTCTGAAGGTGAGTCGCTAGTGTGTATCTTAGAACATACACAACTGACTTAAGATGATAACTTAGACCGACGACCGATTTGTACTCGCCGTGTTCATAAGGGGAATGTTTCCATGGGACGAAGACCCGGAAGTCAACGAGAACGTGGTTGTCTGCTCGTTTTTACCCCACACATCAGGGAATTTTTCATCCTATCGACCGTGTACCTCTGGGTATCGGCTGTATTGCAGTTCTACGAACTTACAGCTCTATAACAAGCATAGAGCAGACTCATTTGTGTTTCTAACACGTCCTCCGAAAGCATCAGGAGCCGAAGTGGCTATGAGTGTCGCCCTGCAGAAAATATCCAACAAAGTTCGGCAGGTATGGCTTCAATTGTATGAAATGAAGTTTTGTGCGCTCATTGTAATATAGAATGTCGGTAGAGTCCATCGAGAACCAATCACTGGAATCGAGCTGCACGTCGTTTCAAATCGGGACCGTATTTCTCATCAGTTGTTCGATTTGTGGTTTGAACAGTACGCAAATCCATGGTTAATCATGTATGCTCCTAGCTGATGGAAGTACAGTGTTCCTACGGAAACTCGCGTGCGACGCTTCGATCGTGAAATTCGTTCGTACACTCTCAATGATCTTTCAGCAATTGACTGGAGTTCCACCGAGGAACCGCAACCGCGGCACATCAGAGATCTATTCCAGAAAAAGCTAATGGTCAATGAGTTCACGAGTCGGCTGTCGGATACGACACCGGAGCAGTGGAGAGACATCGTCCAGTTTGCTTTAATGTACCATGCGGAGGAAGAAGTGTTCTGGATCTTTGCCTTTGTCATTTCCCAGCCGCTACCCCTTCGACGCGAAAGCGTGATGGGTTTGATGGAGTCGCATCCACCATTGGTTTTCAGCTTACTGAAGAAATACCCACCCGACGAGACCGAAAACGTATTACTGCCAGAAACAAAGGCTTTCGAACGGTCTATCCTTCACAACCTTATCCGATCCGCCAATGGCCTAAGCTTGGCTACCCTAGTTGCTTTGGAGAAGCTCTCGGGAACCATCGCGCATTTATCCGCCGACGTGTACTTTGATCTCTTGATGCAAACAGCGCTATCCGTTCGTGCACCTCAAGTCGTCCAAGAGGTCCTATTTGTTCTCAATGATAGCCGTGCGACTCTGCCGGACATCCCACCGGAGCAAAAATATGGGAACAAATTCGCACTTGGTATCGCTTTCGACAGAGCCGAAGAAGCTGCCGACGAATGCCCTTGCAACGAAGATGGACGACCGAGAAAGCAGCGGACAGCTCCCGTCAAAACAACGATGCAGCCGGTCCCTGAAAATCCGCTTCAGGTCAAAGTACCCATCCGGGTTGATTCCCGAACACCTATACGCCTTCATTCCCATGTGAGACTTCAGGCTGTTTCGGAGGCTGAGAAGACAGCCACGGTCGAGGTGCCAGTGCTCGATGGTGTAGTCGTGCAATCTATGAAGGGTGAAATGACGATCGAGTTGCAACACCCTCCCCCACCGGAAATGGAGAGGATGGACTGGAATATGTATAATGCAGGCAGTATAGGTATGCCTGACGCGTATCTGCACACGATTTGGCTCTGATGGATTGGTATACAGCGACTTCGAAGGCGATGATGGACGCCCTCATACGATTACTGATGGAGAAGGATGAGTGCTGCCGGTATCACCATCTCATTACAGGCGAAGCATCCAGCGAAGCATTCCCTGCGGTTATCCCTGGCCCCGTTGCAGAATTCACATATGGACAGGATCTGAACGAGAGCCAGATTGAGGCAATCAAGTCATGCGAGGCGCCTTTATCTCTAATCTGGGGACCTCCAGGTGAATATCGCAAGCTGCATTAGAACTTGAGATGACTTACTCGCTCCTTCATAGGTACCGGTAAAACCACCGTAGTAGTGCAGATACTCCTCAAACTCCTACAAAGTTCCCAAGAGAAGCCGAAGATCTTGATGACGGCATCGACTCATAATGGTGAATATCCCTCCAGTAACGCCGAGCACATATACAGCTGACACATGTTCCGAAGCTGTGGATAACGTCTTAGAGAGATTCGTCAAGGAAAACAATGAGGGTCATTACCTCCGAGACGAACAGATCCTCCGCGTCGCCACGGATGTATCCAAAGTTAACAAGGATCTACAAGGTTTCACGATCGATGCACGCGTCGGTGGCGACATGAATGAGAATAACAGGCTGTTCAAACAGGCGCAGAAGCGGCTTGAAGATGCAACTCTAGTATTCACGACATGCGCAGGTAAGCGACCCGGGTTTGATGATATCACAATGCTGAAGCCTAGGTCGTTAGGTGCCGGCCTTGGCATCCTACGTAAATCTGATTTTGATATCGCCCTCATCGATGAAGCATCTCAGATAACAGAGCCCTGCGCCCTCATCCCGCTCGTCAAAGGAACCCAGCGCGCGATTCTAGTCGGTGATCAGTAAGATTCGAGACTGTAGAAACGAAGCACTACTGACTTAGCATCCTGCAGTGTCCAGCTACGCCCGACAGTCAAGAAGCTAGGTAAAGCTCTCGAATTCGACGTATCCTTACTTGAGCGTCTATACACCGGCGATGACAGACCTGGGATATCTAAAACGATGCTTGATGTAAGTTCCATAGAGCAGTGAGGACGCCAGTGGCTTACAGAATGATGTTAGATCCAGTACCGATTCCCTCAAGAACTCGCCGAATTCCCTTCTAGAGAGTTCTATGAAGGTCGACTCCGATCAGGAATCACTGACAGCTTGGCGGTTCTCTCGGTTCTCACCGAGACACGCTTTCCGTGGCCTGTGCGCCCACCTCTAAACATCCCCATACCGACCGTCTTCATCCAATGCTCAACGGAAGAAGATATGGGCGGACTTTCCAAGAGCAACGTTGGCCAGGTGGAAGTCGTCCACGCCGCGATATCGCATCTGACTCCATCTGAAATATCCATTACCGTATTATCGCCATACAGGAAGCAGATCGACGAGCTCAAACACAGGCTCTCTTCCCACATTACCTGCGCGACCATCGATTCGTTCCAAGGAAGGGAGAGCGATGTCATCATCTTCTCGTCCGTGCGGTCCAATGCTGAGCGTGATATTGGTTTCGTCGACGATGCCAGACGACTGAATGTCATGTGGACGCGCGCACGGAAGGCTTTGATCATCGTGGGTGATAGGCCAACTATGGAAAGTAATGCCTTGTGGAAAAGGGCTCTGTCGGCATGCACGGAAGTGACGCTCGAAATGGAGGAGAAGAATTGAAGAATTATATTGTACAACGTCCGTCTTATGCTCAATATTCATCTTGTAACAATGTCTCTATTGGTCACCTGGATTTGGCATTGAGATCAGTCTCTGCGTTGAAGTTAATGGTATTTACTCACTAATTTTCTTCTATGGTGCGACTTTCCTCCAAGTTTTTCGCCTTCAAAGATTTTTCGACCGCGTTGACCTAGCCCAAACCATTACAGAAGACTAGTCACGGAACAGTGTTCATCGTGCACTTCTCGCAGGACATAGGACGACATGACATTTGGTACAGGTCTAATAGAAACCAAATCCAGGCAACATGCTGCTATACCTGACAAAGGGTAAATAAACCTTTACGTCGATAGCTATGCTTAATCCATATACTCACAAATCATTCCCTATTATTCCTATCGTGAAAGACCTAGTGTCTTTTTCATGTCCACCAAAATTTTGTCGATGTCGGCAATGTGCTTGTCAAGAAGATCTTGAAACTACAAAGGAGTAAACGCAGGCATCACAGGCGATCAAGGAGAACACGTACCACCTCCAGCTCAATCGACCGTTTGTCGTACTTGCCCTTCTTCACGCTTGCCTGGTGGAACTTTCGGCACTGCACGCGCGCATCCTCCGCCTTCTTCCTCGCAGCAGTAACGACAGACGACTTCGCATCCAGTGTCGGTTTAGGTACGGGAATCCTCAAGGTTCGGGTATCCTGCCTTTGTGGAGTGATAGAGGGTATCTTCGCATCGTATATCGCGGCTTCGACGTGTTTCAGGTTCTACTAGGCTCCGCCATTAATTTTCGCACAATAGCAAGAGAATGGGTCTCTTACTTCTTCATCAAAAACTGTCACAACGAGCATACTTCCGTCTCGTACTCCAACCGTTGCCACTTCTTCCAATTTCTGCTCTTTGAACCGTACGTTGGCGAGTAGAGCGGGTGTTACCCGTCCAGCAGCGCGAACAGAGGCGTCAGCGCAGTCCCTTCTCAACCATTCAACCGATGCCTTCATTTTTTCTTCGCATTTTTCATGCTCTGCAATATCCGCTGGTTTGGTGAGCGGCTGCTGGGAACCCGGCTTGAGCGACGACATTGACTGCTTTTTTGGCGTAGCTTCGGCCTTGAACGAGAATTCTGGGAAAGGAGGATCGTACTGGAGAATTCAGCGGCCGTAGGAGAAGGCATCGGGATAGAGAAAGACGGGAACGAAAGAAGACTTGCATTGTTGGGTGGGAGAATCCGAAGCAGATTTTGGGTGAATAGTCACGTGCGTCCACTTTGGAACAATCGGCCCGAGAAGCCGATTGTCTCTCGATCCCTCAGGCCAACCTCAGGCTTTTTCCTGTTGTGAATGTTCTTTTGCGCTATGGAACAAGTTCCCTTTGTGTTTCTTACATACACTGTAGTGCATCCGTACCTTTCTAGATTCTTCTCCCTCTTTTCATTATCCGTCTAGAAAAGTACGTGGTTCTTGGGTTTGTTCTCCAACAGCTAAATTCCAACATCCTTGACCTTCGAGCTCTTTCAGTGGCATTATGCTCTTGGAACGTACATATACAATTTTAAAATACCCTTATCTACACCCCAGGATCTGATCCACATACACTCGACCTCGTCAATTAAAGAGTCGACAGTTGAAATCAAGTTAAAATCGGGCAAAACGCGTTATCTATATACTGTATTCGTATCGTCAGCGATCTGATTGCTATATTTCTCCGCAAACACGTCGGTATTCAAACTATGCCTTTAAAACCAACTCTATATGCGGCTCGACCCTTCGGAATCCCCGTTGCTGCATACTGCGTGATAGAGGCTACTATACGATTTCCTCATTATCGTTGCGGCTATATCGTCCTGATAATCTCACTTGCTACAACTAATTATCGATAAATGTTCTATATCAGCAAATAACCTTACAACCACGCTCATGGGATTGATTAACCACTGGGAAACTTTCCCTTCCACCTGAAGAGATACGATATCCCACTAGTTATGGCACATATTAACCCTTCTTCTACATATGCAGGTGAGTACGTGCTATGCTTTTGCGTTTATAACCTGCTCGACGGATTAACATCTAGGATTCTCACAACCTACATGATCCATATACTTCCCCTCGAACCAACACTGATATTGCTACGACGCCAAACTCAACACAAGAGTATACTTTTCAACCTTATCATTTTCATTCACTCAAGTAGAAAACTGACTAATGACGCGTTATGCAAACTTGAACTCGCCGGGAACTTCATGATTCTTGGCAGTATTTAATAGTACGTACAGGATTCCTACGTTAGTATCATGCCTATTTTCGACCAATGTCCTGCATCCTAAGATAACAATCAAAGATCACCAACCGCACCGTTTGAAACAGCCGTCAAGGGAATAAGTTGAGGCAAGTCGCGAGACTCTGATGGTGCTTTATACATGGCTTCTTTAAGGCGAATGAGGGTTTGTACTGTGGGAGACATTGTTCATGAAGTGACACTACGGGTCGTTAAGGACCAACTCACTTAAAGCTTTATACATGCTCTCTATCTTTTTGGGTGTCGCTTCTTTAAGGCGAATAAGGGTTTGTACTGTAGGAGACATTGTTCATGCAGTGACAGTACGGGTCGTTAAGGGCCAACTCACCTAAGGCAGACCAAGTTAACTCTTCACGAGATTCCTTCGCTGGATCTGTGAAAACGTAGATTCCGACCATGGTAACAGCCTAGAATATTGTACATGATTGACGTGAATAGTTCAAAACGCTGCAGACTTACGGAAATGGATAGAAATACTAGGCATGGCAGCACGCCTGCGAAATCTAACATCCAAAGTCATTTCACGATCTGACGGTGATGCTGAATTGGACTTCAAGACGTACCCAAAACGTCACCTGGGTTAATTTAATCAGCATTGTTGACTGGTTTAACAGATAGGAACGTACCAAATCCATCTGGGGCCCCAGGCATAGTTGAACGCAACTGAACAAAGGCAAACACAGTCGCAACAGGAACGACAACGATCTCATTTCTCTGTCGGAAGCCGAACACTATAGTCATAATCATAACAAGGCATATTGCAAGGGTGATAAGCCCTGGTTCGGAATAGAACGCATGAGATCTATTTCGTAGACAAAAGGAAACCGCACCAACAGAATGTGAGGGTGATCACAATGCAATAAAGTATTATCAAAGTCCCTCTTTGCAGAGTAACTGAGATATCGATAAGTTCGGGAAGAAGATCCTGGGCCAAATCAGAGGCGGTAATGACGTCTGCAGTGATTTTGAGACCTCTTGAATCTGTTTAATTATCGTGTCAAAGAGAAGCTGAAACGTACGTACTCAACGATTCCGGAAGTTGAGTTGAGATGTAATTGCACTGTGCCATTGGTACTTGCGTCTGTGGCAAACGCAAATACCTCAGTATCGTAACTGTTTGGTGACATGAGTATAATTCTATGGCAGAAGTGGGAATGCTATCACTGATCGAAGGGATAATACACGTTGCTCGAATGTGTACGTCTGATTGAATGATTTCTGAAATCATAAAGCGGAAATATGGCAAGCTCTGTCTGGAACGACGGAGTATTTGCAAAGGGATACTCATAGACTGCAGCGGTGAGATTCCAGGTAAATGTAGGATCCGCAGGTTCATTATTATTAGATGACTCGCTGCTGCTCGTATCGGATAGATGAAGAAGATTTCTGAGAGAAAATAAATCGCTCGCACTGAAATTTCACAAAACACAGCACTCACGTATCAAAATAAATATTAACTTCTGCGCAATCCGTAGACTGAGGATCACAGTTATCGTCTACAACGATCCAGTTAAGGACCATCTGTCCGGCCGTCAAATCCGCTGATATCAAATTAGCGTGAAGGGAAATCTTCTCCCGTGAGTCGAAATGTGAGTCAGTATGACAGGGATACTCACTGTTCGATTCGTGTTATCTGGGAAGGTCTGGTCACTATTTGAAAAGTCGTGAGGATGGAGCTCCACCCCCAAGACGATGCAGACGATGGGGATAACAACTACAAAGGCAAGAGAAAAGAAGAAACAACACCGGATTTTCTTCTCAGTGGGAGGGGAGAGGGTGGTCATGTTGGAGTTGGATAGACTGTTCATGGAACGGAAATGAAGCAATAGTGCTTGGAAGGTGAAAAGAGGTTTCCGGTGCTTATATATGGTCTTGAAAAATAACGGATATGACTGATTCGAGCTCTTGAAACGTGGATCACAAGGCGCTACCCACGATGATGCTATCTAAATGCCGCAATGAATTGAAGAATCATGCAATGTGCCTGGTCCGCGCTTAACGTACTTAAAATCAATATAAATCACGCTGATATACGGTGCCATTTACCGTAGAGGGTAAGTTTCACTGAAGGTGTAGCGTTCGTTGTAATTTCAGCGTCCACGATCACTTCAAAGCCGTTTGGACTGCGGCTGCAAAAATAAGCCCATGAAGTAAACAGGTCCATGGCTTCATCTTTTTGATGGTCCTAGTGCCTCTTTCCTGACTACCGATGCAAGGTTGTCATGCTATGTACGGAATGCCGGTTGGACACCGACATAGATGTTCCTCGATGCGCATTAGCCTCCGCATTCTGTCTAATTCTATGCCATGTAGTTCAAATGTAGTTCTGCAAAGATCCTTATGGTCTTAATGGTAGTCAGCCTTACAAGTTACAAGATACTTTTGTCCGTGGAAGGTTAGTAGTTACAGGCACATAAGTTCAAACGATTCTTTGTGATGGCGCAGCTTGAGGAACATTCCGGTCTGTAGAAAGTTGTTACGGATGGCGAAGACGTCTTTGTGACTTCTTTGTTTCTAGAAGAGGCAGTAGGACTCACAGCCTGAAAGATTTCGTTGTGCTAAAAATGTTCGTGGGCACTTCTCTCAAGTATCACTATTCAATACAATCACAGTAAGCAGTCACAAGATTTTCGGCACCAGAAGTAGAGAACACCCATTCACGGTGGGATCTCAGACACATATTGAACAAATTTATGGCATAAATACAATGCATAACAAGTGCGGCTTTCAAACCTACTTCCTTCCTTGTTGGATGAGTATAAAGTTTCGTAGTTGAATCGTTCTAGGAGCGCTGCTACTTGTGATAAAAGTGACTCACTGTTCATCATGAGCAATAACTGTGCTGATATAGTGCTTCGCTACTAGTCTGGCCGGGGTCCGGTTCGGTCCAGGTTCGGGCATATTTGCCTGAACCTCGAACCTGGACCTCAAGGTTCACCTGTCGCCCCCCCGAACCTCGAACCCGAACCTGAGGTGCAGGTCCAAAAGGTTCGGTCCAGGTTCGGTCCAGGTTCGAACCGGGTTCAGCAAAAAATTTACTACGCGCTGCAGACTGCTATTTGTACATCTGATACATGATTATTCTATGTCCTTTCATTCTGTGCACTGATACATCTGTCCCGATAAGCTTCTTCAGATGTTGCATGGTGCCAAACACGTGCTCTGAAGGCACAGAAGATCCTGGAACGGCAAGATAATCCTGGGCCATAGCTGACAAAACCGGGTACTCGTCTTGATGAATCTAAGTACCGAGTCAGTTACACATATGCCACAGAATGATGGTTCAACATACCTCCCACCACCCAATGACATCCTCGCACAAAGCATGGTTGACTGGCTTGCCGTATTCAAGGTTCACGAGGTTCGGACCGGGTCCGAACCGGGTCCAGAATTTTCAAACTGGACCCAGATGGCTGTGCCGGACCTGAATCTGGACCGGACCCGGACCGTGTCCACGTGGTCCTGAACCGTATCGCAGCCAGACTATTCGCTACGGTCCAATGTCGGTTCTATGAACAGCTCCCGGAACTCTATCTATGGGAAAGTGTAGAGACCGTGGAAGCGGCAGGACTGGAACTTACCGGCCCTAGGCACATGGACCCGGCGTGTTTGGGGCCCCAAAAGACTTACACATGTCTCATAGCATTTCAAGCATGGATGGGTACCATTTATTCGAAATGCCTGGTAACGGAGTTCTAATGCAAGTGCAGCAAGCCAAATGCCATTGCATCGCTGGAAAAATTATCTGCAGCCTTTTCTATCAGAGCAATTTCTCTGATACCAGGTTCGGGACACGCACAGCCTGATCCTGATGGATCAAAGATCGGCGTTCAATTCTGATGGATTTAATATCCAGTCTACACCTGGCTTTCCAAAAATAGCCAGCGATCGGGACCATACTGCAGATTCCGAGTCCTATATTCCTGCTACGTTAGTAGTAGGTCTTATAGAGGGATGGTGGTAGCCAAGTTTTGAGTTTAACTTGAAGTCCGATGTCATAAAAATTTCTATTTGTGGAAGAAATTCACGGCCCAATGCTTCAAAATTTCTGTTTAAGTCAGAATTTCAGGGTGGCACAGTCACCGCTTGTCACTGTTTACATGTGACCCTCTGTTACTATCATGCTTTCTGCGGCATTGTTCGGCCGATCTTGCCAAGGATTCTGACTCTGAGAGAAAATATGAGCTGGTGGCAGCAGAATGCCACCACTGAGCGAGTCTTTTTCTCTCAGCAGCAGAAGCCACCACCGCTGAGTGAATCATTTCAAGGGGTAGTACTCTCTCATTCATACTACTATTTTTTGAATGCTAACTATTATTGATTATGACTTTGTTTTTTTTCCACAAGCCAAGATTTGAATAACCCTTGGGCCTTGATTCAATCTCTCCTGCAGGAATTATAGCCAGTAAACCTTGCAGGATCAATCAATTATACATCAGCTTGGTTTATTATAAACTATCATAATTATATAAAAAACGAGGTTTCAAGGGGGGTCAATGTAGCAGGCTTTGCCCCTGATGTGGGCCTTGCAGGCATTATGTATATATAGGTATCAGTTTATTATACCAACCTGGAATGAATTTTTGATCGTCCAACATGGTGTTTGCTGTCCGATTCTCTCTGGGCTGCTCATGGGAATTTTTCATCAACCTTCATCATTTTCCTGTGAATTGTCTTCCTTTTCTGAAGGGTAGCAACTCGGTCCAGCTGGTCTGCCATTTCACACTGTCGCATCTTGACTTCTTCCACCACCATCTAAGCCATCATCGATCCATCGCCTTATACTATGACAACGATGACCCATTATTTCATTTTAATATCCGTCAGTCAATTTTTTATGCTTGGTGCCACCATCGTTGTCTGATCTGACATCCAAAATACTTTAGCACTACTCAAAATCAAGCTATGCTTTGTTTGGCTCATTCCGAATCTGTGAGTGAGGGTAGTGAGGAAAGATAGCTTTGTATGCTTTTTTACATGCATATATGCTGATATGTGATCCTAGTATCACTCAACGACGTCGTTGAAAAATTCGGTCAACAGCGTCACTGGAGTCGAACAACTCCCACAGTAAATTTGAGGCAAGTTCTAGCAAAACCAGCAACAAAATGAAACCAGGATGGGCCGAGGTATGATTTCTCTCTTGCTTTTGGTGAAAAAACTTGTGAATCTCTTCTCTTCTCTTTTTCTTTTTCCATGACCAGTACTCATCTGCAGCAGCACTGCACTAAGCTCAGATGAAAAGGACCCGGATCTCCAGACGATGGCCAAAACCTGTTTGAACCCCACATACTCCATTTGCTCTTGATGATTCACGTCATCTTCTTTCACACATTGTGCTCAGCTGTACACTTCATCATCATGGTTCTTTAGTCATAATGTGAGCCCATGTCTGGGCCTGGGAGGTGGTGTGGATTCTGTGAGCGAGGAGGAACCATTGAGGATAGCAGTAAAGGACTTGGACAGCGAGGGCAAGTGGGTCCATGCCACCTGCAGAGGAGCCATACTCTGCTTGTTGCTAGTGATAGTTGTGTATGATGGTGGGCATGAACGTGTTTGGGCAGGTACATTTTGCTGGGCTGGTCTATGTGTGGTGCTGATGACGACTTTTGTTCTTTCCTTGCTCATGAATCCTGCTATTCCTTTTGCCCTTGCTCTTCTGGGTCACTCTTCCCAAATTGCAGTGCAGACACTCACTGAGTCCAGAGATACCCTTCTTCAAACGCATAACGTTCTTTAGAATTGAGGAAGGTCAGGAAAAAGCTGTCAAGGTGTTGGTGGGGGTGACATTCTCTTGTATGCTGACTGAGAGTGAGAAGGGTACATCTCTGTTGTTCTTATCTCCCTCCTTCTAATGTCATGTGCTGCAGTCTATGCCTCCAGTTCTGAGGAGAAGGGCCAGTGTGGTAATGGCATGACTGGCGATCGCATCATGACAGGAAACAAGATGGCATTCAGTATCATTTACATACTGTTATTTGCTCTGTTCTCATCCAATGAATTAGCTTTCCATAACCATCCTTCTCTCCTGGCGAGATAGGCCTCCTTTACAGGAGCTAAGCCTCATGAGATGCAGTTTCTTTGCTTGCTTCACCTTACATTACATGGATATAGATGCATCTGATGTACATTCCCTCATATCTCACATGACAGTTGAGTTAAATCAATCATGAGTCACTGGTTTTTTCAGCCCAGTGTAAGATCCTTGCCATGCATTTCTTGAATACACACCTCTCTGCTTGTCTTCTACTTCCATACCATCATCACTTGTCTCCTCAACTTGTAGAAAGCGCCAGTGAGTCCAATATTACTCACCAGAGGACTGCACTGATGATCTTTGTCGGCAAGGAAATTATATTGTTATTGTAAGTATGACAGTTCACACTGCAGGGGCATTCTCTTGTGATATTATAACAACAAGTTGTCTGTCTGCATCACAATTAAGGGTATGTGCTGAGAGCGGATTAGTTCCTACCAGGGACCGAAAAGGGATCTCTTTCAAGAGAATGTATTTTATTTCCTGTATGTATATAGCACTAAGGAGCTTTAAATTTTTGGTTGCAATTATCCTCATTGCCACTTTAAATTGCTATGGGAATGTTCCTTCAACTTAGGTATGGTTTGTAGGAGCAGAGTTATATAAAGAAATACCCATACATAGTATTATGGTATAGTGCACAAAGTATAGGACTCAGATAATGCCATTTGAATACAATGGCCATCAAATGCTAGTCATATCAGGTGGGACTTAGATCACAAGGTTAGCTGTCACTGATTGCACATAGCACCATATACATGATATGACACAAAGTTTTTCTCCTGTCTGAGATGTCAATGAGAGAATAATTCCATTGGTAGTGGGTTGCCTCATGATATGAGTAGCAGCAAGTATTTGATTGGGAAGAATGGGTTACCCATGACGCTTGAATTACAATCTCACCACTAGCGAAAATGCCAGTGCTGTATATGCCATAGATTACATCGTCTTGGTGGGAATGTGGATTTTTCAAAGACAGAGCACCAGAGAGGTCCTTTCGGGAAGAGTTCATTTATGGATAGGCAGATTTCTGTCCTAAAAGACTTGTCATGACAAAAGGAGAGAAGTGGGGATTCTCTCTGGCTATGGAGGTCCCAAGATCTTTGTTGCCAGCTTCCTTGATTAAATGGATTCATGCGGATGGTCCTGTCCTTTCAGATGAAAGACATTCATGCTCAAGGGTTGGTTTCAGGGTGGTGAATATGTGGAATATTGATGACCCTGTGGCTGTGCGAGCTGGCATGATGTCCAGTTAGCCCAAGTTTTGCTGAGTAAAGATTTACTAAGAGAAAGAAAGTACTAGAAGATACAAAATGGTATTTAAGTAGCTAGATTTCACAGTGTCCTGTACTCATTTGCCTTCTAAGTGTTGTGACTGACCTACAGGTTGTGATATAGTGACAGGCATGCCGTGTCTCCGCAATCCAGCAACATTCGGAATATTTGAGCATCATCGCTCTTGCTAAATGTTTCTCCCCTCATACTCTTACTTACTGGAACCTTCAAGTAGATATAAACATAAGTAAAGTAGTAGAACTTTCTAGATACATTGTGTAGTATATAAGGCTGAAGTTTTGGCCTAGTAAAATAATAATTCCTTCATACTCAACCACCACTAAGGTAGTAGACCGAGAGATAGGTTTACCACTGTGTATTTCACTCATCCTCGCAATACTAAGCAAACATGGACTACTCTTTCCTAACTTGCTAGGCAAATGTGCCTGAACACATGGTGCATGTGTTATCCAACAGAATACACTTTTATCTGTTGTTCTTTGGTATGCACAAGATATTTGGCATTTCATGTGGATACAAAAGCAGTGGAATTTATTGATAATCAGAAAACTGACATGATGGTCTCAAGATAAATACATACATAGCAGCTTTGGCATTAACTCCATCACCCTCTGCTGTCTCGTCTGGCATCTCCTATAGTAAGTCTTTTTTGACCGTTGCAGCTTTGTTTGCCTTCATAGAGCCCCATTGTTGCCGCTCCATCTTCTTCGGCTTCTTCCCATCTGACAGAGTTCTATTAATGTATCTTGTTGCATGTGAACAGCTGAAAATCACCTTGTAAGTCGCAGACTCATCAAGGAGTAATTTAAAATGAGTGAGTGTCATCCTGAGGATCGACATTGATTTTATATAGATAAGGAAATGGTGCAACAGAAATGTGGTCTTATCTGTATGCCTCCACGGCCTTTACAAGAATACAATAGTTTCAGAGCCTTCAACTAGTAGAACGACGACTCACTTTGGCTTACAAGAGACCAAGTGTCAGCTCTGTTTGTGTAACATCTGTGTTGGGAAAACCTGATAGACAACTGTGAAGCGGGAACTCGGACAAAGGTGGTTTACATGGGTGACTACAACTTCAATCAGTCTGTGTTCCATTCTAGTGTCTCCTCATGCTTCAGGAGATTGTACTGAGTACAATTCAGCATAAAAGCGCCAATTTTTTGTAGATGTCAGAATATTGAAAGAAAATATTGAGCATATGTCAAAGCCTTCCAATTTGCAGATAATTCACACTCGTGCAATGCTCACATGATGGGCAAGTGATGGGTCAAATGCTGTAGCAGTCAAAGAGTGAAGTATCAAAGTTAAGACAGAACACAGTCAGTATGCTAAGCTGCATAAAAAATTTTATAGGTTCACGGCAATGTGGTTATCGAGCTTTTGCTGGGCTCTAGAAGTGAAACTTGTAAGGGGACCCAGGACATCGATGAACAGTAAGGTTAGGGGTTTATGATTACATCATCCAGACCTTTCCACGTGACTTTGACTTGGCCTTTTTTTTTTTTTTTGCAGCAACTGTTATACACACCCTCCAGTGGCAGTCCTTCTACCTTTCCGGAGGTAGTTTGGCACAACAATGATGTTGTATAGCAGGCCATGAAGAGTCAGGGGATGATAAACCTGTGGGAAACTCTGGCAGGCTAGGAATGCATTTACACACAAATGGCATGAGTGCCAAACAGTGTGGGACTTGACATGTATGTAATACCCACTAAACCTCCCTACAGCATTTTCACTGGGAATTGAACTCATGTGCTATGCGCTCCTAGGACCTCCAGTCTTACCCAGAGGCCAGAACCAAATGGATAACCACTGAACCATTTGGACCTACTTTGATGTGGCTTCGTCACACCCCCGACCCCTCGATAGCCCTCGATTGATTGTCACACTTGGATCCTCATGCCCACCATGAGAAGCTGATCTCCATTCGCATCTCTACTGATGCTTGCTCAATAGCGCCATCACTGCAAATCTTTCCCCTATTTGGCTCAAAGTCATCTAACAGTTGTGTCGTATTTTCATGGGAATAGATCAATGCCGTTCGTAGTTGGGGCCTCTATCGGTTATCTGCCTATCTTTATCCTTCCTTTGTTGAACTCTTACTATCTCTATACATCTGCGAGCGAAGGGAAAGGTGCATATCTATGACCACTTGCCTTCATTTTTAGTCTGGCCTGTAGGACACCATTGACCTCGTCACATTTATCAACTAAGAACTGCCAGTTAAAATCTGGGGGAATGTGTGCTGTGTTCGGATCTTCGACTGTTGACTTGTGATGTGTCTTGGCATAGCCATTTTTTCTTGGCAAGCAGCTGTAAGCTCCAGCCCTTGTTTCCAATCAGACCGTTTATATGCCCAACACTTCGGAGCGTTTCTTGGTCACGATTCCTGTATACGACAAGCCAATTAAATCATTAATATTGACACTGTATCAATTTTTTACCAGTCTCATGTCATGCACAGTAGACGCATTAGGAACTGGATAATTTCTATGTAAACAAAAAATCTTCAGGTAACGTTACTGTACAAGTACAATCAGGTGCGTATCTAAGTTTGTTCCTATCTATGTCTAGGGCTGATGGATCACAGACCAACTTCGGCTTCTAGCTACTTCAATGCGGTGCTCCACTTGTCCAACCATATGGTGAAGCTGCCTCTACGTACGCAGATAGGTCACTTGTGTCCTTTCAGTTGCATCTATAACCTGTTCGACGAATTTATATTTCGGAGAAATCTCAGTTTGCACATATACTTCTCCTAGAACTGAGACTGATTTTTCCCGGGCCGCCGCGCCTCCGCCACGCTGCGCAGTTCAGCCCCAAAGTCTGCCCTTCCATCCTAGTGGTTTGCAGCCTCTCGACCGGGAACTTCTCTATGTCAAGCTTCCCTGCTGGTCCATATTCTCAGCTTTCGGATGTTTATCCTCTGAGTACTTATAAAATACGTCCCGACACATAGACTGATATCTGTCAACCGAAATGTTCTCGCTGCTTGTGTTCTCACTCAGCTCTCTCGTGACCCTTGCGGCTGCCTGTGATGCGTGGACCGGGGGTCTCCCTACACCTACGGGAGCCGTGTCCAGTAGCGCCGTCATCGAGGTCGCAGCCGGCCAAACCTTTGACGGTGGCTGGAAGAAATACGACCGTGGCAGTGGTGCTTGCAAGTGGGTCTCCCCCGGCATTTCTTGGAGTGGTCATTGTACTTACTAAATATCCGCAGCGAGCAGTCCGAAGGAGGTGATAATTTAACTACCCTTCATTGTAACTTGCTTAACTTCCTCTTTCATCCAGATTGGGAGGATGCTGGTACGTCTTGGTTCTCTGCATTGAGTCTTAGAGTACTGATCACGGAACATGATAGTCTTCTATCTCCACGAGGGAGCCACCCTCCAGAATGTTATCATTGGCGCCAACCAGGCCGAAGGTGTCCGTAAGTTAACTGCTTTGTCATTTCACGACACCTCTTTAACGGAGCTTCCTCAATAGATTGTACCGGATGTACGTCTTGCAATTTTTGACCTTGCTCAAACTAACGCCGTTGAGATCAGATTGTACTTTGAACTTTGTTTGGGTTCGCGCTGCGCGCTTCCTTTTTAAATTGTATTTGCTTATACGGTGATGTAGTTTGAGGATGTGTGTGGTGCGGAATCATTTATTACTTCGAAGTAAATCCGGTCCTAATTTCTCTCCCACGAATAGAGGACGCCATTACCATCGTATGTGCACTTCGCTTGGCGGCCACCGAGTCTCGTTCAATCTCTTTAACCACAGAAAAATGATGAGTATGGTGACTATACCAATATCATCGGTGGTGGCGCCTATCATGCCGAGGATAAGGTCGTCCAACATAACGGTTGCGGAACAGTAAACGTGAGCAGCGTTTATAGTTCCTTCGTGCTTCCTTGAGCTGACGATCTGGCCAAATAAGATCATCAACTTCTATGTTGAAGGTATGCGAGCACCCATGTCCCGTTCGTTGGGCTAACTCATATTATCTAGACTATGGCAAGGTGACTTGACCGTCTTCGGCTTAGCTTGAACTTCCAACCCATTCTAACCACATTTTCCAGCTCTACCGGTCCTGTGGAAATGTGCGTCAACATCTGATTGGAATATTCTTCTGGTCCACTAAACTGTAATCTCTATCCAGTGCAAGTCACAATGTTACAGAAACGTCTACATCAAAGGCGTCGTTGCTGTCGATGGTACGAGAGTTCGTTGTGTGTTTAATGCCTTCTAATTTAATCTTGTGTAGGTGGAATCCTGGCCGGGATTAACTACAACTATGGCGTACGTTCTGCCATTACCAGATAGTGATGTTATTTCTGATGATTCACTGCACCCGAATAGGATACTGCTACGATTCTCGACTCTTGCTAGTATGTATTCCATAATGCCTGCTTATCTCTCTAAACGGACCCACCTGTCAGTGACACCTCCCACCCATGCACGCTCTACGATGGTTGCAACGACGGGTCAGTTCTAACTGTTGCTTTGTTTCAACAGTTTTCTTAACCCTTTGCACAGTTGCGAGCCCGAAGTTATTGGCTATTGTTCTGGCTGAGCGAATATTCAATGAAATCGCTCCACCGATGTTTATTTCGCCGTAGTCAATTTGATGCACACCTTCGTTGTTACTGTCAGTGTAACTGTTTTTAGCCGGCACCGTGTTCCGAATCACATGACGGTGTCTGGAATGTTTCTTATTAATCTATCTTGGCGCGCCAGTTCTTGACGTCATGCAGCCGGCTGCGCGATTTTATGGATCCAATCAGATTCATGCGCGATTTCTTGGACGCAGTGCGTTATTTTGTGGACGAACCATATCATGCGTGATTTTATGGACGATAAGATAAACACTCGTCAATACTGCAGCCTCAAATCCTATATAAGGCCGCGCAATCTAGGGGGAGAATTTCAGTAAATCGTTACAACTCGAAACATCTAACAAACCTACCTACCAACATCATGTTCACTGTTTGCATTATCTCTCTTATACCTTTATCCCCGTGGTGACCATCTATACTTTGCACAGACTACCCAAGTTCCCGTCGTCGAGGCCTGTGGAAGTGCTTCGTGCAGCTGCAGCTCGTGAGTAATGCCGCGTTTGCACCTTGAACGACTCGCTGATTGATGAATGATTTTCAGGTGCTCTTGCACTGCCGGAGCATGCACATGCTGCTCTTGCAACAACTAATTCGACTTTTTGACGAAGTCTTGCCGTCAGATTGTAATAGTTCAGAACCATAGCTTTATTGATGGCGGCGAGATGCTAGTTACGTTCAAATGAATCGATAGCATTGAGCACTATGTGATAACAGATGGATCTGTATTTTTTTAAAAAGAATTGAATGAGACGTCTTACCTTCGAAATGGCGTCGGGTCAACGTTATGGTACATCCGATTCCTGTCGAAGACGACATGAAAGGTACTCTGTTAAAGCTAGGTTTTAATAACTCGTGGTCATGCGTCTGATTCCAGGGTAGAGGCTAATATACATGCGCAGACCTTAGAGAGTAAAATATACAATTATTTGGAACCGCTTGGTACCCACAGTCTTCCAGAAGGAAACTTAATTGTTACTAAATCGATCTGCAAAGTTAGAACTACCGAAAGAAAAAGTTGCGACGAACTTACCTGGTAAATACCCTAGGCCAATCTGTCGCCAAGCATGCTCAGTTTCGGGGTAACTCCTGACGAACTCTCGTACGCGCATTTGTCCCTGATCAACAAAAGACTGTGGTATCCATCCTTCGCGCTTCATCATCGACCAGGCGTTCACCACCCTCGGTACAGAGGATAGGCTGAGGAGCTCGCAAATATCGCGTACATCGGTGGGCTGCTTTGCTTGTATATGCGCAGCCGCAGAATTTCCGTGATCCATCCAGCCCTGCAGCTTCATGAGGAGAAGCAGGATGAAGGGCATCACAGGAAGCTCCCGAGATGGCGCATACCATTGCCCGAGTAGGCTTGCACGCCATACAATACTAGATGAAGGGACTGGGGGTATGTTCATTGAACCCGGAACGAGAATGTCGACTTTGCAGCAGCGTCTCAGTTCTCGGGATACCCTCGATGATCCAGAAAGATCGTAGTAGAGAAGTCGATAGGTGGCGAAGGGGTTTTTCGAAGAGACGACGTAGAAGCTCTGGTCGGTCTGAACAAGGAGATCTTTGAGATCCTCTTGTTCCCATGGTCCACCGTTCGGGTTTGGTGAGGTTATCAAGACGTCTACATCCTATCAGATTATCTGTGAGGTTTGATCTCTTTACTAGAGCATTGATACACACATTTGGTACCCGAGTTGTCCCATAGCACAAGCAAGCAACGCTCCCGAAGAAACATCCCTGGATTCCTAATGATAAGAAGGCATCGACCGCGGCATGAGCCGCCCTCAGTATTTCTTCTGCTGTCAGGGATTGCGAACGGTTCGGCGACATTGTGTTCGCACTCCAATTGAGAGGGCAAGAGGGCGCTCGTAGAGACGAAGAACCTAGAAAAGAGCCACGCTAAGAGCGATCCCCCATCAGAAAGGATTCATTTTAGATATCGTGGGAGTAGCGCGACACTTCACGGCATCTGGCCATTGAAGAGTGGTAGTGGTGGAGGTGGAAGAGGCGCCCGGCCCGAGAAAGGGGTGATTTCAACCACCGGAAGATGTTAGCAAATGCAAACAAACTCCACGGCACAGCTTCGTGCTTCTTGAGTTCAGACCTCTTACCGCCACCCGAATGAGAGTCCCAGCTCCCCATTAAGATTAATTTTTCTACAGGGACAACTTCTAATAATTGCTCCAGTCAATTTTCCTTAAATTCCTTTTCCCGATTGCCTGATGTTAACTTTATCCAACCTTGTAGCCAGGAGTCGACTCGGTACGGAGCAACCAGTCGGTTAACAGAACTGGCAGACCTGCACCGAAGAACCAGATTTAATTTTCTCTCTCGCGTTGTTGGACTGCGACAGAGTACTGGAGAAAGGTTTTGTCAACGCGTTATCGGTCCTTTACTCTTCTTGATGGTATGCTAGTAACTGTGGAGTTCGCGGCCCGAATCCTTCAAGTGACAGAATTCTCGCTCTGAACACGGTTTTTCATTAATGTATGCTTCATCTGCTCATTTGCATTTTTTTGAGTGCATTTCTGACACCTAGACCTAGTTTCAGCCCTCTCACCAATGTACTTCTGCGATAGCACCAAATTCATTGACATTTCACTCCTTTAGGCCTCATTGTAAATCGGCTGCCTCCCGCTCAATCAATCCAATTACATTTTCACATCAAATTACTGCCCGTTGCACCGGATTGAGCCACTCGAGGAACCCAAATAAACGGTCTGGCCACACGAAAAGATTTCCGGGAACGGTTATTCCAACGAATTGGTCCAGCAGAAATTGTCCCTGTCTGCGATTGTCTTGCGGGTTAGCCTTTACAGGGAGCTTTTACCTCACGCCGCCCAATTCTCGCCTTATACAGCTATCCCTCAAAACCAATCCATCATTTCGCTCATGACAATATAAGGGGAGACAAACTCAGCATGCGACCCTCAACTTCTCCCGTTTTCTCTCTCCCACGACCTCAGAGATATCCTGAGTCCCGTCATTCTTGCCCTCATCTTACCTATCCTCCTACAGCGGTGTGTTTATATGCCTGCAGCGAAAGTCAAAAAGGTGATATATTTGTCCTCTCAAAGCCTCGGAAGATATTGATGTGCTCGAAGTCTTGCCCGAAATGCGGGAAAAAAATGTTGAATCTCAACCGACACCTGATAACCCATTTCAGCTATTCAGATCGACCGTGAGTCCGATGGTTTTCTATCCTTTGAGACGCCGTTAGATGTGTCCCACCAGGTTTCGCTGCAAAATGCCGGATTGTGGGTTTGCGGCAACACAATCGGGTGGACTGAAAATACATATGAACACGATGCAGTAAGTAAGATTCATTTGCTACAGACTTGCAGAATTCCCTGACCGGCTTACTCAGTACCGGGGAGAAGCCTTATCGATGCCCTGAGCCTACTTGCAAATTCGCTACCGGAGATACGTCGAAGCTCTGCAATCATCGTAAAAAGGAGCACCGCTACGTTCCAGGTAAAGAAAATAAGCCAAAGAAGAGAGTCACGAAGGTCGAAGAGATGTCCGACGAGAACACGTTCAGAGAAGCACCCTTTGTTGCGACCGGCCATGAGGTCAACTCCACGCGGAGCCCTGGTCGCGATCTCGTCAATAAAGGCCAAGAGGAACTACCGATCGCGGCGCTTCCGTTCCCATTCCCCGACTTCGTCTCCCCTATCGTTCGGCCTGTGATGTATGAACAGGCTGAGGGGCGCGCTCTGCATCCCATGACCGTGGACTACCAATTTCCGGCGTCCTGGAGTCGTCCAACGCAGGCGCCCATCATGCCGGCATATGATGATCGATCGATCGAAGGCCCAGGGTATTATGTCCCGTGTCACAACTACGGGCCACTGGCTGCTTACCCCTGCGATGCGGTGTATTCGAGTTCCCAGTTCCCACAGTCGGTTGTGCCTAGGGTGTTTGCGGGAGGGAATTGCGGGACTGCGAATCAAGGCCTCGGAGGCTGGTCGGCTCCCCAAGCTGCGGCGGGCTATTTGGATCATGGGTACGCAGATAGTGGTGCGGGCGTCAGCTGTGATACACAGCGGTCTCAAGTTCCTCCTCTAACATACGGCGTCGATACGTCGTTTGAATCGCCGTTTCACAAGATGCTTGCAGCAATGAACACTTTGAACATGATTTCTTATTAGGTATCTCACTGTATCAACTACAGCTTCTACATATCACTGCATTTTTCTCTGTCGCCGTCGTTTGTATCGCTTTCCTTGTACAGCTATCGTTGCTATGGATTTGCAGTCCTTGTATTGTACCGGAGAAAATGAAAGATTGGTCTGTGTTGTAGTCCATGGGGGATGAAGAATAAGAATAGATGTTACGGTCGTCAGGGAAAACTCACAAGGCAAAGCTTTGATCGACTTTTATCTTCAATTGGAGATGTTTACGGGTTCAGTACCACACCCCGATCCAACCGTTCAAACGCCTGCTTCGTCGTAACCAGTCGAGTGGGATCGATGCCAAGAGATTCCTTCGTGAGCACCGAACTGTCATATCCTCTAAGTCCCTCCACTTCCCAGAACTTCGCCATGACAGCTAATTCCTTCCCGAGCAACTCTCCTGCAAAGAAAGTCTTCGCGTACTCGTCTCCATCGAGTTGGACGTACTCGGCCTTAACGCCTAGCGTTTCCGCCCACAAGTCGAGGACGTCTCCAAATGATAAGTTGTCGACGGATCCTAGGACGTATTTTGACGGGAGAGATATCTCGGGTTTCTCAAGGATGGCTTCGACGAATACGCCAACGTTAATCTCGGCGAGACCCATCATGGGTGTAAGCGTTCCGGGAGAGCATGGTTGCACCCAAGTATATTTCCCAGATGATGCATCTTTGATGGGTGGCAAGAGTTCGACGAGGTTGGATGCGTAGTATCCCGCATAGAAGAAGGTCGTTTTGGCGGCAAGAGAAGGGAGGGTCGTGAGGATGAACTCATCGACGGCTGCTTTGCAGTCAAAGTGAGGTACGGCAAAGGTGTGGGTGTGGGGGAGAGTGCTCCAGACGAAGTGTTGGAGGGTAGGGGTGGAGGCTGCTGCGTTGGCGATGTTCTTGCCCTGCCTGATTTCTGACTTACAGGATTCTTCTGGACCAAGGGTGGCGAGTATTGATAAAGAATCCGTTAGGCCGAATACTGCGTATGCACCCTTTGTAAAGTGCGATAAGTCAAGTGGGAAGAAATAATAGCAGAAGAGGCAAACCTGGAGCGCATTTACTACACTTTCGTAGTCGTCAAGGTCTGAGTAGACGACTTCGGCACCTTGAAATAGCAATGATTTGGCTTTTTCGCTGTTTTTGTTACGGGTAGCGGCGCGTACTTTGTACAAAGGGTTTTTGAGAAGGGCTTTGACGACGGAGCCACCCTGTTTTCCGGTGGCACCAAAGACAACGACAATCTTTGGTTGCATGATTGTATACCAGAGCGACTAAGATTTGAGCCCGTTATTATAGCATTGTGGGATCGAGTCGCACGATGCCCGTGTAGGGCGGAGTATATGATATTCTGCGCATTCTTTGGGGGTGCCAAGACACGTATTACAGCGCTAGCTTTACGGCATTGAGAATACTTGTAGCGCAATGTGCTACGGTGTTACGAATCGTTCCACGGTTGATTAGGGGTAAGCAGTGATGACATCCCCAAAGATGAGCAAATTTCCGGAGGATGACAAAGAAGAAACTGACGTGGTCTGTAATCCTCCTTCAGGTTCGGAGCTAAGAATGTATTCAATTTTCAGAATAGTACCCTCAGATTCCACTAATCAAGAAGTTTGATTCTTTGGAGGATGAGTGTCGCAGGCGGCAGGTTGAAAAACTGGCCTTGGTGACTGCAAGTTCAAACAAGATCACCATAGAAGGAATCAAGCAAAACGATAAAAAAATTAAAGAAAAAATAGCCAACCATCTTCGAGAGCATTCATGAGGGATTTGGATGCCGATATGCAGAAAGTATATGGTCGGAGTTCTCAGTTGAAGAAGAACCGGAAAGGGCGGGCCGCACCTATCACGACTGGCGGCAGCACGTGTTGGTGTCCGTTTATTTCCCACGCTTCCCAGTGTTTTCCTTCGACCACCATGATGGACATTTGTTCTCCGACATACGTGCGACGCTGACGCGACGACACCGCTTCATTCCTGTGACTCTACGCCTTGCAATATTCTCACCGACAACATATCGATTTCGAAAAGCTGAAGATGAGCCATGGGGTACAGCAGTAAGCTCTCAACTTTCCGTCAGTGATGTTGCGCCTCATCACTGCCATCTCAGATTCTCATTTTTAGATCGAATAACGCTTGCTATGACTATGGGGGCTACACCCAGAAGACCGATTGTTTCATTGTACCTGGTTTCCGCGTCGTTAGACAGATTCTCCGACTGAAAAACTCCCTACCAAAGACTAGGACCAGAGTCCCTTATGTGAGCAGTCGGTTCCTTTTCCCTGTTAATAATCTAACAAATATCGAACCAGCATATCCATTTCTTTTAAATCTCCGCTGTCCGTAGAGAACCCCTCGCAATCTGTCATTCTAGCATGTCCTGTTGGCTTTCGACGCCTGCGATGATCTTCATTCCATTGCGAAGACCTTCGCATCTCCTAATGCTTAACAAGGAGCATCGAAACATGCCCTTGTGGTTCGGTGTGGTCTTGACCAGCCATATATTACGTGTGCATTAGGGACCAAGGGATGTCGGCCAAGAAGCCGTTACTGCGTGAGGTATGTTTTCCGCCCATGGTGCACGTCTTTTACTTAGAGCTTTTCCGCAGGTCCATGATCTTCTCACTTCCCAGACATATGTCAGGAAAACTCGATATCTGTTGAAATCTTCCATGTTCATTCGCCTGCCGAGCCCTTGAAGCTTCAGAGGCGGCTCAAGGACAATATTCTCTATCGGCTCAAAAATCATCCATACCAAATACTGGGACATCTTTTTCCCATCCTTGATTCTTTGTTAATCCGGTTATCTTCGCCCTGGACCACCATTTCTAAGTGACTTGTTCAGCATAAGTTTCAGTACCACCATCGATTCTATCGCAGTTTACGTCAATGAAACCCACTGAGGTGCGTAACCTAGTATTTCTGCGTTCTCCTATTGATCCTAATCTTTTCGTTGAATAGCGTCGTTGGAGTACCGTGCTCCTTCATTTTGTTGAACGAGACTCATCTCAAGGCGAACGTTCTTAGCCTGGATTGCCGACAGAAAGCTGTGGTTGTGATAATGTGAACTCTTCATCTGCGACATACCTACGGTTACTCATTGAGAACGTGTAACTGGAGTGACTGGTACTTTCCACGCATGTGTGTCATTTGTACAAGAACGCATAGAACGCATATAATCATACGGTATAGTAGTTATCTAATAATGTATATATTAGTCTGGGTCCATATTCCTATGATAATTCCAACATATAATGGTTCCGAAGGTAAAACGACGCCTGCATCGCGCTCACTTCAATAAATATAGTGGATCCTTCAATAACCTTCCAAGCCTATACCATTCAAAACAAATGACTGTTGGCGGTACACGCTTTAAGTCATGCCCCCAACACTTTTGGCACCAATGGGTACCAATTCTTTCCCCGTGATTTTGGAAGATGCCGAGTGTAGGGGTGGACGCGTACGTTGCTTGCTTTACGATGAGGCTCCCTGCAGGGTTTCTGCGCACATCGAGGATGTTCGGGTTCCCTATGACATAGAGAAGGAGCTGCCTCACCGACGAGCACCATTGGTTGGGCGTAGTCGACGAAGATAGCGGAAAGTGCAACGACCTAATCTGTTTCCGGAAGAGACAGGGATTTCCATGGAAAGGGAAGCGGTGGAGCATCGTTGGGATTGAACCACGAGCCGGCAGTGAAGTTAATATTGGGAGGAGGATAATTTTCAGGAACAGAAGATCTCGACCGGCGAGAGGGGAGATCGGCATTCTACCAGGAGAAACAACGTCAGTGGGGTAAGCATTGGTACACCCGACGGAATGCTAAACCTGAGGAGGGGGACACCGCCCATAGTTCCCATGGTCCTTGTCTCTTTTCTGAATGTTAAGACGTTTCGAAATGGGCATTTCCTCGTAAACTGGGAGACCGAGGATACCCTGCTCAGGGCAAAGGGCAGTGTATCCAGAGGTGACGGATACTTCGGCACCATAGTCCCAGTCGCCACTCGTCTGTGATGGGATGGCGATGTCGACTCCTTTTGTGGCACTCCGAAGATATCTGAGAACAAAGTTATCGTCCCACAATTCCAGAGGCTCAGTGGCGTCGCGAGAGAATAGCAAACGGAATCTCGATTCTGTTTGACTGCAAATAAGCGACATGATAGAAGAAGGTGAAAGTGTGGAATGTCCCTTTCAAAGGGGGCGGTACAAACTATTCTAGAAATAGGGCATCTTTGTTCGACTTGATTAGTACTCCACTCCGATTACGAGAACAAAGACTTCACCCAGCTGCCGGCTTTTTTGAGGATTGTCGCATGAGCAGTAACTTTACGGCACATTTTGGTAGACGTGATCATCATAGAGAGCCTCTGAGATTCGACGAACACTGGTTTTCTGTTACTTCGACAGATATGCGTAGTCAATTCAAAAGTTCGCTTCCCGAGTGGGCGGAGTTAACCGGAGCCGGCGAGAAGTGTCACAGATTCACCTGACCGGGACTAGTCGCGCGACGCGTCCCACAATCAATTTGCCAATTTACCCTCGACCATACCATCTCGATGACGTAATGCTATGCACCTCTACCACGCCACTTCATCATTTTTATTATGAGTACGATGTGACTACAGTTGTGGACAATCAAAGACGACAATTTGATTTCCGGCTAAACCAGATTTTTTGGGGCAAAAATAAGTTCAGATTCAGAAAGCCAGAGGCCGAAAACGTCCAAAAAACACCCTCCGAAGTTTTTCCCATGACATTTTTGCGGCGCCAAAATTTTGGACCAAAAAATCGAATTGTGTGTACCCCTTTTGGCCTCGCCGGCAGACATCACTCAGTCATTCGACTCTATCGGCAATATCCACGGCTGGAAACCACATGGTGCTGATTCTGCTACCTTTCAGACATCCCTATATGCTCATCAGCCAATGACAAATTGAATCTCCGAAGATCCCATTTACTCGGCAAGCATCTTCCGTGAGGCAGCGATATTAATTACACCAGTCCTGTGCCCGGGCCCTTCACTTGAACGCTGCTGAGTGTTACAGGTCACTCAGGTAGCACTTATATTGATGGATAACAGAAGATCTGGATTGCTTTGGAGTACATCTCTAGATAAATGCTATTAAGAGTTTGTGACTTCTGGTTGCTAAGTTCTTCCTCACTCTTAGTCCCTCGGATCTGGGCCAGGCAAATACCTGATCCTTCAATTCTCAGACACCAACTCGGCAGCATGATTTCCGAGCCCATTTATATTATGACCCGCCTATTTTGAAGCTTTGAAGGCTTGCCCCTGCCTTTCATGACGGCCGGTTTGTGGGCAAATGGCTCGATAAAATTTAATGATCTTGACGCCATCGGATGTGGATTTTGAAAAGGAGTCGATTGCGCTATCTCCGAAGTTTTTCCCACGACTTTTTGGGGGTACGCCAAATTTTTGGGATAATTTTCGGTCAAAACTCACATTCTGCAAAATCGGCTCGTGCAAGTATCTTTATTAAGTCTATATCTTCACTTTTATGCGAAAAACCCGGCTGTTTACCTGACCAGGGTCCTTCTAAAAATGGGTCAGATTTTTTGTCGTCTTTGATTGTCCACAACTGTAGCTCTAGGCGAAGTTCTTCGTTTCGCCTCGAACTCTAAGATCCGGCTCAAATTCTTCCTGTGCGGGGTTTAGCGAATAGAGTCTAGCTATTTTTAACTGTTGGTCATTAATGACAAATGGAAACGGCGGCACTATCAATAAAGCAAGACGGAACTCAACAAAGACTGGCAAATAACACATTGTTCTCACTCAAATCTACCCTAATCAGCGATACCGTCCCAAATTAATGGTGCTGCTACTCAACGTTTGTTATGGCCATGGATCATTATTTTATATCTGCCACTTAAATGCGTAGAGTCTAGCTCTAAAACTGATATCCACGTCTCTCCCCACTCCATTTCCCTCAATATGTCTTGCGCTGGCTTGGAAGACATCAACACCCAAAATCTACAAGATGTTAGCACGGGCAACGACCACAGTATGCAGGACATCGTACCGTTGACACATGCTCTTCATCCTCAATCATTTGCACCCCGTCCACAATACGCCACGCCCGACAGGAACGACGACCTATACTACTATCTGTCCCAAGATAAGCGTAGACTCTGGGCATACAGCGGCGACATACCTTTTGCCTATGGAACGATAGAGGCGGACTGGAGAACTACGCAGCGGCATATCTACAAGTTAGTCGCTGTCTTCTTTCTTTTGGTCAATTGTCGCTTACCTCTCCATTGGTCTACAGATAACGACCGAAGAGGAAGTACCGATGACGTTTGACATTAATATTCCCCACCAGCATTCAGACCCGCCCGTCGTCTGTTTTTCCTCCCTCTCCACTCGTCAATTCTGGCAGATGTACTCGCTGCAATGTTCGATCCCCGGCAATAATTACCCTCCGATTGATCCTAACGCGGACTTCATCCCTGCCGTCCCTGTACCCCTGCAAGCAAGTCAATCTACCTTTTACCTTGACGACCAAGGGCCTTTAGACACGTCTGACGGCCTGGCATTTCCGGACGATAGTGACGGTTCTCATTCTTTCTACGATGTTAAGCAGGAGCGCGAAATTTTCCCAGTGCCCCATGACGGTTCTAATCGGGGAAGCGCAGCTGGTGAAGAGGCTACGCTTCCCACTTTCGCTCATTGCACCGATCTTGGCGCAACAGACCGTCTAGACGGAAAGAGGAAACATTCGTTCGACTCGATCTCTTCAGGCGTAGAAGCACCTTCATCATCTTCGTCGCTAACGGCCTTCTCCCCCTCCCCCTCCCCTTCTCGGTCTCCGACTCCCACAGCTGACCAAGTGTCATACGAAGCGGAACTCCGATGCATCTACCCAGACTGCCTCCAACTCTTCCACTCCATCGTCGATGTAACAGACCACCTCAAATCCCTTCATAATGGATCCTATGCCAGGAGTTATCGATGCGCATTTCCCTCTTGTTCTCAAACGTTTAAAAATAAGACTGATTTCCCTCGGCATGCTTTGACGATGAATCATAAACCGCAGAGGAGTTTCAAGTGCGCCGGCTGCAACGGAAAATTCACACGGTATGGTGCTTGAAAGCGGCATCAACGTAAGAGCATATCGCAAGCATGTCGGGAGGAAGGCTTGAAAGAGGAAAGGAAGCATCTGAAAGAGCAGGCTGCAAACAAAAAGAAAAAAGAACTGGAGGGCCGGAGATCAAAGGCGCCTTCCAAAAAGCGCAGTCGGAGGAAGTAGATTCACTCAAACCCGGCGCGTTCTGTGGACTCGATATATCATTACAATCTCCACCATTTCTTTCGCATAATCTTATATTATTTCCCTCATTAAATCTTTACACCATCATTTAATCTTCCTGTAATTGCTCAAATATAATTCTCTTAAACAGTATACAGTTCGTACCCTTGCGTTGTTAAAATATGGTGATAACTTTTCATTCGAAAGGCATTAGTCTTCGACCAATCAGTAGCATTATGGCCTGTTGAGATAAGCGGTAATTCTCCAGCCGCTCACCCGGATATAGCAGGGAACCCTCGCAAACAGGCGAGGGTCATCGTCGTTCGTCTACCTATTTATCTACATGCCGTGTACACTAATAGAAGCAATATGATGTAATAAGGAAAGCCGAGGAGGAGAACAGATGAACGGTGCTTCCTACTGAAGATCCCGACGTCGACTGCACCATGATGCGCGACACTTGACATTCCAACATGGCCGTGGCACAGTATGTGACCAGTTCTAGAATTAAGGTATCTGAGGAACAGTCCAAAAGTCCGCGCGGGTCACTAATGATAGCGCGTGTACATAGTGTAGCCAAGGCACTCTGGATGAATCAAACATAATCACGGTCTTCGCAGTTTGCGCAGGGATTTAATCGGGGCGGATGCCGTATCTTCTAGCAGTGCGCCCAGATCCACCATCTCGGGCAACACTGACTTGCTCTCGAATCTGACTTCGCCTACTTCGAGTTCAGATTTCGCAATCCCTCCTTCTTCCCCGCATGTATCCGTGTACAATAGTGTCTCCAATGGCTCCCTCCAAAAACTCGTTGAACAGTCTGGGTCAGAAAGCTCTGGGAAATTGGGAGCGGGAACGAAGGTTTCGGGGACAAACGCAGCAGCCGTGAACCCCTTTGCTTGTTTCAGCATAGAGATATCCTTTTCCAAGGAAGATATGCGTAGTTCTTGAGACTGGTATTTGAGGTACAAGATTTGGAGGAGGTCGGTTTTTGGTAAGGGGCTGGGAAAGGGTAGGAGCGCAGATACTTCATTGTGGACATTATCAAGAGGCGCTATCGAGCACCGCCGCTCATGTGAGGGATCAGAATCTGTTGTAGTGTGTTTCAGAGATAACTCGAGGTCGTTTGTCGGAGAATCGGTGGAGATGCACAATCCTGGTGGTTGTCCCCACACCTTCGTACGCTGCCATGCTTCCAGATACTTGGTCGCTTCCTGGAAACATGAAGTTCTCGGAGTCGAATCCCATATCCAATCGCCGCTGACTTCCTTCTTTAACCCGTTCATCCACTGAGACGCCGTGATCCCGTTATCGATCCGCTCCTCGCTTAGCTTGAATCCCTTCTGCCCTTTTAGTACCAGCCGTTTCCAATCTATAGTCCAATAAGCACTCTGAGAATGATGAAAAACAAAATACGTACCAAATCTAATGGCGTCCTTTCGATACTCTTCCTCTCCGTACATTTCCCAGAACTCCTTGAGATACCCTGGCTCACATAACAGCCATCCCATCCGATATCTCACCAGCACCCTATCAAAAGTCGTACACCGCCATCCTATTGCCATGCCCTCTTCACCCATAGCTCGCTTCGCCTCTCTTAAGAAAGCTTCGCATAATCTCGACACATGCAAGATGCCCGTCTTGAACTCCTCCCACTCGCCCTCATCCCCTAAGACCAACCGAAGAGAGGACCACATAAATTCCCCTACAAACATGAGCGGAATGCGATACGCGTTCGGAACCACCGTCGTCGAGCCATCCGCCAAGGTGATGGTGGCCCATTTAGAGCGAGGTATGCGACAGGGGACTGAGAAAGAGTTGGTGATAAGATGCTGCACAATCTCATCCTTCGTCCATGTTTTGGCATCAACATAGTCCAATTCCGCTGGGTTTTCCCATCCTAAGTCTTCTGGAGGTGAGAGAGAATGTAGGAGCTTTGCGGTTTCGATCTGCTCATCTTTCGGTTCCGCTTTGATGTTCTTCCCCGCTGGAGATGTCGTATACTTCCGCCTTTTGAGATTCCGTCTTTTGTGATTTGGATGTGAGTTGGTGCTGACAGAATTATTAGTAGTCCGCGCCATGTGCGCCTGGGAAGAGAATGAAAGTTGGGTAGCGTCGGAATAACAAAGACTCTTACCAGTCGCAAAAGAAAAGCTTTGAGAAGCGTTGAAGATTGGGAACAGCGCAGGCCTCCAAAAGGGCGGATAATCTATATGAAAGCCGGCTAGTAATGTGGGAAAGCGGCGAGAGAGACGAAAAGGACCTGCCGAAAACGGCAATATCCGAGGCGACGTCAGCAGAAAAAAGTGGCGCGACAACGTGATGTGGCCTTGGCTCTTTTCTACTGCGAGAAGGTCTATTCTACCGCCCCCATAAATCCAGGGATAACGATTTAGTACGTTTGCTTAATGTACGCAACACTTGTAGCCTCGACATGGCAAGTAAGGTTTCACCATGCCGCATCTTAGTCGTGTGCTGATGGGATACCATGTTTCAAAATCGCATCAATGGTATACATAATCTTCAGACATATATTTCCAATCCACGTCCCTACGATATTTTACCCAGACATCCACTTTTCAATCTCCTCTCCAATTCGATGCACCATCCCGGTCCATACATGATCTGCCCCATCAACGAGGACTTTCCAAAATTTACCCTGCTCCTGGCGATGCTTTCCGTCCAATACTCCCGTCCACATATAGTACACCCAGCTAGCAGGGGAGTACCATCCACCGATCTCGTTTGTACCCATAAGGATAAGCGCGTCGGCTGGGCGTTCGTGTGAACACTCTTCCCAATTGCCACCGACTAGCCCCTCGAGAGCACGAAAGTACCATCCAGTCAGCCCAAGTCCGAGTGTCCAGGCAAGGCCGATTGGATATGATACAAGGATGTATTTGATCGGGTGGCAAAATACTTGAGAGCATTGACGGTATAGATCGTCAGACAAACGAATGGTCGTAGCATAGATGGCGCCAGAGGAGTATCCCTGTATGTAATGATTAAACAACCGACAATTCCTGAGTGACTGAAGAACATACACAAACGAACAGATAGCATCCCCTTGCAGAAGGAAAGTCACCGACCAATTTCAGGACATGCTCTTGGAAAATATCTTCCACAACAATTGAATTAAGAATCATATTTGTGTAGGCCACATTTCCCGCACCTTGTAATCGCCGCAGTTACGCATTCCCATCCATTCGACAAAGCCTGAGAGCTCGTTCCCACCGTCACTCCCGCCCATACCACGGGCGTTCCATCTGATAACTCTTGCATTTCGATGAATACGAAGATGATCTGCAATGGTGGAAGTGATACTACACTCCATTGTCCCGCCTAGTCTCCCGTGGGCCACAAAAGCCAAAGAGGAGGGGTGTCCTGAGGGAGGGTCTTGTATTCTTTTCTCAAAGGATATTGACATGGTAGGCGATAACAGAGAAGCGTTCGTCTGACTAATAAGAAGAAAGCGCTGGGAACGCAGTTATACTCGACTTCTTGAGCGTCTACTTGGGATGCATTGTAGGTCAAAAATAGTACTCACCGTGGAATCAACCACCGAGACTCGAAGCTGTATTAATCAAGAGTGACAACATAAGCACCCCGCATAAGTTATCCACTCCTCAACAGTCGTCGATAAACCTGAAATGGTTAGGGATGGACAATGCGATAATATGTGTTGGAATTTGCAACTTCAAGCTTATACTAGAAGATTCCCGAAGCTTCGGCTTACTCATTTGTCACGATACTTAGATATATTTAGTACTTTAGGTAGAATATTCTAGATACTTTTCGTAGTATATAAGGAGCTCATTAGGAGCTCTTGCAGCTAATAATTAGGTATTATTCCTACTGCAAGCCTCTCACTGTCAGAGTGCCAACAATATGAAAGCTACAGATACCTTCATAGGAGTCAGACCTGTCTGGGGTGTCATCGGCATGGCATTTGCCGACTCGGCTCCTTCCGCTACTCCCATCATCGTTCGCTCTTCCAAACTCGAACCATCTCGGTGCGCGTAAGGGATGTAGAGAAAAACGCGTGATTTATCGGGCTCAGCCCTGTGATCCAAGCGTGTTCACTGGCCTCCTTAGGCGGCGCTCCACCACTCCTCAGAGCCAAAATCATTTGTCATCATAATATTTCTCCTCTCCTTCATTCGCCGATTCGCCGTGTGTGATGTAAGGTCATGTTACCCGTATGTGCTCTTCTCGTTTCCGGGGTATACCATCTGAAAGTCTCGCGGCATATTTTGCCAGTATATTCTATTCCGCATGAAGAAAACGTTCCTCATTTAGTAGCAAGATCTAACACACACGTCAGTGAGCGGGGAAGCTTTCTACAATAATCCCGAAGATTCATGACATGGATCTAGATTCAAAAAATTGACCATGGGTTTATTCGATTATTGTCCGTTATCTGTGGCGACATGCGGATTCTTCGTGGAAATTTCAGCGCTGTATTGGTTCCTATGAATCTTATCAGCATTCTTTTTCTTTGATTTTTACATCCGTACAGAGGCAAACCATATACCACTGGGATCTCCCCCAATGTTGCGTATCGAATTATGGCTCCGGAAAGTTGCAAGGCGAGAAAACTGTACCTACGACATCATTTCGCCGAAGTAAGACTGATGTTTATTACGATATGTAAGCTATAGTTCTTCTCCTTTGTCAGGTACCGATTACTTGGCGTTTTTACCAACACTACACTCTTCACATCGTCGTCTGCTCAACGTGCAGAATACGACATCCCAGTAAGACTATCTGCAAGCGGCGCGTCCTGTCTGCAGGAATGGGGTTTCACCGCGTTTCACAACAAGAATAACTTTTCCAGGGGCTATGAAGGACACCCGTGGATGCACATCACGTTCTTGATCGGCTTTTACTTGCCTCGTGTTTACAGCTTTTCCTTCATGTCCACAACCGCATCTTGACAGCAACCTCCTATTATAATAGGCTCATCTCCATTCACCGCCTCACGCGTGGTTTCCTCTGAGCCACCAGTGACTCAGTTTCTTTCTGTTCTCAAATCTTCTGTACGAGCCAGCCTTCTTCGCCATGAGGCCGTCTCAAATTCCAAGGTTTTTGTCCTGCGAACATATCCTGTGGCTTCTCCAACATTCCATTTAACTGACCACCTAAAAGACGACATTCCAACTCTTCGTGCATGCTCGTTCACCTGCCGGACGTTTCTGCCATTTACTCGGAAGACCTTCTTTCGGAAGATATCTCTCTGAAAGAAGCAAATCCGAAAACCTACTTCATCTATCAGCATCTTCCATCCTTTGCAGAAAATCGCTTGTGATACACTGCGGTGATTGTCAAGATCCGGCATCTATTCTTAATCAGCCTGCGATTCTACGACTTCTGAAGTCATTTGAGACTCTTCGGCTTACCATTGCTCATCTACCGTGGTCAAACCTGAACGACGACACCAAGTACGCATTCTCTACTCATTCATTCCAGGATATTAACCTCGGATACCGCAGGTTCTCTAGCGCGAATGAAATATACACCTTCGTCCATGGTTCTACCGAGCTTGAAACGCTCATCCTCGATCGTACTAGTATAAACGACACCTCTCCATGTCTAGCGCTGCTTTATCAACGAACAGGACCGTCGATACTGCGCCTCAAGCTAGAGACGTGCTTCTTCGAAGGCCGCCGTGTACAGCCGAACTTACTCAAAGTCGTCTTTAACCCACACTACTGTCCTTTGTCTTTCGACAAATTGTGGGACCTTGACGTCATTGTCTCCACTTTCGACGAAGTAATATCTTTGCAAGAACTCTGAGAGGTGTCGGGAGACCTTAAGATACTCAAGGTCTTCCACGGTGCTTATCGTAAGCGAGTCCCAGTTACATAGATCGACGACTAATGCGTAGTAGATATCCGCGACGGACCACTCCGACATCGCACCTCAACCTCAGCAGCCTTCGCAGTTTCACCATTATAATGTGGGATCCGTTCACTTCTGAGAACTCTGCCTTGTATGCAGACTTCGAGTGGTGGTATGCTGTCTGGTCAAGTCTCAAGGCGACAGCTGTCGAGCACCTCTCCATCATCGTGGCATTTTGAACACCTCGGAGCATGACACAGCAACAGGATTACGATACCGGTGTTTGGTACAATGTGGCTACCGCTCTATCTCGACCATCATGGACGTGTCTGTTGAAACTTTCTATCGTGGTCGATACCGGTGTCTTCTTCAATCCACAGATATTTTCGCAGTATGTCGATGCTATCCAGAGTACCATGGCCGTTGTGAGCAGGCGAGGTGTGGATGTTTCGGTCATGGCAGTTGTTCTCCCATCTCATTCATATCTAATACTAATTTTATTGATTAGAGAATTTAACCCGGGCAAGGAGGGTAATGGCCACAAAGTCAATCATAGAAAATATTCCCTTCTATAAGGTACCTTCTGTCACATACGTTTCTTATAAGTATATCCACCGAATTTGAATATTTCGATATGGACCGTCGGCGCAGTGCAACTTTATAACAGCGGTATTATCGCCGTATCGGCATAATGAAGATGGGTGGGTTACTATATATCTTACTATGTATCTCTAAAAAGAATAGCTGAAAATCTTGCGGTTAAAAAATGCTTTCGTTTTGTTTCGTCTTCTGGAAGGTGAAGAAAATGTATCTGTTATATATAGGCTGAAGTGAACACTCTTATCCTAATTTCGGATGCAGAGAACTGAATCCAAGGGACTTTGTAGTACACTAATAAGAAACAACGATGTCATCTATTACCCTGCGTCTGTATACTGATGTATGGCTGAAGAGGAAGACAGATGCAGAAGCTCGGCACGGGGATTGCCGAGCCGGCTTGTTTCGCTACTCCCATCATTGCTCGCTCTTCCAAGATTGACTACCTTGGCCTGCGTTATAGATTACGCTTGATGGGAGAGGAGAGTGTGTCAATCCCTCTTCCATAAATCTGATTCCAAGTTTCTCCAAAAGTAATTCAAGTCCATTCGTATGTCATCGGTATTGACCAACCTCATTTCACAGCGAAGAACTAACCGAGAGACCAATGATTTACATCCAGGCGGACTTCTAGCATTTCTTGAATTTCCCCTCCTTCTCTTCCACTATTCATGTTAGAAGACGTCAAGAAGGTGCGTCAGCACGTCCGTATATCTTTCGTTCGTCATGCCATCATGGTACCCATTGCAATCAAAGCCCTCCATCATAATACAAGGCACTGCATCTTCTATGACAATACCACAGATACTTGGAGACTCCACGCCCCTTCTCGTCGGACCGCATGCTTGAAGACGTCATCAGATCCACACGAGCGGAGATCTGGACGGCTGACTTAGTCCGCCGATAGTTCAAAATCCGTCTTTCTCGCGCTTGATACTTTAATGGTACACGGGCTACAGCGTTCTCCCAAGGAAAGGGCCGTTTCTTAATTGACCTCAGTGCCGTTGTTATTGTCATCGTGGCGTTTGCTGTTAAACTTCACAACCATTGTGTATGCATGATTCATAGAGGAAGGTTCAATCCTAATTTTGCGACACTTTATATGGCGCGCAGGTGACAATAAAACTACTCGGGCAGTCATCTTACTCATTTCTTGGAGACGAAGACAGGCCTCGTTCGCCTCATCCAACCCAATAGCTACTCAACTCTCTCCCACCGCTCGGAGCAAAAATTTGTAGGTTCTTTCACACGTTCATTATATTCGTGCCGTTATTTTGATAGTTTTCAGCCATCAGTGGCGGTGATGGCTAAATGAAAATGCATGGGCCCCAGTAAAAGGCGCTCCAACCGTCGTCGTATTTCCCATAATGTCCTTACTGTTTCTTCCTTTCGGAGCTGATCTATCCAAGTCCGTCACTCGTAACTTCCTATTTTTTGACTGAGACATATCGGAAATTTAGAATTCCGATGTTTGAAATATGCGCTGGAAGTTGATCGCACCATTGCAAACCTTTCAACCCTAATCGTAGGCGCCAATTAGAGTGTACATCTAGGCCTTAAAATCTTATTAAGAGGTCATTCATTTCGCTGGGCTCATGTATCCTATCAGCGAGGCGTCAGAAGAGTCCATGGATCAATGTGTAATGCGCCGGCCCTTACACTCCGGATAGGGATCATGCCTCGAAAGAAAATAGGCCACGTAGAATCAGTAAGCGTCCTTTACGACTCCGTACGATGTGCCTTCCCCTACCTATGACCGCGACATTGTAGGAATAGGACGTATGAGCTGCTCCTAGGAAAGGCACTCTTAACCGTGAGTTGGCAAGGGCGGCTTCATCAGTCAAACTTACGCGATCACATAGCCACGGAGACGCCGCCTCTCCTCTTCTTGTCGTTTTTAGAGGTGACAGTGAGAACAAACGCCTCAGATCCGGAGACACAGGACTCGGAAATGAATGAATAGCAGTGGCCGCCTTCTGCCTGCCACTCGTCACGTCGGCCTACTTGCAGCACATATAAAACTGAAACTGTGCATTGTAGATACCCAAAATCTAGCACGAGGTCTTTCCCTAGATCTACGCTATGTCTCCGTCCACCTCTGCAGTAAGCAATCTAATCCGTCATGGATTCCATTCACTACTGACTCGTCTTTCAGTCCAAGAAGCAGTCCGACAAAGCCCCGAGAAGGACCCCCATGGCATGCGAGTTTTGTCGAGGTAAGGAATGCCATGTCAAATCGAGTAAAAAGCGCGGACTCGATGCATATTTTGAAGGCCGTAAAATGAAATGTGATGGTAACCGTCCTTCCTGTGCGAATTGCCAGAGGCGCCAAATTGCCTGCACCTATCAGCCAGTGTGAGTGGCAGAAACGGATAATCCGAAGATGTGTCTAATGCGTAATCTCTATAGAAATGCCACTAAATGATTCCTAATTGTCAAGTGGAAGAAACACACTTTATTTGTTGGTGGCGCATTGTAACACATCGTGCAAAGCTCTTTTCTTCTTTTAGTGTGGAACCTTCTTTGCTTGTATATAAGTCGATTTCTATGGCGATATCCCAGGATTACTGGCTTTTTCCAGTCGTGTCAAGCCAGAACTCTTGCTGAACTCCACTAGCGCTCAGTATTCGGATAAGCTAGACGTTAATGCATCAATACGTGCGTGTCTGTAAGGGATACGGATTCCGTACGGACCGGTTAGCTACGTCATTTCTTATTTTCTGTTTACCTATGACTTCTGGACTGCTACGTATGCGCCCTTTTCGGCCTTTTCTGAGTCCTGTGTATACAGGATTCGGTCTATGCTAACCTGAGGACCTCGGTAGCGGTGCATGATGGTGATAGTCCGATAATTCGCCGTGACGTTCATGCCGTGTTCCCTTAGTAATACCCTATTTGTGTCACACTATCACCCCGGACTCCGTTCTTCTTCGCTTTCTTTCGTTTTCTCGACTCGACATTGAACATGATTTAAATCACCAACTTTTCGGTACGTACTTGAGATTGGTACATTCATGATGAAACTAACATTGCTTTAGCTGCCACATCTCTAATTACTGGGGAGGCATTTGCCCAAACGGTCTCACCTCTCTGTACGCTTCACAGCCTTTTCTTGTTCCTCGACCTCGACCTCGACTCAACAACTGCAGATACAGCCCGAGAAGACCGACATTCTCGGCCACTTTTCTCGCACGGACCATCGCTGGGACTGGTGCTGTCAACTCGATCAGTATCCCTCCTGGTGTCCAACATGTTTGACTTTCGAAAGCGTTAGGGTGACAACTGATATGGGCTAGTTGGTGACGGTGAATGGGATATGCTGGCTGGACCTTTTTGGGAGGACTGGCCATTTGAGGCCATAACGAAAATTGGGTATGTAGCCCCCTCACTGACTTGAATCACAGATATCGTCTGAGCTGCCCTCTCCATTGCACACTGTGGTTCCACCTGTTACTTGGATATGGTTCGTCATTGCCAAGGCCATTCAACTTCTCACCCTTGCCATCATCAATGCATTCATTGTCATGTCCTTGGACGTCGTCACCTTCGTTGCCCAGACTTGAGGTGCTGCTCTCAAGATCAGCAGCCTTTTATCGTGTATCATTAGACTATGATTTGGTCAATTTGAATTTTACTGCCGTGACATCCGTTAACTGTGAGCCTCTCAGACGAGCAGGGACCCCGCTCCTTCTCTTTTTGTTTATGCTCCGGAGTCTTGTTCACCCTGTCGCGATCATCGTAAATCTTCTTAGTTGAGCGGTACAAGCTCAGTATCACTAGTCTGTTGTGACATTCAATGCACCTTGTGCCGCCCACGCAGAGCAGCCCACCCCCATCTTCAGGACTCGGATCTGCCACGCCCTGCGATGGCCCACCGCTTTTCTTCTTAACCTTTGATTTTACCTTGATGTCGTGTCTGTGACTCTACGTACTCTGGCTAATATACGCCGATCGTGCTCTGCTCTCGGGTTGAAGACCCTCCTTAAGGTAGGATCCTTTACAGCGCCTGTGGAATTTGGTACATTAATTCTCCCACGATTGGGTGGTAGAGCTTCCACCATATTTGTTGGTTGCGGTACCGTCATTTCTAAGATGAAGGTTCATCTTCGTGTTATCGTTTAGAAGACGGGAATTAGACGGGACGCCGACACTGTAGTTCAGCCTATCACTGCTGCTATTGACCCTAACACCAGGTTTTCCTAGTATATGGACAATCTCCATCTGCGATCGCATAGGACGTTCTGCATTATAGATCAAATGTGCTTAATATCGATGGATTTTACCCACGACTGGATTCCGCGGCGCGACATTTGAAGGAAATTTCAACACACATTTTCTTTGAACTTTCCACTCATTTTATGCTTCAATAGGGGATGCAGACGCACGGAAGAAAGGAACTACAGCGAGTATGCATAAACGTAGTTATTAGTTTGCATAGTAATACGAATGTCGTCTTTCATACGGATAGCTTCCTCCTATCTCATGCTCCCGCCCATATGACTCTCGCGCAGACGGAATATTACTTATCAGATCCTGCTGCTCGTATCTGCACATGCCAGGTCCACGTTCCATGTACCGCTTGTCATATTTCTCCCTAAAAAATGCCACGTCGCGGAGCTGACCCCCTTGCTGCTCTCGCTCATCGAAAGACGGGATCGACAACGTAGGGCGCCAGATGAGCTTTGACTTCTTCATAGAACCACTGAGCTGAGTGTAGTCTCTCGAAGCTGTCATAGGTCGTTCCGAGTACGGAGAAGAGATTGACCGGGAAGAAGCTACAGTTGAGTTCATATGGTTTCTGTAGTGCCGGAGCATATTGGAGTTGACGTTGAATTCCCTCCTGCAGCCAACTACCGGGCACCGAAAAGCTATGTGCGTAGCGCTCAATATAGATGAGCCAAAGGCAAGTTCGTGGGAAACTCACGAGTAGCGCCGGTATGAGTATTGATATGAATTTTGAGGCCGCTGGGGCGGCCAAAGCGCTTATTGCAGATTGAACAAATAAACCTTTTCGTGTCGTCTTCACCATCGTCGCTTGCTGATGGGGGTGAACGACGGCTAAGATCCTGAATACCTTTTGCCGCCGGAGATTTATGAGAGAATGGAGAAGAGTACGCAGTTCCTAAGCGACGGAAATCGGACGAATACTGCTCGCGCCTACGAAGTGGCGGAGTCGGTACATATGGATGAGAGGGAACGAGGGTCGGTGACGTATTGTATTTGATGCGTACTTCTGGCGAGATACATAGCAAGTGTTCTGTTGGCCAGTTGCAGTAGACACATCATCAGTCATAGAACCAGGCGCAGGAATGATATCGTGCTCACCTGGGAACATCTCGTGAATGCTAGGGAGTGAGATGTTTTCAGCCATCGTACTTGCTGGCCACTTCGGTGGCGAGAAACCTAGGGAGGTGTCATTAAATATTAACCAGTTATGTACCTGTTCCGCGCTTCTAAGGAGAGGTCGCCGATTTGTTCAAGACCGCCGAGACACTCATCTCACCCGTGAGGTTCAAGAATCTGCCTGTCGACATCGGTGTGGACTCGGTGTGCATTGCGTATGGATCCTTCAATAGTTAGTTCCCATCATTTAATACTGTCAAATAAGCTCACCATTCCGCAGTTTTGATTTCCCCACCATACACTTAAATGACATCTCCCAGGTTCCCGCATCCCGCCACAATCTCGATTTCAATCCTGTCGCTCTTCGGATGAGTAGTAGCCTCAGTAGACGATATCTCTACTATGTGATGACCGATGAACTAATGTGTGAAATTTCTTCGTCTGCGATCACTTCCGATCTTACAGCTTGTCCGTGGTGGAAACATTTGAAGACAACGGTTAACTTGAATTCCCATGCCATAAGGTGCCTTCCCGTTGATAGATTTACAGTTTGAAACCGGCTTTTTGCTTTGTTTGTACTTGGTTCTTCGTCTCCTTTAGAGAGAACGATGCGTATTGAATCAGGTTAACTCCACTTTCCCCGTCGAAAGATGTTTTCCTAATTCGAAGAGGCAATTTAGCCGCTACATTGTATTCTCATCTATCCATGCTATCCCCATGACACAGGAAGTTATTTTAGTATACACTCGTTCGCACACACTGAATGTCTGGCAGTTTCCGCCTTAATTTCCACACCAAACGGCACGTTGTGAACCTTTTGGGTAACCATAACACGGCGATCATACTCCACACGTTCCTGTCGTTTACTATGGTTATCTAATTCTACGTACACAGACTACTCCCTCGCTAAGAGTAAGATGACTACGACGTATCCGTTTCTCCTCGATGCACGTTGAATCAGACACTATCATAGGCCGAAGAAGAAGCGGGGGATGGCGCAGCTGTGATCAATGCATAATAAGACGTGCTACAGATTATAAGCTGTTCTGGGGGAATACAAAGGGGCCTAGGGATAACATAATGTAAAGGATACTATGGGAAAGGGCGGAGTGGATCCAGAAGGAGTAGACATGTGCTCCTCATACCGTAGTATATTTCCCCTTATACACTTATAAACAAGAAATTAGTGTCGAAGACAAAGGCTGTTTGTATGGCGTCTCGCTGGTTTTAAACACGAGTACACAATTTGATGTGCCAGTCTCCAGAGCGGGAAGAAGGAGCGGAGTTACGTAAGGCGCTGTTCTCTTGATTCCGGACGTTGATGAGGCCAAGATTGGGCCAAGACCGGGTCTGTAATCATGTCAACTATAATCAAAATATCTAGACTCATGAGATGCGTCGTTTACAGTAACGCGGCAGTTAAGATAAAACAACGCGATTTCCTCGATGTAACTATGATCGAGGGGAATCCCTAGGGTGTGGACACGAGAATTTCGCTCACTTCTGACGCTTTGTGAATGCGGATGCGGTAAATCTACTTCTTCTTTCGACATCATCGCATACTAATACGTTCCAAAAGCTTGATAGATCGGCGATGTTGTATACCTACCCGCTCCAAGGGACGTATCTGTGAGCTATTCTGAAAGGGAATACTGCGCTTGGGCTCTGGCGTTGACTCCCGCAATGAAAGACGGCTTCCAAAAGCCCCAGGTGAATGATCTCGAAGATTCTTCACCAACACACTGTTGTTCATATCAAGACATTAGTCTTCGGCGCGGGACAGTTTAGCTACACGCAGGGCTCAAGAACTTCTTGAATAGTGAGTATAAGCACCACGCAGGATAAAATACTAACTACGTTTGGGTACATTAAGGTACGTTATCATGTCCCTACTACTTGTATTCTGGCGTTCATATCCTTGCAGAACGGATTGCGACTTCTCCCTCCTTGCGTCAGCTATTGACCTGTCATTTCCGAGATGATCTTCCGAGTTCTCGTCTAGTACAGTTAAAATCCCTGTTACCATCCGCACCGTAAAAATGCGCTCAAACGCGATCATATATACCGGCTTCTAGGATCTCCATCCGCCTTGAAGAAAATTCTCGTGACACGGCATTTGACGCCGAAAGGCTAGATCTCATCTATGCTATTTGCAGGTAGCTGTATGCTCGACGTGATTCGGATGCTACATTCAGGGGCGTCGAGACTTGGTGCCGCCGACACATATCTGGTGCATAACAGAGTTCTCCGTATACTCTATTCTTGTATGATGTACACGCAGCGCGTGGCACCCGTTCTCACCATGATTGACCGAATGCGTGCTTATCTGGACTCAGTTCTTCGCTGGGTTTGTATTCATCGAATGCAAGTGACGTTTTCATTTCCACATCGTAGTCATGTGTGCATAGAACCTCATAGATATACGCCATGCGGTAGGGTCCTATTGAAGGCATACGTGACGGAGATCCACTATTTCTATTGTCAGCCTCGGAAATGACAATCCCGCCCAAACTGCATGAGTTGTCTACATGAATGACTGAAAATGCTTCCCCTTGGGTAGGCTGTTTATCCGCAGATGTTTTCAGTTTCAGCTCAGCTGTTATCGAAAGAGCGTGTCGGTAATGGATCGCAAACCTCTGTCATTTGAAGCATTCGATCCTTTTCAATCAATTTGGAAGGTACCTCTTTGGAGTTCAAAGGAGAAAACACCCGGCGGTAAGATGTCATGCGGGCGGTAATGTATAAATACTGACTCTTTCCGCAGGTGAAACATAATTCAGTTGAATAGATCAGGAAGCATCGGCGAGCACGGTCGATGAGTATCAGGTCGCTACTTCGAAGATTGTATCTTGTGGATCGGCCTAGGTCATAATATCACGTATATACACTATGACAGTCAGGAGTATAGGTGCTACACACATCATGAACGAGAGAATAGATCGCGTCTAGTCCCCGTGTCGGCTTTCCGGGTATTTTTCAAGACTCAAGCGTTCCTCGCAGATACATTTTCTGGCTCTATAAAAGCCGATAATTCTCCTTCAGTTTCCGATGCATACTCGCACGCTCCGTAGTATATACCGTTGAATATGATTACTTATCATCGAACAGAGATATCAACAACAGGTTTACGGTATGCTGCGATGGATGCATGCTCCTCAGGGTAGATACAGCAATGCTATTTGTGCACCGGGTTTGGTGTAGTAGGGAAGCCCGAACATCGGATAATGAAGACATCTCGAACAGTCTTCTCGTCAGTGCACGGGTTCAAAATCGATGATCAATCTATACAATGTTGGTGGAATCGATGGTCGTTCTGCGGGGGTATCACAAAGGGCACTTGTCGTCAGATGTCAATGAGTTTCGGTTCATGTCTTGACTCCTAGGCACTGCAGGGAGGGTGTTTCTTGGCCTTGCGTTCACCATACAATACGAGATATCGCTTTGGGGAAACCCTGCCGATTTGAGAATTATTTTTTACGGTTCAGTAAACATCTCGGTTTGGATGCAAGAAGGACTCTAAGGCAGGATTGGAGTCTGATTATGGCATCTGCGACACGTTCCTTCTCATCTAACTCTGGCGACAGGTTTAGGTGCATATTTGTTATACCCCCCAACGCATCGTTGTGACAAAAGCAGTCGGGATGCGGAAAAGCCGCCTGTTCCTGGTGTCTTTGTCTTGCAGTCTTGGTAACAATTTCAAAAATTAGTGCGTATTGTAAAAAAATACAATGAACAAGAAACATATTAATCTCTCTTTGAAGTGGCAATGATTCCAATTCATCGCCGAGAGTAGACTATTTAAAGAGGGTCCCAACAATGTGGTCTTTCGTCCTCCCCGTCAAGACCGTCTACCCTTACACTCGGAACTATGGATAACTCCAACGGTAATACTCGAAACAAAGACGGAACAACACGACGGAACAAACAGCCATTCATGTTCGACTTTGTTGCTTTTTGAAACGAGTGGCTGAAATCCGCGAGCTCGAAGTGAGCATTTCGTGCTTTTGACCAGTCTTTCACGGACTCAGTATGCACGATATTGCGTCTCAGATCTGTCGTCGAGCACCATCCCATCCTCACGACCGAACAGCGCTTAACCTTCCGCTACAGCATCCACGACACATTTGCCATCATCATGACCACGTTCTTCGACTACATGCCTGGAAGGCCTGAAATCGACGCCGATAGTGGAAGACGACTCCTCGAGGTCGACGAATGGGTGGAAACTATCACCATGCGGCCAAAGTCTGTGTTGCTTGGGGTGTAATGATCGCGTGGTGTTTACTCGCCGTGATTATGATGTCAGGGTGTGGTAGAAGCATCGGGATTCATGCACTGGGATTGACGATATGATAATGAAGGCGGTCGTGAAGGAAATCGTCGAACTGGTCAGTCGTACGGATCCGCCGGATTTCTCCCTTGTAACGGTGACTTAGGTCTGCACATCTATGTCTGTTACGTGCCGATATGAATCAACTTGTTCAGGGTGCATTTCACATGAAGCTCTCACTTCAGTAGATCGGCGCCTCTCCTTTGAAGTGCGACACGTATTGCATTTTAATCTTCTGCTACCACATGCGGAGACCAGCGTGTACATCATTGAATTGGTGCTCATTGATATCCCTTTTCTGGTGTTAGCGCTGCGAAGGAGTGTCATTAAGGAACTCACCTACGAATATCATTACCTAGCCAGCTGCCAAAACAAGGTCCAAGCACCCATTTCTGAATTATGGAAAGGTAATCGCGCACTAGGATCGAATACGGGTCAGTTTACTCTGCAAAGACGACACTCTGAACTTCCTGGTTCAGTGGGAGCGTAGGTCCGCTTCGAAATCGAGATATCGGGAATCTCGCTGTACGGTCGTAGCACGGCTTCGCAAATGGAAAAAAAAAAAACATGTCCAATAGTGACCCTGACTTGAAGTTATGTAAAAGAAGACTAAAAAATGGTCAAATTCTGCATGACCGGGATTTTTATGTTGGATGAGCGGATGAGGAGACAAGACACTAGGAGGAGAAGGAAAAGCTCCGAGCGGAGAAGCGACCTATCTCGGCTCAGGACCCCACTGTCCACGTGGGTCAGTAGCAAGCCATTTTGGAGTCAGAATTCGAACCTGATCGATTCCCGCACGGTGCATGCTTTAGTGGAGTCCTATATTTTTGTTAACTGCCATAATATATTTCATCATGACGACCATCGAATCTGCAGGTCGTGAAAGGCGCCTTGTTCATGATATCGAAATTTAGGATGTCACAGCTGCCTCACCCTTCCATTTACGAGAATTGCTTTGGTCGGACGGGGAGGACTTTTTTTATCTCCAGTTCTCCGCTCAGCGTTCTCGCGACGAGGATGAGGAGACTCGCTTTGCCCTTAGCCGTGAAGCCAAACCCTACCACGTTATCTATACCGAACCGTCCCACCGCCCGAATTCCTATGCGCGTCAGAACCTTTGCCCAATGATAGTTACGTCAAAGTTGGGACAATATTCCACTTTCGTCCGGAGGATCCAGATAGGTGTGTTATTTGACCGTGTATGATCCAGGAAGCTCGAGCCTGCGAGACGTTGATGAGGTAGTACCCTCATCCGAATGTGGCGCGATACTACGGATAAGTATGTTGAGAGGGGTGGGCTGATGGTCGGGTTATGTTTTAAGAGATACGTGCAGACGCTTAGGGATGCTGTGGAAAATGGTGTGATTCTGAGGGAAGATATTGAATCCTCGCTTAATCAGATCAAGAAGGGCGTCGAGCACGTTCACGGTCTTGGCAAGCTGGTACTCGTGAGTTCGTCTTGCAAGCGCTAGAAGGCTCCCTACCGATCACCGCGCAGAACGACAATGATCCCAGTAACATCATACTCGACGCAGACGGGTCATTGGTTTCTTGCCTTGAACAAAGGAAACCCATCAAAGGAAAGAGTGGCACCTTTCCGTTCAGTAACGAGTCTGAAACAGCGGAATTAGAGAATGATTTTTATGGAATTGAAAAGACACGGGAGTGGATAGAGGAAATGATTCTGCGGGCGTTGCGCAACACGGCGTGTTTTATTCGCTGTTGGGATGAAATAACAGCGTTAACGTACGCCTGGCATTTATAGGTCCTTCTCAAGTACTGCATCTGACAGAGACCCGCCAACAGGAATCATCGGGAGTACGTTTGTCTAGAAACCGCTTTGATTTCACGGGTCTGTTTTATAGACATCTCTCTGCGAGGAATATGAAAGGACCAACCGTCGCTGACTTAAAATTCTTACGGATATCCATCCCATCTTCGAACTGGTATCCACAGAAGCATCCCGAATTTGGGTGGATATTCCATCATTGGAATGACTTTGGGTACAATTTAGGTTTGTGTCAGGATAGCTGTCATGCGACCCGTGAGTCTGTGTCGCTAGAGCTCAATGAATGGGGACCGTGGAGAAGTTCCTATGATGTTCGGTGCTAGTAAAGAAGTTCGGCACCGAGTTTGCCGAGTCTGCTTCTTCCGCTACTCCTGTCATTGCTTGCTTCATGTCAGAGAAACTGCCGATTTCTGCGGTTCGACTTGCTAGAACAACCTGATACTCATCGATGTCACCTTCCCGACAGTTTCCCGCGGTGCCTGCTCGTAAACATCAATTAGCATCTGTATCAAGACGCGATGAAAGACCCCCCTTTGTTGCCTCAAGAACCTCTCGTCCTTGCAGTGAACCACTGGCTTGATGTTTGCAACTGTTTGCAAATGCATTTCCCCTTCTCAATTCGCCAGTCAGCGACTGACTAGCACTAGTAAATATCCCTAACAACTCGAAAACCTGAGGAATGAAAATTTGAAACTCGAAGTCTGCTCAATGAGACGCTCTTCGAACAGTGTTGCTGTTTAATCGGGTCGACCTCACTACCGTGGGATTTCGGCGTCCCTGTCAGCACTTGGAGGTCAGATGCATACCCAACCATATTAGTATGTATCGTTTTTTTTTGTCCCGCCACCATTCTAATCGCCATATTAGCACTCATTCAGGTTTTCTGGAAAACGGATCAAGGGACACCGTCGGAGCGAACAGCTGGGATCGAACTATCTAGCGCCTGGTGACTGGTCCTTGCGGAGTGGCATGTGCAGCGGGGACTCGGTTTGTTTTCCTGTACTTGCAATTGGTTTCATCTTTGGCTCACCCAGACATTTATTCAGGCCAGCGAGAATGCTAATATACTGTAAGTGTTAGCCTGTGCTATGGAGGCAAGCGAGTCCAAGAGCCGCCAAGACGCGTCGATGGCGTGAGAACTAATATCACGTGTTACAAAGCAGACGCGTCTATTTCACTTCGGATTTGCAATGCCCTTCCGAGTTGTTGATAGGCTGCGAACCCCTTTCCGTCTTTCTTCTACACCACCACTACACCACCATTCGACGTCGCATCGACCGCCAACACGATGCCGAAAGTTGATACCAAGACCGCCAATACCGAAACCTCGTTCACGGTCAGCGGACAAGGGGAGATTAAGAAGCTGATCACAACGCTGATTGGGAGGGGCACGGGAAAGGACGCGAAGGACCTGGTATCCGTTGTCTTCTTCTGTCTTATTGGTGGAAGCCTTATTGGCGCGTGTGTAGACGATCTCTTTCTCGACAGCCGAGTATCAAGAGAAGAGTAAACGAGGTGAGCAAATCGCTGAGCTTCTGAAACGGCAAGTCTTCCAATTACTGCGTATCGTATCTTTACTTAAAGTCGCCTTTAGGACGCCTAACTTTACGACCCTGACTCTCAACTTTGTGAGTGCCGTCCATTTCATGACCGAACACGCCTTTGACGCGTAATTTTAGTCTGGTCACCTTGACACGTATTCGGATTGTCTCGGAGAGAAGCTCATGGTTGCATTGTGCTCGCTAAAAAGTCTCGAGAACTTTTCTCACCATGCCACGACATCTGCGCGTACGGATTTCGGCCAGTATAGCTTGATGAAATTGGTCTCGTCTTGGCCGAACCTCCGGACTGTGAGCATTATCAGTAGGTTGTTATGGCATATACTGAACAGTCGTCTCCCAGCTCTATCTCGCTGGAGACACGAATGGCAGTGAAGACTGTTCAACGATCCCTCCAGCAACGTGCGCATTGGAATCGGTCACGTTCGAGCGCTGTATGTCCAATTTCGAAAAACTGGCACCCATGTTTGCGGGATCTGCGAAAAGTCTGAAAAGCTTCGAAGCCTGGACGATGGGGTTTAAAGAGGTATAACTATCCTTCAACCTTCCTCATGTACTCACTAACATTTCTTAATGATTTAGATCGACGCTGTGCTCCGAAATGTCCTCCCCTCCATCGAGTCGCTCCATATTGGAGGCTGCAACCACCCTTCGAGAGACTTCATCCTAAGCGAGCTCTCCAATGCGCCTCGCCTCCAGTCGATCGACCTTAACGGGGACACAGATACCGGCGGAACGACGCGCAAGGCGTTTGCCGAGGCGCTCACCCGGGAGGACTCTTTCCCGGCTTTGAGGTGGTTGTCCTATCCTGGGGAGAGGGGAACGTACAAGACCGGACGAGGTAGGAATGTCCGGGTGCACGAGTATGAGAATGTGGGTGCGAAGGAGTTGGAGGAGGCTGCGAAGAAGAAGGGTGTTCGGGCGGAGTTGGCGTGGAGGGATTTGGAGTATAAGGTTAAGGGTGCGCAGAGGCGGGCTGGGTTTGCTGCGATGGGTAGGAGGGGGTATTGGTGAGCTGGATAAAGACGTTTATTTGTATGGTGAACATGTCCGGTTGTTTTATGTTATTCCTCAGAATTATCGTCGTCATTTAGACGGTTATTTATTTATTACCTGTATTGCTTCATAAATTCATTCGACCTACTAAAACTTTTGGCAGCTAGCAGTCGGCATCGCTTCTTCTCGGTCTGTAAATTGATTTTACCCCCTCTATCTACCGTTCAGGCGATCATCTCCGCTTCGCGAGCATCTACTTTCATTCCGTGCTTTTCGTCATATCGATAACAAAGACTTCCTTAATCAAATGCTCACCTTTTCCGTGTACCATGACATTAACCAGCGGTTCAGGATTGAATTACGAACAGGGGAAGAATCAACTAAGTATAAGTGGTATGACAGCTAATTGGTAGTCATAATCAAGGTTCGAGTCCCCATATCCAGATAAAAATTCCATCGTGGACTTTTTCTTAAAGAGTGCAAGTATGGGGACTTGGGCACCTGCGTGCTTTCTCCCTGTCTGGTGTACAACGTTTATTCCGGTATCCTTTGAGAATGGAATTCGACGAGAAGATAAGGAATTGTTTATCCGTGGTACTCATTCGGATAAGGAGTAGTGGTCAATGGTATCGTGTCGTACTCTTGAAGGGCGAGGTTCGATTCCCTCTATCCAATTTAAAGGTGCCTCTTTTGATCATAAGTACTTTTGGAAAACGGCTGCTTCCTGGCTTTGAACAATGCGTTTTTCTCTCTCTAGCAAGTTCATCTCGCGTTTGAAATATGTGCGAGTCTACAGGATCGACAAACTCTGACGGACCCGAAAAGAACATTCTGGGCTCCCTGACCTGTTGATATTCCAATCAGTGCTGCGGGATGGCGGTAGTAGGTAAATGAAGAGCGACCTTGGATAATGGTGTATTGGCGTCCCCACTGGGTTCGATTCCCTGCATCTGAATCGTATTGCCCTTGAACAAGTTTTTCTTTGGTGTCGTAAATACGGAGTCTGTGCGTGGTTTCGACATCCTGCATCCGGTGCCGCTTGTCACAATGAACAGGGCTCTTTGGGAACATATTAAGTCTTGCTTTACATCCTGAACAGAATCCTACTTTCAGCGCGTTATCGTGCCTGGCATTTCATCATCCAGGAAGAGATCTGTGTTAGGTCAATGGTAGCGTTTGACGGGAAGGGTTCAATTCCCCCTAACAGAGTCGATGATAACAGTGCTTCTTTTCGTACATGGTCATTCCATACCTTTGGATGATCTGTTTTTGTTCGCCTCTCGCCCAGGTGTCCCGTATTCACTGAACAATGGATATAAAGATCGTCTGTTTCTGCTTTTTGAAAATGAGTAGGAGCCCGTGGGCGCTATGACTCTTGGATACACATCTGAGGTACTTGTGTTATCGAACAGCCTGATAGTAAATTTCACGTACAATTGCTCGAATACTCAGGATGGACTGTGAGATTCTCCCTTCGCATTTAAGGAGAGCTGCAAGTAACAATGAAACTGGCTCAATGGAGTCTGGTTGGGCACTGAACGAAACAAGACGAAACAGCTAGGGTTTGTGTCTTGCCGATGACAGAGATAGCGGAATTCCCATACTGAGATATTAAGGATCTTAGAGTACCAACCAATGGGTCGGATATGGTGTAATGGCTAACATTACCGCGTTTCATTGACGTATGTCGATGCGGCACTTTACGCTGTAGCTCGGGGTTCGATTCCCCGGATCCGAACTGATGGATGCATACAGCCTCTTTTTGCACTTCGAAGTCCGGTCTGTGATTGCGCCTAAGACCACAGAGAGAGTTACAGTTTTATACTGTCCTCTAAAACAGTACATGTATTTTTCTGTTACTTACTTTAAGTATGCATTACGGGCAGGCAGCCAACACGAATACAGATATCTTTGTGTTTTCTGCACATTTTTCTGTCTTGCGGTGTAATTGGCTGAAAACCGTTGAAGAACTGTACTTTAATTTCTACATAACATATAAATGCTGTAGCCTGTAGGATCGAGTAATATAGTGACCTCTCGACAAAAACCTCTCCACTACGTGGGCAGGTGAATTACTCGCCCCAAACCATGGTGTATCAAAGCTTAGGGTTGTGCATGAAGCTTGGAATGCAAACCTAAAGTAAAGTGGACAGCACACGTGTCAGTACCAGCCTTGCAGTCCTTATAATCGATGTGATTCATATAGGATTTACAATCGTGTCTCGCAGAAATGGCTACAGCGTTTGGTTCCCTATTTCCGGTTATGGAGAACGAATTAGAAATACCGAGCTGAGATTTAGGTGAACAAGCATAATAGGGCACTTCTTCCACGAGGGAATCTTAATACTGGGAGGTGATTTAAAGGAGACAGTGGGAAATGCCCAAGACTTGGGAGGATACTTCCGCAATCGAAAATAAAAAGGTTTTTGAAGGTGTCTATTTCACATTGATTTCCCCATCCCCAATGATTCTTGAGCCGAACGATCCAAGTACCAACCCAGCTGCGTGGGATGTTCGGCTGGTGAAGAAAAGGAGACAATGCAGCACACTATTGACAGCCTCCCAAATATGTATTTCTGGGTAGGATTGGTGGACTTTAACACGATGCGAACGAAATGGAAGCAGACTTGTGAGAGCATCGGAGCCATGGAAGAAGATAAGAAAGGCCAGACTATGTATCCGAAACCTGAAATGAAAGAAGCTTGAAATCGATGTGAGCCACGAACGATGTCAGCAGTAGCAAAGGAAGCTGCTTCGGCAGAGTCCTGTTCGGTCCTAGAAGTTCCTGAGAATAAAACAAAACTGGTGCCGTGATGGACTTGTGATTTTGTGACCGGGCCCTTGCAATGGTCAAGAGGATAAATTATCTCTAGCTTTAGCTTAATTCCAACAGATTCTCGTTTCGTTGCGACTCGCACAAGTTGAAAAGAAAAAAGAACGTTGTCAGGCATGATTTAGGGCAGGCATAACCACGTGGGCTCCGTGGTAATGGGGATGCCGAAACCGGCATGTCCGATGATGGCCAGTTTCTATCTAAACGCAGAGCATCTCCGGTTATGTACACCCTCCACACCTCGTTAACATGAGCGTGCACGACCAGTGTATGTTTAGAAGTCCCCACACAGCAGGTCAGCTCACATCTTGCCAAACGTGAATTCCTCAAGGTTCGGCTATCACTCATGAATCTTCTTCTACTCATGGCCACCCGCTATTCAAGAGAAATCCATGGTTTAGAGAACGATGAATTAGCAGGAAGGAATACCGTCGCTGCTTTATTCAAGAGAGAGCTTTCAGAAGCTATGGATAGGAACGGTTTCCTTAGCAAGTTGCGAGGGAAAGATATTCAAGTGCGTACCGTCATGCGTGTCCATTTCATTTCATGAAGTTCCCCCTTGACATACCACGCGTATTGTAGAGGTGAAAGTACTTCAAACATCCTAGCCGGTCTGTTTACGTACGAGAATGCATCACCAAGCCTATAAAGCGTGTTACTTCAGTCCTGCTTCTAGCGACATCCCCGGACTCACGCTCAACTGTCAGTCATGGTCAGGTATCAACCCCTCGGACGAGTAAACCCACATAAAACTCGTCTTTGCTTCGTTATTTGTGCGCTATTCCTTGCCGCGGTCGCCTGTGTGGTATTTTTTATGATAGCCTTCCTGGTGGAACCCAAAGGCGAGTTCTCGTATGTCGATGATACAGGAACAGGAGAGAACAGAGCGGTAAGACCATGTTCATTTACTTGTGTCCTTCCCTTACATACGTCTTGAAGATATATCTTCACGCTAGCCTCATCTCCGCAGATATCGCTGAAACCACCATGATCATGCTCTGGAGCGTCGTTAGAGATACTTGTCATTCGAATTGCACGGATGTCAACATCTTCTTTGATACGTGAGCGTCATTAGCCTGTCACTTGGAGTCGAAAATGCTAATAGGTCAACGTCAGGAATTTACTTCAGTCAGACAACGAGGGCGGTAGCCCCGCCTCTAACAACCGACCCTCGAGTCCGACGTTCATCTGGAACGCGACTGCGGACGCCCACGACCTCACCTATGCCAAAGTGGCCAACTTTCGGACCGATGTCAATATCTACCCCCCGTGGGAGTATATTTATACTACTGTCACAGTGGAAGACGCCCATGCAAGTCTTGTTTTCTATCCTTTTGATTCGTATGTGTTTTTATTTTCAGGACCGTGACATTTTCATTTAGTTTGAGTCACGTAACTTGCTAAACCAGTTATCTTGCCGATATATTCGCCTTTGCCGAAGACGCATCCAACAATGACACTGTCTCCCTTATCATTGATTCCACTTCCGGATTAGCTGCGTAAGGTTCTCTATGGCCTCGCAGTAAACTTTCTGAGGGATATTATTCCAGAGACCTGGAAATCACAGCTGAATTCAAAAACAAAGAACCGTCTTTCCAAGAGAACATTGATGACCCACTGATCTTTCTGCGAGTAACTCTGCAACGTAGCGATGCCCTGAAAGCGTACTGCATCATCATTACGATCACATTTTGTTCGTTTTATCTCTCATGCTCTGGATTTGCGTGCTAATTTGCGGAAAGGGTTGATCACTCTCATGATCTTTCTCATTGTCATTACGGCTATTTGTGGATTCCGACAACGACATGAAATCTTCGTAGTGCCCATAGGGACTGTGTTTGCTTTCACTCAACTGCGACCTTCGATGCCTGGTGCTCCCGATGGTTTTGGTATCATCCATCTACTTCTTTTATGTTTCATGAACTCAAAGAAATTATGCAGGAACCATCCTCGGTTCGCGTTTGTTTCGTGTATTTTCTGCTACTTACCTAAATCCTGATGAATAGATTTTTTCGGAATATTGCCTTGCCTTGTCTTGTTATGCATCGCTGTGAGTCCACCGGCATTTCTTCAAATCTGAAGTAACAAATACTTGGATATCAAACAGTCTACAATGATGGTCGGGTTGTACTTATTCGCTGACCCCGACGACGCTTCTCGTGGAAAGCTCACCTGGGGCGACTTTAGTGAGTGTCCTACCACGATAATTTACGACGGTATGGAGACTTATGAGCCTATAGTGGATGCACTGAAAGTCAAGCATCGCGCACGGAAGTATTGGGCATTTGCCAAAAGTTTGGTTGGATTGGCGCACACCCTGAAGACGTCAGACGACCGACCTAGACTGTCGTATGTGTATCGTCGTAGAACCGTACAGAATACGCCGGGATTTCAGAGGGAAGTGCGAGGTCGTCCGCACGGATTACAGCATGATGTAACTAAGATCTTCACATACACGCTATATCTGATTCCCATTTCGCCATTTGAAGACTCATTCACTATTGTCATTCTCGCTTACTTCCCAATTTGCGCCCAAGCAGATTTAGTTAGAGACATCTCGACGTCTTTTCCGGAAAAAACATAATAATCCTGGTGCTATTCCAGCCCGGGTCTGGGAGTCGCCTTCTTGCGTGGGAACGCAAGCACGTATGACTGATCATTCCAACCAAAGATATCTATCCCGAGGTATTTCGGACATAGAAATCAATGTATCTCTGCAATAAGACGATAAATACTACATGCTGAGCCAATGTCGAATTTCACAACATGTCCTCGAGATACAATATATTCCCATAACGTTGAGGAACATCAAAGCACAGCCAGAACTGTCATCAACACAACCCCAATCGCCCCAGCGCCTATCGTGATCCGTCCCGCACCGCTGATCTTCTGACTCTTTACGGCGACACCCACTTCTTTGCATGCATCGACATAAGCTAGAAAGCTCTCAGATCATTGAGACGGGGAGGAGAAGTTAGTAACACTCACTGTCCATCCATTGCTGCGCTTCTGTCTGGAGACTATTATTCAGCCGGACCTGGCAGTCCATGCATACGGCATACTGGTCAGCTGTATGAGTCTGAGCATCCACACGTATCATCGTCGGCGCAGTTCTGTAGAAAGGAAGGTTTAGGGTGTTTGATTGGGGGAGGAGGCGTACGCGAAGCTCACGGCTAGGGCATAGAGGATTGCGCAGCTGTCCACGCATGCAGAGGAAATGGATGATGTTGTGGAACCGCTGTATTGGCGGGAGAGGAGAGGGCCGATGGATGTAGGAACGTCTCTGGGTGAAGGGGAAGACATGCCGTAGACTGGTGTCGTTAGTGTAGATGTAGAAAAGCGTAGAGTATGCATACCTTCGGTAGACAAAATACCGGTGGCAAGAAAGAGAAAGCGGGTGGAGATCATTTTTGAGATGAAAGAGAGCTAAGGGAGAGGGAGATGATTTGAATTTTTTTTATACGCTTTACAGGCGTCTAATACGAACTTGATATGAATCAATGACAGTGCAGACAGGACGCGGACAGACACTTACAGCAACGGTTTCGCGTTTCGATGAGGCACGGCGATGTATGGTGATTAGAAGTGGCGGCCCCGCCCAATCAAGCCACGGCATTCGCGAAAAACATGATTCCAGACAAAAACGGCATGGATAGTGGGGACCTTGAATTAACTGGGTCAGGGCTTCAGCTCAAAATGTGAAGGTTTAGCGCTCGAGAATGTTACCTTGAGAGGATCTACTTTAGTCCACAGGCTGCGGAAAATCTTGTACACTGCCACTGAAGCTCAAGCTTGGCAGGTACAAGTAGCGGTGTCACCGTCAACGCCGCTCCCTTAGTTATTAATAGTGTAGGGCATTCTATACGACTGAGTATGTTATGAGCGCTGGTTCCTAGAGAAAAGGAATGTACCTGCCCAACTCCCCTGTAACGTCCTTTGTATTGTAAGTTATATTCAGCGTGTTGTCAGCGTGTCTACACATGGTGCATCCCTTGTAGGTATATGATACTCTGATGAGGAAATTATCTCAAACTAGTTACTTACATTGTAGTTGTCATTTTGACATTGATAATCATCCGGAGTTTGGAAGTGCCAGGTCAGATTCGCCAAAATTCTGAATCCTTGGTATAATCCGACCCTCGGGTCGATGGAAGGTGAGTCAAGGAGACAGAGACCCAGCAGCATCTTTCTTGTCTTTCGCAGGATGTAATCCCATTATATCCTCAGAAGTAAATCATAACAGGCAATGAAAATGGTCGCATAGGTCCAGTACGTTGGTACCGTTCCAAGTCAGGCAGCGCCTCTGGGTCAATGTGCCTGGTGCGACGTAGTATCGGCGCGGTTGCTACTTCAATGAGCTTGGAAGAAAAATAAATGAGACAGACGGCCAGACCTGAATTTATGATGAGGACCGGAGAACCGGGGATATTAAAGACACGAGCAAGTCACCAAGAAGTCATGACAGCCTGCAAAGAAGGCTCCGCACGGAATATTCGATTGAACGGTGCTCTGAGAGAGCTAACGAAATTGATTCCAGAATACCTAGCACTGGCCTGCATAGAAGGAAGGGGCGCGGCGTGAAAGATTCGGTTGATCAGAGAGTTTCCCACGGAATCGCGTCGAGGGTCCGTGCTCGCTCGGTGTCCCGGGTACTCCCGCCCTAATTAAGGCTCCGACTTGCACCTTCCTTCCTTTCTTTCACTTACACCGCGCTTTTACTATACCCACCTGCTCCATATTTTCTCTTTCTCGTTTTCCCGACCCGATTACTATCTTGCTACATATGTAGAGCTACCGCCACAAGTCGACGTGCTGCAAAATAAGGATCCGGAGAGCTGGGAACCTAGGGTACTGCTCTATACTGTTTTGGGTAAGCATCAGCACGGTATGTCGCGCCAACCATTCATTGATCTGTCTCATCATAGTTATTAGGAGGAACTTGCTTCCCAGTGGCGACTCGTGCTGGAGGTGGTTGACCGCCTTTGACGATGCGAAGAGATTCTCGAAGCAGCGTCTGGGCCCGGGAGAACCTCACATTGAAGTGAGACATTTGCTTGCCTTATGTCACGTTGTGGTCGTATGCGTGTGTATATAACATGGTGCGCTCTTGTCTATATACTTCTTGACTTCGTCTTTGCTCATAAATGCATGATCAATGTTGCAGGGATTCTCCATTTCGGGTCCAACGACGAATAGGCAGGGTGTCTTACCTCACGAGTGTCGAAGGCCCTTATATTCTATTTGGATAGTGTCCTATGTATCGTTGGCGCTCACTGGTTCCCGAGGCGCTGAGTGACAGGCTGGTCAGCCTGAAAGGATTTTCATTGAATTACACAGCTTATTGCTTATCCGTTATCCGGTCAGTTCTCCCACTCCGTAGAAAAATACGCGTCTGATCTTCGCAATCCAGAATGTCATAGCACTAGAGATTCGTTAAGTGCAGGGCTGTGTGATCTCTTTGTACGTAGTCACCCTTTTGCGTGATAACGACGTCGCTAACTCCGTGTACCAGATATATATGTTATATTCGTGTAGCCATAAAAAATGCTATGTTCTTCGATACTGGCTACTACGCCCTGTTCGCAAACACAATATGATAGCGAATGACCGAAGGAGTTAGAACTTGCCAATCGCAGATCACCAAGTTCAAAGAGAGCAGAGCACCTCACTGGGGCATAGGCCTTCCTTTACTCATCGATGTCTGCCCTAGATCACTCGCTGAGCTTCCTCGCGCCCATCTCTACCAAGTCCCGGTTCTCTTTTTGTACGGAGAGAGACGAAAATGCTGGCTAAGGCCGGACGTGCAGGGACTACTGGAAGCAATCTCGCATACGGTTCACCACAATCCAGAGAAGTCCCTGAACTGAGGGAAAGAGCTAACTAGTAAGTCGTGCTAAAGATCTAGATGACAGAAATTCTGACTGTAAAACCACTTAGGGGGACACGCATAAACTTCTCTCTCTATAAATTCAGTCATAGCCGATCCAATTCGCGTCCTTTCATGGTTTTCTCTCCCGAGGAGACTAACACAGGCTTCGATCAGAGCTTGTCCTCCGAGTTTAACGATCAAAGCCAAGCACAATAGTAGACATGTTCGGTCCCCTTGACCATGGTTAGTCGTTTTCTTGGTCTTTGTCAAATTTGACTGGCCGTCTGAATCATTGCGAAGGTTGTGATATCATCCTTGTTGGTTTTCGTTATCAAGAACCTTTCAGAGAACCCTTCTCAGCTTTTAGCTTTCGGGTAGATAGTAAAATGATGAACGTCGAGTTTGTTATCGTTGGGGATCTAGCGACACTCCATCTGGCATATCGAAGGGAAGAAGATCGATGGCACACATATGGGTGGCGTTTCCTGCTTAAAATTCTTTGCGCTATACTAACGCGAATGCGTGTTTAGAATATGAGAATCCATCTCTCCATCACAAGCAAACAGACGTTCGACAAATAAAGTGGAGAGCGGAATTGGTGGTTCTTTCTCGAGTTTTTCCCTACTTCCGTGTTTGGTTCTCCGCAGGCCATTTATGAGGTCATAAATTGGAGCATCGTCTGCAGCCGGACGTGATGCACCATGGGTATCAGGTCGCTTTTTGTCTTTGTGTCTCTTATGCTTTCTTCTACCTTCGCGCAGCAGCATAACCTGGACCCCGCAGTCAACGGATCCGGCGATGAAGGTTGGCAATGGCTTCCAGAGGTTGTTGGTGCCACCATGTATCCCGAATGGGTTGTCGATAACGATAAAGGGGCATATCTAGTGAGTTTTTCCCTGTGCTCTTATCATATCTCTTTTTGATATATGCAATTCCGTCAGCCTGTGTATCAAACTGCCGGTTTGGACTCTGCCGAAGTCACGAGGGCGGTCATTGTTTTGCAGGGCAAAGTGCGCTGTATTTCTAAATCAGAGATGTTATTCCACTGACGTAATTGCATAGCAAAGGGATTGCTGGTCTAGTGCGTACCTGCTACCATATTTCATTACATTCTACTCATTACATTCATTAGGCTGGAATGCGGCAAACAATGCACTCTACGACGCTACCTACAACGACACGACCATCCAACGTAGCCAGATATCCATCATGGGCCCGTGCTTCCTCACCGAGGCTGATCTAGACGCGGGTGCGGCGCAGGGTGGACAGCTCTTATGGGGAGAAATGACATGGATCAGCTGGACAACGCAATGTTGCCCCAGACTCTGTATCCGGATATAGCAGTTTCAACGTCCTCGATTCACTAGTCTCGCATTATATGGACAGAAGCGTCTATCCGAATCTAAAGGTGAGCATTGTTTTTATTTATTACGTACGAAAACTCTGATGCTCATTCTCAGGTCCTCGTCGTCGGAGGTCATTCTGCCGGTGGCCAAATGGCTCAGCGTTACGCGACTTTGAGGATATCTACTGATGATGATGATAGGTTGCATTTCTGGGTCGGTGAGTGCTGCTCCTCCGTAGGCAGTAAACAAATGTTCTGATCGGCATTGAAGCCAATCCTGCATCGCTTTGTTGGTTAACGTCGGATCGCCCGATTCATAACGACGCATGCGAAGGTTATGATGCGTTCAAGTACGGGCTGGATTCGAATTTCCCCGCGTATGCTACCAAAAATGCTCGTGCTCTTGGAAGAGATGGTATCATTAAGAGATACTACAGCCGTACACTAAATTATGCCTGGGGACTGGTATGTACTGACTTTTTTTGTCTTCAGACGCTCACTGAGAAATCCTCTTAGGAAGACCAAGGAAATGGAGATACTCGATGCCAAGCGCAGGCGAGTCTCCGAGTTTCTTTCACACCTTCATTTGGATACTGATCACATCGCAGACACAAGGACACACGCGATTAGAAAGGGGACAGAACTTCGTCGCCATGTTGGAAAATATGGGTGGTATACCGAATCTCACTACCATCGAATGGGTACCTGGCGTCGGCCATAGCGCTCAGGATATGATGGCGAGTGATGCGGGAATCGATAAAGTAGGCGTTTTCATTTCTCGAGTTTGTTACTATGTCTGAAGGATACAGTTATTCCGGTACATGGGTAGCGGGAACAGTCCTTAGACTCCATCAAATGGCATTCCATGGAGAGGAAGCTGCCTTCATGGGGTACAGCGTGATGGAGTTCCTGATCTTCGACCGAGGTCGCTGTAGTTGGAGGAAACCCACGGCACCGTCTTCAGCTTTGTTGAGCATCAATATAATAGAAGAAAGGATTCATCAGACTGAACATTTAATCGCTCTCATGGACATTGTCCAGAGAGTATAGCAGGCCAGCTTGGATAGAAGCTACGAGATATACTGCTTATCACCAACGAGCATTGTTGGAAAGCCGAGAGATTGCATTTCCTTGATCTCTCCAGATGTACGGGGAAGAGATATCACAGAGCGAGATCATCGATTACGCGTCTAATGGTAATAATGCGAACTAGAATTAAGCCTATCCACGCATCCAATTTTCGATCTCCTCGCTAATCCTATGCAACTTCCAATTCCACTGGTGATCCGCTTCATCAACAAGTGGGGAACCACCGCCCAGTAAGGTCGTAATGATCGTATCCAATTTAAGGAACACATCCTTATCCTAAAGCTATGATGTGCATATTGTTATCGATACGATACAAAGTCAGACGACCGGCCTAGACTGTCGTATATGTATCGTCGTAGAATCATATCAATACAATGGGTTCTCAGAGGGAAGTGAGGTTGTCGCCACGGATTACAGTGATTCTAAACCATGTAATAGCGAAGATCTTCGCATCCACGCTATATCTGGTGCCCATTTCGTCATTTTCAGACCCATCCACTCTCCTCATTCTTGCTAGAAATAAATTTGAGAATAAAGGCTAGGAAGAGGCAGGCGGCGTGAAAGAGTCAGTTGATCAGAGAGTTTTCCACGGAAACGCGTCGATGGTACATGCGCGTTCGGTGTCCGGGGTACTCTCGCCCTAATTAAAGCTCCGACTGGCCTTCCTTTCTCAGGTAACTTGCACCTCGCTCCGTCAACACCGCCAGTATCTTCCCACCTATGTAGAGCCACCGCCGCAAATTGGCCCTCAGCAATGCAGCTGGGGCAACTAGGATGCTACATTGGAATCTGTATAAGTATTAGCATGGTATATCGCGCCAACGGGTCGTTGACTGTCGTAGGTCGAGGGTGTAAAGGATTCTAGAGGGCGCAGGAAATTTTTGGACTGAAGCAATGCGTTTTCTTCTCTTTGGCACATTCTGGTCGTACGCGTGTGCATGTAACACGGTGCGTTCTTATCTGTATCCTTATTGACTTCGTCTTTTCTGATATCCCAATTCTGCAAGGATTCTCCGTTCCGGATCCAACGAAGATATGGACATGGTTTCTTTCCTCGATGTAGCAGCCCATGGGACATAGAAGCTCACGGGTTCCTTCTACGCGAAGCGCCGGTTGATAGGCTGGTCAGCTAGGCAGGTTTTCCTGCGTGGATTACACAGTTTAATTCGGTCAGCTCTCCCACTCTCCGAGAGAAACACGCGTCTGACTTCCACAATCTACGGTGTCATTCGCGAGGAATTTATTCAGTGTGATGCTGTGTGTTTTCTTCATACATTGTCACCCTTTCCCGCGATAGCGGCATTGCTAACTCTATGTCTCAGATGTACATCGTATAGCTGTAATAAAAATGCTATATTCTTCGAAGGAGGCTGCTACACACTGTCTGCGAATGCGATATGATAGCAAGTGATTGTCGGTTATAGCATTGACGGAGTCATTTCGGTAGCTTTTCCATATTCATTCCTAGAACCTTGTTCTTCCGCGCGCCGTCGTTTGGCGTCTGACGAGATATTTTGAAAATGCACATTGATCGCCCCCACTCCACGCAAACTTGTTGGCCTCTGGGTACCGTCGGCAATCTCACAAAGACGAAGAGGGCGATATTCCCCTGAGGAGGCCATACACCGGATCCTGGCACCGACTTAAATGTCCTGTCGCGACATCTGTCATTCTGAAGTACATTATCTTTCGAATTCGCGCCGGTTATATTTCTCGGATGCAACAGTTCTCCGACGCAGCTGCGTTATACTACAGTAGAATGACAGAGGAGCTCGGGCCCCTAGAGATGATCCATATTATCAAGGTACGGCCCACCTTAACTACCCTCTCTCTCATCTTACTGACTTCCTCGTGCGACGTTGAGTCAAACTGCAGCAGCTCGACCCAATTCTCCATAAACGCGAGGCAGCTATGCGAGACAGCGATATTTTGGCGATATTCCTCTGGCGAGAACCGAACAGTATCATGTGACGACTTCGATGCCGAGGTCCCTCTCTTAAAGTTACGTCTACTTCTCTTCCAGACCCAACCGATCCGCCGTAGTTAGCCCTTATGAGCGGTTAAGCGTCCATCTTGACTAGTCCGTGAAGCTCCGCATGGGTACGGATACAAATACGGACATCGATCGGAAGCGAACGATTTGCACACACCTTGCTGCGGGCGCTATTCTTCAGGTTGACCCTTTCTCGCAGGATATCCTTTCGATGTTTGTCATCTAGAATAAAAACTCGACGACAAGAACATTGTCCTCCACTCGGCGCCGGATCCTTTCACCTACCCCAATATGAACACATCGCGAACTCACATATCATCCTCTCGCTAGGGCCTACGCATCGATGGCTACCCTCGATCTCTCGCTGCGCTTCCTCGGGCCTATTTAGATGACAATAATCAGCAAATCTCAGCGCTCTCTTCAATGGAGAGAGCGTATGAGAGCGTAGACATAGTTGAAGTGCAGTTGTCCATTGTCGCGATATTGATGAAAATGTGGCAGAGAACACTGGAGCTGAAATTGAATGGGTTTAAAGCTTGCTTTACGCAAGTCTAATTGTGGTGAGGGCAGAACGGAGATTGGCACCAGGATGCCAGATCAAATTATCTAGGGGACCGGGATCCTCACGGAAATTTCAACCCGACACTTGCTCGAAGGCCGGGTTCTCGCAATTGTCTCTCGATCGGTTCCTGGTAAGACAGTGCAGCACGGAGAGGAGCCACATCGCTCTCTCACTTACCCCCTTAGTGAAACTCGTCAATCATAACCTATTAGCGGTTGTCTCTAATTGCGTCGCTCACTTAGGACTGAGATGGTAGCCAAAAGCACCCCCTGGAAACGTCTCCAGGGGCCTAAAACATCCGATTTTCAGCGCGTCGTGTGTCTGAGCCGGTAAATACAGTACATGAGTGGAGAAAGCAAAAGAAAAGGTGTCCATGTAGTAGATAGAAATTCGTCCGAATGTGAAGGGTCCAATGGAAAGTCCGACGAATGCGAAAGTTCCAATAAAGAGTCCGTATTAGGGAAGAGGGTAACCGAAAAACTGCGACACCGGGTCTGATAACAGGACAGTGAGAAGGTGACTGAGAGAGCGACCTTACAAGCTTACCTGGTAGGACATACCGCAATAAGGAAAAGCTGAAATGAGAGTAGGAGAGAGCCAGGTCGATGCATAAGAACGCACGGACCGACAAGGCGGGGATGAAAGCAAGAGGTGCAGCCGATGAACAGAGGACGAACAGCCTACTAAGGCAGGGGATCACATGTTAACATATGAATAAAAATGCACTTAGTCGTAGGCAAAATGGCATCGAATTGAAACGCATAGACGGAAAAAAATGAGGGTGCGGAGATATTACAGCAAAGAAACATATGGCATCGGGGACTCAGAACGGTAGAAACCGTAAGAAAAATGAGTAATAGAAGGTCACGTGTTAGCCGGAAGAGGGGGGGGGGAACGGGAGAATTGAAACCTCCGAGAGTAAGCAAAAAGCACAGCCAGAAATGAAAGCTCAGGTTTCATGGGCCGAATTCTGTATACACAGGACTCGGAACTGCACAAGCTACCTCGACGCTCATGCAGGGAATTAATTCAATCAATCAAACTCCGACTTTAGGTCCGACTCTTTGGCCTATACCTATAAATAAACTGCCGACGTGGGCACTTGAGACGTGATGCGCCATGGAGCTCGTATCGCTTTTCATCTTTGTGTCTCTTATGCTTTCTTCTACTACACTCACACAACAGCATAACCTGGAGTCCTGGACCCCGCAGTCAAGACTCAACGGATCCGGCGATGAAGGTTGGCAATGGCTTCCAGAGGTTGTTGATGCTACTGTATATCCTGAATGGGTTGTCAATAACGATAAAGGAGCATATCTAGCAAGTTCTCGTTGTACTCGTATCGTTTCTCTCATTGATGTATAAAAACTCCTCAGCCTGTTTATCAAACTGCTGGCTTGGACACGACCGAAGTCACGAGGGCAGTCATTGTTTTGCAGGGGAAGGTGCATCATATGTCTGAATCAGAGATGATATTCTACTGATGCAATTGGATAGCAAAGAAATTGCTGGTCTAGTGAGTACCTACTACCACCTATCAAACCATTCTACTCATTAACCTCTTGTAGGTTGGAATGTAGCAAACAACGCGTTCTACAACGCCACCTATAACGACGCGACCATCCAACGTAGCCAGATATCCATCACGGGTCCATGCTTCCTCTCCGAGGCTGATCTAAACGCGGGCGCGGCACAGGAGGGGGCAGCTCTTATGGGGAAACACGACATGGATCAGTGGACACCGAAACGTCGGCCCCGACTCTGTGTCTGGATATAGCAGTTTCGATATCCTGGATGCACTAGTCGCGCATTATATGGAAAGAAGCGTCTATCCGAATCTGAAGGTGAGCACTTTATTTATCACGTACGTAAATCTGGTACTCATTTGCAGGTCCTCGTCGTCGGAGGTCACTCTGCCGGTAGCCAGATGGCTCAGCGTTACGCAGCTTTGTAGGATATCTACTGATGATGATGATAGGTTGCATTTCTGGGTCGGTGAGTGCTACTCCTCCGTAGGCAGGACGACAAGTGTTCTGATCGGAATTCAGCCAATCCCGCATCGCTCTGTTGGCTAACGTCGGAACGCCCGATTCCCAACGACGCATGCGAAGGTTACGATAAGTTTAAATACGGGCTGCAATCAAATTTCCCGGCATATGCAACCGAAAATGCTCGTACTCTTGGAAGAGATGGTATTATTAAGAGATATTACAACCGCACACTTAACTACGCTTGGGGACTGGTACGTGCAGGCTTCCTTTCTTGAGATGCTCATTGAGAAATCCTTTTAGGAAGATAACGGAAATGGAGATACCCGATGTCAAGCACAGGCGAGTTTTCTTATACTTTCAAGTGTCTTCCCCCCTTCTCTTCATTCGGATACTAATCATACAATCGCAGACACAAGGACACACACGTTTAGAAAGGGGACAGAATTTCGTTGCGAAGCTGGAAGACATGGATGGTATACCGAATCTCACTACCTTTGATTGGGTACCTGGCGTCGGCCATAGCGCTCAAAATATGACGACGAGTGATGCGGGAATCGATAAGGTCGGTGTGTTCAGTCCTGGAGTTTGTTACTATGTCTGAACGATACAGTTATTCCGATACATGGGCAACATCGACAGCGCTTAGCCCTGATTCAAGAGTATGGGTAGGAAGCTACTCACACGGATCTTCCACTAGGGTAGCTATCGCTGGAGGAAGTGAAGGCAGGAATTTGTGTTCAGTGTCTCGAGCTTTGGTTCCCGACTGAAAATATTTGAATGCCGGAATGAAGGAATCATAGTAACGAGCATTTAAACGCACTCATAGTCGTTGTCCAGAAAGTATAAGAGGCGGACTTAAATAGAAGCTACGAGATATCCTGTTTATTACCAATGAACATTGTTGGAAAGCCAAAAGGCGTTTACTTGACCTCTCCAGATGTACGGGGAGGAGATATTACGAAGCGAGATCATTGATTACGCGTCTAATAGGTGATAATACGAACTAGAATCAAGTCCTATCCACACATCCAATTTTCGATCTCCTCACCAATCCTATGTAACTTCCAATTCCACTGGTGATCCGCTTCATCAACGAGTACGCTCCAAAACTTGCACTGCTCCTGACGGTACTTTTGACTCAAGACACCAATCCAACCGTGGTAGGCCCAATGTACGAGGGACCATCATCCAGCAAGATCGCATTTCCCCGTAAAGACAAGCACGTCTGGAGGCCGTTCGTCAGGACAGTCTTCACAATATCCGCCAACCAGTCCCTCCAAGGAGTGAAAGGACCATCCAGACCATCCGAGTCCCAGCATCCAAGAAACGCCGATGGGGTATGATTGAAACTAGGGTGTGCTTGGTCGGGTTGCTGAATACGTTTGAGCATCGATTACGGAGGCCATCTGGTAGCCGAATAGTGGTCGCGTAGATAGCACCAGCAGAATATCCCTGGCGCGGAGTAAAAATCGGAGGTAAAGGCAAAATGTGCAAGGACCGAGCTTACACAAATAAATAGTTCACATCTACTGACTGACGGGAAGTCGTCCAAAAACTTGATCACCTGCTCTCGCAGATCTCCTGCTATACCTTCAGTTGTTACCTTAATCAATGATTCGGAGGATAAAACCGCATGCCTTGTAATCATCGATGTGCTGCAAGCCAATCCATTCAGTTATTATGCCTACGAATTCGTTTCCTCCTCCACTCTGACAAATTCTTCGAGCGTTCCATTTAACTGTCCTGGCATTCCCATTAACGCGGAGATGCTCTGCAATTGCAGGTGGAACGGGCCGTCCATCGTCCTACCCAACCTTCCGTGCGCCATGAAGGCTAGGGCAGACGGAATACCTAAGGGATGATCCTGTAGGCATTTTCGAGGTAGACGGGCATGGTAGCTTACCAGAGAGAATGAACGAAAATTCAAGGGGCTAGCATTGACTTGGACTTCTGCAGTTTGTGGGTCCCCTCATTTTCGTTGCTAAGGCTGATCGTTGCTATAACAGTAATATACCTCATCCATATGTACAGAGTTCGTGTACATATACTTATTTTCGCACCAATAGAGCTATTGCTTTAACGTGAGCTCCTTTCCCAGGTACTCAATATCCTTACGAGTGCTCTGGAGAGTGGTCCTTATGACCTAATGTGCGAGACTGACATTCAACTATTCACAGAAGATAGACATGGCGGTCCTGTGATCCCGACTGTTTTTGACAACATATGTCTAGTCAGACGGTTGGTAGATACTGGTAATTTGTTGTTCCATAGTTGCCGACCAGTTTCTCCCAGGGATTCAAATCCGGCTAGCAGGATGGTACGGTACATCCGTCTGGTGTGAGTGACGGATGAATTATTCTAACCGGTAGCTTGAAAAGCTCCCAGGGATCGCATTGGTCTATATTTTTAACGTGATAGTATGGTTTAAGAGATAACCACAAACTGTAGCCAGGATATTCTGGTCCGCGGTAATAGTGGAAAGGTTGAATATCATGATAGCGTACGGTGCTCTTCAAGGTTTCACCATTGGGACATTTCCATGCCAAATCCTAATTGATTGGGAATAGAACTTCAACAAGATAACTGTGATGAGATCATAATTCCTGGTTCGAATTGCCAGCGCAAAGGAGGAGGAGTGAGCATACTCGAGAAGTAAGAAGTTTGGCTATATTTCACTTTCCTCGCAACTACGTACTACCCTACCCTACTACACCTTTCCGTGATAAATCTCGGCTTGAATTGCATCTTTGGACCGTTCATCTTTGGTTGAATCGGAAGTCCGTCCATGGGTGATAACGGTTCTAAAAGACCCTTTTACCAAAAAAATTTGATCTTGCAAGTGATGGCCTGCTCTATACCGTCCTGTATTGCCAAATGCATTCATTAGCTGCGGTGCCTGTGTTTCGCTGCATCTTATCTACGATGTAATTATTTCGCACCATCATCAGACCCAACATGCCTTAAATTCAGTTCCTTGTCTCCTAGGCTTGCCTCGAATCGGAGCGCCCATTGATGGGTCGCTTGTCTGTTCTAGTTCGGCCTTTGTTCTCAAAACGATAAAGCGGTGGCACGTCAACGGTCACTGGTTTCAGAGATCAAACCCTGATGCACTGTGTGTTCCAATCGCCAAGACTCTTTGTTATCTCTCATTCATTTCTTTTTGCGCTCCCAGAACCACTTTCCTGTTCTGTCCTCTTCGGCTGCTGCGCACAGATGATCGGCGTCGTGATGGAGAACACGCTCTTTTCAATTACAATCAAAGGCCCGGGAGCTGTTGTATTGGATCCCGTCACTTATTCCTAATCCGTGGACTCTCATTGGCGTTCCTCTTATTTCCAATGCAAAGGCTAGCCGGCCCAGTCTCCGTCTGGAGCTTTCGTAATAAAATGTCGACGTTGTGCTGCTTAGGACGGACTTCTTAATAGATGATTCTCTGCGGGTACCTCGGGGTAATGGCGTTTAGGCAGTGCATAATTCAGGCAGTGTACTGCGAACCTGCAGTATTAATGCACGGCCTCAGCCCCAATTTATGTTTACCTACTTTCTCAATGCGGGACAGATAATTGTACGTTTAATCTCCATCCATTCACCCTGCATAAATTACTATCCCATGTTAAGGTTTTGGTACACTGCGTCCGGTACGACTGTCAGTGAAAGATTATGATTCAGGAAACATTGATGTGCAGAAACTTTCTGGCAATTACCTTGCCTGGTTTCGACAAACGTGGTGATCCCTATTTTCTTCGTGTATAATAAGCCTTCACCTTTGTATCTTGTTCCTAATGTAAAATCCTCAGTCCAGACCTGAGGTCGAACATCTAGGCAACGCTTCAATACGAAGGTATATGTATTCGGGCGAGTTACGTGATCGCATAGGTTTTGATATCCTGTTTCCAGCCTAGGCTAGACATTATGGATCGCTCTGCTTGATCGTTGAATGACATGCACTGGGTTTTGGTTGCGCATACTTACTTCAAGTCAAAAGAATCAGAAATAGACAACCGAAAGTGGTTTCGGTGTACGAACCTGCGGTGTGCGTCTATTGACGGTCGGATAACAACTGTACTTCACTTAACACTTGATGACTTATCTTTTCCATCTGAAAGATTGTTGTCTTGATGAACATCATGTAAGTAACACATAGCAAATGGGCAAAGCCACTTTTTCTCTTCGGTGGCGAATGTGACATAAAATTTGTTTTGTCTAGTTCAAAATAGGACACTACAGTTAAGATGAGAGACGGCCTTCTTAAGAATCCCAAGAGGTTAAAAATATGTTGGCTGCGGATTGCTGTATCTGCTAAACGTGAATCAAAGTACCCAGGCGCCTTTCACAGGAATCGCGGCCATCTTTTTCCGCATCAAATGCCAGTTGCAATCTCTATATCTGTCCGACATCAGTGCAAAGAAAAGGTCTAATCGGTCGGTAGCTAATGTGATAGGACATGGGTATAGTGATGTCCGGATCAGGCTTAAAGCCTATGACCCGACCCGACCCAGCCCAGTCCGGCCCTGAAAAGCCCGGCCCTGATGGAGGGCTTTGGCGGGCTCAAGGCTCGGGCTCAAGATATGGAAATCCCAAGCCCTGGTGTCAGGCTGGTGAGTGACTGTGGCATCCTGATATTAGTTTTGTACAAGGTGAGTATGGTTTATCTGTGAAATTCAAGCATCAATATGACAGTTTACAGCAAAACTTACCATGGAGGTGACATCTACACCTCATTTCATGCCTGTGGATACCAAAAGCCCAGCAAAATACCTGAGTCCAGCCCGACCCAAGCCTGACCCTGAGGTGGGCTTTGGCGGGCTCAGGGCTCGGGCTCACACATTCCCATTGCCTGACCCTCAAAAGCCCAGCCCAAGCCCGAAAAGCCCAGCCCGACCCGGCCCGGACATCACTAGATGGGTACATTGTCGTCTACCCATGCTAATCCCCTTACCTTATGGAGCTCTATTTCCGGCGGTGATGGTCCTATTTGAGGATGCTGTTAATAATCGGTTTTCATCGCACGCTGTCTTGTACGTGAGGATTAATAGTTTATCCCGTGAGTCTTGATCTCACCACCTTCTAACGAGAAACAGTCTCTCTCTTTGGCTGTACCAGGATCAGAAATGGAGACCCAGGCGTTGTCATAGCCTTATAGAAGCACTTGACACTCATTCGACCTTCTCTACTATCCCGATCATGAAACTTTGGAAAACTGAGACAACGGTATTGCGAAGCGGACCCTGATGCCGAAGGATATGTAGGCAGTAATACAGACTCTTGGATATATTGCAGTGATCCAGACTTTCTGTCTGCTTGGATGCAACTCTCGTAGTAGCATAATTTGTATGCTGCTTGTGTGACTACAAAGCAACCTCGGTGCTGATGGGCTCTTTCAAATCCACGAAGTGTAGTGTCATAATTAAGAGGAATTCAATTATCTTTGCGTCCGGAACAACGAACTGTGCATGGGTACAGTAGGTGGCAACGTTCTCTTGCAAATAGATACTCTTGGCATGCTACCGCAGCATGGGATTAAATCAGCATCATACCCGAAATAGAGGGAATGTGACTCAGAGAATCTGTTCTCTATATAACAACGCTGATTTCCTATACACAGTACCTGTTAACTATCACATCAAACAGTGAACACTTCAATCCGTTTGACTATGGTGGGAGTGCGGACAATTGACGAACACAGGCTATTCAGCAGCTGTTATCACCAGCCAGAGCTGTGGAGCCGATGAATGACACATAGAAGACTTGAGCTCCTCTGTATAGATTATTTACTAACTCGCGACTGCGGGTTTAGCCGGTAGGATCGTGAAGCTAGAAACCATAATAGAGTCCAAGAATGTGCTAGTGTGAGTCCGAAACAAATAGATCGTCCATCAAGGTAACAAACTGAATGAAGAGACGTGCAGATTGTTTACGACTTCTCTTGCCCTGTGATACACAAGGAAGCATCGCATTCCCATGTACCTGTGCAGATGACTGCGCAAGCACAAAGGAGTAGCCTTATCTCGAGCACAATAGTTGCATAATCAACTGTTAACAATAATATAGAATGAAATGTCCGAGTCCGACTGGTGTGGAATATATACGATAAGAGAGAGGGAAGCATATTAAGATATGAATAGAAAGCGGGTGCAAAGCTGCGATAGCAATGGAAAGCAGACAAATACGTGATGTCGGAGTGAGTGGTGTGGGTAAGGACCTGGCGTCGAAAGAATGGTAAGGGATGGCAAAGGAGAAAAGAGAAGTTAAGAACAAACGCAGTCGTATACCCTTCCCTTACTTGAAAGGGCACCCAGGTGCGTGGGCGCCCCTCCACCCGCAATGGCAGCATTGAGGCTCGCTTACAGTGCGAGAGATGAGCATCGACACGGTTGATGACGGCGCCCTCGAGGTTGGGATTGATGATTGCTGACCAGATTGGCAGCAAATAAAGACGGAGGATGATAATTGGGTGCACATGGTGATTTGCAAAGGGCAAGGATGAAGCTGCGCCGTTAGTTCAGATGTGAAGGTCTTGGCTGAGGAAAAAGCGCTTGAAAGATCACAATCTTTTATATGGTCCTGGAAACTGGCGTCCAGGTTTAGCAGTCAAAAGAAATATATTACGTCGCACCTGACAAAACATCAGAACGGGGAAAACAAAATTCCTGATCTGCTGATGCGTCAACGGGCTGATAAACAGGAGATATTGGTGGCTCTAACTGGATAAGGAATCCCTTCGACTGGCTCAAGTCGACTTTGCCAGACAAGATGCGAGGATCAGCTGGGAAATAATACAGGACGATAACTATAGTTCACCTTCCCAATAGCCCTGGGATGATTATAATCATGGGAGTACGCGGTTCAATAATGCTTGATGTGTCGCATATTAAACACCACGTTTTAGGGCTTCTCTACGGAGAATCGGGCCTTTCTAATTTCTACAGGACATGGCTGTCAGACATGGGCAGTGGGCAGTGGTGTTAACATTGCAAGCGGTGACGCGAATATAAGCGCGAAGCAAAAACGTATGCTTATGAAAAAAGGACAGAAAAATCGCAAGCGATGGTAATAGAAGGAAAGAAAGAACAGCGGTGGCGGCGGACTTGTCGGCCCTCGAATGCTTCATGTTACGTCATGCAGCAATTTTTCCGCACAGCCACACTGTTCTTGAAGGGAACATTTGATCAACGTCTGATTCTCGTACGTTATTTCTCAGATTCATGCAAAGATTGCGGCTCAAATCAAGGAAACGCTATTGGACCGGTGGCATTTGTTCGCGGTCTTTTCTAGGATGAGTCAGATGCATTTAAATATCCCTCAGAGACTCACACGCTGGGAAAAATTCGGGTATGCAGGACACTATACCATTAACGATGGCTGAAAGGATCGTTTCGTAGCTTCTCTCGGCTTTCTTCTTGCCAAATATCAGTTTTGATGAAATTTTGATCCATTATCTATATTTCTGATAGCCATTTCATGGTCGTAGCTTGTACGCAAAAAATTATTTCTTAGATTCTCTCGCTTCAAATTGAGAAACATGCCGCAGACTACAACGTTTGATATCAAACTATGACGGGACATTTCTGGACTGCGCTTCCTCTTGGAATGGCATTCTCAGTGTCCGTCGTGCACGCAGTGGGCTGGGACCATATGTTGCCGATCTTAATGGGTGTGAGTAATCAATCCTTTCCTTCGAGCCATTTGAAATAGTATCGACACAAACCAGATGAGAGCAAATTCTGTTTCGAGAGCTTTTTTTGGTTCTTTAGCCATCGTTCGGGTATATTCACGGGTGTGAAGCTTAGTGTAGGGCTAGGGTCCGACATCGCGCGTACTTGTACTCTTGGCGTACACTCTATTTCCCTCAAGCTGTAGCCTCGGACCATTCGGGTCAGGTATTTAGTCATTACTCATATCATATGGGTCGTCCTCGGTGTATACGTGATCCCGGATGGTTAAAGTGTCACGCATAAATCGTGTTTCATTGGCGTGGCATAACGTACCTTCTTTTATTATATTCACCGTTTGCAGTATGTTATGCAGATCCCCGGTTTTCGTCCGTATGTCTTCGAACTTTTTCTGTCTTAGCTAATTCCTATTATCGCATCAATCTCTGACCCAACTCAAACTGCCATCCCCCCTGGTCCCTGAAGCAATGACAGTCTAGGCTAATTGAGTATCGTTCCTATGTCAGCGGTTTTCTTGCAGCTGACTGACTGTCCTCGCGTATGAGGCTCCAAGAGCAGAAAGATGAGTCCGGAAGTGTGGTTAACCGTCATCGGAGAGGAGGGTGCGGGTGCTTGAATTGAGCGAAAATATAAATATTCTACAGTTTACAGTCGGCGGTGTTAAGCCAGGGGTCACCTGGGGTCTAAATAGATGTTATGATTGGATGGGCACCGTTTCATTATGCACAGAAAATCTTGGCCTGCTTCCCTTAAACGGCTGACTGGAATTCGTACTCCGCGAATGTTTTAAGTCCAGAAGAAAGATCTTCGTAGATCTTTGAGTCTGATGGGAAGCGGCTATACCGTGGACCTGTATGAAGGGATAAGGAATTGAATGAGGGTAGGCTGCACGGACAAAGCATGGGTCTTTTCTTGCTGCCATGTGAGTCATACATAGGATAATTTTCGGAGTTGGACCAGACATAATAGCAAAAATATCGCTACTGACCTATTCAATAGATCGACATTCCGGGGGCGAGGTAGTGGCTGTCCGAGGGGACTAACGCGATTCACGTCAAAAGGTTCGGGCCGGCTTACGGGGTGCAAGAGGGTACGGAAGGTCATAGGATCAGCGAATTCAAGCCGGAATTCGGGAAAAAGATACGCCTACTATCACCTACATTATGGATCGACCTAGGCTGACAAGCATCTGTCTGGCATTTTGACGAAACTGAGCTCTCGTAAATTATGATAATGTCGATGTTTGGATTAACTCGCGGAAGCATTTGAAAGTTCAGCCTCGATCTTCGAGGCTGACCCATGATCAGGAGCGAGAGCAACGAGTTATAAGAATGGGAAATTTCCACGTCGAAATGGGGTATGATTCTGTATAGTTTATACATGACGAACTCTATGTCCCCGGAGATATATAGCTAGTCGACACGGCTTTCAGTGTATGTTATCAGAGCTCGTTTGATTCTATTCACAGTCATGACTATCACAGCAATTTCGTTACGTCGTATTTTCCCAAGTCCGTGAGCTTGGCAGTTCGTGGCATTTAAACGCCCTCGGAACCCAATCATAAAAGTCACGAACTGCTCTTGGAGATGATCTCAATACGAGTCAAAGTGACCAGACTAACTACACATCCAGGATATGCCGCGGTGGTGAAGTGATACTACTCGTATCTGGAACACATAGCTAAATAAACAAAACACACAATAAATGGAAGGCTTGCAGATTTAACTGTTGAGTGATTTACTCACCTCGTTTCCTCTGCTCTTCACGCTGGGCCGTCAACAAAGAGATGGCATAGACACGCATTATGGAGAAATATCTCAATTTTTGTTTGTGCCGTTTTCCGCACTCGTTGGAATGAGCGTCAGGATAGCTTGAGGTTTCAGCGCTCTTGGTACAGACCTTTGTATCGTTGGGGCAAGTGGGAGCCGCCTGTCAACAAGCCAGAAGGGCGAATCTAAAGTGAAATGGACCGGTTTAGCAATCTGACGCATCTGTTATTGCGTACTTGACTGTGTTTTTAAAACCTGTCTAGGTGTTTGCCAGGTGTCTGGACTTGAGCTTGGTCATCCGTCAGAATTTGGTGAGGGAACAGTAGGAATGTATTGAGATTATTATTTGATAAAATGACGGCCGAAGGAAGCGTACAATTGTAAGGGAAGGAACAAGGAAGCGAGCCTCATTGCCTACTGCGCGGACCAAGTGCTAAGGAGTTTGATTCTGTCTCCGAAATACTGCAGCCGTGGGCACCATTAGTGTTACTTTCTGGGGGACTGTCATAAAGAACGCGAATGACACAAGCTCTGGGACACTAAAAGGAGAGGCATACTCTCACAACGGTCCAATGTACTTGGCGTTGAAGCGTGAGTCCATGACGATGCTCTGACTCCCGAAGTCTCAATTTCTTGGATTCTTCAAATATAATGAGGGCAGTGGCAGTGGGATTCGATCTAGGTCTTACGTGTTATCTTTAATTCTTCCAATTCGGCGTTAAAGGGGCGGTGGCAGTGAGAATTCGAGAGCTTTGTTAGTCGTCAATCCGACTGACTGAAAAGCTGAATAGAAAATAGAAAAGACGGTATCAAGTTTTTCTCAGGACACAGTGAAGGAAACGCATTAGTCATCTTTACGTCTGAATAGAGGGGCGGATGAACCGGGGTGCAGAGGTCTACCAGCGTCACTATTGAGGGGTTTCAAAATGATCTATCTCCGAAATTCGAAATAACGTGTATGGTTGATTCTGCATGTTTGAAATTTTGTCATGAATGTTTTTTTTTTGATATGTGGCTGCTACACATCGTAAGAGCCGTGATCATGTGTGATTGTTGGAAGGTTATCATTGGCAGCAATGGTGGAAATTGTGAAAGGAGCTGGCTGGGCTCGTTCAACATCCGATTTAGGCTCTTTTAGATTATAACGACGCACTAGTACGGATTGTCGGATATAGTGTAACGGCTAACATTACCGCCTTTCATCCATACTGAGCATCATATTCGAGGCGTGGTAGCTCAGGGGTTCGATTCCCATGTGACCGAATTGGTGCTACAGGAGCTTTATCTTCCTTTTTTACAGTCCTCTAATGTGTTTTGCATTCGCTAACTTCGCTTATAATTTTGGATAGTATTTTACATTCAGCTTTGAAGTTTTGGATGCTAGTAGCTACCTACAAGGTACTACATATATCTTCTCCCACCTACAGCGCTCCCAGTTATCATTTAATTTTTCTCGAAGTTGCATGTACCAGCCGTCTGATATGATTATCTGTTTCTCTAGTGTTATGGATATCGGGTATCCACTGCTTCAGGTGCATGAGTCAACATATGCCCATACTCAGGCCTTCTCAGTCCTAGTAGTGACTCGCTCATACTTTCCCTTATCTTCTCTTACTTTCTCTATTCTTCTTACTAATACTAGAATATTAAGGAGTATTGTAGAATAATAATGACTCGAACATTTCCTTAGTATATAAACTCATAGATAACATTGTATTAGAAAATATTTTACCAATCCACTACTTCTCGTATCCTCACACTGCGTGAACTCTCAGCTACGCTTAGCGCTTGCCTTCACCCTCGGCCCGTAATAACTTCAAGTTTACAGGCTTTATATATCGGTAATTGCTCCCTGCTTACCTGACTACTTCCCTCAGTAATTGCTTCGCGCTTGCTGATTTCCCTTATTTAGCAAACTGGGACCACTCAGGTCTCCTCACAAACCCTCAGCTGGAATCCATTATATTCCCTAATGACATACATCTCTTCTAATTAATCTTACCTCACTTCGATTACTGCTCCTTGCCTCGTGCTCACATATCCAGGATTTCGGCAGATCCATAACATCTAGTGCACATTTGGGTGTCTGTGAGAAGCCTCCATATTCGACTTTACTTGGTTGGATGCAGAGTATACTCATTATCCTTGTGGTTGGTTCGAAGAATGTTAACTTGAGCCTTTGTTGTGAATTTGCACCAAGGGCATCTCGACGTACAGGTGCACCTACTGTAGCACCAATTAGCCGTTACTGTTGCTTGTAGTCTCCAGAAAAACCAGAGGTTGTGCGGCTGTTGAGAAATTTTCATGGATTGCTTGGATAGAGCGTCGCATAAACGTGCAAGGAAGGTCGAAGAATAAATGGCGTCCTGGAAAGATGTGCCGGGCTGGAGTCAATGACAATTTCTTGATGATGCAATGCATGTGTCACATATCATGTGTAGACTCTAGGGCAGGGCAAAATCCCACAGCGTCAAACGTGTTGACCGGCATCCAATTGCACGAATTACTTCCACCACAATGAAACTCAAGGAGATCCACAGGACCTCAACTTTCACCTGGTCTCCATCTTCCTCTCTCCCTCTTATAGCAACAGGGACAGTCGCCGGTGCCCTCGATGAGTCCTTCAGCAATGAAAGCCAGCTTGAAATCTGGGTGCCCAATTTTCTCGACAAGAATGAGTTTGATTTGGGGATAGAGGGGCAGTCTCCGCTGAAAGGCGCTGTGAAGGATACGGCGAGGTGGGTGTGTGTACTGGTGCTGGGCTCAGGGCTGATGTGGTTTATGTAGGTTTAACCGCTTGACATGGGGGTATGTCGATAGTAGTCGACTGTGGGGTGTCATTGCTGCTGGTATGGAGAACGGCGAGCTGGCATTGTGGGATCCAGCAAAGATTCTTGCTGGTGCTGGGTGCGCTGCTTAGTTGGACTGTTTTTTTTTACTATCTACTGAACACGTCCTACAGCTCCAGCAAGTCCCTCATTTTGCAGAATACCACCCATTGGAACGACGTGCCTGTTGTTGGGAACCCTCAGAGCCCAAGTGTGTCTGCACCATCGAAGCCTGCTGAGATTACCTCGCCATTCCCTAATTCTACCCTGGAGCCTATCCCTGGACCACACAGACATGGGAGACATATCCTGCCTCCTCCTTGGCCTGGTAGTGTTGGTGGTGGTGCGAGGGTGCTGCTGCAACAAGGGATATATCTCCATCCTCCTGCTCCTGTGAGACCGCCTTCTGGAGCAAGCAGGATAACATCTCCTCCTCCGCCTCTGAGACTGCTGATGCCTAGTCAGTATGCGCCTCGTGCACCGGTTACGGGACAGACACCTCCTCCTCAGTTTGGGGGTCAGCACCAGTAGCATCATCCTGTGCCGCCACTGGGACCTTACGTTCGTGCTATGCCTCCTCTGGGGCAGGGTCAGGGGCCGTATGCTCATGCTCCTGCTGAGCAAGGGCCGTATGGACCCCTCAGGTGAGCAGACCATATGCTCCTCCTCCACAGGCACAGGGTGGTGCGTATGTGCCTCCTCCAGGCGTTCAACGACAGCATCAGCAGCAACCACCACTGCCTCCTCCTGCACCTGCATCTGCGCCACCATCTCAGGTGGTGAAAGCACCTCCTGCACCAAAATATCGTAAGTGTGTTTGGTTAGATGGTGTGTTTCGTGTTCCTGACATTGGGTTTAGCTCCTGGTGATCATACGCATATCCCTGATGATCTTCGTCCTGCATATGAGATTTTGTCTGTGCAGTCGAGCCATTTGAAGCAGGTTACACTGGTATGATTGTTTTTTTTCTTTCTTTGTGGTGTTTGGTGGGTGGCTGATAGATGGTTTGGTGTAGCCTTCGCAAAAATGCCAAGTTGACGATGTTGAGAGACGTGTAAACTCACTGTTCGATGTGCTGAATTGTGAGACGTTGTCGAAGCCTGTTGTTGATCAGTTGTTGGTTCTTACTCAGGGTGAGTTTTTTTTTTCTTGAGAGAGGTGGACTAACTAAAGGTGTTATTTATTAGCTATGGAAGCTCATGATCGTCCTGCAGCGCTTGTGATCCATGTGGATCTGTTGACGAGGGGGTCGCAGACTGATGATATTGCATTGTGGATGTCGGGGGTTAAGCAGTTGATTATGCGGTTGTAGGGATATGATGTGGTTTTTCTTTGAGTTTTTTAGAATGGACAACAAATGAATGCTTTGTTTATATGAGCAATAAGCGGGTTATCATGACTGGGAAGGGTCATCATCATCATCATCATCATATTACATGACATGGTCCACTGTAGAGATGGCCGTGGCGTACAGTACAAATAACTGGTTAGGGAATCTATATACTGTACTACCCAACACACCCACAGGTGATGAGCTCGCCGTGTTTCAGGCTGTAGATCGCAAGCAGTGTGAGAGGTTCAAAAACTAGTATCTACTCCAAAGAGTGCTGCCAGCTGTCGCAGAACAATGGTCAGCCAAATAAATGAGTGTTGGAGTTAGAATTTCAGCGACGCTGGATAGCAAGTGGTAAAAATGACTAGCTTCGTGCAAGTGATCGACGAAACCACTTGGCTGACAAATCCGACCCAGTGGGTCGGACCGAGGAACTATATAGTTGCACGTGAGCAACCTGGGTCCATCCACAGAAAAAAGAGTTAACTGAGGGGAAAGACTGGAGAGGCAGAGCAACGCAAGCAGTCACAAAGGGCGATAGATTGTTACATCGGGAAAGTAACATCGGTAACAAGGTGGTAGAAAGAAAGGACCGCTGTTGACCAAGCTTCAGTTAAATGAAGCAAGGAAGGACAGAGCTGTCCAGTATAATGACCAGAGGATTTTAGCAGAATCTGGAGATAGATACCGGGTCACCCATTCGTTAGCTAAAGGAGTAAACGGGATACCAGGAGTGCTAGAGGGAGGCACAGGAGGGGTTCACCGTTCACAGGATAGCAAGGCCGAGATGATGAACAAAAGTCATGGTGGGCGCACCATTCTTGTTTCTTGCTTGTTGTCGTCGCTGTCATCATCATATAGACCAGGCTCAATGGCCTCAGGGTGACAGATTGTCCTGGCAAGGCCGAATTCGCCCGCATTTGCCTGCACGGAGGACAAAGGATCATGATACCATAGTCTGGCGAGACCAATATTGCCTTGCGTCGTTATCTGCCCGTTGAGCTCATTGCCCATCATGGGCCGAAGAGTGAGCGCTGTGCCATCAGGACCGTGGAGTTGGACTGGTGAGATGTCATCGAAAAGCTGATGGTTGTCTCCTCAGGCCTCTATATTTAGGAAGGCACTCAGAGTTCATATTAGTGACTAGGTATCCTTCGCTGCCAGTCTGATGTGCGGCCATGGGGTGTGAATGCTCTGCTCTATATTCTGGCCTGGACTTTCGCGCGTTGGTTTTACAGAGTCAAGAGATGAGAAATTTTATGATACGTCGATATCCAAACACAGGAGGTTGTCGATGGAGTAACTGACACGTCTAGGGGAGGAAAACTCACTGACAGAGTAAGTGTTAAGGATTAAGGATTAGGGTATTTCGAGCTAATACACAAAGCAATGATTACTCAAGTAAAACCTGAGTTGTGAGCGAGGATGTCCGAAAGCCAAGTTCCAACCACCAAGAGGGATCCGTAAGGGTGTTAAAAAGTGCTAGGCATAGTTAACGGGGCATCAGCAAGCGCTAGGTGTAGTCGGGAAGCAGTTGATTGGCAAGCGCTTGGTGTAACCGATCAAGGTTGCTTAGATCCCACAGTTAAGTGGACTTCAAAGAGGAGTAAAATTAGATTAAGATTCTAATACAATGGTAAAGACAATCTTTATATGTTACTAGTAAGGCATTGAGTCATTATAATTCTACAATGTTCCATAATATTCTAGTATCAGCAAGAAGAATAGAGAAAGTAAGAGAAAAGAGGGCACGGTGAATTCTGCATTATCCACATGCTTGGATGCATTGCCTTGTGTTATCGCTCCTGCGTTTGCGTTTGCATTCGAACGCATGCGTTTCCTAAAAAGGCAGTTCCGAGTCCTATGAATATAGGATACTCGGTTATTAGACCTGTAACCGGTCGTCTTCTATATATGGGAGCAAGCTCACGATATATTTATAAGACAACCTGTACAACTGAGTTTAAATTTGGCAGGTTCATTTTTGCTGACAACGCACCTTCCTAATAAGATATAGTGTCCAAAATGGGAACACTGCACATGCCACGCCGCATCGCGTTAATTTTTACTCCCATCGTTAAAATCGCATGCCCCCCCACAATAATGACAACGAAAATTTTCTCCATACCTTCTCTATCGATGGAATAGCCCAAGAGACACCCGATTCAGTCCCAGTTGCACTCAACATGGTTTTTTCAGCTACAGGTGGACGCCAGCCTCGATGCTCCTTTGCACCATCATTCCGTCTCAATGCCAATACCCCTCTGCAAAGAACCACCTCCCTCCCCAGTCCAGTTACTCCTAGTGTATCCCTCCCATCATCTCTTATGAGCCCCGCTGGAATTTTACTGGAGCCATTTCGCTTCAATCATAATCCTCTGCAATCCCTTCACCAAAATGTACAGCAAGCATTGGCCACTTCATCCTCACCACAAATTATCAATCCAGCAGCATTCGAGCATACACCTCATGATGAAGACATCGATGGTTTCTGTTCGCAGTCTATGACACCCGTTAACGATGATTTCCTTCTTCCGAAGACACCTGATCAGTCCAACTATCCCCCAGATCCTTCTCACTCAGATCTGGTGGGCCTTCACCAATTGGCCGCTACAACGCAAGCTACCTTATCACAGTTCAAGGGGCCTGACACGTAAAGTGTCGATCTTAAGGCTGCTTCCGTTCTCTCTGAAAAAGTTGCGAAAGCGGTCGACTTTCTTAAGAGCATTGAGCTTTCCCCCTTCGATTTCTTTTCTGCCCTGGTCAACCACAGAAACTCGGGGGGTGTTTTCACCGAGTTTCAGCGACATTTCTTCCGTGAAACATCGAAGCAGTTTGAGAAGCTGTTGGATATCTTTTGGGCAAATCCGAAGGCGAAGGCAAAATTTTCAGAATGGATGCTTCCTCACGCTGTTTCAATGGTGAAGAACTGCGTCCATGACGAGATGGAACAGGCCAAGCCATATTTCCGAACTTCAACTGATGAGATGATGCCTGAGTTTCTCGCAACATGGAATATCCAAAATAAAGTGAGCCTCATCAACATGGATACGCCGAATACGCTGCTGAAACCTTGTATCACGAATGAGATGGTATAGACGAGATAGATGTCCAGATTTTGACCGAAAAAGCTGCTCTGTAGTGACAATGAGGTGACGTGCCGTCCCTGGCGTGCGAGTCGCAGTGTTATGAATGGTATTCTCACCACAGATGTCAGTATACATTGTCCGGAATCCAAAGCAAGAGAGAACAGGTGCCTACATTTCAGTATTCATCGTCGTGAGGAGTTTCATCGTTGATCGCAGCAGTCTCGATCCCGTAGTTCATTCTGAATGCCTCCACTTGAGCCTTTTGTAATCGTTTGAGCGGGGATATGGTGAGAGAAAGGCCGTCTGGAGTTCCATCGATGAGAAGAAGAAGCGCAATGATAAATGTTTTCCCAGAGCCAGTTCCTGCAATAACGAGAGAATCTTGATTTTGATACAAGGCCAGAGCAGCCTTGAGCTGTAATCCACGTGCAGCCTGAGTTCCATGAGTAGCATACCATCCAAGGAGAAAGAGCTTCGAGACAATTATACGTGCATTTGCAGGCAACTGGAAGAAGTAGAACCAAGGCACTTTGGTCCAAGGCACACGAAGAAGGCGAGAGTCGAGTTCATCAAGGGTCGTGGCGGTCCGAACATCATGCAGTGTTTCGTCAAGGGTTTTCACGTAAGATATCGTTGTCATAACATCAAAGAATGTTGTGGTTAAAAAAGCGGAAGGAGAGTCGTCATGAAGCAAGAGAAAGACGCGACGCAATGCGAGCACACGAGAAGTATTGGTTCAAGGCGCGTGTTCCCATTTTGGACACTATATCTTATTAGGAAGGTGCGTTGTCAGCAAAAATGAACCTGCCAAATTTAAACTCAGTTGTACAGGTCGTCTCATAAATATATCGTGAGCTTGCTCCCATATATAGAAGACGACCGGTTACAGGTCTACTCGGTTATTATCCAGGTGCTAATCCCCATGGGAAAATCCTATTTGTGGAATCAATCCATCACGGTCTTTGCCGATTCGCCATGGTCAGCTTCCTCCGTCCCGGTATCTTCCCTCTCGCCACGAGGAACACAAGATGGACGACAAGGCGACCTCTACTTCTCCTTTTTCTCCTCTCCTCCTTTCATCGTGTTCATTGTGTTATTTTCTTTGATCTTATCAGAAATTACCTCGCATGTTACTAGGGACATGGCGTCTACTATTCATAAGCCAGGGAGAAATAAGTAACAGAAATTTTCGGGTTCATCGTTGTATTCAGCGTAAGTATCTAGTATTGCTTTCTCTTGTCTTTTGTTGATCTATCAAACAGTTCTATCCACTCTACTTTACGGTTCCATCATCATCCTTTCCTCTCTCTCATGATCGTCCGTCCTGTTTGTCTTTTTGGCCCTCGCATCAATGTCTTCCTCCTCCTCTTCGAATCCAATCTTCCGCTTCATCCTTACGATGGTCTCTGGTTGCATACTCGTCACGTTTCTGCGTTCCGCAGTTGCCTTCTGTACCTTTGTTATTATCCCGCGTCATCATTATGTATTCCGTTACTCACCATCGAGTTGTCGCTGTTGACGAGGGCCAATGCCCTCAGTATCATCTTCATCCTCGCCGTACCCTCATTTGTCCTCAAGAGCATGACCAAGCATTGCGTGTCCACTATGTCTCCTACTCGGAATATCTGCGGCTTGGCTGACACGTATCTGCTTCATGAACCGTCATCAGTCGCATATTCAGTCTGCACATGACAAGAGAAAAAGACAAAAACAACATGAATTGAAAGAACGCTTGCCTCTTTTTCCCTCTTTCATCCATCACACCTCTGTAGTATCGTACCTCATTGTCTTCAGTGTGAATCCATTTTCGCTGCGCCATCTTGGCCAGTATTCCCGCAGGATCGACGTCATTTGGAAAAGGTACGCCTTCCTCGTTGTTTGTGGTGTTGCGCAGTCTGAAGTATCGGTTAGACAACTCTATAGCATCCAATCCTTTCATCGACATTGGCTTCCAGTGTTCGGGCTCTCCATCTCTGAATTCTCATTCGCCCATGACTTGCATACTTCTGATTGCGTCCATTGCATCATTGAAGCTTTCGCTGCCCAGTCCTACCAACCGTACTGACTGACTCAAGAACCTGACCTTCTCCTTCTGTGACCTATTCCAGCATGCCATCAGTGTTATTTGGCGTTACGTGTCGTGGCGCAATCTCACCTCGTCTCCTTTGCCACCAGTGGTAGGTCCATCGCATATATGGCCCCCGTGATGGTGAATACCATTTCTTCCATAGTTCTATCATCCTCGGACTGTTTGATGATCCTCCATACCCCCACCTTGTCATCTCTCTTGATGGATGCCGACTTAATGAAGTCATTGTCCTGTTGGACCTCAAGGCAAGAGAGTACTAGAGGTTCTGTTCGTTTTGTTTATCGACCCTCCTACTGACGTTCGAATCCTGGGTCTGCCACTTAATGTCGTCCCTATCGTGTGCACTTCTAACACCATTGTATGCAGTCTTCCAGATGATAATGCAATTAAGCTGTCATGCACTCAAGTGGAGGTCATCACCAACTTTTCGATGACGGACTTTGCATCACAAGGAAAAACTTGTCCATTCAACCCCGTCGACCTTAACAACTGTAGAACTCACCAATCATACTACACTGCACTGTCAAGAACTGCCACTGCAGAGGGTACGCTGCTATTGCCTGCTCTGGCTAACGTTTGGGCATCACCAATTGACCCGCGTAAGATACAGGGTGGTTGCAGCAGTTGATTGAGACAGGAATTCAGGGAGCTCGAAATGCTCGATGATATAACTATTCAAATATATGAAAGCACTCTGCCCATTACTGTGATCGGAGAAACAAGATATTCACTGATACGTAGTTTCCAGGAATACGTTGGCACTGAGTACACCCCCATCAACATGGATGCCAGGCTCATGTGGTCGATCATCGATCCTTTTGATATGGTGGACACTACTGATCTGGAGTGGGAGAAGACGTTCATTACACACAATCCAAGCAAACTATTCAAGTCGTCAAAACAGGTTAACCTTCTTGGTCCACAGCCTGGTAGGCCTTCTCTACCCAGTACCATACATGAGTCTCTTAACACGTGGAATGTTACTCCCATGAAAGCAGCAGAGAAGCACAAAGGTCGAGCATCTGATACCTTTGACATCAAGCAAACCATACCGGACAAGTGTATAGTGCAAGGTCAAGCCTCTGATACCATCTTCAAGCAAAGCATGCAAGACAAGCACATAATGCAGGGGTCGGTGCCAGTTAGCCCTGCTGGCTGTAAGTGGTCCAATAACAGTTGCACTTATGATGCTGTTTTGTTTGTGCTATACAATCTATGGAAATCGGATGAGGCCAAGTACACCACATCATTCGCTCATCTTCGCAACAGATGGATGGACATGGCATCCTTGTCGTTCAAGAAATACATAAAAGGGGAGTATAATTTGGAAGAAGTAAGAGACTACATCAGGAGAGCATTGCATCATGAGTATCCAACTGTCTTTGTGTTCGGCAGGAATACGAGCGTTGAAGCTGTAATGATGACATTGCTCAGAACCAATGTCACTTTCTCGTCCGACAATTTTCATTGTAGCTACGGCCAGGTAACTCCTATATCAACGCAGCAATGTTGTGTTGTAGTACCCCATTCTACTGCCCCTCTATGATGGAACACCTTGCAACAGTTTTTTAATAACATGATATCAGTACCTGTATCCAGTCAGGATTCCATATGCACATCATGCAATGCATCCTCTCCTAAGTGTACAACATATAACACTGCACCTCCAGTAATGGTGTTTGCTGTATTGTTCACAGACATGCCACCAGATGAAACCATCGAGCTCCATACTGACGAGGGTCCCGCCCTTTATTGCCTTGTGGGCATAATATACTTCGGCAATAGTCATTTTATGGCCAGATATGTTGATCCCAATAACATAGTATGGTTCAACGATGGTATGATACAGGGAAGATGCACGTCGAGGGAAGGTCCTATTGAGGGTATTAATATGTGACGAGATCCGAACGGCAAGGTGCCAGATACTTTCATGTATGGACATTGTGACTAATAGGTGTACTGAAGGGCTGATAAAAATAGGACTCGGAATTGCCACTCAGATGAGATGGCCCTCACCCACTAGTGGGGTACAAAACTAGGATGTGCCTGATCGGGTTGCTGAATATGTTTGAGCATTGATCACGGAGGCCGTCTGGTAGTCGAATAGTGGTCACGTACATAGCGCCACCAGAAGGGCAAGAAGAATTCTGCGTGGTCACCTGCATGGCTGCGTGGTATGCTAGTGTGGTCACTTGCGTGGTCCAAGGTATATCTGTACATAAGGGAGGGCTGTTCTTGTGGAACTTAAATGACCAATTTCATGGTATTGGCGAAATCGAGGAGCAACTGATGCGAAATCGACATTGAACTGATGTTCATAGTGTCGCGATGTTTTCAAATTAATGACTTCAAGCTAGCAAAATGAGAGAGTACCTAAATTTCGATATTTATCCGTCTCATAATCATAGATAGATGTATATAAGATGCAATGGTACCTAGGAATCCGATATTTGAAGGTTTAAAACCTCTAGTTGGCAAAAATTGAGGCTTTGAAATATTTTCAAACAAAGGTCTGTTTGTTGCAGACAATTTACCAATGAATAAGAAATAGATACAAGTGTATGTTTAGCTAAGCATTCTTATCATTGCGCAGTATATATGTACAGTCAAAGCAAATTCAACTCAAGTTTAACTAAGGACTTACGTGGCACGCATGGTACCACGCAGGTGACCATGCTGAATTTCTAGTGCTGCCAGCAGAATATCCATGGCGCAGAGTATAAATTGAGGATAAAGGCAAAATGCAAAAATGCGCAAGGACTGAGCTTACACAATAAATAGATCCCATCCACTGGCTGACAGGAAGTCATCCAAAAACTTGGTCACCTGCTCTCGAAATATCTCCTGCCATAGCTTTGGTTATTTCCTACATCAATGAGGACAGAATCACATGCCTTGTAATCGTCGATAGTCCACAAACCAAACCATTCAGTCATGCTTGCGAGCTCGTTTCCTCCACTCTGACAAATTCCTCGAGCATTCCATTTAACTGTCCTGGTATTCCGATTAACACTGAAGATGTTCTGCAATTGCAAAGGGAACAGGGGCCATCCATTGTCCTGCCCAAGCTGCCATGCACAATGAAGGCTAGGGGAGACGAATACCTGAGGGGGGATCCTGTACTGCATTTTTCGAGGTAGACGGACATGGTAGCTTACCAGAGAGAATGAACTAGAATTTAAACCACATTTAAGCCCCTCACATCGACTGTCCTGACATGCCTAACACATGCCCCAAGCCGTATTGAAATCGGGAATAAAGTATACTGTATTTTTCCAGATTCAAGATGTGTGAAGGCTATAAAAAAGCAAGAAGCCTATCAGTGTTTGTTCGAGCCTCAAAATGCCGTCAATGAGAACTAAGTTGTTTTATCGACCCTGTCCTGTAGGAAGCAGAAAGTGAGTTTAGGCAGGGCATGAAATCAAGCTTGATCTGTTGCCTAGGATATGTTATCCATTCGCATTTCTTCTGTCGCCTAATGAATTCCTCTTCGACTCCTACTAGAAGGGCTGACCTACTTGAAACATCAGTCGACTACCTCTGCATGGATTAAAGGATTCAGGACAACATCTAATCAAGATTCGATATATCAGCGCACCTATAGTGCACTGATGGTCTCTTCATTGAAATTTTAAGTAGCGTCGATCTCGAGGACTTCTGCAGTCTATCCATGTTTCAAGGTCCACTTCTTTCTGTCTGCGAGTCCCCTTCTTTTCGTTGCTAAAGCTTATCATTGCTATAACAAGGGACATACCTCATCCAGATGTACAGAGTTCATGTACATATATTCTCGCACTGATAGAGCTATTGCCATAACACGAGACCCTTCCCCAGGTACTCAATATCATTGCGAGTGCTCTGGAGAGTGGTCCTAATGACATAATATGTGAGACTGACATTCAGCCATTCACAGAAGATAGGAAAGACTGTCCTATGATCTCTACTGCTTTTGCCAACGTATATCTAACCAGATGATTGATAGATATTGGTAATTCGTTATTTCATAGTTGTCGATCAGTTTCTCTCAGGGATTCAAATCCGGAAGGCAAGATGGCACAGGTACATCCGTCTGGTGTGAGTGACGGATGGATTATCCTAACCAGTAGCTTGAGAAGCTCCCAGAGATAGTATTGTTTACGAGATAACCACGAACTGTAACCAGGATACTTTGGTCTGCGGTGATAGTGGAAGTATCATGGTAGTGTACGGTGCTCTTCAAGGTTTCACCAACGTGACACTTCCATGCTAAATCTTGATTGATTGGGAATAGAACTCCAACAACATAACTGTGACGAGCTCATCTTCCTAGTTCAAATTGCCAGTGTGAAGGTGGAAAAGTGATCACACTCGAGAAGTAAGGAGTTGGGCTATATTTCACTTTCCTCGCAACTACACCTTTTGGTAATAGATCTTGGCTTGAATTGCATCTTTGGACCGGTTCATCTTTCATTGAATCTGAAGTCCGGCCATGGATGATAATGGTTCTAAAAGCCCGCCTTGTGAAAAAACTTCGATGTTGTAAGTGAAGACCTGTTCTATACCATCCTGTGTTGCGAAATGTATTCATCAGCTGTGGCACCTGGATTTCGCTGCATCTATCTACAACGTGATCATTTGTGCAGCGTCATCAGACCCAACATGCATTGAATTTAGTTGTTTGTCTGCTTGGCTTGCCTCGAATCGGAGAACCCGTTGACGGGTAGCTGGTCTGTTCTAGTTCGGCCTTATTTGTCCTCAAAAAGATGATGCGGTGGTACGTTACCGGTTCAGAGATCAGGCCTTGATGCACCACTGTATGTTCCAATCTCCAAGACTCTTTGTTATCTCTCATTCATTTTTATTTTGTGCTCCCAGAACTATTTTCCCGTTTCTGACCTCTTGGGCTGCTGTGCACAGATGATCGGCGTCATGATAGAGAACACTGCTCTTTTCAATTACAGCTGTAGATCACTGGTCCTGGGAGCTGTTGCACTTGATCCCATCACTTATTCCTAATCCATGAACTCTCATTGGTGTTCCTCTTTATTTCCAATGCAAAGGCTGGTTGGCCCAGTCTCCACCTGGAGCTTTTGTAATAAAATGTCGACATTGTGCTGCCTAGGACTGACTTCTTGATAGATGATTCTTCATGGCTACTTCAGGGGTACTAATGGAGCTTAGGCAGTGTCACATGAAAGTAGGCAATGCATAATTCAGGCACTGTACTGCGAACCTGGAGTGTTAATGCACAGCCTCAGCCTCAATTTATGATTACCTACCTTCTCAATGCGAGACAGATAATTGGACATTTAATCTCCATCCATTCACCATGCGTAACTTACTGTCTAGTCTCATGTTCAGGATTTGCTACTCTGCATCCGATACAATTATTAGTGAACTCAATCGCAAGTTTTACAGTCAATCATTCTACACAAAAGTACCTTACCAATTCTATTTGGGAACCAGCTACCATCGCTGAGATGCCTTGCACACACAAAGACAGATTCCAATTCGGGACAGACCGACATGGAGAAAATCCCCAGCAATTACCTTACCTTGTTTTGACAAACGTCGCGAGCCCTACTTTATGTAATACATATTCACCATTCTGGCATAGCTTTTGGTATTCTATTTCTAGGCCTAGGCTAGGCATATGCATCATGGGTCGCTCTGCTTGATTGTTGGTTGACGTGCACAGAGTTTTGTTTATACCTACTTCAAGTCGAAGGAATCAGAAATAGACAACAATTGGACCTGGCGGACGAACCTGCAGTGGGCCTCCTGCGATTTTGATTTTCACTGATCACATGATGACCTGTCCTTTCCACATGAAAGAGTGTCACCTTGATGAACACCGTGTAAGTAACAAACAGCAAAAAGAGGAAAGCTACTTCACCTATTCAGCGGAAAATCTGGCCTAAATGTTGTTTTATCTGGTTCAAAATAGAGTGATCCATTTCAGACAAAAGGCACTTTTCTGAAGAATTCCAAGGGGTTAAAAAAGACATCAGCTGCGGATTGCTGTACTGGCATGCTAAATGTGAATCATTGTGCCCAAGACATCGCGCCTTTCACAGGAAGTGTGGCCATCTTTCACCGCACCAACTGTTGCGACCCCCGTATTTGTCCATCAGTGAAGAAAAGGTCTAGTTTGTCAGTAGCTAATGCATTAGGATGATGGGTATATCTTCGTTTCCACGACGCTAATCTTTTTACCTTATAGAACTCTATTTCCAGCGGCGATGTCCCCATTTCGGGGATGCTGGAATAACCGATTTGTGTTGCACACTGTCTTGTACGTGAGAATCAACAGTTTATCCCATGGGTCTTGATCTCACTACCTCCTAACGACTACAGCATCTCTTTGGCTGAATCATGATCAGAAATCGAGACCCAGCCACTGTTGCAGCCTTGTAGAAGCACTTGACCACTCATTCAACCTCCTCCACTATCTCGATCATGAAATCTTTCAAAGTTGACACAATGGTGTTACTAACCGAACCCCGATGCTGAGGATATGTGGACGGTAATCCAGACTCTCCGATGTATTGCAAAAGTACCGGTTTTCTGTCTGGTTTGGATGCAACTCTCGTTACGTAGGCTCTTATATAATTCTTTGTATGTTGATGCGTTGCTTGCGGTGAAGCTATAGCTCGTTTGTCCTTCCTTCCTGTTGTTTCTAAATATCTCCATTGAGCTTCGATTAAATCGAAGTTCTGGGAAAAGTCGACAGATCCGCATGCATCCTTCCTATTTTCATAGTTCGTTATCGTCACAGAGGATATCTGGGGGATATACATTGGAATTGCCTTTCCGCAGGCAACCTCGGTGCGGTCGGCTCCACTGTATGCTATGCAATACAGTATCTGAATTATGAGAAGTTCAATTATCTTGCGATCGGAACAATGAACCGTGCATGGGTGCAATAGGTAGTGGCGTTCTCCCGCGAAATAGTTGCTCTTGACCTGCTACCGCAGCACGGGAAAGTAGTACCGGTAAAGAAGGGAACTGCGACTTAGAGAATCTGTTCTTTAAATGACAACGTGATTTCCCTATGCACAGTACCTGTTAGTTATCATGCATCAAACACTTCGATCTGGTGGGAATATGGGAATTGACGAACACAGGCTATTCAGCAGCGTTATCACCAACCAGAGCTGTGGAGCTAATGAGTGGCATATAGGAGACTCGAGCGTCTCTGTATAAATTACTTCGTAACTTACAGCATGGATTCAACCAGTAGGATCGCGACAGTGGAGCCAGAGACCGCAATACAGTCCAAAAACGTGCTAGTGTGAGTAGGAAACATATAGATCGCCCATCAAGGGAACAAATTGAATGAAGAGACGTGCAGATTGTTTACGGAAGCCTCACCATTGAACTTCTCATGCCTTGTGATACACAAGGAAGTACCACATTCCCATGCACTTGTGCCGATGACTGGACAGGCACAACAAATTAGCCTTATCTCAACCGCAATAGTTGTAGAATCAACTGTATACACTATATAGAATGGAGAGTCCGAGTCCAACTGGTGTGGGATATGCACAATACGCGTGTGATAAAAGCGAGGAATACTTATTAAGATATGTATGGAAAGCGGATGCAAAGGCTGCGATAGCATAGAAAGGAAGAGTAAAAAAATGCGTGGATCAAGGAAGCGGGCAAATAGGTGATGTTATAGTGAATGGTGTGGGAAAGACACCTGGGTCGAGAGACTGGTGAGCGACGGCAAAGGAGAAGAGAGAAGTAGAGAACAAACACAGTCAGATTCCCTGCTGTTACTTGAAAGGGCACCCGGGTGCGTGAGCACCCCTCCACCCGCAATGACAGCATTGGGGCTCGCTTACGGTGCGAGCCATGAGCATCGACGCGATCGATGACGGCGACGTTGAGGTTGGGATTGATGACGGCTGACCGGATTGGCAGCAAATAAAGATGGAAGATGTTAAGGAAGCGCACATGGCGGCTTGCAAAGGGCGAGGATGAGGCGGTGACGTTAGTTAAGATGTGAAAGCCTTCGTTGAGGAAAAAGCGCTTGAAAGAGTTCAACCTTTTATCTGGTCCCGAGGCTGACATCCAGTTTTAGTAGTCAAAGAAATATATTACGTCGCACCTGACAAAACATCAGAAAAGGGGAACACAATTCTTGATCTGCTGATGCGTTGACGAGCTGATAAGCAGGAGATATTGGTGGTTCTAACCAGATAAGGAGCTGTTCCTCGACCGGCTCAATTGGACTTTTGCCAGACAGGAATACGAGGATTATCTTGCATGAAGTTAATACAGGAAGAGAGCTACAGTTCGCCTTCCTTCAAAGCAAAAACGAGGATATTCCCAGTCAACCAGAAAATACATCCTCATAGTCCTGGGATGAGTGTTCCTGCATGATTCGATATAAGTAGAAAACACCAAAACAAGGAATCAAGAGTATGCGGTCCGATAATGCTTGACGTGTCACATATTAAAGATCGTGTTCTAGGACTTTTCCCGGCGAGTCGGGCCCGTGGTAGGCATTCTAATATCCACAGAACATGGCCGTCAGATATGTGGCGTTAACATTGCTAGCGACTCGAGCATTAGCGCAAAGCGAATCGTGTGCTCAAGAAAAAGGACAGAAAAACCTTGGAAGCGACGGTAATAGAAGGAAAGAAAGAACAGCGGTGGCGGCGGACTCGTCGGCCCTCGAATCTTCATGTTACGTCATGCAAGTGGCGTTGAGCAATTTTGCGCACAGCCACACTGTTCTTGAAGGTAACATTTGATCAACGTTTGATTCTTGTACGTTATTTCCCAGATTCATGCGAAGATTGCTGCTGAAAATCAAAGAAACGCTATTGGGTCGGGGGCATTTGTTCACGGTCATTTCCAGGATGAGTCAGATGTATTAAAATGTCCCTCGCGGACCCACACGGCGGGAAAAATAGGGTACGTAGGATATATACCATTACCGATGGATGGCTCGAAGGGTCGTATCGTAGCATTTCTCGGCTATCTTCTTAGATGTCAGTTTCAATGAAATTGTGATACATTATTTATGCTTCTGATACGTGTTTCCTGGCCGTAGCTTGTACTCGGAAAAGTATTCCTAGATTCTCTCACTTCAAATTGAGAAACATGATGTCGCAGACTACAACGTTTGATATCAACTGTGACGAGATTATTTCTGGACTGCGCTTCCGAGGGGCATGGTATTCTAGTGTCCGTCGTACGCCCAATAGACTGGACCATATGCAGCTGACATTAAGGGGTGTGAGTAACTCTTTCCATTGAGTCGTTTCAAATAGTATCGACACAGACCAGACGGCAGCAAATTTCGTCTCGAGGGTTTTTATTTTTGTTATTTCGCCATCATTCAGATTTCGCCACAGCTACGAAGCTTCGTGTGCTAGGCTAGAGTCCGACATCGAGCGTACTGTACTCTTGGCAAACTCTCTATTTCCCCCAAGCTCTAGCCTCGGCACATTCGGGCCAGGCATTTACATTACTCATATCGTATGGGTCGTCCTCGGTGTATACGTGATCCCGGATGGTTAAAGTGTCGCGCATAAATCGTGTTTCATTCGTACGGCATAACGTACCATCTTTTATTATGTTTACCTTTTGCAGTGTTGTGCAGATCCCCGTCTTTCGTCAATATTTCGTCAACTTCGTTTGCCTGGGCTCTTTTCCTACTATCGCATCAATTTCCGACCCAACTCAAACTGCCATCCCTGAGGCAATAACAGCCTAGGCGATTTGAATATCGTTCCTATGTCAGTAGTTTTCTTGCAGCTGACTGTCTGTCCTCACGTTTTGGGCGCCGAGAGCAGAAAGACGAGTCCGGAAAGTGTGGTTAACTGTCATCGGAGAGGAGCATGTGTGGAGCTTGAATTGAGCGAAAATCAAAACGATATACGATCTACAGTCAGGTCAGCGGTCTTAAGCCAGGGTCACTCGGGGTCTAAATAGATGTTACGATTGGATGAACACCGTTTCATTATGCACAGAAAATCTCCGCGAAGTAGTGACTGTCCGAGGGAGACTGACGCGCTCACGTCAGAAAGTTCGGGCCGAGGTGCTGCGCGCAAGAGGGTACAAAAAGTCATGGGATCAGCGAACTCTTGCCGGAATTCGGGAAAAAGATACGCCTACTGTTACTTGTATTTTACTGAGAAAGTCATGTATGTAAATGGAGTGATCCAGGCTGACAAGAATGTATCTGGTATTTTGACGAAACTGAGGTCTTGCAGATTATGACAAGGCCGATGTTTGGATTGCGTTGTAGAAGCATTTGGAAGTTCAGCCTCGATATTTGAGGCCGACACGTCAATAAGACAAGGTCTGGCGGTTCAATATGCGTAGCGTCGAAGCATGAGCCACAAGAGGGAGGCGGCATTCAAAAAAGACACATGACGTACATTTTCGTGTTTAAAGCTCGGACCCCTCCCCCCTACCCTATGTGCCTATTTTGAATGCCGCCTCCCCCTTGATGAGCCATCGAATTCCCATGTTCCTCCAAATAGAATGGTGCAGTAGTGAGTTAGATTCCCGTATATACTAGAGACGCAGAGCTTTGTTTGTACTGGATGGTCTTGTTGGCGGCGGCTCACATGTAATTATGCATAGTATTCTTGTGGAATCCACGGCTAGCAATCTTGGTAATCAGGGCTACTTCAGCGATTAGAATGCTTCGAAAGGATTAAATGAAGGTGGCGCGTACCCATAATGTGCGCTGGGTGCGGTATAGATATCTATTTTGCGTTAGTCGCTCGTTTCCGATGTGACTGGACTGAGAAAGCTTGAAATAGAAAATAGAAAGACAGTCGAGGGAACAAGTTTGAAGTCAAGTCGTTCAGCCCGTCTCAGGACTGACAGTGAAGGAAACGTGTAATTAATCTTTACGTCTGAATAGAGAGCGGATGAACTGGGGTGCAGAGGTCTACCACGTCAGGCTATTTGAGGGGGTTTCAAAATGATCTATCTCCGAAATTCGAATAACGTGTAGGGTTTGATTCAGCGTGTTGAAGTTAGCATCGTGTTTTTGATATGTGGCTGCTGAACACATCTGAAGAGACGCGATTCATGTGTGATTGTTGGAAAGGTTATCGTTGGCATCGATGGTGGGAATTGTGAAAGCGGCGGGCTCGGCTTATTTTTACAACTTCTTATCTCGTCTCTTCTAGATTGTAAAAATAAACAAGCGTGAACAATCGGATATGGTGTAACGGCTAACATTATCGCCTTTCATATACGTAGCCGACGGCTTGCGCGGTAGCTCGGGGTTCGATTCCCCGTATCCGAATTCCATACAGTATGCACTCTTTTTGTGTTTTTTTACAGTCCTGATTCCTCCGTAATGGGGTTTACTTTGGGATAGCGCACGAAATCTTCAGGGAGGAGGAGGGGGAAGTTACGGTTTCTTACTGACCCCCTCCCAAGGGGGGTTTTGATACGGTAATTTACTTAACTCGAACCTGCAGCATCACATGACCGCCTCGCGGTGATTGCCCATTTTTCCCCAGAATTTTTGTCTTCGCATTTTCTTGAAGTCATGGACTATAATTCACCGGAAATATAGCCCACCTAACTATATTTTGTTAATATTCTATTCATACAATAGAATTGAAATATTATACTGAATTCAAAATTGACGGCAAGTTAGCAGTCCCATGATAGGTAAGTTACCTCTACGAAAAACCCCTCCGGCGAGGGGGGGTAACTTACCGGTATTAAACCTAGGTATATCAAAACTCAGGTTTCGTGCGCTACCCTACTTTGCATTCGATTTTAAGTTTTGGATACTACCTGGAGCTTTTGTTGCGTCACATTGCGAACGAAATTTTCTGCAATTGCGTGTGCTGCAGTCTTAGACGATTATCTGTGTATGAACTTCATCTTTCTGGTGGCTTATTTGTGACTGATCTCGATTTGTGCTTTGTCGCATCACAGGCCCTAGGCCTAAACATTGATCTCGTAGAGTCTCCTAGGCTCTGGTCCGTTTCCGGTGCGAGTCGCTGCTCATCTGTGTCTCGAATGTTTGAAGACATCAAAATAGATGAAGGCAGAGGTATGGTAATACGCTATAATATTATAAATCTACCTCTGTGTGAGGGTTGGGTAGCCTCAGTCAAGGTAGGCGATCTCGCGGACTTGTATCGCCCTCCGTTAGTAGCAGTATGCCAGTAATTAGCCGTCGTTGTTGTTTACAGGCTCCAGAAAAGCCACAGAGGTTGTGCGTGCTGGTAAAAAATTTCATGGATTGCTTTCATTTGAAGTCACATAGCGATGCAAGGCTTCACGAGTAGCTAGAAGGAATAACTGGCGTCCTGGAAAGACGCGCCGGGCCGGAGTATATGACAAGCGATGCACGTGGCATTAATCACGTGCAGACTTTAGGGCAGGGCGAAATCCCACAGCGTCGGACGTGTCGACCGGCGTCCTATTGCACGAATTACTCCCACCACGATGAAACTTAAGGAGATCCACAGGACCTCAACATTCACTTGGTCTCCCTCCTCCTCTCTCCCTCTAATAGCCACTGGTACAGTTGCCGGTGCCCTCGACGAGTCCTTTAGCAACGAAAGCCAACTCGAAATCTGGGCGCCCAATTTTCTCGACAAGAATGAGTTTGACCTGGGGATAGAGGGGCAGTCTCCGCCGAAAGGCGCTGTGAAGGATACGGCGAGGTGGGTGTGTGTACTGGTGCTGGGCTCGGGGCTGATGTGGTTTATGTAGGTTTAACCGCTTGACGTGGGGGTATGTCGATAGTAGTCGACCGCGGGGTGTCATTGCGGCTGGTATGGAGAACGGCGAGCTGGCGTTGTGGGATCCAGCGAAGATTCTTGCTGGTGCTGGGTGTGTCGCTTGGCTGTACCCTTTTTTTACTATCTACTGAACGCGTCCTACAGCTCCAGCGAGTCCCTCATCCTGCGGAATACCAACCATACCGGGCCGGTTCGAGCATTGGACTTTAACCCTCTGCAGACTCACCTCTTGTCATCCGGTGCCGTTAATGGAGAGGTTCGTTGTTGTTGGTCGTTATAGCTGCTTTTGCTCTGATCTTGGTGTAGGTCTGTATATGGGATCTGAAAGACCCTACGAAGCCGTATGCCCCGACACCTGGATCTAGGAGCACGAAACTGGACGAGATTACGTCGGTCGCATGGAATCAGCAAGTTCCATATGTTCTGGCTGGGGCGAGTACAACCGGCTACACCGTTGTGTGGGATCTCAGAGGGAAGCGCGAGGTCGTTGCTCTGGCTTACGGTGGTGGAGCTGGAACGCTTGCAGGCCAAGTCAGTGCGACGAATGGGCTTGCTGTTGGTGGACGGAGAGGGATGAGCGCCATCGCCTGGCATCCAGATAACGTGCGTTATATCATTGATTTTTTAAACAGTTTTCTCATTCTATGATTTAGGCTACGAGACTTGTTACAGCATCGGAGGACGACTCTTCTCCCATCATTATGGTCTGGGACCTTCGCAACGCACGCGCCCCGGAGAAAATCCTTACTGGTCACGAGAAGGGCGTCCTGTCGCTGTCTTGGTGCAAGCAAGACGCTGATATGCTCTTGTCTTGTGGCAAGGATAACAGAGCGCTCTGCTGGAATCCTCAAACGTCTGAGATTATCGGCGAACTCCCGAGCGCGTCGAACTGGGCATTCCAAGTCGAATGGTGCCCCCGTAACCCAGATCTCCTCGCTACAGCCTTCTTCGACGGCACCGTCGGCATCCATTCCATCCAATCGACCAACGAGCCCGCCGCTACAGCCACCCCTGTACCAGCTGGGAACGGTGCCGACATATTCGATTCTACCGGGTATTCACAGACTCAAAGCGGTACCCTTTCACTGAAGCAGCCCCCCAAATGGTTAAAACGTCCAGCATCCAGTTCTTTCGGTTTTGGCGGCAAGCTGGTATCGGTGTCTAATCTTCCTTCTGCGCAAGGAAAGCACCAGAGCGCTGTCGTCCATCTGCGCAAAGTTGTAACCGAACAGGAGATCGTCGCAGAAGCTACGAAGCTGAAGGTAGCTATCGAAGGAGATTCACTGAAGTCATTTGCGCAGGAGAAGGCGGATGCGGCGGCTGATGGACAAGAGGCTTGGAAGGCGCTGCTCAGTCTCTTCCAAGCGGATTCTCGGGACGAGCTGGTGATGCTGTTAGGGTTTTCCAAGGCGGATATTGCAGCCCGCGTTGCGGAGGCGGTCGAGAAGCTCAAGGTCGCGAAGCAGTCTTTGGAGGAAGAGGCTGAGGTTGAAGAAGACGATGGCGAGCTGAAGACTCACGAACCCGTTGTCTCCTTCGCTGAAGAGCATACCTTCCATGTTGCTACCGACGATGATCCCTTCGGTGGGGCTGTCGAAAAGACCCCTTCGGAAATCAGCGCCGACGCTACCTCTGACGGTAACCGGCTGGCTGATGTCGAGTCTACTACGACGGCGCCTTCTCTGTTCGGAGATGATGGTCCTGGGATGCCCCAGCGGGACGTTGCTGGTGCCGACTTTTTCAGCAGCATTGGCCTTTCAGGAGAGAGCGTACCTCCAATCGACGTTCCTCATACTAACTACGGTATCGACTCGTCGGTTGCTGCAACCATTGGTTCCGGACCTTCATCGGTGACATCTGAGACATCGAAGAGTAACACCTTCAAGATTTATCCTGCAGACGAGTCAGAGACTGATCGTCTGGTCACCAAGGCGCTCGTTCTTGGGGACTTTGACTCAGCGGTGTCGTTGTGTCTCTCTTCGGACCGATTCGCAGATGCTATCCTTCTCGCAGCGAGGGGAGGACCGGAGCTTTTACAGCAGACCCAAAAGACGTACTTTTGAACGTCGTACGAACACTTACCCCTACCTCCGACTTTTCCAGTCCATTGTCACCAATGACCTGTCCGATATCGTTCAAAATGCCGACCTCCAGGAATGGCAGGAGATCTTCGTTGTGATTTGTACAGTTTGCGAGCAAGGAGGAGTTCCCTACACTTGCTGAGCAGCTTGGTCGGCGGTTGGAGTTCCAGTTCGCGGTGTCTAACGCATCGGAGGATCCTGCGCAGGCCTCTCAGTTCCGCAAGTACGCTATCTTGACGTATTTGGCTGCGGCGAGGTTGGAGCGGATTGCTAGTATCTGGTCGGAGGAGATGGCTGAGCAGGAGTCGGTGCTATTGGCGGATGCGAAGCATCAGGAAGGACTCGTATTATACGGTTCATGCTCAGGCACTGCAGTCCTTCATCGAGAAGGTTACAGTCTTCCGGTCGGCTACGAAGTATGTCGACAGCGACCTCCAGCAGAAATCGGATATCAAGACGTTCAAGCTTGCCAATCTGTATGACCGGTACTTTGAGTACGCGGCGCTTCTTGCTTCGCAGGGTCTGGTGGAGGAGGCGACGGTGTTCTTGAAGTTGACGCCTGGTGATTATAAGGGACCTGGTTATGCGATTCGGGAGAGGTTGCTTATGACGAAGACGGAGCCGGCTGGGATGAATACGGTTAAGATTGGGACGAAGGCTCTTCCTACTCAGCCTACTGTTCCTGCGACGTATCCTGGGTATACGTCGTCATCTTCGTTCTCGGCAGCTGCTCAACCGGCTGCTTCTCCTTATATGTCTCCGTACTCTGCTGTTTCTCAGCCGGCAACGACGGGTGCTTCTTCCTATGCGCCCTACGCACCGTCTGCTCCCGCTCCTGCACCGACCAATCCTGCGTATGCGCCTCCTCCGTCCAGTATAGGAGTCCCTGCTCCTGGGTTCAATACGTTCAATCAAGCACAATCGTTGACGCAGCCACCACATCTCCGTACGGCTCTTCCTCCCCGTCAGCCTCCCGCTCCCGTCCCGCCCCCTCCGAAGCGTACAGAAAACGGTGGATGGAACGATGCACCTGTAGTTGGGAACCCTCGGAGCCCTAGTGTGTCTGCGCCGTCGAAGCCTGCTGCGATCACCTCGCCGTTCCCTAACTCTACCCCGGAGCCTATACCTGGACCTCACGGGGGACATATCCCGCCTCCTCCTCGGCCTGGTAGTGTTGGTGGTGGCGGTGCGAGGGTTCCGCCGCCACCGCAGCAGCGGGGGATGTATCCTCATCCTCCTGCGCCTTCTGGAGCGAGCCGGATGACGTCTCCTCCTCCGCCTCCTCGGTTGCCGACGCCTAGTCAGTACGCGCCTCGTGCGCCGGTTACGGGTCAGACGCCTCCTCCTCAGTTTGGGCGTCAACATCATCCTGCGCCGGGACCGTATGTTCGTGCTACGCCGCCTCCGGGGCCGTATGCTCATGCTCCTCACGCGCCTGCTGATCAAGGACCGTATGGACCTGGACCTGCTCAGGTGAGCGGACCGTATGCTCCTCCTCCGCAGGCTCAGGGTGGTTCGTACGCGCCTCCTCCAGGTGTTCAACGACAGCAGCAGCAGCAGCAGCAACCACCACCGCCTCCCGGTCCTGCGCCTGCGCCTCCACCGTCGCGGGTGGTAAAAGCGCCTCCTGCACCAAAATATCGTAAGTAGATTGATTAGATGTTGTGTATTTTTGTGTTTCTGATGGTGTTGGGTTGGGTTTAGCTCCTGGTGATCGTACGCATATCCCTGATGATCTTCGACCTGCGTATGAGATTTTGTCTGCGCAGTTGAGTCATTTGAGGCAGGTTACACCGGTATGATTGATGCTCCCTTTTTTGTGTTTGGTGGGTTACTGATGGAGGGTGGGTGTAGCCTTCACAAAAACGCCAAGTTGACGATGTCGAGAGACGTGTGAACCCATTGTTCGATGCGTTGAATTGTGAGACGTTGTCGAAGCCTGTTGTTGATCAGTTGTTGGTTCTTACTCGGGGTGAGTCCTCTCTTTTTTTTTTTCGAGACGCGGACTAACTAAAGGTGTTGTTTATTAGCTATAGAAGCCCATGATCGCCCTGCGGCACTTGCGATCCATGTGGATCTGTTGACGAGGGGGTCGCAGACTGATGATATTGCGTTGTGGATGTCGGGGGTTAAGCAGTTGATTATGCGGTTGTAGGGATGGGATGGTGTTTTTTTCTTCTTTAGAATGGACGATACGTGAATGAATGAATGCTTTGTTTATATGAGCAATAAGCTGGTTTCTTTTCCGGGAAGGATAGTATGCTTGGGGAGGTCCTATGAGTTCCCGTGAAGCTGGATTAAGTCTGTTTGACGCGGATTCGCCAGGTCGCAGGTCCGAAATGTAGCTCGTTTATTATCGCATTGGTGATTATGTATGGCCAGCTTCCTTTGCTGCCAGTACATGATGTGCGGCTGTGGAGTGTGAATGCGCTATATTCTGGCCTGGACTTTGGCGCGTTAATTTTACAGGGTCGGGAAATAGAAAATTTGCGATATCTCGATATCCAGTAAGATAAATTGCTTGGCGGGCGGGAATAGCAGGCTAGGAGTCGTTTGAATTTTTTTTCTTTTGTCTCATACATGCTAAACGATAACAGCACACGGTATTTATGGCCCTACAGATGAAGGGAATTTATTACCAGTCAGACGGCAAGTTCTCATAACACTAGGGTTCAATTCCCTGGGGTTACGAATAGCAGGAAGATTCACTGCACTCCTTGGGGAGGGGGGTGGTCCGGTGAGTTCATGCAATTCTCCGAACGGGTGTATTCGTGTCGGTTCCGAAATGTAGCTGCCAGTATAGTTCTAGTCCATGGTGCGTATATTCTGTCTTGTACCTCGTGCATTGGTTTATAGAAACGAGAGATGAGAAATTATTGAAGCTAAGTCTAATAGAGGAATAGCAGAATAGGTGTCGACGAAGTATTGGTGGGTCTAGAGAAGGAACCTGGAAAACTCACCGACGGAGTAAGGGAAAGGGACAACGATGGGTGTGGACGAGAATGAACAACTTGCGTCCTTATTTTATGGTCACTATAATCTCAGATCTCAGACCTCGGAACCGACGTTGAACCTCGATTATTTCTTGCTACCTGGGCCTGAGCGCTAGCACGGAAAGCGCCCCACTAGCTTTTGTTCACCCATAGCCGAAAGGCAGGGGAAAAGATCCCCGATCCTTGTCGGCCTGTTAGTTCAAATGGCAAGTTGACATCGCACCCATAGTTCAATTCCCTGGGTTACGAATCAGCGAAAACATGCGAATGAATGATTACCTTTTGTCAGAAGTGTGAGCTCTATAGCACGCCGTGAATATGTTTCACAGTGCAGTTCATGTCTACTAAAATATACTGATTGCCTTAAATAAAGAGTATTAAAAGTATTTCGTCTCGCCGATATCGCTGACAAGAAAATCGCCCTCTTCTATCCCGATCTTCTTGCACTCCTCGGCTAATCTTTTCGGTGGTTCGGTAACCTCTTCTGTTGTTAGGATCCACGTCCTGGAAGGCATCAGAGAAGGGAAGGGAAGGAAGATATAAGAGACGACTCACCCCCAGTGCATAGCAACCGCCTTCTTCGCCTTGACATCCTTGAAGATGCGGACGCTATCTTGTGGCGCACAATGTATGGTCGACATGAACCACCTCGGCTCGTACGCCCTAGTCGAACGTCAAAATCGTGAAACGGTTCCAAAACGCTGCACGTACCCAATAGGGATCATCGCCAAATCAAACCCACCAAACCTCTCCCCAATCTCCTTGAAAACAGGACACGTCGGCCTCTCCTCCTCAGCCTCCCCATCCTTGACGGACCGATACCCAGTATCACCCGCGAAATACACCTTCTTACCCCCCTCTCCCTCCGCAACCCAGCTCGCCCAGAGGGTCTTGCCCTGGTCATGAATCCCGCGGCCGGTGAAATGCTGTGCGGGGGTGCAGGTGAGTTTGAAAGAGGTGTCGGGTATCTCTACGCGTCGGGCGTCCCACCAGTCTAGGGTGTGTGCGTGGCCTTTGGGTATGCCGATTGAGTCGAAGTATTTTTCGTTGCCTAGGGGAGCGAAAATGTGGGGCTGGCGAGGGCGTTTGAAGAGCGTGGTTATGGTGTGGGTGTCTAGGCTAGGAAATGATGAGCAGACGACGGAGATTAAGAGAACGACGCGTACTGGTCATAGTGATTGTGCTACCAACAGCATTAGTGCCGGTCTAACCCAAGAACAGGTTGCTCACCGAAATGACGACCGCATCCACCTCCGGTATATCCTCGATCTTACACGGCGGCTCGGAATACCTCTTTGGACCGAAATACTGGCTGGGCGAACACCTATCACTGAACACAGGGTCGAACAGCACCCTCGCACCTCTCCCTAGCGATGCGACGAATGGCAACTCGACAAGAAAACAAGCGTGCCCCAACCACGTCGCCTTCACCTCTCCCTTATGCTCCTCCTCCTCCCCGCCCCATGTCGGCGTTCTGATAGGAATCCCGACTTTAGGCAGCTCAGGTCTGTTCCGTGTCATATACGCAAGCTAACCCAACAATTAGCTTCGAAGCCATACAAAACCAAAATACGCACCATGCTAAGCGCATCTAGCCTCCCGTTCGTCCTCCAGCTCGGCCATGGATTCTGGAACCACACAGGCTTATCAGAGGTCCAATGCGCTGGGCGACCTTTCTTCTCCTCGCTTGGTTCGTCGACAACGCGGATGGTGGTGGTTGAAAGCATAGCTGTTGTTACGACTGTGCGCAACCTTCTAGCCGTATTAGAAAGGAGGGGCATGCACTTGCGTACGCCATGGAGGTAATTTTAATGGAGGGTGCGGCAGGGGATGACGTTTGCGTATCAGATGACGTGTCTTGAAATGACAATGCTTCTGCCGCGGTGCCGGGCCTCCCTAACCAGCGCGTCCTTCGGCGAAACAGTATGAATTAGTCGACAAGCTCAGGTAAGCTACACTAAACCTCGCCGACCCGTAGAGAATAAGAGAACGTCAAGGAAAATCGGTGGAAGAGGTCTACGTCGTTTATGTCAGATGACTTGCTCAATCTCGATCGATGTTGTGTCTATATAAGGCTATTTATTTTCACGGCTCGAGTACCCCCAAGTCAACATTTCGTATTTTATCACCCACCAGCAGAACCTACCCCTCCTCTTTCAGTATCATGAAAAAATAACTGTCCGGGACTCGCCCAGATGGCCATTCTGCTAGCTATCCCTCTTTCATCGTTCCATTGAACGCCTCTTCGCTAGTGATGTCCGGGTCAGGCTTAAAGCCCATGACCCGACCCGACCCAGCCCAGTCCGGCCCTGAAAGCCAGCCCTGATGGAGGGCTTTGGCAGGCTCACTTAGGGGAGGCAATTTTTGTTTGATCCGATCGTTGTGCGTCTCGTGTTCCAGTGAGTCTGGGTGTTTGTGTTTGACTTGTATCAAATTTATGAGCTACTAGCAACCCCGATACGAACAAGGGACGATAATCTGACAATACGTTATACTTCCGAATATCTTTGAAGGCTTATACACGAGAAATCTTCTCTTCAATACTGCAAGTCCTTGCTACTACCCTCTACTGTGTCTCCCGCTAACAAGATTCAACAGGATGCGCAGAAGGTATCGCCTTTACCCAAACCTTGCGGCGTGTAAAGGTAACGGGTGCTACATTTGTTTTCCGCAGCTCGTAATACCTAGCACTGTGCAGAATCAATTCATGTTTGTCCAAGAGCAAGATGAGCAGAAGGGCCGGCCAGGTTTCGGATGGAAGGCTCAGTAAGAGACGAGTGGTCTTTGATATATGGTTCCGTGAGTAAGGCAGGCCGATCGTCAGTGTACTCCCTTCCTTTACCTCATATTCTCCTGATGACAGCCTCGCACCTCCCTGATTTTAAGCCTGCAGAGTCGATATCGCCGGGCTCGTAGCTAGCCTGATCGTGAGTTCTGCATTAGCGTCTTTTTATTGTCCCTTCTTACCAAATTTCCACAGATTTGATCTACAAATTTCCGAGGTCGAAACCTTCCGAAGTCAATTCGATTCGCATAAGCGACTCCTCCAGCTTGGGTTCATTTTCACGGATTTGTCCCCCGATATAGTATATTAGGACCTCTGTACAGACATATTGATCTCCGTCGACAAGGTAAGCTATCTCAATTATGTCTCTGTGGCAGGCACAATTTACGTTTTCGTCCTACTAGCAAGATGTAGTTGCCGGCGCTATCATGAGTTTTAATTTCAGATGTTTTCCCTATGCATTTGAACAATTTCTGACGCGTATTCAGCTCCAAATTTCCGACATCACAATCCTGCGGACCCCAGAGGCAATGTGACGCGTAAGTTAGTAATTTCTCGTGTTGCATAAATTTGGTCTGACTTTTTCTCGTTATTTAGGCTTCCTGATCCACTTTAACCTCGATCTTGTTAAGTCGATGTTCACGATATTCTTTGGTCTATCCTCGCTTATGTTTTCTTCCGAAGGGCATAAAACCTTTTCAGATTCGACCTCTGAACCAATCTCTCCCCAAGTTAGGTAAGTCTCGTACATTTTTTGCGCCGTCTGTGATGCTAACCCTGGTTAAAGACTCGAACCTATGCTTACAAGGTTGTCGTGTTTATTCAGGGAATTCAGACTGCTTTTAGACTGTAGCGACTTGTGCGTACAGGAAATTTTCGTGATATATCATGTTTCTGATTGGGATTTTGCCATAGCTTTTGCCGCATTGCGCATCACAGGAATCGACATCACTTCCACTGGGAACGGTTGAGTCAGCAGTTTGGGAAGGCTGGCAATGCGTATTCGAAGAGTGAGATAACGCAAATAAGCAAGGAGACGTGAAATGGAGTTCTTCGTCGCTTCATTGGGGAGATGCGGGGTGGCTGTCCTGCCTCCTGCTCAGTGGGAGACACTTCGGTGCAGAGAGATATACCGAGCCGCTTTGCAAGACTGAGGATATACCAGAAGTGGATGTGGTTGTCATATCGGTGCCAAGTAGGTCATTCTTTGACGTCGACTTAGCCGTGGCTAATGCTCTTGTTAGCATAGTCACTACTACCAGTACGTGTCCTTCTCCTTAAATGCATCGGTCACTGATCTTATCTGATCTATACAGACGCCGGCTGAGCACCCTCTTCAAGGAGACTTGGTCACTCCATATTTTTCGGCCCCCTGGGCAACGAAAGGTACAGGCATGCGGAAGGGACACACCAACACCTAATTGGTCGGCCGTACGACGGGTGGAGATACCCACAGGCTGGCATATCCCACAGTCACGGGACCCTGCAGCCACGCAGCAACACTATGCAGGTTTACACGCACAACCATGCTGGCAACCACGCAGCCGTGCAGGCCACCACTATAAAAAAATTCTTTCCCCCATCACTCCCGAGGGATCCCAGTCTACATCGCCTCAAACATCGAATTCTACTACGTCCCTCGTAATCCGTGGGAAGTCATTGAACCCCCCAATGTCTCCAACCACTCCCCTGATTCCAAAGCAAGGCCATCTGGCTGTGATATTTCGTGCTGCGAAACAAGCCACTCGCCTCCTTAGAGACGCTGGATACACGTTTGCGATCATGGGGAGCTTGGCTTGCTATCTCTATGGAAATGAACGCCCGCCAAATGTAAGAAAGATCTGTCGCGCTCATCGTATATCTCATATATGATATTGACTAAACGATAGGACGTCGACATTTTGATTTCATCGCGGATCTGCGATATAGAGCCACTCAAGAGATTTCTCGTCGCCCAGAACCCGGATAATTTCTATCTCGTGGATGCCAAAACACCACGAGCTAGGTGGAAAGTTCTGTGGTACCAAGATCATGGCAGAGATGGAAACCTGGAAAGAACCAAGGTCGATATCATGAAACCGGGAACAATGCAGCTTCCGATGATATTTTCCGAGGCTATCGTCGATAAGCAGGGACTTCCGGTCGTTCCCTTGTCGATCCTGCTGCTGCATAAACTCAGGGGTTGGGAGGATAATATGAAATCTAGGAAGGCGTATCTTCGGAGGAAGCATAACGCGAATGTGGGAGATATAGGTTCGTTGCTGAGGATCGTTATTGAGGGTATGGGCAAGCAGGAAAAGAAGAACTCGAAGCGTTGGAAACGGTTTGCACAGGAGCAGTTTAGTAAAATATTCCAGGATGGGACGAAACGTCGAGTGAAGTTGTTCAGTGAGAGATATCCAGAGTACGGGGATATGTGGAAGGAGCTCGGCTGGTAGATAAGTTGAACAACTGTTTCTGATCTACGATATTTCTTACTCGTTCTGTCCTTATTTAATTGGCTGAAACTGATACTCAAATACATTCTACTTGTGGCACGATATTTCAGTTCTGCGATGTACCAAGAATCTAACCTTGGTTGATCATTAAGAAAAGAAAGCAAATAATTAATGAAGGGACATGTAGACATGGCCCAACCGAAAGCACTTCATTAATTTAAAGCGAATTTGGCGGATATGGCTTGTTATAAGTACTGCAGTAACGCCTTCGTCACGACTAACCCAAGATCTTCATTAACCCGCCACCAGCGAAATGTGGAGAAATGGGCGAAGCGGTTAGAGCTGTCTGGCCACGACTTCTACAGTCACATCGCCAAGGAAGACGAATTCAAGGTATTCGTTAATCAACCTTGCGGTAACAACGATGTGACCCGAAGCGACAGGGTTCTGCCGGGATGCCGGCCCTTCCGACATGCGAATTAACGTGGGCAGGCGGCTTTGATTTTTCCCAACGTTCAATTTCCTATATCCGACGTTTCATTTCTTCATTAAATAGGTCACTTTTTCTGATGCTTGTCCTGGGAGTGACCAGTCCTAAGTACGTCCGAAGAATGTCATTCCGACCTGGCCAAGCCTGAGGCTTGAGCTGTGTTGTCTTCACTCGTCTTTTCTGCAGATTTATGTACTGATATAATTTGTAGGTGCACGAATGCTGAGCATGCATTTCGAGTGCATTAGGTCCAACTGTTCGAGGAGAAGCTACACTATATGCCAAAGAGGGGGACCGCGGGCACTTCTTCGTGCGCGCGCCATCCCTTCTTCTCACATTGAAGGCGTGTTTAAGTTTCAACTTGCACTTTTCCAATGCATCATAATCACCTAACTAACAGTACACGTCTGCTTTATTTTTCCATTCCATTCAACATTGTCCCTTCTCGACTTGTTTGAACTTTCCGGATACTAAGAGACGGTCCACGTCAGTCATTTCATCCTATTCAGCTGCTAAGCATCGTTGATTCTTGAGGATACATACTACCAGGACGATTCCTGAGACGATGACTGTCCCATCTACGTATTCGGGAGTAGGATAACGGCTATTGTTAATTATAGTGTTCGATTCCCTGTATCCGAACTATTACTTATTATTTTTCATGGCCGTAAGAGTGAGGTTACACAAAATTACCTCCGCACAGCTTCATTCCGAGTCACTAATTACTAGGAAACGTACGTCTTCTCTCTCCCGCCCATTTGTATCATACATCAGTATTGGATACACTAACGATAAGCGGGTTCAATTCCTTAGGATCCATAGCCATTGGGCGCGAGTTATTTCTCTCATACAGACCCATGACTCGTATTGGATTTTTGTGGTGTGCCCCAAATCAAAAGTAACGGTTATTCCTCTAGTTTGTTGGCGATTAGTTTACGAATATCGTATCATACCCCTACATCCACATTAACTGTGTTTTCGCCTTTTTACGGACTACTACACATTCCTCAGCAGATTTCCTTTCTGAATCAAGGACTCTACGCGACCATCTCCCTCCTCTATAGATATAACCACCGACGATTTCACTCCCACCAACCAGATACAACCCAACTGTTCGCGGGACTCACCGCAGGTTCGATTCCTCATATCTGATTTATATCCCACGTCACCTGTGAATTATTTTAGTATGGCGTTGAAAATACACGGACTCTGGACGATGGTAGAGCGCCCTTTTTGCTCAGTAAAATCTGACAGACGCCATCAATGTGAGGAGAAGGGATGGCGCACGCACGAAGAAGGGCCGGCATCGCGGCAATGTTATTTTTTGGAAAAATCATCCGATATGTGTACGTCATCTTTACCCACGCTCTTGCGCATTCGGCTTATGGCGGCTCAGTCTTGCAGGCCTCTTCTTTCTACAAGAGAAACCCGACGAACTGATCATGGCGTTACTCACAGTGACAGTCATCTGCATAATCAACGAACCAAGCGAAAATAAAAGCATAATCAGCACCGTTCCAGAATCTGCAGAGCAGAACTTAGACACACTTCGGGATGAACAGGAAGCTTGATTTTCTGAGTACGTGGCGTGTTTGTACTCATGAATGCATGATGCTCCATCCCTGGCTAGGACTGTTGGATAGCTCACCTATATCTTCCGCAATAAACCTGCATTCGCTCGGAGTTTGGATTCCTGTCCGGCCACACGTGTTTTCTCGTCGAGTTTCCGTTCATTTATGCGCTGGAGAGAATGCATTCGGCACGATTGAGGATATGCGACAGGTGGACACTGTTGTTTACTCGGTGAGTATTCTTTCTTGCATTTGGGGGTACGCTAAGACCACCTGCATTATTACCAGTTTGCATCCTCCCCCTCATCCTCCCTTCGCCTAGCATGATCTGGACACTCTCCCAATGGTCCTGTACCACTGCAGAACGACAAACTCGATCGGGTTCCCGACGCGTGCGCATATAGTCAGTTGATGGGTTGCACAGCATGCGGAGATTGTAGGGTCATCTTTCAGGCTGATTTGCACCCCGCCCAGTATTTCTCCACTCGGGGCGAAAAAGGCAGCTGGTCCATCAGTCTCTTTGCCTGGTGATAACCAGGGTATCTATCTGTCAGGATGACGACCCGCACGATGAGCGTCTGGTCTTTCAGGAAACCGGGAACGCATCGTTGGCTTCCATGTGAGGGTGCTTCCGATTCGGTACTTGCAGTGCTCACTTGCATTTCGTGGTCTAATGTTCTCTCAGTGTGTACGAGTAGAGATGGTTCATAAATACTGTTTTCCGCGAGCCGCATAGTGTGTGGGAGAACGTCAAGCAGAATGTGTTGGGAGTGAGTCGTCTTTGATGTCTTCGTTTCATGGTTTTAATACTTCCCACGACGTAGGTCTTTGTGACAGAAGAGGTTACGGAATTATTGAAGACACCGGTATGGGACTCAGAGGTGGAGCAGAAAGGGCACGTCAAGGCGACGTGGTTTAGCTATGTATGCTTCCTCCTCGACTTGATGCTCTACGGAAACGCGCGTATTTCTGTTTGATCAGTGTTCAGGCGCTTGTGGCATAGCTCAAGATGATGGCATTTCTTTCTTTGGGGGGGAAGGATGATGTTTCATTCGTTGTTTGGGAAGGCGGTGTGAATTCATGCCAGGCTGGATAGAATCTATGGTTCATTCGTGCATTGGTGACGGTGACTATGTATGGGCAGCTTCCTTCACTGACGTTCCCTTGCCAGTTCAAACGTTCATGACGCAAACGTGCAGCCATGGGTCATGAATGATCTATGTTCCTGCCTGCACACCGTAGACTTTAGCGTGTTGATTTACAGAGTCGAGAGATGAGAAATTATTAGGATAGCGATATGTCAAATTCCAATCGAGGAATAGCAGAATAGGTGTCGACGAAGTATTGGTGGGTCTAGGGGAGGAAAACTCGCCGAGGGGGTAAGGGGAAGAACAGCGCTGGGGAATGGACGAGAATGAACAAGTTTTATGCCTACTTCATGGCATCGAATCTCAGAGGTCGTGCACCGCTGACGTTGAACCTCGATTATTTCTCTGCTTCTCATGACTTTTCGAGCCCCGTCCCGTCTCTAGGCCGACATGTGTCCAATATAACAGGCTGTAGTAAGGGGGTATAAGTCAAAATTCAATAGACGACGGTCCTACCCTTATTATGTGCTCAAATTGACAAAGCGATAATAGCAAGACAGCGGCGTTTCTGCCCGCCCAGACTAAGGGCATCTATTACCGGGAAAAGGTCCTCTACTCATCAGCCAGTTGATTGTATCCGGACGTAGTCGAACGGCTAATTTTTCGTAGTACCAGGGTTCAACAGTTCAATTCCCTGAGTTATGAATATCGTCGCAATGCTGGCCAATACGTTTTTCTGAAGCTCGCTCTGTGAAACATCGCTAGTATTGAACAACAGGGCAGTAGTAGGTAGGTGATTACTTAAAAGTACTTCGTCTCGCCTGATATCGCTGACGAGAAAGCCGCCCTCTTCTATCCCAATCTTCTTGCACTCCTCGGCTAATCTCTTCGGTGGTTCGGTGACTTCTTCTGTCGTTAGGATCCACGTTCTGGGAAATATTAGAGGAGCGAAACGAAGACGTAAAGAACAACTCACCCCCAGTGCATCGCAACCGCTTTCTTCACCTTCACATCCTTGAAGATGCGGACGCTATCTTGTGGTGCACAGTGTATAGTCGACATGAACCATCTCGGCTCATATGCCCTAGGAAAATACCAGCGTTACGAAACACCAACCAACACGCGCTGCACACGTACCCAATAGGAATCATCGCCAAATCAAACCCACCAAACTTCTCTCCGATCTCCTTGAACACAGGACACGTCGGTCTCTCCTGCTCAGCCTCCCCATCCTTGACAGACCTATACCCGGTATCACCAGCGAAATACACCTTCTTACCCCCTTCTCCCTCTACAGCCCAGCTCGCCCAGAGAGTCTTGCCCTGGTCATGAATCCCGCGGCCGGTGAAATGCTGTGCGGGGGTGCAGGTGAGCTTGAAAGAGGTGTCGGGTATCTCTATGCGTTGGGCGTCCCACCAGTCGAGGGTGTGCGCGTGTCCTGCAGGTATGCCGATTGAGTCGAAGTACTTTTCGTTGCCTAGGGGAGCGAATATGTGGGGCGGGCGAGTCCGTTTGAAGAGAGTGGTTATGGTATGGGTGTCTAGGCTAGTAAATGGTGAGTAGGAGATGGGAATGGGGTGGAGAAGACGCGTACTGGTCATAGTGATTATGCTAACAACAGCATTAGCCGTGGCTTGAATGGGAGAACAAGCTACTCACCGAGATGACGATAGCATCCACTTCTGGTATATCCTCAATCTTGCACGGCGGCTCCGAGTACCTCTTCGGGCCGAAATACTGGCTGGGCGAACACCTATCACTGAACACAGGGTCGAACAGCACCCTCGCACCTCTCCCTAGCGAAGCCACGAAGGGAAACTCGACGAGGAAACACGCGTGGCCCAACCACGTCGCCTTCACGTCGCCCCTATGCTCCTCCTTCTCCCCGCCCCATGTCGGCGTCCTGATAGGAATCCCGACTTTAGGCAGGTCGGGTTGATTCCTAGCCATATACGCAAACTACCCAACAATCAGCGCCCTCAGAAACGACACGAAAACCCACAAAATACGCACCATACTGAGAGCATCAAGCCCCCCGTTCGTCCTCCAGCTCGGCCATGGATTCTGGAACCACACTGGCTTATCAGAGGTCCAATGCGCTGGGCGCCCCGAAGCTTTCTTCTCGCCTGGTTCGTTGAGGACGCGGATGGTGGTGGTTGAAAGCATAGCTGTGGATAAGGCTGTGCGCAGCCTTCGAGCTGTACTAGAAAGGAGGGGCATGCACTTGCATACGCCATGGAGGTAATTTTAATGGAGGGCGCGGCACTAGGCGACGTAATGAGCACCAGATGACGTGTCTTGAAATGACAATGCTTCTGCCGCGATGCCGGCCCTTCCTAACCAGCGTGTCCATCGGCGAAACAGTATCACCCGCTTAGGTAAAATACTGTAGATCTCGCCTGACTCGTAGAGAATAAGATAACGTCAAGGCAAATAGGTGGAAGAGGTCTATGCTGCTTACGTCCGACGACTTGATGTTGATCGCATCAGATGTGCTCTCCAAAGGATCGACAGTTGTGTCTACATGAGGCTATCTACTTTCACAGCTCGAGAACCCCCAAGTCGCACATCCAACATTGCGTATTTTATCACCCACCAGCAGAACCTACCACTCTTTCAGCGTCATGAAAAATAACTGTCTAGGGACTTGCCCCAGATGGCCGTTCTACTGGCTAGCACTCTTTCATCGTTCCATTTTCCCACTCCTTCCTCTGCTGACGACACTAAAAATGAGTACCAGCTTCGATAGTGAGTCTTTTCATTACTACATCCCATATCTTTCCGACATCCTATTATCTATTCAGATGTGGTGTAATGGTTAGCATACTCTGGATTCAATTCCCCCTCTCTGACCTTTTCATTGTCGACTCTGTCTCCTCTTTTTTTTTTTCAGGGCAAGGGCCCTACCTTTATCCGGAGGCGCGTGCATTGTTCATCTTTCAACCATACTCCATGAAGCAGAGAGAACCAAGTTTAAAACGAGGTTATCCAACTCGAAAATGATACGAGCAGCGCCTCCGGCGAGTGAGTATTCCTTACCTACATTCATTCTCTTCAACTCATACCCGACTCACCCTTTTTTTATGGGCCTCTAAGTGTCTCGGATATGGTGTAACAGTTAGCGAGACTGATCCGCCGGAGTTCAATTCCCTGTATCCGATTAGATGCGTAGTAATTCCGTTCTTACTTTTTCAAAACCCACACGACCCCCGCAAAGTATCCCGATGTATGACCCCTGTCAACAGGAAGACATAAGGGAGAATGGAACGACTCTGACGCAGTTCACATCGGATGTTCTTCCAGAGATGTAAAACGGCAATTTTCATGCTACCTGGGTTGGTTACAAAGTATAAGCTTTAATTTTTTTTCTAATGGGAAGTGCCTCCGATTCGCATTATGTAGCCATCGCAGAAGAAACTATAACATAGGCTTCATATATGCGCATTAGATGATGAATCCGAAAGTGACTGTGCGGTGCTGTTGCCGGTCCTTCCTAATCAATGTGTCCCTTGGCGAACGGCGATCGTGGGAGCATCTATTTGGTCTCACTACAGCTTGGTATAATGCGCCTCTCATCCTTTATATCTGCCTCAAAGAACAATCGAGGTTCACCGTTCAACTTCAGCTCCAACTCCTGAGATCTGAATGCCATAAAGGACACAGTCTTGCACAATTTTCCGTCCTGTCTTCATTGGCGTCGCACGCCCACTGTTATCTGTCATACCAGGAGCGTTGTTGTCGTTGCAGGCGCATAGGAGGAGAACACCAGACAAAAATGAGTACTTGATGCTTACACGGCTTGAATAGAGGGAGTTGAACCCTCGTTGGTAACTGGTAACTAGCTAGCCATCATACTATATCCCCAGCGGTGAAGAGAGCAGATCTGTCAATGGGGATAAATTCTGCGTGTGAAGATGAGTATTTCTCCGTCGGAGAAGGAGCTGTTTGATTATTTGAGGGGCTCTGGGTGTCGAACGTTGAACGTTGAAGCTGAAGCTGAAGAACAAACTTAGGCTACACGTTTGACCAATCAAAATTAAACAGATTTGTTTCTTAAAGAATAGAACCTTCTCTGGGCGAAAACCCAGCAATCCTGGAGAACGGACGAAAGCTATGCTTTGAATAATCGGGACATGCACGAGTGAAAAAGGAAGTCTTACAGAAACGTACGCGTAATTGATTCTTTGGGGAATTTGGGTACAATTTCATCGCAACATTCCTGATGTCGATGAGGGGCGGAGTCAAAAAAAAAGAAAAGAAGGGAATAACTACGTTGATCCTGATCCGGACATGGGAGCCGAACCCCCGCGAAGAACCAGCGACTAGTCATTGGGTTAAATCCGAGTACGACTCATAGATGTGGGTATTGGGTAAGGACAACTCATTCTCTTTCATCAGTTGAGGGGAGCTTCCTGTTTCGTCTGAGCAACGGCACTGGAACAAACGATATAATAACCTTCGGATATCGAGTCTTCCACCATATCCACTTGTCAATGAGGATGATGAGCATGGGTGTTTGAACTCAAGGCTAGCCAGTGATGATTGATATTCGCTGCTTCTCCCTCTCTCACCGACTTGGTCCTCGTCATCGTTTTTGTTGCTCACCCTTCTTGCTAAAATGCCTTCGGATCGCTCGAAACGACTTCAAGGGTGAGCTCATATCCATCTTTTGCTCACCATCTCTCATATTAATGAAACAATGTCTCTTGGCTCTGGTTCTTCTCTTTATTCCGGATTCCTTGACAAGATGCTTTCCATACAACTAGACACACCATTTTGTAGGGTCTGTCCCTGTAAAGCGAAGATTCCCTCCTTCAAGTAGGTGAAAAGGCTCCCTAGTCATATTTATTCAAAGTGCTTTGTATAGGTTATCAGTCACTACACAGCAGACATTCGAGCTACGGTTTGGTTATTTTCGGTTCTTGACGTTACTAATGAGGACTCCTGCAAAAACAGGAAGTTTCTCAATGATTGGGCTATTCGGACTTGGGGAATCGAAAGCTTGGATTTGGGGTGTGTGACACTTGCTGTTGAACTATATCCGAATGGAGAATTGAGGGGCTGAGTGCCTGGTGGAGTGTTGGAGTTTTATTACTTTATTTCTTCCTGGGATACTTTGGGGGCGGCGTGATTAAAAAGTAGGAATCGAATCAATAGAACCAGATTCCGATATGGGGAGGTTGAACCCCGTCGCGAAGCGCTAGCTGCTGGGATATATCCGAACGTCACGAAGGTTTGATTGGAATGACTGCGTATTACCCCTGGGATGCTTGGACTATCGGCGGGCTGGGTGGTTCTCGGTTATACATAGTGTGGTGTGGAGCAAGGTAAGAGCATGGGGGGCTTGAAAAAAAAAAAGAGGCTTGGAATATACGCATTCGAATACAGGGAATTGAACCCTCAAGAGCTCGCGAGTCACTCTGACGGTTATGCCGTATCCGCTGGATGGATGAGGAACTTGAAATTCAGGGATGGTTTCTCGCTTATCCCTGTACCTCGATAAGTTCTTCGCTCGTCTTCCTTCTTTCTATTAGCTCTCTACGTATCTCGTCGATCATTGACCCGGACAGTGAGCACGGGTGTTCGAACTCAGGGCCAACAGGTGATGATATTGTTGCCGTGATCATTGATCAGGCACGCTCCGCTTCTTCCTCTCTCACCGCCATTATCGTGAGTTCTCGTCATCATTCCGTTGCTAGAACTTCAATCTTTGCAGAGTATTGACTCTGATTCGTGCTTTCCATGCCATTGGCATTATTCGATGCGAGTCGATAAGCTCATCAATTTCTTTTCGCTGTGATATTGCTCACCATCCCTTTTCAGGATTATAATATCAACGGAAAGCTGAGATGGTATGTGCGACGGCCATAGTGCATTGTGGTTGACCTGTTCATTCCGGAATTCTTCTTCAGTAACATGCCTTCGGTGCAACCAGATATGCCATTTGTGGGGCCAGACTTCTGCTTTCGAGTATCCGACAATACTTTGTTTCAAGTGGGTGCAAAGCACCGAGTAAGCTGCCGTCTCTTCAAACCTCTGTCCCAAGCTGGACCCCTACTTATCAATTCGATGTGCCCTCGACGCTCCGTCCGCGGGATATCAAGCTCTTGTGCTACTTAGGTACAGCTCATGTTTTGTTTTATCGAAGATTGACCGCGTGCGATGTATACTTTCTACTTGTTCTTTTCGTGAACCATTTACCAAACTGATTTCAGAAATGGATTTTCCGCGTTTGAAAGGCCAGGGTGCTTCCGCCCGAAAGGGATACAACCTTCATTTTTTTCCGGTGAGTCTAGTTGCTTTGTATGTCATCTGCCTCGAATTAACCAGCTGCTGACGGATTATACCCAAAAGAGAGATGATGAAAAAATCCGCTCAGGGTATACTATGCTGCCAAAGGCCTGCAGATAGTATTCTCGCATGAGCACTTGTAAGTTGTTCTTACTACTATTGTGTTCTTTCTGCCTAACGAACTTTCGATCTCAGGGCTTATGCGATCACCTTCGCAGAGAGTGTAGGTAATACTTCTCTGCGTATCTCGTTGATCATTAACCGGTACAGTGAGCACAGATGTTCGAACTCGATGACGCTGTTACCTTCATGGTTACTTCTCGGTATGCGACGGACGAGACGGACAACTCGGGAGGCTTCAACCTCTGGATGGTCTTGTTTCAGCGGGAGCCGATCGTTCTACGGGAGACTTTGTGCGGAAGTGGTAGACGAGTATTTTGGTTTTGGTATGCTTTCTGTCTCTCCTCTCTGCGACATACTGACATCGTCATAGCTAGATGCTTTAATTGCTTCGGCGCATACATGAATGTCCGTGGGTTTCCTCCTTCCCAGTTCGAGTCGCGCGCGATCGCGACGCAGCAGAAGCCTGTCATTTTTTGATACAACATCTGATGGGCATACGTCATCCCTTGCCACCCATTATGAACACGCCTTCCTGGCCGCAAGTACATGGCTTCGCCGTGCAGGGCTGTGGATTTGGCCGTTCCTGATTGGGACCTTATGCCGGTACCAACACCTTTATCTTCACATCCATGGATGGATACATCGCGCAGAGGTGCATGCGCCTTTTTGTAAGAATAGCACGAAGATTTGGCACGGACTTAACTACAGTCATGCTTACGACCACTGCCATTTGTGTTGTCGACGAACCAGGGGCCGAGGAGAAAAAGGATCAGAAGGCCCCGCACATTGGGCCCTTTGCGGTTCCAGAACCTGTGTATGGTACTTGTTTTTTTTGGTATCGTGTTATTTGAGGGGAAGGTTGATTATTGTGTTAGCTGGCATATATGACTCGGAATAGACCTGATCTGCCTAAACTCTGGATCTCTATCAGGACGCCGACTTGGGGAGTGAGATCAAGGTCACATGGTTGGGTCATGCATGTTTTATTGTCGAGTTGGCGAAGCGACAAAATTGGACGTATAAACGCCAACACCTGGCTGACCCTGCAAAAACAGCATGTCGCATTGTCGTCCCATTTGTACTTGGAAATTGAACCCGGCCGACGACCGTTGAACCATATCCAGTTCGTTATAGGGAGTGGACAATTGGATTGGTTGCGCATGATTTTCCCCTCACATAGCGCATGGTGCCGTCTTGCGTTAGAGTCGTTCTTCTCCTTGATTCCTCAATTTACGACTCGTCGATTGGGATTGAATGCCAGGATACGTTGCGGCAAGTGCATAGGTTTTGAAAAAGTACGTATGCCTCCATTTGATTACGGGGGATTGAACGCTTACAAATATCCGATGCATATTTGAGAGACGTTTCCTGAAAAAACGGTGTGAATACAGGTTCTGGGTTTATAGGCAGAGGGGTAGAGATGAATGTGTTGCTAAGGACGCACCCGCACTACGGCAGAAGCACAGTCAATTTTTGGACATCTGATGGGTGTACGTTATCCGGTTCCGTGCCTTCGTTCCATTCATCACCCATTCATATGTACGCAGTCCAGAGGTGCATTCCCCTTCCTTTGATGAAAACAGCTCAATTGTTCTGCACAGCCTTGTCTACAGCTACGCTTCGCACCACCGCTATCCGCATCCAGGAGAGGAAAAGATCAGGGCGCCCTCCGCATTGGACTTATGACAAGCCTGAGTGGTTCCAGAATCGTGGTCGAGCTGGAGGACGAACGGAAAGTTGGATGGGTTGAGTGTAGTGCGTATTTGGTACCTGTAGGGGTTCATCGCGGCTCATCATTGGCCAGCCCACATATATAATCCGCAAAGGACTTACTGGAGAATACCGTCTGGACGCCGACCTGGGGTGAGGAGGATGAGGAGCATATGGGCAAAGTCAGGGCGACGTGGTTGGGCTCCATTTGTTTTCTTGTTGAGATCTCGACATGCCGTTCGATCCTGTGTTCAGTGATAGGTGACAGTATGTTGGACCGAAGAGGTACACTGAACCTCCGTGCAAGATTCAGGATGTATGAGAGGTGGATGTTGTCATTAACTCGGTAAGTAGTCTGCTTATGTATCTAAGCATTTTCTAATGATTTTTGCAATGATAGCACAACCATTACGGCCAGCACGCGTCGTTTTCCACCCCAGTCCCGTCGTCTGCTCACCATTCTCTAGCCTAGAAGCGCACATCGTAACCACCGTCTCCAAACGGACTCAGCCACCTCACATCTTCGCTCCCTAGGTAACGAAAAGTACTTTGAGTTGACAGGCATGTTCATATACCGTTTTCCATCTCTTCCCTTCCTCGTAACCTCCTCCCTTGTGTTTCCTACTTTATCTGGCCGAGGCTGCACGCAGAACTCACGATCATATGGTCATCGCCTTATTTGGACCTTATTTGGCATTTTCCAAGTTGATCAAGCACGCTCACGTCGCTTCTTCCTCTCTTACCGCCATCATCGTGAGTGCAATGCGGCTCATCCGCCTTCCTTTGCTCACCTTTTCAACATAGAACCATACTTTCGGCTTCATACGGATGCATATCCGTGTTTTTTGTCGAAAACTAGGAGTTTCCTTGTCCTGAAGGAGTTCTAAGTGACGTTGTAAGTTTATTTCCATCCCTCACTGCTATCTAACTCACTGTCTCTCACGAGATTTAACATCAGTGTAAAACTATCTCTGGTAGGTGCATCCACTCTCGTTTCTTGTAGTTGATCTTTTTATACCGGGATAATCCAGTAACATGCCTTTTGTACAACGCGACGAGCCATTTAGCTCGAAATAATTAGGGTGGACCCTTGCGAAGCAAGGCTTTACTTTGAAGTAGTCGCAGAAGTCTGTGAAGTACTGGGCGAGCTGCATAGACCCTACAGTGACTGGTGAGGTTGTTGACGAGCTGTGCTACTACCTGCCAATTTTAGATACCTTGGACGTGACATGTACCAGTTATCAAGCCTTTGCTCTGCTTCAACACGATGTTATCGATACATGACCGCGTTATCATGCATGGTACGTTTATACTGGTTCCCTTTCATACATCCCGACCAAATGTGTTTCAGATATGGAGTTATCGCATCTGAAGGGCGTATGTCCTTCCGTTAACGCGTGTCCCGCATCCTAGCAAGGGGATGCTTTTTCGTTTGATCTGATTATTGTGCGCCGGGTTTCCAGTGAGTCTGGGTGTTTGAATTTCACTTGTATCAAATTTATGAGTTACTAGCGACCCCGATACGAACAAGGACGATAATCTGACAATATGTTATGCTTCCAAATATCTTTGAAGGCTTATACACGAGAAACCTTCTCTTCAATACTGAAAGTCCTTGCTACTACCTCTACTCTATTTCTCCGCTCTAACGAGATTCAGCAGGATGCGCCGAAGGTATTGCCTTTACCCAAACCTTGCGGCATGTAAAGGCAACGGGTGTTACATTTCTTTTCCATAGCTTATAATACCTTGCACTGTCCAGAATCAGTTGACGCTTGTCCAAGAGCAAGATGAGCAGAAAGGCTGGTCTGGATGGACGGTTCAACGAACCTTTCCGAAGTCAATTTGATTCGCGTAAGCGACTCCTCCAGCTTGGGTACATTGTCACGGATTTGTCCCCCGATATAGGATATTAGGATCTCTGTTCAGGCGTATTGATCTCCGTCGACAAGGTCAGCTATGTCAATTATGTCTCTGTGGCCAGCACAATTTAAATGTTCGTCCTACTAGCAAGATGTCGTTGCCGGCGCTATCGCGAGTTTCAATTTCAGATGTTTTCGCTGTGCATTTGAAAAAATTTTGACGCGTAATCAGCTCAAAAATTCCGAGATTACAGGGCCGTGGAGGCGACGTCACGCATAGGTTAGCGATTTATGGTGTCATTATAAGTTTGGTCTGACTTTTCCTCGTTATTTAGGCATCCTGATCTACTTTGAGCTTGTCATGGATTTCATGTCTTTTCCGGTCTGTACATGAGTCAACACATGCCTACTCTCGGCCTTCTCGGCCTTGACCTCGGCTTACTGGTATTTTCTCTCATTTTCTCTTACTTTCTCTTACTTTCTCTCTTCTTCGTGATAATACTAGAATAATCATGACACGATCCCTTACTATTGGTATATAAATACTGTACTTATCCTTGTATTAGAATCTTAATCTAATTTTACTCCTCTTTGAAGTCCACTTAACTGTGCGATCTAAGCATTTCTGATCGGTTACGCCAAGCGCTTGCCAATCAACTGCTTCCCGACTACGCCTAGCGCTTTTCGGAAACCCTGTTAGTTACGCCTAGCGCTTGCTGACACTCCGTTAACTACGCCTAGCGCTTGTTAGCACCCTTACGGATCCCTCTTGGTGGTTGGAACTCGGCTTACGGACATCCTCGCTCACGACTTGGGTTTTACTCGAGTACTCATTATCTCGTGTATTAGCTCAAATACCCTGATTCTTAACAGAGCTCGATCTTTGGTAAATCGATGTTCACGCCAGTCTCATATTTTCTTCCGAAGGGCATGAAATCTGAACCTTAGGAAGCTAATCTCTCCCCAAGTTAGGTAACTCTCGTACATTTCTTCCGCCGTTTTCGAGACTAACCCGGTTAAAGGCCCGAATCAATGCCCACAATATTGTCTGCTTTGAAACATAGCGACGTGTGTGTACCGGTAATTGTTATGAAATATCACGTTTCCGAGGCGCCATGGATTTTGCTTCATTGGACATCGACATCACTTTTTCTGAGGACGACGGTATCAGCAGTTCAAGGAAGGCTGGCGAGGCGAATTCTAGGAGTGAGATGATGCTAACAAGCGATGATGAAAGAGTGTGAGTTAGCAAAATGGCCGTCTGGGACAAGACCTTGGTCGGTTTTTTAATGACCCTGAAAGAGGACTTCTGAAAACAATAAAGGACAAGGCTCAGATGGTGGGTGATGAATATGTAGTGTTGGATGCTCAACTAACGGGTTCTCAGAGACTAAAAACTGCGAACCTAAATTGGAATATGCTTTCAGTTACAAAATCTCTATAAGCTAATGTTCTTGTTAGCATAATCACTACAACCACTTAGTACGCATCTTTCTCCAGAAATGTGTCGCTTGCTGATCTTATCTGGTTTATAAAAGTGTGCGCCAAGCACCCTCTTCAAAAAGAATCCCTCATTCCATATCTTAGGTTCCAGGAACGAGAAGTACAGGCATACGCATGTGTCTATGTATATACTCTAGTACTGGATGAGCGTACAATGGGTGATACCCCTATCCCACAGTCACGGGACCCCACAGCACCCTGCACCACGCACAATCAACATTGACAACCAGGCAGCCACGCAGGCTCCCACACTAAATTCTTCTTTCCCAACGACGCCCGTCAGAGCAGCATTTCTCATATTCAGCAATGTCTCCGTCCACTTCCTTAATTCCAACGCATGGTCGTGGGGCTGTGGTATTTCGCGCCGCGAAACAAGCTACTCGCCTCCTTAGAGACGCTGGATACACGTTTGCAATCATGGGGAGTTTGGCTTGCTATCTCTATGGAAATGAACGCCCGCCAAATGTAAGAAAGATCTGCCGCACTCATCGTATATCTCAAATATGATACTGACTACACGTTAGGACGTCGACATTTTGATTTCATCGTGTACCTGCGATCTGGAGCCACTCAAGAAATTTCTCGTCACCCAGAACCCGGATAATTTCTATCTCGTGGATGCCAAATCACCTCGAGCTAGGTTCAAGGTATTGTGGTACCATGATCATGATAAAGATGGAAACCTGGAAAGAACCAAGGTCGATATCATGAAACCGGGAACAATGCAGCTGCCGATGATATTTTCCGAGGCTATCGTCGATAAGCAGGGGCTTCCGGTTGTTCCCTTGTCGATTCTGCTGCTGCATAAACTCAGGGGTTGGGAGGATAATATGAAATCTAGGAAGGCGTATCTTCGGAGGAAGCATAACGCGAATGTGGGAGATATAGGTTCGTTGCTGAAGATCGTTAATGAGGGTATGGGCAAGCAGGAAAAGAGGAACTCGAAGCGTTGGAAACGGTTTGCACAGGAGCAGTTTAGTAAAAGATTCCGGGATGGGACGAAACGTCGAGTGAACGTTGTTCAGTGAGAGATATCCAGAGTACGGGGATATGTGGAAGGAGCTCGGCTGGTAGATATGTTGAATGGACTCTTTCTGATGTACGATATTTCCTACTCATTCCGTTTTTATTTAATTTGTTGAAACAGATACATTCTACTTGTGGCACGATCTTTCACTTCTGCGATGTATCGAGAATCTAACTTTGGTTCATCATTAATAAGAGAAAGAAAGGAATAAATGAAGTAGCATGTAGATAAGTACGGCCTGACCGAGAACAATTCATTAATTTAAAGCGAAGTTGTGGGTGTGGCTTTTTATATGCCAGCAACGCCTTCGTCACGACTAACCCAAGATCTTCATTAACCAGCCACCAGCGAAATGTGGAGAAATGGGCGAAGTGCTTAGAGCGTCTGGCCTCGACTGCTACAATCACATCGCAGAGGTAGACGAATTCAAGGTATTCGTTAATCAACACTGCGCGGTCTCCCTATTTGAACATCCAAAGAAACAGGACATGCGTATAGCGTATCTTTCCCTCTAACAGTAGGACCCGATGCACTCCAAATGCATACTCAGCATAGGTGCGTCTACAAACTATATCAGTACGTAAAATGCCAGAAAAGATGACTGAAGACGACCCAACTCAGGCTGGGGCCAGGTCAGAATGACATTCTTCGGACGTAGGACTGGTCACTCCCGTGACAAGCATTAGAAACAACGACCATTTCATGGAGGAATGAAACGTTGGATGGAGGAAATTGAAAGTTTGAAAAGTCGAAGGCGCCGCCCACATTGATTGCGAAGTCGGAAGGACCGGCATCTCGGCAGCACCTTGTCGCTTTGGGTTACGTTATTATTACCCCACACTTGCTTCTTCCATCCATCATGTCCCGCTCAGGCTTCCATGTGCCTTCTTTCTATAAGGACAGCCTAAATACTGAGCGCAGCCTTATCCACAGAAAATTTTTGAACCACCACCATTCTTGTCGTCGGAGAACCAGACGAGAAAGAAGGCCGCCTTGAAGCCACCTAATGCATCAGACCTCTGATAAGACTTTGTTATTCTACGGGAAGTCGGATGGACTGACTGGTGCGTGTTTTTTCATCGGAATTTCGTCACTTATTGAACTGATCGTTTACTAGCGTGCCTGTATCAGTCGTAATGAAGCCGTCTTGTCCAAAGCCAAAATTCCTGTGCTTCGTGCTCGGCGTTGATGTTGCTTTTAGCGTAACTGTTATTTTCACGCTACCATACGCCGTTCGCAAGTCTGAGTTTTGGCAACGATAGAAGAGCCCATCTAGGGTACTCTATCTATGATAAGCTGGAATTCGTCGATGGCTGGAGAACGAAGAGGAATTTATTTTAGCTTGGTACGTTGCGTCTTCTCGTTCCCACCCTTTTAGTTCGGCCTGATCCTTGGATAGTTCTCTGCTGCTATATTCCTTCCGCAATGGCCTTTCTCCACCCAAAGTCAGGATTCATTTACGCAGGTGTGCAAAGGAGCAGCTATGCGTATTTCCTCATCGAGATCCATTTTTTTAATTTGCTAGGGAGAAGCATTGATGTGTACCTACCTCGCCAGTTTTTGAGCCCGAAGAGGTTCACTAATCCACCGCGTACGAGTGAGACTGCGCCAGAAGTGGATATGGCATCTCTGTGAGTCAGTCATTTTTTCGATTTGAGGATGCGCCAACGGTTTGTTAAGGATATTCATTACTAAGTGCACCCGCAAAACTCTATGTGTTCAGGAGAAGCGGTGATGGGCACTTATCTATCCAGTCTTTCGGCCCGAAGAGGATCGCCAAGCCACCACGTGCGGTTGAGAATGCGCCAGAACCGGATATGGCATCTCCGCGAATTGGTCTTTTTTGTACACGCTAACACCTTGCAAGGATAATCATTATGACCAGTACGCTGCATACTGTCTACGCCTCGTCCAGTATCCTGCAGGACATCTTCATCTCCCTACACAAATGTTCTATAGTCAGTTGATGGGTTACACAACGCGTGGAGATTGTAGGGGCGTCTTTCAGGCAGATTTGCACCATGCCCAATATTTCTCCGCTCAGGGCTAGTTCCAGCAAGAAAAGGCAGCTGGTCTCTTCCCCTGGTGATAACCGGGTATCTGGATGACGACCTCAACGATGAGCGTCCGGTGTTACAGGAAATTGGGAACGCATTGGCTTCCATCTGTATTTGATTCCGACTCGGTACGTGCAGGAAAGCCATGTCAAAGCAATGCAGTTTTTCTATGCGTGTCTCCCCGAGTACGCTATGGACAGACGGGCATTTTTGTTCAATTGTTCGAACGTTCAGGCGCTTGCGGCCTGGAAAGTCTTATGGTGCTGTACTGTTTTGATATACTCGAACGCGATCCATGAATTTTTGGTCACAAAAATCCAAAAGAAATCGGAATAATCGAGAAAAATCCGCTCTCAGATTTTTTTTTTCTTGTGATGCGTGACGTTCCAATCGAACGAAATAGTACAGTATACGCGGACGCCGTGCAAGGTTGAGGATTTATCAGAGGTGGATGCGGTCGCCATTTCGGTGAGAAGCGGTTCTTGGATTCGAAGCGGTGTTAATGCTATTTTTAGCATACGCATCGCGGCTCGTACATATCGTCCTGCTCCACACGCAATAGGCGCACGTCTCAAATGGACTCACACGTCCCACATCTTCACTACACTGGGCAACAAAAACTACTTTGACTGGATGCCTGAGGCCTACTCAGGGACCGCACACATCCTCGCTGGGGTGCATGTACGAGGCGTGCCCCTCCTTCCTATAACAAAATCTTGAAGGACGCCTCAGCTTATCTACACTGACCACCATCCGCTTCATCGACGAACCAGGCATTAATAAAGGCATTGGACCACCGACAAGCTGGTGTGGTTCCTGAATCTGTAGACGCGCTTGAGGAAGAACAGGAAGATAAGTTATCTAAGTATGTTGCATGTTTGTATTCCTTTATTTTTGCCGCTGACCGTTGCATAGCTTGCCTACTTCGTCCACGATGACCCTGCTCGTCCCGAAATCAGGATTCCTATTTGCACGCCGGCGTGAGGCACGGCATCGGGACCGCGTCGAGGCGACATGGTTCGGCCACGGGTGTTCCTCATCGAGATGGTAAGGATACTGTTCAACTTGGTCTTTGGCAATAGGTGCCAGCCCAGCCAGTCTCTCAGCCGGAAGCACACCGAACCTCCTTGCAAAATTTAGGATATGCCAGAAGCGGACACCGTTGTCATCTCGGTGAATAGGCCCGTCCTTGCATTCGAGAATATACTAATGTTCTAGTTAGCATAACTATCATTACCAGTATGTGTTGTCCTCCTAAAATTTGTCATCTGCTAACCTTTCCTAGTCTAGACACGCACACCATAACCACGTCAGTAAAAGTCAACCCGAGTGGTATAGTACTACACAGAGTACGCTCATGTAAAAAAAAAGATATACTTGAATACATTCCCAGATTGATACGGCGGGGAATTGATCTCTCGGCATCCTGCGATAGATAACTCACCTACCTACTTTCAGGACAAAGCGAACATTCGAAGACATTGGGAATAGGCATCGTGTTTAGTTATTTGTTGCTTTGATTTCGAGTATGTGATAGAGCGGAAGGATGCTACCGGGTGTAAACTCCTGAGCCTGAAACAAAATTCATTATATTTACTCCCGCAAAAAGAAAGGATTGTTGGAGGGATTGAACTCGGGGAATTGAATGCTTGGATTTGTATGTGTAACATTTGCTGTTGAACCATATCCGGATGGAGAATATGCTCATTGAAACCCCCTGTTGTTCCATCACTTTATTTCGCCCTGATCATACATTGCAGGCGCTGGGATCTGTGTAGGGTTTAAAAAATGTGGGAATAAAACCAGTAGAACTAGATTCGAATATATATGAGGAGGTTGAATTCTGTCGAAAATGGCCAGCCGTTGGGGTATATCCAAATGTCACAAAGGGCCGATTGAAGAAGGATGAGATGAGGACGAGGAGAATGGATTACCCCTTGGCTGCTCGTACTATCGGTGAGCTATGTTGTCTCGCATATATACATGAAATTGTATCATGTGGTATGGAGCGAGATCAGAAAAAAACGATGATTGTTCCCCCCACATATTCGCATATGGGGATTCGAACCCCTGAGAGCTCGCCAGTCATGCTGGCAGTTATGCCACATTCGCTGGATCGATGAGGAAAAACAGGCATGGTTTCTCGCTTATCTCTGTATCTCGATAAGTGCTTTGCTCATCGTCCTTCTCTCTACTAGCCCTATGAGTATCTTGTTGATCATTGATTGGGACCATGAGCGTGAGGGCGAACTGGTGATGCTGATGTTGCCCCTTGCTGGTGTCATGTCACTTCTTCCTCCCTGATCACCCTCGTCGTGAGTTCCGCTTGAACTCGTTCGCACTCTATTCCTGACCCGTTCTTAAGGATTTTTGACGCGACTTTGTGAGCTTATATCAATCTTTCGCTGTTACATTGCTCACTGTCTCTCGTTGAAGCCTCAGAATTCGAATTTTTGCTCCCATGTAGGCGAAAATGCATGTAAAGGACCAGGTAAGCATCCTTCACCTTCAAAGGCTCTGTAAAGTTCACTGACGAGCTGCACTTCCGGTTGTTGACTTGACGTGCTTTGGAGGTTATTTCCACCGTCTGATAGCAGTCAAAAAGGCCCTACCAAGAGTGAAATTGATAGCGCCATGCGATGGAAATCCTCCATTAGACAAGGATGAAAACTCGGAGGGAACACCTTGAATAGGAAGGACCGGCAACGTGGCAGAAGCCAGTCATTTTTGGAAATGACATCTGATGGGTGTACATCATCCCATGCCACGTTTTTCTTTCCTTTTAATTTACATCCGTGGGGTACGCAAGTGCATGCCCTCCTTTCTACAACAACACTGCTCGGAGATTGTGGATAGTACTATCTATTGTCGTGCTTAGTACCTCCGCTATCTACGTCGTCGACGAACCAGGCGAGGAGAAGACAGCATGAGATGGGCGCCCAGTGCATTGGACCTTTGATAAGCCTGTGTGTTCCAGAACTGGTGGCTGAACTGGAGGACGAACAGGAGGAGAATGGGCTAAGTGTGGTGCGCATCTCCAGGTTTTAATGAGGCTTCAAAGCTGGCGCTGATTGCTGGGGAAGCTTGCATATATGACTCGGAACAGACCCGACCTGCCTAAAGTCGGGATTCCTGTCAGGACGCTGAGTGGAGTGGAGAGGATGAACACAGGGGCGAGGTAAAAATGACTGGTTGAGCCCGGCGTGTTTTCTTATTGAGTTGCCGTTCGTGAGTTTGTTGGAGCGAGGGTACTGTTCGACCCTGTGTTCAGTGATAGGTGTTCACCAAGCCGGTATATCGGTCCGAAGACATACACGGAGCCGCCGTGCAAGATTGAGGATATACCAGAGGCAGACGCGATTTTTATCTCGGTGAGATAGTCTGCTCCTGTATTTCAAGACTGCACTGATGCCATTATTAGCATAATCACTATGACTAGTACACGTCGTCCTTCCTCACTTCGTCGCCTGCTCGCTTTCTCCTAGCCTAGATGCGCCCACCATAACCATTCTCTTCAAACGCCCTCGCCCGCCACAGATCTTCGCTCCCCTAGGCAATGAAGAGTACTTCTAGTCAATACTCATATATAATGGGCGCACGCATACCCTCAGGTGGTGGGACCCACAACGCGTGGAGATACCTGGAACGTCCTTTAAGCTCACCTGTATCTTCGCACAACATTTCATTGGTGGGGGGCTGTTCGATCAGGCCAAGACGCTGTAGCCGAGCTGGGGAATGGAAGGTGAGGGTAAGAAGGTGCATTCCGCTAGTGATACCAGATATCAGTCTGTCGAGGATGGGGATGATGAGGAGGAGAGGCCGATGTGTCCTGTGTTCAAGGAGATTGGGGAGTGGTTCGGTGGGTTCGATTTGGTGATGATTCTTATTGGGTACGTGTACTGCGCTGGTTTGCATTCTGTGATGTTGACGTTTGACTACGGTTCAGGAGCCGAGGTGATTCATGTCGAATATGCATTGCGCGCCAAAAAATAGCATCCGCATTTTCAAAGATGTGAAGGCGATTGCTATGTACTAGGGGCGAACCGTCTGTTATGGCTTCCTTTCGCGTCTCTGATCCTTACCACGACGTGAATTCCAGTGGTGTTATCATATCGTTGTGGTAGTATACGTCGGTCTTGACGTAGACTGGTTGGCGCGGGTCGTTGGCCGACAGAAGTTGCATAGCCGAGGATTTGAAGTAAGAAGAATAGACGAGTAATAACTAGGTATATGTAGTCAGTAACAGAGGGTTAATGAGAGCTCACGGTGCGCAATATTGGTACTCGGAACTCAGGACTCGAAGCTCGAACGTGGTGGGCAAAAGCAAGGGTCTATTTCCCAAGGTACGGCTTGACTTGTACAGTTAGGGGATGGCCGCACACGTTCTCTTGCGTCGCCAGGGCCCCGCTATGACATCCGGGAATGTAAGTGAAGAAGAAAAGATAAGAAAATAGTCCATTGGAAAAGTGAAAGTCCATAGCTAGGCCTCAACGTTGAACAACTGCTCCACCGGGGATTAGCGCAACTTCGTATAGGGAGAGTACGCTGCCGCCCTCAGCGTGGATGAACGGGTCGTCAATCCGTTATCATCTCGATCCCCAGCGCAGTCCGAGGTGGTTACAGCCGTCGCAGTCTCATCCTCGCGTCCGGTGTGTACAGTAGAGGTAGATGTTCAGCATGAAGATGGGGATAAGAAAGAGCACATAAGAATTTCAACTGTGAAGTGTAAGCAAAGAAAGAGAGGTATAATGGGACTGGATAAACGACACCACGACCTAGACCAATTCTAACGTTCCCTCGTTTGGTGTAGCTCTGTCGTCATTGAGGAGAGCCCCATGTGAGTCAGTGCCTTGATCGACATGTCATCGTCCGCATTGAGAATTTGAACTTGGCCTCATTTGAGCAATGGTGCCCAAAGTTTCGCGTAGTGAAGAGAGTTTAATCTATAAAGCGAGAGGGAAGAGAAAAGTAGTATGTAGTCATGAGAGAAGGAAGGAAAGCACAAGGAACCGGAAAAGGAAGGACGCGTCAGCATGCCTCGTGGCATCAATTCCACGAGCACGGCAACGCGTACTGCCACATCGTCAGTCCGAGCATGCGTTGTGAGTACTGGACGTTCGATGTTGGCTTTGACTCGGACGAAGCGTTCGAAAAATAATATTGAGCACAAAGGAAGTAGGAGTATAATTCAGATAGAGGGGATTGAACCTATCCGAGATGGTGAAGAGCTCGAGGGAGGGCGAAGATATGGATCAATTCTGTGTACGAGGATAAGTACTACTTGATCGTCGGAGATATTTGCAGAGGCTGGAGTATGGGACCTTGGAAGATAGAAAGAACGATGATCGGTATACGAATGAATTAAAGACATTTCGTATCCCCGAGAATTGAGCGTATAAGTATGTGTGTTGAGGGAGTAGATATGTTTTAGTGCTACCGTGACCGTCAAGAATTCATGGTAGGATGGTATATAGGTGCCTAATGTCGTCCCCTTCCATTCCGTTGTTGGAGGCAGAGTGAAAAAAGTAAGAATGGCGCGCAACGAGCTAGAGTTGGATTAGGGGGCTGAACCCCGAGAAGGGCGTACCGCTGGGCTATAGTATGATATGAGGGGAGCCGATATGGGTAGGGTTCAGCTCGTATCATATGAACACGCTTCTAGCGGATTAAATATGACGGTGAAAAGAACATAACCTCCCACACATTAATTGGGATATTCCTGAATGGATGAGGAAATGCACATGTCCCCCAGTTTCGAGTCGGGACATGGCGTCTGGTCATAAAAGAAATGACCTGAGAAAGAAAAGGAGAAATATAACTTTAAGGAATTAAATGTACTGCAGAGTGATTGATATGCCAACCTGAATAACAGCTAGGATGATCCCATAGCGCGTCCTGTCTCGGAAGTAATCTTTACCGATAATCGAATCTGCACATCCCATTAACTGGGCTCATCATTATGACTGGTATTCTGTCAACAGGATATCGATAGTCGAGACTTTTCTATGGCCCGTATATATTCTCGTGCCATGTGGAAGGTGATAATCAAGCGATGATCGTAAATTTATTTTGTTCTATAATTGGGTAGTTTGAGAGGTAAAACTATTATGCTGCCAATCACGTTTCTCATGTGTAAGCGACGCATTTTCGTTTTGGAAAGTACAGTAAATCGGGTATGCACGCTTATTTTGTCGTCAATACGTCAACCAACGCCATGCGACTCGGAGTCGTGATGAATCTGGATGCAGGCACCATGGTGCGCACCTGTGATATCCCAGATTTGAATTTGAACCGTGAATTCCGGCTGAATTCCGTCGTCATGATTCATCCTGGGTGATTCAATTGTTGTTAAGTTAAGGCGATGCTAATGCTGTGATCATCACCAAGATTATGACCCGGTACCATCATCGATTGCACGTCGCCCCTGACCCATAAACACTTCTTCAAACAGAATTATACACCCCAGTGCTCCACCTTCTACTGAACAAAAGTATTTCGAATTGATAGGAATGAATGCCTAACAGAGATGTGCGCATACATACACGTTGATCCCAAGAACGTTCTTTGGGTTGGCTTCGGTTCCGATTGCACGTACCTAACTCTAGGAACCATCACCGGCACCAATGATACTAAAACCATCCGACAACTCATCGATCTCCTTGAACACGAGACACGATCGTCCTCTCCCTTTTGATCTCAACGGACCGTTAGCCGCTATCACCGTGGGATCTTCTTTTCCAGCTCCCTCAATGTCCAGCATGCCTACATAATTTTCCCTGGTCGAGCGAGGCCGTGCCCGATGAACGCTAGACGGAGGTAAAACCTATCCCCTTGATTGACTATAAATTGTCTACTGCGGAATAGATCCTGCGTATTCGAGGACATCTTGGCAAGAAAAGCTGTAACAATGCATTGGTGGTGAGCCATCTGATACGCTGTTTGTTCCTAAGATAATTCACATCGTGTACCTGGATCCTACCGAGCTGCCAGAGGGACTTAGAGAATGGAAGAAGAGATTGTTTCAGATCATGCTGACTTTCTTCTCAGTGATATCTGCGAGATGAAATACTTTTAATTGCTTTCTGTATTCTATCCAATACTAGACATGTATTCCTGTCGGGAAACGAAAGCCCAAAGGACACTCCAATACAGGGCCCTCCCTTCGCTTCGGACATCATGACTGTCAATCCTTGCTCAAGATTGACGTACACAGCATCTGCATTACCAAATTTTCCGGTTCCCGCGAAATACGGTGCTCTTTTCACTCGGAGCATGGGAATTCAAACCTGGAGATTCTCCTCGACGGTCCACTCTAGCCGATAAGGACCATGGTATGATTTTTGACCTTCTATTGTTGGATTTTTCTATCTATGACAATGATCTGTCGTCAATCCTACCTTCCTTCCCGGAGTTTGGACCGCTTATTATTCTTCCAGAGCTTCTGAGAGTGAAGGAAGCACCTATCCAGATCAAATCGCATTAAATAATGGGTCTCCCAGTCGGAATCAATGGATACACCAGCAAGGAACTCAAGTCTTGAGTATGTCGTCCCCATGAATGACACTTCAAAAACTTCGCGTCCGCAGTACTTGCTTACTACATTGCTCGGATCTCAAATGCCCTGGAACCTGTTCGGTTCCATTCCTTCACCTGACTCACTCGCTTTTCTTGGAGCTAAACATCCACATTGTCAAACACCTAATGACTACAATTTTAAGAATTATTGCGAGATCTCGGAGCGTACTTCAGGGCGTACACTGGCAACAAAGCGGCATCACAGCCCATGTGGGAGTAAAATACGATATCCCTTGTACCTCAAGCACGGAACAACAGAACGCCGTGTCTTCCATTGAGCATGTCTCTTCATTTTCTTTCTCGGCGACTCCATAGTCTCCCTAAGATTCTGCATAGCATGCTTGCACGTAGCCGCCTGACTTGTTTTGCCTTCGACCGCAGGAAACAGGATGATACTGCATCACACCATCCTTCAGAGCATGTACTTATAATGACTTGCTCTCCAATAGTGACATCTAACATCTCACTAGCTCCCTCACAAAGTATGTCCTCTGAGCAAACGAGCAGTCGTCGAAGCGCATCAAGAGTTTTATGCTGTTTTATAACGTCTCTGTCATTCTTGATCATTGTTCCAATCTTATGCGTGACTCTTGCGGCAAAGCTGCGCCCCAGTGGAGAGCTCTCGTACGGAAACAAAGAAGAGTTTGTGGGTGACAAAAATAGAACAGTAAGACTCCTCACTGGATCATGCATTAATATTCACCGCTCATCTTACTGAAAGATTTCTCTCCGGGCTAATCTGATCTCAGCCAATATCAAGAATACCGACATTGTCGTAGAGTGGCACATCGACGATGATACCTGTCGTACAAATTGCTCAGAAGTGAACCTCTTCTTTCACCGGTGAGTATCTTCCTCCATCATTGTCGAAATTACACCGATTTATTGATATCTATTCAGAAATATTTGTCCGTTGAATAATGGTCACGTTCGCAGTCCCTCCAATACCAACATGCCGACAGACCCTTACTTTGTTTGGAATGTAACAAGCTGGAGTATGGGAGCTCATGATCATGACCCGAGAAATAAGCACCCTATGTTCCACACCAAACTTATCGTCTACCCAGGATACAAACATGGATTGGATTCCAGCCATGCAAGTTTGGTCTACTACCCCTTCGACAGGTACGTTATTTACCATCCCGCTTTTTCCTGATCAGAAGTAGTTTACCCTGGTGATGTGCTAGTTATCAGTCTCAGATAATCGCATTTGCTCAAGACGCAACAACGAACAAGTCCGTACCGCTAGTCCTTAATTCAGCCACTGCACTTTTCCCGTAAGCCCACGTCCCTTCTTATTTGACGACCTGACAGAACTTCTTCGAGTGGCTTCAAGATTAAAACTGACAATTTAAGTGAAAAACCCGACTACTTGAAGGACATGAAACCCGGACACAGAGTCATCAATGTCCTTGTAACCATTGAATGCAGTGCTCTTGTTATCGTATATTGTCTTGTTATCACCTTCACGTTTTGTTCGTTGTCTTTTTCTACATTTCAACAAATGCATTACACTCACGAAGACTCAATGAACAGGGCTGGTAACGCTCATGAGCTCCCTCATAATGATCGCAACCGTGGTCTTTGGCTTCCGACAGCGGAATGAGATCGTTGTGATCCCTGCCGGCACCGTATTTGCCTTTACCCAACTACGATCCTCAATGCCTGGAGCTACCGAAGGATTGGGTATGTTGTTTATACACCTATACAGAAGGTTCACTGAAAACCGACTCATGTAGGCGATATCCTGGGTACGTTAGGCTTTATATTAACCTCCATCGGCTGATTTCTGTCTTTCCAAAACAGATTTTGCTGGGATATTACCGTGCCTGATCCTTCTATCGATTTCCGTGCATGTCACCTGCGTCGCGGAGCTTTAATCCAATTACTGACTTTCCTGTCATAGGCCGTAACTATGGTTGGCATCTACTTATTCGCTGACCCGGATCATCCGTCCCGTAGGTCCTTCACTTGGAGTGAATTAGGTACATTTTCATCAATGCCTTGGCGGAATAATATTCAATAAAATTGCAGAGAATGCCTTGCATCATTATATCCAGCCCATTTGGATTACTGCCCAAGAATGGGTACGGCGTGCTCGTTTTCGCATTATGACAGCGGGACGGATTCTGAGGGCACCTCACAATGTTGAGATTCTCTTGACAGATATTGCTCACGAAAATCAGGCTTGAGCGTCAATGCGCTGTAGGGATGGACCTATGAAGAATGTATGAAGTAGATACTAAAACCTTGAACAGTTTGAGAACATATCTTCCGTGCAATAAAGTTGCTCACACTCTTCTTCGAGTAGCCTGTCGCGAAGTGTCTCATAATAAGTAAGCCTTCCATCACGTACTTAATGCACACAAGACACGGGGGAGTGAAATCCGAGTGCAACAATGGTCGCAGACACTGCGTCGTATCACCCATTGCGAGATATTGATTTGATTCAGACAATAAGCTAGACAGAACATATGAATATGATTTGGCTGCTCAAACGGATCAGTGAAACGGAGAGGAGAGAAATGGAGATGAATACGCAGTGAAGAGAAGAGATATGGGGGTGCTTCTCATGGAAACATCAGCAGGAGGAGCTATTCGACACTTTCATCTCAGTACTGGTTTCCTCCGTAGGGAGGGTCTTGATCGGAGCTATCTATGCGAGTGCGCGGTCGTTGGGTTACTCGGTAATATATTCTGGCAGTCCTGAAAATGATTAGTAGTCGGACGAGGTACGAAAACGTGATGGAATACATATGTATCCACTTTGATCTCGTACAACAAGGTCGATGAATATGTTTGATAGAAGCCCAGACTACAGAACACGAATGACAGTTAAGGGGACCAAGAGGTTGAGCAGATGTGACCGCTACCTTAGACGGGAAGACAGGTTCACTGCTCTGACCCACGTAATCATGCTGGGAAAAGTTAGCCCAGACGTAGTGGGATAGTGCAAGCTGACGACCTGAGCATTCTCGACAACTACAGGAGTGCCTGCATGTCTCCAGAAATCGAAAGCTGCTGCAACATCCGTATGGTTGCCGACATCAATCTAACTTCCATGTTAGTAGGCTTCTAGATGGAAGGAGAATGACGCATATACTAAGGAGAAAATGCGCCTTGCCCAGTTCTCCGTCCTTGGGGATGGGAGACCCCAATTCAAAGCGCATTCTTCTGCCGTCGATTTCTGGGTTGCTTGTTCTGCAATTATTTAAATTATATCATTGCATATAATGGTAGAATTTAGAAAAGATTACTTAAGTCGACCTAGTTCACGCAGACGCTTGGCCTAGCTTAGAATAAAATTCTTGGATACAGAACTCGTCACTCTCTCGACAAGCGTCGGAAAAACGACTATTCCACAGAGGAGTGAAACTTGGGATATAGGAAATTGATCGTTTGAAAAGTGGAAGCCGCCGCTCACGTTGATTCACAAGTCGGAAGGACCGGCATCGCGGCAGAACCTTGTCACTTCAGGTTACATCGTGATTACCTCACACTTGCTTCTTCCATCTATCGTGTATGGGTCGAGCTTACGTACGCCTTCTTTCTATATGGTCAGCTCAAAGACTGAGCGCAGCCTTATCTACAGCATTGTTTTCAACCACTACCATCCGTATTGTCAGATAACCAGGAGAGAAAGGAAGCCACGGCCTGCCTTGAGGCCACCAAGCGCATTGGACCTGTGACAAGACTTTGTGAATCCATTCTTGGACGAGCTGGAGGACGAACAGGAAGTCCGATAGGCTGACTGGTGTGTGTTTTCTTCTTCGGGCTTTCGTCACTGATCGATCTGATCGTTTACTAGCCTGCCTGTCTCATTCTACAAGGTGCAAGGCGAGGCGGGCAGACTTGTCAACGTGCGGGCGCACGAAGAAGGGCTGGCATCGCGGGAAGGTTATTTTCAGATACGCCATCCGATGTGTGTACGTCATCATTGACGGGACACTTAGGCATCTCTCAAGCATCTCTTCCATCCATCAGGAACGGCTCAGCATTGCGTGGCTCCTTTCTATCTCGATAATTGAGCACGGCGTTATCTATAGTAGCTGTCGTCCGTGTCATCAATGAAGGAAGCAAAAATAAACGTCGAAACGGTTCCTAGAATCTGTCGACCAGCTTCGCGACGAACAGGAAGTTGGATTTGCTTAGTACGCTGTGTGCTTGTACTCCTGATTTCTCGTCTCTAAGATCTAATCACTGGATAGTTGGCCTCTTTCCTCCACAATAAACCTTCCTCACCCGGATCTGGGATTCTTTTGCGCCACGCATGGTTTCTCTTCATGCTTCCGTTCATTGCTACACTGGAGAGAACGCTACTCGGCTTTAGTTCAGTGATAGGTGTTTGCCCAGCCATTCTTTAAGTCAGAAGTGATATATGAAGCCACCAAGTACGATTGAGGATATACGACAGATGAACACTGTCGTTTTCTCGGTGAGTATTCGTTCTTGCAATAGAGGCTATGCTAAATACATCTGAATTATGACCAGTTTACATCCTCCTCCTTACCCTTTCGTCTTTCCTAGTCTGGCATCAAGCACACTCCTCAAAGGGACCCGCGCAGTGCGCATCTTCGCTACACTGCGGAACGACAAGCACTTTCATTCGATCGTGTTCCCGACGCGTGGGCATATACTCAGTCGGTGGGTTTCACCATGCGTGGAGATTCTCCGCACTATTCTGATGGTGATATCAGGTATCCATCTACCGGGGATGTCGATGATGACCCCTACGATGGGCGTCTGTGTTGCAGGAAACTGGGAACGCGTTGTTAGCTTCCATCTGTATACCATTCCGATTCAGTACGTGCAGTACTCCGTTACGTTTCGTGTCTAATGTTCTCCCAGTGCATATGAGTCGAGATCGTTTACACTGCCAGCCGCAGGGCAATGTGTGGGAGAACGTCAACCAGAATATATTGGGAGTGAGTCGTCTTTGATGTCTTCCTTTTATAGTTCTGAAGTTTCCCATAACGTAGATTCTAGCGACAGAAGAGTCATCGAAAAGGATTGAACACATCAGTGTGAGTTATAGACGGAGCAGAAAAATAACATCCGGGTGACGTGGTTTGGTCCTTAACTTGACTCTCTACGGAGAGGCGCATGTCGCTATCTGATTGGTATTCAGGCGTTCGTGGCCTATCATATATCCAGTCTGTCGGGTACAAGGATTTATCGGAGGTGGAAGCGGTCGTCATCTCGGTGAGTAACGGTTCTTGGATTCGAAGAGGTGTTAACGCTAGTTTTAGCATAGCTCGTACACGTCCTTCTCCCCAGCTCCGTCGTCTAGTCTCATTTCCTAGTCTAGCACGTCACACCGACTTGACTGTCCCACATCTTTGCTCCGCTGGGCGAAGAAAACTACCCCGACTGGATGCCTGAATGACCTCGTCCACATCCTCGCTGGTACGATGCGTGACATTTTGGTGGTAATACCTGCCCCTGATAGGGGACAGCCAGATGCAAGGGCCGATGTGTACTTTTGAGGATATTGGTCGATTCGATCTGGCAGCGATACCTGTTGGGTTTGTGTGTTGCGCTTGTCCGTAGTTCATGATGCTGATGTTTAATCAGGGCATAGGAAGCGACCCGTTGATGTTCCCTACCCATTGCACGGCACTGAGGGCGGAGAAAATGGTTCGTTGTTAATGAATTGTGGGTAAGTGGTCTTTTTTGATGTCTTCCGTTCAAGGCACTGACGCTTTCCGGGACTTACAGCCTGGCATGGATGGGGACTCCAACATTGCGCTCGCTCACCTTCAGATCGTCTATCTCAGCTGAGGTCGCGCGTATGGAGCCCCAAAATGCAGCTCAGGCTGAAAATATTTGTTCAATGAGAGGTGTATTAGATGTCTTCCTATCGTGGGTAGGTCATAGGGAGGGAAAACCATAGAATCGGCAACGGCGGCTTTCTGATATCAGCAGGGGTGCAATAGTTCCACTACAGGCTGTACATTTCGGTTGATGTGAAATTCGGATGTGAACTACTACTAGTAGTACTCATCGTACTGGCAAGCGGTCCCGATTAAATGACATCACGAACTGTAGACGTGTGTGACAAAAATTAACCACTCGCAACAATATATGGTTTCAAACCTCAGGATTCTACGGTTGTACAGAAGCATAGAACGCGAAGCGAAAGGGGAGTGCATGAAAAAATTCAAACTGCAATTGGGGTTGTATAGGCCCAAGTGTCGTCAAAGGGAAGAAGAAAATAACTTGTTTGGGATCTCACCGCTGTGAGAAAAGACAAATTCTAGAGTGTTGTGAAAAACAGTGTAGTAAAGGAGACGTTGACTGTGAACTGGTGGAAGAAAAGATGATGCCAGACATATTTCTAGATACAAGGAATCGAACCCTGCGATGAGCAATGGCATCCAGTAGACCGTAACCGAATATGTACGGCCCGCATCTAGGGGATCTCTGATCATCGATTCCTTGGGAGAAATTTGCAGTTATTTTTGACTGGGTGTGGATTGTCTTGCGTTACATGGAGGAGGTCACTCCTTTTTTCCTCCACGTGGATTAAATTTAAACGATGGTATCTTGGCTGGAGAATCTCATGCCAGAATACTGCATGGTCCGAGTATACTATTGACATGTATCGCGTCACCCAGCATCACAACAACAGATAAGTATTCATCTCATATTCTGACTCGCTGACAGGGCAAGAAAGTACGGGCCTAGTGAAAGGGGACGGACAATGTCTCCAGCCATATATAAGTATACGGATGAGATATAGGTAGTCCTAGCCAAATACGATTCAGAATGGCCCGGAGATGTGATTTAGCGAGCGCGCAAGGTTACTCTCAGCCGTATAAGGTATGGGAAATTGGCCTCAATGATACGGCGGCAGGCATCCCACAGCCGTGGGGCAGAAATACCTTGAATTTTCCCAGATAGTGGTCATCTCACGAGCTAGGACATTTTGATGGCCAGTAGAATTTCGCCAGTCGTTATGGCATATGACAGTTCAATTCCCTTGTATGGATCTTCCGTACATAACAGCATCGTGATATTTTCATGGATGCATGCCGAACACTCCCTGCTCTATGATTACCTGGCAACTCTAGTTTCGATACATTCGTGTGTCTTGAACGTTAAAGCTAAGTTCACCCGTTCGTACATACATTCCCGTGTAAATTCCGTGGATATGGCTGTTGAAATAATCCTAGCGGGTATGGAAGCACACAAGGGATCAGGACACGAATACGGGATTGACGCAGTACATGAGCGGTAAGTACGTAGTCAATCGAGTAAAGAAGAGAAAAGCGAAGCTACGAAATTTTACCGGTACGTACACGTGACTGATTATCAATAAACACGCGAGCCACGAGCTCGATATCCAACAACCCCACAGTTCTAAGTAGAAGTATTCCTTAGTGTCAACACTAGAAAGTCGCAGCCATATCTTCTTCATTGCCTGAGATCCTTCACGAAAGGAAGAGACCCAATGTGCCCTTTCGACTTCACCGTTCAACCCAGAACTTGCAGCTATGCAACGGGAAGATATAGGGACTAGCTAGGCGATGAACACTCAAGCACCCATCAAACAGAAATAGGCATGCTGCGTATTGATGAACGGCAAATGGAGGGGGGAACACACATTTTCAATCCTCTTCGACAGCTCCGTAACATCTTCTGTTGTTAGGATCTGCATCCCGGAACGCATCAAAGATGAATCATAGACTTCTCAACAATATGCGGGAAGCCAAGTGCATGAAGTACGGCCGGCACCGTGGCAAGGTTATTTGGGGTTACGTCATCTTTGCGCACGCTCTTTCCTACCATCCATGGCGTACAACTCAGGTTTGCATGCCCTTCTTTTCTGTAACAAGTCTCGACGAATGAACAATACCTTACCCACAGCGATCGTCATCCGAATGGTCCACGGACCGGGAGAAATTACCACTGACACGCCGGAGCGGTTACTTAATCTGTAGACGAGCTTGGAGGAGAAGGAAGTTTAACTTGCTGAGTACGCCGCACGCCAATGCTCCTAATATTTCACCTCTAATCGCTAGATAGCTGGCCTCTTTCTTCTGCAATAAACGTGACCCACCCGGAGTCGGGTTTCCTGTTCGACCACGCGTCTTTTCTCATACAGCTTCCGTTCATCGCAACGCCACAGATAATGCTATTCGGTCTGTGTTCAATGATAGGTGCTCTCCCAACTAGTATTTCTGCCCAAAGAGGTACACAAGATGCCGAGTAAGATTGAGGATATGCGACAGGTGGACCCTATCGTTTTTTCGGTAAGTATTAATATTCATTCTTGTATTTACATAAATAAGGCTAGGATAAGACCATCAGCATTATGACCAGTTTGCATCCTCCTCCTCACCCTGTCGCCTTTCCTAGTCTAGCCTCAAGCACGTTCCTGAAATGGACCCGCTCACTACACATCCTCACTCCACTCCGGAATGAAAAGCACCTTCACTCAGTCAAGTTTCCCAAGTCGCACGCACATACACTCGGTTGGCACGTTGCACGACGCATGGAGATTCTCGGGTGTCTTTCAGGCTGATTTGCACCCTACCCACCATTTAACCGCTTGTGTCCTGTTTCACCGAGGAAAGGCGGCTGGACCATCAGATAAAAGGTATCTGTCTATCGAGGATGATGACACCGACGACGAGCTTGTGGTGTTGCAGGAAACTGGGAACCCGTCGTTGGCTGCCACCTGCAGGTGTATTCTGATTCGGTACGTGCAGTCCTCAATTGCGCTTCGTGGTCTAACGTCCTCTCAGTGCGTACGAGTCAAGATTGTTCATAAGCACTGCTATCTGCGAGCCGCAGGATAACATGTGCATCGTACCGGAAGTGAGTCGTCTTTGATGTATTTCTTTCTTCATCTGATTTTTCCAGTACGTAGATTTCAATGACAGATGAGGTTACAGAGCTATCGAAGAGGATTGGCGAAAAGGATGTGGGGTGCAGAGGGGTCGCAGGAAAGTCAGGTCAAGGCAACGCGGTTTTTTATGAGTGCTTCCTCCTCGAGTACGCTATGGAGAGGCACATATTAAGCCAATGAGAATAAGCTCGCATATACCCCCCAATCAGTCTATCATTGTCATCGCAGGTAACCCTCCTCCTGCTATCCATCCTATACCGATCCTTGGCTGACACGATCAACTGCCAGATCAAAGAAGCCGAGTCTGATGTAAGTGGCACGGGCCTCTCCCACCACCGTCGGCCAGCCTGGCTTCTCATCCATAACCAACCTGCTATACGAAAAGTCGGAATTCCTGTGTGGGTTTCAGAAAAGCGAGGTCAAGACGAGGTCTTCGGGTTACTTGTGCTTCCTAGTCGAGTTGCCCTTCATCACTTCGTTGCGGAGGTACAAGGTGCTATCCTACCTTACGTTCAGTGGGAGAGCCTTGTCCAGTAGGTCGGTCGGTACAAGGAGGTACACCGAGTCACCATGCAAGACTTATTATATACCAGAGGTAGATGCGGTCATCATATCGGTGAGTAGCTCGTTCTTGGTCTTAGCCAAGGCTAGTGCTGTTGTTAGCCGTAATCGACACGACCAATACGCGCCATTCTCCATAAATGCATCGCCTGCTTACCTTCTTTAGCCTAGGCAGATGTACGATGAGCGCCATATTCGAACAGACTCTGCCGCTCCATATCTTCACTCTCCTATGCAACGAAGAGTACACACGTACCCAAGGGACGGGCCAGGAGAATTTTGCGAGCGACACTTGCGAGCTTGCGTTCAACTGCGTTCATTTGCGTTCAACTCAAGTTGAACTGCGTTCGCTTGTGTTTAACTTGCATGCATTTGCGTGCATATGGAGACCTTTGTTTGTGTTTCATACAAATACTTTGTTCTGTTTTAAAGTCACTAGTAAAGTGTGTCTTATCTTGAACATTTACTTACTCTTTCCGAGTTCCTGGATATGTCCCACCAGGTTAATGTCACTTACTATGACTCGGGGAAGCCATTGAATAATATTTTAATGCTAGAAAGGTATCTGTTTTCGCTCCAAAAAAAGCTCCCTCCATCACAGCGACATTTCACTTCGAAATGACTATGAGATCTGTCCTTTTTTTGAACTTGGCAGGATGAACAGGTTCTCAAATGAATAAACCTTGCTTACGTATCTCACAAAGATGTCACGCACCCATCCCAAAGTCGAACGCAAGCCTTAAGAAGATGCACGCATGTGTTCTCCAAAATAACGCATGCGATTGGAAATTAAACGCATGCGAGCGGTAGCGGCTTGCAATTGGCTCGCAAGTGTGACGGATGTGTGACATCATGTAACATTTGCGTTCGACTCGAGTTGAACCGTCTTAACTGTTGGTCGCTTCTCATATTTCTGCGGCATGTGCTTCCTATCATTATATCTTGGTTCTTTTGATATTTTTATGATGCTTACTGTATTGAACTTAACCTTCTCTGGCCCACGACCACTGTTTGGGTTCTCTTCTTCGGGCTGTCTTGAACTCCTTCCTGTGAGTCTGTCCGCATCGTACCTCAATTTTCTTCAGATTATACTCTACGTATGGACACTTCTGGAATGTATTATTGATCTACTAGAATCTCGAGTTGAATAATTACTCTGGAACCCAATGTTTTGGCTCTTGATTTTGGACTTTGAACTTTGAGGGAGGATTACCTCAAAAGAACCTTCAACGTTGTAATCGTCGGCAAAGGGTATTATATCATCTTCATCTAGAAACACTGGCTAGCGTCTGCCACTATTTTTAGATAAGAAATTCCGAGACAGTTCTTTGTCACGCTCGCAAACGCAAACGCAAGTGTGACAACGCATGCGAGAGAACGCCAACGCACGCTCGCAAGTGTGCTCGCAAAATTCTACGTGCCCCCAAGGGACACATGCATACACTCTATTGGTCGGACGACGTGTTGAAATACATGGATCGTTTCTCCAGCCCACTTGAACCCCGCCCGGCATGTCATCAATCGGGAGCTGCTCGACCAGGGAAAGACCCTTTCCGCGAGCTCGGCTGTGTCTTGCGTTGAAGGAATTTGAGGGGAGTTTGGGTGGGTTTGACTTGGCGATACATCTAGTCCTATTTAGTATGCGCAGCACCTCTCGATGTATTGTTATTTTTACCTTCTCTCAGGGAATGCGAGCGACGATAGTTCATGTCCACTATAACTTCAGTACTATAGGATAGCATCGACATCTTCAAGGATATCAGTGCGTGATAGATCGTTGCTATGCATTGCGGGTAAGCCGTCTTCCATGTTACTTTCCGCAAAAGCTTACTCGCATCTAGGACGTGGATTTTGACGATCGAGAGGATAATGAGACCGCAAAGAAGCTCGATGAACAGTGTAAGAAGATTCGCATAAACGAGGTGCATTTGTTCTCAGTGATGTCGGCGAGACGAAATACTTTTAATTGTCTACCGTACTCTTGTTAATATTAGGTGGCATGCGGTATATCTTGAAGTAAATTGAATGTGGATGGATACGAGAGCCTAGAACTCACTGCTATCTTTGAAACAGATCATGGATACAGGGACAAGTCATGCGTACAAAGACCAAAATCAATCGTTTCCAGGATAACACTGCCGACTCACTTCCATCATTAGGACTCAGGTAATTAAATGAGTAACGCTTGATGCGTCCTGCCTTCGTGGATATTGGGATCCAGGGATAGCTGTCACGGGTTCGTTTGACATGTGGGGAGGTAGTTCTTACGACGATCGGATGTAGTATAGGTCTTGATTACAGAGGTCATGAGTGTTTTGTTAAGCAACAAAGTGAGTACCTAATGGGAATGCGTATATAATGAATTGAACCGTTGCCCATTATGCCAGCGACTGAACCATATACATTAAAATGAATGAGAGAAACAAAAATAACAACCTTGACACAATACCAATGCGCGTATTCTAGTTGCTCCTCGGAGATCCCTATCAACCTAAATGTTGTTACCGTACGGTATAATGCGGTGCAACAGCATCTTGATATTGCTTATAAACTCTCTTAGATCTGTATATGTTCTGTGCAAATGGCTGGCCGTCGAAATCCGTCAAGATTTTTCTGTTGCTTCGTCACTACTCTCTCATTCGTCATTGTCTTTCCAACCTTATGGTTTACTCAAGCTCAGAGGAGATCCACCGATAGCAGACCAACTTTTATCTTTAATAGAGTTGGCCAATATAGAACTGTAAGACTCCGTGCTTGTTCATGCAACACCTACCTCTCACCCGACTTAAAGATATATCTCGGTGCTAGATTAATCTCAGCTGATATTTCTGGCATGAACATGGTGTTGGAGTGGTCTGTCGATATAGATGCATGCATTAAGAACTGCACAACAGTTAACATCTTTCTTAACACGTGAGCCTTCTTCTATTGACTGTCGACGAATGCAGTATACTAATACATAACTTATTCACTTTCCAGAAATTTGCCCCCATCAGATCTAAGCTATGGTGGTGGTCCCTACAATGACAAGATGCCAATTGATCCCATCTTTATGTCGAATGGAAGTTACATCGCAAACAACCGAATTCAGCTGATCAATGCCACCCCTTATGTCCCCACTGAGCTGAATGTTTCTTCATTCACTCCTTTGTATCGCTACGCTCCGGGTCTCAAGGATTACAGCTGTACAGGTCTTGTCTGTTACCCATTTGATCGGTATGTACTTCAAGTTGTGGCCACCATCCTGATTCTATGACATAATTCACTCTGCACATAAGTTACTACACCCAAATACCAACCTCTACTGAAGATGCATCAATGAATAAATCTACTTCCCTTGCCATCATAATTAGGTCTGGACCCGTTGTGTAATTTTTCTCTCCACATCTTATTCGACCACCTGATAGAGATTTCTTAAGCGGCCTCGAGATTAAAATGCCCATGTGGTGGGAAGACCGTGTATCTGTGGTCCTCCAACGAACCACCATCGTTATCGCATACTGTCTCGTCATCACCATCACATTTTGTTTGTTTTCTCTTTCTGAACCTACATAGACGTATTGACCTCATAGACCTTTCATACATGGATAGGGATAATCACTCTCATGATCTCCCTCATCATGATCACAACTGTGGTCTTTGGCTTCCGACAACGGAATGAGATCATTGTCGTCCCCATTGGGACAGTGTTTGCTTTTATCCAACTACGATCTTCAATGCCTGGGGCACCTGCAGAGTTTGGTAAGTCATTTCTCTTCCTCCGCATGGCGTCGACTCAAGCTCCAGCTCATCTAGGATGTGTCCTCGGTATATCCTGCTTCATGTTAATCGCCATCAGTTGATTTACCTACTCTCTGCACTTGCTCCGCACAGATATTTTTGGGCTGCTACCATGCATTGTCCTTCTATCGATTTCCGTGCGTACATCACACCACTCTCGTTATTAATACTCACTGTTCATATTGTAGGCCATAGGGATGGTTGGCATCTACTTATTTGCTGATCCTGATGATCCGTCCCGTAGGGCTTTCACTTGGAGCGAATTAAGTATGTTTTCACCAATACCTCGACAAAATAATGCTAGAAAAGCTCTCAGAGAACGCTCTACGTTATGTTATCTTACACATCTGGAATACTTCCAAAGATTGGGTATGGCGTGCTCGATTTCGCATTATGATTGCGAGACAGATCTGGAGGGCACCTTACAATTTTGAAATGCCCGTCATGAATACTGCTCACGAAAGTCGGGCTTGAGCTTCAATACATTGTGGAAATGGACTGTAATGCGAACACAAAATACTAACAGTGGACTTACTGTCTTTCAGTCTTTACCCTCTCCTGCGAGGTGAATAATTAGCAGCACGTCATATCCGCAGAAACACGTAGATATCGGGATTGTACGTAGCTTATATAAGGGGATCTTGTCTTACCAGGATCTCCACCGGTCGCAGTACTGCGCCTCGAGACCTAGGATCCCGGACACTCGATTCTCTACGAATCTCGTTTCTACCAAGGACGTCCATCGCTACGAAATATGATAGCTCGGACCCTTAAGAATTTAGGCCATTCACCTTTCAAGAACATAGGAAGTAGATACGAAAACCTTAAACAAATTGAAAACATATCTTATGTACAATAAATTTGCTTATGTTCTTCGAGTAGCTTGTCGCAATTTGTCTCACACTAGGAAATCCCTCTATCGCGTTCGTAATGCTCACGAAAACGCGGGGTATTACCACAAATCAACCTCCGACTCTCCGCTGTTACATGAACTCGTTCATCGAATGGAGGCCTGGAAAAATATATGGCTCCGGTCATGTGTAGAAATTAGGACATATGCATAGTGAATTTCACCCCCTAGTTAGGACGGAGATTATACTATGTCCGACATACATGATGACAACGCGAGGTAATGTTGTACATGACGATAGAAACTTGTTATTAGTGGCTGTGGTTCCTGAAAACTTAGAGCTACAGGAAGGTACTTCTCCTTGTTCTTAAAATCCACGAAACCACACTCCGGTGCCGATGAAAAAGAATAGACTGTCAGTAGTTTAGATATATCATTTAAGAAGAGAATCTTGCCCTGAAATTAATGATAGCTGTTAGGTTACTCCAGAATACGTTGGTGGAATTGTTTGGCAACTGAAATAACCCTGGCAAGTTTCCCAAAGAAAGGAAAAAAGATCAATAGTGGACTACAATGAAATGACGGACAGATGGCCCGTTAGACAGAAGGATGTCGAGAAGGGACAACGTTGGACGGAATAAGCGTCAAGATGTATAATACTGTTGGAAAACGGGGTATCGGTTCGTTCCCAGTGTCACATGCGCGGTAGCAAGCCAATAGTATTGCGCTTGGCTGAGCTCTGCAAACGCATGAGGATCTACTCTACAGTACCTACTTTTATACTAAATGTACTTTTACTAGAACTTTCCACGCTTTTCCTAAGACTTCTTCCTTAATAAGCGAACTCGGCATGATGCCGGATTGCCAAATCCCAACAAATACACTGGGACTGTAATCCGTCCGTCTCCTTAGGTAGGTTGTTATGGCTCATTGACGAAATACAAGTTGAAGTCGATTTGTGAAGAGACCCAGCGCATGGGCCGGCACCACGGCGCGGTTGTTTTGGGTTACGTCATCTTTGATTGCTCTTGCTCGTCCTTCCACCATAGGGTACACAGCTCAGCCTTGTATACCGCTCTTTTCTACTACAATGACTCGTGATTGAGTAGGGATTTATCTACAGGGACTCCATTCGCCTCACTACTGAACTCGGCGAAGCCATGACAATAAACGAGAAACTGGCGCAGGGTTCCTGAATCTTGGGGATGGACAGGAAGATGTATTTTCTCATTAGGCTGCATGATATTACTCCCGATATTCCATTCCTGATTAAGATTGCTCAATAGCTTGCCGATATCTTCCATAAGAAACCTGCCTCAAACGAAGTTGGGAATCCTGTTCGGCCTCGCGTGTTTTCACATCATGCTTCTGTTCATCGCTGCGCTAGAGAGAATGGTATTCGGCCTGTGTTCAGTAATAGGTGCTCGCCTAGCCAGTCTTTCGACCCGAGGAGGTACACGAAGCCACCGAGTACGATTTAAGATATGTGACAGGTGGACACTGTCGTTTTCTCGGTGAGTATTCGTTCTTGCATTCGAGGCTACACTGAAACCGTTATGTATTATGGACAGTGAACGTCGTACTCCTCACCCCGTCACCGGTCACCTTCCCTAACCTAGCATCAAACACGTTCTTCAATCGAACCCACGCACTACACATCCTCGCTCCACTGCGGAATGACAAGTTCTTTCGCTCGATCAGGTTCTGAACGTGCGCACATACACTCAGTTGGTGGGTTGCACGACATGTGGATATTGTCAGGGCATCTTTCAGGCTGATTTGCACCCCGCCCAGCATTTCACCACTCGTGACCTGTTCCATCAGGGAAAGCCGCTGGACAATCAGCCTCTTCTCCTGGTGATACCAGGCATCTGTCTGTCGAGGATGAGGACCCTAATAATGTTGCAGCAAACCGGGAACGCATGGATGATTCCGATTCGGTACGTGCCATGCTCAAATGCGTTTCGTGGTCTAATGTTCTCCCAGTACATACGAGTCAAGATGGTGCATAAGTACTGTTCTCTGTGAGCTGCAGGGCAGCGTGTGGGAGTGAGTCGTCTTTGATGTTTTCTTTTGATGACCCTGATGCTTCCCACGACGTACGTCCTAGTGGCAGAAGAGGTTAAGGAGCCCTTGAAGAGGATTGAACATATCAGTGTGGTATACAGAGGAAGAGCAGAAAAGAGACATGGTTTGGTTACGCATATCTCCTCCTCGACTTGACGCTCTATAGAGAGGCACATGTTTTTGTTTGATCAGTGTTCAGATGCTCGTGGCCTAGCAAGTCTGTCGGGTACACTGAAACGCCGTACAAAATTGAGGATTTATCGGAGTGGATGCGGTCGTCATCTCAGTGAGCGGCCTGTTCTTGGACTCGAAGCGGCGTTAATGCTATTTTTAGCACAAGCATCACGGCCCGTACGTGTCATCCTCCACGCGCAATGAGCACACTCTTCAAACGGACTCGCCTGTTCCATATCTTCCCTCCACCTAAGGGACCACACGCACATCCTCGCTGGGTGTCATGTACGACGCATGACGTTGTGGTGGCGGGCCCCTCCTTCCTATAACATCTCGAACAACGACACTTCTTTATCTACAGTGACCGCCATCCGCATCGTCAACGAACCAGACGATAATAAAGGCATTGGACCACTGACAAGCCGGTGTGGTTCCTGAAATCTGTGGACAAGCTTGAGAAAGAACGGGAGGATAAGTTTTCTAAGTATGTTGCATATTTGTATTTCTATAATTTTGTCGCTGATAGTTGGATAGCTCGCCGATTTCGTCCGCGACGACCCTGCTCATTCCGAAGTCTGGATTCGTATTCGCACGCCCGGCATGAGTTGCAGAGGAAGAGTATCGAGACGACGTCAAGGCGATATGGTTGGGCCGCGCGTGTTTCCTCGTCAAGTTGCCGTCCGTCGCTTCCCTATGGAGAGGCGCGCGGTGCCGTTCGACTCGGTCTTTTGCGATAGGTGTTTGCTGAGCCAGTATATCGGCTCGAAGAGGTACACGTAGCCGCCGTGTAAAATTGTGGATATAACAGAGGTGGATGCAGTCATCGTAATCGGTGCGCATCTGTTCTTGTATTGAAAGCGGTGCTAATGCTATTGTTAGCATAATCACTACGATCAGTACGTGTCGTTCTCCACCCTATTCCTGTCGCCTACTCACCTTTTCCTAGCCTAGACACCCTCACCTGCTAACCACTTCCTTAGTTTAGACACGTACACCATAACTACGCTCTTCAAACAGACTCGCCTGCCCCGCATCTTCGTACCTCTAAGTAAAGAAAAGTACTTCGAGTTAATAGGTTATACCCAAAGGGTACGCGCATACACTCGATTAGGAGGATGCCCGGCACGTGTAGCTGAGGCGTCCTTTGAGCTTACTTGCACTCCTGCACAGTATTTCACCGGTCGGGGGCTGCTGTACCAGGTAAAGAGTACTCTTTGCGAGTTAGACGGTGGAGGTTGAAGGTAAGAAGGTGTATTTCGCTGGTGATACTGGGTATAGGTCCGTCAAGGATGGGGAGGATGAGGAGGAGAGACCAACGTACCCCGTGTTCAAGGATATTGGGGAGCATTTCGTTGGTTCGATTTGCCGATGACTCCTATTGGGTGCGCGTGCAGCACTTGTTTACGTTTCGTGATGCTGATGCTAGACTAGGGCGTACAAATCAAGGTGGTTCATATCGACTATACATTGCGCTCCACAAGATAGCGTGCGCATCTTCAAGGATGTTAGGGCAACAAAGGGTGAGTTGTCTCTTACGTCCTCCTTTCCTTTCGTTTTCCTGATTCTTTTCAGGATGTGGATCTGACGAGCGAAGAGATTACTGAGCCAGTGAAGAGATTGGCCGTCGAGTGCAAGAAAGCCAGGATAGAACAGGACAACTTTCTTGTCAGCGATATCGGTGAGACTAAATACTTTTAATACTCTGTTCAATATTGGGTTATACATTCAAATCAAAAAACAAGGCGGAATTTCACTATCATGTAAAGTGCACTTGAAATAATCAATCCAAGGAACAAACAAGTACAGAGACAAAGATCGATGACTACCAAAAAGGATCGAAAATGCCATTATGCGGACACGGGGAATTGAACCCCGGGCTTCTGTGGTAGCCAGTTGCTGTTGCACCACCCTGACCGCCGGGCACAAAATATCGTAAGTGTGGGTCCTATTCAACAACGCCCCGATAGTACCCGTGAAAAAAAGACCAGATACATTATCCAATCGAATCCGTAGGTTGAACGATAGCCGTTCGCACTCTGTTCCTCACCCGTTCTTAAGAATTGTTCGACGCGACTTGGTAAGCTTATATCGATCTTTCGCTGTTATATTGCTCACCATCTCTCGTCAGGACTTGAAACAACGTCTCTTGTACGTGCACCGTCTGTGGTTTTTGGTCTTCAATCTATTTATTTCTGGATCCTTGAGTTGTACCACTTTCGTACAAACACACAGCTTAAAATCGTTGAGGTGAAGCCTTGGGAAGCGAAATTTTGCTTTCACGTAGGCGCAAATGCATGTAAAGCACCGGGTAAGCGGCCTCAACCTTCAAAGGGGTTGTAAAGTTCGCTGGAGAGCTACACTTCCAGTTGTTGATTTGACGTGCTTTGGAGGTGTCGTATGCGAAATATCGCGTGCGATGTAGATATGTCGTACACAGTCTGCTAGTTTCTACATGTTCATTCCGTAGGCCACTGCCAAATTATTCCAGAAACAATCCGAGGGTGTGTTACGCTGCTGAGCGTCTTTTAAGGTCTGCGGAGAGTGTATGTCACTTGGAAATCTTATAAATCGTTGTTACGACCTCTACGTTGTTATTTTTATCTCAGGAACGTCTAATAGCAGCACTGATGTTACCACCTGCCGAAAAGGCTCGTGGAGAGTGAGATTGATAGCGCCCTGGGATGGAAATGAAAACGCGGAGAGAAGCAATTGGATGCCTTGAATAGGAAGGACCGGCAACGCGGCAGAAGCCAGTCATTTTTGGATAAGACATCTGATGCGCATACGTCATCTCATGCCGCGCTTTCCTTTCCTTCTAATTTGCATTCATGGGGTACGCAAGTGTAAGCCCCTCCTTTCTATAACAACAGCTTGGAGATTGGGCACAGAACTATCTACGATCATGCTTAGCATCTCCGCTATCCACGTCGTCGACGAACCAGGCGAGGAGAAGACAGTATGAGGTGGGCGCCCAGTGCGTTGGACCGTCGATAAGCCTGTGTGGTTCCAGAACCTGTGGCCGAACTGGAGGACGAACGGGAGGCAGAATGGGATAAGTGCGGCGCGTATCTCCGGATTTTCATAACGCTTCGAAGCTGGCGCTGATTGCTGGGGAAGCTTGCATATGACTCGAATTAGACCCGACCTGCCTAAAGTCGGGATTCCTGTCACGACATCGACGTGAGGTGGAGAGAATAAACGGGGCTACGCGTGTTTCGTCGAGTTTCCCTTAGTCGATTCGCTAGGGAGAGGCACGAGGGTGCTATTCGACCCTGTGGTCAGTGATAGGTGTTCGCTGAGCCAGTATTTTGGTCCGAAGAGGTATACGGAGCCGCCGTGTAAGACTGAGGATATACCAGAAGTGGATGCTATCGTCATCTCTGTGAGCAGTCTGTTCTTGTATTTAAGGTGGTGCTAATGCGGTTGTTAGCATGATCACCATGACCACTATGCGTCGTCCTCCCTCATCTCGTCGCCTGCTCGCCCTCTCCTAACTTGTACCACAGACCATAACCACCGTCTTCAGACGGGCTCGCTCACCACACTCCTTCGCTCCTTAGGCAAACGAAGAGTACTTCGAGTCAATACGCATATGCAATGGGTGCACACATGCACTTGACTGGTGGGACGCACGACGCGTGGAGATACCTGGCACGTCCTTCAAGCTCACTTGTATATTCGCAGAGCATTTCACCGGTGGGGGCTGCTCAATCGGGCCACGACACTCTGGGCGAGCTGTGTAGTGAAAGATGCGGGTAAAAAGGTGTATTTCGATGGTGATACGGCGTATCGACCTGTTAAGGGTGGGGAGGATGACGATGACCGACGTGTCCTGTGTTCAAAGAGATTGGAGAGGCGCAATTCAAATTCTCATCCTATTGGCAAGATGTCGCTGCCAGCGCTATTCTGAGTTTCAATGTTAGATGTTTCCGCTGTGCATTTGAATAATTTTTGACGCGTATTCAGCTCAAAATTTGAGAGATTACAAGCCTGTAGAGGCGAAGTCACGCATAGGTTAGTGATTTCTCGTGTCATATAAGTTTGGTCTGACCTTTCCTCGTTATTTAGGCCTCCTGATCTACTTTGAGCTCGATCTTTGGTAAATAGATATTCACGTCATTGTTTGGTCTGTACTCGCTCATATTTTCTTGCAGAAGGCATAAAATCCTTTCAGATTCGACCTTTGAACCTTACGGAGCTAATCTCTCCCAAAGTTAGACAAATCTTCTACCTTTTTCACGCCGTCTCCGAGGCTAACCCCCGGTTAAAGACTCGGATCAATGCCTACAATATTGTCGTGCTTATTCAAATAATCCAGACTGATTTGAAACATAGCGACGTGTGTATGCTGGGAATTATCATGAAATATCACGTTTCCGAGGCGCTATGGATTTTGCTGCATTGGGCATCGACATCACTTTTCCTGAGAACGGCGGTATTTCAGGGAAGGTTGGCGAGGCGAGTTCTAGGAGTAGGATGATGCGAACAAGCGATGATGAAAGAGTGTGAGTTAGCAAAATGGCCGTCTGGGACAAGACTCTGGTCAGTTTTTTAATGACCCTAAAAGAGGAGTTCAGAGAGCGATGGGAGGACAAGGTTCAGCTGGTGGGCCATGAATACGTAATGTTGAATGCTCGACTAACGGGTTTCTCAGAGACTGAAAACTGCGAACGTAAATTGCCATATACTTTCAGTTACAAAATTTCCGTAAGCTAATGTTCTTGTTAGCATAATCACTACGACTACTTAGTACGCGTCTTTCTCCAGAAATGTGTCGCTTGCTGATCTTATCTGGTTTATAAAGGTGTGCGCCAAGCACCCTCTTCAAGAAGACTCCCTCATTCCATATCTTAGGTTCCCGGAATGAGAAATACAGGCATACGCATGTGTCTATGTATATACTCTAGTACTGGATGGGCGTACAATGGGTGATACCCCTGTCCCACAGTCACGGGACCCCACAGCACCCCACAGGTTTACCACGCACAATCAACATTGACAACCACGCAGCCACACAGGCTCCCACACTAAATTCTTCTTTCCCCAACGACGCCCTATTTCTCATATCCAGCAATGTCTCCATCCACTCCCTTGATTCCAGCACAAGGCCCTCAGGCTGTGGTATTTCGCGCCGCAAAAGAAGTGACTTGCATCCTTAGAGACGCGGGATACACATTTGCAATCATGGGGAGTTTGGCTTGCTATCTCTACGGAAATGAACGCCTACCAAATGTAAGATCCGTCGCGCTCATCTTATGTCTCAGTTGTAATACTGATGAAACGGTAGGACGTCGACATTTTGATTTCATCGCGTACCTGCGATCTGGAGCCACTCAAGAAATTTCTCGTCACCCAGAACCCGGATCATTTCTATCTCGTGAATGCCAAATCACCTCGAGCTAAGTTCAAGGTATTGTGGTACCACGATCATGGTAGAGATGGAAAACTGGAGAGAACAAAGGTCGATATCATGAAACCGGGAGTTATGCAGCTGCCGATGATATTTTCCGAGACTATTGTCGATAAGCAGGGGCTTCCGGTTGTTCCCATGTCGATCCTGCTGCTGCACAAACTCAGGGGTTGGGAGGATAATATGAAGTCTCCGAAGCCGCATCTTCGGAGGAAGCATGATGCGAATGTGGGAGATATAGGTTCGTTGCTGAGGATCGTTACTGAAGGTATGGGCAAGCAGGAAAAGAGAAACTCCATGCGTTGGAAAAAGTTTGCGCTGGAGAGGTTTAGTAGAGGATTCCGGGATGGGACGAAGCGTCGGGTGAACTTGTTCAGTGAGAGAAATCCAGAGTATGGAGATATGTGGAAGGAGCTCGGCTGGTAGACATATTGAACGAACTCTTTCTGATGTACTATTTTTCCTACTCGCTCTGTTCTTATTTAATTTGCTGAAACTGAGACTCAAATGCATTCTACTTGTGACAAGATATTTCACTTCTGCGATGTACCGAGAATCTAACTTTGGGGGATCGTTAAGGAAAGAAAGTAAGGAATCAATGAAGAAACATGTAGATACGGCCCAACCGAAAACATTTCATTAATTTAAAGCCAATTTGGAGGTAGGCCTTCGTCACGACTCACCCAAGATCTTAATTAACCCGCCACCTGCGAAAGGTGGAGAAATGCGGGAAATTCATTGTCAATTTTAGACGTAAGGATATCACTCAACCGATGGTCAGAATATTCGGATGCGAGCTCATTGATAGACTAGCCCGCCTGATCACGAAAATATATTTCAAAGACCTGGAAAGATCAGGAGGCGATGGCTTTCTCTCTCACCACCATCATCGTGCATCCATTTTCCTTTGGTCTTTTTGTCTCTAGTCGATTCAAGTGTCGTATTAGTTCTGATTCATGTTTCATTGCCAACTCGGAGTTTCTTGTGGTTTAAACATCGACATGGTATGCCTTCGTCTAGCTCCTTATTGTTCTCTTGGACAGTATGTTCTAGCATCCTTTATCTCACAAACCGGTCCGCTCAGGTCTCCTCACGAACCCTCGCCCGAATCCATCATATTCCCTAACAACATACATCATTTCTAATTATTTCTACCTTGCTTCGATCACAACATCTCGCCTCGTTCTCGCGTATCCGGATTTCGGCAGGATCCTAACAGACGCGCATATCGTCGCTGCGTGTGATGTACGATGTGTGATATTTCACAAGTAATACCTGCCACCGATTGTCAAGGACGGGGAGGACAAGGATCAGGGACCGTCCCGTGTTCCGTGATAGGCGCTTGCCTAGCCAGTCTTTAGCCCAAGGGGTGCACCGAGAAGATTGATGATGTACCGGAGGCGGACGCTGTCGTTACCTCGGTGAGTAGCCAGCCATTTTTGGATTTGAGGCTATGCGAATGCTCTTGTTAGTAGCATCATCTTCCTCGGTCCCACAGTCTGCTCACCTTTCCGTAGGTTAGGCACCAAAATCATAAGCACACTCTTCCTTCCGCTCCATATATTGTGTTACTAGATAACGAAAAGGACTTTAACTTGGCCAGGCTACACAAAGGAGACGCGCATACACTCAGTCGGGAGGACGTTCGACTTATGGAAGGCCCTCTGGGCGAGCCGAATTGTTGAGGGTAGGTAAGAACGTGCGGTTCGCCGGTGATATCAGGTATCGTTCTGTGAAAGATGGAGAGGACGAAGAGGAGCATCTGACGTGTCCACGTTCAGGGAAGTCAGGGTGCGTGTCAGTGCTTTTGATCCAGTGATGATTCCTATTTGATATGTGAAGTCTTCGTTTGCGTTCCTTGGTCTGATGTACTCCCAATACAAGTTGAAACGGTTGATAGCGACTTCTCTTTGTGAGCCGCATACTGTCATCATATTGGTGAACAGCCCATTCTTACTGAAGCGTAGCTAATTCTGTTGTTAGCACAATCACTACGTCCAGTATGTCCTCTTCCTTCACCTATCTCCTAATCCTTTCTGGCTTAGACATTTATATGTCGATCTCGTGATTCCGATTCAGTACGTGAAATGTTTCTGTGTCTCATGTTGTCCCGGTGTGTCCGAGTTCATATCTACTATTCTTTTCCCATCGCAGGATAGCGTGTGCATAATCGGGCGAGAAAAGGTGATAGGGTGAGTCTTCCTTGATGTCTTCCTTTCATGGTCCTGATGCTTTCCAGGATGGGATGTCAGCGCTTTCTTCGGTTCTACCACCCCGAGGCAGATGCCGACGTCCGGAATGCTAATCGCGCTTCCTTCGTTTCTAATAGTTCAAGTTACGCACATTTCTATCAAATATGTTTGAATTACAGGCACTCATACTGTAAACATATCTCAACGAAGGATCCAAGTTGCTCAGTGCATCATTCTCTTGGATATTCAAAGACCTAACGTCTATTCGGCTCCTATTTTGTTAATGCGACTTGTCTGTTTCTCAGCGCTAAATGACCATATTGTCAGTGTTGGAATAATCCTTGCGGGTATGGAAGCACACGAGGGATCAGGACACGAATACGGGATTGACAGAGTACATGAGCAGTAGAGTACGTAGTCAATCGAGTAAAGAAGAGAAAAGCGTAGCTACAAAAATTTACCGGTAAGTACACGGGACCAATTACCAATAAATACGCGAGCCACGAGCTCGGTATCCAACAGTCAGAACTCTCAATATGCTTCTACCCCACAAAAATATCGGAATATCGGCGACTACGGTACAGCGCATTATGCATCAATTTCGCATCGCAGTCCGGGTGATTGCCGGGTGAGAGCGCAATACAATAAACACTTGATAAACATCATACGGGAAGCACGGAATATGGAAAGGCAGTGTTCAAGCGGTGTCCTCCATTCGACACATCTACACATCATGTTTCTTCGTCGTGTGGCAAAGTTAAAATCTTGTATTAGTTGGCATATTCATTGTCAGCGTCTATTGTCAGCGTCTAACAAAAGAACCTTCGACTGCGGGGAGTTTCCGTAGTATTACAGCATAATTGCTGTTAAGACCTATAAAGTCTTGCTTTTGTTCAGCGATCTTCGTTATTCCTTAGCTCACTCCCTTGTTCTAAGTGTCATGTCCGACGAGGAAATGTCCAACCCGCAAAGCCCATCGAGAGTTTTTCACTGCTTAATCTTCTCTCTCTCATTCATCATCATTGTTCCAATCTTATGCATTACACTCGCTCTAGGGTTACGCCCCAGGGGTGGGCTTACGTATGCTAGGAACCCGTATTTGACAGACAGAAACAGAACTGTAAGACCGATCCTCCCTCATTCATTAACAGCCAGCGCCCACACTATTCGAAGATTTATCTCATTGCTTCCCTGATCTCAGTCGATATTCAGAAGGCTTCCGTGGTTGTGGAATGGGATGTCCACCTCGATACTTGTGAATTTAGGTGCACAGACGTCAACATCTTCTTTGATACGTAAGCCTCTTTGTTTATGGTTCTCAAAAAATACGCTATATTAACAGTTGCTTTTTGAGAAACCATTTCTCGTCAGACAACAGAGATGATCACGGTCCCTATAATGATGACATACCGACAAATCCTATCTTCACATGGAATTCATCTTATCTGACTGATCCTGACTTTCGGCACAAGGATCCCATGTTCAGCACCAGCCTCGATTTTCTCCCATATGACGATGCGGATGTCCCAGGTGGGAGCATCATCTATTACCCTTTCGACAGGTCTGTTCTCCAAAATGTGGCATGGGAAGTAAATTCACCAGGGGCATATCAGTTACAACGTCTTTATTAAAGCATTTGCTCAGGACGCAGTAACCAATGCGTCAGTATTCCTATCCATTAGTCCAGCGTCTGGACGGATAGTGTAGGCTCCCTCTTACCTCTTAATTAACCACCTGATGGAACCTCTTTCAGCGACCTCAAAGTCACAACTGACATTTTTTCGTTCGAAAATGATGCCAAGAGTAAAATTGAGGTATTTCTGACCTTCCAACGTAGCACGCTTGTTATCGTGTATTGTCTCACAATCACGCTCATATTTTGTCCGTGCTCTCATCTTACATTTCCATACACTCATGGACCTTCGATTACGGATAGGGCTAGTCACTCTCATGATATGCCTCATCATGATAACAACTGTGGTTTTTGGCTTTCGACAAAGGAATGAGATTGTTGTAGTCCCCATTGGGACCGTGTTTGCTTTTACCCAACTGCGATCCACCATGCCTGGGGCTCCCGAAGGTTTTGGTAGGTTCTTTATCTTGCCCTACAGGGCGTTAACGTGAACCCAGGTTACCCAGGTGATATTCTCGGTATGTGCGTGCCTCCTATTAATGAGCATCTTCTGACCAATCTTTTCTCAATACAGACTTTGCCGGGCTACTCCCATGCCTCATCCTTCTGTCGATATCCGTATGTGGATTACATTACTCTTGCACAAATTCTTATATTGTCCGTATTACAGGCTGTGTCAATGGTTGGCATCTACTTATTTGCTAATCCAGATGATCCGTCCCGTAGGTCCTTCACTTGGAGCGAATTAGGTGGGTTTTCATCAATAAATTGACAGAATAATATTTGATGAACCCGCAGAGAATGCCTTGCATCATTATATCCAGCCCATTTGGATTACTACCCAGGAATGGGTACAGCGTGCTCGTTTTCGCATCATGATAGCGAGACGGATTCTGAGGGCACCTTACAATGTTGAGATTCCCTTGACAGATATTGCTCACGACGATCAGGCTTGAGCTTCAATGCGCTGTGGAACTGGACCTATGATGAATGTACAAAGTAGATACTAAAGCCCCGGACGGTTCAAGAATACACCGTACATGTAATAAGGTTGTTGAAGCTTTTCTTCGAGTACACTGGTCACAAAGTGTCTCATAATAAGCCCTCCATTGCGTACTTAATGCTTACGAACACGCGGGAGTGAAATCCGAGTGCAACAATGGTCGCAGACACTGTAGTTAGCATGGTCCTAATGAAACGGCAGGTATCCCACTCCGATGCTGACTGTTGCATGAGAGCGTCTCAGCGTCCAGGTGTCGTCAGGTTATTTTAGGTAGTAAACACCAATAAATCCGAAAAAGGGGCTCTTCTCTACAGTAGACGATGAGTATGTGCGGTTACGGAGGTGGTTAACTGCTTACCTTAAAATTCATAGCGGGAACAGAGTCTGCTGTTGCTTCGCACCCTTGGGAAAAGAAAAACCTGTTATGAAATATCTAGTTAGTCGTGGTAATGGCCACTAACTTCCCTATTACTTAGCACAATATTAACAGGTTCGCGGAAGAATAGAGAACCACACACATAGTGAGAAGAAACCGTGCCTTGCGGGCCCAGAGGATTTTGCGAGCGACACTTGCGAGCTTGCGTTCAACTGCGTTCATTTGCGTTGAACTCAAGTTGAACTGCATTCGCTTGCGTTTAACTTGCATGCATTTGCGCACATATGAATACCTTTGTTTGCATTGCATATAAATACTTAGTTCTGTTTTAAATACACTAGTGAAGTGTGTCTTATTTCGAACATTTACTTACTGTTTCCGACTTTCTGGATATGTCCCACCAGGTTAATGTCCCTTACTATGACTCAGGAAAGCCGTTGAATAATATGAAAATATTATACAGGTATTGCTTTTACCTACAAAATGAGCATTCTCCATCACAGCGATATTTCACTTCGAAATGAATAAGAAATCTGACCTTTTTTTGAACTTGGCGGGATGAACAGGTCCTCAAACGAGCAAAACTTGCTTATACAGTTATTTACCGGTCAATGAAACAGCAAAACTGGATATTTACTGTAGGTTCCAATTGGTTGGGAATTTTGACTAGGTTTGAATGTAAGAATGTGTAATACTATACAACAATAAGATACAGTAAAAAAAAGATGCTCAAAGGTGCGAGTACAAGTCCGTTTTCACAGCATTATCGTGGCGTGGGTATTCTAGGCTATTTTGAGTCATTGAAACAGTCCGGCCCATATACCCAAACCTCATTAGTCAGCTACTCGGAATCGCTCGAGTGCTATAGAAAAGTGAGATCTCCTTTCCAGTCTCTCTCTGATATACAGCCTCAAAATCTTTGCAGATTTTTCTTGCACCTTTCCGAGGAGCACCAGGTAGTTTGACAAGCTCATTCTTGTATGCAATCATTTGCAATGACTGCCTTTTCCATTAGCTGGTCATGGCATTTGTGAGCAATCTGACACTTTTTCGAGTTTGATTTGGCATGTCCAGGCATAGTAAAAAATTGAACAAGAGGAGAAATAAAGTTCGGAGGCAGCAGGGCAATAATGGACGCATTGGACTGTCAGACTGTCCATCAAAGGTGATGGCTTGGCAGAACCGCACTTTTATTTATGCCCTAGACTCCTCAGATAATGGCCGCTTGGTCTCAAACCTGTCACACAGGTTCTTCAGAAGGTCATTAACATTATTGAGGCCTTTGTGGGTGATTACATTCAGATGGAGGACACACATTTCCAGGTCAGATTTTGAGTTCATGAGAAAATAGATATTTTTAGAACAGAAGCCTCAATTTCTCGGGAATATTATTCATGTCACATATGAAGAATCACTGCAGAACATGAAGATACAATACACATCAGCAATGTAATACAAGTTGATGATGAAGGATGAAGGGAGGGAGAGCAAGAGGCTAAGTGTTTCATTGAACCATGGTGTTGCAATGACCGGTAAATAACTGTACATCTCACAAAGATGTCATGCATGCATTACAAAGTCGAACACAAGCCTTATGAAGATGCACGCATGCGTTCTTGAAAATAACGCATGCAGTTGGAAATTAAACGCAAGCGAGCGGAAGCGGCTCGCAATTGGCTCGCAAGTGTGACGTAGTTATGACAACGTGTAACATTTGCGTTCGACGCGAGTTGAACCGTCTTAACTGTTGGTCACTTGTGATATTTTTGAGTTATCGGCTTCTAGTCATCACATCTGTGTTCGTTTAATATTCCCATGGTATATCTTCTATTGAACTTGACCCTCTCTGACCAGCAGCCAATGTTTGACTTACCTTCCTCCCTCCAAGTCTGTTCGCGCCTTACACCAGTTTCCTTGATATTAGACCACCCCATTCACGACTGTTGAAATAAATTATCGATTTAATAGATATTCCAAGTCAAATAATCACTCCATAGGTTGATTTTTTGGCTCTTGAGGTTGGGTTTTGAGCTTTGAGAGGATACTACCTCAAAATAACCATCAAATTTCCGTTCTTTGCCAAAAAGTATCATATCTTTCTGCGTCTAGAAGCACTGACTAAATTCTGGAGCTATTTTTATACAAGAAATCTCAAGAAGGTCTTTGTCACGCTCGCACACGCAAATGCAAGCGTGACAATCGCATGCGAGAGAACGCAAACGCATGCTCGCAAAATTCTACGTGCCCCGTGCCTTGCCTACCTTCTCCATTCCTGGACGAGACTGGTCCAATTCAAATGACATTCCTTTGGCGTCGCTTGGTCCGTTTGCCTTTCCGTCTTTAGATTAGATAACGGCATTTGAAGTTTGCTCAAAAGATGTAGGTATATGCGCCCAGGCGGTTGGAATAGCTAGCTATGACTTGTCAGTATGTCACACCGAAGACCATCGGGAAACGTACTAGGATGAACATATGCCTTTATCACTCCTACGCAGTTTTCCTCTTCGAGTGAATCACTGAAACAAGACCTTGCCTGTGATTTAGCCCTTCGGAATCGTCTGCCAACCGTAGAATTCAAAGACGAACAAAGCAACATTGGTATTGATGCACTCACTCTCTATCAGGACATATAATGGCAGAGACGACGACGAAGCCGACCTGTTTCCAGCCTGGACGTTCGGAGCGTTGGCACGGTCCGGGTCCTCCGAGATCACGTGCACAATTTCCGTACATTCCCGCTTGTTCGTAGCTATATCCGCGACTATCACTAGCTATCGCCCATTCTCTCTATCGGACCTAGCGATACGGTTCCAACGTGTAAGTGATTGCTGGTAAATACCTGGATATAATCCACAAGGGGTAACCGTAGAGTGAGAAATGATTAAACGCAAGTTAAAGACGGACTCCCACGTCGTAAAGCAATTCGGACATACGCATACGCAAATGAACCTGAAGCCCATGATGAAAGCTAGCTACGGCCGTGATGCGGTGGGGGATGTGGGCTGTTTTCTGGTTGTGGTTCTGTTCGAAATTTACGTCAATATACGATGAGTTTGTATCGTATCCAGGTGGCATAGAAGAAGCAGAGTCGGTTACTACCACGTCAGAGGGCCGACCAAGTGCCGAGTCGACATCGCGGAAGAACCTTGATGGTTATGTCATCCTGGCATCTTTACCGAAGCGCAGCCGAAGCACTTCATTCCTTCCATGGGGTACGCGGTACTGGAATCAGACCTGCATACCCTTCCTTTCTATAAGCACAGCTCAAAGAGGAGCAATAAAATTCTAAGCCGCTTACAATTTTCGTGGTCTATGATCGATGCAAAAGAGAGGCTTAAGGAATTCAGACGCCTGTAGAAGCGTAGTGCCAAGGTGTGCGTATAGGGAAATTCTCATGAGCTATCACGTTTCTGACTTTGAATTTGTGATAGACGTTTCCGCTTTTGGAGACGAATTGCAACCCACTGATTCGGTGATTAGCGGAGGGAATTTAAAGACTGAGATGATGCGAGTGGGGGAGGTGATGGCGGGGTGTTAGCTAGTAGAATAGCCATCTGGGGGCACGAGATACTTTGAATACCTTTCCGTACTGTTGTTAGATATAGACTGGTCATGTATTCCAGGATAAGAAGAGCGGAAGGAGGCTCTACTATCATGTATTTTTAGCCCTGTGTAAGATAGTCTACAGGTGACTTGGGATATATCAATCAGATATGAGGAATCGAACCTCTGGTGAGTCCTGCGAACGGTTGGGTTATATCCGGTTACAATAGGGGAGGGACAATGTTTGTGTAGAGCGGAGTCAATCTGCCATCGGAATGTGTAGTGGTCCGTGGAAAGGCGAAAGGACAGTTAATGTGAATGTAGAGATATGGTGCGATATTCGTGAACTAACTGCCAACGATTTGGAGGAATAACCGTTACTTTGAATTTGAGACGTGGTACAAAAATATAATACGAGTATCGTGTTCAATGACTATGGGTACCCAAGGGAATCGAACCCCAGATGGCCCACTCGCCGTCCCGTTAGGCTACTAGTGTATCCGATACGGTGTATGCGATAAATGAATGGGAAAGAGAATACGTGCGCTTCGTAGTAGTTAGTGGCTCGGACTCTTCAGATAAACATCCAGAATGAAGCTGCACATAGGTACTTTTACGGAATCCCAACTCTTACGGTCATGAAAAAAGATCAAGTAATAGTTCGGATATAGGGAATCGAACCGTGTAGTTAACAACAGCTGTTCTCCCACATACGTAGATGAGACGATTTTTGGCGACTGAAATCACCCTGGCGAGTGTCCCAAAGAAAGGAAAAAATATCAATAGGGGAATACAATGAAATGACAGACGGACGGCCCATTAGAAGTCGAGAAAGGTCAACGTTAGACTGAATGGGAAACTAAGCGTCGAGACGTGTAATCCATTGGAACTGTTAACCGTCGGTCTCCTTAGCTAGGTGAGCGATCGATCATGGCTCATTGACGAAATGCAAGTCGAAGCCGAGCGCACAGTCCGGCACAACAGCGCGGTTATTTGGGGTTACGTCATCTTTGATCTTGCTCATTCCTTCCACCATTAGGGTACGGCTCAGCCTTGTATGCCCCTCCCTTCTATAACAACATCTCGACGATTGAGTGTGGCTTTATCTACAACGACTACATTTGCCTCACGATCGAACTAGGCGCAGCCGTGAAAATAAACGAGAAACTGGCGCGGGTTCCTGAGTCTTGGGGATGGACAAGAAGATGTATTTGCTGAGTACGCCGTGTGTTTGTACTCTTGATTTCTCGCCTCTAAAGATCTAATCGCTGGATAGTTCGCCACTTTCTTCTGCAATAAACTTGCCCCACCCAGAGTCAGGATTGCTGTTCAGCCACGGGTGTTTTCTCATCAAGCTTCCGTTCATCGCTGCGCCGGAGAGAATATCATTCCGCTTGTGTTCAGTGATACGCTGTTGTACAGCCAGTCTCTCGGCCCAAAGAAGTACACAAAGCTGCCGAGTACGAGTGAGGATATGTGACAGGGTTGGTTTCTCCATGAGTATTCATTCGTTCTTACATTCGAGGATACGCTAAAACCGTCTGCATTATGACCAGTCTGCGTCATCCTCCTCACGCCATCGCCTTACCTAGTCTAGCTTTTAGCCTGAAGCATATTCCTCAAACGGACCCGCTCACTACACATCCTCGTTCCACTGCAGAACGACAAGCACTTTCACTTGATCGGGTTCTGAACGTGCATGCATATACTCAGTTGGTGGGTTGCACGACGTGTGGACATTGTAGAGGCGTCTTTCAGGCTGATTTGCACCCCGCCCACCATTTATCTGCTTGTGTCCTGTTTCACCGAGGAAAGGCAGCTGGACCATCAGTCTATCCCCCCGGTGATGATGGGTATCTGTCTATCGAGGATGACGACACTGACGACGAGCTTCTGGTGTTACAGGAAACCGGGAACCCGTCGTTGGCTGCCACCTGCAGGTGTATTCTGATTTGGTACGTGCAGTCCTCAATTGCGCTTCGTGGTCTAACGTTCTCTCAGTGCGTACGAGTCGATATTGTTCATAAGTACTGCTATCTGCGAGCCGCAAGAGTTTGAGGTATTCCTTTCATGGTCTGATTTTTTCTAGGGTGTAGATTTCAATGACAGACGAGGTTACGGAGCCATCGAAGAGGATTGACGAAACGGATGTGTCGTACAGAGGCCGGGCAGGCAAGTCACGTCAAGGCAACGCGGTTTTTCTACGCGTGTTTCTTCCTCGAGTACGCTATGGAGAGGTGCGTATTAAGCCGATGAGAATAAGCTCACATATACCCCACAATCAGCCTATCGTTGTCATCGTAGGGAACACTCCTGCTATCTATGCCATACAGATCCTTGGCTGACGCGATCAACTGCCAGATCGAAGAAGCTGAGTCTGATATAAGCGCCCCGGGCCTCTCCCACCACCGTCAGGCAGCCTGGCTTCTCATCCGCAACCAACCTGCTCTACCAAAAGTCGGAATTCCTGTGTGGGTTTCAGAAAAGGAGCACGAAGGCAAGGTCAAGACAAGGTCTTCGGGCTACTCGTGGTTCCTAGTCGAGTTTCCCTTCGTCACTTCGTTGCGGAGGTACAAGGTGCTATCCTACCTTACGTTCAGTGGGAGAGGCTTGTCCAGGCAGTCGGTCGGTACAAGGATGTACACCGAGTCACCATGCAAGACTGAGGATATATCAGAGGTGAATGTGGTCGTCATATTGGTGAGTAGCTCGTTGATGGTCTTAGCCACAGCTAATGCTGTTATTAGCCATAATTACCACGACTAGTACGTGTCAATCTCCCTAAACGCATCGCCTGCTTACCTTCTTTGGTCGAGGCAGATAACCCTTGAGACCTTATTCGAACTGACTCGGCCGCTCCATATCTTCACTCTCCTAGGCAACGAAGAGTATACGCCTACCCAAGGGACACGTGCATACGCTCTATTGGTCGGACGTACGATGCGTGGAAATACCTGGATCGTTTATCAAGCTTACTTGAACCCCGCACAGCATGTCATCGATCGGGAGCTGCCCGACCGGGGAAAGATCCTTTTCGCGAGATCGGCTGTGTCTTCTGTTTAAGGAGTTTGGGTAGGTTTAACTTAGCGATACATCTAGTCCTATTTGGTATGTGCAGCGCCTCTCGATGTATCGTTATATTTACCCTCTCTTAGGTAATACGAGCGACGATGGTTCATGTCGACTATAAATTCTGTGCTATAGGATAGCGTCGACATCTTCAAGGATGTCAGGGCATGGAAGATCGCTGCTATGCATTGGAGGTCAGTCGTCTTCCATGCCATTTTTGCGAAAAATTTATTCGCACCTAGGACATGGATTTTGACGATGGAGGAGATAATGAGACCGTAAAGAGGCTCAATGAACAGTGTAAGACTATTTGTATAGACGATGGTGCATTTGTTCTCAGCGATGTCGGCGAGACGAAATTCCTCTAATTGTCTACCTTACTCTTATTAATATTAGGCGGCTTGCCGCACATCTTGATGTAAATCGAGAGCGGATGGATATGAGAGCCTAGAACTCACTGCTATCTTTGAAACAGATCATCGATACAGGGACAAGCCATGCGTACAAAGACCAAAATCAATCGTTTCTAGAAAACTAACACTGCCGACTCACTTCTATCATTAGGTCTCACGTAATTGATGAATAACGCCTGATGCGTCCTGCCTTCGTGGATATTGGGATCCAGGGATAGCTGTCGTGGATTCGTTTGATATGCGGGGAGGCAGTTCTTCCGACGATCGGGCGTAGCATGGGTATTGATGATGGAGATCATGAGCGTTTCGTTCAGCCACAAAGTGAGCACCCAATAGGAATGCGACCCTCACTCAATGCCCTAGCGAGTACATCATATCCACTAGAATGAATGAGAGAATAAAAATACTATCTTGACATAACGCCGATGCGTGACAATTCTTACTGGCTCCTTGCACCTTCTCGGAGACCGTGCCTTTACTACAGTGCCTGTAGGCGATACGGGATAAAATTCTGAATTAGGGCTACCCGTCGGAGCAACCAATCTTGTGTACGAGGCCCTGTGTTTTCGGCCCAACCGCCGCCCGTAGAGAAGGATGGGCATTGTTTTCAGGCTATTTCTGAGGCAGGGAATTAAAACCTTGCGCTATAGGCGGTGATAAATGGCAACCGTTATGCCACAGCAAACCTAGATTGGCGCAATCAGCACACAAATGGCTAAGGTGCCAATGGATTCCATGTCGCCTCAAGAAAATAAGCGCATTCATGGACAATGCTTGATTAAAGCTTTTATGTCCTCAAATCTCTGATTCCTAGGTACCATTGGATCTTCTATGTGTCTATCTATGATTATGAGGAGGATAAATATCAAAATTTAGGTACTCTCCCATTTTCCTAGCTTGAAGTCATTAATTCGAAGACATTATGACACTATGAACATCAATTCAACGTCGATTTCGCATCAATTGCTCCTTGATTGTGCCAATACCATGAAATTGGTCACTTAATTTCCTCAAGAACAGCCCTCCCTTATGTACGGATATACCTTGGACCACGCTAGCATACCATGCAGCCATGCAGCCATACTACGCAGGCTGACCACACACCACCATGTTGACAAACCACGCAACCATGCAGACCACGCAGGCACCATGCTGACCCATAGATGTTTGCCCTCAGAAAGTGTATCATTCATATAATTGCCTCTTAATTCACTTGTTTCTTTGGTGTTGTTCATATCAAGTATTGATCAAGTATAGAACTCCATATTCTTCTCATCATGTCTGCTTGACTGGGAACCCCACATTGTGCACCTTATTGCTTCTAGCTTGGCAGACCACCTCTAAAGCCTTTTTATACTGTTAAGATACTTGTAAAATCATTTACTTCAGCTACAATACTTTGGATGTTCTTAAGCTTAGCAATCCAGTTTGAATGATATTTTCATGATATTGACCATATTTTGAAGCATTTCAATATCACACTAAGGCTGTCATATTTAAACCTTCAGGAATTCACAACCCAGCTGATAGGGCTGTGCACCGTACCGTATACGGTATACGGCCGTAAAGCCATGATCCCAGACGGTCACGGAACTGTCCGTATACCGTACTGTATGGCCAGTTTGAAAGTCTTATTGGCATCGATATGGATACTTTACGGCCGTCTATGGTCGTTGATGACCATACACCTGAGTACGAAATAAATTTACTTATATAGACTTACCAGAGATCATTTATAGCATAGTTTGATGACTTGAGAGACAAAGAAGATAATCTATACCCAAAGGCAACAAATATTAGAGGGGAAGTCAAGTCAGATGTGTCCAAGATCACAAAAGAATGGTAAATGCACCTATACAACCAAGCAGGCTGTGCCGATCAGAGGTATCCAAGAATGAAGGAAAAGTCACGCGTTTCGATATCTGTTCTGAATGCGAATGAGAACTGATGAGACAGCTGCAAAGAGTCAAACTGCGGAGGAGAGAAGGTGATGAAAGTGACGCGGCAATACCACAATTGGCTGATGGCTGCGCGGTGGGCCATTTTGCATGATAAATTTTGCTTGAAAAAAAAGCTCTAGATAAGATCAAAAGTCAAGCCGTATTACGACGTTATACGGCCGTCTGTAAGAGTACTTGACGAAGACGGAACAGCCGTATACCGTGCCGTACAAATGGACATTAGGACACATTCGGCTTCGGTCCGTCTTCCGTATAACGGTTACCGACAACCGTACAATACGGTGATGGTGCGCAGCCCTACCAGCTGATTCTATGCAAGTACTAACAGAAAAGAACGGAACACGTCGACTCAAGTCGCGTTTGATGGATTTGATCAACTTTTGATCGAAATCCTACAATTTGTCAACCACCCTGACGACCACACTGACGACCACGCAACCACGCAGCCACGCAGCCGACTACGCAGAATTCTTCTTGCCCGTTCCGTTCCTATTTTTGAAACTCAGTAAGCGCAGCATGTGAGTAATACTTCTTGAGGGAAACATAAGAATGAATTCGTGACTCATGGGCTGTGTCATACTCGATACATTTACTCACTGGGACCGGGAATTTGTATTTCAGAATCTATAGCATGAGTATGGGCTGTGTTTGGAGCTGCGGCCAACGGATACTATGCTGTATACATCACCTTGCGCTACTCCCTTGGCTTATTCTGGTCATTGTGACCATCCTTCCCATCTTCCCGCAAATACAATGCACTCCATACTTACTCTAAGTGCTCTTTCTCGAGTCCACCTTGTTTCCATAGTGAACCAAATGCTGTTATGCTCCATCATGTACTTATAAAGTCTCATTTTCAAACAAAGATCTGTACTTCCTCTGAGGAAATGGTTAGGCATCAAAGTCGTTCAAGAGTTTTCTGCTGCTTTGCTACTGCTCTATCATTCATCATCATAGTTCCAATCTTATGGATTAAGCTTGCTCTCCAGGTGCCTGCCAGTGGTGCGCTCCCTCATAACATGTCTGAGGGGGTTGAAGACTACCGGAACAGAACCGTAAGACTCCAGGCTCATCCATTGACATCCACCTCTAATTGTACCTGGAGATTGTCCTCTATGCTAATGTGATCACAGCCAATATGCTCAAAGCTACTATAGTTGTGGAATGGTCCATTGGATTTGACACATGCATTTTGCCCTACACTGAGAGTCTCAATTGCACAGAAGTTAATATCTTCTTTGACATGTGAGCCTTTGTCTATGAATATCAGGAATACCAATGCTGATTTCATCCCTGTTAAGAAATTTATCTCCATCAGATCCAAGACATGATGTCTCTCCCTACAATAACAATATACCCACAGATCCGATCTTCATATGGAATGCCACTTTCTTGCAATCAGAGGCAAACTATTACAATTATGACAGTCCTATATATCTTCACACTTTTCGCACTGAGCTAACCCTTTCCACATCCAATACACCATGTGGGATGAACCTCTTGTATCCCTATGGAAGCCTTGTCTATTACCCCTTTGACTGGTATGTTGTTCAAGTTGTATCAGTATGTTGATCCAATGCAAATTACCTGACATGTCAGCTATAATATGGAAATATTTGCATTTGCTCAAGAGACATCAACAAATAAATCAGTCTCCCTAGAAATGTCTGTGATTTCTGTACTTGCCATGTAAGCCTTATCTTTGAAAATCATTTCACCCCCTGATAGAACCTTTTCAAGTGGCCTCGATGTTACAACTCTTGTTAGAGAGAATGTTACTGATTACTGGCCATTCTTCGAGTACATTGGCTCTGGAAAAGAATTAACCAATGTCAAGGTGATTCTTCAATGGAGCCCCCTGGTTATCGCATACTGTCTCATCATCACCTTCACATTTTGTTTGTCTTCTCTTCCTCTACACTCATAAACACTTTATTGACGCCATGCACTTCTGATGTATGGATAGGGTTAGTTACTCTCATGATCTGTCTCATCATGATTGCAACCGTATTCTTTGGCTTCCGACAACGAAATGAGATTGTTGTCGTCCCAATTGGGATAGTGTTTGCCTTTACCCAACTACGATCTTCGATGCCTGGAGCTCCTGAAGGGTTTGGTGCGTCAATTCTCTTCCTCCACGTTGCACTGACTGAAAATTCAGTACGTCCAGGTGATATCTTAGGTATGTCCTGCTTCATAGTAAACATCATCAGCTGGTTCACATGTTTTGTCATAGATTTTGTTGGGCTACTACCATGCCTTGTCCTTCTGTCGATTTCTGTTAGTGAATCGCATTTCCCTCATATTTACACCTACTGTTCATATTATAGGCCATAATGATGGTTGGTATCTACTTATTTACGGACCCAGATGATCCGTCTCGTAGGAAATTCACTTGGAGCGAATTAGGTATGTTTTTCATCAATACCTCGACAGAATAATGATAGAAAACCTCACAGACAATGCCCTACGTTATGTTATCCTACACATTTGGAACACTTCCAAAGAGTGGATACGGCGTGCTCGATTCCGCTTCATGATAGCAAAACAGATCCGGAGGGCACCTTACAATTTTGAAATTCCCTTGATGAATACTGCTCATGAAATGGCTTGAGCCTCAATACATTGTGTGACGGGACCCATAAAGAACGTACGAAAGTAGATACTAAAGCCTTGAACATTTCGAGAATATATTTTCCGTGCAATAAAGTTACTCAGGCTCTTCATCGGGTAGCCTGTAGCAAAGTGTCTGATACCAAGAAAGCCTTGTATCGCCTACTTAATCCTCACAAAAGCGCGGGTATTCAATCCAACGGCAACAATGGTTGCAGACGCTCCAGGGTATTACCACAAACCAAGTTCCGACTCTCAGCAGTTAGCATGAGATCACATGAGCATGTTTGTCGAATGGAAACCTGCTTATTGTCAGTCGCGAGCTCACGGTTTGAGTAAGACAATGTTCAAGGTGGACGGTGTGTAGCCTATCATAGGTCGGACGACACATCGGAACCAGCTTGAAGAGCATCGACTCGCGAAAATATCCTTTACGATCCACTGGCAACGGACTAAATCTGAATGCATTGGAAAGGAGTAACGAACACACATACCACGCCACTAACAACCCTGTACTAGTAGGTGTTCTAGATTACCTACGGGTCGTTAGAAAGGGAAAGAAAAAAAGCAAAGCATGTTCACTGCCTTTTCTTCACGCACACCAGCTCATCGTCATTCTCTTATGGGGTTTAGACACATTCACACATTCTCCCCGTTTCTCCGCAGTCCAATTTCCGGTGCGATTACTCTCAACATGTTCATACCCTGTGATAGATTGCGGTTGTTGTCTGATCATATTTCATGGAATGCTTATGGTGCGGTTGATCTGTTATTCGAGCTCTATATGTGAAATTTAATGACCGGGAAAGATTGCAGGAGAACCGTACCTACTACACGGTCGACGAATATGTTTCATAACGGGACAGACGACAGAACACGAATGGTTGTTAAATAGGAGCAGGAGGTTCAGTCCGATCTGTGACTGCCACCTTAGACAGGTGCTGTGAAATGAAGTAGCTAACGAACCTGCAGGTATCCTCCTTCAACGCCGACTGTGCCATCAGTCTTGAGATATCCTCAGATTATTCTAGTTTGCGAACGCTAATCAATCAGAAAGCTGGGTTTAGATCTACGGCAGACATTGAGTACACGAGCTGAAAGCGGCGATCAACAGCTTATCGTAAAAAATTCACATGACGAACTCGTTCTGCTGTTGCTTCCCGCACGTAGGAATGAGCCTCAATATCCTGTGTACCAAAGAGACCAACCTCTGTGATGTCTGAGGCATTTAATTAACACCGGCTAATGCTGGAAGGCGTACTAGATGTCCGATGTTCCAGGTAATCGTGCTTAGAAAAAGTCGGCCAGAGATAGTGGGATAGTATAAGCTGACGAACCTGAGTATTCCTGATAACTACTGGAACGCCCGTATGCCCGAAAGCCGTTGCCACATCCGTATGTTACGATATCAGTATGGATTCCCGGTTAGGAGGTTTTTAGAAGGAAGGAGAACTACGCATATAGTAAGAAGAAAACGTGCCATTTCTACATTCTCCGCTCCGAGATGGGAGACCATCTAATTCAAAGCGCATTCTTCTGTCGTCGATTTACAGGCTTCTCATTCTGCCATTAAGATAGGTAAATAAGCTCCAAGTTTCGGGGAACAACGACGAAACTCACATTGATATCTATGCCAAAGTGATCAGAGCGTCTTGCCTCGACTGCTACATCACATCGCAGAGGACGGGTTTCAAGGTATTCATTAATCAACCCTATGCAATCTCTCTCTGATGAAACGAGACCTTGCAGTGTATCCTCCCCTCTAACAGTAGACTCCGATGCAGTGCAAGTGTATGGTTAATATTGGTGCATCTGCAAAATATATTAGTACATACAATGGCGAGAAAGACGACCGAAGCCCACCCAGTTCAGGCTTAGCGTAGATCAGAATGACATTCTTCGGACGTAGGACTGGTCACTTCCTGGACAAGTGTCAGAAAAAAATGACTATCCACGGAGGAGTGAAACGTCAGATATAGGAAATTGAACGTTTGAAAAGTCGAAGCCGCCGCCCACGTTGATTCGCAAGTCGGAAGGACCGGCATCGCGGCAAAACCTCAGAACCTTATAGATTGGGATTATGTCATTATTACAGGGCACTTGCTTCTTCCATCCATCGTGTACGGGTCAAGCCTACGTATGCCTTCTTTCTATACAGACAGCTCAAAGACTGAGCGCATCCTTATCCACAGCATTGCTTTCAATGACTACCATCTGTGTCATCAGCAAACCAGGCGAGAAAGGAAGGTCGCGGCCTGCCTTGAGGCCACCAAGTGCATTGGACCTCTGACAAGACTTTGTGAATCCGTTCGTGGACGAGCCGGAGGGCGAACATGAAGTCAGGCTGACTGGTGTGTGTGTTTTATTCTTCGGGCTTTTGTCACTGATCGATCTGATCGTCTACTAGCATCCTGTCTCATTTGCAATGAACCGTCTTGCTCAAAGCCAAAATTCTTGTCCTTCGCATTGCGCTAATATCAGTCACGTTTCCCAAATCACACGCGTATAGACTGGGTTGACGTGTCGCACAGCACTTGGAGATTGCCGAGGCATCTTTCAGGCTGATTCGTACCCTGCCCAGCATTTCACAACTCGTGACCTGTTCCACTGAGGAAAGCAAAGCAGCACTCTTCTCCTGGTGATACCAGGTATCGTTCTGTGAAGGATGATGACCTTGACGATGAGCATCTGGTGTTGCAGGAAACCGTGAACATGTGGATGATTCCGTTTCGGTACGTGGAGTGCTTACTTGCGTTTTGTGGTCTAATATTCTCCCAGTACGTACAAGTCGAGATGGTTCATAAATACTGTTCTCTGCGAGCGACAGGGCAGCATGTGGGAGGATATCGGCCGGAGTGTATTGGGGGTGAGTGGTCTTTGATGTTTTCCTTTGATGGTCCTGATGCTTCCTACGACGTACGTCCTAGCGGCAGAAGAGGTTAAGGAGCCATCAACGAGGATTGAACACATCTTTGTGGGATACAGAGGCAGAGCAGAAAGGCTACATGGTTTGGTTACGCATATCTCCTCGACTTGACGCTCTACGGAGAGGCGCATGTTTCTGTTTGATCGGTGTTCAGATGCTTGTAGCCTAGCAAGCCTGTCGGGTACACTGAAACACCGTGCAAGATTGAGGATTTATCGGAAGTGGATGCGGTCGTCATCTCAGTGCGCGGCCTGTTCTTGGACTCGAAGCGGTGTTAATGCTATTTTTGGCATAACCATCATGGCCCGTATGCGTCGTCCTCCACGCGCAATAAGCGCACTCTTCAAATGGACTTGCCTGTCTCCCATCTTCGCTCCTCCTGAGGGACCACGCGCGCAACCTTGGTGGGTGTCATGTACAACATGTTACGTTTTGGTGGCGTGTCCCTCCTTCCTATAACAACATCTCGAACAATGACACTTCTTTATCTACAGTGACCGCCATCCGCATCGTCAATGAACCAGGCGATAATAAAGACATTGGTATACTAATAAGCTGGTATGGTTCCTGAAATCTGTGGACGAGCTTGGGAAGATAAGTTTTCGAAGTGTGTTGCATGTTTGTATTCCCATATTTTCGTCGCTGATTGTTAGATAGCTCGCCCACTTCATCCGCAGCGATACTGTTCGTCCCTAAATCAGGAGACCTATCCGCGTGCCCGGCGTGAGGTGCGGAGGAAGAGCATCGGAGACGACCTCAAGGCAACAATGATTGGGCCGCACTTGTATTCCTTCCACGGGGTTCGCCGTTTGGAACGGGACTCAGATTTGCGTATCCCTTCTTTTCTATAAGCATAGTTCAAAGAGGAACGACAGCATTGTATGTAGCTTACAATCCGTGTTGTCGATAATCGAGGCGGCAAGAAAGGGAGGCTTCCCAGTAATTTTGTGGCTATTATTAACTACATCCATGGACGAGCTAGACAGCTAATGGAACTTCGGAAGTCAATAGCCTGACTACAGTGTGTATTTGATTTTTCTGTGGTTTTGCCGGATATTATTTGCTTGGTTGCCTATCTATCTCAGTTTCAATGGACATGTCTCTCCCAAGGTCGAATGTAGATTTTCGGGCGCTTTCTTCTCGTTCTCTGGAAAAGGACGTGAAGCACTTTGACCCTAATCTCTCACAGAGCGTCCTTTCCGTCGTTTCTGAGACTCACCCTGGAATAGAACTTGAAAACGTCCGCAGGGAATTCAGACGCGTAGCGAGGTGGGCATATCTTATGAGATATGGCGTTTCTGACTTGGGATTTGCGATAGTCACCGCTTTGGGAGAGGAATTGCAAATGGATTAAGGGGGAGAATTTGAAAAGAGCAAGGGAGGAGGCGTCGGATGGAATGATGGTTGGGATGGGAGCGAGATACTTTTAATACCTTGCCGTGCTATTCCAGGACAAAAGAGGAAGGGCGGTCTACTATGTACCATGTATTTTTAGCGCCGTACCAAAAAGGTTTACAAGTAACGAGGGTCATAAATCAGATATGAGGAATTGAACCTCTGGTGAGTCCTGCGAACGATTGGGCTATATCTGGTTTGCGAAAGAGAAATCATCGGAGGGTATGTCCATGGGGGGGAGGGGATGATGGTTGTGTAGAGTCACTTGGATTGGGATGGCAAATCTGCTGAGGTGCCGTCAGAATACCTAGTGGCAAGGTTAATGTGAATGTAGTGGTAGGTCGTAAACCAACCGCGAACAGACTGAAGGAATAACCATTACTTTGAATTTGAAGCGTGCTTACAAAATCCAATACGCGTGGTGGGCAGCTCACACGAGAAAAATACTCGTGCCTCATAACTATGAATACCTTAGGGAATCAAACTCCAGACAGCCTGCTCTCTGTTAAGTATCCGATGGGGTGTATGCTATTTGGTAGGACAGATGTGTGGGAGAGAGAAGACTTGTGTAACTTGAAGTGTTTCCTAGTAATTAGGATAAACATCAAGATTGAAGCGGCGCAGAGGTACTTTTGTGATGTTCGCGAGATCCTGTGTAGCCTCACTCTCGCGTCGATGTGCATGAAAAGGAATAGGATGTCAGTAGTTCAGACATAGAGGATCGAACCCTGTAATTAACGATAGCCGTTATGCGACTCCCGAATATGTGGATGGGACGGTTTTGGCTGCATGAATCACTCTGGCGCGTATCCTGAAGAAACAACGATTGATCAGCAGCTGAAATGACTAACACAGACCGGCTATTATCCAGAAGGAAGTCGAAAAGGGACGGAATAGAAAACTCCACCAGATGTGTAAGTAGTCTTTGAACTGCTAGGTAACTTTTACAAGTCACCGTAACGACACCTGCAGTGACAAAACCCGGGACCCAATTGGAAATTTAAGTTGGGACTTTTCGGTGGTCATTGGTGCGTCGACTTAGCTGGGTGATTATGACGCATTGACAAGGTGCAAGTCGAAGCTGACAGACTTCTCATCAATGTGAGGGGAAGGGTTGAAGAGCCGGGCGCACGAAGAAGGTCAGCATCGTGGCACTTTTATTTTTGGATACATCATCCGATTGTGTGTACGTAATCTTTACCCGCGCTCTTTGCGCATTCCTTCCATTCATGGGGTACGGCTCAGGCTTGCATGCCGCTTCTCTCTAAGAACTGCTCGACGAATGAGCATGGATTTATCCACAATGACCGACATCCCTGTCATCGACGATGAACCAGGCAAAAATAAAAGCATTGAACCACTGACAAGCCTGGTTCCGACTAGAACCTGTAGACGAGCTTGGGGACGAATAGGAGGCTTGATTTCCTGAGTACTGAGCGTGTTTATGCTCCCGGTATCTCGCCTCTAATCATTGGATAGTTGGCCTCTTTCTTCCACAATAAACCTGCCCCACCCGGAGTCGGGATTCCTGTTCGGGAACGCGTGTTTTCTCATCAACCTTCCATTCATCGCTACCCTAGAGGGAATGCTATTCGGCCTGTGTCCAGTGATAGGTTTTCTCCCAGACAGTCTGTCGGCCTGAGGAAGTACACGTAGCCCCCGAGTACGATTGAGGATATGCGACAGGTGGACACGGTCGTTTTCTCGGTGGGTGACGGGTGCACCGGTAAGTATTCGTTCTTGCACTTGATGTTACGCTAAAAGCATCTGTATTATGATCAGTCTGCATCATCCTCCTCACTCCTTCGCCTTCCGTAATCTAGCATCAAGCTCGCTCTTCAAACAGACCCATGCACTACACATCTTCGCTCCACTGTGGAACGACAAGCACTTGTACTCGATTGGGTTCTGAATGCATGCAAACATACTCAGTTGATGGATTGCATGGCGCGTAGAGATTATAGGAGTATCTTTCAAGCTGATTTACACCCCGTCCAGTATTTCACCGCTCGTGGTCAGTTCCGCCGAGGAAAGGCAGCCGGATGATCAGTCTCTTCCCTGGTGATACTGTCTGTCTGTCTGTCTGTCTGTCTGTCGAGGATGATGACACCGACAAGGAGCGTCTGCTGTTGCAGGAAAGCGGGAACGCGTTGAAGATGTCACGGAGCCATCGAAGAGGGTTGAAGGTGCCGATGTGGGGATAACGAGGTGGAGCAGGAAACCCGCGTCAAGGCAACGCGGTTCTTATACGCATATTTCCTCCTCGAGTGCGTTATGGAGAGGCTTGTATTTTTGTTCGATTGCTGTGCGAACATTCAGGCACTTGTGGCATAGCCTGTCTGTAGGGTATGTGGAGATGCCGAGCGTGGATGCGGTCGTCATCTCAGTGAGCGGCCTGTTCCTGGATTCGAAGTGTTAATGCTATTTTTAGCATAAGCATCACGGGCTGACGCGCCCCGTCCCTAACTTTGTGGGGTAGTTGGTGCTTCTAACATCAAAGATATAGGATGGACTAGCGGTTGTCAGGGCCCGGCCCGGTTCCGCTTTCGAGGCTTGGGCGAGGCTTGGGCGAGTTTAGGCTCATCAAATAGTAAGCCCAAGCCTTCAGCCGAAGCTCGCTCAGGCTCAGGGTTCGGCTCAGGCCCAGCCCAGCTCTACTCGGCTTAGGGCTTCGAGCCGCGCCGTGTTGATTGCCAGGATGGACAGGGCTGTGATTTTCGAGAAGAATCCGCAAATAAGCCAGCTTTGGACGTTAACGTTCAAATGATGGCGATAACTCTGGATTGATATTGTGCCTCTAGGACCCAGAATGAGCATCTGACTTGAGTGCCATGAGGGTTATTCGAACTATGCGAATTTTTAAGACAGACCTTTGCTCCTATTTTTCATTCTCTTGCTAAGTACAGTACAATCAATCGACAAAATACAGCCCATTAACTATATGACATTATAATATGAATTCGTTCAAGAACTTCATCAAACATTCACCGACTCCTTTGCCGGTTCTGACACCTCTTCGTTCATGCTCGTCGAATCTCGTATATGCCGTGGACCTGCGCATCTGTGATCACCGTCATTCACCAAGGCATCGTCATCTCCACCGCCCTCCTCGAACGCCGTCTTATGCTCCTCGAAGTGCGACCCATGCTTCTCAGGCCCAAGTATCGTCACCACGATCAAGAACACTGCGACACATCCAATGAAAATTCCCTGCACCTTTGCGTAATCGGGCACGTTCTCTGTCGTGCCGTCCGCATGTGTGATAGTCGTACGCTGGTGAGCTGCTCCAGTGGCCTCAATCTGAGCGCTGGCAGATGATACCATGTTACCGAGCTGGTAGGCGACACCAGGGAAGGTAGCGCGGAATGCGGGCGGCGACATCTCGGAGAGTTGAATTGGTACGACTCCCCAGGCGCCTTGCACTCCGAACTGGACGCAGAAGGCCCCGGCAGCAAGGGCACCGAAGCTGCTGGGAATAATCCAGAGAGGGATGAAGCAGCCGACAAGAAGAACGAAGAGGACGATGGTTAATCGCCGTCCGATGTACTGAGATACGAAGCCTGCTAGTGCGCCTCCAGCAATTGCGCCCTTTACACTTGGTTAGACTGATACGGAGGAGTGAAAAAACGAATAAACGTACGCAATTTCCTATGATTGTTGCAATGGTTGCATTGTATTCACTGATACCCTTTGAATCTCGCAGATATGTAGGATACAAGTCTTGTGAGCCGTGCGATAGGAAATTGAATGCTAGTAGAGATATCAGTCGGAAAGTTCCGCGAATAGAACGCGACAAACGTACCAGTCATGAAGAGCAGCGCGTAAATGCAGAGCAACCAATGCGTTCTCACCATTCTCCCAGTCTCCTTCAAAAACGTCTTCGTCTTCTCCATGCTATCTGTCGGACCATGCTCCCTCGCCTTCTGCTTGAGGAAGAACTCGGATTCCGGCAACAAAGCTCTGAGAACTGCGGCGAACATACTGATGCCCGACGCAGCCCAAAATAGCACTCTCCATCCGGCTGGAACTGCAGGGACGAGCTTAAGGTTGATGCAAGCAGCAAGAAGGTAGCCAACAGCATAACCCTGCTGCATAACACCACTGCCCAAACCGCGTGCTTCAACCGGTAGATTCTCCAGAGCGGTACTCGCAGCCATCCCCCAAATACCGCCCATGCCGATACCAAATAGTGATCGAACAGCGAGGAACTGGCTAAAGGTGTTGACGAAACCAGCACCGAGCTGTAAGATGGCGACTAGGACGAGATTGAAGACAAGAGGCCATTTCCGGCCATAACGGTCCGAAAGGATTCCGAAGATGATGGAGCCGATGACGCGCAGGAGAAGTGTTAACGTTATCGCGGTGGTGATATCCGATGTTTGCTTGCCGAATTGAACGGCCAATCGAGGGACGGTGAGGGATACGGAGAAAAAGTCAATGGCAGCGCAAGTCCATGCAAGCCACCTAAAGAGATCGAACGTCGATCAGTTGGTGCCAAGCGCACGTGCTTGCATCGTCATACTCACCCCGAGAAAAAATGCGCCCATTGTATCCAGGAGATGCTGGCAAGGACGGACAGGAACGGTTTTGACTTTTCGTCAGTCTTCTGGCGTTGTGGAATTAGATTCAGAAAAAAGTATGGAGCCATGGGTGGGGGGGCAGGAATTGGACTGGTCTTTTATGTGCTTCTCGAAGTATGACTGAACATTCCTCCTTAGTTCCATTCCCCTCGGCACTTTTATGTTCCGTCTAGTTCCGATGGATCAAGGTTCGGCTCTTAGCTCTCGAGTGCTCTGCTGGTGTATGCTTGTGCTCATATGTGAGTGATTGTCTCCTCGATGTATACCGCAGCTGACCGGAAGAATGGATCTTCCCTCGATGACCTCGGTGATGTGTGCAGCTTGAACGGTTTTATGGAATGGCAATTGGTGGATGTCTGATAGCACTCGCTCAAGGAAAGGAGGTGAAGCAGCACGGAAAATGGTGCAGACGAGGTAGGGAGAATAGGGTGGTACTGTATGCAAGAAGAAGCGAGACAATGCGTGATTGGGAGAGTCTCTGGTGCGACATCTTGTTACAAGGCTGATAAGGTGGACGAGACCGAGACTAGCGTGATCGGAAAATGGGATAGAACGAGCCCTATATGTTTCCCCGAGAAGCTGAAGATGCGTTGAACCAAATGAGCGTCAAAGTGAAACGGCGAAGCCGCTGTGGAATCGCTATCGAAAACTAACCTCAACAAGGAGTTAAGCCAGATATGCGACGGGCTAAGCTCACTGGAATGAATCTAACCATGTCGCCGTACACACGAAGCTTGTTGCACAGAACTAGACCAACGACAGACCAACTAACTCTCCTGTCCCAACTGCGAGAATGACCTCAGCCTGTGTCTTGTTTTTCTCTGACCATCTGTGCATCGGGTTCCAGATCAACACTCGTTAGGCGTGAAAAGAAATCAAGAACAACGTACAACCCAACTGTCGAGGTAAGGTAGGCTCCACGTTCCGTAACCCTACCCTTACAGTAGCGTTTAGTCGTCTAGGTGCAACGACGACGCAGCATCCGCAAGATTACTGCAAACTAAAGTCATTTCGGAAAGAACGAAACACAAGAACCAACACTCACCTGAAAGCCTGGCAATATGGATTGGGCCGGGCGTGTACTGGAAACTTCGTAAGGTTAACGAGATTTCGGCCATCTCTTCCGACGAGTTTTGGTTTACTATCTGGTCGACTGTAAGTCAGTATTAAACACAGTAGTGGGACGGGATTGCCTACAAGGGTAGTGTTCCTTAGCACGGACTCTTGCGCCTGAGGAAACTTGAAGCGGACACGAAGGTCGATTCAGCGCTTGTCCTCTCCTCTCATGGCTGACGAAATAACGGTAGGTGTAATCCAGGGTTAGTCGCGCCTTGATGGCTACTGCAAACCTGCGGGAGATCATGTGAGGAGAATGAGACAGAATACGGTAAGCACACACGCCACAAACAATATCTACTTCACTCCATAGGCCTCAGTCGCAAGTGTCGTGTTAATTCTTGAATATTGTGGCCGGCATACAGGATGTCAAGCGCAACATGGCTTCGTCCTACACTGAACATAGATTATTCGACAAGCGAGCGATTAGAGTCGGATGCAAAACTCACCTTGATCGGCTCGCCGGTGTGATGGGTTACAGGGAGGATGCATGATGGGTGGAGAGGATGAGAAGCGCGGTAGGTACGTGAATCAATAACAGACAACAGGGAGGTCGGGCCGTGGAGCGGAATTTCCAATACCTTCGATGCCGCCTCTACCTTAATATTCAATCTCCGCTTTTCTCCTTCCCCCTACGATGGACTCGACTCCGGAAATACTGACGACTCGACTAATGGTACGTGTGACTGCACCATATGCCTAGAAATAAAGCTCAGCTAATGCGCGTTGTAGAATCCTTTTCCGAAATCGTCGCTGTATCTTCCTACGGACGCGTTGGTGAGGGTACGCACGGCCCTTGGTGAGCAGACAATAACTGTCTTTTCACCCGTCGTTTCTCATCATTTTATCACCAGACTGGAGTGGAAAACTCGGAGTATTCAGAGCCTGGTCGTAGCAAGTCGCATAAGACCTCCCCGATTGTAGCACAGCTTTGTCTCCCGGTATTCTCAAGGACCTTCGCCGTACGCATAAGCGGTCGATGTCGAACCTTGAGGATCAGCCAAATCATGGTCTGCAATCGTACCGTGGGGCTTGCCTGGTTTTTACCCTCCGAGACCATCGTACAAGAAGGATCGAAGGCTCGTCTTCAGGTGAGTTCCGCTTTTGTCTATTGGTGACCGTATTCTGACGCCATTTCGTGCAGGTTAAAGATACGCAATAAGGACTTGTCAAAGTTCGCGATAAGTGCTTCTTGATGGTCTTCATGGTTGGCAACGCTACGGGTAGAAGAGCTAGACGTTGTTGAGAATCGTTTGCCATGGTACTTCCCTCATCCGGTATGCGTGGTCTTGTCATATTCACCCTTAAATCAGCCACTGCACATGAAGAGCAAGTGAATTCAATCTCTTCACTATGGAACGATCCTAGGCTCGTCCCCTCCCTGCTACCTTTTCCATTTGTTGTCTTCCTGCATCGCCTTCGCGTTCCCGGTGATGCCTGATGCATGCGATGGTATCACCGTACTCTTCCCAAACCTGGATGTATGCGCCAGGAACGAGATCAAGGAACCTAAGCGGTATTCCCCGTGATTGGATACCACCGCACGATCGCCAATGGGAGGACGGGTCATGAGGTTATTCTTTTCTGTACGGCCTGGCCACATGGCGACGAAATGATTCTGAAAGAAAGGCGGGTTGGTGCAACATGACCGGGTGCGAAGTGAGTGTGAATGCGAGATTATGGAGCTTTTGTCTGAGAGCAAAAGATATACGCAGGATGGCTCCATCAAAGAGCTCTGCTAGGAAGAGGCACTGGGTATGAGCCGAAGATGCGGCCTAGGTCGGTACATTCAGTTCGCTGATTGTACATTTCTGACAATGCTCTTGCACAGGCTTGCAAATGACCCGTTAACTGTTGCTTTTATTTGAATGCCTTGATTTTACGACGATTTCTGTGAGTACCGTCGTGTTATGATACCTCTTCACCGACTAACATCGTCTTGTAGGATTTCGTAAACGAGTGACGGCATGGGAAAGTCCTGTTTCGATTTAAGCGTGTCGATGATTAGGTCACCTACTACAAGTAGAACGACAAATACTATCTTACTTCCCCTCATCTAAATATCCAGTCCGTGTTCATCGATTTTGGTCATGTGAACATGAAAGGCTCCGCCGCACAAACGTGGAATTTTAACGCTGCCCTTCATTGAATCACAACGCGCCAAGACCAAAAGCCCTCCCCAAGTCATCACCATCCTTCGCATGTCATCTTAGTTCCTCAATTCACTCACATCCTCGTGCGTCTGGCACTCCGTCCGTCCGACTTGCGCATTCTCCGTTGGACTGGACTACGGACCGGCCGTCTACGCTTTCTTTATCAACCACAGAACGACATGCTCAATTTGGGAGATCATGATACTCCGCTGTTGTTGAGACGGCGATGGCTATAGGCTATATCACGGTCGTTGCGATTCGGACTACGCATGATCATTTCGATGACTCAGAGACGCCTTTTCTCCAAGTCTCGGTCGAATTCCTCCCATTCCTCGTCGCTGACGTAACGTGACTGGGCTCAGCACCACTGACTACAAAACACTCGACTATGTGCCCTTGGAAAAAGCGCAGTATACAAAAGACTTTGCCTACGAACTTGTTCCCTTCCGCCCGTTGTTGGTGGCAGTTCATAGGATCCGCCTTTGATGCGCCACTGTCCAGACGGTTCGGCACGTCCCGACGCCTCTTCTTTACAACCCATCCGCGATGATTCGGAAACTAGGAATTCGCCGAGAGCCGCGGATATCTTGGTTCAGTCATTCTTTGGTCATTCATTCATCTCCTTCAGATTAGAGAGCTAAAGAATCCTTCGAAACCATCTTGTAAATGACGCATGCTGGTCATGTGTAATCTCATGAAACCTTGCATCATACAAACGTTGCGTTCTGTTCCTTCGTCCATCAGATTGCCGAGGGACGATGGGTATCGACGTGGTTCTGTACACTCTATTCTTCTCCCGTCTTCGCATATAACGAGTCGATCGATTGACTAGCCAGCGACTAAGTATGAGCTAGTTTTCGAACTACGAATAGCCAGCCGACACCTCCTTAGAATGCTGTAGGGTTTGCATATGAGCGTAAGTACTCTGCGAAACAAGTTCACTAGGTGCCACGACAACGTTGTGACGGCCACTACGGATTTGGACCATTGATTTGTTCTCTGCGAGCGGAGGGGCAGAGAACTTCAACCACAATGTGTTGGGGGTGAGTCTTTTTTGATGTTCTTCCTTCCATGCTTCCCACGGCGTAGGTCCTAGCAACAGAAGAGGTTACGTAGCCATCGAAGATAATTGAAGACACCACAGAAGCGGAGCAGAAGGGGAACATCAAGGCGACGTGGTTTAGCTATGCGTTGTTCCTCCTCGACTTGACGCTCTACGGAGAGGAGCGTATTTCTGTTTCATCAGTGTTCAGGCGCTTGCGGCCAAACTAACCTGCCGGCTGGAAGAGGTACACCGAAATATCGTGAAAATTTGAGGATATATCGAAGGTGATTGCTGTCGTCACATCGGTGAGCAGCGAGTTCTTGTATTTGAAGCGGTGTTCATGCTGTTTTTAGCGTAACCATGAGGGCCTGTACGCGTTGTTCTCCCCATCTCCGTCCCCTAGTCACATTCCCCAGTCCAGACACACGCCATAGGTACCGCCTTGAAACGGACTCGCCTGCCACACGTCTTTCTCCACTAGGTAGAAATAGACTGGACAGATACAGTCAAGAAATGCACACATATCCTCGACTGAGGCACGACGTGTGATATTTCGCTGGTGACACAAGCTACCGATTGGGAGGACAGGGAGGAGGGGCCGACGCGTACTACTTTCGAGTATGGCAATGATTTCTATTGGGTACGTGTGCTATGCTTGTTCGAATTTCATGATGCTGATGTTCTCAGTCCATTGTGCGACGCAGGATCGCGCATGCCTTTTCCATGATATAAAGGCGAGAAGGCGAGGATGCAT